CTATATACCCATTGTATCGTCTTTTGGGGTCCTCGTGGGCTTAATAGTCAACACCTCGGGAAAAGTGGTATCACTTTCGGACCGCGAAGACCTTCTTGCCCATCTTCACTTTGATCTGATGAATGGACAGTCCGAAAGCAGGCTTGTTAAGGTTATCTCACACCTTCAAATCCATAGGTCATGCTATGCGAATAGTAGTAGGTAGGTTAAAATCAAATCGCATGTCGCTAAACCTTCAGTTAAAAACTCCATAGTAGCGAACAACAGTGTCGCTAAGTTGAAAAGTAGCCTAATTCGCCAGTTTCGATCTGGCATAAGGACTTCATAGATACTAGCCATGTGCGGATGAGAAACTTTATGCAAAGACTTGACATGGTCAAGGCTAGAAGAACCAGCTCAGAAGCTGAACTTTACGTACCAAGCTGAATACAATATCAGTATTCCTAGACTCGGGGTTGAAAGCAACAAGGAACAAGGACATCAATATATATCCTTGTAAAAGGTGACGGTCGTCACATCATGCACGAGGAGCCAAATAAATTCTTGAATCGGTGACTGGCCAGATCTAAAATGCTCTACGATGTATGGACCAATATCGGAATGTCTTTGAAGGATTCTAGGAACAAACAGTCAACAGTCAAAGAAAAGGACTTATGTTTTTGGTACGTGTCATAAGTAATTAACTACCTAAATTTGAATACCTTTCCAATCCCCTTTGATTGTTTCATTTTGCACTCGAGGGCGCCAAACTCTTGAATAAAAAAAAGTCCAGTATATACCAATTGTAGACTGAACTTATGCTTTATGAAATCTCCCATATCTGTCTGGTTCTCAAATAAAGTATTGCAATTACCATGACTTAGTTGCCTAGATGTTGCTGAGGAGATGATTCTTGGTATTCTTGGAGAGAAGACCAACTGGTAGTGGCGACGTGCTTCAATTTCTTTTTCTACACAGATCGTCCAATTTCATACATAGAAGCAGCCGTCTTCTAACTAGTGCGCACGGGTACTTAAAAGAAGAAGAAGACTCTTGCTTCCAAAGGGTGATGTCAGAGATCGCTGCAACTAGGCAGCTTGTACCGTCCTAAGGAAGCCTATACTATCGTGTCGTGATAATGAAGCAGGCCCATTTGATCGTTCTATATTCATGTTCGGGCCAGAGAGGCGGCTCTTGGGACACGCCATCAGGCGGGTTTCAATAGCACAATATCAGAGCATTCAAGTGCTCACGTCTGTCTAGTCGGGTCAGGCGTTTCACAAATTAGCATCACTTCAAGTAGATAATCGTGGTCATAAGCGAGCGACGCCGAAGTGCTCGATTTGTAACAATATTGAGAGGAATACAGCCGACTCTTCAAACCCGGTCTCCAAGGCAAACCTAAATGACTTCCGACCAGATTTCAGTGAAGACAAAAGCTAAGATGAATGCGTCTCACCATCACTAATGAATAGGTCGAGGGTATTTATCTCTATGGGAGTCCGAATAGTTCGATGAAGACCTACTCAAGCACCAAGACTGTGTACGGGGGGTGTATTGTATAATTCTACTCGGCTTCCCAGGAAATAGAAATTTTTACATCATGGTAAAATGGAAATCACAAACTACATTCGCCTGAAATTGGCTCTTCATAACTTTGTGGCAGAGTGTTATTGATCATTTTATTTCACGTTGCTGGATTGTGCCAAGTGTGAGTTGTGTCCAACTCCGGGCTTAATAACCACGAAGCTTTGCAGTTCTGGATAGAATACAGTGTAGCACTGGCACTTTCGGATGCCGTGCAAAGGATAATGACCTTCTTCTTGAACCATTCCAGCGACCTAGGGATATAGGCGAACCAATAGCCTTTATAGCAATTAGCTATAGTAAAAAAAGGCACCCAACGACCTCGCTGGGAGATAGTCCACCGGACAGCTGAGCTGTCTGGGGCATGTGAAGGACCTACCTCTCGTTCTTCTTTAACGACAGACTTTATAGCAGCCGGACGCCGCAGTAGTATATTACGAGGAAATGATCCTCCGTGGAATCATCTCTAACCGCGCTAAAGCACTAACCCTAAACTACGAAATGAAATCTACTACCCGCCCCCCTTTGAAGAAACGTGGAGCAAGAAACCTAACGAACCTAAAGTGAGGCAGAAGCCCCTCTACTGTAGTACAATAGGATCTGAGACACCACATAAATTATTACTGCCCTGCCCATTTGGAATGCTCTATTGAACGCTCTAGGGTAGATTAACAGTAACAGCAGACTGGCGCGTTGGAAGGAGGATTCTTCGGAAGGACAAGGATACTTTTAGACAAAGCTCAACCATAGTCGCACGTCCAGCTCGAAGATAGACAATATTCCGCCTCACGAAGCTTTGCAGTTCTGAGAGAAATGTCTCTTTTGCTAACCCTCAGCGAGGCATCATGCATAACTAAATGCAGTTCAGTGCTCCGTCAAAGACGACGTAAGCAGGATAGATCATACGAAGACTCGCCCGATAACTTGCTATTTAGCTGAAGAAACAGCTTTTGTATGTATGTCTCGCTAAGCGGTTGACACCCGCACCAATCTATCTCGTTGTTGGAGTTAACGCATTAGCTGTATTGACGAAATCAGTTATTGAATGCTCCTTATTGGCTCTCCTTATAGAATGCTCCCTTTGCGTCGTGACAAATGTCGAAAGCCTGGGTGTCTTGTACTGTATGATGCGAAGGGTGTTCTAGGCCTGCAGAAGTAGCCGCCATCAGTGTTGGGAAAACTTGTGTTTCATAGTGTACATAGCAATGCTTCCGTGACATTATTATCTAACGCTCATCAGGCTCTAGCGAGATGGGAGTTTCTGATCAGCGGCTTCAAGGTTTTGTGTCAACGCGACCGGGTACACGTAATTTTGAAATCAAACGTCGCAACTGCTTTAGACCAGAAGCCTTCTGGCCGCGCGATGTTTCAGGGAGAGCAAAATACAAATGAGACTGAAGGTGATCCTTTCGGCAATATTATTGGCCACGGGCGGGCGGGCAGGCAGACAGGTGGGACTTGTTTGCTGCTCTCAGTGAGCTCAACCAGGTTCAACCGATGTTGTGTGATAGATCGGGTGGCTGCAACTTCTTTGGCTCCGAGTTTATTGCTTTGAATATCGTCGGCAATGCTCTTCTTTCCGTACGTCACATTGCACGACTGAGTGACTATAGATCTGTTGGTGTGCTTAGTTCAAAGGCAGTAGCAAATTTTGTACGTGGGAGCAGACAGTCACTCACGTAAGGTTAACCACCCTAAGGCGCAGGTAGGCGTGTCGTTTTGTTTGTGCTGGGAATTGTTTTGGGGCAGCTTTCAATCCGAGTCGCAATGGGCGCTTTAGGCATGGACCATTCTGTTGACAAAGTAGAAACTCAAACTTGGTGTGACCCTAAAAGCAAAAGTCCGTAGGGTGACTTGTAAGACCATGGGTAAACACGGCTATGGGTTCAACCAACGACACAAAGTGCTTCTGATAGTGGCAGACTGAAGAACACCAGATGTCCCGTGAGCTGTTGGGCTCTTCTGGGTTGAGTATCCGTGGAGTATGAACGCCGAAGTTTTCGTCTATCGCGGTTTCCGCCGCGGTGCGGCCACATCTTCCTTTTACAGGGCCAGTCGAGTTATGCAGTTAGGCGAACTTGATTTCTTGCAAGGCTCACCGTCTCCTGGGCGGCATCACCAAGTTTGGGCCATGAGAGAGATGTGTGAGTGCGTCATGGCGCCAGAATGAGTCACGTCCAAACATCGGGAGCTACAGTGTCCCTGCTTGCTGGGAGGCGAACTTCCACTGCAGTGGAGTGCCCCTTGCTGAAGCGGAAGTACAGGTTGATGCTGACGTTCGCTACGTGCTGTCGGTCAACCAGCCGAAATCAGGTGGGCAGATTTGCGGACAACATGGTTATGCCGACCCCATGATGCGAGCCAGCCAGATCAGCCAGCCTCTGCATGATTGCGAATTTGTATCTGAGCCGATCCCAAGCGTATCGCAAAAACCACGTCTACCATTTCACGAAACTGATGTGGCGACTGACATCGGCAGCACGCACGCATAGTTTTATGTCCGCGACTGGGAAGCTGAGAGCTACGTATGTCCTCTGTGCGTCGATGCTTGCAAATCCACAAAAGTTTAGGTGATGTCCTTCTCGTCAGGCGATGGGCCAGTGTCACAGAGGTCCTTTGCTTGTGCTGCGTTCCGGAACTGACGGCTACGTCTCTCTTTCTGGCTGGCAGCGTTCAAGCTAGTTTCACTCCGTGCTCCTTTGCCGCACTCTCAAGCGTGTGGATGTGGTGCATGGAAGGTGAAAAAGGTCACCACAACACACAATGGATCACTCAATGTAGAGAGAGCAGAGAGAGGGTCAACCGAAATATAATCAAATCCCGAATCGCGTTTCAAGTGCCTGGCATTCAATGTTGCTCAAGGCCAGCCAGGGCTGAGTAACCTTGTCGAGCGAGAGGTGAGAGGCACCGCGACATCTAGTCGATCTCTGACCGTGACGATGATGTACTACCTGCCGTAGGAGAGAGATGGTCTCGAGGTGTAAATACTAACTAGTAGGAATGGGCACACAGGATCGATCAGCAATGCACAGTCACAGACTATTCCCGCTTCTACTGCACACTCACACATGCCCTGCAAGACAGAACGACGTTTGAGGTGCGCCTGGGAGGGGAGTAAAGCTGGCGGAAGTCGAAAAGAAACTCAAAGGAGTTCCGGAATTGTGACCGCTGTCAGGCGTTGTTAGCCTCCTGCGGAAAGGTGGTGGGAATTCCTGTCGCGATTTTGCTGTGGGAAGAGAGATCGTGCCAATCGATCCTTCTCACTCTATCTTGTTTATTCGCTATGTTCATTCGCTACATCTTTCTCGGCGAAGGGGCCTCCTCTATACCATCAAAAAGGTAGACAGACACCTTCCTGCATAATCCTGAAATGATGAAAGCAATCTCCCATGCCGTAATGAGACAGGTAAGACGACGCGACCGGCAAAAGGACAAGCCTAGACCGCGATTTGAACGCGAGACCTTAGGATGTTAGTTGCATGTCCCTATGGAGCTGCAATCCCACGCTCTACCACTGAGCTACCGAGGCCTTTTATTGACGTCGCCGCCGCGTATCGCATAACTCATGCCCGTGCGAGCATGCGGCAGCACAAGTCCGAAACAACCCCACCGCCTCAAGTCAAGCTTACAGCATAACGACTTGAAAGAGTGTACAGCGAATAGCGGTTGTACTGATGAGAATAGTGATGTAGAAGTAGGCGTCTGCTGCAAGCCGGCCACCTGGCGAGAATTACTTATATTGGCCCCCCTATGCTCGGCAGCACCTGTCCACCCTACAGATTCATCCTATGATTGCGTGATCCCAAATGGGCAGGCTGCATTCCCACGCTCTACCGAGACTCCTGGTAGAACGTGCCCGTATCAATCACCAATACCTTTCCTCTAAAAGATAGACAAGGAGGGGGGAAATACGCGACTGTGCAGAGCTTCGCAGCTGGGCCCTTCTCGCTGCCCATGGAAAGAGCGCCAAACGCAACCTCGGCCAGCCCCGCTGAGAACTCGACAGTGTCAGTCCCATCGCATCATCGCCCTGCTCGTGCAAGAATCGAGCCATCGGCCACCCCAGCTGTTTGGGAAGCATACAACAATACTGGCTAGATGTGGCATGTCCATCACACCTGCTTTCAACGCTCGAGCGGATTGGGAGACGGGGCTAAGATGCGATAATGCCTGTGCTATGTCTCGTCCACGCACCATGCTTGTCCTCGGAGTCAAATGCTCCAGCCCCGCCGGCTGGAGGTACACAAGAGCCTGGGCCCTCGTCGAGGTACTTGCTTCCCCGCACACCTGAAAAGTGGGCCATCGGCTTAAGCAGTATAGGCGCCACAGAACCCGGCCCCTGCACAGGTACGCAAGGCACGCACATTGACCAGGCGGGGGGGGGGGTATGCCAAGCTCAGAAATAAGTACGCCGATGTCGGTGTCCTCAACCAATTTTTGAGATGACACATACGTCGAATGCCCAATTGCCGCCACCCCGCGCCTGGGCAACAGCAGACGACCTGTGTGCGACCAAGATGGGAGGGAGGAATGAGTGCCAATTGCTAAGTTGTGAAATGGTGATGACCGTAGTACACCCACGTTGCTGCGTGCAAGCTGTCGCATTTGGTGGTGCCTGGCGTGCTTGATGGTGGACCAGACATCCCTGACAGTGACACACAACCCAGTGGATTATTGATGGGGGCTTGAGTTCGGCAAGTCCAGTCTGCCGTGTTTTCAAGTTCTCAGGGAAGTCCGTGCCTAGCTGCTGGCTTTGAACGGAGAGGTGCAGCAGCAATCCTACCTCGATGACTCTTCAGGCTGTTTCTGCTGCTTTTCCGCTGCTCACCGCCCAGCTGGCGCCGCCGCCACACCAGGGAGCCCCACGAAGACACCTTCGAGTCTGTACTTCTTTCTGCCCCGTGCAGACTTCCACCTCTTCACACCACTGCCTCCTTCTCGGGATGCCCTCCTGCCGTTGCAATTGAGCCTGCAGCCTTTGGATCTCGATTGCATCATCTCAGCATGGCGTCCCAGGCTGCGCCGGGCGACCAGCCCCCACCCACACGCATCACCATCCTCGGCTCCGACTCCATTGTTGTCGACAACAACCTTTGGCGCCAGTTCGTCGCCGGCGACCTTCTCGACAACATCGTCTCGTCCACATACGTCCTCATCACCGACACAAACCTCCGCGACCGCTACGTCCCAGTGTTCGAAGATGCCTTCGACGAGGCTCTGCGTGCCCGCAATGGCGACGCCCGCCTCCTTACGTACACCGTGCCTCCAGGCGAGACGTCCAAGGGCCGCCAGACCAAGGCTGACATTGAAGATTGGATGCTCTCGCAGCGCTGTACTCGCGACACTGTCGTGATTGCCCTTGGCGGCGGCGTCATTGGAGACATGATCGGCTATGTTGCCGCCACCTTTATGCGCGGCGTTCGTTTTGTCCAGGTTCCTACCACCCTCTTGGCCATGGTCGACTCCTCCATCGGCGGCAAGACCGCCATCGACACCCCCATGGGCAAGAACCTCATTGGCGCTTTCTGGCAGCCACAGCGCATCTACATCGATCTCGCGTTCCTCGACTCCCTGCCTGTGCGCGAGTTTATTAATGGCATGGCTGAAGTCGTAAAGACAGCCGCAATCTGGGACGAGCAGGAATTCGACTTCCTCGAGGCCAATGCCGCCCTTATTCTTGAGACCATTCGTGCAAAGCCAGCGACTCCAGCGGCTGAAGCCGGACGTCTAGACCCCATCCGCAACATCCTCAAGCGCATCGTTTTTGCCTCGGCTCGGGTCAAGGCCGAAGTTGTCTCTGCGGACGAGAAAGAAGGTGGTCTCCGTAACCTTCTGAACTTCGGCCACTCCATCGGTCACGCTTACGAGGCTATCCTCACGCCCCAGATCCTACATGGCGAGTGCGTCGCTATCGGCATGGTCAAGGAGGCTGAGCTAGCTCGCTACCTAGGCGTCCTCAGCCCTAGCGCTGTCGCGCGCTTGACAAAGTGCATCGCGAGTTACGACTTGCCAACCTCGCTGCAAGACAAGCGTGTTGTCAAGCTCACAGCTGGGAAGCGCTGCCCAGTAGACACCCTCCTCACCAAGATGGCCGTGGACAAGAAAAACGAAGGCGCCAAGAAGAAGATTGTGCTTCTCAAGGCCATCGGGCAGACGCACGAGCCGCGTGCGACTGTCGTCGACGACACGGCCATCTCTGTCGTGCTGTCGCCTGCCGTTACTGTTCAGCCCGGGGTACCGGAGGGTTTGAACGTCAGCGTGACGCCCCCAGGGTCCAAGAGTATATCCAACCGTGCCTTAGTCCTTGCAGCCCTCGGCGAGGGCACGTGCCGCATCAAGAACCTGCTGCACTCCGACGACGTCGAGTTCATGCTGGCAGCCATTGGCAAGCTCAACGGTGCGACGTACACATGGGAGGAATCCGGCGAGGTGCTAGCTATTACCGGCCGGGGTGGCAAGCTGCAAGCTAGCGATGAAGAGTTGTACCTCGGAAATGCTGGCACTGCTTCCCGATTTCTTACCAGCGTTGTCGCGCTTTGTGCTCCCGCGGCAGCTACTTCTACTGTGCTTACAGGTAATGCTCGCATGAAGTTGAGACCAATTGGCCCCCTGGTCGACGCCTTGCGGTCCAACGGCATCGACATCAAGTATCTGGGCAAGGAACATAGCCTGCCAGTCCGAGTCAACGCCGCTGGCGGTATTGATGGTGGTGATATTGAGCTTGCCGCAACCATTTCTTCCCAGTACGTCTCCTCTCTGCTCATGTGCGCACCGTACGCCAAGAAGCCCGTTACTCTGCGTCTCGTCGGTGGCAAGCCCATCTCGCAGCTTTACATCGACATGACCATCAACATGATGAAGGCTTTTGGTGTGTCGGTCACCAGATCTGAAGACGAGCCTCATACCTACCACATCCCACAGGGTACGTACCGCAACCCTGCCGAGTACGTGGTCGAGAGCGACGCCAGCTCTGCCACCTACCCACTGGCCATGGCGGCCATCACTGGAACGACCTGCACTGTTCCAAACATTGGCTCGGCGTCGCTCCAGGGTGACGCACGCTTTGCGATTGATGTGCTCAGACCCATGGGATGCAAGGTGGAGCAGACTGCGACCTCAACGACAGTGACTGGGCCTCAGCCTGGCGGGCTCAAGGGCATCACGGTCGATATGGAACCCATGACGGATGCCTTCCTCACTGCCTCAGTCCTTGCCGCCGTTGCTACTGGCGAGACAACAATCACCGGGATCGCCAACCAACGTGTCAAGGAATGCAACCGTATCGCAGCCATGCGAATCCAGCTTGACAAATTCGGCGTCCATTGCAAGGAGCTAGAGGATGGCATCATCGTTGCCGGCAAACCATTCTCAGAGCTCACAAAACCAAGCGAGGGCATCTACTGCTACGACGACCACCGTGTTGCAATGAGCTTTGGCGTGCTTTCCAGTGCCGTTCCCTTTCCAGTTGTGATTCTCGAGCGGGAGTGCACAGGCAAGACTTGGCCTGGTTGGTGGGATATCCTCAGCCAGTCATTTGGAGTCAAGCTGGCAGGCACCGATGTCGAGGCTCACAGCACGGAGGCAGGAATGAAGGGACCTTCAGCGCCTTCAATCTTCGTGATAGGTATGCGAGGCGCCGGAAAGACAACTGCTGGTGGCTGGCTTGCTAGAATCCTCGGTAGGCCTTTCATCGACCTCGACCAGGAGCTGGAAACGCGGTCAGGTATGACCATCCCGCAGATCATCAACGAGAGTGGTCGTGGTTGGGAAGGATTTCGCCAAGATGAGGTCAACCTCCTCAAGGATGTCATGGAGAAGCAGGGCCAGGGCCATGTGTTCTCTTGTGGCGGTGGCATTGTCGAGACGCCTGAAGCCCGTGACCTTCTCATCAAATACTGTGCCAATGGTGGCGTGGTGCTACTAGTCAGCCGCAACATCGAGCAGATGGTCGAGTATCTTATGCGTGACAAGACTCGACCAGCCTACACCGAGGAAATTCGTCGAGTCTACGAAAGGCGCAAACAGTTCTACCAGGATTGTAGCAACTACGAGTACCACAGTCCACACCTGGATGCATCAGGAGGTCTGGTAGAAGCACCCATGGATTTCGCCCGCTTTGTAACTCTGATCAGCGGTCAGAGCACCCACCTGGAGGCCGTCAAGGCGAAAAGGCCATCCTTCTTCGTCTCTTTGACTGTGCCAAATGTGGCAATGTCACTAGCTGTCATTCCTAGAGTTGTCGTCGGCTCGGACGCAGTGGAACTGCGTGTCGATCTTCTAGACGACCTCTCACCAGAGTCTGTTGCAGGCCAGATTGCTGCGCTTCGTTCTGCTGCAAAGATCCCTATTGTGTTCACGTTGCGGTCCAAGGAACAGGGTGGCCGTTTCACCTACAAGTCTGAGACAGAGCTGCTCCAGCTGTACCGTGTCGCCATGAGGGTTGGTGTTGAGTACATTGACCTCGAAATGGGCTTGCCCGATGAGACACTGGAGGCGATTCTCGAACATCGACCTTCCTCGACGTCCGTCATCGCATCTCACCACGATCCACATGGTCAATTAAACTGGAAGACAGGGAGCTGGCAGCCATGGTACAATCGTGCTCTGCAGTACGGTGACATCATCAAGCTCGTTGGTGTGGCGTCCAAGGTGGAGGATAACTTTGCGCTGGCCGCCTTCAAGGAGCAGATGTTTGCAGCACATGGGAAGCCCATCATCGCCGTCAATATGGGCTCCCTTGGAAAACTATCGCGAATCCTCAATGGCTTCTTGACACCAGTCTCACACCCTAGTCTTCCATTCAAGGCGGCTCCAGGACAGCTGTCTGCTGCCGAAATACGATCGGGTCTTGGTCTAATCGGCGAGCTGGAGAAGAAGGATTTCTATCTTTTTGGCAAGCCAATCTCAGCATCGCGGTCTCCAGCATTGCATAACACGCTGTTTCGGCAGACTGGTCTGCCTCACCAGTACTCGCTCTTCGAGACAGATGTTGCTGCCGATGTCAAAAGCCTCATCAGGGCGCCGGGCTTTGGCGGTGCATCAGTAACCATTCCGCTCAAGCTTGACATCATGCCCTATGTTGATGACCTGACTGATGCGGCCAAGGTCATTGGAGCCGTGAACACGATTGTTCCAGTCACCGACGATGCCGGTGAACCAACACGCCTGCTCGGTGACAATACGGACTGGAAGGGCATGGTCCACTCCTTGCAATCCGCTGGTGTTGCTGCAGCTACCACGCCTACTAGTGCAATGGTAGTCGGTTCTGGCGGTACCACGAGAGCTGCCGTGTATGCGCTCCATTCGCTTGGATTCAGTCCCGTCTATATCGTCGCGCGAAACGCCGAGGCAGTGGCGACGCTGTGCTCTTCTTTCCCGGAGGATTTCAATGTCCAGAGAGCCACAGACGCGAGTCAGATTCGGCGAATCCCCTCAGTCATGATCAGTACAGTACCGGCTGATAAGCCTCTCGAAGCCTCCATGAGAGATCTCGTGGTGTCCGTTCTGGGTCAGCCGCCACAGCAGCAACGCTCGCGCGTGCTGCTCGAGATGGCTTACAAGCCTCGTCACACACCATTGATGGGAATGGCCGAGGACGCGGGCTGGGTGACCATTCCAGGATTAGAGGTCTTGGCCTCGCAAGGGTTCTATCAGGTAAGTGGAACTATCGTCCCTGGGCACGCCACAGATGGATATCTGTTAGGCTCGACCGCAACATATCGAATGCTGACATTCTTCTTAGTTTCAACTCTGGACGGGCATCGCCCCCTTGTACTCAGATGCGCGAGCTGCCGTGCTTGGAGAGTGAACTTTCCCGTTGACTTTTCACTAGAGGTTTGAATGGCCCCATGGCGGTGTGTATCATATAAAGGTCCAAGAATTAATCCCACTTCGGGGATTCCAGGTTAGGTGTGATTTGGTCGGATCATAAAATTGAAGATTGCTTGTAATTTGTTGTGGATTACGCCTCGAGCGCATGACTGGGAGAATGCGTGGTAACTCTTGCACGCGGAGACGCCATTCGCCAGAACGCGTGCGCGTGCACGAAACAAAAGCCCAGTGTCCCAACTGTAGAGGCCAGCTCATTACTGTGGCTATGTCATAGCAATATGGCCCCGCCTTTGTTGATTTGCTGCCATATGCCCGTTCGATCACTGGAGGAAAACCCGTCGAATGATCAGCAACACGACAACAACCAAATAACGGCGCTATCTTGTGGCCAGTCAAAGATTACGACTTCCAATGATAACGCTTTTGCAATGAGGACGCCTAGATCGTGATTGCACTCGCCTGCATGGGATCACCATCACGAAACATTATCGCACCTTCAGAGGTCGTGCACTCAAGCCAGGACCGCAACAAGGACAAAGGATCGACCTGACTACAGCCGAAAGGGGCTACATTTACAATCCTTCCCCGGGGTGGTATTTCAGGAAACTGGAACTAAAGGGTGCAACGCCAAGCGAGGGCAGGGAAAGGTTTTCTTGGTCTTTGTGACGTGAAATGTGGGTGTGTGACCACCCAGGGCGAGCAGGGGAGGGGCGGAAGTGGGCACGCACAGGCATGAAACCCGGCTGGTATGACGAGGTGCACGTCTGGGTGGAGGGTTAGAACTGGCCACGCTCTCTCCCTAGGGCCAGGGCTACAGCAAAGATGGCACCAAGTAGGCCACCGTGTCGTCCTGTAGTGGTATCGGTCTTTGCTTGCTCCCGTATTACACAAAAATCGTAATGTGCAACCTTAGCTTGACTCGAGGCTACCAATAAGTGGGCGGTGCTCGCGGGGGAGACATTGTGCTCAGGATAAACCCTGGCATGTCGCGGCTTATCGCGACACACGACACAAACTGGACGTACATGCACTGAACATTGTTACAGCCTGCCTTCCACATGGACGACGAAGTTGAGCTCTCTACCCGGCAAATCTATCATTAAACCCTCATAATTAATTACAGTACGCTGCCGCTCGCGATGCCAACGAAACCCAACTGTACGAAGCGAAATAGTCGTGATAAAATCGTAATGGACTCATCAAACACGTAGCATGAAAGCCACGCATCTTTTTTCTCTAAACCCTCTGATGTTGATCGCCATAGTTGGTATACATGTGCTGGTTGTACATTGGTTCAATTCGTCCCAAGTGGAAAAGAAAAAAGCGCCCAGGACGTCATTAGAAAACAAGCAAAACAAATCAAACGCTTGCGAAACGCTGCTAGGGACAAAATCGAATGCAGCCCAGGTGTGTAGATCATCGGAAACCCAACCGCAGAAGCATGACGAGATTGCCCTGAAAGGAGATTGCAATCACATCATTTTGCGCGGTCCATGATGGCACGACGAGGGGTATTCTCGCAGGGGTAATGACGGCACTGGTGAAATGTATGGAGGGGGCCAGACACCATGATGTCGACGACGGGGTGTAGGGGAGGCGATGATGTAGGTGGTGCTCGTGATGGAGGTGGGCAGACGTCACCCGTCCAATCAGGCATTAATGATGTGCTGATCACTCCCTCTCCACACTAGCGCCATGAAGACCCTGCATCATCACCCTCAACGTGCTGGACCCTGAATTTGGTGGGCCCACACTGTAATGGTGTGCCCATGGCCTGCCCACTGGCAGACGTCTGACAAGCAGCTTACGCCGCAGTCGCTCCACCCCGTCGCCGATGCTTGCCAGGGAATTCGACGTCGGGATGGCACACCCGAAAGTGCCGTGTGAGGGCGTCCGCCCGACTGAATGTTTTTTCCTCTGTACACAGCTCGCAACGGACCTTTTGCTTCCGGGCGTTGTGGATAGTATCCTCATGCCGTGTCAAATCGTAAGGCCGAGAAAAGATGGTATTGCATGGCTTGCCGGTGCTTGGGTTGATTCTCTCGCACTTGTGGGGTCCTGCCTGACTGTTCAATACACTACCCGGCATGCTGGCATCTGCCGTCGCGACCGGACCGCGCAAACTGCTAAGCGCATTGGCCTGACGGTGGCCCTCTCGCTTGTGTTTTTGTAGTAATGCTGGTGTGTCGAAGCGGCGAGTACAGCCGTGATAGGTGCATGTATATGTCCCGCCATCGGCGGCGGTCCGAACTGGCCTCTGTACTGGACCTTCGGTGCCAAAATCTGAGAGGCTCCCCTCCATGGAGCTGACGCGGGATGATAGTGTCGCCGGTGTGGACTGCTGCGATGGCCGTGGTACGAAAGGGTATTGCTGGGGTAATTGTTGTGGTAGCTGCAGATTTGTAGGCATGGAAAAGTTGAAGCCATTCTGCAGTGGCGTCGCAGTCATCATTGCCTGATGATACGTAGGCCCCATGCGCGGCATAAGTTGCTGCTGCTGCGACTGTGCCTGTGCCACATTGAGTGATTGCGGCTGCTGTTGATGGCGGTGCTGCTGCTGAACCATTGGGGTATTCATTCGGTGCATATTCATGGCATCGAAGCCCCCGCTTGTATCATTAGCATCAAATAGTGGGAAGTTGTTCATATCGTCACTATCGTTCAGCTCAAGGACCGCATCTTTTGGAGAGATGGTGTTCGGAGTGGCCTGCTGTTGCGGCGTGGCTCTTGCCGCAATTTGGGCTTGTGCTTGCCTCTCGCGCTCTACTTTGCACAGGTCTCGCTGCTGCTGTACCGGCTCAACCTTGGTTGAGGCCAGACCGGCGGAGAAGTCGTCAAGAGGCGCAAAGTGAGGCGAGTCATTGCGGAACGGTGATCGATCCCGCGAAGAGTTTGAAACAGGCGACTGGGCTGCGCTGAGGTGCTGCTTGTTTGCGGCCTGTAGTCTTTGCGCGAACAGTTCGTTGCTGGGTGAGACCGCAAGTTGTGTCTGTGGTGGCGGTGACATGGTAGTCATCGCGAAGTGGGGGTTGTACAGCTCGTCACCAAATACATCCGTCATGGTGCGGCTCAGCTTGGCAACAGGGTATGCTGTGAGGACAGAGTGTAAGTCTTCTAGTTCGTCGTTGACAAGTGGGTTTTCGAGCATGAGGGTCATACCATTCTTGCCTCTCCTTCTCGACTCTTCCTCCACGTCATGTGTGGGTGTGGCGGGTGAGTCACCACCCGCAACGGAGCTCGCCACCGACACTGGATGTGAATTCTTCAAGGCTGATGATGTGCTTGATGAATCTGTTGGTGGTGCAAGACTTCGATCGGGTCTGTCAAAACTCGAGCCAAAGCTCAGGTCTACTGAAGGCCCGACGCCACTGCCGCTGGTGGTCGTGCTCGTGGTATTGTTGCTGCCATTGAACGCGGACAAGGCGGTTGTGTAGTAGTTGTCACTGCTTGCGAGAGACTTGCCGAAAGAGTAGTTTGCATCGCCACTGGTAGCCAGGTCTTGGTAGGAGTCGGCAAGAGCTGAATCGCTAGAGATGGCAATCTGCGGGTGAGAGGTGCTGGCGGCGTATGGTGAAGCTGGGCCATTGGAACCAAGAGATGACAACGAAGATTCTCGCTGATGACCGAAACGATGTGTGACTCTTGGGGTTTGCTGTGAAGCCATCTGGCTCCACGACGCAGTGTCCGTCGAGGGCATGAGGTCAGGAACCTGGCTGAGGCTCTGAATAGGGATGTTACTGGCAGGCGAGGTGACCGCGGCGAAGAGGTTGTGCTGCTGAGGGTAGTGGTAGAGTGATGAAGGTCGCGACTGTGTGGCTCGTGGGTAGTTGGTGTTGTTGGGAAAGTTGTGATTCTGGGCGAGCATCATATTGAGACGATATGATGACGGCTTCTTTGGAGTGGTGAATGCTAGCTGTGGGGAAGAGGATTGTCCGGAAACGTGGGTGGCGAACGGTGACTTTTATAACCCGACTAGCACGAGGTGACAAGGACAAGACAGGGCATGCCCCCCAGATAGGGTAGTGGGGACGGGAGGCTATGATGCAGTGGGAGGGCGGGCTGGTCTGCAACTAGCTCGGGTCTAGTTTCGTCCCGGCTGATACACTCCGTGCTGGACCCAGTCGACGAGGACGGATGATTTGTCAGGGAGAGGGAGTGCTTTGTGTTTGGATATAATTCTGGAAGGCTCGGCGAGAACAAGTGTAGCCAGTGTGAGTGGTGAAGCCGAGTTGTGGTCAGGTACTTTGGCGCCTGGGCTGTGACGAGGAAGATGTGGAAACGGAGAGAAACCAAGACTGGAAGGGAGGGGAGGACCGCGATTTTGCTAGATGGAGATAGAGCCCAAGGGCTCTCAAGGGGCCTGACGGCCACAGGCAGGAAGCATGAAGCAGCATCATCGGCGGGTGGCTGCCGACACCCCTCTCCCCAAAGCCTCGACACCCTTTCAAGTCAGGGTCCACGGACGCAGAGGAAAGCGCGAGGAGGGTGACAGCTGGGGTGGGGCATCCGGGGCTTGGCGCTGGTTGCGAGTGACGTTCGTGACGTAGCTGGCTTGACCTTTCGGCTTCGGTGGGCCCGCGGGTGGGTCGCGCGGTCCCGGGAATTCCAAGGGTCCAGCTCTGGCGCCGATCGTTGCTCTTTCAAAGCCTGCTCGCCCAGCTGTGGCTTTCTCCCCAGAGAAGCACTGCACACTGCCACAGCTGGCGCCACACTTCCAGGGTCTTGGGCTTTTCTGCCATGAACTTGGCTGGAGTCGCGGGGCGATTCGATGAACAGAGTGCTCGTCTGTACAGACGCCCAGCATTCATCCCATGCGTGCACGACATGCCCAGCACGAGCGACACCCGGGCGGCCTCCGGCAACCACCATCCAGCACCTCGCTCGGCGGACGCGATGTCTCATGCGGAGAAAATTCTGCGCGGCCGGGTGTGTGCGGGCTCGGGCGGACTTTTCATCGAGCCACAGCAGCATATGCCGATGGCCTCTGGACCGCCGCGGCCCCTCCGCAGGGCTGAGGTTCCTTGGGGGCTTCCGCTGGCCAAGGTGCTGACCAACCTCGCCCTGCCCGTACAGCTCGCCCAGCCCCCGGCACTTTGCCATATCCCCGACAGCGCCGAGCTGCAACGTTCTCTCTGGACTTTGCACGCTTAAAGAGCAGGCCGGCCAGCCTGTCTTACGCAGGTGACAACGCGGAACTGTGTTGAGAATGCATCGCACAGGCAGGCCCTCGTGACTCTTCTCGCGAGCACTGCCTGCACTTCTCGGAATTCGGGACGGTGCCGTGTCGGGGTTAGGGAAAGATTGCTGCCTTGCTTGCCGGTGACAAACAACTTGAAGCGCTACCTGCCAGGCCTCGACGAGTAGAACAATGGTGACTTGGTCAGCACCCGAGAGCGAGCTGAGCTGAGCTGTGCTGTGCTGTGCTGCACCCCTTGCAGCTCGTGGCCGTTGGGACGTTCTAGAACACGATACGCGCCTCCAGAACCACCTGGCCACGATGCATTCAGTGGGTACCGCTGCCATCGTGCATGCCGAAACACGGATGGCAGGGAGGACCCAGAACAGTTTGCACAGTAGCCCGGTCCGACAAGCCGTGGCTGAGCGCAGCGCCGTCCCGGAAACCACTATCAAGAGCACGGGCAATTTCGGTGCGCAGAGACGCGCACACGACTGAAAACTCTGCAACAGCATGTGCTATGTATGCAGGTGCGGAGGTGGCTTGCGATTGTGTAGCAACGTTCGACTTCCGCGGGTGTCCAGGTGGCCTGTTGCGCGAGGACCCTTCTGGGACAACTCGCGCTCTCGCCCTCTACCACGGCCCGTGGCTTATGGCTGACTTATGTAATCATTCCTCCCTCCGTGGCTGTGCTATTCTTGAATCAGGTTCCATGCGGGAGAAAAGCGGAGAAGCACATGGTGGGCATTATGCTAATGGCCTCGAATGGTTGCATTCTGCATTCGCGCGTTTGTTACCCGTCGATCGCCGTCTGCTTACGTGTCGCTGACCCATCACTGACTGACATGGAGGAAGAATCTCTTGAGTCTGCTCCATTGTGCCGTGTCCCAATATCCCGGTTCCCCTTTGCCCACTCGTCTCGCCTTGGGTAAGGCGCCAGGCACATGTCCAAGCCACACTTGGCCACCTCCACGATCCATGGATGGCATTTCCGCCCTGTCCAGGCCCAATTGGATAGAGCGCTTTGTCGTGACGATCTACCTGCCTGCAGCACTAACTTTAGAACTGTGGATTGTGGATGTGACTGACAGGAACCGGCTCCTCTCGTGGCCCGCATCCTTCACATTGTCTTCAACGGTGCCTTATCATTGGATTTCTCCTCCATGTCTTTCGCCACCTCAGGCTCAGGCACAGGCACCAGATGTCCCCATCCCCTTGCACGTGCCCATCTTGCGTGCACCAGGATGCCGATGCATTCGAGGCGGGCCAGGGTGTACAAACAGGTGTTCTCTCGTGGAATCTACACCAGTATTTAGCTTTCTGCTTTACACGTGATTTCGTGACTCATCGGCCCGCCACCATATCGCTCGGCTGCCTCTCCACGGCTTTCGAATTCCTGTTCCGATTCGCATGAACAAGCCATTGTCCATGGTCGCTTGTGCGACAGGCACCAGGAAATCTCCTTGTCAGACCACCCCTGACCTGGTCAGCGAAGTGTTGCCGTCATGTGATAACAGTTTGTGGCGTTGGCTGACGTGCTTAGCAACGTGCTGTGAGACGGGCAATTCTCACGCCTTGCCGGGAGCCGTTCTCGTCAACTCTGGATTTACGCTAAACACTGAGTTCCAACCATGGGCTCGGACAGCCGCGTCAGCAGATGGGTTCTGCTCGAGGTGTCTGGCTAGGCATCAGACTGTGCCTTTGACGTGGACTTGGTTGCGCGTGTGGCCAGACACTTCGCTTGCTGCCTATTCGCACCCGGCTTTGTCATTTCCCTAGAGATCGTTCGAGTCGTACATCGAACGCCCCGGCCAGTGCCTAGCCAGCCATATCCGGCTGTTGGACTATGGTTGAGTCGTGGTCTTTGCTAGGCCAATCTACGACTTATCCGAGGAGTACGTAGGCTGCTCGCCATGGCGCTGTGCATCAGAACGGCGGCGGCGGTTTGTTTTTACTGCTGTAGACGTTGAACACCCTCTCCATCACATCTTCCACGTGATCTGTGCACCTCTCGTCGCTAATATCCAGTAATGGACCTGTAATGTTCGCATTGTCAAGTACGTCGTGCTTCACCCCGGTCACCAGCCCGAGCGCGGAGTCTGATATGGCCATCTGTCTAGCGGAAATGAGTCATGTGACTGGCGATAGTGCCGAGGTGTGTGGCCGTGCTTCGATGACTTGACTTCTTTGCCAGGTGGGAAGGAGTGGTGGTCACTCATCTGTCGACAAACTCTGTAGATGAGCATGTAGTGGTGAGTTTCTCGAGACAGAACTTCCGGTGTGGTCGACAGGTTACAAGTGGTCGAATGAACAAGAGTGCAACCTCGTCATCTTTTGAAGTGCCGCGATGCCGCGGTGCCACCCGTGGCATCGACAGATCGAGATGCATGTGTACTCGGCATTGGGAGTTGCTCCAGATAGTCCAACCATCTCAGCAATCATGTAACTGGTTGGCGGTTCTTCAGAATATTACCAATCACGCCGCTTCCGCGAATCGATGCTTTCTCTCCATTTCACCTCATTCATGCTACATGCCAGTTCTCCTCGGAGAAGAAACCGCCGCGACATATATTCACGTCGCGTAGCTATGCTGGGACACATGGGGCATAAGAGCACCAACTCGAAAACCCATACTTTGCTTTCTACCAGGTCCAGTGTCTTTGGAGAAGTCAGATAGTATTTGCATTTGGCCTCAAGGCCAACCTGTGTAGTACCCATCCAGTCCCTATGTCATGGATGGTTAGAAACATGTGACTAGTCTCGACTAACGTGTCCAGGCGGTTGCACGGATCACGACGTTCGCTTGGATTTGCGCCATTGGGCAGAGTGAACCCTGAGTCTTGGTGTCCAATTTTGTCACATTCACTGTATACTGACTTGTTGCTGCCACTTGCCCAAGTTGTGCGGTTTCCATCACGTCGCTTGGTATTGGCAGCGACCCTCCAACCCCGTCTCCTTCGTTTCTTTTTCTGAGGCACCACCAGTGTTGCAGTGACTTGCGACAACCAGGACGTGTTTTAGAGCATGCCCTGGAGGTTGCTGGAGGTTGCTGGTTAATAAATAAAAACATTTGAGTCAAGACACCACTAGGAGCGATGAATCACGAGACGTGCAACTGGCCGTGGGTCGCTCTACGGCCTGGCTTCATTGGTGTTGCTGTTTGCGGGATGGTAGTCTCACCTTGTCGTTCAACCTTGCTAGCACCCGCTGCACCATCTTAATGTTCTTCGTGCGAGCTTGGATCTCAGGAGCGAATTCGATCTGAGATTTGTAGCCCACTTGCATGCTCCAGTCCTGCGCGTGCTGGTTGTCGCACGCCTATGAGTGCCTCGCCGTTCTCGTAGTGGTAGCCCTGGTCACGTCGGGGATGACGGTCTTTGTCCCTGTTGACCAGCTGGAATGCACCATTTAACCTGGTATGGAAGTTGCCTATCTCGTTCTATACCTGGTTGATACATGTTGCCTATGCAGTGAACAATTGCCTGTAGGGTTGGGAGTATGTGACGTTGATATTCTGAGGACGATTGCGATAATTGGGAATAATTGTAATTCCAATATGGAACTGCTAATAAAAGTTGTAAAATCAGCCAACCGACCAATTTTCATCGAGATGCTCTCAAACGGACGCCACAGGCCACCAGGGCCAAGCACAAGAAGATAGTACAGAACTGCAGTGCCACGCAGACATTTTCCAACCAGTATCAATCCCGAGCGTCAGAGTTGCACACGCCTTTCAAGGTTCCTGGAGAGCTTGCCTGACCAAGCTACCCTGCACTACTGCACCAACTGCGGCGTTTTCGAGAGGCAGGTCCCCACTTTCAGAAGTCTGCCCACCACCGCCAAAGGCAAGCTGCACTTGCGCATGTCCCATTCAACGCACGGCGACCGATCACAATCTGGAAATGGTCACCTCACCAAGAGATGAGAGCCAGTCATGTACACATACAAATTGGCAACCTGAAGAGATGCGACGGGCCAAATATTAACGACATGTCTAGATTGCATACTCATGCTACCAAAACGTAGGAGGCAGGGAAAGACATTGCACCACCGATTACCAGCTGCGCATCACATGATAACTGAGTATGCGGGAAGACGCAGAACGTTCCAACGCACAGACAGCATGGTGGCAATCGTGCGGATAAACAGCACAATCACAACCAGATAAGACGCGACACGGCCATGACACATCAACAACCAGCACACCAAGCAGTGCACTCACAGAAGGGAACACGAAAGCGCGACGCGACGAAGACACGCCAAACAAACACACACGCCAACGAACGAGAAATGACAATAGTTGATGTTCAAAGCCCGCGTACGGGCAGGTGTCAATTGAATTATGCCGCACCTAGGCATCCCATAACTGGGCCAACCATTTCTCCCGTATGGTACAGTGATAGCTTGTGATAAACATCCATAGCTTTATAGCCGAAAAGCAAAAACAAAACCCAATCCCATTTGATTCATCATGACGAGCCGCCCACTCGACGCGTCGTGTTGCGTGTGTGGATGCGCAGGCGGCTTTCCGCGCGAAGAATGACTTTCATAACAGACGTGAACTCCGTGTGCCCCGAACCAGCAACCCCAATGCGACCCCAAGTGGCAGAAAAGCGACACGCTTAACCACCGAAACCGTACAGGGTGCGGCCCTGGCGCTTGAGAGCGTAGACAACGTCCAACGAGGTGACGGTCTTGCGCTTGGCGTGCTCAGTGTAGGTGACGGCGTCACGGATGACACCCTCGAGGAAGGACTTGAGAACACCACGGGTCTCCTCGTAGATCACTGAAAGGAAACATGAGTTAGAGATCAGAACACAAGACGCGAGCCCACACGATAGTGCGCGCGGGAAGATGACTTACTAGCAGAAATACGCTTGACACCACCACGACGCGCGAGACGGCGGATAGCGGGCTTTGTGATACCCTGGATGTTGTCACGCAGAATCTTGCGGTGGCGCTTGGCACCGCCCTTTCCGAGGCCCTTGCCGCCCTTGCCGCGTCCAGTCATGTTGACGGTTTGAAGAATGTGGTTTTTGTGGGAGAAGAGTGTGGGAACTGAGGCGCAGAGGCTCTCTGATATGGACAGGCGAGGATGGAAGAGTGGTAGTGGATGATGGAAGTGGTGAGATGGGAAACAAGACTTGACGTGGGGAAGGCGGACGCAGGTTAAATACGGAGGGGGCGAGGACGTGAGCTGCGCGCCAGATCAGCCAGCGCAGATGGAGCCGGTGCAGACGCGCCGGGCAGGTGGGGTCTGCAGGTGCACAATCACACCGCAGGGTCGGCAGCAGCCTATGCCAGATCAGGCCAGCGCCCCCCCGAACGCCTGTTAAAAACAACGTCCGCAGCTACGGTGCAAATTTCTGATTGGCCAGCACCGAGGTCGCGGCCTGGGCTCCATCATTTGATCCATCACTTGCACAGCGGCCGCACAACGTCCAGCAAGCATGACAAGAGGGCGAAGGGTGCGCAAGTGTTGACACTGGCTGACACACTGGGACAACACCAAAGTTATGCACATGCTAATTCACCGCCACATGGGCGCACCTGACATTGGCCACTGACGGCTCATTCACGGACGAGCCGCACTATGTTTGCGATGAATACATATCGAAGTTCGGACCATGTTCAGAGACTACACGTTTCACACTTTGCGTGCGTGCCTAAGGTGGGCAGGCCTTGATGCACTCTGTCCAGGCTCATTTCCGTGGCAGCCAGTCAAACTGGCACTATGTTGCATGAACTCGCTAGTGTCCCGTGTATCTGTACAGTGCAATGACGACATGCAAGTGTGCATCACTTGATGCATGCCTGACGCCGGACACGTGCCAAGTAGCAGATGAGCTATCCTGGCCATCTCTGTCAACATCTTCAGCCATGCGCGACGCGGTGCTGCCTGCTGTTGTCCACTTCGTGTCGTGCCGTCAGAGACCCATGTTTCGTGGTGGTGATTGCAATATCTGCAAGCCAATGACAATTCGCGATGGATGGGGTGGGCGTGCTACACCGAAAACAGCGAAAGGGATGTGATGCACCCAATCAGAAATCGGGACGGGTTTTGGATGGTGCTGTTCCACCGCCAAATCGCCCGCGCAGAAAAGCAGCAGAACCGCACCCCTGTCCGGCCCCTGGTCAGACCTCGAGTCTGCCACAACTTGATCACTGCATTTGCGCAGCACTTTGCGGGCACATTCTGCTGCAAACACTGCGCGCTCGCCACCCACCCTACTTGTCCGCCCCACACACACGCATCCACATCCGCGGTCGCGCCTGCCCTGCCTGTGCTCCAGATCAGAATCACGCCCAACTGCCGCCCGCGCCTGCCTGCCTGCACCCACTCTGCACCTGTGCCTGCACAATCAGCCAGCGCGCCCGGCTGCCCCAGCTGTCACATATTTAACCCACCCCCACCTCTTCCCATTTCTCTCTCCCTCCTCCATCATCCACTCACAACCATCATCTCCATCTCCAGCCTTGTGCTTCATTCCATCCAACCACCACCACCACAACATCTTCACATCCATCCATCACAATGGCCCGCACGAAGCAAACTGCCCGCAAGTCCACTGGTGGCAAGGCTCCCCGTAAGCAGCTCGCTTCCAAGGCTGCTCGCAAGTCCGCCCCCTCCACCGGTGGCGTCAAGAAGCCTCACCGCTACAAGCCCGGTACCGTCGCTCTCCGTGAGATCCGTCGCTACCAGAAGTCGACCGAGCTCCTCATCCGCAAGCTCCCCTTCCAGCGCCTGGTCCGCGAGATTGCCCAGGACTTCAAGTCCGATCTCCGCTTCCAGTCCTCTGCCATCGGCGCTCTCCAGGAGTCGGTCGAGTCTTACCTCGTCTCCCTCTTCGAGGACACCAACCTTTGCGCCATCCACGCCAAGCGTGTCACCATCCAGTCGGTCAGTACTCACCAAACCACCACAGCCTTACCATCTGATGCACATGATAGCTAACAACCTCCGCAGAAGGACATCCAGCTCGCCCGTCGCCTCCGTGGTGAGCGCAACTAGATTGTGCTTCACGCATAGTCTCTCGGGGAGGAGTTGACAATTTGGGTGGATGCTTATGATACACCTTGGGATGGCATGACGATTCGGTTTTTACAGGGCAAGGGTAATAGGCGTTATTGAATGCGTTGATATTTCTTCATATGCACAAAGAGGCATCGTTGTACATCAGTGCGAGGCAGCTGCCATTTGCGCTGCGATACTGAACTTGACAATTGATCACGAACAACAAAAAACCTAAACAAACCTGGCCTGTCAGACTCTGCACCACTGTGATTGCCACTGCGCGTTTTCTACTGCACCCCAAAGCCATGCCCTTGTCGCGTCCCGATCTCCATCGATCAACAAAAGCGAACGCGACCGTGCACGCGGCGACCCACCAGCATCGTCGCCCATGTCACGATTAGTTGCGAGAGTGGTACCTTGGCTGAAGGACGTGGGAAATTTATCTGCACTGAGTACCACAAGACGCGTGTGCGAGAACATATACCAAGTTCATCTATTCACGAGCAGGATCTTGCGCCGTCTTCACATTATGGCTCTCCATGCGCGACTCGGTACTACCCTTTCTAGGCTGAGGAAATCTGCCACTTGACCCAGGTGGTCGACGCCCCAGAAGGAATCCGTTTTGCCGTCACTTGTCGTGCAAACAAACCATGGTGTCCCAAAGGCACCAGTCTCGAAGGCCTTGTCAGTATTGATCTTGAGCGCCGTCTTGCCCTCGGTGTCGGCCTGCTGGATGACGCTCTCGGCGGTTTCACCAGCAAGCACCTCGCGCAAGATGGGCCCAAAGACCTCCTGTGTCTCAATGGCTTTGCGGTTGACAAAGAACTCGTGGAAGAGTCTTTCAACAACGCGACTTAGCTGCTCCTGGTCCTGCTGAGGGATGAGGGCGAGAGCGCGCATCGTGTGCATCGTGTTGGGTGGGAAGTTGGCCACCAACTCGTCGTGCATTGGTATGTCAAAGAGGCGCGCCCAGCGCAGGCGCTCTACCGTAATCCATTTGGCCTTGTCTGCCCCCATGTGTCAGCCACAAGGCAGAGGAGAATCCGCACCGTCATCACAGCCGTCACGTGGAAACTCACTCTTGATAAACACGGGCGGCGAGTTGCCACACTGTGGTAGAAGTTCACCATTGGTCATCTTGTGTTCTTGTGTCTCGGCCACATGAGCCCTTCCGAAATCGTTGAACTTACCGCCTTTAGAAGTCCACCGAGGAACATTGGCGTAAGAGTCAACTCCACGCCCTCAAAAGTGACATTATGCTACAGACGAGCCAATGATGTAAGTAACTAAAGATTGTTCGCGGCTACCAAGTTGTCACAGCTGGCATGGCATTGTAGACGCAATGTCGCCCTTAGGGAAGGACATGGTAGCATACCTTGATAATATGGAATGCCTCGTAGGCGAACGGGCTGACGATGTCAAAAAAGAGGTTGATCTTAGGAGGAGGCATGACGACTGAGGAGATGTGGCAGTGTTGAGTCTCACTAGGGCTATCGCAGGAGATGTTGGTGCTAAGAATAACCGTGCTATACAGTTCGTCGTCGATTGGTGCACCTGCTGCTAGCGGTAGCACGATAATTTGTACTCGTCATGCAAAGAGAAGCAAGCAATTCGACGTGAGTCACCGGCGAGATTGGACCTGAAGCAGAGGATATGTCGGAACACAGGAACCAGTCGGGTGTTAGGAGGGTCTGCCAGCCACAGCTGTGGTACATGAGCGGCAAATTCCGCGCTCGAGGAATTCCCCCGCACCGCTAGATCGACTTAAGAGGCGAAAGCCCGAGTCCCGGCATTACACCGCAACCTCAGGGATGTCCTCACAACACGTGACAATACAAAGGATTTATTGTCGCTCGTGATGACTTCAGGCCGAGGCTGAGGCTGACGCTGATGCAGTCGCGGGCAGTTCCGGGTGTGACAGCTAAAGCAGGTCCCCGTCCATGAAAGTGCCTTCACTCCTCATGTACCAGAACTCTTGTAGACAATCATACAAATCTATTCCACAGCCGGAGATAATATTGAGAGCACGACGCAAGACTTAAAAACACAATTTGGTTCGCCGAAATCACCTGCGCCTACATGAACGCCACACATGCCTCAGCTCGACCCTCAATCTGCATCCCAGCAGCTCCCCATCACCAACCATTCCTGCATCACATGAGATGGCCCTTGCCATTTTTGGCGTGTACACGAGTCAGCACATCAAAGGCTCCCGTGCCGACCTTGCTGAGCTTGCCCATGACAATCCTGCCACTAGGCGTTGTGAGATCGTCCCAGTCGCCGTCTAGGACTGCGTCCTTGAGAAACCCGAGAGTGGTCTCGAAACTCATCTTGGTGAATGGGCTTACATTGCCCTTTAGGCCAATGCGGTTGAAGGCCGTAAAGCCGCCATTCCTGGTCATGTAGTCGCCAATGAGGTTCAGGTGACGGGGGTCCACACCGATACCGTGGCCGCTGAAGACTCCACTCAACTCCTTGATGATGTTGGTTCGAGCAGCCTCAACACCATAAGTCTTGAGAACGGCGGCGATATCGTTGGTCTGGATTGCGTTCGGGTTGATGAAGGCGCCGTAGTTCTGCATGGCCACCAGGTTGACCCCGTTAGTGTGGATGACTGGCTTTTTCTCCGTGTTGCCGGTGCGAATATCAAAGACATCGTCCTCGGCCACGTAGGTACACGATCGAATGCCCGGGATTTGCTGCACAAGCGCCTTCCGTGCTGCATCCTGCACCATGTTCAACATGAGGATCTTGGGAATGTTGGAGTCGAACTCGAGGGTGAAGTCACACCACTCGCCCTTCCTCTCGTCGCACTCGAAACGCGATACCATCGGAATCCTTTCTTTCACACGTGCTTCTCGACCACGGCTTGTTTTGTCGTTGGACCTGCGTTTTCCATCACCGTCTACTGCGTTGCTGTCGCTGTCTTCATCATCTGATGAGACAGGCGGGCTGCCGCCAAAGCCTTCGTCTTCGAAACCGTCTGCGTCTTCATCTTCAGGTGTGCCTTCGCGCATCTGCCGTTGGATCTCGTCATCTTCATCATCGTTGGCCCCGTAGGAAACAGCTTGGGCGCGATTCGCCCTCTGCTTGTCATTTGTGGCGTCTCCGTCGCCAATGTCGTCATCATCATCATCGTCATCGATGTCACGTTCAACCACTGCGTCTGGACGCGCTTGCTCTATTGTGCCTGACGAGGTACCAACATCAGGCACGTCCCGAGCCTCTGACTTTGCCTTGATCTCCTTCTTGATGGCCGCCTCGAGTTTGCTGAGAAAGTTCATTTCCACCGTCTTGAGCACATCAGATGTGCTGATGGCGTAAGTTTTACGGTACTCCACAGAGGGGAAAAACTCGAGGCGCACGTCGAACATCTTGGCAATGGCATGTCCGGCGCCTCTGCCCATACGCTCCTTGACAACGACTTGGTTGAGGACATGGGAGAGCGGCAGGATACTGATGGCCTTGGCAAATGTTTCGCGCTCGGCCTCCGAAAGCTCTTTGTTGAGGATCAAAGTCATGGAAGGCGTAGAAATGTGATCACTAGCTGTCATGAGGATCTCTCGTAGACGGGGAATACCGAGCGTGACATTCTTGGCCGAGTGTCCTGCCAAATGGAAAGTGTTCAGAGTCATTTGAGTAGAAGGCTCTCCAACGGATTGTCCGGCAACGATTCCGACAGCCTCGCCAGGCTCAACCAAAGAGCTCAAGTACTTCGAGTGGAAAATCTTTTCGGCATACTTGCGCGGCACCAAAGGTGTCTTGCTAGTCGAAGTTTTGGCACTCTTGTCTCCTTTCTCCTTGATGAGATTGTCGGCATTGGTCTTGACGTAGTCGGTGACCTTCTCATAGAAGCTTTCTGACGTAGCAAAGGCATGCCGATTCGGATTGAGCTCTGTCATGATCGGATCCAGAGTGTTTGGATCATTCGCTTTCGCCTGCTTAACGGCCTTCTTGAGATACTTTTGCGCAAAGTCCTTTGAGTTGTAAACATCTTGTTCCCAACCACGCTCGCCAATGCCAAGCTGATGAATTTGGGACGTCTGATTACGAAGCACGAAAGAGAAATCCTTGAGGTACTTCTGCTTCGTGATGTCCAGACCGTCTTCTCCGTACAGAAATTGGACCATCGTACCATCAGCATCTCGGACTGACGTGTCATATGCGACCTTCAAGCCCTCCATGCCCTTGATCAGGCAACGCTGCAGATAACCGGAACGCGAGGTCTTCACAGCGGTATCAATGAGACCTTCGCGTCCGGCCATATGATGGAAATAATACTCTTGCGGTCGAATTCCTGTTAAGAAGCGGTTGACGATATAACCGCCAGCCCGAATGTGTGTCTCGAAAGGTTTGAAGCAAGGTAGCGACTTGCCACTGACCATGAGAGGTACCCGGCGACCTTCCAGAACCTGCTGACCCAGATTGCAGGAAATGAGGTTGGCGTTGACGGAACTACCCTTTGCACCGGAGATAGTCATAGACTGCATTTGGTTTTTCGGAAACTTCTTCTCGAGGCCGGCAGGGAGACAGGCTTGGGTCACAGCGCTTGAAACGAGTCGAGAGCCAGAGTTCATCATGTGATCCAAACCTTCTTGTTTGGAATCATCTCTCATGACTTCTTCAAGTCGCTCTAGCAGGAGTGGATGTGTGCCATCAATGCCAGGTTGATCACCCAAGCTGACATGCTTGGCAGCCACCTGGAGACCAACTTTATCGGCCTCCTTGAGGGTCTCTTTCCGGAGTCTTTCGCCCTCGGGAGTAAGCACGAGATCGTCCATGCCACATGTGAAAGCCCGCATATTGAGGTAGCGCGTCAGCATGCGACCCATACAGCTCAAGAGCTTAGCAGCAAGCTCAGGACCCCAAACCTCGTGAATGGAATGGATAAAGCCTCCGGCGGCAGGACCGAGGTGGGCCTTGTCTAGAATACCTGTGATGAACTCGCCATCTTGGATCAAGACAGAACCTTCTTCTGTGAACTTGCCCCACGGGGTAGGGCCGACCTGAGATTTGCCAGTCAGCCAGAGGTCTCCACAACCAGCTGGCTTCATGTTTTTAAGAATCGTAGTGATGACCTGCTTTCCGGTCCACCGCTTGACAGGTTTCAAGACGGCAGGGGGAACGAGTTGCAAGCGTTCACTTGTGATGTGTCCGCTTTCCGGCCGCAGAGCGTTGTACACAAGCTGGTGATACGCGTTCTTGTCGAAGAAAGTGTCTTTGTTGCAAAGAGCAACTGAGACAGACAAGTGATCTTGAATCAGACCTCGCAATGGCTTGCCAGCAGTAGCAGACAAATACTGGTGATCCGTATCAGCGATGTTCATGGCCTCTGCACGCGCCACCTCGTTTTGTGGAAAGTGCATATTCATCTCATCTCCGTCGAAATCGGCGTTATATGTGTTGCAATTGGCGTAGTGCATACGAATGGTCTTCTCGCCAGGCAAGACCCTGGCTCTGTGACCCATGATGGACGGCTTATGTAGTGTCGGCTGTCGGTTCATCAGGACAACGTCGCCATTGCCCAGATGACGGTGCACTTTCTTGCCCTTGATGCCGCTATAAGTGTGACTTGTAGGGGCCAACAGCTGGTTGGCGAGGGCAACGCGGTCTTCGGCGGACTTGTTCTTGAGATTGATGATCTGGCCGTTCTCGTTCTCGATCGCAGCCGCGCCGGGCCACTTATCCGCACCGTTGATGACCGCTTGCTGCATCTCACGGAAGTTGTGGCTCGTGACGGGCTCGGGGTACGTTAGCTTCATGGCAAAGACGGGTGGCACGCCGATCTCGCTGGTTTCGATGTTCGGATCTGGTGAAATGACACTGCGAGCGGCATAGTTGACACGCTTCCCCATCATATTTTTGCGGAAAAGACCCTCTTTCTTCTCCAGTTTCTGTTTGATACCATCCTCGTTGCGCTTCCCAGCAGCACCTCGGATAGGGTTCCTGTCGCGGTCGATGAGCGAATTGACACAATCCTGAAGTTGAACGCAGGCCTCGTGCATTTCCGACATGTTGCGATGCCGAACGACGCTGTCCATATCTGGGTCGCGAGTTGTCGACATTTCGCGGTGGAGCTGTTGTATCCTCCCACAAGCAGTAAGAATCTGCTTATAGAGGGAGTTCTGCTGAGCCTCGGTGATCTGGCCCTCGCCCTGGCGCGCCTCAGGCCGGTATTTGTTTGGCGGGACGAGTATTGTCTGGATGAAGAAGTTGTCCGCCAGGATTGGTGGCTGCGGTCTGCAAGGGTCATTCGGCCGGGCGTTGTAGACCAGAGCCATGATCTCCTGCTCCTTTTCAAAGAGAAGGCGGAGGCGCTCCTGGATCTCAACCGTACTGACATAGCGTTGGGGCAAGCTTGCAGGCTTCTGCCCTTTGTTAGACTTGCTAGGTGTCTTGATGGTAGCATCACCCATGACGATGTCGCCGTTCTCATCAAGCTCGTCTCCCGTACCCTCCTCATCTTGATTATCTTCTTGCTCGTCAGATTGAGAATCAATGTCGGCCACGCCTTCATCGTGGTCATCACCAAAGGGCTTCTTCGCCGCAGCAGCTTTGGCGTTTGTGCGGATCACGAGGGCATCCTTGAGCTTCAAATTGCGCATGGCGTTCTTGGCTTGATCCTTGAGACTGATAGACTTCTCAAAGATTTTGACAAATTTGTCCTTTCTGTAGCTGGGAGAAATTCCGTTGCAAGACTTGCAAAGCCGTCCGACAGTCATGTCTTTGAAAAAGGCCTTGAGCACCTCCCGGCGTGTTTCGGAAGCACCCTCATGCTTCCCCGACCGAATGTCCTCATTTGAAATTCGATGACCGCGGAGAGCCTTTTCTGTGTAGGCTTTGTACATGCGGCTGACCTTGTCCGCGACGGTATCCTCGTCGACATCGTCGGCAGGCCCATCGGCGATCTCGATGCCCTCCGTCTCCGGAGTGATTTCGTCGAGGTAATTGGCGGCCCGCGTGAGACCGTATTGAAGCAGGCGCAGTTTGCAGGCGACGAGATCGAGGTCAACACGGCGCATGCGAAACCCGTGACAGTAAAGGCACTGGGCACGTAGCAAGCGCAAGACCTGGTCCATGAAGACTGGATGGTAGCATGGAACCGGAAGGTCGATGTGGCCGGCGTGGCCGGGACAGGTCGCAGGGCCGAGGTTGCATGTTGTACAGCTGAAAAAAAAATCATGGATTAGTAGTGCTTCAAGGCGATCACTCTACGCGGTTGTGCAGAATAGTCCATACAGTGAATCGGCCCAGGCCCCCAAAGCCGGGTCGTACAAGCCTCCGGGAATGGGGTTCAGCAGAGTATCGAATGTCGTCGGATTCTCGATCCTCTTGACAGACATAGACTTGATCTCGCGAGGGGTGAGGAAGTCGAAGTCGACAGCCGCGATGGCCGAGGCCACGGGCTGGGAGATGTTCATGATGGCGGATGTTGGGCGGATAGAGTCCGGAAGAGGCACAGCGCGCGGTGTCTATAGATTCCGTCGAGGTGCCCCGAATGATTTAGGGGGAGCCGAGGCTCATGCTCGGCGATGCGAAGACGGCAGCAGACTGCGAAGGTTGGGTCGTGGTGGTGGGTTGCAGAGTCTGCTTGTGCATGTACAGGCGCAGACGGACCAACCTTGGAAGCCTCTGTCGCAAACCGTCAGTTGACGGACCGGGCGGGCGCAAAAGCAAAGAAAAATGCAGAGCTCTGCTCCACGCCCGGGTACACTTTTTGGCGGGCTAGAGCGGCAGAACAAGGGTGCACCTGGTTCCGCCAGCTGCACGACCTGGTCGCTCCACTGGCCAGCACTTTGCGTGCACATGCAAGTCGGCCTCGAGGCAACCAAGGCACCAAGGTCAACCGCGCCCTCCACATGAGCAGGTACGGCAGACTTGGAACTGGAGCCTTGATCGCACCGACGCAGCCCACATCCACGCACCACTCCTCGAACCAAGCCGCGACGGCACCCCGCACGCAACAGTCTTTCCTGGAGACGATTACGGCCTCTGGTCATCTACGGCTACACGAGGGATACCTCACAACCCCCGTTTCTACGTCGCGACCGCAGCGCGGCCTGGGTACGACAAGTAGTTGTTCAGCTGTCGCTCGAGCCTGTCCGGAAATCACCCAGATCGTTCCGCCGAGTGATCGATAGCCGGTTTGGACCGACTTACTGGCCGCCTACGCCTCTGACAGAATTCCCAACTCGCCAGACCATGAATCGACACGGCTCACCGGCGCTTGGCGCCAAACACGATGCGGCCTCGCGAGTCCAAAAACCCGAGTCGGCCGCTGAAAAGCTTGCTGCTCTCAAGGCACGTGTTTCGGCTGCACTTGACACCAGCAAGGCGAAGGGTGGTCTCAACGTTGGCCTACATCCGGCGCTGGCCGACCTCGCGCAACCATCCGCATCGAAACCCTCAGACTCTAGATCAGCATCGTCTGGTTATGGAGCTCATACACAAAGTCGGTCGGCGAATGGAAATCAAGCTCGGACCAATGCCCAGAAGGGCAAGGCTTTGGACTTGTCCGGTCCCTCTTTGGAAAGCATGAAGAGCAATCCATATTACGATCCAAATTTGGGAACACAAGGCAACAAACCACGCCAGTCGCGCGAGCTGGTGTTCAACCAGAAGGGCAAATACATCCAGCAGGCTAATGCGCTTCGTCGTCAAGCTGCTCTCGAGGCGATGAAGAAGAAAATCGCCGAAAAGACACGCAAAGTGGGAATAGACGAGGATATAGACGTCGAGAAGAACTTTTCTGTCGAAGCTCCTCCAGAGATAGAATGGTGGGACGAAGGATTGGTGGATGGCAAGAACTATGACCTGATCGATGATCCATCCAAGCTCAAGATCGAGTCACCCGACTCCATCATAACAAGCTACATACAACATCCCGTGCAAATCGCTGCTGCCGATGAGAAGCTGTTGCAGACCGTCAAGCCCTTATACCTCACCAAAACTGAGCAGAAGAAGGTCCGCAGACAAAGACGCATGGCTGATCTCAAGGAGGAGCAGGCCAAGATCCGTCTTGGACTTGTGCCTGCGCCACCACCGAAAGTCAAGAAGTCGAATCTTATGCGCGTGCTGGGTGAAGAGGCCATCAAAGACCCAACACAAGTTGAGGCGCGGGTCAATCGAGAGATTGCCGAGCGACATGCGACGCATGTTGAAGCCAACGACGAGCGCAAGCTCACGAAGGAGCAGCGACATGAGAAGCTCCAAGCCAACCAAGAAAAGGATGCTAGCAAAGGCTTGCACATGCTCGTGTTCAAGATCAATTCTCTGGCGAACGGGCAACATAGATACAAAATCAACGTCAATGCGGAACAGAATGCGCTGACGGGCATCGCCATCATGCATCCCAAGCAAAACCTTGTCATCGTGGAAGGTGGAGCGCACTCCATTCAGAGTTACAAGAAACTCATGATGAATCGAATCGACTGGACCGAGAACGCACCATCAAGAGACAAGGGCGCGCAGAATGAATCATTGCGACAATGGCTCAAGGCTGAGGACGAAAAGGGGAGTTTGAAGGATTTGGCGATGAACAAATGCCAGCTGCTCTTCGAAGGCGAGATCAAGGAAAGGGCCTTCAGAAAATGGGGCTCCAAGGTCGCTGAGACGGACGCTGATGCGAGAGAGGTTCTGTCGCGAGCAAAGGCTGATAGCTTCTGGAACTTGGCCAAATCATCATTGTAATGATTTCAGGCACACCTCGCAAGCAGTCTCATTTAGCTCGTGACTAGTTATGGACATGTAGGCAGCTAGATTCAATATACCCAAGAGACCAGACTGCTCAGCTGTATTCGCCTTATTCCGGCTCCATCTCAACTATCCTCAAGTTTCACAAGGTGCACGCAGGTCTCATCTTGCTCATTTGTAGCATAGCTGCCTAGCTCGTCGGTTCACCATAGGAGAATAATGTCGTGCTCGAGAGGTGTGACAGAAGAGACTCTGAGATGGCGAGGCCATGCATTCTATCGACACACACTTGTGCTCACAATACAGCTTACCCATTTGTGGCCGGCTTTGTCCAAACTGTGCATGCAACTAGTGGCCATCCAATTCCATCATGCCCTCCTCGAGTTCGTCGTCGTCCATATCGTAGTCCATATCATACGGCTGATTCTCCTGTGCCCTGCGCAACGCCTCCATCATGGCATCCTCGCGGACCATCCCGTCCTGCAGTTCGCGGATGCGCTCCTCGTCGAGCTTCTTCTGATGTGCACGCAGGTCGTCCAGACTCCATGTACTGATGCCCTCCTGGTCCTTTGCACGCACAGGACGAGCCATGTCTCGCAAGAAACGCTTGGCTGCGATTATTGCCATGTCCGTGCTGAGATTACCGTCAACCTCTTGCATGGCTTGTGCGATCCACTTGGGGAGCTGCGTCTTCTTCTTCTGGAATCGTCTATCGGCAAGTACCATGATTCCGTAGTCGTCCTTGCCACGCAGTACACGACCCAGGCACTGCGCTGCATGACGCATTGCGTCGAACGAAAGGAAGTCGTTCTCCCGAATGCGATATGTCTCGCGCAAGAACTCGAGGCGAGCCTTCAGGATCCGTGACTCCGTGTACTGGAATGGCACGCCTATGCAAAGAACCGTCCGACCGTACTGGTGATCGAAATCTATGCCTTCAGAGACCTTGCCACGCGCAACACACAGCAGGATGGCACCTCGGCCATTGCAGCAGGCGGTGCGGTACGTCTCAAGCGCGAGAGATGTCTCTTGCGCGTCAGGCGTCTCAACGAGGATGAGCTTGTACTGCCAGACCTCGTCTAGAATGCCCATGCCCTGCCACATGCTGATGATTGACTCCATGTAAAGGTACGATGGGAAAAAGACGACCATGCCATCAGGGGTGACACGCGCAAACTCGGTCAACAAGTTGCCGTAGTTGCGAACCACACTTGGCTCATTTCTGACTTGAAAACTGGTCGAGATGTTGGCTTGGTCACTCCCTCGGGTGACGATCATAGGGAGAAAAGATCTTCTAGCCAGAGTCATGGTGTAAGACTCCTGCACCACTGTCGAGAATCCTAGCATCTTCGGATACATCTCGAGCGGAGACAGAGTGCCGGAGGTAATGATGACCGAGCTGAAGCGGTCAAACACGGGTTTGATGGCGATTGCCGCATCGAGACAAGTGAAGTGCAGAACGGGATTGGGAACTTCTGCAGTGTCTGACTCGAATGGTTCGAGAATGAGCAGGAAGCCTTTCTCGTAAGTTGCGACAAGTGTTGCGAACGTTGCAACCTCCTGCAGAGGCTGATAGTCTTCTATGTTTGTTAGCTCTAGAGTTCGGACAAGCGACGTCAGTCGCTCCGCGCAGAATCTCAAGGGCTTCTTTTCAATGAAGGTGTGCTCTTTCAGATGCGCAAGAAAGGATGGCGGAGTCTCTGAAATGACCTGTCGGACTTTCATGCGCGTCTTGAGGTACTCTATGAAGCGTGTGAGGAAGCTTGTAAAGTGCTCAGCTCTGCGGATATTCCCTGGAACGGCTTCTTTGAGCAGGTCATCTGGCAGTGCTGGATTAGCCATGAAAGCATCTTCTTGCCGAGCATCGCTTGCATCGCGGAGGCCCTCTACAAGTTTCTGATACTCGTTCTCGAGCTGTTCTCGGTCGGTCTCCTTCATCTCTCGGATCTTTCGATCCAAGTTCTGTGCACCTTTGGTGGCTTTCCGGAGCGAGTCCTCTGTGATATCTGTGCTAAGAGACTCGATACAGACGTTGTCGATGTTGTGAGCCTCATCAAAGACTACGATGCAGTCTTTCGAGAAGTCTTTCGATACCCGCTCGGCGATCTTAGGATCGAGGAGATAGTGGTACGAGTAAATGATTACATTGCAGTATTGCATCTATCATGGACGTCACGGACGTTTTGTCTTGCGTCAGTTGCATCGTTGACCTGGGAAAGGCGAACGCCCAGGGTTCTCTTACCATTCTCCGTGCCGTGAAGTACGGGCATTGCTTGTGACTCTCGCCATACTTGAGCAGATCATCAAATGTCCATACCCCGTTAGGGATGAGGTTGTGGGGTTCTAAGAGGTCCAGATTGTCATGGTAGACACACACTTCGACGTTCTCGCCCTTTTCCTTCTTTTCCTTGACGAAGCCAGCCGTGAGGCTCCGACATCGCGCATCAACAACAGATCCGCTCTTCTCCCTCTTGACCGATGGATGAAGGCAGAGGTTCTTGCGACTTGTCAGACCAAGTCCACGAAACTCCTCGGTCCGGCCAAGTTCCTTTGCGCGGAACTTTACGAGCTCCCTGAGTTCGGCAAGAGCCTTCTCGATTTCGGACATGGTTCTGGAGCAGTAGATAAGCTTCCTGTGCTCTGGGTAGTGCTGCTGATACGCCACAATGAGTGACAGGAGCGAGACTGTCTTTCCGGTTCCCGAAGGCATCTCCAGGACGCAGTGCCCGCCTGCATCGAGGGTCTGCTTGAGATCACACATGTAGGCATACTGCTCGGGATAAATCCGCGGATAAGGAAAGAGCACAGGAAGATCATCTATGAAGAACTTCATGGTGATTGCTTGCAGGCGGCCAGAGGCTGCCAAGTGACGAGGTTGTGAGGCGTGTAGATGTCGATCTGCCCCGACACGTGGATCTCAACCTCGCTACCTGGTGCCGTCTACTGCGATGCCCATGCAGTGGCAGGTCATGTGGAGGCAGAGTCGTACCGAGTGATTGTCTGCGTAAACTCCTGCAGAGCAGCAAGGGGCTTCGCGGTTCATAAGCATTGTTTTAACCGTGCTTCATGACGAAATTCCGCCCGTGAGGTAGCTCGAGTGGATCTCGACCAGGCAGCGACGGGGCAGTTGATTGGGTCGCTCACTTGAGCTCGGAGCTCTCCTGTCAAGCGCGTCCAAGGATTCTAAGGTTCCACGCCACTCACTCCGGTGAAGCGCCACAGTCAGGCTCAGCCACTTTCCTGAAGGTAACGTGTTGATGCGCCACAATGACTTGCTCGCAATGTCGTCGTTGTGTCTGACTGCCGAGCGCGCAGCCACCAAGAAGCGACAAAATTGTGCCTGCCCATGTGAGACGAGTTGAACATGGCCGCTAGGCGCACGAGGGGACTTGAGGACTAACTGGTATTTTTGGCACTTCGTCTGACCTTGTCATAGTGCATGACTTCAGATACTGGGGACTGCTGGCAAAGGTCAACAGGACAACAGCTGCCTGAGAAGACCACAAATTTTTTAGTCATGGAGAGTTCGACACAACAACAAAGAGTAGAACCACCGCGAGTCGCGGGAGCAAAGCGACACAGATCCCAGCATCAAATGGTCCACACAAAGCATTGTGTAACGTCCTTTGATCGTGACAGCTGCGAGTTGTTGAATTGTTTGCCAGTTTTTCTCGCTGACGGACTTGTTCGACAGGCGCAAAACAAACTGTGTCAAGCTACATCGCGACACCACAGTGTCACCAACGAGCCACGCGTGTGACCGTTTCTTTGTGGTTCAATTAAGCTTTGTTGATCTGAGCCCCTGCACGCTGCCCTTCATCTACAACCGGCCCGAACGACAAACTGCGCCGAGGCTCCCGCGCACGTGGGACTGGTGGACAATGGGCTGCATACGTGGATCCATATTGCTGACCTGGTGCCGATAGTGGTGTTCCAAGCGACATTCCTGCATGTGGCTGTCCAGTGTGACCCGAAATATACATGTGGAGGTTCGGCGTGCAGAGGTACAAACTTCGACCATCCGTAGAATACATCCTAGCGCATGCCAAGACCGGCCGCCCTGTCCTCAACCAACATCGACGTCTCTATCAGAAGCTGTCCCAGCTGGGTCGCCATCCTCGAAGAGTCTGGAAAAGCAGTAGTGATTGAGTCTGTGCATGCGTCTGTGCCACAAAGATCATACGGTCTCGTGACTGGGCTAAAGAATGGGACACGACCTCGTCCTCGAAGGCAGCGTGTCCCCCATCAGAGGACATCTGGAATGTGCGGGGCAAATCTGTGAAGATTGTACTGGATGACTGCAAGTCGGTGTCGCAAAAAGCCGCTCGACAACCGTCAGTGCCGAGTTACGGATTGAGTTGAACTCTCAAGGACACCTGTGCAGTATCCTGAATAACCCACGTCCTGCTCCATTCGGCCGAAGGTCTGGGGCATGCACTACGGTTGATATGTTCGAGGTTCCTCATCCATGATCGATACTTTCAAGTTGAGCAGCTCAGAGCGCGCTCTTCGTTCAACGGCCATAACTTAGTTAGGGCTGAAAGCAAATTACTCGTTACCCCACAAAGTACCACTGCAAAACCTGGATCCTGCAGTCTAGTAACAAGACCACCCAGCAGGTAATTTGATACAGTGAAGAGATTCGAACAGAGCACACAGATCGCATACATGACCAAGCACATTATGGAGCTCCGGTCTGGCAAGTTATGGTCACGTAACGAAGCTGATGTTAACGTGAGGACTGTGTCAGCTCGTTTGCCAGTATCCCGAGCGTGTAGCTAACACCGACTTGAAAGCTTGCAAGTGGTTCGACTTCGGATCCATCCGATCATCACGTACCCGTACTCTGCCCCGCACGGTAGGCACTCCGTGTTGACGGGCGCCGGCCCGCAGCACCATGACAAGCTGATAGGTAGCAGCAGCTGACGGGGCCAGGGCGGGAGCTTTCCACTGGCGTGGGCAGAGTTCCGCAGGATCCGGGCAATAATCAGCTGTTCTTCACGAGACATACAATTGTGCACTGAAGCTACATTGCTCGGCCAAGTGGACCTGGCTGCCTTGTCCTGCAGAGCACGCAATTGGCCACGGACGCTGGACCTAAGGATGCTAGGACATCGGTCGAACAGTTAGCTGCAAGCAGATGGCTCTTGGTGGCTTGCGGAGTCCCCGGTGAGAGACTGGAGCACACTAGGTTGGCGAGCTTGAGCCAATTATCGTTCGGGCAGGCTCGCCAGTGGCATGATTGGTGGTCTTTGGCAGGCCTGCGCAGAGGAGCGGCGGTCAGGGAGCCGATCGCACGGCAAGATGAGTCCACGGAAGGACAATGTAGAAACACGGGGTGTTACGCGGTCATTTGAAATCAGGTAGGCTCAGTATATTCCGTCGGATATGCGGAGCAGCGCAACCTCGACCTGCGTCTTTAAGGCGATGCTTGAAGCATTCCTGGCCCGCAGTCCATCCAATCTCGTGGTTTTATTGCTTCTCATGCCTTGCGTGGAGATTCGAGCTGGCAAAGTCGGAGAACCGCCGACGCTGATCAGCACAGCCCACCTGATTAGTACGCCCAGAGAAAACGGTCAGCATTTCACGCTGACTGGGCGTGCTTCCCCACCCGAGCTGCCAAACGAGAAGCTCCACCGACTCGCTTCGTCCCCCGATGGCTATCTACTGTGATCCCACAAGACGCCAGTGGGGGGAGCGGGGAAATTGGGTGGTTGCTTCCAGGGAGGCGGAGGCCGGAGCTACGGAATTTCTTGCGAGCCTGACAGGGGCCGGCCGTGGGCGGCCACGCCAATCAATTCCCATGTTGCTGGCTGTCTCGAGACATTGCATGCAGCCAGAGACGACAAACGCCTCACCAAAGGGCAGACCGCGCTTCCTCCAGACCGAGTCACATGAAACATCCAAGGCAAGCTGGCCAGAGGCTCAAACGACAATACTGGGCGGCATGGAACCAGGACGCTCGCTGGGAGTGAAAGTGGAGGACAGGATGCACGTATTCGGCACCAGACGAGGCCCCTTGGCCAAGGAAGGAAATGAGCCCATGCCAGGTGCCAAGCTGCAGCCAGGTGGGGCTCCACCTGTACACCTGGTCGTCGGCAGGCGTGTGGACGTTGCCGACGGGTTGGTGCTGCGCAGTGGAGACCCAGCCCTTCGTACCTGAAATCCGGGTCTGCTTACGTCAACATGCCCGTCCCACGCCCTTTGACACCACACACACACACACACCCTCGAACAGTCGACGCCCTCGACCCTCTACACTGCCAGCATTGCTGCGTTGGCCTCCGGTCCTAACGGCGCAGCCGCCGCTCTTTGCCGATCCGCCCGAAGGGGAACCCTTCCCCCAAGCAGCCCGTCCCGTGCCTACCTGTCGCCCCAATTTCCAAGCTCCCCATTGACCTTTCCTCGATGGAAGCACCATCAAAGACCGTCCTGGCCTGAAGAGTTCACAAGATGGATCTGATCCTTGCTTCTCCAGATAGTTCAGACCATCTGGGAGCACGCCCGCACGGCCCTGCATGTCACGCGTGTCCGTGAACACAGCCCGCTCAAGATGGTGCCATGGTGTCGGGGGGAGCATCCAGCAGATGATGAAGACTAGTCCAAGCTTAGCCCAGAATCCTCCGTGAACCCCGGGGCGCCATGTACGGGACCGATCAAAGGGCCCATGGCCACCTCTGATGACATTTGAACTTGGCGTTCGGGAGTCAGCGTGCGCGCGCTCCGCCCACTGCCTCGCTGCGTCGTGGGGGTTGGCGTTTCAAGACCCACGCTACCACGAGGCAGGCCTCGTTGGACTGGCTCGTTGGCTTGCGCGAGTTCGATCTGTCCCTGCTCGGGCTTGTCTAGAAGGAAGAACCCTGGCCCTGACCAGCGTCTGACCTTGTTCCATTCCAGTTATTGCTCAGCCAGCTCCTCGGGAGGCCCATCCGGTAGCTTGTCCCTGAACTGCTTGACCAAATTAAACGTAGTCTATTGCGTACTGGTTATTATGCAAGGTGCCCATCTCAAATCCCCAAGGCGGTCTCCGGCAACTTCTTGGGACCTCGAAACCCCTGTAGCATTCCTTACATAACTTGCACCCCTTCCCCCTTGTCCTTGACCGTTCCCCGGAACCGGGCGTATATCGATCTGTTCGTCTCTCTATCGGAGCCGGATTCCCCTCGCTCTCGTCCTCCCGATCCGCAATGCTGTATTTCCCACGATCTTCTCAAGTCCACACGGCACAATTAGGGCATCACTAAAGACATCTGCCGCTTGATCGGCATCGGGGATGTTTCAGTGTCGTTGCTGAAATGCAGCAGTCTGACTTCAGTCATCACCAGGAAGGACAAGCAGCCGCGTCGCCCATCTGACAGCAGTTTGTTTCCCCACCGCCTCAGGCCCCGGAACACCACCTCTGACCGGAAGGAGCTATTCCTCAGACATAGACACTGAACACTCACAATCGTATCCGCCACTGCACTCCATCTCTTCGCAGCTGAGCTTGCCACTGTGATGGAAACGTCCCCGTCACAATCTGCTTACCCGCTCCCCCCTCCGTGAGGATTCCGATCGCGGCATCTTACAATTGCCTTCTCGCCCACCACATTCATACACAGGCCAAAACGGTAGGCGTCAACCGAGCACCAGTCTTGCCTATCAGAACTGCATCTTGAAGATGGAGCACGGAAATTCAGGCGACTGGCCTGCTACAGCGATGCATCATTCGTCCTTGTCCAGCTCGTCTTCGCTGTCGGGCGGGCCTCCAACTGAATACTCACCTTTCCAGAGCTATGACGGCACTTTGGCACCACCATATGGGAACCTCCTGTATCCTACGAGCCAGCTTCATGGCCATGGAGGACATCACTCGACAAACCCGTTGGATCACGCCAGGATCCCTGCAGTCGCTTCAAGATACCCTTTTCCAGCATACTCGCGGAGTACATCGCCAACTGGACGGCACCGAGCGGAAATCGGGTCAGAGTATTCTGCCAGTCTGGCACCATCACAATTTCCTTCCCCAGGCGCGGTGCCAGCCGTCACTGCTGGGTCGGAGGGCTATCCGTCCCCTTCTGTCGCCTCTGGCTACACCTCCGACGTGGCCAATACGGCATGGGCAAAACCCGAATACTCGTCAATAGAACCTCATCCTTACTATGCAAGCACAGCTGTTTCTCCGCCCATCGCGAACCCCGAGACACGACATGTCAGGACAACCCGCGCTCCGAAGCGTCAGACACGTAAATTGACGACCAAGGAGGATGCCAACTTTCAGTGCGAGGTTCCGGGGTGTGGAAAACTATTCAGTAGAAGCTACAACTACAAGGCGCACATGGCGACACATAACGAGAACCGGGCTTATCCATTTCCTTGCCCCGAACCAGAGTGCGGCAAGAAGTTCGTCCGCAAAACCGATCTTCAACGACACAACCAGAGCGTCCACACCAAAGAGCGAAGTCACAAATGCGATTTTTGCCACCGGATGTTTGCCAGAAAGGACACTCTTCGAAGGTAAGCACCAGCGGTTGTCGTGGTGCACAGTCCCTGCACCCACGGTATGCTGATTATGTTCTTCCAGACACATGGACGACGGGTGCTCTCGACGTTTTGACATCGAAACAGTCGACATGGGCCGTGGCAGCCACACAGACTACGAGGCCGCCGGCAAGGCAGGAGCACAGGCTGTGGAGACTCTTCATGTGCCGGGCTTACACCACTACTCATCACAAATGAGCATGCCTCCAGCCTCAGGGAGCAACAAATTTCTGGGTCACCTGAATGCCTATCCAGATGGCTGAACACCGCACGATACACCGGGAACCGAAACATTGTGTACAGAAACCGAGGCTTTGCCGGATCATTTGGGTTGAAAGGTTTTGTCGACGACTCCCGAACTGCGCGCATACCCGTTTCGCAAAAGTCGCCAGCCGAGAACAAGCTCGTCTTCGCTAGCTGGATGCCCCCTTGACTAAATCATCAGAACTGAAATGCTCGCAACAATTGCGGCATCTTGATGATCTGGATAGGCGTAAAATAAAGTTGATACTTCGGAAGACGGAACAGGGAGCGATATCCACGACACTTGCAGGGTCCCCATCAGTACGAGACCAGCCTTAATGTCGTGACCGCAATCTTGAGCAATGGTTAACCGTTGCTCCAAGAGCTAGGTCACGATTGACGAGTATGACACTGCGAGAGACTGATCCTATATCTCATCGTTCTGACGGTAGACAGCATGGTGATAGGCCCACTCAATGGCAACAGCTTTCAGGATTCTGAATCTTTGTTCGAGTTGGGTACCAGAAAACCTCCTTGTCACAACCAGCCTCGAGGCTACGCGATCATCTTCTCCCATTTCTATGTTGGAGTGCGAATATACCGGTCTACGCGAAGCTCGGCAAAAGCATGGCAACCAGGCTCATAATGTCAAGCATTCCCGCGGATCAGATATGGCAAGTTGGTGGCTAAGCCCATGGTGGGAGATGCCCAAGGGCCGAGATAAGCCTTCGATGTGCATCAACTCGCATTTCTGTTGCGTTTGCGGGGGCATCACGAGGGTCACCTAGGATGATATGAACACGTCAGGAGATGGATGGCTATAGAGTGACTGTGCTCTGATATAGCGTTGGCATGGCCGCCTGGGCAAAAGTCAGCACAAATCCTCAAGGAGGAAGTGTTTGGCCCTAATAAATGAACTTGGGACGATCTTCAGTAGCACGGCACGCTTATTGTCACAATGTGGTATGGTACACGGGCGAGGATTCGAGCCCGCACTACTCCTCCCACTTCCCCCCACGCTTGTCACAGACGCCGGCGGAGCTCCCAGGGCTGGGAGCGCGCAGTGCTGGATGTCGGACATCGTTTTCCCCTCCTCGCCCCCTATCTCCACTGAGCAGAGCCACTGACTGCACCGCATGACGATGTGGACATACTGGACCCACGAACAGGTCAGATCTTCGGGATCGTTTGTATCAAGCTATCCTAAGCGTGAGCACCCAAGTTGGTGCTCTGCTGCACCGTTGTTTGTTGTTCGCGTCCAGTTGAGGCCAGTCAGGTTTCTGAGGTAGGCGGTGAGCAGGTCAAGACTTGACGGGCCCATGTAATCTGTGCGCACCTCCATATCCGGGATGCCAGCCTGCACTTGATGCCTCTAAAGCAAGGCCGGGCCGGAGATACTTCCCCAACGAGCGGCGATTCGGGCCTCGTGTGTTACGTGGACGGCGGCCCGGTAGGGCGTTCCGAAGCGCCCTTGGCCATGCTCCACAACCGCCCACTCACACAATGTTCCGGGAGCCTCCCTCGACCACCTTGGTGGTCCAATCCGCCACCTAGTCAAGTTCGGAAGTATGGATCGAACTGATCACAGACTAGTTTGTCATCTTCTAGATGGCACTAAGGCCAACCCCTGTCGCATAGAAGCACGCAGTATGCGTCACCACGGCCTATCAAAGTCTTCTGACTTGATCCGTGGAAGAAGATCCACGATCGCCGGCCACTTCATGCGTCGAGAATGACCCGGTGGATTGTACTGCACACTTGCCCTCCGCATTCCCGCACAGGAAACGCTATCCTGACCCTCAGTCGGGATGTTTCAGCCACGAGCGCGTGAAACCTTGATCAGCTGCGTCCGGAGCAACAGCGCCTAATAATGGCCAATAGGAGCCAGAAGACCGGATTCTCATATCTGATCACCATAAAATTTGCCGGGGTCTGTTGTTCCCACAGTCTTGTCATCGCCGGACAAGATTGACCGGACTACAAATCCCGGCGTTCGTGTGGCCATAGATGCGAACTACTGGCAAGTTATTGCCCCCTAGATCCTGTCTGGCTTGCCAGGTCCAAGCTAGTATGCGAGCAAGTATAAGCCGACGAGACCTGGTCGGGTGAATTTTGCTCACGCGGCGGACCATTGTCCGCATAGAGACAAGGAGACGTTCGAGGATCGGCCATGCACCGGGAATAAACAATAGCCACATTCACCAAGCACTACGTCCCGTTGGAAGTTGAATAGCGTGGCATGAGCCAAAACAAAATTGCTTATTGGTGATGGATGGAGAGTTGGCCCAAAGTCGCGTGAGGACAAGGAGCACATGCCATCTGACTGAACGCGCAGCATGGTGAGACATCAAGAGTCAACGATGAAAGCTGTTCTTGTTTCTGTGCAGTTGAAACTGCGGCCGCAACGCCCCCGTACTTGTAGACTGGTGGCATAACCAAAGGCTCCCTGGACAAAGTATGGACTCTAGAATCTGGAAAATATTTGGGTCGTGGCTCGTTGACAACTCGATAGACTCTACCTCAAACGCCTTCGTCATTACCCTGTGGCTGGAGAAGGAAGAGGGGGGAATACGGATATCGTTCTCATGTGAGGCAGACACCTTTCTCGGCGCTCCGCGTCGCGCTCTCCGAAATGGGCAGGGTACGTCTATGGACAAGCCCTCCTTCGTAAATGGCCATTCCATGTGGTACCGGTAGATAATATACTAAGGAATTCAAGCCGGGAACCGGTGAGTGTGCTGCCCATCAAATCTGCTGCGGCTTCTCCGCACCGGAAATGTTGGCTGGGTAGGGGACTGCTTGTGACACTGGCCCATCCCAGACACCTGGGTCGTGATCATGCCAGGTCTCACAGATTTACGATGTGTGACACAAAGGGACACGAGACAAAGGAAAATATGGACAGCTGTTTGATCGAGACACACGAGGCTGGTGATACCTCTTCTTGTGCATGGTATCTTGTGCGTGCGGGCTGAGTGGATGAATACTGGGCGGCTTACTACTCCTTGACATGGATCGAATCGGCCGCAATCAACCTGGTTCGTGCCTTCAGTGAGAATGCTCCGCGAGGAAGATTACAGAGACCGTATTTGGAGCAATGGGCTCCTCCTATCGACATCTCATCCTGATCACGCCCGTGCAAGCAAGCAACAATGTTGGACTGCGTACATTAGCGTCCAAGATGGCAGATTCTTAGAAGCGATCCTTCTCGCTGGTATCCGCCCTCGATGCGCGGAATCAGTACCGGATACGACTCGTGCTACAAGTCAAAGTTGCGGCATGTGCGGGCTCTGATATCAACAGCGCAGGTGATGCAGGCTGGTCCTCAGCTGGCCTCAGCACCAACCCGGTGCGGGATCGTGCGTGGAACCAGGGCTGGGTTCTTGATGCGTCGATACGTTACCGGAAAAACCATGGTCGGGGGTTCCTGACACCGACGACATTCGAGTGCCGGATCGAAACGTGCAGATTTGGGAGATCCTGCAGATAGCCGCTTCGGTGCTTGTGTGACGTGGTCGTAACCAGACGAGCCACCTGCCATGGAAAAGATTAGCGTCTCCGGCTATGAAACTCACGGTGTCTGTAGCCAATGAGCCATGCTGAACCACACGGGTGGCAGCACCATCACCTCCTTCGGCGTGGGACAGCGCCAATAGTGCGAGTCGACCCGCTTCGTACTCATAAGGGAAGCGATAGAGGCCGATTATGCACTCAGCCGGGGAAGCCGAGCAGGCTGGGCATCTGGGCGAGACTTAAGCGAGTGGTCCGACGCAATAAACAACCTCCTCTCCTGGCTATCTCGATTGGTGGGGTGGCGTTACTCAAACCGCCATGAAGAAAGCTGAATAAAGAGACGTACACACCAGTACCTGTTACTTGGCATGTCGGAGGATGAATTTGTCATGCAGGATCTCTGTACACCCGGAACACCACGATTCTGCAGTCTCTCGTGTAGCCGCACAGGGGAGCAGATGTGACAAGGTCCATATGCACCATGGCAGTCCCCGCCACTGGATCAGTTTACAAGATCCGCAGTCCCAGCGAGCAGAACTCGTCGCTGCCTCCATTGACAGTCGTGATACAACAGCTGCAGAGTATCAGCTCGGCTCGATTTTATCACTCGCTGGCCATCAGATCGTCATGCCTCCCCTCTCATCAGAAGTGGTATGAAACTCGTAAAAGTCACATGTGGCCGCCATTTTTCGCGGTATCGAGGCGCAGAATATGCTCATCCGGCCTCACGGTGACCCGGAATATATGCTGGAGAACAGAGTAGTCTCTGAGCATTCCTGAAAAACAAGCAAAGCCAGACTACGGACGACTTGGAGGCATACGGTATTAGAGAACTAGATATAGGCCCCACCATCGTGTCCTGGCAGTATCACCTAATAGCACAATCGCTTGCCAACCGTGCTGAAGAGCTCCTTCGTGTGTCACCTGATCCGCCAAGACGGCCTTTTTAACGTACCGGTATAAGTCCATACGTGATAGACGGGTCGTTGCGTCCAGACATGCCTCTGCGAAGTCCTGCTGAATCGGGTGTCTTTTGCGAAAGTGTTTCGAGTGAGCACTCTTCCGCTGGAGCCAACACTACGAGGTGAATGCTCTGTTGAAGAATGCAATGTTGGCGTAGAACCATACAACGATCGCTGCCACTTTGGCAGGTTTTCGAATTCATGCACTCGAGCCTCACTGGAATCTTGGGTTCAGCCAACCAGCTATTCCTGTGGGGCGATCTGGAAGCCACACTCTGTTTAAGTGTGCTGGGTTCATCCTTGCTGTAAGCGTGACAATGCAGTCAAGTAATGGTCCATACCCAATGTATCAGAAGACCAGTGCCGGGCCGTTAAAATGGAGACATGGAGGTTTGTGGCTAAGTGCTGGACTAAGGAAAGCGCCTGGGTCAGTGGCTAGACAGGGTTCCCATACGGGCTGTAGGCATTCATAAACGATGCCAGCCCAAACTTGATCGTGACCAGAATTCGGGTGCTCTCTCTACATATCTCTGTCTGTCTCACACTCTCTATAACTCTCTGCCTCTTACTCCTGCCTGTTGTACACAGCCGTCGCCGATTTGCTTAAAACCACCCACGTCCAAAGCAGAACTCTACATAATAGAATCGACGTAATGAGCCAGGCGGTCCCCGCGGAGCCTATCGCCGTAGTCAGTAGCAGTTGTCGTTTTGCTGGAGGCATAACGACTCCCCATCGGTTGTGGGATATACTGTCAAATCCACCAGACTTATCAAAAGAAGTTCCACAAAATCGATTCATGGCAAAGGCTTTCTATCATCCCGACGGCACTCACCATGGAACAACAAACTCGATCCGGGGGTACTGGCTGGAACAAGATCACCGTGCGTTCGACGCGGGCTTCTTCCATATCAATGGCAAAGAGGCCGACGCGATGGACCCCCAGCAACGCATGGTGCTCGAGGTTGTCTATGAAGCCATGGAATCCGCCGGGTACCAATGCCAACGATACGCGGGCAAGGACGTTGCAGTGTTTGCGGGCGTCATGACAGCCGACTACGAGATTCTCTCGCGACGAGACGAGCTGCAAACAGACCAGTACCATGCCACGGGAAATGCGCGGTCAATGATTGCCAACCGCGTGTCGTACTTTTTCGACTTCCGAGGCCCCTCTGTCACCGTCGACACCGCATGCAGCTCTAGCCTTGTCGCTGTCCACCAAGCTGTGCAGAGCCTGAGAAGCGCAGAGAGCATCATGGCTTGCGTGACTGGGGTCAATCTGATGCTGACACCAGACCACTTCATTGTTGAGTCGGACATGCACATGCTTAGTCCGTCAGGGCGCTGCCGTATGTGGGATGTCCGCGCAGATGGTTATGCGAGGGGTGAAGGCGTGGCGGCCGTCCTTCTCAAGACACAGTCACAAGCAATGAAAGATGGGGACACGATCCACGCCATCATAAGGGAGACTGGGGTCAACTCGGATGGCCGAACCGAAGGAATCACGATGCCAAACATGGCGGCACAATCACGGCTGATTCAACAGACGTATCGAAGAGCCGGGCTTGACGCGTGCAAGCCAGAGGATCGATGCCAGTACTTTGAGGCGCATGGGACCGGAACCGCAGCTGGCGACCCCCGAGAGGCGGCCGCAATCAAGCAAGCATTCTTTGGCGAGGCTCCTGAGCTGGTCGGCCGCAAGCTGCTGGTCGGGTCGATCAAGACGGTCGTGGGACACACCGAGGGCGCAGCCGGTCTCGCGGGGCTTCTCAAGGTGGTTGAGGCCCTCAAACACGGCGCAATACCGCCGAATCTGCACATGGAGCGGCCCAGCCCGAGTGTCGAACCGTGCTTGAGCCATCTCGAGGTGCCCACGAGGTTGAGCCCCTGGCCGCGGGCAGCTGCCGGTCAGCCAAGGCGGGCGAGCGTCAACTCGTTTGGGTTTGGAGGGACCAATGCCCACGCGATTGTCGAGTCGTATGGCAATGCTGCTGCTGGTGCGAGGGATGACGAGGCTGTTGTTGTTGAGGCAGGAGCCGGGGTCGCTGCGGGGGTGGTGCCGCTGTGCATCTCTGCCGCCTCGCCCCAGAGCCTGGTGCGTGTGGCTCACGCGTACCGCACGTTGCTGCAGGACGATCCTGGCGCCTCTGTCCAGCTTCTTGCCTGCTGCCTCGCCTCTCGCCGCGATGCGCTGCCGTACCGCCTTGCGCTTTCTGTCGCCTCGCGGGAGCAGGCTCTTGACGCCCTCGGCCGCCTCTTGAACCACCCAGACACCATCACCGCCAAGAGCACCCACGCCGCCACCATGGACCACCCCCCAAAGTTGTTGGCCATCTTTACCGGCCAGGGTGCCCAGTGGCCCGCCATGGGCCGCTCCCTGCTGCGCTCCAATTCCGTCTTCCGCCAGACGGTTCTCAAGCTCGACGCTGTGCTCGCAGCCTGCTATGATCCGCCCTCATGGACCTTGGTTGACCAGATCCAGGCCGACGACGCAATCTCTCGGGTCCACGAGGCTGCCGTGGCCCAGCCACTATGCACCGCGATCCAGATCGCTCTGGTCGATCTCCTGCAGAGTCTCCGCATCGCCCTGCACACCGTCATCGGTCACTCCTCCGGCGAGATCGCTGCCGCCTACGCTGCAGGAAGACTGACCATGCAGGATGCCATGCTTATCTCGTACTATCGCGGCCTGGTTATATCTCAAGCTCAGCGTCGCGTGGCTGGCCCCCCGGGTGGTATGCTTGCGGTTGGCCTTTCCGAAGGGGCAGCGCTTGGTTTCTGTCGAGATGACAAGTATGCTGGTAGGCTTTTTGTGGCTGCCGGTAACGGGCCCACTATGGCCACAATCTCTGGCGATCTCGACATGGTCAAACAGGCAAAGGCGGATCTTGACAGCAAGCACATCGCGGCCAAGATACTCCGCGTAGATGCAGCGTACCACTCGCCCTATCTGGCGACGGCTGCTGCTGACTACATGAAAGCTCTTGAGCGTTGTCGAATAGCCCCTATAGCCGAGGGCAACGATGTGGTTTGGATCTCGAGTGTCTACGGCTTCAAACGGACCTCTGAAGGGGACCTTGGGGCTGGGTATTGGAAGGACAACATGCTCTACACGGTACAGTTTCACGATGCCGTAGAACATGCGCTGTCAGAGTTTGGCCCTTACGATGTCGCCGTCGAGATCGGCCCGCATGCTGCTCTCAGGTTGCCTGTCTCCCAGACAGCAGCCGCATCCGGACAGGAACTGCCATACACGGGCATTCTCGACCGCACGAAGGATGATAGTGTTGCCGTTGCAGACTTTTTGGGTTTCATGTGGTCCACCTTGGGCTCGCTAGAAGTACATAATCCTCCATATCTCGAGCAGACTTCCAACAATAACACAATTTCCACCTATCTCGAGCGGTTGCCTCGTTACCCGTGGAACCACAGCCAAACATACCAAAAGGTGACACGCCTATCGCGTCAGTACCTCGGCCGGAGCGATGCTCCACATGAGCTTCTTGGAGTCCGGTGTGAGGATGATGGCCACGTCTTGCGCTGGCGCAATGTTTTGAAGCCGGATAGAGTTCCGTGGCTGCGGCACCACAGGTTCCAAGGGCAGTGCCTCCTCCCGGCTTCTGCTTATTGTCTTATGGCTCTACATGCCGCTCAAGCTCTACCTCAACAGACCGAGCTGGCCGTCGTTGAGCTGAGTAATATTGAGATTGTTAGTGGCGTTGTGATTGACGAGGCACCTCATGGAACAGAAATAGTGTTCACCATTACGACACGCAGACCGCGGGAGCCTTCTCAGTCTGGCATCAAGGCGTCCTTTTGTCTCGTCTCATGTCCGGGTGACGGTTCAACAGACTTGGTATTGAACATGACTGGCGAACTTGAGCTTATCTCTTGCGAGGAACAGCCTGAATTGCTACCGTCAAAATACGAGGACCGATCGCACCTGCTGGAGACGAAGCCCGAAACGTTTTATCAGATGATGGAAAGCATTGGTTTGACTTACACGGGCCCTTTTAGAGGAATCCGCGACATCAATAGGCGCCTTGGCTACTGCGACGCTCGTGTAGCATACCAGCACCAAGATTCCCCTGCAGGTTGCGCAATCACTCCTGCGTTGTTGGATTCCTGCTTTCAGACGGCATTCCTGACCTATGCATCTCCCGGAGACAGGTGAGTTTCGTGTCCAAACACGGGCCACAATAACACTGATTTGATGTCATAATTGGCCGCGCTAATATGAGCAAAAGATCCCTCTGGGGGCCTCTACTGCCCTGTCGCATTGACCGGCTGCTGTTTGCCATGAAAGGCCTCGGGGCAGTAGACCATGACAGACAGAGCAAGTTCCTTCACGTAGATGCTTACCTTACGCGCACGAGAGCGGCCACACGATCTCGGCCCACGACCTTCGCTGCCGACATGGGTGTCTGCAATCACCGAGGACAGAAGATTGTTCAGGTTGAGGGGCTGACTGTTCGCGCGATTGCCAATGCTTCATCCGAGAACAACACAACCTCGTATTTTCACACGGTCCTCGACGTGGATCCATGTTATGAAGCCATCCGAATGGGTAGCCATAGCTCAGATATGCCAGTATATGACGGGCTATTGAACTCTAGATCAACGGGAGTGAGCATCAATCGATCAAAATCGAACGTCAAAGAAATCAACCACGATGGCTCATATTATGTGGATGAGAACCAACCAATGGCCCAAGATATTGCCCAGTTCCACGATCATGTAGGCAGGCTGCTCCAGCAGATCACGCACCGCTACCCCTGGACAAATTGTCTCTGCCTGCCTGATTCTTCTGTGGACCTACCACTACGCCTCTTACACAATACCAATATAGCTCTCGACTCTCTCACCATTGGCACGATGACTGACACCATACAAGACGCATTTACCAAGAATCGCGTCCACGGCACGACGATAATTCGTCTAGATAGAGCAAGAAGCCTCTATGCGCAACTTGAGCGGAGAACAAGGTACGAAATTGTCGTACTTTCAGTCTCGCATCTGGAAAGGAGAGACTGGCCGAATTTGCTTGGAGCGGTTCGAGAGCTCATGCGGCCTGGTGGCTTCCTAATACTCTTCCACGAACATCCTGGCCGAAGAAAGAGGCCGCACGCACTTATAAGTTCGGGCCATGTCACGCCCCCTGACTGGCCAGATGAACTCCTCAGCTACGGCTTCCGGTCTCTGGCCACACACTCGGATCAACGGTATCCACATGACAGGTTTGTAATGGTTAGACAGCTGGCCCCAATCAAGCCTCTGTTGACGGAGGCCCAGGGATACCAGTCTGCCTTGACCAAAATCGATCACGTCGTCATTATCGCAGGGACGAATGGTATGCTTCAGGATGGCCTGCACAAGCTGTCTATACTGCTCTTGCGACGGTGTCTCCGGATCACTGTTTTGGGCTCCATTCAAGCAGGTGATCTCTGTGTACTGGAAACATGTACCGCGGTCATCATAATTTCAGACGACGAGGAGCCACTGGAGACCATGACGGCAAGACACAACCTGAAGCGCTTTCAAGCTCTATTCCGGCCCAACATGGTAGTTCTTTGGGTCGTCCAGAACAGCCGCTCTGGCGCACCTGGTCATGCGGCCGTCCTCGGTTTTACTCGCACAATCGCTGCCGAGGTCGCCAGCCTCAGGATTCAAACGTTGGACTTATGTGCCGTCTCGTCACCTGAGACGCATATTGCAAATGCGTTCTTGCAGCTGACCTTGTCTACTAAGGAGTTGGGCGGCGAGGATGCCCTTTGGACTCACGAGGCGGAAGTGCATATTCACGGTGATCGAAGATTCATCCCCAGACTTAAACCTCTACACAGGATGAATGAACGCGCCCATGCCTTCCGTTGCCCCCTGACAAGGAGCACCGATATCTCGAAAACCGTTGTGGCAGTTCGGCCACGAGTAGCTGATGACGGAGAATTCGAATTTGTCGCAGAGGAAGTGATCCGCAAGAAAACCTGTTCCTATCAATCTGGTTCGGAAGTGCGGACTCGATTTAGTTCGGCCCTCCCAGTTTGTCTCAACAAGACATCGGTTTATGTTTGTCTCGGCCTTGACACAGTGACTGGCCGATCCGTGATCGGATTGTCCTTACGAAACCGGTCACTCCTAGCCGGCGACACGCTATTACAGGCTCATTCGCTCGCTGGTTTTTCTGGGAGCGAGAAGAATCTGTTCCACCACATTCACAACTACGTGGTTGCCGAGGCCGTACTGAGACTTGCTCAGCATCGATCCCTCGTTCTGATCGACGTCGGGTCAGGATTACTTGAGGTCATCTCAAGTGAAGCACGCAGCCATGGTAAAATTGCCGTGGGCTTTTCGACCACGCGGGCAAATACTTGCTATCCCGAGCGACACCTCAACCACTTTCTCACGGCAAGAGAACTCCGGCAGACCTTACTTCCTGCGAACGAGAATGCAACTGTCATCGACTTCTCAGAGGTTCGAGGCAGTTTTGCGACAACGCTTCGTCAGTTACTTCCGACTGGCTGCCTTTACGTGCAAGCTCGAGAATCGATTTTCGGCGCATCACTTTTTCCCGAAAAGTCGATGACTGAAATGGCACATGAGCTCAAGGACTTCTGGGCAAGGGTCGTGACCCAGTCTCTCGAGAAGCACCAGCGAAACCCCCCAGAAGCGGCCACCGACGATCGCAAAGTAATGACCTTGCCGGCCCTCCTGGAGATGACAAGTCCGTGCAAACCGCATGCCATTTTAGACTGGACAGCCACTGCCGAGGTCGATCTTCCCGTACAGCCGCTTGCGGTAGCAAATATCTTTAGCCCGACAAGAACCTACTTGCTGATCGGCTTGACACGAGACCTTGGCCAGAGTCTCTCTCGGCTTTTCATACAACATGGGGCAAGACACATTGTCCTGGCGAGCCGCAATCCGGACCTGCTTCCGAGTTGGGTTACTGAGCTTGAGCTGAATACTGGCGCAATAATTCGTCTGGTGAAGCTCGACGTAACAGAGCTGGAACAAGTCATTGAACTCAGAAGGAGATTACTGGAGGAGTACAGACTACCTCCCGTCGGCGGCCTGATCAACGGTGCCATGGTCTTGGACGACCGGATCTTCGCGCACATGACGACAGATACATGGGATCGAGTAATGCGCCCCAAGACGGTAGGATCAAGCAATCTCGACCAGGTCTTCGACAGTGGAGTAGACGAGCTTGAATTCTTCATAATGACCTCCTCCTTTGCCGCCATTGGCGGTCACGCGGGCCAGTCTAATTACGCTGCAGCAAATATGTACATGAACGGCCTCGCGGCGAACCGTCGAAAACGCGGTCTAACGGGGTCGGTGCTCAATATTGGCGTCATATACGGACTGGGCTTCCTGCATCGAGAAAAGAGAGAGCTTTATGCCGGCTTGGAGCGGGAAGGGTACCCACCCATATCGGAGCACGATGTACACCACATGGTGCTCGAAGCAGTCGTGGCAGGCCGCCCAAACCCGCACAGTGACCAGCCTTACGATATAGTGACTGGGCTGAGTCGCTTTAAGCGAGATGACCCGAATCGTCTGCACTGGCAGTTGGATCCTCGATTCAGCCACTTAGTGATCCCAGATCGGGATGGAATGAAGGACCAGGACTCAGTCGGCACAGGCGCGCCTCACGCCTCCTTTGAAGAACAACTCGCTACTTCCACAGACCGCCAAGGCCTGGAAAAGCTGATCACGAAAGCATTCATCATAAGGTTACAGACAATTCTCCACACGAAGCCTGGTCAGACGATTTGCAAGAACAGCCGCCTGAGCGAGCTGGGTGTTGACTCGCTTCTTGCTGTGGATATTCGTAACTGGGCTGTTAGGAAATTGGGTGTTGACCTTGCTGTGATGAAAATCCTCGGGCCTTCAACGAATATACGCAAATGTAAGTCCCCTGCTGAGCCTTTGACAGCCACCGTAACCGGCGAGCTGTGTCTCGAATAGTGCACTAATGCGATTATGCCTTGTAGTATGCTGTGAGATGGCCGTAATGGTGGCTGCTGAACGCGGAAAAGTTCAGCGCGGAAGCGCTTGACCAGCTGAGGCTTAGACGTAGCCACTGAGAATAAAGCATTCTTCGTTTGTACGACATCATTTTCTTGTAATGGAGTTCGGAATATTTTGGGTCAATCGGAAGCGTTGAGAGGCGTTAGTAGCTAGAGACTTGGATGTCTCCCAGAGGATAATATCTGGGCCATGACATATGGACGTATCGCCGAATTTCCATTGCTGCTGAGACCAAGTATCGATTCCCGGTTATCGGAGTTTTGAGCACTGTGACCCTGTCAAGTTGGGCTGTCATCGCATGGCAGATATGTGTGGTAGCATGCGCAGCGTTCATAGTTCGTCTTCAGAACCTGTCTCATCATCATCAACCTCTGCCGCAGGCTTTGGCGGCAGTGCAGCCTTCTTCTTGTTACGCATGAATGGCAATTCCCTCTTCGCGGGTGGCGCATCATCTGCTTGTTGTGATAGTGGCTCTGCCTTGACTTGGCGGGTGCTGCTGGCCTCCGGCGCGGTATTTTGTTCTGAAGCCACAGCAGATGACTTCGTGCGTGTTGCCGTTCGACCGCTCCGATGCTTCTCCTTGGGCACATTGGGTTTCTTCTGATTTCGCTCCTCCTCGCTTTGCGTCGTGGCCTCGTCCTCAGTTTCGTCATCCGTTGTTACGCGCTCGTCAGGTTCCGGGTCTAGCTGAGGACTGCCTTTGTCATCGATCTCCATGAGATCTGCATCGTGATCCGGCTCATCATCGCTGTTGACACCAGCTTCGGTACTTCCTTTCCTTTTGGATGATCGAGAAATTCCTGGTTTCCTCCTTCCGCTCTGCTCGACCTCGGCTAGAGCCTCCACATTTAAGTTGGCTGTTGCAAGCAGGCGTTGCTGCTGCCGTATCTTCACTTTCTTCTCATTCAGGAGGTCCCGAAATTTCTCGAGCAGCTGTGTCTCGTCGTCCTCCTTCGCTTTAATCAACTCCTGCAGCTGGTCCTTAAGCTCGTCCACCACGTGCTCCCAAGACTCGATCTTGGCAGATGAGGTAGCCGCCCTTTCTTGCAACTCTGCCTGCTCGCCTAAGATCGAGACACACCAGTGGAACGGCGAGATCTCGTTGCTCACGTCGGAGTCATTCTCTGGACGCGCAGGCAGCTTGAGTGATCCTAGTCGTTGCTAAATAAAGAGAAAAGATACCGAGTTAGTACACCACCCCACCTTGGAGTTCACCATGATCACCACATACTTTTATGCCCTGAATGTTCTTGCGGAAGGACAGACCAATAGCTGCACCATCTTCGAGAACATCTGCCCGGATCTCAATATCGGCAATGGACTTGCGCTCGATGAGGGTGGCAGTAAGTATGTTCTCCCACTCTGCGTCGGTACAATGTCCTGTGGCAGATTTGTACTCTGCTATCCTCCGATGGCGAACTGGGCATACGGTCAGTCTGGCTCCTTGCGTGCGCACTAAGAACGCTTCCTCTCCACTTTACAGAGAGCCTCAAACTTGAGGCGTAGACTGCTTGTTCAGACGAGGCGAGTAGGAGTGGAGAGGTGGAACAGCAGATTTGTGGATGAAACATGAGACTCACGTCTGGTGAGGTAGACCCCTTCACCCTCCGTGCCTAGTAGTTTCAGATCAAGTGGCTTGGACCCATGCGGAGAGACCTCGAGCAGGAAGAACTCGTCTTCACGAGCGGTAATGGGGAACCGCAGTACGGTTGACTTGGGCATGACGAAGCTTGAGCTTGCTCTGTGGGTGCTCCCTTGGTCGTTCGTCCAGGCTGCAGTAGCACGGCGAAGAATGCCGGACCGAGAAGCTGCAGAGTTTCTTCTTCGGGACTGTGTCCTGCTACCAGGTTAAGCTGGTGCTGGGGAAGGACTGCACGTTGCTGCTCTGGTGCGCGCGGATGAATCAATAGTGAAGTCGCGATGGCGGTTGTTCGTGTCACCAAAGTGCTTTTCGGTGTTATCCAAGTACGGGACCCAATGCGCAGTATAGACAAGCTCTTTCAGGGCCTTTATAATAAGTTGTGAAGCAAGAAGCCAAGCTTTCGAGCCTCGTGGGAATGTAGGCAGCAGTGGCTCCGACGGCTCCAATCCGCAGGCAGCATTGCATGCTCCGGTGCAGCCAGCGAAGCCTCGCGCCCAGCAGCAAATCGCAGATCCACTCAACCACGGCCAGCACAGAACGATGAATGTGGATGCCGTAGTCAATCGAGCAGCAACCCGCCCGGTATGAGCAGCTCTGAGCTGAGCTAAATTCCAACAGGCATCGATCGATAGCCTAGGCTGTGGCGCAGTCGATGGCAACTAGCGGCCCAGCCCGAGAGCTCCAGTCACGCGGGCTGTTGTTGTTCAAACAGTCTTCCCCACGCGACTTTGCGCGTGGCTTTCGCGATTCCCGATGGTTGGTCACAACAGCACCCTCCCTACCTCGGGTTCCGGAAATAGTTGAGAAAAAAGAACGTCTCGGTAAAGCCAAGCAAACACAGCTGTTTCTGCTTCAGAATAAGGAGAAAATGTCACTCCACGGAGATCTTTTATTCTGCAGACGCAAAGCAGCTGGTTTGCCTTTGTTGTGACGCATCCACACCTCGAAGCAAGCTAAATGACGAGTTTCCAGTCCCTGCTCGTTACAAAACATCGTGTTTGCCTTGGTGTCTCTGGGGGTAATAACAGCTGTACTTTTCCCAGGCTGTGGCCCAGGCACAAGGTTTGTACAATGGATTTTGCGGGTTTGGTCCCTTGTGTTGAGCATGGCTCGTTCCCAGCCGCACGGATTTTCGTGAGGCCCAGGTGAGCAGGCTATTGTTGGCTTGTGGTGGATCCACGCTGCACAGCGGCGTGCAAGGACCCGGCCGGAGTGACATGCCTTTGGGTGGGCGGACACGTGCAGAAAGAGGTACCTCGTCATCCAGCTGCATGACGCTAGTGATGCTCGACTCTCACCGCACGGGGGACAGGGGCCCCCCTCCCGCTGCACCGGGGCCACCCACACACTTGCCTGCCACTTCTTTTTGCTTTGCTTGCCCGCACCTTCCAGGCCACAAGCTCCTGCCCGCCCACACGACCTTCGCCCACCTCACCTTGCTGCATCCATCCATGACACCCTCCAGAATCCAGGACCTTCACCAATCGCCCGCAACACATCACCCGGCACAACACGGACCGCCGCTACAGTTCAACAGCACCCAACTTCCACAGCTTGACACGCGACGACGTCAATCGACTCTCCGCGCGCATTTCTTCCTGAGCTACCCTGCCGGCTCCATCGATCAAGCGACCAGCTCGGGTGACGCCTTGCGAACCAGCCAAACGAGCTCGTCGCATCTCAGATCATCCGACCGCCCTTGCGAAGAAACTGCAACTGGACTGGCCATAAATTGTGTGGCCGTGACGGCTCCGTGGTATCACTGCTACGACTTGCTTCCCCATTCGCGCACCGCAAACGTCGCCTACTGTATGAAGATGCGAATCACAAACAGCATCGTTCACTGCTAGGCCTTATTTGGTGGACTGGATCTTGCACAACATCCACTCAGAACTCATGCGCATAATTACGCGCTCGACACATCCGACATGGAACCGCTCACATTAAAACCTCGTCAACCCGTCGAGGACAATATCGAAAACTGGGATGATGACGAGGACTTTCTCATCGACAATGATGACCTCACTTTTCGCAGCTCCTCGTCCATGACAAACTCCCATTCTCATCGCAGGGATAGTCTATCTTCGCTCCGCTCAGACCGAGAGTCATTAGGTGGCAGAGAAGAACGGCATGTTCTGTTACCCGATACCGATGAGAAATCCACTCTGGATGCCATTGCTGCCGCTGCGCATGCCGGTATTCCCCTTCCCACCAATGTCCCTTCCTCTGCTTTGATGGGGGGCACTATTAAGCGGCTTGGTGGCCGCAAAGTCAAGAAGATCTTCCAGGAAGATTGGGGCGATGACCTCGAGCTGCCTGATTCTGGTCATGCGCTGCGCGTAAAGCCCCAGGATCCAGCCAAATTCCCTGAAGCCATTCGTCAAGTGAGCGGCTCAAGCCTGATTAGCCCTCTGAAGCTCTCGTTAGCTGCCTCTCCTATGGAGAAGAGCCCCGCCCAGATGAAGATAACGCCATCGGCGAGTCCACTCAATCTGGACAGATTCCGCGATGCGGAAGGCGACAACGACGACGTTTTTGGAGAAGGCGCTGCAACCATCAAAGCACCCAAGTTACGTCTTCAAGCGAAGCCTATCTCGCTTATCACGCCTCCTACTCCACGAAAGCAAGCAGAGGAAGATGAGTTCGAGATAGATTTTGAACTTCCTTCCGATGGAAAACTCGAACTCTCAAAGAGGAAAGACATTCCTAAGACCCCGCTGGTGACCGCCAGCGACGACTTCGACTGGGGAGAGGGCAGCCTTGGAACCAGGTTTGGTGGTACAGGCCGGGGTCCGTTCTCTGCTCGGAGCTCCTCAGTCTCCGCACTTAGCCCGAGTATTGCAAGCTCAATCACCGCGGAGAGTGAGGACGAACATTTGGATGGGCTGGAGCTACCCGTTGGCCCTCTAGATCTTGGAGAACGGCTGAACCGCAGAAGAGTCTCCAAGTCGCCAGAACGGTCTGTGGTCGAGACCATCACATCTGCAGAGAAGCAGAAGGCTTCGGCACTAGCTGCCGCCGAGAAAGAGGACTTTCTCGCTGATCTCGATATTGGTGATGGCGATGTCTTCAGCTCCGCCCGGCCCACACTGCACCGCAATGTTAAGGTGAAGGAGACAAAGCCCAACAGCCCAGTGCGACCGAAGACTGCGGTCTCCATCACGTTCGGCAACAAACCTGCCTTAGCTTCGCAGACCTCGCGTTTACCTCGACCGATGTCCGGGCACGAACGTACCCATGCGCAACCATCATTAGAACCCGTGTCGGAGAGCGGCGGACCTATCGCAACGCGTCCTTCGAGGAGGTCTCAGTCTCGACTCAGCGGCCATTCTGCACACTCCTCAATATCGAGCATTCATACCCCAACGACGCCAACTGCGTCGGCTGCATTCCAACAGTCTACACCTTCACGAAGGCGTGAGCTTGGGCAGAAGGCATCGATAGGTGCCCTGCGACCAGAACCTACCACGACTAGTGCCCAACTTCTGCGACTTAAGAGGTCTCTGCCAGTTTTGCGCCCAGGTCAGTCACCAACAAAGCCACCGACGCTTACATCGTCAACCTCGGCTTCTCGGGTTGACCGTCCGCCGTCGCGAGGAGACTCCGGACGGCCGCTCTCTTTTCTGCGACCACGGACACCGGTTGACCGTAGTCGCCCTACCCACGAAAGTAGCGCCGCGATCAGCAGAAAATCACAAGCGCCATACGGGAATATCGGTGCGTCGCAGTCACAAACTGCACTCCACGGGAAATCCTCCCGCACCCTGCGCCGACATGACTCGGACCTTGGCCCCGAGTTCCGGCCCATGTCGCGTACAGCTTCTCGGAGCATGATGCGATCACCTAGCCCCAGACGAGCACGTCATGAGAAGCACTCGTCCGAACCTAGCTGGTCGCAATTGAGCAAGCCACGGAGAGCAAGGGCTTTTGGGGACGGGCACGAACTTGATGCGTTCGATGACCTTCCCACCTCTGCACATGCAGAGTCGAAATTTACCAAGCCGGCCGTGGGTTTTGGCAGCAGGGGAAGCATTCGCAACAAGATCTATCAAAACGTTCTTCCTGATAGAAACACACCTAGCCCTGTATCACCGTACTCTCCACTCCGTCATGACCACACACCGCACTTTGCACGCGACACCGCTGCTAGCCGCAATGCTCGTGAGGCGAACCTGGCGCAGCGAGCTTCCCCGGCGGCTCCTCTTGCTCCACTCACCACTCAGCGAGTCGCGCAGCTCACTTCGAGGACGATCCACGAACGAAATCTTCCTGTTTCCCCCCACGCGCACACTTTGCGGCCAAAAAAGACACGCAAGCCGCCGCAGCTGAAACCCCATCTGATCTCAAATCTGACTGGGGCCAAGGAAACAAAAGGTTCGTACAGAGCGGCACCATCCCTGACCAAGGCGCACAATCTCTTTTTCTAGTACGAAATGCTGACACATAGTAGTGGTCAATGGCATGACATACAACCCGGTGACCTTCCGTTGGGAAGGGAACGAGAACGCCCTTAGTGCATTCAACCTTCCAGCATCATCGCCACTGGCGATCTCTGTCCCGCCACACTCAGCACGCGAGAAGGAGACATTGACGCCAGGTCCTGTGCTCATCAAGGACATAAGCTCGAGCAAGATGCGGAAGCAGGTCGGAGACATGGTCTTTGACCCTCAGAATATGTGCTGGATCAAGGTCCAGTCGGAACAAAACACACCCACACCCCGATCTAGCGATCCACTAGATGGGTTCCAGGTCATCGAAGACGAGGACCCGTTCAAGGACATCCCTGACCTAGAAGAGAAAGAAGCATCGTCGGGCAACGTCACTAGAGGTCGGGTCAGCGACGTCAACGATGAATGGATGGTTGGAGAAGAATTTGATGTTGGCCCCGAGTTCATCCGGCGCCAGCGCGAAGAGGAAGACAGGTGGCGCAAGAAGTGCGAGAAGTGGGTGAGTGCATCGACACGCGACCAGGACGCTTGGAGATGGGCAATTCGCGACATCATCTCGAGCGGCTAAGAAGACCGCCCTTCAACGCCTTTCCGTGTCCCCCACGGGAGCACGCTAATTGCACCGTATCGGTGCACAATTGGGACTTCTTCATTACGATATTTTAATGACAGTGGTTGGTTATGCCACTGCTGCGCGCAATCATTTTCAGTTACGACATCGAACACGCACCCCGAATGGTCAGCAACACTCTGGATACCAGGCGCACATTTGCATTCCGGGAACCTTGATCAACTTCACTGGTCATGCACGAGGCTTTCTAGCATTGCTCTCTTGGAACATTTTTGGGGTTTTCTTTTTTTATGATTTACTTTGGAGGGCTTGTATTTGGTACCTTAATGAGTTACGACACACGCTTATGACATGTTAACGCAGTTATGAAAAGGAGGACTCCGTCCACACGGATGTATTTCTAGCCTTAGACGGGCGGGAGGCGTTTGGATCTGCTCGTAGCAATAGCTACCAGTACATCAAAAAATTGATTTGGCATTGCGCCTGTTCTATGATCGTTCAACCAGCTTCATACAATCGCTTCAATCTGTTGTAACATTTGTGCGCCCTTTGGCCTTAACTTGATGTGCCTAGACACAAGGGTGATGTTGCGATATCGGGCCTCTTTTCACCTTTAGGTGATGACACATTTGGGCCCCGTCGGATAAATCACGGTGGCAACATTTGCTTTTCGAGTAGAATGCGATACCATCTCTACCTAGTGTCGCCCTCGGCGAACTTCTGCGACCAGAAAAAGCGGCGGAAGGTCTCGCTACCAGTCTTGGAGATGTCCTCGACCTCCTTTGGCGTGAGCTTGAAATTTGGAATGTTGCAGGTGTAACTGTTGATGCGTGTCTCGTTTGAGCTTGTGGTGATGGCAACGATGCCCTGGTCGATGCACCAGCGCAGAAGGACGTCGGCCTCGTTAACGCCGTACTTCTTGGCCAAGCCCGGGAGCAGGCCGCTCGCGTGGAGAGGCCCGTCCGGGGCGCGGATGACGGGGCTCAGGGGAGCGTAGGCGCTGATGGCAATGCCCTTGTCCCGGCACAGCTGGATGACTTGCTGCCGCTGGTAGTAAGGGTGGAACTCGATCTGGTTGATGGCGGGGACGACCTTGACCTTGCCGCCCGAGAAGAGCATCTCAATGTCCTCGGCGAGGAAGTTGGACACGCCGATGCTGCGCGCCTGGCCAGAGGCCTTGATGGCCTCGACCTCGGCCCACAAGCCCTGGAGCCTCGCCGGGTCGCCGCCCGCCATGGCTGGGTGGTGGACCAGGTACAGGTCTACGTAGTCGAGGCCGAGGCGCTCGAGGGAGCCCGTGAGTATCTTGTCGACCTGCCCGATGTGTTCGGGCTTGTTGTCGAGCTTGGTGACGACGTAGAGTGCGGACCGGTCCACGCCGCTCTGGGCAATGGCCCTGCCGAGCTCCTTCTCGTTGCCATACACTTTTGAGGAATTGTCAGTCACATTGGTACCCTGTTCAAGGAAAGAAAAGAACGAAGGTGAACTGGGTCAGCTACAATGGGGCAACGCACTCTCGGCACCGTCGAGGTGGAAGAAGCCAGCCTTGATGGCGGTGATGGTGGCCTTGATGACATCATCTGCGGCCTGCTTGGAGTTTGCGGTGCCGAGACCGTATGCGAGCTTTGATTTTTGTGGATGAGGATTAGCATTGCCAGACATCTAGCAAGCAAGCAAGCAAGAACAAGCAAGCAGTGCCGGCATCATGGGGACTGTAGCGCACCATGGGGATCTTGTTGCCGTCATTGAGCTCGAGCATGGGGACAGCTCCGTGCTGCTTGGGGGCGGTACCCGAAGGGTCGGACCGGAATGCGGAGGCGATGGAATTCATGGTTGCATGTGCCAGGGGATACAGTGCTGGGGGGCTATATTGAAGGAAAGAATGGTAACCAGGACGGCCGTGGGGAGCCCGAGGTGGGAGATGTTGCGTTCAAGTACTGGGCGATGTGCAGATGCTGGTGGATGGCACACTGCTGACTGAGGCCCGGGTGCATTTCCGCGATCGTAAAGCAGGTGCGCGTACCCGGCTGGCGTTAGTTACGTTTTAGTTAGCTAGTGCAGCTTCCTCGTCGAGGCTGGATCGAGACTGGCGTGCATGCCAGGGCGGAGGAGTTCCGAAGGGTTGCATCACCAGCGCCGTGCGTGCAGCTCCATCTCCTCCGTTTGTCGGAGCCACATCCGGGGGAGGGGCATGCATCGGCAAGGCCACGTCCAGGGCCGCCGCCTCTTCCTGGGGAGCCCGAGAGCTGCGACAGCCCAAGCATGGCGCCTCGCTTTGGTCCAGTCTTGATCATGCCGGCATTGACGTGCACAGAGGACGAGACGCCTCGCCTGCCGACCGACCATGGCAGCTCCAACAGCTCCAACAAAGGCCTGCCTCGGCCGGCGTGGCAGCTCCGGTGCGGGCGGACCCCGCGGCCCGCTCGCCACCTTGGAGAGCTCGTCATCCCTCCACCCGTCATCTCTACGCAGCGAGCGAGCCACGACCTGCAGGCATGCTATTTCTCCCCGTCTTTTCGCCTCTTTCCTCTCACTTGATCAATCCTGCTCAACCCACACGGTGCTACCTCGACTTATACTTGCTTGCCATCCTCACTCGCATCTTCAACTGCGCCACTCCAAGGGGCAACGTAGTCCTTTCTCCCCTTCGTCAAGCCGCTGATGCTTCGCAGAGCACGGCCCGCGCCCATTCTTCGCACGTTCTCGAATCTGCCCGTACGCTCAATCCTACTGTCGCATCACACACGCCTGGTCTACATGGCCGCACACCCGTCGTCCTCGCCCCCGGCCGGCGCAGGCAACGGCGCTCCGATCAACGACATCCCCAAGACCTGGAACTTCACTTCAAAACTGCCCGCAGACAAGGTCTTTCCGACCCCGGCCGACTCCCACAAGACACCACGCGAAGATATCGGCCCCCGACAGGTCCGCGATGCCATTTTCACCTGGGTCCGGCCCCAGCCTGTCGAGTCCCCAGAGCTCCTCGCAGTGAGCCCCGCCGCCATGCGTGATCTGGGCATCCGTCGTGGCGACGAGGAGACCGAGGACTTTGTGCAGACCGTTGCGGGCAACAAGATCCAGGGTTGGGATGAAGAGACGCAGACCGGCGGCTATCCCTGGGCACAGTGCTATGGCGGCTTTCAGTTTGGTTCATGGGCGGGGCAGCTTGGCGATGGTCGTGCCATCTCCTTGTTCGAAACAACAAGACCGGCAACGATAGCGTCCAACAACGGGGCACCTGAAGATACCGACAACGACCAGCCTTCCCTCCGAGCCCCCCCTGCCGCACCTGTCCGATACGAGCTTCAGCTCAAAGGCGCCGGGTTGACGCCGTACAGCCGCTTCGCGGACGGCAAGGCGGTCCTGCGCAGCAGCATCCGCGAATTCGTCGTCAGCGAGTACCTCCATGCCCTTGGCATCCCATCAACACGGGCGCTCAGCTTGACGCTGCTGCCGAAGGTCAAGGTGCGTCGTGAGGCCCTCGAGCCTGGCGCAATCGTGGCGCGCTTTGCGCAATCCTGGCTGAGGATCGGCAACTTTGACATCCTCCGTGCGCGCGGCGATCGCGATCTGATCCGCAAGCTCGCGACATATCTCGCCGAGGATGTTCTGGGTGGGTGGGAGACACTACCCAGTCGTCTGACGGATCCTGAGAAGGCTACAGACACTGCCAACACGGTCGAAAGGGGTGTCCCGAAGGATGCCGTTGAAGGTCCGGAGGGGGTGGAGGAGAACAGATTTGCACGGCTATATCGGGAAGTTGCGCGGCGCAATGCTGTGACTGTGGCCAAGTGGCAGGCTTACGGGTTCATGAATGGCGTTCTCAATACGGACAATACGTCACTGTTTGGCCTCAGCATCGACTTTGGGCCGTTCGCGTTTATGGACAATTTCGACCCGCAGTACACACCAAATCACGACGACTACCAGCTGCGGTACAGCTACAAGAACCAACCGACCATCATTTGGTGGAACCTCGTGCGTCTGGGCGAGTCTCTGGGCGAACTTCTTGGGGCTGGACCCCGCATCGACGAGGAGGGTTTTGTCAAGGACGGCGTCAAAGAGGAAGAAGCTGAGGGCATTATCAAGCGCGCAGAGAAGATCATCATGCAGACTGGGGAGGAGTACAAGGCCGTGTTTCTCGCTGAGTACAAGAAAACCATGTCTGCTAGGCTGGGCCTGCAGACGTCTGCGGAGTCGGACTTTGACGAGCTCTTCAGCGAGCTGTTGGACAGCATGGAGGCTCTGGAGCTAGACTTCAACCTCTTCTTCCGCCGGCTGAGCGGCATCAAGACCAGCGAGCTCGATACGGAGGATGGCAGGCAAAGCAAGGCCGATGTGTTCTTCTATGAAGATGGGGTCACGGGCATTGGTGGCAACGCAGAGGCGCGCAAACGGATTGGGGCCTGGCTGGACAAGTGGCGGCAAAGGATTGTCGAGGACTGGGGCTCTGGAGAAGACGCCGAGCAGAAAAGGCAGGCGGCGATGAAGAAAGTGAACCCAAACTTTGTTCCACGAGGTTACATCCTGGACGAGGTGATCCGGCGGGTGGAAAAGGAAGACGAGCGGGAGGTGCTGGAGCGTGTCATGACGATGGCGCTGCACCCCTTCGAGGAGTCGTGGGCTGGCAGGACGTTTGACGGGCAGGAGAGGCCGTACGAAGGGGACGAGGCTGAGGAGACGAGGTGGGTTGGCGACCCGCCGCGACAGGCACGGGCGATGCAGTGCAGCTGCAGTTCATAGCGTGGCGATATTCGAGTGTAGTACCTCCAGGGACGTATCTATGGACTTTGATAACTTCCTTCGTCGTCGTTAACAACCTGCCTGGATGAGATGCTCGTCTTGGGTGGTGCTGTCTTTTCGCGGGCAGGGGCACCGGATGGAGCGGATGGCCGGCACGTGCCGGGAGCCCCAAGCGCAATGTTGTGGGTGGGGCTTTGGGACCCTTCTGCAACAGGGGTTGTCACGGAACAAATGGGGCGAACCATCCATCACTCGAGCACTTGCATCTGCCCATCCTGCATACTGGTGACGAACCTTGACATGCTGGGGGACTCATGTGTACAGTAAAGATGATGAATGCCCACGGCATGGGTGTTTTAAGCAAGAGCAGATGATGACCTGGTAGGTACGTTAGGTAGGCCCACACGCAGCCTGAAGAACAGCCTGTCTCGCTGCTTCCTGGAGCAAACACTCCCACGGCCAGTGGTGATTGCGTGTTCGGGCTTCCAGTGCGAGATGGGGTACGCGTAACCGGCGCTCGGCGCAGCTTGGCCTTCCACGCCATGCAAGGAATTACATCTCTTTGCATTCCTATCCCTTGAGGAAACTGCCTTTAACCAGCTTTGGTCTCTTCCTCTCTCCTCCTTCGTTCCTCATCCCCTTCCGCATCACCACTCGTCATGCCAGGCGTCCTTCTCTGGCGCGTTGCCAGGCATCTTGCCGCTACTGCCGTCACCACGTCGTCCACCGTACGGCGAGCCTCCGAGACTGACAGCAATGACATTCTCTCCTTGCTCGCCCAGCTCCCCTTGCCAGACAACTTCTGGCTGTGGGCTGTGTTGTTGATCCTCAATCTTCTCTATATTGTGCCCCTGTGCATCTACGTAAGTCTTTCTGATTTGTACGCCGACAAGGTGATTTTGACTTCGCCCCGCGCAGTGTGTTCCCGACACTATTATTATGCACGACCAGTGAGATGCGCTCCTCGCAGCCACATCCCCCGTCCTGCTACCAATCATCTTATTCGCCTTCTGACTGCGTGCTCACTTTTACATCTCGTAGCTGTCTTACGCAGTCAACAATCTGTGGCCGCTGCTTTGTATCGTCGAGTCCAGTGCCCCTTCAGCATACGAGCGCATTGCCCTAGCGGATATCGAGGAGGAGGATGGCCATGCAAAGGACAGCCCCGCCCTGGAGGCTGGCCACGATCACGACGACGACAGCAACGACGACAGCAATGGCAGCCACCCGTTACACGTCACAGACTCCGTCCGCGCCCTGAATAGGAGGCTCTACTCCATCGCCGGGTGGTTCTCTCTTCTCCGTGGCTTGCGACCGCACATGCTCTTCAACTTCGCTTGCCTTGTCATCTCGAGCCTGCTGGCTTGCATCCCCTTCATGCCAAGCGTGCTCGCGGTCGCTCTTGCGCCCCTCTTGACCGTTCAGCTTTATACCACATGGGTGCACATCGCCATCTCGGCGCCTCGTCACGACTCTCTCTTCCAACGCTTGCCACCATTCAAGCAATGTTTTCGGATAACAGCACTGCCAACCCTCGTCCTTTGGTTGGCAGTCGCCTTCTCGCAGCAAGCGCCGTGGCTGGTATTATCCGCCCTAGATCCAGGAATGGCAGACCTGACGGGCACGGACGTGACTGAGCTCCAAGTTTGGAGTGGCAGTGCTCAAAGCTTTCTGGTTCTTGCTGCTGTAGCCTTGGCCTACTTCTTGCCATCTATCTTGCTCGTCGTTCCAGCGCATATGGTTCTCACACGCGTGCAAGCGTCGATGCTGCCACCGAATGATGTTCCCATTGTGAATATGGATGAGCAGCTCCGACCGCACCATGAAAACAACAAGGAAGCCAAAAGCGGTCTTTGGCAAGGAGTATCAATGCTTGAAGCATGGCAGTCATTCCCATATTCGAGCTGGATACGACTCGTCAAGATGTACGGCAAGATGCTCCTCGTCACGGTCGTTGCAGAGTTGTTCATGGCTGCAGCCTTAATTGTACAGTTCATGCTTCTCTTACCTGGAAGTGGCTTAGAACTTGGTCCGCCGAGTTTGGCCTCTCCTTCTACGACAAGGTCTTGAGTTCGCAACGGCTACGCGCGCTCGTCGTCTATTTTGCATCTAGATAGTTAGCCTGAAATTGAACAATTGTAATTCATTAACTTATGGTCAAAATTCCGAGCCTTGCACCGTTTGGAAATCCCCAAATACAGTTCTGCAACATGCTCATGTCGATACAAAATGGCGGCCATGACGCCTGCCGAAAGACGTTGAGTACGGGATAGCTGCGAACGAGAAGGAGGAGCCTGTAGTGATACACTCAGGCACACCCAAAGCCTTTTCCCCGATCTTGGGTATGCAAAGCCAAGCAGCTTCCAGGTCTCATTCGGCGTCGTCCGTCCAGCCAGGTTACTCGGGAATCTGCGCACGGATCTCGACAGCGTGTTTGTACTGTGCGCAGATGCTTGAATCCTTCTGCTTCTTTTGCCTGGCCGGACAAAGCTGTGTTTGCCCGTTCGCGGATTCAAGCCACTTCAATTGTGCGAAAGAAGTCCTACACATCGTCAAAGACACGCTCGAGACCACAAAACCGCCTCGGGGCCGACGTCCTAGAAATATGCTTATTATTCTGCCGCTTGGTTTGAACGACAGTCGGACCGCCTTGTTCACCGAAAACTGAAGAGTTTCAGCGCCTACAGAACAATACGCAAACCATCTCGTGTCTCAATGGGAAACGATCCAGGAAACAGACGCACACGGCCAACGACGAAGCTTCCAACAAAAAGCTTTTGTTTTGTGTAATCGCCAGACATGTTGTCGGTCAAGAACCATAGGCGTGATTGTGGGCGTGGGATATATTCAGGAGGATGTTCGTCTTTCGGAAAACCGGTTTCTTTTCTCCTTACAACCAAGAGGAAGACGAATGCAACCAAAGCGAAACAGACCTACCGCCACCTTGCCATTTTCAAACCGCTTATTCTCACCACTAACAGCACCATTGAGCACGGCACGGCCACTGAGCTCGAGGAGCGTGTTGTATTGCCTCACATTGAGGCAACTAAACCCTTGACAGACACTGCTTCAGTTCGGACGACCCTTGAGATCTAGTCGAGATGGATTACAGCCGAGGATGGTCAGCGCAAATGCAGCCAAATCTCAGCCAGAGAACTCGTCTTCAAAACAGCTCGAGCAGCGGCAGACCAGTTTCACGATCAGGTCTTCTCCCTTATGGCCCAATTTCCACGCCACTGTCCGGTATTCCCCCACACATGCCTCAAGGCTCTGGCCGTCCATATCCCGGTGGATATCTGGGTCCGAACTACCCGTATCAAGCGGCAGCATGGCCACAACCTGCCGTGCAGCAGCCCATGCCGCTGATGTCTCCAAGCCAGTACTCTATGCCTTCTGGTAACCCCTATCCAGTGGCCAACCACTGGGGGTTTCCAGTCCAAGCTTATTTGCCGCCGAGTCAGCAAATAGTCCACGGCACGCAACCAGGGAGCCAGATAAACCTGAACTCGCAAGACGAAGCTTCTCTCTCGGTCATGGCTGGGCTGTCGTCTGTCGACTCGAGTATTGACCAATACTTCAGCAGCATGGGCGCTGCCCCCAACAGTACCGGCAGCATACTCAACGCCGGCAGAGGGCTCGCCCTTGGCACACCTGTACAAGCCCAATCACTCCAGCCGCAGCCTCCGCAAAGCAGCTTAGACCAGACAGATGGAAGCAGCAGTTCCTCCGCTCCACAGCCCTTCCGTATCACTGGACCAGTCGAGGGACTGTCGCTCCACAACTCCAACGATAGCAACAACAACAGCAACGGGGCACACGAGCCTCAGAAAACAGTCCAAACAAGGCTTCCACAACAAGCTATCACGGGCCAGAAGAGAAGCCGGGAGACGTCGAGCAGTCGCGGACAACGACCAGGAGACTCTGCAACAACAACAAAGCCGGCGAAAGAAGAACGGGAGGGAAACAACCCACCGCGTGAGGAGAAGAAGAGTGGTATCCAAGCTGCCGTCGACAAGGGTAAGAAGAGAGCGGCGGGGGAGTCTACCGCTCCTCCCACGAGCAAACGGCAGAAAGCCGCGACCAACCTGGGGGAAGGAGTCACCGCTGCCAGGCAAGGCTTGCCAAGGGATGGCGATTATGGCCACGGGCTGTCCTCGAGGCAGGAAGACGGAACGGAGGATGAGCACGTCGATGCTGCTTTCAAGGTAGAGCCAGCCCTGAACTCCATCAAAACCAAAAGCCGTGAAATGGTGGCGGGGCAGTGGCCGGGGAGCCAAGCGCCTGTCAAGGGCAGCAGGCTTCTGCTGAAGAACTACCGCCGGGTCTGCGACGAGTGCGTTAAGAGGCGGATCCGGTGCAGTTTCGCCACCGAGCCGCGGCCCAGAGGCGAAGATGTCACGAACCTGGGACTGACCTGTGAGCAGTGCCAGGCCGGAGGGAAGAGTTGCACGACCGCCAAGCCCAAGAAGAAGCGAGGCCCGGAGGAGGGCTGGGCGCTCAGTCCCCGCCTGCTCGAGATGTTGCGCAGGGACGACGAGCAGCTGCTCTATCGCTGGTGCTCAAGCGTGCTCTTGAGCGACCACCTTGTGGGCGAAGGTTTTGTGGGCGACAATTTCGATTACCTTGTCAGTACCAAGGCGATACCGCTCTCTGAAGGATGGGCAGAGACTCGGCTGTCAAAAGCCTTGAGGCTGAAGGCGAAGGAGCAGCTCCCAGACACGGAAGTCACAGGCAGTGCAGGAACTACAATTCGAATCACAAAGACTACAGACAGGCGCGATCCGAGATACCGCCTCGCGACGGACCTGCTCGATCGTCGGCAGCATGTAGCCGGTGAAGAGATCCGGAAACAGGAGATCGGGCTGGAAGTCGAGATCATCAATGCGTTCAACGTGAAGTGCGCGAGAACACACAAGACGGGCACATTGGCCTCAAGCTCTGGCACGATCCCGAGCTTGCCGCTTGTGGATATGATGCCGCCGAATGGGACAGCTCGTCCCGCCGAAATACAATCTTCACCACAGGAGGCTCTAGAGAAGAAGAAGACGAGTATTTCGGGTGATGCTCTGGACGAAGATGCTGTTCATGATGGAGGAGACTGCAAGACCGTCCAAAGTCCTCGGGAAAGGCAGCAGCCGCCAGCAGCATCTCTGCCTGTCACACATACCGAAAACACCACCACAGGCACCGTTCTCCAGGCACCGCCGTTACAGGGAGACTACGGCGAGGACGTCACGGTCCAGAAGGGTGACTCGCTCGTTTTCCCCGAAAACAGCCTCGGCTTCGACGATCTCTTCGGCCCCGAGATTGACACTGGCGACTTCAGCGGCAACGGCAGCAGTCTGTTTGATCTCGAGGCGGACACCACAGCGATGACAGGTGACACGAGCACTGCAAGCTGGATGGACCCCTCCACGGAGCTAGACTTCTTCTCGACGCCCTGGGACGGCGCGCTTGACTGCGAGACTTTGGACTTTTAATCACAGCCCCTGCAGGGCCTTCTTCTGTTGGACAACCTTACCGACCGAACTGAAGCGAGCTGCGACGGGAGTGTCTTGTCACATCTGACGTTCGTTGGCACAACTAGTCTAGATACCCTTGTTCATTTTCATTGGAGCGCTATGTTGAGTGGTCGTACTGCTGTATTTTGAAAATGCCGATGAGGGACGCCTTCACACAATGCGCGCTTCTCCGTCCACGGGTGCTGTACGTGTTCGCTGCCCTAATTGTGTGGCAAATGCGCTGAATGAAATGGCTGTTGTACCTGATGTCCGCCTTCGAGGCGGTTTCCCAACACAGATCTAGCCACATAATCAAGACAAATGTGCAATCGAACATGCCGTGTTTTGCTTTCTTGTAATCTTGATTCCTCTTCTTTCTTCGTTCTGTCTCGTCTGTATATCTTGCCTCCGCGCCGCCTCAAGCCTGCCGCCTCGTGCTATATGTACAGTATGGTGTGCATGTGGGCGTGTAGTGGCTCCCCATTCTTGGAAAAGAACAAATGGAACAACTCGAGAAAACGAATCGAGAGCTCATGATACACAGCTTTTGCACCCCTCCCAGACCACCACTTGTCCACCTCCCAAGACGCCGCGGCCCAGGCCCCAATATTACTCGTCCCAAGCTTGTGACTAAGTCTACGCGCCATAAGCGACCTGGCCCATAGGCTTATCTTCTGTCATGCCAGGAGCCATGAAATCTGTCTTAGGGTTGCCGGTAGCCTTGGCTGCTGAGCAACGAGCCATTGTCGGCGAACTGTTTGTGACTTGATTAGCATTTGGGCACACGAATGGAGGCTAGACGAGGTAGAAACTAACCTTCTAGAAATCACGTCGGTAAAGTAGAAGTCCTTGATGGGGTTCTTGAGGGGCTCGCCGGTAGGCTTCGCGCCCTTGTTCTGGTCCACAAGCTGCACCTTGCTCAGCTGCTGCAATGACGTGGGCTCAATAACGTCGTATGCGGTAAGGGCGGGGCTGATCTCGGCCATACGGTCACGAAGCTGAGCGACGTCGTCGTAGGGCAGAGGTGCGCCGAGGAACTCGCTGACGGCGCGGATGATCTTCCAGTCTGTCCGGGCCGCACCGGGTAATGAGGTGGCAGCACGGGTCATCTGGACACGGCCCTCTGTGTTGATGTAGGTACCAGCCTTCTCGGTGTAGGTGGCACCAGGAAGGACAACGTCGGCAATTGCGGCACCGCGGTCGCCGTGGTGGCCCTGGTAGACCACAAAGGCGTCCTTGGGAATGTCGGCCTCGTTGAACTCGTCAGCACCGAGGAGCCAGACCATCTTGGGGACGGTCTCGGCAACTGCAGCGTTGGGAACGGTGAAGCCGACCTCGAAGGCACCAGCCCTGGAAGCAGCACGCTGGAGAATGTTGAAGCCGTTGTGCTCAGCGGTCTGGAAGTTGGCGGCATTCTTGTCGGTGAATGTGCCCACAAGCTCGTAGAAGGCCTTGGCGTCGGCGTGGTCGGTGACCGCGGACCCGAGAACAATCATGGGCTTCTTGGCGGCTGCCAGCTTCTTCCCGAAAGGTCCAGCCAGCGCCTTCTTCAAGGCAGCAAAGTCTGTGCCGAGATGCTCGAATTCGAAAGTGGAATCCCAGGTCTCGCCGACAACACCAATCTCAAGATCCGATCTCATCCACTGCTTGCGAATACGGGCATTGAGCACCGCAGCCTCGTGCCTAGGGTTGGTGCCAACCAGGAGAAGGCAGTCGACATCCTCAATACCCCAGATCTTCGAGTTAAACAGGTAGTTGGAGCGCACATCGACACCGTGAGCAATGGGCTGGTTGCCAGAAGGCATGTCGAGGGCGAGGTTCTCAGAGCCGAGCTTGTTGGCCAGCTCCTTCATGGCAACCAGGGACTCTACCTCGGTCAATTCGCCAGCAATGACCTTGAACTCGTTACCCGAGGGGGCGAGCTGACGGTGGGCGGCCGAAATCTCCATCAGGGCCTGCTCCCACGAAGCCGGCTCAAACTTGCCGTCACGCTTGACGAGAGGCATGGTCAAGCGCTGCGTCCTCAGACCATCACAGGCGAACCGAGTCTTGTCGTTGATCCATTCCTCGTTGACATCGTCGTTCAGTCTGGGCTGGATGCGCATGACCTCGAGGCCACGCGAGTCGACACGGATGGCGGAACCGAGACCGTCAAGGACATCGATAGACTCGGTCTTCTTCAACTCCCAGGGACGAGCGCGGAAGGCATAGGGCTTTGAGGTAAGGGCACCAACAGGGCACAAATCGATGACGTTGCCGGAAAGCTCGGAGTCGAGGTTCTTCTCGAGATAGGTGCCGATCTGGATGTCGTTGCCACGACCGGTCGAGCCCATCTCGGGGGCACCGGCGATATCGTTCGAGAACCGAATACATCTTGTGCAGTGAATACACCTGTTCATGGAGGTCTTGATGAGGGGGCCAATGTTCTTGTCCTCGACAGCACGCTTGCCGCCAACCTCGTGGAAGCGACCTCTATCGCCGCCGTAACGCATGGACTGGTCCTGGAGGTCACATTCGCCACCCTGGTCGCAGATGGGGCAGTCAAGGGGGTGGTTGGCGAGGAGGAACTCCATGACACCCTCGCGGGCCTTGTGCGTGAGCGGGGAGTTGGTCTTGACAACCATGCCGGGCTGGACGGGCCACGCGCAGGAGGCAACGGGCTTGGGGGCCTTCTCGACCTCGACGAGGCACATACGGCAGTTACCGGCAATCATGAGCTTCCTGTATTGCATGTAAGTTCGAGATCGTAGGGTAAAATAATTGCGTTCTTTCGGAGGCGGTTTGGATATCGGACGTACTCATGGTAGCAGTATCTAATAAATAAATTAGCATCACATCGTGCAGCCGGATGTTCTGAGAATCTGGAAATTGGACATACCTTGGGATGGTGACACCAGCCTTCTCACAGGCCTGGATAAGAGCCGAGCCGGCTACAGTTCCGAGTCAGCACCATGTCTAAATTCGAAGCCCGTCTTCCCAAACAGAGTCTTGGCATAGTCATGACCCAAAATCGGAATCGTGGAGTTGGTGCCTCGTAGCGTACCTTCAACGGAGACCTTCTTGCCATCTGCAGAGCCAAACATGTTAGCAAAAGTTTCGCCAATCGCCCTGTAGCCCCCCATAAATATTCGCTGGTCCTCGGTTGTCGTCGACGTACCGATGGTGAGCTCGACCTCGGCAGGCCGCTGGACAGAGGCGGAAAATGCCCTCGCGGAGACGCGGGCGGCGTGCCTCCGGGACTGCCAGGCCGAACGGGCCAGAGACTGTCGCAGCATCGTGTCGTTGCTCCTGGCTGGCAGGAACAGAGCTGGGCGGCGCAGCAGCGGAAGTCGGGGGAGTGTGCGGTGGTGTTGGCGAGGAGAGGCGAGGGCCGTTGCTGGAGGGGGGGCGTGCAAGCCTTTCGACGACGACGTTGACGTTGACGACCTGGCTCTGGAGGCGAATTGCTGGGCTGGTGCTGCAGGCCGGCCGCCAGTGTCTGCGCTATTCCAGCTTGCCCAGGCTGGTTGCTGCCAGCCAGGGCGGGTTTCCACCTCTGGCCCAGTGAATCTTTCCAAATCCACCAGCTCTGATTGGCGAATTGGACGGCCGGCTGTGGCTACCTGGCACTGGGCATGGCCGAGGGCGTGGGCCTGCCGGTGCTGGAATTGTCATCCTCCCACCGACCCCTGCACGCCGCTGGGCAGGCTCGGACGGGTGGAGCTTGAGCCACAGCAGCCTACGCGCAGCAACAGCTTTGAGCCACTCTGGTCCAGCTCCAGCCACGCCAGGCAGGGGAGGCCCACCCCTCCACCCTGGCCGCTCCAGCAGCACAAAACCGCACGACGCAGGCTCTGCTTCTGGTGGTTCTTCTTCCTTTCCTCTCCATATTGTACCACGGGCACATTTTATTGTAGGTGAGCTTGAGCGGCGGCGCATCCGTGCGACGTCTGCTACAGTCGAGTCTTCCTCTATCTTGTGCTCCAGACCAACACCAACTCTTTCTGGAGGAGGGAACGCCGATTATGGAAGCATGTGAGGCAGGCTCCTCGGAGGGCCTGCTCAAGGATCGCTGCCTCTTACCGCCGGTCGTTACATTCCAGCCTGCGATTATGTCCTGGGTTTTCTTCGTAGATCATGATTGCCTGCTTGCCTCAAACAAAGTATGAAACGTGACTGGCCCTCGGATGGCGCACCTCACCTGCCGACGAGTGTAATGGAACGTGGAGCTTCACAGATGTCGCGAACCATGGATGGTCGCTGCTAGTGGTTGCACCACAAGTTTGAGCTTCTCCAGGAGCTTTGCCAACCTATTTTACATCTGCCAAGGTCCATGCCAGCCAGCCACGTCTGTCACAATGCGGACTTGAAATCTGCATGGCCAGCTCGGCCCTTCCATGTCCTCCCAGCACAAGGACGATACAAAGCAAGCATGAGCACAAGCCTCACAGTCGACGCCATCTGGCGGCCCATGACCCTCGAGGATGTCCCTCTCGTCGTGGCCATCGCAGACGCCGTCCATCCAGACCTCCCCGAGGACGCGGCAGTCTTTGCTGAGCGCATCAGGCTCTTCCCGGCAGGCTGCCACATCCTCGTGCCACAAAAATCACGAGAACAACGACAGGCCAGCGACAACAAGTCGCAAGCCACCACTGCCGGCCTAGGCTACATAATATCCCACCCAATCCCCAAGAATTGCCCGCCCAGCTTGAACACCCTCCTTGGCACCCTGCCCCTCCTTCCCACGGCGAACGACAACAATGCAGAGCAGCAGCAGCAGCAGCAGCAGTACTACGTCCACGACCTTGCCCTGGTCGCCGCAGCTAGGGGTCGGGGCTTCGCCGCCAAGGGCATCGCGGGCGTGCTGCATGGCCCGGACGCGCCGGCTTTGCAGTATCCTATGACTTCCTTGGTCTCCGTGTACGGGACCGCACCGTTCTGGCGGCGGCTGGGGTTCGAGGAGCAGGATCTACGGGCACAATCTCGAGATACAGATCATGTCCCCGCCCTGGTTGCGAAGCTGCGGGATTACGGCAAAGATGCAGTGTACATGGTCCGGCAGAATTCTTGATCGCGAGTGTCTATGTACAACCAACCTTGGAAGTCTCAAGCAAAAGCCGTGGGTGGCTGGTGTTATGTAGATGCGTCGATTGTACATCATTCCCATATACCGTCACACATGTTTCCGCGTGGGAAACGGTACCTGTCAATATCGTTCCTAGGACTGTGCAAAGAGATGGTCGAGCCGCTGCTGAAATTGGAAAGCATATCATAAAATTCTTCTCGTGTCTATTCTACATGCAGGGCATAATGATAGTCAAGCTGCATCCCCAGCGGCGTTTCTTTGCATGGGAAGAACATCGAGACATCTCAATCGAGCCCTGTTCCCTCTTTCCCCTTTACCACCAGAACGTGCCCCATGACCGCGACTACGAAGTACAATGAATGTCATCAGACCACTTTTGTGTCCACCCAGAAATCTGCAGCAGGTAGAAAATGCGAAAGCGGCTCCTGGAGCCGTCCAAGTTAACAGTGCAGCTGTCGAGTACAAGATGGTGGCCGTTGCCGAAGAGCAAGAACGCCTAGGCAATGCGAAGAGGCTTGAGTGACCGCGAAATCATAAAAGGCATGGGAAGGGTTCGACTCTATGCATAGAGTGGCACACTTCTTCGTTGCGTCCCTCAGCACGGGCAACTAGTAGTTGTGGTGACGAGCTGCTTCGCGAACACGGTTGGCCATGTTCACCATCGAAGAGATGTGCTTCAGAATGTTGTCGTTTGGCGCACGGCTACTGATTTGCAGATACAGGTGCTCCAGTCTGGACACGAACTGGCCCATGATATTCGGGACGACCTCGCGAACTTGAGAATCCTGCGGGCGAATGTTAGCAAAATGGGCGTACATGAGTCTGTGCTTACGAACAACTTACAATATGCGGCATAGACGATAGTAGATTGTGGAGAATGATCTCGAGCCAGTTGACCTTGTCACGGGTGTGCGAGTGCTCGAGGTTCTCGGAGATGACGGAGCCAACTGAAAGGAGTACCAGTGCAGGGAGCTCCTGTAGGAAGTTGGCCTTGAACTTGACAATGTACTGGTCAAAGACCTCCTGCTTGCGCTCTCCTTGCAGCCAACGGACAAGTGCCGTCTCGTAGTCTCCGGCCTCCATGTGTGAAGCAATATTGCCGATCAGATCTTGCAGCTCATGGTCGATGTTGCTCTGAGCTTTTGTTGGGTACGGCACGAGTGCGCGGCTGTTAGGGTTGCTCGCGGGAGAGTCGTACCCCTGCGAATATTGTGAAGGCGCAATCTGCTGGTGGCCAGGCGCGCCTTGACGCAGAGACATCTGGTCCTGCATCTTCAAGAAGCTATCTTGAAACTGAGCCTGTGTTGTAGCCATTGCGGACACAGTATCCGAAAGTCGAGAAACGAGTGCCGTCAGCTGATCAATCTTCTTGCTGTCGGCGATGTGGCGTTGCTCGAGCTCCTCAATCTGGGCCGCAGTCTGGACCCTGACGTCCTGGATCATTGACCGAGATGCAGCAACAGCCATATCACCAAATATGGGCGTGATCGTGTTCATCAAGGTCTGCTGGAAGGACGCCTCCATATCCAATGCGACTCTGCTGACGACCTTATCCGAGATTGCCTTGGATAGCTCAGGCTTCTGCAGAGCCTGCGCGACAGCTGAGGGCAGGAGCTTCTGCATCTGGTTCTGGACCGAGTGCGACACCTTCCCGCCGATCTTGCTGTCCAATTGCTCCGTGATCGTCTTGGAAATCAGAGGGCCGAGCTGAGGAACAACGCTCTCATCAAACTGATCGTTAATGAGCTTGGTCAGGACAGTCTGAACGTTGTCGTTCAGGACGCTCGACACCAACTCGAGAAGCTCTTTCTGCTTCTTCATAAAGTTGGACTCGCGAGCGGCAAAATCTTGTTCCAGGCTTGCACGGTGATCCTTCATCTCAGTTGACACAATCTGCGAAACACTTGTCGACAAGCTGGAAACGACCTGCTGAACAACCCCCTGGATTGATTCGGGAGACAACGCGGACGAGGCCTTGCCGTCGTTCCTGGGCGTGCTCGAAGCAGTGGAAGCCATACTGCCGTTCGTTTGCGCAGCCTCAACGCTGGTTCTATCAGCAGCAGCGGCCGCCGCGGCCGCCGCAGCAGCAGCCTTGTCACGCTTCTTCCTCGTCTTCTTCTCGCCCTTCTCAGCTTGGGCATTTGGTGTCGCCAGGATGTCCGCCTCCTTGCGCTCAGTGGCGGCCGTCCCAGCCGCAGGTGTGTCAGAAGCAGCCTTCTTGGGCACAGAGTCCACAGCTGTCGAGGCTGCAGGCAGGCCATTCTCTTTGGTGCTCGACTTGTGAGCGATGCGGATAGGGAGCGCCTCCTCAGCAGGAGCCGTCTCGGGAGGGACGATATTGCTTGGGAGTTCCTTTAGCTTCGCAATCCTGACAAGGCCGGCCTCGGTAGCATCAACTCCCGCAATGACCTTATTGTCCTTTGTCCAGCCAAGCTCTGGTTGTTTCACCCAGATACCGGTCATGCCCTTTGAGTGCATCGCGTAGAGCTCGAAAAGCGTCTGCTCCTCCCCATCAGACGATGCAGCAGGGTTGACAAGAATATCCAGGCTGCGCAGGATGCCCTTGTTCGCGAACGAGTACTCGCGCACACCGCTAATGACAGCAGTCGAGTCAGGCTCGGGGATGGAAGAATCCTTCGCAACCAGCTTTTGGATATAGTCGACTTGTGACAGACCCTTAATCGTGTACTTCGGGGCCGACAGGTGGAGGAAATAGATCGAGTTGCGTGTCGGATGGCCAACAACAATCATGCCGGTTGGCGGGTGGTACATGACGCTGCAAACAGCATCGGACTCCTTGGAATGGGGTAGGTTGAACTCCTGAACAGGCTTGCCAAGGGCCAGATCCCACAATTGCAAGGTGTGATTCTGCTTCATGCCGACAATCATATAGCGAAGGGCACATCTCTTCTGGTAGGGCCGTTGCTTATCCAGCAATAACACAGAAGTCGGCCACGCTTTCTCGCCCTCTGGAGTGGTGTTGAGGGTCAACAGGGGCTCCTTGATCTCCAGGGATGTGTGTGCTGGCATCGGGAACCGCGAGTCGGATCCCTCTTGCGCCGCTGTCAGATCGCGCACATCCCAGAACTTGACCCGGCCGGACTTGTCAAGCGACACGATGGTGGTATCATCCTGACTGAAGGTGAAGTCCTTGCCAGCCTTTCCAGTGTTGATCTTCAAGGCACACTGCTTGGTGAGCAGCTCAGTGTCCACCACACGATCGTGTCCTGCCTTGAACAAGTTGTTCTGCATGATGTATGCGGGCCAGATGATGTTAATAGTCTTGCCACGTCCAACAGCAAAGAATTCGGGATGCGATGAAGAGATCCTGGCACGGGTCTTCAAGACACCGCCAGGAGCATCACCCTCCTGATTGTTAGTGACAGGAGGGAGAGCGAAACCATGCTGCTCTGGGTGGGGATCGTCGAGGTGGTCCTTGTCTCCATTCTTGATCTGCACGTAGTAGACAGTGCCACTGATACCTGTGCCAATGATTGACTCCTTGGGTGTGGCATCCATGTCGGCCGGCGTAGTGGAGACCGAAACATTGAAGATGCGATCCTTTGTATCGGTGAAAAGCTTGGCATCCTTGCCGTCTTCCTGGCGAATCACGCGCAAGCCCCCAGCCTTCGACATGCCGTAGACCATGTACGACTCCGTGGCGCAGACAAGGTTGCGATCGATCTGATCGAAATCCTTCTTGAGGCGGGCGATATCGAGGACGACATCGTCTCGGAACTGGGGCCGAGGCTCTTCGCTCTCGAGCATGGTGATTGAGATCCAAGGCTTCATGGGAAAGTTGTACACCTTGACGGGCTCGGACTCCTCCTCGATGACGACGATGTCGTCAGCTTCAGCGCTTTCCCAGCTGTCTGCCACACCTTGGGCTGTCTCATCGACGATGCCCCGGATAGTCTGAGCCACATCAGGCGGATAGGCCTGCTCAAGCAGTCCACGGTTCTCGGGTCGGTCCAGCTCATATTGGATGTCCTTGGCCGCGGCCTCTGCAGTCTTGCGAAACTCGGCATCGGTCTTGGCGCTCATCATGTGCTCAAGCTCGTCAGCAATGTGGCCATGTACGCCGTGCCCCGTTGCACGAGCCAACGCTTCCTGTGCCTCCTGATCTGCCTTTCCAGCGAGATCATGGATTGCCTCGGAAACAGTTTCTTTGTGTGCATCACCATGCTCGCCAGCGCCGTTGGGCGGCGTGGGATGCTGGTCATGCTCCTGTTCGCCATGCGGCGTGGCCTGGCTTGGCTCCTGCTGTGCTGCCTGCCCGGCCCATTTCTGGTCGCGGGCATGTCCCGGGGACGAGGCAGCACTAGGAGCCTTTTTGAGGATCTGATACGGCGCGGACGTGCCATTGTGCGAGTGCTGCTCCGTGTACGTAGTGGACGTGCCAGGCGTGGACGACTTGGGAGTCCTGTTTTGTGGCGAAGAAGCGGCTGCAAAGTCATCGAATGGATTAGCATAGTCGAACTTTGTGACGTGGCGTGTGGGCTCGTGCTGAACGGCAGGTGATTGAAACTCGTGTTTCGCCGGCGGCGATGGCGCATACTCGTTGACATAACCGTAGCTGTGAGGGTGTGGATCATGGTGTGCCTCTTGCTGTTCAAGCAACAGCCGCTGGTGACCATAGTCTCTGGAGTGGTCTACGGTGGACTCGTTGGTCGAGGGCGGTGTCATTGTGGCAGGCTGCGACGACTCATTGGTCGAGGTCTGGTCATGCTGAGATGGCTTGGGACGGTTGAGGAGGTTGAGGAGATAGGCCTGGGTGTCGGCAGGCGGAGCGCCAGTGTTCCAGTTGGCTGGCTGGGCTGCAGGCTGCTCATGAGCATGCTGTTCATGGTGCATGTGGTTGCCCTTCATCAACGTCGCCAGCAGACCCTGCGGATCGACAGGCTTGGGGACGGGTGCGTGGATCGTGGGCCGGCTCACGCTGCCGTCAAAAGAGCCCTGGTGAGGCTGCGAGACAGTCGGCGAGGCCTGCGATCCGTGGAAGGAGCCGTGGCGAGAGCCATGCGAGCCGACCGAGCCAGCCTGGGAGGAAGCCTGCTGTGACTGCTGGCCAGCACCGCTGAACTTGAGGAGGTGAAGCAGGCTGTTGCTCTGCTCCGCCTTTGCGGCCGAGGGCAGGCTGCTGCCAATTGGCCCGAGGTTCGACATGCCGGGCGGCTGGTAGGAGCGATTGAAGTTTGGGCCGGTTGGAGGAGTGGGAGCAGGAGGCGGGAATAAATCTGGGGTTTCGGCCGTCTGCTCACCACCGTAGAAGGAGGAGGAGAAAGGTGCAGGCGAGTCGGCGGGCGCGTCCGAGTCGTCGTCATTGACGTGGCCCTGGGCGATGCGGGCAGCCTGGAGGCGAGCATACATTGTCGCCAGGTGATGGTTGCTCGCCATGCTTTAGCTAGGGCAATGTGGGCACTGTCCGTTGGGCGGGTGATGGCGCGGTGACGGGCAAAAAGTCGGCCGGCAGAAAAGGCGGCCGCGTGCGGCAGCAGCAGGCGTTGCACCAGTCTCGTCTCGTCTCGTACTAAGCAATTATTAGCACTGGGCAAGATTCCCAGTCTCACAAATCGCCCGCCGCGAATCGAAGTAGGCTGCGCAAAGAGGGACAGAGCACCGCCTGGCAGTTGGAGAAGGGCGACGACGCGAGCAAATGCTGGACCTGATGGTGAAAGTGTGACGAGAAGATGAGAAGGGCACAGGCTGGTGAAGGCGGCAACACAGGAGAGCAGGCCACAGAAAAGAGGTCGGTCGAGGCGGTCGGCCAGCTGGCTCTGCGCTCCAACCTCGCCGCAGCAGGAACGGGACTGGGGGACGGGGGATGGCTTGGGCGGAACCCAGCTCGTTGCCCTTGTTTGATTGTGCTTTGGCGCCCAACCCCGGCTGGGAGCTCATGACCCCGGAGCGGCAGTCCCTTCCTCCTGGGACCTGCCAGCGGAGAACCCGAGCCCGATTTCAGGATGCCGCGTTGGACAAGACCCCGTGTCTGAAGAAGCCAAGAGGACTTGACCAGCACCTCGATCTGAGATTCCAAGAACGGTCCCCGCTTTCTTGGGTCTGTATTGTCTTTACTTGAAGCACTCAAGATGCCTAGCTATCTGACTGGGGGAACGAGGTGGCTGTCGGCGGCTGTCCGTGCTCACCTAGGGTACGGATGCACCATCCGTTCGATAGCTCGTGGTGGCCGTGTAAGCTACAACAGGCAGCACATGATGACTGTTTGCAGGACGAACTGCTCGAGATCCTCGTGGACAACGAGGTTGGGCAACGATGCAGCACACGGGGGCCCGCCTCGAGGGGGTGCCATTCATTCATGCATGCATGCGCGGCGAGGCCAGCACGTTTCGAGCATCTGGCGGGATTGGGTCGCGCCTCGCCGCCAGTGCGAAGAAGCTGCCAGCGATGCCATCTCCGCAAGGTGCACGAGCCGGCCCTGATGCGCCAGTCAGACGCGGCCATGTCATCGCTCCGAGCATGGGTGCAAGTGCATGGGGTTGTGGCAAGGCATGGCCCGCCGTAAAAGGGCCTCCCAGACCACAGCCTCTCTAGACTCATTGACCAAGGTAGGGCCCACGATTCTCTGGCTGACGTCCGAGTGGCCGAGGCGTAGACCAACGGCAACCATCCTCGTCCGAGCTAGACGCTTCATTGTTTTCTGGCAGCTTCAGGAGGCCCAGCTTTTGTATCAGACTGAAGCGTTCTATGTATAGCTGAACTGTGGCAGTGGTAACTAGTTCATGAACAGTCCCACTTACGTAGGGGCGGGAGGAGGCTGCTAGCAATTCTCCAACCTTGGAAGTGTCCGGCGCTCAGGACGCCATGATCAGGGCATGCATTAGGTAATCCGTTCTTCAGCAATGATTTCATCCTCCCACTGTTGCCGCACCTTGTCTATGGCGTGCGTGCCCTGAGATCGAGCAGGCACTTCTCCGCCTCCTTCGAATCACGCCTCGTGTCGCTCATGCCAATATCCACCACAAAACAACACAGTCACTGCTCGCGGCGCCAGCGCCAACTTGCCAACCAGCATCAAATCGAATTGTACCACGGCTTGAGTTCTGCCCTCGCGAGAGCAGCCCTGCAGGTCCATCCACATCACGACAGTGACCCCGAGACCCCTCCATCTACATCAGTCCCGCCTTCCGGCCACTACTGTTTGATTCGACCCGCGGCTCGAACACTGCATCAGCACGATACACAAGTCATTGGCAAATCCCACTCGAGCAAGAGCCGTCCTTCTTGTACCACCTGTGGCCTCTCAATACCGCCCAGACACATTCCGAAGACGGATACGGACATCCGCAAAGCACAGAGTCTACCACACGGACCGGCACCTAGTGCAGTCACATCTTTGGCGCCATGTTTTGTTTAAGGAGGTAAGACGTGTTGGGGCGACTCCCCAACGGCTCACGCACTGTTTTTCCTGGCTCTGGAAGTGAACATCATGCTGATTGTGCTTCAACGTCGTAGCTGGCTTCCGCTCCTCTTCATCCCGACCAACGCATCGCCCTCCTTCATATTTCTCTTCTTTGTCTGCACATACTTCCTGAACCGGCCGTGTGTGTACTGTTCGGTTCTGCTCGCCATCCTCTTCGTCACGTCTTGCTACTGGTCCGACCGGTGCTTCTTCGACTTCAGCAGCAACTGGTTCGCGCCGCGGTCACCTTCCTCGCCCGTCGGGTGTTCCACGAATGCGACATGCTCTACATCACTCTCGGATGACGTCGTCGACTCGTTCAATGCGACTGCGCTTGAGATGATGAGCACAACCGCTTCAGCATTGGCTGGCGCTGCGGCCGACGAATTGGCAAAGAAGAAGGCCGAGTGGACTGGCCTGGGCATAGAGTGGCTGCGCAGTTTGCTCGGTCGGCGCGAATGGAGAATCGAATGCATGGACCTGGACATTCGATTATAGAAAGTTTGCAAACGAGGGCGAATTTGCCAAAGCCTCCCATTCTCAGACCCTTTAGATGTTATCATGCCTTGTAATAATTTAATAACTGCTAGCATTGGTTAGCTGGCGGTCCTTGGCACTTGGTTATGTCAGTCCTTCTTGCATGCGTGACCACTGGCAATCCTACTGATGGAAATGGCTGAGAAACATTTCTGAAGTGATCGAGTTCGACTGCAGGCTGACTTTGATGTCGCGTCCTTATTTGTGATTTACAATGAAATAAGAAAGAGAAACTGAGCGAGTCAAACAGAAGAGAAGGCGCCGGGCGCAAACAGAAACCAATATACTCGTGGCGAGATTGGGACATACTAGGAGAATTGATCTAGCCACGTCGGACACAATGCCCCGAGCGCCTCGCCCTTTACAGCACTTATATCTCCTTGTCCAGGCCCTGCAAGACCTCCCTCGCAGCCCGTTGGCCTGCGGACACGGCTCCCTCCATGTATCCTACGAAATGCGTGGCCGTCTCGGTACCCGCCCAGTGCAGCCTGCCGATCGGTTTTCGCATCCAAGGGCCCAGTGTCGTCCATGTCCCTGGTGTTGGTGTAGCTACCGGGCATCCCATAGACCACTCCTCCTCCATCATCGTGTGGATTAGGAACTTGGAGGGCTCGCCGGCTTCGGATCCAAACGCAACGCACAGCTCTTCGAGGACGACCCGCCGGCGTTCGTTGTTGTCGAGTCCAAGGAAGCGCCTCGCCTTGGTACCGACAATGAAGGCTTGGATCTTGGGTGGGTTGCCACTGGGTGGCGTCGCATCGTATGTTACACTACAGTAGCCGTCGTAACTCGTGCTCTCGCCGCACATGTCGTTCTCGGCCCAGAAGCGGCGGGGGTATGTTACCATGGCCTTGATGTACAGACCCATGGGCAGGTTGTGAAGTAATAGCTCCTTCTCTGGCGGCAGGCTTGGCGAGAAGACAATTTTTTGCAGAAGTGGTGGCGGGACAGCCAGGATGATCTTCGATGTTATGTAAGTCGTCTTTGTTGTTATGACCTCGACATGGACTTCGCTTGTTTTGACTGAGACGACCGGCTCGGATAAGTGTACTGTCTCGCTCGTCAAGCCCTCGCAAATCTTGTTTGCAATAGCCTGCCCGCCTCCAACAAACATGTGGTTTTGCGCGCCGCCTTTGACAATCGAAAGACTTGTGAGTGAGCCGCCGGCCTTGCAGTAGAAAGCTGCGTGGAGGACAGAGGCCGCCGAGACACCTGAACCCCAGAGGGCCTCAAAGATGAGTGAAATGCCCGCTTTGCCTACCCGGGTCCAGCATGTCCTTTTGAGCCAGGCCTCGAGCGACATGACGTCTAGCTCATCCGCATTGGGTGTCCTCCACGGCTCTTCGACATTGACCGATTCGCAGAGCTTCTCGAATTTGCGGATAGCCAGGTAGGTGTCAAGAGCTTCCCACAGCTTGAGCGGTGGAACGAGACCTTTATAGCCTTTCGATGTGTTTTTGCGGACGGACATGATCTGACCTTCGAGTGGAAGCTCAAAGACGTCGATGCCATACTCCTTGGCCAGTCCGTACATGAGGTTTTGGCCGTCTCCAACGAACGCTGCACCACAGTCCCAATAGGTGCCATCTGCTTCGTGGACCGTCTTCGCGCGACCTCCGACACGGTCTCTCGCCTCGAGAACGAGCACTGACTTGCCCGCTTCTTTGAGCTCTTTCGCAGCAGCGAGTCCCGAGTAGCCACCTCCAACAACGATACAGTCGTATGTCGACATTGAAGCGCTTCTTCGTGCACCCTCCTGAGGCATAGGGGTTACGTCAAGAATAATAAACGTAAATTGACAATAGCTGCGGCTAGTTGAAGTACAACATCATCCCGCGACAATAGTGAGCAACGCAAAAGGTAAAGCAGATCACTCTCGGGCGTTTCTCATTCCTGGTCGTGGAACAATGGGGTCATGAAAGCGTATCTGTGGAAGTCTGCTTCACCAAAATGTCCCAAAACACTACTGGATAAGCATACACTACACGGCACCACACGCTGATTCGACAGCGCGTGCTAACCCCGGCCAACTGAGCGGCTGACACCACGTGCTCGCGAATCGACGATAAAGATACCATTGCAATTCGGGTAGCTCGGGACCTGGCCATGGACTCATCTGCCGCGACCGTGTCCGTGGCGTTGGGTTCTTATGGGTTCTTATTGTGCACTGCTCGACTCGGCGACCTCCCTGTGATTGATCACATAGGCGATATCTGGATTGCGCGGAGGTGTAACTATGATCTTGGGTGACGAGACTACGGCCAGGTGTTTCAGGCCTCTTCGCAAGAAAGTCTTGGTCAATCGTTCCTAACGTGGACCATGCGACGACAGCACCACCAAGATCCGGCATGGCGAACTCATATCCCACAATCTCTTGTCGCGTTGTCTACATCGTGGCAGTGCCGGTAGACCAATCGTTGTGACTGCCCCATCGTGACTACCCGCTCTTGTAAGAATCTCTATTCTTGAATCCCACCTCGCTCGGGATCCTTGGAAACGTGGTGATGGATGTGACGAAGCATATTGGTGTTCACGATGGAGCTTGCCTGGGTGTCCATGCGAGAGTGCTGGGCCACGAGGCATCCCCCAGCTCAAGTGAGCTAGCCCCACTCTAGTCCCTGACGACCCGGCCTGTCCAGGGCCTGCCCAGGTCTGAACGTGCGTGTCGCAGTGGTGCCTTCCAGGCACTGGGCAATGACGACCCCTACTGCGCTGCGGGGCACCTCGAGACACCACTTGGGGTTTCTTCACCCTCCCGAGGCCGCGACTCGTCTTCCTGTGGTCCTTCGCGACGCCGACAGTGACAGTGATTTTGCACACGTCGATTACCTGCAGGTTGTTCGCCTTCGCTCACCATCACACATCTGGACGTGGGTGGACCGCCACCCGTACAGTGCCCCATCACATTTTGCGCTCGCTCCTAGGGCACCACCCCTCCATCATGAATCCATACGAGAGTAAGTTTCTAGCCTGTCGCAAAGCAATTCGCAACCCAGTGTCGTCTTGATCTTGTCAGAGAGCTACACGACTTACAATGGCCAATAGTCGAGCACAATATCAAGGCCAGCGAGAGCCGGCCGCATCGTCGAAGACCGGACATGTCCACGTTCACGTCCCACCTCCACCAGATCTCTGCCGATTCAGAGCAAGGCCAAACGCGGCCGCACGCAGTGCCCACACCAGTCGACACTGCAGCCTTGTTCAGGCTCCTGCAGGACCAGCTCGGCACTCTCGCTTCCGACGCGCCCTCCGAAGAGAACCGACAATTTCTGGAGCTGCTCATGTCCAGCCTCGAGGTCGACATTGCACACCCGCCCGAACACATCCCCGGCGTGAGCCAAGAATATGTGGATAGTCTGGATCGCGTGTCAAGAAAGAGCATAAAGGACGATGACTCGTGCCCTATTTGTGCAGAGCGGTATCTGGATGACCAGTACTGCCTGGTCGTCGAATTGCCCTGTCCGGGCCGGCACAAATTCGACTTGGAGTGCGTTGGACCCTGGCTGCGGAGCAAAGGAAATTGTCCCATGTGCAGGCATGACTTTAGCAAGAAAAAGGTCCTAGAACTGCCCAAAGACGAGGAGGAAGAGGAGGATGATATGGATGGACTTTACGGTTAAGCTATGGATATGATATAGCCATCTCGGATACAGTTGGTAATGCTACCGACTTGTGCGTGTCAAAACCCGCTTGCACGTTCGCGCAATCAAGAAGTTGAGAGCTCAATTTCATCCAAATACATATCGTAAAGCGCGGATCCTGAGCATTTACACATTGTATTTACAGTCGGTCTACCCGTCTACCTAGACCTAGCGGTCGACATGGCAAACGCCATGTCCACTTTCTACACGTGAGCACCAAATTGTGCCTCTTCCCAAACTTCAAGGCTTGCCACTCTTCGGCGCACTGCCAGTGTGGCTAGCCTTGCCGCTGCCCTGTCCGGGTTTATCCTCGGTCTTGCCTCGTCCCGCCTCCGCGGTTGCCTTGTCTGTGGGGCTTCCGTCGAGCGCGGCACCGCCAGCGCCAAGACTTTTGTCCTTCTTGGCCTCGGCGCCCTCAGACTCGGGCCGCGTCTTGGTAGGGTCGAAGGCCGCGGAGCTGTGAGCGGCTTCACTGTCCTCGTTGGAGTACTCGTGCGTCTTGGGCTTGAGGGATTCGCGGTCCTGATCGTCTTTGTATGCCATCCTGGCTAAAGCAGATTGGTGGAACGCTGCTGCGGCTTGTGGTCGGACTGAGGCTGGTGCAGAAGATCTAAGAGTCGGAGTTACTGGCGACTTTGTGGCGCTGGCGAGGCGCGCCACGGAGCGGAATGTGGTGAAGCTGGCCATGGTTTTATTTGTTTTTGTTGCGTGCTTGATCTGGCTGATCGACTATGATACGGTGGGGTGTTGGGGTGTTGGGGTGTTGCTGTGACTGTTGCAGCCAGTGTTCTGTGTATGCAAGCTTATATTGTGACAATGAAGTGAAAGAAATGAAGCCGTGATCCCTAGCAGTGGAAATTGAGGTCATGACTTCCAGAAGCAATGCTAACGAAGAGTTGTGGTTCTGCTAACTTGTGTGACGTCAACATGTCGTCTCGTCCTCGGCCTGGAGCTTCTTGCCCGGAGCAGCAACGGGCGCCCCACCCCCAGATTCCAGACTCCCTAAAGCTGCCCACTGCCGGGAGCTAAGCAATAGCGCGATGTGGTTGGACAATTCCGCTAGGAGCTTCAAGGTTGAGAACCCCAACAGCAGGCCGGTAACTGATGGTGATCTTTAGAAATGATTCCAGGTTCGTTCTCATTCCCATGGCCACGAGCCCAGCCATTTCCAACCTTCTCACAGAGAACAAGCAGCCAGCCTGGGTGAACGTTGTGCCACGAGGCTTTCAATGACCTGTCATTGGATGATGTGCGACACATCTCTGCAGGTATCAAGGCACAGCCTTGTCCACAGGTTGGCACCCAAGGAGTCTGCCTAGCTGAACTCTACCACAGGCCAACGACCCGAGAACACGACCTCGTGCAGGCTACAGGAACGCCGGCCAAGAACGACGGGTTGGATCGTTTGCGTCTGATCCCCTCTTCTGCCTCCAGCCATGAAAAGTTATCATAAGCCTTGTCACGGTGGGCGCCTGTTTGCAATGTGATGACAGCAGACTAATAATCGGTCCCGTTGGCTCGGAACTGCCCGCATGATGAAGTATCGCACCCTCCAAGCGCCGTGGAGCACTCTTTCCAAATGGCCTGGCGAGAAGAACCTTGGAAGTCGAAACTGACGTCCCTAGCCGCGGACGGTCCCCCGCTCCGTTTGCTAGCTTGCGTCAAGCATGCGGGAGGCCGACCACGCGCAGTTGGGCGGCGTGCCTCGACAGCAGGTGTGCCCAGGCTTGGTCCGCAGGACCAACATCCTGTCCAGCACTTGAGCGTTGCGTCTCCACGGGTGCACCTGCCATAAAGCTCGCTCTACGCTCCGTTGCTTTTGCCACTCAACTTCGGGCGTCATCGTGTTGAGCATCTATCCATCTTTCTTGCAGGCTTTATTCGCTTTTGAGAGCACGGGCTATTCCCATCTCATTGCGTTGGCCTGAGCAGGACGGGGACCTATCGTTTGTTGTCCCTGCTTGTGCCGTCCCAACTCGTCTCGGAAGTTCGACCCTGGTTGTCGCTCATCAGAAGCTCACCTGGCACTCACCATCAGAGACAGCCGGCCCGCGCAGCAAACGTCCTTCACAAGCACGCGCCCCCCAATGATCCCTTCGCAAAGTGTGAAGTAGACCAAGTTGCAACACGCCGTGTTTGCACAATCATCAAACTCCTGGCCATTCATACCTCAATAATCACGCTTTGTAAGTCTGCTCCCGATATATCAATGTCATCCCAGCCGAACAAACCACCCCCATGAGGAACGCAAATCCTACAGACGAGAGACTGTCACCTGATTCGCGGCAGATGTTCTTCTCCTCACTCATAGCGAAGCGGTATGCTCGGCCGCAAACTTCATTTCTTTCGCAGAGCACCTCACAATTGCATCCTCCGCCAATTCTCACTTATACTAACAAATCAGCAGCATCCACGCAACTTTGGTGGTACAGTCCACGTACCAAATCGCATCACAGCAGCACAATCGCCATCACAGTCCCTAGCCCCGCCACAACCAGAAGGCATGTCTGACCAGCCAAGAGGCAGAGGTCGTGGAGGACGTGGTGACCGGGGCGGCTCGCGAGGCGGGGGCGGCAGGGGCCGCGGAGACGGCGTCTCATTCTCCGGCTTCGACGGCCAAGGCAACCCGCGCGGCGGTCGTGGCGGTGGCGGTGGCAGCCGTGGCAGTGACAGGGGCGACTTCCGTGGCGGTGGGGAGCATCGTGGAGGTCGCGGTGATTACCGCGGTGGAGGCAGAGGAGGTGACTTCCGTGGCGGGCGAGGCGGTGGTCGTGGTGGTGGCCGAGGTGGTGACAAGTTCGCCGGAGAAGCAGAGGTCTTCAGGTATGTCTTAACAGCACCGCACGCCCCCACCAGAAGTAGAGCTCACACTATCACAGACCCAACCTAGCCCCCAAGCCAGATTCTTCCACGCAGGCTCTCGAAGACAAGATCTTGAGAGAACAGCTTGGAGTAAATGCGCTCGCAAGCAAGATGGCGAGGACGCAGATCTCCAAAGGAGCCCAACCGGTTCTAGGCGAACACTTCCCTTGTCGTCCAGCGTTCGGCACAAGTGGCCGCCCAGTGTTGCTTTGGGCGAACTACTTTGAGATGAAGATCAAACAGCAAGCTCTCTTCAAGTACCAACTCGATGTAAAGCCGGTGCAGAATAAGGACAAGAAGCAACAAGCCAAAGACGCGAAAGGTCTGAAGCTGATGAACATCATCAAAAGCGCTCTCAGCCAAGTTGCACATGGTCACCCTCTGGTGACCGAGTTCAAGAATCAGGTTATCACGCTGAAACCTCTTCCGCTCCCAAGCAACAACATCGTGATCGTCAACTATACACTGGAAGGACACGACGATCAATATGAGGTCAAGTTCAACGGACCCGTCGACGTGGACTTGTCAGCGTTGTTTCAGTACCTCACGACTATGGATGATCCTACTGGGAGCAAGTCCTTCCCGAAGTATGAGGATGTCATTGATGCCCTTAACGTGATTATGGGTCACAGTCCCCGAGGCAATTCAGAAATCGCGTCGATTGGTCGAAGCCGCTTCTTTCCTATCGATGGGCCAACGCTTCGGACTGAGAGACAAGGACTGGGCTGGAATGAAGCCATCCGAGGTTATTTTCAGTCTGCTCGACCGGCAACTGGTCGTCTGCTGCTCAATGCAAACGTCAGTCACGGAGTGTTTCGTCCCGCGGGCCCGGCGACCAACCTTTTCACCCAGGCGGCCCTATACAACTTGCACACGTTGCACAAGAACATGTCCAAGCTTCGGGCTCGTGTCACCTACCTGGGTGATAAAGGTGAGACGAAGCGGGTTGTGGTGAAGATGATTCAAGGGCTTGCTTCGCCTTACACTGCCAAGGGCAAAGAGGCGAAGCCGCCCAAGGTGACAAGGCTGGGCGCAACCGCCACTGAGGTAGAGTTCTACCTCACTGGTCCGACAGGGTCAACAAGCTTGGCACCCAATCGGTACTACACGGTCGCCGAATATTTCCAGAAGCGTAAGTTATCGAGTCTACTATGGACATCATTGCCAGAACCGGCCTCGACTAACCCGAAACCCTTTGATTCACAGGTTATGGCAGAACTGTCAACCCGAACTTGCCAGTGATCAACATCGGAACCTCTCATCGACCAGTATTTATGCCCGCAGAAGCCGTCGAGGTCATCCCGGGCCAGCCATTGCAGCGTAAACTCAACGCAAGGGAGACTCCGACCCTGATCACTTTTGCATGTCGCTCACCAGTTGCTAATGCAACATCAATCACCACGTTTGGACGCAGGTGTCTTCAGTTGGACAACAACGAGAAATTGGTGAGTTCCGTTGATTCTGCGCATGGAAGATGTGCCCAGTTTGCTAATGACTTTCCAAGTCCGAGTTCGGTGTCGAGATTGAGAAGGACCTGCTGACTATCAACGGCCGGGAGCTTAAAAATCCGGATATAAAATACAACAACCAGAAGGAAGCTAATCCGCGCGAAGGCTCGTGGAACATGAGAGGAGTCGAGGTCCTCAAGCCTGGTGCCAAGATCGACAGGTGGACATTTGTCCATGTCGACCCAGAGCCTCGGGACAAGGACACCGTCACAAGTATCATGAACGGCAAGTTCAAAGTTCTTACAAACATGGGCATACCCATTGCCGAAACGCCCATGCATCCTCAAGGTCTTGTGGTAAACACCCGAACTGGGCACCCAGTTGATGCTGTGCGCGACGCGTTCACCGAGATTCGAAAAGCTTCGGGTGGGAAGGGTGCGCAGTTTGTCTTCGTCATTCTTGCTCAGAACGACCCAGATGTCTATGCCGCGGTCAAGAGTCTTGGCGATACCGAATTCGGCATCCATACTACTTGCATGGTGCGGAAGCACTTCGCCAAGGACAAGCCGATGGACCAGTATTTCGCCAATGTCGGTCTGAAGATCAACCTCAAGATGGGTGGCAACAACCACCAGCTCAAGAACGACATTGCCATTATCCGTGAGGGCAAGACCATGGTTGTCGGCTACGACGTCACACATCCGCCCCCGGGCTCCAACTCACCCAGCCTCGTGGGACTTGTGGCAAGCGTTGACAAGGAACTCTCTCAGTGGCCAGCTGCAGCTTGGGCCCAGGATGGTCGTGTCGAGATGCTCGGGGAGAAGCTGCGTGAGAAGTTTGACGAGCGTCTTGTGCTTTGGCAGAAACACAACCAGCAAAGACTGCCTGAAAACATCATCATATTCCGTGATGGTGTATCCGAAGGGCAGTTTCAGCAGGTCTTGGACAAAGAGCTCCCATTGATCCGCGAGGCATGCGCTAAGAAGTATCCTGCCAATAGCGCACAACCAAAGATCACTGTGGTCGTGTCTGTGAAGCGGCACCAGACGAGATTCTATCCGACGGCCCCTAAGCACATGACCAAGTCACGCAATGTAGCTACCGGCACCGTTGTGGACCGAGGCGTGACCCAGGCCAGGATCTGGGACTTTTTCCTCGTTGCCCATGCCGCACTGCAAGGTAAGTTTCCTCCCACATTTCCACTCTACTTGTTTGGTTCACAACCCAGGGTACTAACCGTTTCTCTCTCAACATATAGGCACCGCCCGGCCGGCGCATTACACAGTTCTTCTTGACGAGGTTTTCCGCGCCAACCTTGGTCAAGGCGCTGCCGCGGCCAATGGCATCCAGGAGCTCACGCATGAGATGTGCTATATGTTCGGTCGTGCCACGAAAGCCGTGAGCATCTGCCCTCCAGCTTATTATGCAGACATTGTCTGCACACGTCAGCGGGCGTACATGACGGACCTGTTCTCAGATGCGAGCGACACGGCGTCCGTGGGTGGTACTTCGTCGACGAGTCGTGCTGGTTATGGTAAGGACATATCAGTTGAGGTTCATCAGGATCTGAGAAACTCGATGTACTACATTTAGGGGGCCAAGTTTGAAAGTTGGGTCACTGCAGCTGAGTTCAGTCCAGAAATATGTAGATTGAGACGTCGGGGCATAGTGTCGCACCAGCTAGGGAGCAAGTTTTTATGGAGATCGGCCAATTGGACGAAAATGATGAACTGGAGTCTGGGAATCTGGTAATTAATGACAGAGCTCACGAGCGATCATATGTGTCAAAGGATCAAGCAAAGGTTGGGTTTCTTCAAGCTGTGCAGCGCAGCAGGCAGTTTTCATTCTCCCACATGTGCTCGCTAAGCCTTTCTGCAAGTCTGGTTGCAAGCCCGGTTGCAAGTCCGGTTCGCTTAGTGGCATGCTATCAACCGTGTGCGTCGTCTAACCCTCGAGCTGCACGAGGCTTACATCCAGGATGCCCTCGGACCGCTCGAGATCCTCCACGACAGCACGACTGACGGTCCCACTAACGCCCAAGATCATGAGCGCCTCGTTGCCGGCTTTTTCCTGCGCGTCACCTGGCACACCTTCAACGCCAGCAACAGCAGAGTCCATCCTCGCCAGGACTGGCAAGCCCGCGCCTCCTCCGTCAGGCTCCTTCCCCTCGGGCCCGCTTTCCTCCTCCTCCTCCAGGCTAGCAACCTGCATGAACCGGATATTGATCCCATGCTTGCCCAGTACCAGCCCCACGCCGCCAATCTTTCCCGGCTCATCGTAGTTGTGCAAGATGAGCAGGGAGCCCTCGGGGACGAAACTCGACGTGAACCTCCCCAGCTTTGAGATGTAGATGTTCTTGCCCGACACATAGCCCTGGATCATCTGTCCGCCGCTACGATTGGCGCCACGACTCCTGCTCCTGGCGGTAGCAGCAGCAGCAGCAGCAGCAGCAGCAGCAGCAGCAACGCCGCCACCAGAGTCCGTCCGACGATGGTGAGGATCACCAACAGACCGCAGTGTGACCAGGCTCGCATATGCACCGGACGATGACCCGTCGTCACTGCTGCCGCGCTCGTGGACCTCGTTGATGACGATGCCCTTCTCCTTGGCTATGAGGGTCGCGTTGACAATGTTGACGTCTCGCCCGCCCGAGTCGGTAATGACGGACACCAGCCCTTTGACCAGGGCGGCAAAGAGCGGGCGCGTGTTGGACACGCCCGACAGCTCTCCCTCGTAGACGAGCTCGAACTTGGTGCCGCCAAGCAGGCCGCCGCTGTTCCGACCGGCCGAGGCATAGTGCTGCGTGTACAGGGCGCCCATGCGCTCGACGAGCTTGACATAGGGCTGCAGCTTGCGGTACTCCTCCGGGAGGATCAAGGGGGCGTTGACGGCGGCGGTGGGCAGGCCGCCACGCAGGATGGTGAGCATCTGGGAGCAGACGTCGAGGCTGACGTTTTCCTGGGCCTCGACGGTGCTGGCGCCCAAGTGCGGCGTCGAGACGACCTTTTCGTGCTCCGCCAGCTCGGCCGCCACGCTGCCTGGCTCCGGGGGCTCCTTGGTGAAGACGTCGAGCCCGGCGCCGGCGATCCAGCCTTGGTCGAGGGCCTTGAGCAGGGCCGCCTCGTTGTACACTCCTCCCCTGGCCACGTTGAGCACCCTCGCCGTATTCTTCATCTTCTGGAACTCGGCCTCGCCAAGCAGGTCCAGCGTCGACGCCAGCAGCGGGGTGTGGATGGTGAGGAAGTCGACGAGGGGCAGCAGCTCCTCGAGCCCGCCGGGGATCAGCTCGACGCCCGCCTGCTTGGCCAGCGCGGGACTGGCGTAAGGGTCGACGGCGAGGACCTTCATGCCCAGGCCGATGCACATGCGGGCGACCTTCATGCCGACCTTGCCCAGGCCGATGATGCCCAGCGTCTTGCGCCCGACCTCGACGCCCACGAGCTTGCCGCGCTCCCACTGGCCCTGCTTGAACGTGCGGTCTGCGCGGCCAATGTTGCGCGCGGTGGCGAGCAGCAGCGCCACCGTGTGCTCGGCGGCCGCGACAATGTTGCCCGCGGGCGAGTTGACGACAATGACGCCGTGCCTGGTCGCCGCGTCGACGTCGATGTTGTCCACGCCGACGCCCGCGCGGGCGACCACGCGCAGCCGGCGGCCGGCCTGGAGGACCGCGGCGGTGACCCTCGTCTCTGAGCGGACAATGAGCCCGTGGTACGACGGAATGAGCTCGACCAGCTCGGCGGCGGACAGGCCCGGGCGGGTGTCGACGTCAAAGTCGCCGGAGAGCAGGGCCAGGCCGTCGGGAGACACCTTTTCGGGCACGAGGATGCGCAGCCGGCCCGGGCTGGACTGTCCGGAGCTGGTTGAGGCGAGAGCTGTCGGTGCCATGATGATGATGACGACGGTGGTGGTGGGAGTAGAGGAGTAATTGGGTCTTTCACCGTCCGGGACCTGTTCTCTATCTCTCGGTACTCGCAGTGGTCGGGATGCTACAGGATCTTGGAATAAAGGCGGAAAAGGGGGGAAAGAAAACAGAATATGACAGCTCGAGCTGGAGGAAGCTTATGATATTTGGATGCAGCGGCAAGGTGAAGTGTCAATGGCGAGCTAAACCAACCTCTGAGTTGGCGCTATGCCGTCTCGGGGCGAGAGCGTCCGAGGACGCAAGAGAGACCAGAATGCCCCCGCCCACGTTCTCAGCACACACACGCACACACGTGAGAGGTGAAAGCAGCTGATGGAGGTGCACAGAGCAGAGCAATCCGAGGTGCAGGCCGAGCTGTTGACGCCGCCATACATACATTACATATAAGTCTGGTGAGAGGGAAATGGAGGGGTCACTTTTCCTCTTTCTTTTTCACGATCCCCATCCGAGGGAGGAACGAGCACATACTTGCGAGCTGCGAGAGCTGGGCTGGTGTTTTCGTCTTTTTACTAAATCGCGGTCGTTGGGACCGAGGCTGGGCTCTCGACTTGCTACTCGTCAACACTCCCAGCTATTTCGTGGAATCAGCATTCGCCTTCTTCCCCATCAACGACAACAACAAGAAACAGACACACAGTCCCACCCCCCACGAACAAAAGCCCGACCGCGCAGCCCAGACCAATGAGGGACAGCAATCTATGAATCATCCGGCCGAGTCACAAGAACTACACCATGCCTGCTTTCTCTCCCCCCCAACCATGCGCAGGCGATCGCGGGGAAAAGAGTGGGATGTAGTACATACCTTGGCTTGCGTGGGCCACGGAGCCTCGAAGTTGTGGAACATCCCTGCCTGTCTGCCTGGCAGGCGGCCCCTCCCCCACACCGAGCCAAGATCTGCACCCCACATTACAGGGGGTCAACTGGTACATGGGCATGGGGAACCGGATTGCGGGGGGGGGGGCACCCGGGTCCGTCCCATATTATGTGTGGTGCCCTGTCAAGACTGAGTTGTCCTGTCTGCCTAGCAGCTGAAGCAGTAAATTCTGCGGGTCCAGCGCGTGTTGGGCTGCACCTTCAGCAGCTTCTAGACAGCCAATCACTCCAAATGAAGGACGCATCAGGCAGGACTGGGAGTCAACAACCAATGACCGACCGGCCGATCAAGTCGACAAAGTGCCATCATTGCCTGCCTTCACCGTGCTGTTCCCCAGTAGTCGTGCCAGGACCAGCCAGGACCAGCCGGGGTGGGGAACAGTCCTGTACATGTACTCCCAGCACTTACACATTTGACACAGGTGCAACAATTGGGAGGGGTTATCATCCATCAACCTTCAGTGTGTGGGGACCGGCACTCCACGAGCCAGGCTAGTCGGCGCCCCCCTTCCCCTGTCCAGTGGCGCATATGCTTGCAATAGAGGGGAGAAATCCCCTCGTGCGTCTGCAGGGAAGCCGACGACAAGAACCACTGACTGTAGATGAGACACACTACCTACTGGTCATGCTTCGAAATCCCTTTTTGTTTTATTACCACTAAACTTTGACGAGGTCGACACCTTGCGCCCCATACAGCAATTTCAACAAGTCTCCCCCCCGGGTGTGCCGTCCGTCCGTGCGACCTAGTAAAAAAAGAAACGACAAGTCGTGTGGGGCAAGATATGAGACAACAACACATGACGTGAATGCCATCCCATCCGCCAGCTTCTGGTTCCCACGCGAGCTCGCGCCGCGACTGCCAGTCAAGAGCCACATGCGCTGGTCCCGGAAGTCGTTTCCCAAAAGCAAAGCAATGCGGCTCTAGACTGATGCTAACCGCCTCGAGCCTCTTCATCAGCACATCGCCGGCACCTCGGGAAATTGGGCTTATCCCTCTCCATACATATCGAACGATACAGGACCCACGCCGGTGGCATACTTAATCCTCGTCACGAGCGCCATTCTATTGCTATGTTGTGGTTACATGACTAGCCTGAAAGTCTTTGAGCAAAAGCTTCAGGCGTATAAATAGAGCTGATTTCTGCAGGGATATGGATGGCTTGCTAATATTAAGAGTGTGAAGGAGAAAATAAAAACCAAGGCTGGCTATGCTGGTAGCAGACACACGGGCAAACTGAAGGGAGAAGCAGCACGTTCTCTAGATGTGGTCTCTGGTCGCGTCGCGTCCCCACAAAGGCCACTTTCATCGGAAGGACACCTGGGCAGTATCTGTGCACCACCAGTGACTTGCGCAGGGATGGTGCCTAGACCAGGAAACCAGCAGCAGCAACCACGATACCAGCCAGCACCCCGGAATCGATGGCGCGGTGGCCAGCTGCGCCAGCCGGACCAAGTGGCGGCGTCGGCGGCGGTGGCGGAGCAGAAGTCGTAATAGGGTCGGTCGCGGGCGAGCCATTCGTAGCAGCATCGCTGGTACCAGCCGTGGGATTGCCCTCGCTACTGCTGACACCGGCGTTGTCCTCGCTGTTGGTTTCCCCTGGGGCTGGCGTCGGCTGCGCATCAAACGAGAAGGAATAGGTGTTCACGTCGTCTGTGGTGGTCGCAACATCGTCGGGGGTCGAGGTCGGGAATAGGTCCCACGTCCAGGTAAAGCCGGGTAGCGAACTCCCCACGGTGGCGTCTGGATCGAGCGGCGGCTCGTCGCAGGTGGCGCCGTTTAGGCAGCAGGACGTGAGGGTGCAGTAGTAGCCAATGTCGCAAAAGGTCGAGGTGCCGTCGTTGCAGCACGTAGCGCCGATGTACATGCAGCTGTCCTCGCAGACCTCCTCGGAGGCGTCACACTTGGCCGCGGCGGCTGCCAGTCCGTTGGACGGGCGGCGAGGCACCGTCGGCGTGGTGCCAGCGAGAACCACCACGGCGGGCGTGAGCAGCACGGCCAAGGTGTGGAGGGTGGACCGCATCTTATCACTGCTGGACGAGACGAAAAGCGGGAGGCAAAAGTGACGATGATGATGAGCTGCCGCTTGTGCAGGGAGGCGCGGAAGATGAGGAGGACTAGGACGACAGTGGAACGACTCGACTGGCCAGACTCGAAGTGCTCGAGGTGGGAAAAGTGAGTGACGAGGGAGCCTCTGGGCGGGCCGGTTCCCGCTAACGGTGGCAGACCTTGGGGACCCGAACGGTTGCGCCCTGGCTAGGCCATGTTTGGGCAGGCGTGCGAGTCTAGCGTCGCCGCCTTGCAAGCCTTGTCATTGTGTGCTCCCAACCAGGCAGGCAGCGAGAGACCACTGATTGTTGACATGGGCCTGTCAAGATACCAGCAAACCCCTGCACGGCGACGGCCATCTGCCATCAGGGTGGAGCAAACGACCCGGGCCACGGCCAGACTTCCGAGGAGGATTGCTGGCCCTGTTTTGTGCGAGGCAGACAGCCCCTTTCCAGCACCGTCGGCAAGGCTGCTCAGCCCGTTGACGGTGTGTCTATCAAGTTGTGCGCACAGGACCGTGTCTTGGCCAAGGACGGGCCATTGTCGAGGCAGGACGAGGGGATCAGAGACCATTGTTTTGGGCGCAGGTTCACCACCCGCGAAGCACGTGTGGCGGAGAGAGCAGGCGGCCAATGAACAGACACGCCCGTGAAGAGCCAATGCCCCCCGCAGGACAGACCCATACCCGCATACTTGTCGGACAGGGCACTACGCTCGTGTGTTCGTGTGTCTGCGGTTGGAGCTAGAACGAAGCTTGAAGCAGGCAGGGCCTGCGGGGAACAATGACGAGCGAGACCAATTGTATATTGTCGGCAGGCAGATGGCAAACGGACGGCGGGTGCACGTGCAGGCCCTCAGGTTAGTGACAAAGAAGGTGCTGGAGTCACTTGATGTGGGTGGATGCCTAGACTTGAGCTCAACTAGAGGAGAGAGAAGCTGAGTGCTCCAACAAGCTTACGAGCGTCCAATTGCATGAGACGAGATAATTAGGGAGAAAAGCAGAGGAGGGATCAGATAAAATGAGGGTGGGTTCGGGGGACCCGCTGGCAGGCCACAGTGGAGTCGGGGGACCTGGCTGAGTGCTGTGTAAAGCCGATCGCAGTGTCGCGGTGGGCTGGGGCGATCGAGGACGACTCGGCTATAGGCACATCACTAAGTCCAGAACCTTAACGTGCTTAAGGTCGTCAGCATCGGGAGGATTGGTGCCCTCGGGACTCCGCGTGCCCCCGGGGATTACGACTTGCCCCAAATGGACCTGAGGCTGCTGACCGTGGAACAAGCTTTTTTCTTTTCTTCTGGGAGGGCAGCGAGGGACGAGGACCGGGGGCGCCTTGGGATGCCTGCTTGGCGTGACGGAGACGGCGCCCGGCCAGCCACAGAACGGAGTCATCGACCATCGGCATTGGCACCCTCCCGGACTCTGTTTCGAGCCGCTGCATGGCTAGTCGACGCCCAGAGTGCGCACCTCGGGCCACGGACGAGTCCGAGGGCAGCAGAAGAATCCATGATCCGCACCTCGCACCCCTGCCAGTGGGGCGCTGGCTGAGAATGGCGCCGCCCAAGTCTAGCTGTCACGATAACGCGCCGCCCGCTAGGCCAAGCTCTACCTGCGAGACAAAGGTGAAAAAGGGCCGGCACGACGCTCCCTTGCCGCCGTCGTTGGGGGGAGTGGTGTGGCCTCGCTCTGCTTCTCTCTTGATCAATCGATTCGGGTACTCGAAACCTTGTCGCCCCCCCATCGCCATTAACAAACGAGCCTCACCACCACCATGGTAGACTCGACGACAACCACGCTGGCTCCGTCCATCAAGGACAACCACAACAGAAGCACCAGCACCAGCAGTGGCCCAGCTGGCAGCAACACCGACGAGAAGGTCGCCGCCTCCCCCACAACCAAAGACAACAACAACACAAACACCACCGACGGGAGCGGCACCGGTGTCGAAGTCGACGAGAACGGCGTCCCCTACGTCACCGGCGCCAAGCTCTACCTCATCATCTTCTCCCTCGCCCTCGCCGTCCTCCTCGTCGCCCTCGACCAGACCATCATCGCCCCCGCCCTCGGCGCCATCACTGCCGAGTATGGCACCGTCAAGGACATTGGCTGGTACGGCTCGTCCTACCTCCTCACCTCGACCGCCCTGCAGCCCCTCTACGGCACCATCTACCGCAACTTTGGCATCAAGTACTCGTTCCTCGCCGCCGTCGGCCTCTTTGAGCTGGGATCCCTCGTCTGCGCCCTCGCCCCGACCTCGACCGCCTTCATCGTCGGCCGCGCCGTGGCCGGCCTCGGTGCCGCCGGCCTCTTCTCCGGCGCCATCGTGATCCTGAGCTACACACTGCCTCTGCGCAAGCGTCCTGCCGTCTATGGCATGTTTGGCGGCATCTGGGGCATCGCCTCCGTCGCCGGGCCTTTGCTCGGCGGTGCCTTTACCGACCACGTCACCTGGCGGTGGTGCTTCTTCATCAACCTCCCCATCGGCGCCGTCGCCTGCGTTGTCATCTTCTTCTTCCTTAACATCACGCGCGAGACCAACGCTGACAACAAGTCCATCGGCGCCCGCATCCTCCTGCTCGACCTCCCCGGCGCCTTTGTCCTGCTCCCCGCCATTGTCATGCTCCTCCTCGCCCTCCAGTGGGGAGGAGTCGAGTACCCCTGGCGCGACGCCAAGATCATCGGCCTGTTCTGTGGCGCCGGCGCGCTCGCCCTCATCTTTGTCGGCATCGAGATCTGGCAGGGGGACAAGGCCCTGCTGCCCCCGCGCTTCTTCAAGAACCGCAACATTGTCTGTGCCATGCTGTTCGCCCTGTTCTTTGGCGCGTCCTTCTTCCCGCTCGTGTACTACATGTGTAAGTTGTCGAACCGCTCTCGCTCAGACAGACAAAAGAAGAAGAAAAAAACAATGCTTCCCACCTATGAATGCCAAGCTAATATAAACCCTTTGAAAACCTACCAGCCCTCTACTTCCAAGCCGTGTTCGGCGACACGGCCGTCGAGGCCGGCCTCAAGCTCCTCCCGCTGCTCATCGCGGTCGTCGTCTCGTCCATGGCGTCGGGCGTGCTCATCACCGTGTTCGGCTACTACAACCACATCATCCTGGTCGAGATGGCCCTGGTCGCCATCGGCGCCGGGCTCATCACCACGTTCAACCTCGCGACCCCAATGTCCCAATGGTTCGGGTACCAGGTCGTCTGCGGCCTGGGCATCGGCGTCGGGTTCCAGGCGGGAGTGCTCGTGGTGCAAAACGTCGTCACGCAGGAGCTCGTGCCCCAGGGTACCGCCTGCGTCCAGTTCTTCCAGCAGCTCGGCGGCGCCGTCTTCATCGCCGTCGCCCAGACCCTGTTCCAGAACGGCGTCATCGAGGGCCTCGCCCGCGACACCCCGGGGCTTGACCCGGCCATCATCATTAATACCGGCGCCAACCTCGTGCCCCAGACCCTGGCCTCCATGGGCCTCGCGGACCTCACGGAAAAGGTCCTCACCGCCTACATGGACGGCCTGCGCGACACCTTCTACCTCACCCTCGGCGGAGCCTGCGCGGCCTTCTTGGTCGCCTTCGGCCTCGAGTGGAAGAAGATCGACAAGGCCCAGAAGAGCGACGCCGGCGCGGCTGCTGTATAAACCAAGCCGTCCGCGCCGCCGCCGCGACTTTGTGCCTGCTCGTGGGCTGGTTTTTGCAGTTAGATGACGAGGCTTGGGACCCCACCAGCGTCACCCTTGGGACTTGAGCACAAGAGTGCTGCAGCAGCGTTGTCCAGTCGTCTTCTGCCTGAGCTCACCAGCCTCCGGGTCGAATGGCTTGTCTGTGGCAAGCTTGCGTGGGAAGTTCGGGACAAAAGAGACCTAAATATTCAGCATACCTCATTGTAATTTGCTTGCGAGAGCAAGAAAACGTGATACCCCCCTCTCAGATAATAGAATACTATTCTTCTTGGTTTTTTCCATCTTCTCAATCACCGAGTCCAAAAATGAACGCTTGCCTAGGAACAACAACAACACTCCCACGGAGGTAAACGGTTTACGTCCAAGAGACAGCTGGTTTCTGCGCCGCAGATCGCTGATACCTGGAGACTAGACATGAACATTACCCCTCAAGCACGCACGTCAAATGGAGACCTGGTGTTTCAAAATTCCAAGTAATGCAACGGTGATTTAGTCTATGTTTGTCCTAACAGACGCGTTGTGCGACACATTGTGATACTTCCTTCAGTCTCTCTTCAATACAGCCAACACAATCGCCATACTTGATACCACTTGTCCTTTCTGCCAAGCATGTGTCGTCTCCAGCCAGCCCAATTCTGAATGCAAGCATGTATATATTCTGCGAGAGACACAAACCTGACGTGATCGAAATATCGGCCATAGCTTAGAAATGAGACTCTTTAAGTCTTCGCGAGCACAAGAACTGCCGCTAAAGCCACGCCTCGCCCGAGCTTCAAACGGGCAAACTAGTGTTGACCTTCTCGAGCATGCGATTCTCGGGCGGTAGTATCGCAAAACTTGTAAAGCATGCGCTGTCCAAGGTACTTAGGCAGTAGCCTGTTGATGTAGGTGGTAGAAAAGTCATGATGCATAAATTTTGTGGAAAAGATGATGCTGTGCGTGATCAAGGGTTGTAAATAGTCTCAGCGTCGCGGGACAGTCAACGGGGATCAGCTATTGGCGGTGCAGCATCGGGAGAACCCCTGAGAATCCTCGGCCCAAGATCGCGTTTACGTACTTGTGACAAGCTTGCACCGAGACATGTAGAACCACTTTCGTCTAATGGTAAGGACGGACACCGTAGCGAGGTCCAGGGGGCATCCGCGTCAAGGTCGTTCCGACGCCAGGGCCAGGTCGGGTTGCGATCGCAGGGTTGGTGCACAGCATGCCAACCCTGGATCCAAATTTCGATCCTCGCAGGGAGACCATGTGCTTCCGAATGTGCGCGGCAACGACTTCTCTGTGTTGAGGACCGGCGTGTGTAAGGATCCACTGGACCAAATAGTTGCCGTACTGGTCGCTGGCAATATCAATCAGAGGAATTCTTGGCCGGTCGATCCGGCCCTCGCACACTCGGTCGAGGTAGCGTGCCAGAAACTCAACACCGCCAATCTTCAGGCATTTCTTAACAACCTTCGAGGCGTATTGGTCCATGCTATACTCTGCCGCGAACCGAATGACGTGGTCTACGGCTCTGCTACGATCAGCAGGGGCGCCGTGCTCGCAGACATGCTGGATGCACCAGTTGCCGAACTGGCCGTGAGCGACGATGTCGATGTTGGCCAAAACCTCCTCGATACAGGGACGCTGTCAATTGTTAGCTCCGTGAAAGCAAGGCGACGTATTCTCAAGTGCGCGCCTACCTTGTCCTCTTCAAGACAATTTTCAAAAATATTCTGCACGACAAGACTGCCTGTCTCGCCCAAAGCAACCTCGTGCCACATCCCACGCAGCGCTTCGTTGACAAACTTCATGATCTGCGGAGGAGACTCGGTCCATCTGAGCTCAAAGAGTTTCTGCCAGACGTGGCATGCGTAGCGGTGAATGACAGTCTCAGGAATGCATCGCAGTAGCTCATGAACCATGATGGCTTTGTAATCCTCAGGCACGGAGTCGAACGCTTTCTGCACCACATGGCAGCCGAAAGGGTCCATGGAAAGACTCAATGTGTTACCACGAATCGCCTCTGCAATCTTGATTACCTGTTCCGGAGTTCCGTGTTCGAAGCACCGCTGCACCAAAAAGTTTCCAAAGCGATTGACCATGAGTGGGTAGGCTTGGGCGACTATGGCCTCGACAATGGCATACTTCTGCTCCGGGGTGCCCACTTTCAGCTTCTGTTGCAAGAAGATCGACGCTTGCTGGTCATTGTTGCAGACAATCTTGTCAACAATGTACTTCCAGTTGCAGTTAACGTTGCGATCCAGAAGACGGCGATAGTTCAGAGGCTCCGTTGTCGGCAGGTAAGTCTGACCTTCAGCCGTGAACGACTAGAGATATTTATTAGCACCAGGATTCTCCAAACACTCGTCTACACTTCCGGACTCACATCAGATTTCCAGGACTCGCCGTCGGACGCAGTCGTGAACTCGCTCGCCAAAGGTGAGAGCGTATTTGGCACGGTACCGTAGCCTGGGAACATGCCCATACTGCTCATCAGCGAACCCGCCGAAGTGCCACCATATTCGGCTCCACCGTCGCTACTATACGGATAGCCGCCCCCAAAAGCATTCTGTGCTCCGGTGTGCTGGGCAGACATGCTGATGTCTGGGCGCTGGCCACGCCTGGCACCTCCAGCCCGTGTGGAGAAGTCAATGTTTTGGGCGAGGCGGTCAGGCCGGAAGCTGTTCTGCAATGGTGCAGAGTACGGCATTCCGCCTTCTGCAAAGCCAACATTGCCAGGCCGATTGTTGTTCCAGATTTGACTAGGAGGGATGGAGAGCTGCCCAAATGCAGGGGGGCCTTGACGAGTGTTCCAGATGTGTCGAGCGCGGTTGGAACCAGCCGTGTGAAGAGTATCGCCGCTCTCCGACCGAGAATCTTCGTATGCCAGCCAGGCCCCTGTGGGGTCACGGTTCTGCGTGTGAAGACCACGTAGCTCTGGTGGAGTCAGACCTGGCACTTGTGCCTGCTTGTGTTCTGAAGGGAAAGTGAACGATGACTCGGACTCGAAAGGAGAGTTACCAATGCCGGAGTCGGAGAGCCGAGGCACAGGCCGTGTCGAGGACAACTCCTGATCAAGCCGATTGATTTGATCTTGGGCTTGAGCAAGCTGCATTTTGAGCCGGGAGACCTCTTCGGTGTTGGTGTTCTCTTCTTTGACAGTGACCCTTGCAGAATGCGGTTGAGTATTGAAGCCGAGCACCTCTGTCGCTGGTGTAAGCGGTACAGATTTGCTGGTTGAGGCGCTGGCAGCCTGGGAAGTGCGCGAGACCGCATCTCCGCTGGAAGCATCCAAGGCCGCAGACTGCTTTTGTAGGATGGCCTGCTGCTTAGAGAGGTTCGCAAGAAGAGCGTCGACAGGGCTGGTGTCGTTGGGGTCGCTGTAGCTGGTTGGCTCGCGACTGAGCTTCGACTTCTAGATACCCAGGTCCTTCTTAGCTTACAACCAGTCCATCTATCAGCAATGATGAGGCATACCTTAGAACAGCTCAGATTGTCCAGGGACGCAGCTGAGAGCCCTCCTGCGCTACGCTTGAGAGTCGGCAAAGTCTCAGAATCCTGTGTCTTGATTGAACCGTCAAGCTTGGTGGTCAGTGCCTTTGTCGAAGTAGCTCCCAGAAGTTGAGCTGAAACTCTCGAGCCAATCACAATCCCATTGCACACAAGAACAACAGCGAGTGTGGGGACCAACAGGCATGGTAGACTTACGGATAGTCTCATGCCGTCGAGAGCCTTGCTCACGTGAACTGTGGGCTCTTCCAGTTTCGGAAAGTGACGATTCTCGATCAAAGCCTTACCACTTGCGACTGTGGGCTGACGCATAATTGGCGAGCCGTTTGGCCCAGCAGCGGGCGACATGATGGTCTGACGAAAAGTGAGCGCAGCTGATGGTAAGGTTGGGATTTCTGTGCAATTATCGCGATCCGGTTGGCCGGATGATGTCTGAAAACGGTCAGCCAGTCTAGATAGGAGAGGCTGGGAGAATGACAGCGGATAGGGCAGCCTGTGTGGTTGAGTGGGTGGAAACAGTCGACTGCACAGAAATGGGCAGTCCTCTCATGGGAGATGCCCTTGAGATTGGGCAGTGATGAGGGAAGAGGGTATGGAGGTGGCTTGGTGCAAAAGTGGCGAGGGGATGGAAGCGGCCAGAGTGAGTGTTGGGAGGAAGGTACGGACAGGGAGAGGACTGGTTTGTGTGCCCACACACGAAAGAGGCAGGTTGGGCAGGCCAGGCACGCACGGAAGGCGACATCAAACGAAAACCCGAAAGAAAAGGTCGCAAGGTGAGGCGCATGTGAGGAAACAAGCCTGCCTGGTAACACTCGACCGACCGAGACGACGGTGCTGTGGCTCTGCGGTTGCGAGTTCTGAGCCAGCACTTTGTTTAAGGCAGGCATGCCCGAGACGATGTGGGAGTATGGAATGGCATGTGTGTGGCGGGAAGCTCGCAGGCCAAATTGGCAGGAGGCAAGTTGGCAGCAGCATGCTTTCTGGCCGCACAGCTGTGCAAGCCATCTGCTGTTTTTTGAGCGCACCTGCACCATAGCACTAAGCAACGTCGGCCATCTCAGGACTCTTCCAGCAAAGATCGGGCAGGGTCGGCTGCATCGGCAGTCCAAGGTTCAACTGTGCGGTCATTGAGTTGCATTGCCTCGCGAAAAGTCATTAGCTACGCTGAAGGGCCGAGTCGACGAGCTTCTACGTTACTCCGGGGCCAACTGTAATGTGCGCATTCCTATGATGCGAACACCACCAACAAGCAAACCGGCTGCCCTCATGGATCCCGCCAGTCACGGCTCCTTTGCAGGCAGATACCACCAAAGCTATAATTAGAGTGGTCCTTGTCAGTCGAGTACTATTTTGCGAATGTTGTGTGTGCATCGTGCCGGCAATAGATGCCCAACCACACCGTTCCACGCATTCTGCTCAGAACGATGCCCCTGCAGAGCTTTTTTACTCGCTTGAAGCCACATACGCGGGAAGACGTTTAAGATCCCAAGACGTTCAAAATCTCCTGACAAAGGAGCTCAGACACTGAATCACTCAAAGGCCAACTGAAAGTCGCACTCCGGCGAGCGTGACAGCAAAGGTCAACATGTGTGGATCGACGGGATATTGTGATTCCCGCAACAGCGCCGTGGTATCGTACAGACTATATACAAGCCAACGATCTCTTCGATTACCTCTTGGGGCCTTTCTCGACTGTTCAGGCAGATAAGTTAGCATGCAGACCCCACTGGTAGGTATCCGGGGGCTCTCACCTTTAGCTGTCCTCTTCTTCTTGGGCGCACCCTTGCCTCTCGCTCGTACACTATCAACCTGTCAGAAATGCATTTTCCAACGATCGGAAAGTCGGCTTTTCGTCCATACCCAGCCAGATGCTCCTCTCTGTCCATGGCGGCTTCATCAACAACCTCGAGCCCGAAGGACTCAAAGTCTCGTGCCAATGTCTTCAGGTCGGGAAGTCGTGGAGGGTAGTATTTGACTAGCGAAGGCCCTTTTAACCGCTGCCGCAGGATCTTGTTGCCTGCGCGGATTTGCTCCGGGTTGAACGTCGTCGAGAAGATTTCGCATTGTGTCTGCGTCTGGGTTAGTTTGTCGTCGTGGTCGGTGGTCGGAAGGTCGCTTCGTGGCCTTTTCGCACCTTCATCAGGCTCAATAGCCTTGCCTTCGGTACTGTGGCCATCGCGTCGTCGGCTTAGGTTGTCACGACACTCGGTGCTCGCGGGTCTTTGGCTTGTCGTCGGCGGCGGCGTCCTCGCGCAGCTCTGCACTGAAGTCGTCAATTGTGGATTGCGGCTCTGCAGCTTGAAAAATGTGCTGACTCAGGGCCGTGCGAAAAGACATTGAGGCACAAGGGCCTCAGCCCTGACACTGTGAGTCCGGTAGTCCATGCACGGAGGTGGATACCACAAAGACCTGCATCTCCCCAATGCGACGACTTTGGAGATGTGCTCTGTTTGGCATTCTCACAAACGTAGAACCACGCCGCCTCACTTATTTATCTATCTAGGGTAGCAAGGCATACCGGAGTCTTGCGCTCGCCATCTAGTAATCTCAGCTCAAAAGCATCATTTTCGCAGCAACGCATTTGGTTACATCCGGTGTTATGCACTTCGAGGATCTTCTTAGACTCTAGGCAATCTCACCCAATTATGCCTAAACGGTCACATGCAGAGCTCGATGGCAGCGCTGCTAGCATGTCAGAGGCTCTTGCTCGCGTCGACGACATCCTCTCGACAGCAAGTCGGCTCAAAAGAGAACTTGAACAACTTCGCGACTTGAAACAAAATGGCAGCATTGCGCCCGCTGAGGCCTCGACGACATTGCAGGAGCACGCCAACAAAATTCTTGATTCGGCCACACGACTCTCCCAGCAGGTGACGAAAGACTCCCTTAGTGCTGAAGCGGATTCCCGCAAGTCTCAGAGACTGGATACGGTAGATGCACAAAATCTCGTGCCGAAGGAGCTGCCAATTCCTTCACCCTCGTTGCTTACAGCCTGGACACTTCAGGACGTCCCTGAAGATGGCAATCTTCCTCCACTCCCCTCTGTCGCAGATTCTTTACTGGAGAAAGCAGCTCTTACGCACACGGGCATGTCAGCCAAGAGCACAGATCTGAGCTACGAGAGGCTGGAGTGGATTGGTGATGCCTACCTGTACCTCATGTCGTCAGCCTTCATCTTCCACACGTTTCCCGTCCTCAGTGTGGGCCGCTCGGCGCAATTGCGGGAGAAGCTAGTCAAGAACGACACACTGCGTGGCTATACCTTGAACTACAGGCTCAACCAGCGGGCAAACTTCCCAGCCGAGTTCGACCTTCATGGGAGAAGTGGCGGAACGGCGGCTTCGAACAAGGTCAAGAACAAAGTGCTTGGAGACATATTCGAGTCTTATTTTGCCGCCATTATTCTGGGCAACCCGAACGGTCTTGAGCTAGCAACTGCTTTCATAAAAAAGGTATGGGCTGTGACACTGAGCCCCGAAATTCGGAAAGAGTGCAAGGCACAAGAACAACACCGTAGCCAGACAGGCCCAGAAACGGCGAGCACACCCCGGCAGGAGCAGAATCACAAAGTCGAGCTTGCCAAGACCATTGGCGGGCCCAATATTTACATCGACTACAAGCAAATCGGAGAGAAGAAGTCAAAAGAGTCTGGCACGCCCCTGTACACCATGGGCGTTTTCCTCACTGGATGGGGCGAGACTGGCCTTCAAATCGGCTTTGGAACTGCTCTGTCCAAGAAAGATGCTGGACAGAAAGCGGCTGCCTGTGCTCTTGAGAATAAGAAGTTGATCAAGCGGCTGGTAGCGGTTAGGACTGACTTCCTGAAGGCAGTGGCGGCGCAGAAGGAACAGCAGAAGCAATAGGCATGAAGCTACTGCTGTCGGCAGGGATGAGTGCCACCATCATGGTATCTGAGAAAGTCAAACGTAAATAATACGCATGATACCCCCAGATTGGTAGCGAATTAATGAGCATTAGAACATGAGATACCCATCAACACATTGTTGTGAAAGACTTTGTCCACTGTGGTCCCCGAGAACGCCTCCATCACGAAGAGGCAGTTCCGGAAGTGGAGGCAGGTTGCGACATGTGGACATGCGTTGACCCTCGGGACAATTGGCCGCTTGTCTTCCCCGCTAAACCTGTACGGATTCCCGTGGAGACGGGGTGTCCAGGGATGCTGGGAGGGTCCGACAAGGGACGCCCAACGACCTTGTCGGAAGCATGTGCGGCGAGAGCTTATCGGAGGACACGGCGTGCGTCGGCCTCCGTGGGAAAGGTGTGCCAGCCAGGACGTGGGGTCTGGAGGAACAGTGACGCGCTGATGCGTCAACGCCAGAGCTGCGGCTTCTGGGTAAGGCAGGGTCGGACGAGTCAGCACCAATGGACGCGCCGGTGATGGATCTAGTAAATGCTGCTACTAGTGGTGGTTGTTTTGAGTGCTCGCTGGCTGCCGAGATCCCCCTCGAGGAGAAGAGGAGGAGAGTGCCGGCTGCCCATCGCCGAGGCACAACTCCCCCACACCCCTGTCTGGCCCCGAGTAAGCCCGTGCCGCGCCATTGGGGCCCTGCGAGCACCACGGCGGCCCAGGCCAGAGACCAACCGCCAGCCCTCGCTCGCAGGGGCGCGCTGATTGCTCTTGGTCCACGTCCATGACGAGCATCACCAGCACAACCAATCCACAACGGGATCTCTTCACCGATTCTTCACTGTAGTAATATCTGTCATCATTCGAGCATTTGTTTGCAATACCTTGCGACTGGGCACACCCTGCTTTCCCCCGATTCTGACGCCAAATGACGACGCGCCCGACGCAGAGACCCTGACCCGACCCGATCACCCCCAGCCCTGCCTCGTCCCCGTACACCTCACCACGACGTCCCGCTCTGATCCCGCGGGCTCCCGCTTCTCCGGCCACGCACCCACAGACCCCGAGGCTGTTCTGGAGCGTGGGACTGTCCCGATCCCCGAAAGCACCGCCGAATAAAGGCCGCAGAAAGTGAAACCATTGAGAGACGCACCGTCCTGTTCTCGGCAGATGACTGCCCACCATGGCGGACTCGGTTGGTCAGTTATCATCCTGAACGCTTTACGTCGCGCCATGCCAGCCTTGTCCACGCAAGGGGCGCAGGCAGCCGTCGAGCTGACCTCGAGAGCTGGTCAACACAAACCATGAGTGCAAACCAGCTGACCTGATCAAATATCACAGACCGCGTCTTCGTCCATGCGCTCAACACCGTCAAGAAGATCCCCAAGACCGGAGCGTCACGGCCGCCGCCTAGCGACCGACTCAGACTATATGGACTCTACAAGCAGGCCATGGAGGGCGACGTGGACGGTGTCATGGAGCGGCCGGCCAGCGGACCAGGTGTCGAGGCGGATGAGCTGCAGCGGGAGAGAGACAAGTGGGACGCCTGGAGTGCTCAGCACGGTCTATCCAGGACAGAGGCCAAGAAGCGGTATATTGAGGCTCTGATAGACACAATGCACCGCCATGCCACCACACCGTAGGTGCTCTATCCTTCAGCCTGCAAGAACCAGGACAGGGCGGTCGGAACTCTGTGGGCATGTGCTGACATTCACCACACAGGGACGCAAGAGAACTCGTCTCAGAACTCGAGTTCGTCTGGAACCAGATCAAGAATAACACCAGCAGTCCGTCAGTATCCGACTCGTCACCAAAAGCCAGCCGCGTGGGCCTCACGAGAACAGCTTCAGAACCTGTAGCTCCAGTAACAGCAGTGGTGCCGGCGCCTGCACCACAAGTCACGCGCAAGTTTCAGCAGCCGACGAGCGGCACAGAAGGACCCATGCGGATCCTCAGCCCCATGAGCGAGGACGATGTGGTCGAGGCTCAATACCGGCGTGAGCATATCGAAGAGGAGCCCGATGATGGCGAGTACGTCCGGAAAGGCGATCGGTGGTCACGAAAGGTCGAGCGCGCCCTCGTCAGGATGTCCGCGGAAGTCGCTGCATTACGAGAACAGATCACGACGAGCCGCGAATGGCGGACGCAGAAGGAGAAGTCCTGGGGCGCCTGGCTGGCTTGGGCGCTGTGGCGGGTCACGAAGCACATTGCAATCGATATCAGCTTGCTCTGCTTGGTGCTGCTTTTCTTGCGCAGGCGGAAAGACCGGCGGATCGAGGACCAGGTCAGGGCGTCCCTTACGGTGTTACGGGAATATGCACGAAAGGTGCTGCCATCACGATGACAAGCTCTGTGTCTCCATCACCAGTCAAGAGATAGCGCGGAATGCCACCAGCTCTTGGCCTGAAGCTCTGCGGCAAGGACCACTGGTTGTGGACATCCACTCCGGCACCGTGCTTGTGGAACACAGCACAGCACAGAACGAAAACCGGCAACTTGAGGGGTCATGGAGATCCAGCTGTTCCGGACATAATGCCAATCGTCGCTCTCCGTAATTGGGCGAGGAGTTCCAGCCCGCCATGACACTGCAAAACGAGCAGAGTCGCCGATGCCGCGTGCTGATGCCTCAAATGGCCTCTGTTTCCCAGGAGGAACACCATACATACAACATATCTATCTATATACAACCAGATCTAATGTATATAAACCTAAGCCCCAGTCTAGACAGGGCTGCTATGACGAAATACCATGACTTTGGAATACAATGATGCTGGCACATGGTCACGAAGACACATCACGCCAGATTGAAAAGTTTTCCGGTTCGTTGATGTGCAAAGCAATATCTTCCTCGCATACAGTGCGCAGTTTGCCGGACCAATTACTTGTGCAAGCATTCAAACTTGCTCAGTAAAGGCGGAAGTGATTGTTGACAACTAGGATAAATCAGCAATCCAAGTTGAGAACCCATGCACGGCACTTGGACAGACACAAAGTGGGGCACCTGAGCAAGCTGAATCCAGTACGGCAACCAAAACCCCCAGGTCTCTTTCGATCCTCAAACTTCTGCAATTTCCACATCCACTTATACGACTCGTCAATCTGCAATCTACCTGCGTTTCTACCTCGGCACTTGAAACGTTGTGTTTCTGCAAAAACGTTCTCGGTTCTTTTACTCTACGGCTCGCTTTCACACATAGGATCCAGAGCGAACTCTGGCCTTGAGGCAACAACACTGTTTCAGGACAACACATTCTATTTCAGAACTCGCGGCGCAGCGGGCCCTTGGGCTGTTGTGACATCGCGGCCAGCCCAAGACGGCTTCGATCTGGAAGGCTGCCAGGAGCATTTGTGCTGTGCTTCAAACAAATTGAATGCCGCACGGGAGTACTGGCGTGCGCGCGCGCGGCCTGCCACCGGGTTGATGAAGGATAGATCACATCTGATCTCGCGAGGCCAGCCATTCATCTGAGGTTACTACAATTTCAAATGGGCCCTTCAGACCGTCTCACAGATTCCCGACCGGCGTCGCCATCGGCCATGGAGGAGGCAATGGAGAACCAGTTCCCGCTACTCAAAGACATACCGCATGAGGAACCCAAGGACACTGTTCCTCTGCCAAATTTCGTCCAGGCCATGGCAATCCCCGTGCTGCGAGACTACACCAAGGCCCCGCCGCCGCTACCAGACACCCCAGACGCCCGGCTGCAATGGAAGCTTGACCAGATCGACCGGCACGCCGCGGCGATCAACCACAACTTCCACTTCATGGCGCAGCGCGAGGCGAGGCGCATCGCGGGGCTGTGCGAGCAGGAGGAGCAGGAGATGCGGGAGCTCAACGATCTAGACGACCTCCCCGTGTATGGATTGGGCGCAAGCGAGGACCCTCACTCGACGCTCGATCTTGATGTGCTACTGAACCAGGAGCCTGATGGCCAGCCGGAACGTTATGCGCTTCCGCAGGGCTTCACGCAACGCGAGTTCAAGATCCCCGCTACCAGCGGCCTTTTGCCGCGCAAGGTCCTTCAGATCGAGACTCTCAGCTTGTTTCAACTTGCCTTGAACAACATGGAGGGCCGCGCAGGCGCTGCCCAGCAGCAGAAGGAAGCAGCGCGGAGAAAAAAGTCTATGGAGATGGCCAAAGAGACGGCACGTAGATTGGGTGCAGCACAGCCGGACAGCAATCCTGGTCCAAGTAAGGCAGATGGCCAAGGGGAAGCAATGGACACAAGTGAAGACTGAGGCCATTGGAGAAGAAGGCGTCTGCTCATGAAGAGGAATGCGGGTGATATTGCTCGTATGGGTAGTGGTGGATAAGAAGCCTGTCATTCATGATCGACTGCATGCTTCGAACAAGGCTTGCGCTCATGACGACGTCTCGGTTGCCATGGCTGAGCTAGCATCGCCACTTGAGGCGGCAGCTCGCCGTTCCCAGGGCTTTAGCGGTGCTTGCATCTTGCCTGTTGTCGATATGGATGGGTCCTCGACGACTGTATCTGGAATTTTGCGTATACCCTCGATAGGCTTCCCTGTCTGAATAAACTCGACGATTTCCATAAACTTCTTGGGGTATTGCTCCTTGCCGCCGCCGCTACCTCCCGAGGAGTCTACATCCCGGGGGACATACAGCTCCGCTTTGGGTGCTGCAGCCTGCCAGCTTGGTACCGTCCCATCGACCTCTGCGTCCGCTTCGGAAGCTTGTGGTACTGCTACGGGAGAAGAAGAAGAAGCGACTTCCCCTCCACTGGCTGCGTTCTGAGCCTCGGTCTGCAAAGCGATCCGGCCAAGCGGTTCGCCAAGCTCGACCAGGAGTTGCGCAAATCTGCGTTCCGCGGGGTCCGTAACAGCCATGGATTCCGCCATGACGATCTGTTCGGGGACTAATGGTGGCTGCCTTGCGTTATTCGCTGTAAGCCACGCTTGGTATGCCGCAGGATCGATCTTGATCTTTGTCTGTTGTTCGAAACGGGCTGTCCGTGCTGCCAGAGCAGCTGAGACAAGGCTTGACCCTGGGGACTGTGCAGCGGCCTCGAGAGCGCTCGCCAGTTGTGCCTGGAATTGATGAATCAGTTGGGTATATGCTCGATCGGGATTGAGACTTTACGAACAGTGAAAGGCCGGTCCTTGGTCCATGGGTATGTATCAAACGCCCGGTATTTTGCATCCGGGCTGTCCGCCGCACGACGTTGGACACCCGCCAGACCAGCTGACGGTACAGCTGCGTTGTCCGCCATTTGAAAGGTCTGAAGCAATGTGCTAGTTTCAAGGTTGTAGCCTCAGCTTCGTGCCGGGTGACAAGCGGCAGGCCAGACCACGGTGGTAGTGAGGGGCAGTGGTGCAGATTCAGGGCGAGTTGAGAACGGTCCTTTGGCGATGTGCAACAGCAGCACCGAGCACGTGAAGATCTCTTTTGGCCGCGTCCTAGAGATGTAATTCGATAGTGCGGCGTATGCCTCAACGTGAGTAGACAAGAGTGATGTCGCAACCTGATCGCATCACACACTGGGGGTTGTGGTGGTTGAGATTAGCATGTGTGAGCCGAGGTGCGATTCCAAGTGGGCTCTTGCTCATGTGGGCCCGGCCCTGCTACAGCCGCCGCCGCCCTCGTTGAAGAGCCGCCCCACGGCTGGCATGTCCGGGGGCTGCTTCCTTGACACTAATAGCATTTCCTAGGCAAAGTTGATCAGTATGCCTTTCATGAAGACGACTGTGCATCTGGAAGTCAGGTAGGGTTTACTGATTTTGCCAGAAAGCCGCAGCTCTTCGTTTGCCCTTCGTTTGGTGCAGTCGGGGTCCATGCCACGTGCTGGTTCTATGATCACACGATACAACGTCGCAGCAGCACCTAGGTGGCCCTGTCTTGCCAGCGATCTGCCGCCGGCCCCAACCCCAGCAAGTGAGCAGCCCCCCAGAGGCTAGTCACGCCAGTGCCGTGCCTTAGCCTGCGCCAGCCCAAAACACCCTGCCCTTGCTTCCATTTCCACCTGCCCGATTGCCTGCCGTTCACATCCTCCCCACCTGAAGCTCGACTGAGCACTCTCGCCCACGATAGCCTCGCCCCCAGCCTTCGCCAGAGGCTCCCCATCGTCCAAATGGGCCGCGCAGCTATACGGGCGCTCCGAACGACCTGCCAACACACCGTACGGGCCCTTGCTCGCACCGCTGGCCGTCCTCGACGCAACGTCCTGCTCAACCACCATCTTCAGAGCGCCACCTCTCACGCGAGCGCCGCTTCCGCCGCCCCGGGCTCCGGGCTCCGGTCCTTTTCTTCCTCTAGCGCTGCTCTCTCCCGACATCACCACCCCCGGCATGCTCTAGGCGAGCCTCTCCGCTCCTCCATGTACTTCCGCCGCCTCTCTGTCGCCGTAGTCTCCAGCCTCGTCGGGTATGGTGCTTGGTACTCGTACCGCGGCGATCAGGGCTTCGACAAGACTGCGGCTCTTCAGTTCTCGACCAACACTCCGACGACGACCCCGACTGCTGGAAACACCGCCCTGCCTACCCGGAACGTCCTTGTAGTCGGTGCCAACGAGCTACACACGGGAACTTTCGTTGGCGACGGACCCATTTCCAAGAACGCAGACGGAAGCGGCAACAACGTCCTCGAGATGCTGACCCCGGAGCAGGCCACCGAGAAGCTGCGCAACAACGAAGCGTCATTCATGGTGAACCGCGGCCAGGGTGTCTTGCGGTATGACATTGTCCAGGTCGCGAGCAACAACCCTATCGAGGATGACCACGCCGAGAAGATTGTTGAAGTGTCACCATACACCAAGGGCGAGGACACGGCCAATAACGACTGGATGTTCTGGGGTGTCTTTGATGGACATGCGTAAGTAGTTGTACAGGCGGGCATCTAAAAATAGGGCATGCACTGACAAGCAATCTTCCCTGCAGCGGCTGGACAACATCTGCCAAGCTTAGACAGTCTCTGATCAGCACCGTCGCACGGGAGCTCAACACCACATACAAAGCGGCTGGCACACTAGGCACGCTGCCTTCTGCGGAAGCCATTGATGCTGCCATCAAGAATGGTTTCCTGCGGCTCGACCACGAGATCGTAAACGAGAGTGTTGAGAAGGTCTTCCAGGCCAACTCGAAACGAGCCGCTGCGGAACTGCTCGGCCCTGCACTGTCCGGCTCATGTGCTCTGCTGTCCTTCTATGACAGTGCCTCAAAGACTCTCCGTGTAGCCTGCACTGGCGATTCCCGCGCCGTGCTCGGACGCCGGAATGCCTCCGGCAAATGGACGGCAACGGCTTTATCAGAAGACCAGACTGGAAGCAACCCCAACGAAGTGGCACGCATGCGCAAGGCTCACCCTGGCGAAGAGCGTGTCATTCACAATGGGCGGGTGCTTGGTGGCCTTGAGCCCACAAGAGCGTTTGGCGATGCAAGCTACAAGTGGACTCGAGAGATTACCAACAAGCTGAGGCAGTCGTTCTTTGGCCGGAGTGCCTCGCCGCATCTGCAGACACCTCCGTACGTGACCGCCGAGCCTGTTGTTACCACCACAAAGGTAGACCCGGAGCGCGGAGATTTCATGGTTATGGCCACTGATGGTCTCTGGGAGATGCTCACCAACGAAGAAGTCGTTGGATTGGTCGGAAAGTGGATCGAGACACAAGCGGCTGATCAGTCCAGCTCGCAACTCGGTTCAATCTGGTCCAAAATGTTCGGCTCGAGCAAGGACCTCCCAGTTGAGGCTGGAAAGGCGGATGGCCCCGATGGCCAGAAGACCCCGATCCGGCTACAACAGTGGGGAATCTCACCGGACGACAAGGAGCGCTTCGTGGTCAAGGATAAGAACGTGGCGACCCATCTCATTCGCAACGCGCTTGGTGGCAAGAACGAAGAGCAAATGTGTGCGCTGCTCACGCTTGTGGCTCCCTTCTCTCGCAGATATCGGTAAGTGCTCGTCACGTAACTTGGTTCGGAAGTCGTGATACTAATGTGCTCGACAGTGATGACTTGACGGTACAAGTAGTGTTCTTCGGCAATGGCCAGAAAGGTGGCGAGGTTCTCGTCAACGAGGAAGCTTCAGCCCCGTCCCAATCTCCAGTCAAAGCCAGGCTATAACGAAACGAAGTAGCATATCTCTTTTTGTCCAGCGAGCATTACACCATGCAGGGCGGAATGCAGCTTTTCCAATAGGGTTTCCGGCGTTATGAGGTCGGCTGCAATGTCCAGGGCATAAAACTTGTATACCTAGGGTAGATATAGTCTGAATTTTGTCACTATTGCAAGCGCCACAGCATCGAATTTCCTGCCCAGGCCAGGTTTGGTGAATTGATCTCTAGCCACTCATACGGAGCGGGATGCCCCAGTGTGCGAAATCGTAAGGGCCTTTTCTGGGCAGCACATGTTGGTTGGCCTCCTGCATCAGTTGCCCGTATTGCGATTGGTCACCTTCCATGACTTGGGCGCCTCGCTCGACATGACGGCTCCAACAAGCCAGCCTTTCCATTCGTGCCTTGCTAGGCTGCCTGCATGCAATCTGGGAGCGGGAGAATATTTGAGTGCTCATTCAGCGTGGGAACTTTGGCTTTTATTTCTCCCAGCTGACACTAATCACGATCCCCTCATCCCTGACCTTTGTGATTTCTCACACACTTGCTGCGAATCCAGGAGGCTCGGTTCCCTCCTGCACACAGACTTGCCCTTCCAGCTCATTTGCTGACATGACTCCGGCAATCATTTTCTACGTGGTATGATCAGCCCTTGTGGGTATCTCCTGCGTCACTGACAAATGGAACCATCAGGTTGTGCTCGGCCTAACGGCTGTCGCAATGTAAGTCTACGAAGTTGCCTCAAACAGCATGTCCGAACTTGTGGGAGCCGACCCGATTTGCTTCTTGGCTATAATTCGTGACTAACATAAGGTCTTGGTCGCCAGTTACGTCCAAGTCACGGCCAGCTATCTATCACTGCCGATTCCCCAGCCCACGAGCATTCTGGTGATCCTCCTACCTTGGATAGCCGCCGCGATCAACTTCTGCACCAGACTCACCAACACCACCACCCCCACCAACAAGAGACTCAGTCGTTACCATGCTGCTGCTGCCCGTGCTCCGATCATCCGTCTCGCGCGCGCCGCCCTGCCCATGCTGCAGGTTTTCCAGGGGATCCTCACCGTCGTGCTGGCAACGCTGCTGTCCCAGACCATGACGCAGAACGGGCCGACGACGGGGTGCCTCGCCCAGGGCACTTGGCAGGGGATGTGGTCGGCCCACGACCGCCGGGGGATTGAGAGGATCCAGGACGCGTTTGACTGCTGCGGGCTGAACAGCGTCAAGGACCGCGCGTGGCCGAGGGACGGCACGTGCTCCTCGCTGTACGGGCGCAACAGCGCCTGCGGGAAGCCGTGGGAGGCTGCGTTGCGGAGAGGGTCGGCGCTGGACTTTGGAGTTTGTCTGGTCTTGGGGTTCATCCAGGTGAATTTCTCAACCTTGTCTTTTCTTCCACTTAGCAAGACCAAGGCTCTGCTTCTCAAAGTAGAGCCTGGGGGTTGTATGTTCTGTACTGACTGATACCTTCTCTTTTGCCACCCAGCTCTGGCAGGTTTCCCGATTCTTCTTGTCCCGTGGCGGCGGCGCCTGGGCAGAACTTGGACGCGGGGACGGAGGCAGCAACGGGTACCGACAACTCCCGCCGCCGAACGAAAACACCCAAACTGCTGAGGACAGCCGACTTCTCGAGGATGTCAGCGACAACGAGGAGGAAGACATTTACCGCGCTCCGGAGCACGGTGGAGAGCGTGTAAACGACCAGACCAGGCTGGCTGGAAATCAGAACAGCCGCGGGGACAGCTACGGAGCGGTGGAGAACGGAGGCACCTCGGCGGTGGTGGTGCCGACCGGGCTTGGACATGAGGCGAATGCATGGCGATGAAGGCTGTCCTGAATGTGTTTGACAATCAATTCACGAGGGTGCTTGTAGACTGTGCGATCGTGCTTATTGGGGGGCATTGGAGGAGGAGCAACAGCGTAAATCAGTGAATGGCCCTGTGGTGGTGGGATGGAGCCCAAGAGGCGGAGGTCCCGCTTGTAAGTGAGAGTGAGCGCAGCAGCAAAGTTCACCTAGACAGCGGCTGGGAGTGCAAGCAGGCCGCCTGGAGCCCAGGCTTCTATGCGCTCTCGCCTGCCTATTACTACAGAACAATTGAGTTTGCTCCAACAGGACGACTGTGAATTCCCCCGTCTTGTGCCAGGTCATCTCCCACGTGCATCCCAGTCCGGCTGGGTCGGAAGGATCCCTAGTGGGCATCAACGTCATCTCGAAGTCATCACCTCGAGTCCCTGCAGCAAACCGAGCGGTCGCGCATCGGCAACAAAAGCCATAAAACAAAGGATCCGAGGTTTATACCTTACGTAGCTGTGCTTCCCCTGATGCACAGACTATATCCACATATTGTGCCTTTTTGCGTCCCAGATGGTATAGAAATCGCAAGATCCCCAGCTGAGTCGAAGAACGCCATAGATCGCATCCTCAAGCATAAAAGGTCGTCACAAAAGTGATAATTCACAGCTAGTCTCGCATTTGGGTTCAATTAGCACCAAAAGAATAGCAAAGGATCATGCCGACGGCCGTTGACCATGGCCACGCAAGCCAGCGCAGCTTCTCCAAGCAGTCGGAGCAGCTGCACCGGCGGCTGAGCAAGGTCGAGGAAAAGCACGGCACCTTCTCGAGGTCGCTTACAGTCAGTCCACGCTGTTCATGTTCTCGTCTCGTGAAGCATGAGCTGAGCTAACTGCTTTCTTGTCTTGCTCGTGGAAAGCCCCTCTTTATGGGCATTTCGGCCGCCAAAGTCGACGGAAAAGCTGTCATTGCTCTGGCCGCCCATGACCAGACCTACCTGGTCGATTTCACCGTGCAGCACATTCCTCTCGACGCTGACAACAGCCACAAATCCGCCAGCAACAACAACAACATCGACACAAAGGAAAATAGCAATGGAGAGACTAAGAACCTGCTCGAGGACGGGACGCAGGACGTCATTGCCGACTGGATCGTCACCAACGTGCAGACCTACGAGCGCTCGCACCACGTCAAGTTTGTTGGCGCGGGCGTGCCGGACAAGGTCGCCGACCAACTGAGCCCGACGCTCTGCTCGCGGCTGTGGCTCGAGACGGACATTGTGCCGCTCGTCCTGAAGATTGACGGCGACGTTCCGGGCGACTTCTGGGACGCGAAGCACTTGGACGAGCAGGCGGACTCGATGGCGCGCAAGTGTGTCATGTAGGTGTTTGGCCGCCCTGGATATCAACCCATCATCATGCCCGACCGAGAAACGGTTTCGCAGATTTATCCTAGGTGGAAAACTTGGCAAAATGGATACTTTCAGCTGACCTCTGCTATCACTTGTCCAGGAACTTCGGTCCGTCCCTGACGCCCCTTCTCCAAGTCGGCTTCCGCGGGCTCGTCATGACCGACGCCGGTTTCAAGGCTCGTATGAACCGGCTGCTCGACCACCAGGGGACCAACGGCGAGACGACGTGGCGGGCAGTCAACGTCCTCGCCGACAGGCTCAAGGAGCGCGGCACAAAGATTGCCTTCTTCAGCGCGACACCCCAGGGCGGAGGCGTGGCGCTCATGAGGCACGCTCTGGTGCGGTTCTCGAAGCTCATGGGCGTTGATCTGCGGTGGTATGGTGAGTTGCCGATCGTGGTCCTGACCACTTGTTCTCTCCGAGCCCTACCCGAGGGGAATTTCTATGCATACGCCCCTTTACTCTACTTGGACCATAGTGACGCTGATCTAACAATGACACGCCACTATTCGCAGTCCCAAAGCCTCGTCCGGGTGTCTTCAGAAACACCAAGAACATGCACAACATCCTCCAGGGCGTGGCGGACAAGGACGACCGGCTGTCCGAGGAGCAGCGCGGAGTCATCCACGACTGGATCACAGACAATGCCGAGCGGTACTGGCTCGCCAAGGACGGCCCGCTGCGGAAGCCAGAGGAAGGAGGGGCTGACATCATTGTGGTAAGTATTGTATCCACGACGAGGACTGGCTTACGGCCATTTGAATGTTTTCCTGCTCCCCGTTGTCTAAACCCACAAACAACAGATCGACGACCCGCAGATGCCCGGCCTGATCCCGTTGATCAAGAAGACGACACCCGACCGGCCGGTGCTGTACCGCTCGCACATCCAGGTGCGCAGCGACCTCGTGGCGCAAAAGGGTAGCCCGCAGAGCGAGGTCTGGGACTATCTCTGGCACGACATCCAGCATGCCGACGCCTTTATCAGCCATCCGATCCCGGAGTTTGTGCCGCATAATGTGCCAAGAGACAAGGTCATGTTTATGCCGGCGACTACAGACTGGTGCGTGTTCTCCCTCCTGCTAGTGGTCGGGATCCCAACACATCAAGATGGGAACTATTGATGGATGAGGAGACTAATGCGACATATGGGTAATAATGCTAGGCTGGACGGGCTGAACAAACCCATGAACGACTGGGATCGCGGATACTACGCGAGCAACTACAACCTCCAGTGTCATGTGCAGGATATGTGAGTTCTCCACTGGTAACACCCAAATATCAACTCGCCAATGTACTGACTTCGCATGTGTTGATGACAGGACACCGTTGCGTTTCAAAGAGTGTTAGTATCGGTAACCCTTGTGGTCGTTGGCTGAGCTGCACAGATTCGGATGCAATACTGACTGTTTCAATCACCTGCAGCCAAGTACATTGTCCAAGTCGCGCGGTTTGATCCGGCCAAGGGCATTGACACCGTCATCGACGCGTACGCCGAGTTCTGCCGTCTCGCCAAGGAGAAGGACATCAAGGACATCCCGCAGCTCGTAGTGTAAGCCGGCTTTACTTCCGTGTTGTTGTTGTTCCTCACCAAGTTCTTTCAGACACAGACAAAAAAGAGACTAACATGACTTTTTCTTTTGCACCGAACTGCAGCACCGGCAACTCGTCCGTGGACGACCCGGACGGCACGCGCGTCTACGACGCCGCCCTGACCCAGATTGAGACGCACTTCCCGCACCTCGCGACCTCGATCAGCGTGATGCGCCTCGACGCCAACGACCAGCTCCTCAACACGCTGATCGCGGGGGCCCACGTGGTCCTGCAGCTCTCGACGCGCGAAGGGTTCGAGGTAAAAGTGTCCGAGGCGCTGCACGCGGGGCGGCCCGTCATCGCCACCAGGGCCGGCGGGATCCCGGTCCAGGTCCAGCACGAGAAGAACGGGTTCCTCGTCGAGCCGGGGGACTACAAGGAGGTTGCGAGGCGGCTGGTGCAGTTGTTTGAGGGTGGCGATGGCGGAGAGCTGTGGAGGGAGATGAGCAAGGAGGCGAGGACCGGGGTGAGCGATGAGGTGAGCACGGTTGGGAATGCGCTTTGTTGGTATTACCTCGCCGATCTGTTTGTGCATCGTGGAGGGTTGGCAAATGATGCTGGTGGTGTCAATGGTGAAGCAAAGAGCAGGAAGACGGTGTTTAGGGAGAGGTGGGTGAACGATCTGGCGCGGGAAGAGGCTGGGGTGCCATACGAGAAAGGGGAGAACCGGTTGCCTCGACATTTCACAGAGAGGAAGTGATACGGGACCAGGTTTTGAGCATTTGGAATTTCCTCGGTAGACCAATACACTAGAGCCTCCGATTCCACCACTATTGTAAAGATGGATACTGGTCAGACAGCCGTGAACCATGTCAGCAAGTAGATGATCACAGGCCCGAGGAGACGAGGAAGCGACAGAAATTTTGACTTGGTCACGAGCACAAGCATCTCGAGTGAGTTCTCGCAGACTTGCTGTGGCACATCGACAAACAACATCCCTGCTCTGGATATTATTAGTAGTTGCGTAGGTATCTATGAGTTGCGACAGAACGCGGGACTGCATTGTGTAGAGTCACATCGAATTTGGGGGCGCCATGCCACAAACTGCCTAGACTCCGCTGGCTGACACTGGACCCTGGCAGACCCGCCCCGGCGCAGCGGACATGTCGCCTGGAGAAGGACGATGAAGAGGGGGGACCTGGAATACTCAATTTTATGTCTGCATGTGCACCTGGAAAACAAGGAATGCTGATTGGGGCGCCAAGGTGTTCCATGTTGGGCACCTCGAGCGTGCTCTGTATCCCATGTCCGTTACACAAAGGGTGGCCGAACTGCCCAGCCGGCCGCCCGGAGAGAGGTGGGTCCACCTCCGGCCTCGGCTGGTGGGTCCGCGGCGGCAGCCCCCCGGACCGCGGAGATGCTGCACTCACTGCAGGTTGTGTCCTTTGTCGTTTTGACGCATGCGCCGCTTGGCCTCGATTCGACTATTATGCTCTGGCTGCCATCCAAGCCGGGACTGCCGGGAAGGCTAAGTCAGCCGGGCCGGCCACGGGTCGAGCCGCAACGCCAACCACAGGACGCAGCCAAGTGCGTTTCACGACGACGAGCGATGAGTAAGCACGACATTTAGATCGTACGATGGTCACGCTGTGCACGTCCTGTCAACGTTGCTGGTTCTCCGCTGGGCCCTACAAGGTCCACCGCGGTGGTCCCGGAGATGCTCGACTTGAAGGTCCATCAATCATGTAAAATGTCACTCAATGTCGCCCGTCTTGGGTAGGTCGTGGCTGTCGATAGGTGATGTGGGCGGTGGGTGGTGCGCCCGCCGTGGGATGGCCAGAGTATAAAGGAGACTCCCCGTATCCTGGCTGGCAAGTGCGAGTCTTCTTGTTAGAGCAGCATCACCATCGACAACATTGACAGAACACCACAACCAACTGACGGCTACACATCGCATCATGGCGGTCGAGTCGATACCCAAGCCCTCCATGACACCCGAGCAGGTCGCCATTGTCAAGTCGACGGCGCCCATCCTCAAGGAGCACGGCGTCGCCATCACGACACACTTCTACGCCGCGATGCTCGCCGCCCACCCGTCACTGCACAACATCTTCAACCGCGCCAACCAGGCCACCGGCGACCAGCCCCGCGCCCTCGCAAGCCTCGTCTTCGCCTTTGCCGCCCACGCTGACGACCTGCCCGCCCTCGAGCCCGCCATCCGCCGCGTCGTCCACAGGCACGTCTCCCTCCAGGTCCAGCCCGCCCACTACCCCATTGTCGGCGAGTTCCTCATCGCCGCCGTGGCACACATCCTCGGGCCCGACACCGTCACCCCGGCCGTGGCCGACGCCTGGACTGCCGCGTATGCCGTGCTCGCAGACATCTTTGTCAGCGCCGAGGCGGACATGTACCGCGACAACCAGGACCGCGTCGACCCCGTGACCGCTCACAAGATCTGGCCCACCCCGGCCGGGCATGATGGCTGGCGGCCGTTTGTGATCCAGCGCCGTGTCAACGAGTCTCCAGACGGCAGGATCGTCAGCTTTTATCTCGTCCCCCAAGATGCCCTTCCTTCTTCGTCCGATGAGGGGCTTGGTCCAAAACAGCACCAGCCCCTCCCGACCTTCCTGCCGGGGCAGTACATCAGCATCCGCGTCCCCGTCCCCGAGCATGGCGGCGGAAAGATACTGCAGCCGCGGCAGTACTCGCTCAGCGATGCCCCCGGAAAGGACTACTACCGCATCACGGTCAAGCGCGATGTAGAGCAGCACGTCGTCGCAGAATCTCAGCAGGGGCATCATCCCCAGGTCCGTCCTGCCGGCCTGGTGTCGAATATCCTGCACGACAACTACAAAGAGGGCGATATTGTCGAGGTCACATATCCCATGGGCGAATTCTATCCCCCCTCGTTGTCCTGCCCCGCACCTCTCGCAGCAGAGGACAAGGATAAGAGCAAAAACGACGAGGATGTGCTGCCAAATGGGGCAGAGAAGCCAATGGTCCTCATCTCCGCGGGCGTCGGCATTACGCCCGTGATGTCGATCCTCAACACCGTCTTGGCCGCCGCCAACGGCAGCAGCAGCGAGGGCGGCGGCGCCAAGCGGCCGTCGTCAAGAAGAAGCAGAAGCAGCAGAAAGGCGCCGATAACCTGGATCCACGGCTCGCACAGCACCACGGCGCGGGCGTTCCACGAGCACGTCGCAGAGGTCGTCTCGGCCCATCCGGGGGTCGTCAGTGCGCATCTGTTCCTCACTGTGCCCCCGGGTGACAGCAGCAACACCGAGAACGGTGTCGTCATCCCAGACATGACGAGCACGGCTCACCAGCAGCAGCAGCAGGGGAACCAGCACAGCACGCAGACTTGTACGCACACCGGCCACATCGACCTCTCCATTTTGCCCCAGCAGGGCCGAGAAGGAGAGGGACAAGGACACGAGAGACAAAAAGGCGGGCTGTTCCTGGACGACCCCACGGCAGAGTACTTTGTCTGCGGCCCGCGCGGGTTCATGGACGCGGTGCGGGACTACCTCGTCGAGAAGAACGGGGTTGACGAGGCGAGGGTGTTTCGAGAGGTCTTTGGTACTGGCAGCTGAGGGGGGTTTTCCTTACTTTACGCTCTCTTTGGCTCGGTGTCTTGCTTCTCTCTGAGTTGCTCTTCTTCTTCATGGGATATACGAGCAGGGCTGGGTGAGGCGGACAGTAACGTTTAGACACTTTCGCAAAGACACGCGTCCATTTCTTTTCCTTTTCAACCCACGGCTGGCTTATTTTCTTACAAAGCGTGAGTTGCTCTGTCATATATACATACACATATAGCTACCGTCATAACAGATTTGAGAACAGATTCGAGATATTGAAACGAAATCAGTAGGGTCCCATGACAAAAACTCCAAATTTCAGCATCAGGGAAGTGGTATGCCTGGCTCGTGGGCATGACCTTTGGTGGATAGACAGCCTTCCCTTGCGCCTTGCACGGTGACGCACACTGACTGCACCATTCCTGTGTGTACATTGACCAGCATTCTTTACACTTCCATCACTCGATGGCCAAGAGAAGCCGCCAGTCCTACCCAAACACCAAAATTGAAGCGAGTACAAATGACAGGCCAAAGACCCGGAGCAGAAGCAGAAGCAGAAGCAGAAGCAGAAGCAGAAATGCAATGGTATTATACGCTAAAGTCATGTCTAACATGCAGATGTATGTGGCCCAGTCTTCTGTCACCACTCTATCCGTGAGTCCCAAAGTAAAAACCTCGATCGCAAACACCCCAAGAAGAAGAAGAAGAAGAAGAAATAGTTGGTGACATCCTCCGCTCGCTCAAATCTCAAGGGAAAATGCATCACACGGCAGCCCAGACACGTTCAACCCGGGGCAGCCCATATCATTCATAGCACCCTCTTCGCGTTCTTGACCGCCCGCATCGCCGGCAGCGTATGTTTCCTCCCCGGCTTGCGCCCAATCTCCATGCACAGCATCCGGATCAGGTCCGTGTTGTACCAGTAGCTCGAGTGCGCCGACAGCATGTTCAGATATTGAATCTCCAGAGGGCCGCCGCTGGATCGGAGAAAGTAGTCAATCTGCCCGTTGTCGTTGAGCAGGTACGCCTTCTGCTCGGCCATCTCCTCGCGCGTGAAATCGTGCACCTCGAGCTCGAGCTGTGAGGGGAGGCGCAGCGGAGGCGGGCGCTGGTCCTCGTCGGCTGCAGGATTTGTCGTGGTGCCTTTTGAGGCAGAGGACATCCCTGGGACCATGCTCCACATGGCATTACCTACAGACTGGAAGAAGCCGGTCGTGGCGCTGGGGACGTATGCGGTCTTGAGACTGGCTGCGTACACAGGATCGACGGTCCCGTTGAGTAGGTAAGCCACGGCGTCCTCCCTAGCCAAGACGTTGTAGATATTGTCGACGGCGATGCAGCCAAAAGCGCCGGCCTCGCCCACAATCTCGTCTGACTGTACATCAGCAGGGTCGACGCCTGGCTTCCTCCGGTTCCTCCTCGGCATCAGCGCGCCACGCTCAAGAAGCAAGAAGAACGCGCTGGGGCTGCCTATAAAGAAGAGATTCTTTGTGTCAAACTCAAAGTGGTTCACTTCTGCAGGCTTTTCGAGGTCTAGCATCGCGACTGAGGTGGGTTGTCTCGACAATACCTCCAGAGTCATGACACTGCCCAGCGAATGCGCAATAATGTGTACGCGACCGTTCCTGGCGAAGCCAGGGTTGTTGCGACACCACAGTCGATAAACCCTGTTCGCCTCGTTCACGAGCGCGGCGACCATCTTCGGCTTATGGTGCGACATATAGAAGGGGATGTCAAACATGACATCTGAGATCATGCTGCGCACAGCCGGGATCGTTTTGGGCTCGATATCCTTAAGGCCAAAGCTCTCTGGCGCGTACTCATCCTTGTCCTCTGCCGTCATGGGGCCCCCGTCTTCAAACGACAAGTTCTGTCGCCAGTTGACTGGGAGCACCATGATACCATTCTGCCCGTCACGCAGCACACTCTTGATCTCCTCGTTGCCTAGCTCGATGTTGATAGCCCGGCGGAAGGCATTGATCGCATGTGTGAAATGGTACGTTTCGACTCTCTCTGCCAATTTCTGCCCAATTCCGTGGGCGACGAGAACCAAATCCGTCACTTGACCTCGTTCATCTGCAGCTCGGCAGGCCAGACAGCCCTCTTGTCTTGTCTCCCGGAGGGACTGGCTGAGCGAGAAGACGCTAGGAGCTGTGCTTGTCTGTTGCTTTGGCTTCTTCTGGTGCTTCTTTGCCCAGACCTCGGCATCGAAGCCCCGCACAACGGCGACTCCAACGCTAAACCCTTTCATGATCTTTGCAACTGGTCGTCTTCCATAGTATGCTGAAGGCTTCAGGCTTGGCTTCAAGAGGTATGCGGTAGTCTCGTCCTTGTAGATGACATGATACTGGTCAAACTTGCGCGGAGTCGACGTCGTTGCTGCCGAGTCTTCATGCGCGTTCTCAAGCCGGGTGCCTTCAGCGGCTGCCTCTCCTCGGAAACAACGTGCAGCACAGAAAGGGTCATGCGAGATTGCAGCTTCAGGAATCTTGGCGGGCTGCTTGCTGGTCGCCTTTGGCGTGGGTGGCCACAGCGGGTGTGACACTTTCTCTTCGCCAGCTGGGCCAACATCAATCGCCGAGCGAAGCTCATCCTGCCACGTCTGGGCGTGTGGCTTCAGCTCCCGGTATCCTGCCTCGAGCTGATTCGCAACAGCAGTATCGACTGGCCGCATATCCTCCCTAATTGATGTTAGCGAGTGGTTTCGAGCACTGGCCAGCCACAGCAGTTCGGAATGACACTTACTTATAGAACCACGTCGCCCTCAGAACGGCCGAAATATCATTGACGGGTGACCAATAGATTGGCTTCATCTGCAGAGCTGGCAGCGAGACCTCATGCAACCTAGACACTCCCACCGGCACGCTCGCTGTTGGGCTGTGCGTCTTCTGCTCAGCTATCGTTGATGAAGCACGCAATTTGCGAGATGCTTCCCGCGACGTCTTTCGTTTTTGTGCAGTATTGCTCCGCATACGACCTCTCCGAGCTTGTTCATCGTTCTGCTTATCCGAGAAAATTGCGCCAGTCGCTTTTGGCAACGAGGATGCCGGCGAGAAGTTGGTTGACTCCGGCGTCCCCACGCGGACAAAGGGCATGCCCGTCAGGCCATCGTCCGCGGCGGAGGTCCTGGCGAGCGACGAAGGTGGGACGCTGGTGTCTATTGGTGCTACCTGAGCCACTGGAAATGGCTGTGGAAGCGATCGGGACTCCCTCCTGCTCGATGGACGGCTGCTAGATCTTCCTTCTGCGGCATTAGACTTCACGTTGACGGCCCCGACCAGCCTCACAGAGGCTGCCACACTGGAGTCTCTGCGCTGGTCCGGGTCAAGCAGACTCTCCCCAAGTTTCTTGATCTCGCTCATCACCCTCTGAGCAACCCTGTCCCGGTCGAGCTCGGGCTGTCGCCTTCTAGCCAGCGCACAGAAAGAGGTACGCAGCGCTATGCCCACATCGACAACAAGCTCCGCACAGCAACGACCCTCGGAGTCGTCCTGGTCCACTTGGGTATCAAAGCCAGCCTCCATGAACTCTTGTGGCGCTCGCTCCGTGGCGTGGATTTCGACATGCTTCCGAGCAAGTTCATGAATTATGACCTCCAATCTCTTACTGTTGGTCTTTGCCAGCGAGGGGCTCGGGCTCCGATCCCGCCGGGCAAACGCGTGATTCCGTCGAAACTCGTCCGTTGACAGGCTGAGCCACGCCTTTTCCAGCTCATTATTGTCGCCTTCCGAAAATGGCTGAGTGATGCCTTTGGCGGCGTTGGCATCAGTGCTCGCGGCGATTGTGGACGTCGAGAGGGGATCGTCGATGGGGACCACAGAGGTGTAGAAGAACTGCGCCTTCACAGGTGGTATGTCTTCGAGTTCGGCAGCGGTGAAGGGGTTCTTTAACGGTGCCAGGCGACAACCAGAGTCGTAGGTGTGCGCTTTGGGCGCATTTCCAGTGGCCCTCGATGGCGCCATTTCGAAGGGCTATGGATTGCGAGACGACCGCGGCAGGAAGGGATAAACAGAGGGCCACGTTGGAAGTGTTGGGACGTCCACGGTGTAGTGAGATTTGGCGCGAAAGCGTTTCGTTCAGGCTGATGCCGGTCACACAGACATGTCTGCAGTCCAGCAGTAGCCTCGCTTGGCCAGATTTCGCGAACCAGAAGTTTGTGTTTGGATCGTCAGGTAGGACGAAAACGGTGTGGAGTCGCGTCGGGCGCAGATTTGGAAGTCTGAATCGGTCTGATGGTTCGGTCCGAGCTGGCCTCCAGTGTGCTCTTCGGCGGAAAGGGGCGGCTCTTATTTCTTTTTTTTCCCTGGTGCCTTGGTCGTGGCGTCTGTGTCCCGGTCGCGCGAAAAGTGTTGTTTTGTCGTGGCTGAGAGGAATTTCTGTGCTTGAAGCGAGCCCAGGCAGACGTTCGTGCACATACGTCAGCGAGGCTAGCTAGCTCCGGGCCACCCCAGTGCGTCACTGTCCGAGGCACGAGCCCCAAAGCCTGACATTTGACAGGGCAGACCCGCCGCGCATATCTCCAACCCGTTATCAACACCCCCTGCTTAGCTCCTGCTGAGCAGTGGGGAGTGAGCATCGAATAGCTTCGCAAGGCCAAATCGAATTCCCATACCTCTGGGTCTGAACAAAGAAGCGCCCGTGTTTGGCCATGTGCTCGTAGTCTTGGCAGCAAGGACAAAGGACTCGCTCCATCCAGTCGTCTCTTTGCAGACATGATATCCGCTGTGCCCGGTTCAGAGATGCAAATAATTGGTTCTACAAATTTGACTCGGGAGCACGCGAGTGGAGAAAAGAAATCCTTGTCCACATAGTGCCACAGCAGATTAACCATTCTCTATTCATCGCATGTCGGTGAACAAGTGGAACGCGTGTTCATCGTCGATTTCAACCACAAGCATGAACTGTTGATCCTCGGATAGTTGATGCGATACACTCCATGTAGCTGCTTTCCTAGAACTATAGCTGATGGCGATCAGCGGCCGCATTGAGGTGAAAGGGTGGCTACCTCTGCTGTTTTCTTCATTGCCTGCAATCGAGGCCGGCAGTCTCCCGTATGGAAGTATACAGTGACAGATAGTGCCAATGGTCTCGAGGAAGCAGGTAGGACATTGTGCTGCAAAACACCCACAGAGAGAAACCGTTCTAATCGAGCACCTGCTGTATGACCACCTCAGCAAAATAGCGATACCTACAGCTGGCGGATGCTGAAGGCTGTTCTATGCCATCCAAGCAATATCTCCATACGTAAGGTACTCACTCACTTGACCAGTGGTCACGATATCCAAATACTGAGGACTGTCTTATCGGCACCAATGAGCATGGAACAGTGTCACGGGCAAGTCCCCAATAGTTTGATTGCGAGATACTTACACGGCTATTGCTTATCACTGACGTGGAGATTAAGCTATGGTGGGTTTCAGACAAGCGCGCGGCCCCTCCCTCGGTGGCTATTCATTGTCATGTGGGTTTCAGAAGCTGGTCCACAGCCTGAGACAGCAGCATTTCTGGGCCAACAGCCACCCGTGTCTAGAAAGCGCTGTTGGGTGGTGGAGTAATTCATGCCACAGCATCCATTCGAGCTTACGGGTATTGGGAAGTAAGCGACATTCATCGGTTGCAGGCAAACGATAGAGGCCAAGAGAAATAGCAGATTTCAATCCCAATCATCCACCAGTCGGGATGATCATCGGAAAGCTTGTCCACGCCGGAGCGAGATGTTGGCGCGGCGATGGTATGCTGCAGATCGGAGCAGGTCGTGATGCTCTTTTTAGCAACACAGAGGCAGGATGCCCAGATTTTCATCCTTCACGGTTCCAAGTCTGGTGGTTGGCTCATTCACTGCGTCTGAGATGGAGGGTTAGGGGTTGTGGTCTCTGGAACTTCCCGTTAAAATGTCCGCAGCATGGCGAGCGAACAAGTGCAGCAGCAGTTCTCGACTGAGGTTGCGCAATCGGCGCCCCCACAGGCGGGAACGGGCACGCGACAGCACGCCAGCATTAGACAGTGATCGCCAGGCTCTATTTTCCGTGTGTGTCCCACTCACCTCAAGAGCCACTTGCCCAAGCCTGTGCTCTGACATCCGACTGCTTCCCTTTCCTGTTATTCAGAGACTGGGCCCGCGGGGCCACATCCACATCAACGCATCAATTGCTCGCTATGCTTAAGACCATCCTCAAGCATGTCTTGGTGTCAATGCCGTGCTCATCGTGCTTTGAGGCGCAACAATGCCGGGGGCAACCATGCCCGTGCGTCGCAGGAGATTGACGTCGAACTGCCGGCCAGCGAAGCCAGACATGACCAGTGCCTCTCTATCTAAAGTTGAGTTTGGCTAACGAAACTCTAGGCCCGGGGCTAAGATGCGGCCACTCATAAGGCACGAGCAAAATAAGTCTGGCCTCCCACGATGGCGTTCTGAGCTTGCGCCAGCTCTCAAGGGACTGTGACTCCGGCGCGCCAACAAAAATCCAGGGGCCCTGCTGGCAGTCCGGTAAAGATGCAGCTGGGATGCGGCACTGATCCAATGAAGAGTTTGGGGGACTGCAGTAAGAGGCATCCCTGCCTGTGCAGATTGTGTGGTGGAGTGGCGACACAATGATTGGCGGGACCCTCCATCATGATGCGCCTTGACCAACCCCGGTCGTGACTGTGCTCCAATCACTCGGGCGCTGCTGGCATGGTGGCTGCTTGCCTCAATGATCCTGGAACACTCAATGCCCCGACAGTCTACTGCGTATGGGGTTCCAGTGTGATAGTTCACAACTTTGACGCTACCTGCCTGCATGGTGGTGTCAACGACCAACGGTTTTGAAAGTGTAGCCATCTCGCGCAGCCAGTATTCTGTGCTGTCCAGAGTAGAGACTGTGAGGCTCGAACTCGCAGCTTCGACTGACTAGCTGGGCAGACGCACAAAGTACCGGCATATGCTGAGATGTCCAGCCTGGTGAGGATCGTCGATGTGCTCATTCCCCCTGGCATCCAGACGATCAGACTGGCTGGCACTGGCCATGCTGTGACCGCGCGCCTCGTTACAGATCGTCAGAAGACTTGTGCTCTTGCTGAGATTCCCCAAATCATTGATGCTAATCTTGGGACAGCTACATTGAAGGCCGCCGGGCCGAGTCGATCCATGGTCCTGTGTGGATAAGAAGAGGCGCATGAGAATGTTGGACCATTGTTTTGTGCTGTTGCCGTGGGCGGCTGTAGTTGTGTTGTTTGTGAGGAGTGACAGGCAGAGGCCAGGCCCTTGTCTCAGCGCTAGACAAGGGGTGGCATCCCCGCGACCCCGCTAGTGGAGCGGGGGGCAGGCCTCTGCAGCCGCACTGCGCCAGGATCAGCGATAAGGCAGGCGCAACCTCCCAAGCCACCCACGACCGCCACGCTGATTGATATACTCTCCGCTGTAGCCCATCCACCTCGATGCTCTCTCGCTCCTCTCCCCCCCTCTCTCCATCGCATTACTTGCATACGGACGTGTCTTCGTCACTTCCACTTGCACAAGTCCCCTCCCGTCGTACTTTGCCCTCTGGTCTCCTGGGCCGATCTATCACCACGCGAACAGCACAGGCTGCCATCGACCGCCTAAGCGCATACAACGCTCGTAGCAACGAGCGACCCCAGCTACCCCGTTCGTGGAGCCCCGCCTGCACTTTCATGGTCTGCGAGCCCGTCTGCCGGTCTCCAGCAACATCTTGTTCAAACACGTTGGACCAGGGCACACCCATTGCGCTTGCTGCTCTCGTCACCTCCGCCTGACGACCCACGCAAGCTGCAGCCATCATCCCTGTCTCCCTAGATTGCCCCTCTCTGAGCCTGTGCGGCTAGCCAGCTCCGAGTCCACCTAGCGCCCCAGCCAGCAAGCAGCACCCTTAACTTAGCTGCTCCAGGGTGATCTTCCCCGCATCTAACTGACGGGGGTAGTGAGCTGACTTGCCTGCCTCGCTCTCGGTCAACTCCACCTCTTTGCTCCTTCCCCGACCATCTCGACATCACGTCGGTCGCCGGTCTGCCTCTCAGAACTAGCAACTTTCTTCCAAGCCCCGTATCGTTCCTGCGCGGCATCGGCATTTCATCAAATTCAGCCGGTGCACTGTCTGCGCAGCGTCTTCAGCTTTCTTGGTGATTCTCATACGCCCCCAGCGACCTACACGTGGACTCTCAGAGTTCTTACACAAACCAACCCTCAAGCACCAGGCACAGAATTGAGAGCATGGCCACTATTGCTCTGCCTCGTCCAATTGTCCCACATCGATCGTCCTCTGGCTTGCCTGCTCTCACAGCACCCCTTGCTCTCGATACCATCACTCCCCCGTCGCACGCATCCGGTGCCTCCGACAACGGCGCTGTGCCTAACAAGCACATTCCCTTTTGTCCGCCTGGCCCAGTTCCTACTCAGGACCGCAATACCCCCCCGCCTTCACCAGCCCGAGACGATGCGATCGAGCAGCGAGCATCTCTCCTCTTCCCTCCGGACGACTATACTCGCCTGGAGAAGGATTCGCTCGCAATCTTCAGTATAAGCGCCAAAGATCTTGCTGCTGCCATCAACTACACGGCCGCTCAGCCGTTGCCAGACCCTTCTCAGCTTTTCCCATGGCTACATGGCCTGCATCCCAATAATCAAATCCAGCAGGCTTTTTTTGTTGCCCGAAAGAGAGCATTGAGGAGGACGCCAAGCTGCTTTCGTGGTCTCACAATTGTCAAGGCGGACGGTGATCTCTCCACAGCGCGTCTGAAAGGCGCCGTCGCCCCACAGGAACTGCTCAAGCCGGAGGCCGCCGGCGAATTCCTCGACATTGATCCTAGAGACGGGTTCTCCGTGAGGAACTTCCAAATCCAAACCGTCAAGTCCGGGGTGCTCTCGGACATTGTAGTATACGGTGACGATGCAACCAAGGTTAAAAAGATTGGCTGGCAGATTGCTGAGGCTCAGAGCAAATGGCGTCAGAGACACGAGCAACAAGGCAATGAGCTGCCCGTTTACAACACCTTCATCTGCCTCAACTCATTCAAGGAGTTTGAGGAAATGCACCCCGAGATTGTGACCCTCAGCTCAGACGGGCTGTTCACCAACTCAGTGGTTGACTTTTTCCATCAAGAACGCGCTGAGATGTACGAGATGACCAAGGCCAGCGAGATCTCACACAATGTGTGGCTGGGCCCAACGCCGGAAGTAGGCAGTGAGGACGAAAAGGATTTCGACATACTCATTGAGTGCAGTGATCTTGGCAGACTGAACCCAGCACTTTTGCAGACTATTGCAGAAAGTTCTGGGGGCGATTCGAAGCGGATCTATCTGGACTTTCCATCCTCTGGCAGCATTCTTCCGCCCACGTGGTCCCATGCTGAGGCCGATGGGATCTTGGACACTTGCAAGTGGATCTGGCATCTTTCGCATGGCACGCTGCCCGCAAAGTGTGACATGGACGGCGATGGGGATTCCCACATGTCTGACGAATCCGACGGCACAGTTGAAGCGAGCAGACAATACAAGATCCTGCTTCATTGCACGGATGGCTACACCGAATCGACAATGCTTGGAATTGCATACTACAGTTATAGCACGGGGCAAGCTGTCCCGGAGGCCTGGCTAAAGCTGCACACCGAGAAGAAGAGAAACTTCTTCGCCTATCCCACCGACGTCGCCCTGCTCACATCTCTTGCGACACGACTCTTGAGCGAATCTCCGGCATGTGCCAGTAAGAGTCTATCTGAGATTACCACTCTTGTCCAAAATGAGCCTCGGTGGCTCGCCAGCCTCGACGGGTCATTTCCAAGTCGCGTACTTGACTACATGTACTTGGGCAATCTTGGGCATGCCAACAACCCTGATCTCCTCAAGGCAATGGGCATCCGGCAGATCCTCAGCGTCGGCGAGACTACCATGTGGCGGGAAGGCGAATTGGAGAAGTGGGGAGCGGAGAATGTGCAGCTTGTGCAGAATGTGCAAGACAACGGGATAGACCCGCTGACGACCGAGTTCGAGCGGTGTCTCGAGTTCATCGGTAAGTTGCAGACTGCCATTGCCCAACAATAGCTCAACCCATTTACACACGACCCAGTTTATGCATACTGACTGAGAACTTTGTTTAGATCGAGGAAGGCGGAATGGCACGGCCACTCTTGTCCACTGTAGAGTTGGAGTGTCACGCAGTGCTACCATTTGCATTGCTGAGGTCATGCGGGCCATGGACCTCTCCTTTCCGCGCGCTTATTGTTTTGTTCGGGCGCGACGCCTGAACGTCATCATACAGCCTCACCTGAGATTCGCGTACGAGCTTCTCAAATGGGAAGAAAAGCTCCAACGCAGTGCTGAGAAGAAGTCTGAAGGGACAGGCATCAAGAGAGAGCTTGAATGGGCCGATATTGCGCGCGAGATCGCGTTGATGAATCGCCCCTATGCAAGATGATGTCGCCCTCAAGGGCCAGCAATGCTTCTTTTCTTTCTCTCTCGATATCCAGTCCTGGCGAGGAGTGGATCCAAACCACTGAATCACGACAATATATCCGTGTACATCTATAACGAACGGATCTGCGCGGGTCTAGGCGCAGAATCTCTGCGGGCCATGAATACGACTTCGACTTTTCACGACACAACATGATGAATGAGTTTCAATCTCGAATTCACCAGCAAGTCTCTTTTTCTTCAAATCAACTCGGCAGCATTTCAATTCACTTTGCCTGCTTTTTGGGGGATTGTCGCACATGCGCGAGCTTTTAATCTATTTATCTGATGGTTCTGTATATATTCATTCGACACGGGGCTTGCTGGCGTTAGGATCGTATGATACCTGCTTGAAGGGAGACTGGCTCAACTTGCGCCTACACATTGTAATCCAAATCTCAAGTCTCTCGTTGCGCTCTGACACCAGCGTCTCCACACACTTCACAACTAGCGATCTTGGTGACATTATATATTGTGGCCCCTGTCTGGCTGAGTGTTTTGGCGAATGCGATGTTTGAAAAGACAGAATTAAATACGTCGCCACAAAGGTATGTGGTTGTAGGCTACGTCTGTATGAAGGAATATGAGATATGAAAGAAAACGCCTTTCGCTTATGCAATGAACTGTTCCAGCCTCAAGAATGGGAGACAATCGACTTTCCACCAACAAAACCCTCCCATCACCGTACCCCCGTCCCGGTGGGCCGGGTCTTATTTCCAGCTCGCACTGTTTCTTCAAGAAAACACGCCCAGTACTGTGCTTGGCTCAAAACCTGCAGGTCCATCCTATGGCCCATAGCTTGACGCGTCAAGCTTATCATCACCGTCCAGGACCCTGCCCGTTTGTTCATTATCAGTATTGGATGCACCTGCACACACCGTCAGAGGTCAAATGTGGACTTACGAAAACTGCTTCACGAGATATCCCTCGCCTCCTTGCTCCATATCAATGTTGAACACGTAGAAGCCGCCATCACTCGTCACCACCATCACTTGAGGACTGCTGCTGCTCATGGCAACCACACTGCGTAGCTGTTGACCTGTCGCGCCCGAGCCACTCCGAGATGTCGCTGCCGAGCTCTTGGGGATCTTGATGTACGCAAAATCCCTCAAGGGCTCCCACATCTCGGTGACTGTCTGCGGCAAATAGTTGTCAACAACTCCCGCTACACCGCGTCCCATCAATTGCGACGATCTACGCAGCATGCTGCTAAACGACCCGCTCTGCCTCCTATGGCTAGCAGGGCCCGATGGTGGTGGGGTTGTCATGTCAGCAGCTTCGCTGCGGTCAGACTCCTGCGCGCTGCTCGGCGACTCGTTGCCGTCTTCGTAACTTCGGCTTCTTGCCCATCGATCCGGTCGATCTGTCGGGGAGGCGCCATTGTTGCTCAGCGCACGTTGCCTGTTCTGGCCGGGACCGGGCTGCTGCAGCCGAAAGATGTGTACGGTCTCGGAAGCAGAGGAAACACAAAGCAGCGAGCTAGCCATGTTGAACGACATGCTGTAGATGGTGCTGGGATAGGTGCCTCGGCGGAACTGGAAGAGTTTCTGGCCATGGGGCACAGAGAAGACTCGAATGATCGTTCCTGTCTCACTAGCTGTGGCGAGGAGATTGCCTTCGCTATTCAGGGCGATGCACGACAAAGGCGATCGATGAGCCTGTATGACGGTCACAGCTTTGAGCGTGAGAGTGTCGTAGATCAAAACATCCCCGGAAGTAACTGGCGCATAGAGAGAAGTCGGCGGAGCGTGCGAAGGCCTCTTAGAATCTTGCGCATCTTCCCGCGGCTTTGGCAGCGGATAGGCAATGTAGCAGTTTTCCGAAGACGGAGAGAGTGCGCAGATGGCGCTCGGGTTGGGCGAGGTGGCAATGTTGGTAAGAAGGGTCATGTTGGAGATGTCGTAGAGGTAAATCTCGTCCTCGAGCACGACGGCCAGGCGTTTCCGGTTCAGTCGGACGGCGAGGACGGCAGAGGGGAAGGTGAGCTCGCAGATGACGGAGGCACGCTTGGTGTTTTGTATGATGAGGTGTCGAGGAGACAGGATGAGGGCGACGAGCGAGGTGGAGAAGAGCATCTCGATGATTGCAATGTTTCCATCATCGCTGCTGAAGATCTTGGAGAAGGGGTCGGTGTGGTAGATGCGGAATCCTCGCGAGGTACCTTGAGATGGCACGTTAGCTTGCGGAGTCGGCAGGCGATTGTTCGCAGCGCGGCAGACTTACCGACAGCCAGACAGCTGTGGTCCTGGTTGAAGGTGATGAAGTTGAGGGCGGCGCCAGCCATGATGGCGAGGGTTTTTCGAGCGTCCGTGAGGAATATGGGCAGCGGGGCGCTACAAAGCAAGAGGCTGTCCGTAGCGGTCGAGGCGGTGCCGAGTTGTTTACGGGGTGATGGCAGTCGACTGCCTAGCTCTCGAAGCTCTGGGTGGCTATCTGGAGCGGTTTGCGCCGTGTCGGCAAGCTCCGTCAGAACACGGTCGGATGATTGTGCAGCAAGCCTCGAGGCGCCGAGCGTTGGTGATGGCCGCTTCGAGTCTGGATCAGAGATGTGGCCGGAGCGAGTCGCCGCTGTGGTGGTCCGTCGTTGCGAGGATGGACGGCGCACGCAGAGGGAGCAGTGACGTGAAGGCTAGTCGACGAGCGGCGAAAACCGAGTGGTTGGCGCAAGAGCTCTCGCTCACGCGGGCAGGGACGGGGGGGGCGGGGCAGGCAGGCAGGCGTGTGTCCAGTACTGTAGGCAGCGCTGGAGTGGAGCTGGAGCGCTGCCAGGCTGGGGGGTTGCTTGCAGACCAGGGTGGTGTCCAGGGGGGTTCGTACAGTACAGGCTCCAGCTCCAGCTTTCCGTCCGATCACCACTGACTGACTGACTGACTGACTGACTGACTGACTGACTGACTGACTGACTGACTGACTGACTGACTGACTGACTGACTGGGCTGCCAGGCCACGCTTGCCATGTGACACCAACCACGGGACGCACCATCCATCATGTCAAGCTACCTGCTTGCTTTCACAACATCTCTCCAGCCAGCTCGAGGCACTCAAGGCTCTCAAAGTTGATTGACGAGCTGGAAACACGTCTGCTTCCTCCCAGGGTTTGGGTTCCCGGGAGCTGTTAGCGCAACAGAGGTTCTGTCCCCAGAGGAAATGGTCGAGCTTGCAAGCCATGACATCGGATGAGCGCTGTGGTAGGGCGACAACGTCCTCCGTTCCTGGATCAATGTCTCGCCCTCGGATGGCCCACTCCAAAATCGCGGGACTCGACCACCGTCAAGCACAAGAGTGGGGCTTTCCAGCATCAAAATTTCGACACCACTTTGTATACCTAAGGTAAGGTAGCCACAACATATGACTCCCATAGGTGTCTTTCCTCGTGCACAGGTGTCTCGCGAGCTGGTGTCTGGCCTCAACCGTGAAGAAAATCATGTCCGCAGCTCAAGATGGCGCGTCGAGCTCCGCCGGTCCCTCTGCTGCTGGCTCAGGTATGCCCAAGGCGAGCTCCAGGCGGCGACCTGCTGGACGTTCCGCAAAGGACTTGGCTCAGGACGACATTGTGATGGCTGTAAGTGCTCCACGGTGACACTCGAGAGAAGCAACATGTTGATTTGAGTATGTCATCTAGACGAACAGCAGCAGCATCGTCTCAAAACGCAGCGTGGAAAAGATTTATTATCCCGGCGAACCCCATTTCTTTCGCTACTTTGTCAAAAAGTTCCAGAGGCGGTCGCCTTTGATAAACCGTGGTTATCACCTGCGTCTGCACGTCATCGACGTCGCGGTTCGCAGCTTCCTGCGAAGGCCTACGAGCAAGACAAAAGTTGTTGTCAACCTCGGCTGTGGCAGGTGAGTCTTCCTGATAATTCACATTGCTAGACTACTTTTGACATTGTGAACTGGAATAGCGATGTTTTGCCCTGGCAATGCTTCACGAGGTACCCGGAGAATTGCCGTGGTGCCAAGTTTGTCGATATCGATTTCCCAGATCTGTTGAGGAGAAAGTGTAACGTTGTGCAGGACACTCCTGAGCTCTTGGGACCCCTGGACAACGTCACTATACCAACAAGCGGCCAAGTGTTCCTCACCAGCGATCAGTATGTCCAAATCGGCTGTGATTTGCGCGAGCTTGGCAAGGTCGAAGAGTCGCTGGCCTCGGTTCTTGATATCCCGAACTGTGAATTTCTGTTTGTTGCGGAAGTATCCATCACCTACATGGAGACAGAGGGTGCCGATGGTGTCATCAAGTGGGCTAGTTCTCTCGGGGATGGTAAGTGACTGTCCTTGAATCAGCATCCTGCTCGACAGGATTATCCGTGAGCGAACTGACACTGCTACAGTCGAGTTCTGCCTGCTGGAACAAATTCTTCCCGATGGACCAGAGCATCCGTTCGCGAAGACTATGCTCCAACACTTCAACAAGCTCAAGGCACCACCAAAATCTGTTTTTGTGTATCCGACACTTCAGGCTCAGAGAGACAGATTTGGACGACTCGGGTGGTCTCACGCGGATGTAAAGAGCCTCTGGCAAATATGGACTGGCAACGACTATCTTTCTGTAGAGGACCGCAAGGAGCTCAATGACATTGAGCCGTTTGATGAGTGGGAGGAGTTTGCTCTATTTGCTGGCCATTACTGCGTGGTATCCGCAAGGACATCGCCTGGTGCGGCTACACTTTCGAAGACTGAGGCTGAAGCTGAGGCAACGAACAGTTCTGCCCAAGTCTGTCCCGAAGTTTCAACCATTTTCTACCCTTATCAAGGCACTCGTGGCCAGCGGCGCTTTGGCGCGTCCCTGAAAATCAACAATACGCTTGGCGAGTCCTTTCTCTCGAATATTTTCGGGCTCGGCACAAACACTCGATTGAGGTCACAAGATATATACGGCAGCCAATTCAACCTCGAAGATGTTGACGTTTCTAGTGAGAGTCCAAGCAGTCGAATGTGCCACGCAACCACAGAGCTCCGTGGCCTGGGCAATATTCTTTGTGGTGGGCGGACTTCTCCCTCGTCTGCTCTCAAAGACGCCTGGCTCCTCAGACGCCACGAAAACTCGTGGTCTCGGATCAAGGACCTTCCCACAGCCTTGTATCGGCATGGGCTAACAAGGCTGGGCAGCAGTCACAACATGGCCCTGGTGCTGGGCGGAAAGACCAGCGCATCCGCAATCTTCCAGGGATGTCTCATCTATCAGCCTGGCTCAGAGTGGCGGGCGTGTCAGATTCAAGGCACAGAGTACGTTCCCGTTTTTGGGGCAGTGCTGTTGAGCTTTCCAGACTCAGAGAGTGGAGCAGACGGGCTTATATTCACTGGAGTTTTATTGGGCGGTATGTTGGAAGACGGAACAATAGCCAAACAGGCCCTACACTGGACTCTCAAGGTGCCCAAAGGAAATGAAGCACCCACCATCATCTTCGAGCCGCTGGCTATATCAGATAGAGACTCTTCCAAGTCTCTAGTGGCCACTATCAACAGATTTGGAGCTACAGGTCTAAATCTGGGTGGTTCAAGCATAGCAATTGTCGGCGGTATCATCGAGAACGAACTCCTCCGTCCAGACCAGGAGATCGTTCAGATTGACTTCGTAAAGACGGCGAACGCATCGGTCAGTGATGGCTTCGTTCTTGAGCCGATCAGGCTTGCAACGTCCGAGAGGGGACGCCGGATTCCTCGTCCTTTGCTGGTGGGCATCTCAGCCGCGACCACTGACGACGGCAAACTTGTCATCATGGGTGGTGGTGGCGTTTGTTTCTCCATGGGCAGCTACTGGAACGAGGGCTGTTATACCGTTCAGCTGGGCCTCCCTCAGCCTCCTTCGACAGATGATGGTATGAAGCCCCCAGGCTCATGGGCACTTCTCAGGACACAAGAGATAACAGACGGACACAGCGCTCTAAACTTGCAGGCACACCCACAACCAAGCCAGAAGACCGTCAAGGTTGACGTCCCGAAAATTAGGATATCTTCCAACGACGACTTTGTCCGCCTTCTGACGGAGGCTAAGCCGGTCATCATCGAAGGGCTCGATCTAGGCTCGTGTGTGCAAGGCTGGGACGTGGAGTCCATCATAGGGAAAGTCGGTACTGATCGTAGTGTAAGTGCATGACATGAAGTTCGACTAGGTGCTTCGCCCAGCTATACGAGTAAGGTACGAGCCGGCATTGATCACACAGCTAACATCCGATTACAAGGTTGTCATTCACGAAGCCGAATCATCAAAGATGGACTTCAACGGCAAGAACTTTTCCTACACCACGAAGTCCTTTGCAGAATTCATGCGAGACGCCGATGCCGGAAAACCAGTCTACCTCCGAGCACTGTCCGGAGAGAAGCCTTCCGACCAACCTGCAGACCTCGATAAGGACTTCCCTGTTCTTGCAGCCGATTTCACCATCCCGGATGCCCTCCAGTTCGTGCGAGACAACGTCTTCAGCTCCGTGCTAAGGGTCTCTGGCGGTGCAAACATGTGGCTGCATTACGATGTGAGTCTCGTCGGATTTTCTCCCCCTGTTTATTACTATATAAAGTTCGCCATTAACGATGCTTATCTGACTCAACTAGGTAATGGCCAATGTCTACTGCCAAATCCGTGGCTCGAAGCGCCTCGTCCTCTTTCCGCCCTCAGACGTGAGCCGGCTCTCCTTTGCCCCTGGAGCATCCAGCTCCAGCCTCAATGTCTTTGAGCACCTCGACGAAGAAGACTTCTCTTCCCTCTCATCATCATCAGCAGCGGCGGCGGCGGCACTTCTATCCCAGACGCATCCGCACGAAGCAATTCTCAAGCCCGGCGACGTCCTCTTCCTCCCAGCCCTGTGGCCGCACACTGCACAACCAATCATGCCTCCTCCCACCAAAGCCACTACAGCCACCACCGGCGGCGCGGCAGGCGTGGCAGTCAACATATTCTTCCGCAGCCTTGTGGACAGCACATCCTACGCCGCGGGCCGCGATGTGTACGGCAACCGCGACCTGGCCGCGTACGAGAAGGGCAGGCAGGACGTGGCGCGGATCGCGCGGGCGTTTGACGACAAGGGCGTGCCCGAGGACATGAAGGAGTTTTATATCCTGCGGCTTGCGGACGAGTTGCTGGGCAAGAGGCGGGGTGTCGCTGGCTGAGTCGTGAAGGGAGAAGGCGGGCGAATCGACGGTTTGCCGGGTGCCGGGAACAGGGATAGAGTATTAAAAAAGAGATGAGGGTGGAGGAGAAGAAGTGACCGGGTGTTGGGAGATGAGATGGAAGTCCATTGGGCTCTTGATCGTTAGAGGCAATACCAATTTCTGCTGCTTGAAGAGTAGTGCTGAGCATTATGAATACCCAGCTTTTGACTCGTCTAATTGTGACTCCGTTCGAATGTTCGGCTTTCGTGCTTCAGATATCCACAAACGCAGTCAGTGCAACACGCGGAAATCGGCCATGATTCAGGGTCAAATGATCGCTTGGTATATTGAACATTGAGTGTCAGGACAAACGCTAATATGATACATGTTTTGATATGAAAAACAAAGAGCCATTAATGTGATGCGTTCATATGTAAGTAGAAGACGCCGGTCTGATTCAGACGCCCTTTTCCTCCTCGGTGGAGACCAAGCCTGCCGCAGTCGTCCAGGCCCCAGCTCTGTACACTGACTGCCAGAAAATGCCAACAAGATCTGTGCTATGATGCGACCACCTGAAGTTCCCTCAGATGGAACAAGCATCCCAAGGTCAACAACGGGCTACACAGGCTTGGAGACGAACAGGTAGCAAACAGTATAAATGGTGTTGATGCACACGCCACTTGTTGGACCTATTCGCATGCTCACGCCGCCGAGACCTGGGGTCGCACAGCACATATAAAGGTGAGTATCCCAGAAGCGGGCTTGATTCTCTGTGCATCGCCAAAGCGTAGTGGCGTGCGCGGCGTGGCCGGCTGGTCTACCACGTAAGGGTATCGTCTTCGTGAATACTTGGGCTCGTGCGGGCTAGCACTGGGCATACCCAAGTGCCCGCCTAGAAGTCGGAGGCGCACCTCGGGCGGACTTGGACCAGTATGCGCGCGCGTCTGTGGTGGACTCGCAACCTTGGAAACTTCAGCCCTACGTCCGTGTGACGCCTCTCCATGTGTGGATGAGTGCGCGATTGCAGGTGTCACGGCAGGCCGGCCCATTCCACTCGAGCCATCCGATCGTGCTGGCAAGTCTCCTTACCTTGCCCCAACGGCCGGGAAGCTGCGCGAGCTGAGGAACATGCCCTTGACAGACCGTATCGCGTCCTTTGTCTTCTGCACCTCGTCGTCCGGGTTCGCGCTGCGCCCGGCGTAGCCGCCATATGTCGAGTTGAAGTCCATCTGCGGGTATGTGAGCTTATCGACATCTTCGCGGATTTCACGGAGAATGGCGTTGAGGTCTTCGGTGTTCTCGGCGCGTTGTGTATAGGTCTTTGTCAGGTCCTCCAGCTGTGACCGTAGCGAAGCAAGACGCCTAGCCTGGGCGTCGATGGGCTTCTCTGAAGCCTTGTCGCTTTCTAGCGGGGTGAGCAGTGAAGGCGGCGGATCTGTCTGGGTGCCGAAGTCGCGATGAAAGAGCTCGGTCGGGTCACTAGCGGTGCTTGCGAGGTCGTCGTCATCGTGGTATTCCTCGCCGGCGGGCTTGATCAGCTTGCCGTTCTTGTACGGCACCTCGCTGACGATGCCTTCCAGCTTCTCCACGAAACTGCCGAGATGGTTGTTGACATGGTTGTAGTAGTCTTGCCGAGAGTCGGACAGGTTCTGTGCCATAGGGTTGACGATGTAGCGAGCGGCGCCATAGAGCGCGGTCCATACACCTCCAGAGACGGCCAATATGTTGAGGACACTTGAGGGCGTGGCGAGGGGTGGCGGCTTTGTCGTCTTTGTCAAGAACTCTGGGTATGTGATGATAGGTGCGGGCTCAGCAGGTGTGGACTCGGGGGGGATGGGGCTGTCGAAGCCAGAGTCGACCTCGTCGATGAGCTGCTGGATCTCTGCCTCCTTGAAGCCCTTGTTCCTGAGGAAGGCCGTCTTTCTCTCTGCCGATTCGGTGCGGACGATGGAGTCACGTAGGAAGCGCCTGGCCTGGTCGAGACTGGCTTCAGAGGGCTTGTTGTCGTCTTCGGCAATGCGGGATACCTCTTGGACGTGGGCCTCGGCGCCTTCAGAGCGCTCTTGCGGCTCGTCTTGCTTCTTGTCTTGTTTCTTGTCTTGCTTCTCGTCTTGTGGCTCGTCCCGTGGCTCGTCCTTGGCCGCTTTGGAGTTGTCGTCGGACATGGTGCTAGGGCAGTCTGCGCAGTGCAAGGCGTGTGTGTTGCTTTTGACTCGGGTGTCGATGGATGACGGCAGCACACGGGTGCAATGGGATAAGAGATGCGACCAGGGACTTGCTGTTGCTCGAGGGCTGATCTGATGGGGGAAGTGCCGGTTGTCGCGAGGATCGCAGGGGAGGAAAGAGAGCCGAGGCTCGCGCCGGCGCGGCTCCGGCTGCATGCACGGCCAGCTCCACAGTCGAGTGGGTCTGGCCCCATATCTCCCACATCATGTTGTGGGTCCGCCTTCATCCAACTTTGCAAGTGTTATTATTATTGTTTTCCTCGAGACCGAGCTTGTTGTAGACCAAACTACTAGGGGTCTTGCAATGAACTGCTGGATGGATCTTCGGGGCACCATTCTATGTTAGGGTCTTGCGTTCACCATGGTCGCACAAAATACAACCACCCCTCCCTCCTGGCGGACTGCTACATGCAAAATGCGAATGTTGCAACAACGGAATGCCAGCCCAGCCCCTGCCCTTCACAGTCGTCAAGCACGATCGCGGCGGTGCCCATGGAAGTACGACATAGTTCCAGGGACCCAGTGAGTGGATTGAGAAAGCAGTGCCCTGCTAGGCCATTTGATCCTTCGGCTCGTGACTCTCTGCCTGCCACTGCTCCAGCTTCTCGCGTGTGAAAGTCGTCTTCGGATGTGTTGCTCCAAGACGGCGTTGTCTGTACAAAAGACACTTTTCGAGCAGTGAAATGGCCTCATCCGCTCGACCTTGGAGCCAAAACGTCTCTGCTAGGCTATACATGGTCGCCAGCGTATCGGGATGATCCTGCCCAAGAGCTCTCTGTCTCGACCCCATAGCCTGAACCTGAAGCCGCTCCGCTTCCTCCAAGCGACCTTGTTCCCAAAATATCAATGCTAGGTTATGGATACATCCCAAGGTATTGGGATTATCCGGCCCACGGATCCGCTGACTGGACTCCAGAACTTGACGCCCAAGCACTTCAGCTTCTTCCAAGCGGCCTTTGTCGCAAAGTATCAATGCCAAGATAGACACAGCAATCAAGGTATCGGGATGATTCTGCCCAAGGATCCGCTTCTTAGAATCCCAAACTTGACGCCCAAGCTCTTCAGCTTCATCCAAGCGGCCTTTGTTAAAAAGTGTCAATGCTAAGTTAGACATAGTAGCCAAGGTGGTGGGATGGTCCTGCCCGAGGAGCTGCTTGCTAGATTCTACAATCTGAACCTGAAGCTCTTCAGCTTCGTCCAAGCGGCCTTGTTCGAAAAGTGTTGATGTCAAGTTAGACATGATAGCTAAGGTGGTGGGATGATCTTGTCCATGGATCCGCTTGCTTGATTCTAGAACCTGAAGCTGAAGTCCTTCAGCTTCATCCCAGCGACCTTGGTTTCGAATGGCCAGTGCCAAGTCAGACATCAGAAGCAGGGTGTTGGGATGGTCCTGTCCACGGATTCGCTTACTACGTTCTAGAGCCTGAAGCAGAAGCCCTTCAGATTCACCCCAGCGACCTTGTTGTAGAAGTGTCCTTGCTAGTGCCGACATACTCAACAGTGTGTCAAGATGATCCTGCCCAAGAGTTCTCCTTCTGAACTCGAGAACCTGTACGTCCAATTCTTCGGCATCGTTGAAACGCCAGTCGAGAGCAAGGGCGTCAGCACACCTGGCGCGAAGCTTATCTCGTGACTCGGTCTCTTCTCCTTCGAAGTGCGCAAGCATATGCCTGGCATGAGGCAGTAGTCGCCGCCATTGAGTTCTGCTGTTGTCATCGACTCTCGGGAACACGGCGAGCATATGTAGCTGAGACAAGCCCTGGTAGTACGGCCCTTGGCCATTTCGATTTATCCATCTCCGCACAGCACGATGCACCAAGTCGTGCACGTCAACTGCAGTTGATGCCGGCCGTCTCGTAATAAGTGCATAGTTTCTCAAGAGTGCCATGCGATCTTCGATCTTGCCTTCGGCGTTGCAATCGAGTAGAACGAGTGGAATATCTGTCCGATGCAGACATGCCATTCTGAACAGAGATTCTGCTGCGAGAGGGTCGTCATTCATGATTTGACTTAACGAAATATGCGTCGCAGCGTTGACGGATTGATCTTCCGATGCTGTACGTGGCGATATTGCTGGCGAGACTTCATCATCTTCTTCGATTTCTCTTTCATTGTGCCAAGTTTTCATTCGTATCACATATTCGTCTACTGTGATACCCTGGACGCGAAGATAGGCCGCTGCAATGACTATTGCGAGTGGTCGGCGCAGGACCTCCGCAAGCTGCAGGATGGCCGCTTGTTGGTGCTTCGCCGGAATATGGTTGGCGAGATAAGCCTGCAGCATAGCGGCAGAGGAAGCAACTCCCAGCTCGGCCATATGCATGAACTCGTCGCAGACTTGGCTAGCTACATGTGAATTTCTAGTTGTGACCAGGACGGAACGCATCTGTGAGCTTGCCAGACACTGTGTGGATGGTGTCGATTGTTTGATGTTCATTAAAGTCGGTATCAGTGATGTTTCGTCTGCGTTGTCGTAGATCAGTAGCCATCCTCCGGCTTCCTTGCTACTGAGGTATTGGTCAACAGCAGTCATGACTTTTGCCGGCTGGCTCTCATCGCTTGACAATCGAAGTTTCCGAGCAATCTCGCTGTAGGACTCATGAAGACTGTCTGTGCTACTGGCATCGATCCAGAAGACCGAGCATCCAGGCATCTTGTCTCTCGTCTTGTAGGCAAACTCCAAGGCAAGATGGGATTTGCCTAGCCCACCATCTCCTAGGATGGCCACGATGCGTGTGTTTTGGTCTCCGAGCAATTTCTGGTCAAGTTCGTGTAGGGCAACCTCGTGGCCGACGAAACAGTCGTTCCTCCAGAAAGGTATGAGACAAGGAGCTCTGTTTGGTCCATCAAGCTCCTCTTTCAGGCGCAGGAACGCCTTCTGTCTCCCTTCGCCATAAGTCAGCGGCATCTCAACTCCGAGAATGCCAAGAAGACAATACGCGCCATCTTCGGGCTCGGTTGTGATCCGGCCCTCTGCCCACTTCAATCGATCGGCCTGGCTGAATCCGCCCAAATGTCCGTCTAGGGCTCGCAAGGGTATCCCAGTGATGGCATGAATCAGTTGTCGATGTGCCACCCTGTCCCCCAGCCTCCGGCCTTGCGAGTCGAAGAACTCGACGGACGATGGCGCAATGAGCTCCTGGAGTGTCCAACCCCGAGTGAACCATTCATCGTCACGGAACTCTTGTTCCCAGGTTGTTTCTTGTCGTCCAAGCGGCTGGGTGGTTGTGTTGACCTGTCGCAAAAACACATAGCACTTTGCCGCATTCTGGTACCACTTGAACATGGAGTTTACGGACCTGGAGCGCTCGGCCTGATTCCATTTGTCGATGCAGCAGGAATCGATCCAGAAATAATCCAGGCCATCGTCAGCAGCTCTCTGGGCACAGAACTCGATCTTCCGCCATCCGGCTTTTTTCTCGCGAGCAGTATTGTTGGTAATATCCTCGAACAGTACTTCGTCGTCGGTCCATCGGTGCGAAAGGATGGCATAAGGCGGGGTTGTCGCCCCAGCGAAATCGGTAAGCACCAGTCTGTCGGCGTCAAAACGGAGAAGTCGCATCGTGGAAGGCACGTAGGCATGCCATGTCCTCTTTGCTGGCCTCTGGACGCGATTGCCTGATGCACAGCGTAGCGAGAGATGCGCACTGCGGGTTATTTCTTGGGAGTTGTTTCTCGCCGGGGGCATTCGTATTTAGTCTTGACCAATGAACTGATTTACCAGTATGCCTTGCGAATCTGCCCCTTCCTGTGATTCGGCACCGCCCGCACAGCTGACTTGGTCCTGCATGGTCACTTGCATTGTGCCCTGGTAATCGGTCAGGTTAAATGGCCAATCAGGTAGAAGCTGACGCTGTTGGTCAAGTGCATGCTTGATCGGCCAGGCTGGAGGTAACATTGCAGGCCAGACACAGCCTAGGCTAGGCAAACCACCCACATACATCACAGAAACACAATCTTCTCATCTGGCTCGCCTTCATAATCAGCAAAACTCGACAAAAACTAACCAAAAAATACACAAAAAAACGTACAACACCGAGGATTCGCTGGTCGTCACCGACCCAACTACTAGTTCGGCGGTATCAAGCTTGTGTACAGGGGAGCGGACGGGACCCTCAATTTTCTTGATCCTATGGTCGTACGTGGAAGAAGGGGTTGTTATCAGAGTACTAGTTGTCAGCCTCAACGAAGCTCGGCAGATGGGTCAGCCTTCTCAGATCAATCCTTCTTCACATCCCAATATCCTTGCCCGTGGCTCAATAGGAAGTCCCCATGAAGTCATGGCCGAGTCTGTGCGATACCTTTTTGAGGCAGATGCCTGTGTCCTCCCTTGCTTTGTCCCGTCTGTAGAAGAGGTCGAGGCTGTGGTGAATGTGCTACAAAGACATAGCGGTAGTCACAGGCGGTTGCGTTTAATGCTCTCCTTTTCCGCGACCGCCAGTCTCATTTTCACAAGACACAACCAGGCGCTGCCGATAGGTGATGGCCGTACAATGTAATCTGGCCTCATTGCGGCAGCCTCTTATGGCTGACAAGCAACTCTAAGATAAGACTCTACAGCATTCTTGATATTACTCCAAGAAGGTACATGACAGACCACATGCTGAAGTAATGGTGGTAGGCCTCTCAAGACAACCTAATTTGTTATTGCGTGCTGGTCGAGGTCTCCAGCATCATAACCAGACAAACGAGCCCCTAAGCGGCGGATCTCCTGTTTTCTCGTCTAAGATACTCAGGAATCTCGAGAGACACGCGCTCTTCCGCAGCACATTTATTATCCGGCGGAGTCGGCATCGCCAGCACCATTTCAAGCGTGGGCTCATCCCCCGTGAAAGGATATGCCCAAGGGTCGACACCGCTATTAAACGCGGTCACGGCAGCCGCATCGGCAGCAGGTCTTGTCTCGCGGCGTCTGCGTTCGTAGTAGACGGCGGCATCCACGGCCCTGACCATCCGGCGGGGCCCGACAAGCGTTCGATCCCAGTAGTCTGGCCAGTCCCAGTCGTCGGTCTTCTCGGTCTTGATATAGTCTGGATCTGGCTCGATGAGGTAGACCTCTTCCCGATTGCACCAAAGGTTGTATTCGTCAAGCACGTCGGACCACTGTGATATTCCATTCTCACACACAATGAACGCCTGCCTTAGGTTCTTGTAGTGGGACAAACGGGGTGACATGCTGCGGTTGAAGTACTCGTCACTGTTGTCCGCCACGATCCGGAAGCGCTGAATCTTATGCCGGAAGTTCAAGAAGTCATGCAACCCCCCTTCGTCGATGGCGATGATATCGATCGCCCAATTTACCCAGGTATAGTACTGCTGCTCTACCGGGAGGTACTCATGAATCGTGTCATGCGTCTTCTCGTAAAGCCTGCTTCCCACGGCACGTGCCTCTCGGGACACGTGCAATATCGCAGGCACCGGCGTCTTTGACTTGACGTGCTTGATCTGGAGCCAGTCGCGCCAATCGTATCCGACGAAGTCCCTTGGCTCCTTCTGCTCGGCGTCTGTGAGCGAGACAGTATAGCATCTCGACCTTACGATCAAGGGAACGAGCCGCGGTATTACGGTGAAACTCCAGATGCAGACGCGGATTTCACATGGGAGTTGAACAAAATTGGTGAAGGTCGCCATTGTTGATTCTCTAAGTGGTGCCGAGTCTTTCAGCGACGGCCCTCTGCACGGAGTAGAAGGAGCCTAGCAGCTGGGAGTCATGCAGTGCTGTTGTCAGTCCAGCCAGGCAATTGGGAACGCGCTGCTCAGCATACTTCCCCTGCCCGTAGGGTACGTAGACGCAAGATTCTGCCTAGTCGAGGTAGCTCGAGGGCTCATTTCAGATATGTGTCGGACGAAGAATAAGTCCTTGCAATGGGGTCAAACCGGACCTGCAATGACTAGCTACGGCGGCATGAGAAATGGGGCTGCATGGCCTGCCGGCCAGACCAACGGGTGGGCAGACCCATAGCATCATCGTCGTGGTTGGTTCTGTTAAGGGCAGTGGGTAAGGTGTTGGTTGTTGGTTGCCAGTGTCTGAGTCAACTGCAAAAGACCCTTGAGACCGCTCGGCTGGCGAGTCTCCTCCTGCCCAAAGTGGAAGTCGAGTTGCGGATGCACCAATATCGGCTGGCCCGTGTAGTCTGCACTCGCTACCCCAGGCATGCTCCCTGATCCCAACACGACGAGCGACTGCGTCGACTGGTATAACGACGAGCTGACCGGCGAGTCTTGCGCATATATCCGCCAGTACTTTGGCATCTCGCCCGAGCTCTTCCACCAGTGGAACCATTCTGTCGGGCTCGACTGCGCGCCGTGGTCCTTTGACCAGTCGTACTGCATCCTGACCCTCGAGCGCTACAACAGCATCTCGGACCAGATCGAACATCCCACAGGCACAGCAACGGCCACCAGCACCACGTCCAGCACCTCGTAAACCACCACCACCACCACCTCCCTCCGGCCCTCACCTACGTGGTGGTCCCACGAAGGCTGCTTCGCCGTCGACGAGGCCAAGCGCGCCAAGTCCTGGCACCTCGCCAGCGGGCCCGAGGGCGACGCCGCCCTGACAGTGCCCAAGTGCAAGGACACATGCTACCGCGCATCGCGTTACCTCGCGGGCCTGCAGGCGGGCAACCAGTGCTGGTGCAGCAGCACGAATGTCTACGAGCTCGCTGATAACCCGGCCGACTGCAAGATGCCGTGCACCGGGAATCAGACCGAGTTCTGTGGCGGGAAAGACTCCGCCCTCATCTTCTATGGATATGACAACTCCAGCCCGCCGCCCGTCTTGTCCTCCTTGCCGTCCTCGCCCTCGTCGCCCACTTCGCCCTCAGCATCGGCCACGGGCACTGTAGAACAAGGAGGCAGTACTGTTGTGGAGGCGCCAGGGCAGGCAACGAGCCAGGTACAGTCCTCTGGTGCTATGCGGAATGGGCTCAGATTTGCGTGGCGCGTGGGAGCGCGAAGGCGATGACTGCTGATAATTCGAGAGTTTTACTTGTTTGGAGGAAGTGGGAGTGGCCGAGTCTGGCGGCACGCATGCCCGCGATACTGGTTAATATTGTAATACTCGAAATACGAACCGCTTTGCAGTCAGATCTGGTTCATCACTTTGGCCTCTCCATGATCATGTTTTGAAAATTACAGGATGCCGTCGGACTTTGAGAGTCTGAGCTCAGTTCCCATTCTTGTCTGTGTGTATTTCGCCATTGCTGCCTTCAAAGCAGCTGTCATTTATCCCTCTTGCCCCTTGCGGGCTGCCGCCTCACCCTTTACATCCTGTAGTGGGGATAATGCGTGTTGGCGGCGGAGCGACCCAGGGAAGGCAAGGTCTACAATATGCAGCAAAGTGCTTTCAAGGGTCGTGCTGGATCCAGGACGTGGTTGCTGTCAGAGTCCGATGCCTTGCTTAAGCTTTTTAGGCGCGGCTGGGCTAGGTCGGCCAGGGGTTATTTAACCTTGTCCCCGCGTGCCCTGCAAGCACCCGCTTGTTCCCGCGAGTCAACCAATACAACCTCCAAGGGTCGGGGACCCCTTGCCCGCATTCGTTAGCTTGCCCGTCTAGGGTTGCCGTGGGCATTCTTGGAGGTACTTTGGGATACCTGCGTGCCTGGTACCTTACTTCGTTGTGACACCGTGGGAGCATCCACAACGACTTCATTTTGACCTGTACCACGTACTGCCAGGAGCAAAACCCTCCATGGCTGCCAGCCGTTCACAATTGCTCTTTCCCAACACTTTCAAGGGTGCTAAATCCCCACGGCTTCTCATTCATTCTCACCGTTTGCTCTGGCGTGGCATTCGTGCAGACCAGGACCCTGTTGCGTACACCACAACAGCCCCATTACCTCGTAGCCTTTTGGCCCTGGTCTCGTTTAACTTACGATAATAATCATGTAGTCAATAAGAAAATATTCAAGTCTGCATAAAACCTACTTCACTAAGAAGGGGATACACGAGCAATGCTACTTCGAGCACCGCCGTTGACCATTGCCGCTGTGGCTCAAGCTTGGGCCTGTCAGAGCATGAATAGCAGTCCTGGCCAGCAAAGTGCTTGTCAGGACGCCAAATATGCTGCCCTCGTGCGGCCAGTCCGTCGGCAGCTCGTCCCGTCTGTTCGAAACCCGGATTCGACACGAATTACGCATCGCAGTCTATTCGTTTCCCTTTTATTAGTCAACGCGCGAGACTGGTACGACTCCTTTGTCCTGTGCTTGCTGCGCCTGACGTTGTTGTTGGCCTCGGCAGGCTCTTGGGGGTGCTCTCCAGATGGCCCGGCCGTGCACGTGTCACCACGACACCTTTATGGGAGACACCTTTCATTTCATGCTAAGTTCCTGTCGCATCTCACGTTCCGGCGCTGGGAGGGAGTGACGCAGCCATCCATGGCTCACACTTTCTCTCTGTCTCTCTTTCTTTCCTTCTCTTTTCTTCTCCTTTGGACACTCTTGCAAGTGACGACATAGTTGCACTCATGCTGACAGTCTTCCCACCAGAACTCATCCATCAATGCCGCTTGCAGTAGTCTCGAGCCCTCTCACTCATACTCCGTCGATGGCGAGTAGTCATAAAATTAGCACGTATTTCTATCATCAGACGTCAGCCGCCAGCTCCCAACTAGAAAGCTCACGAGGTGAGCCTAGGAATTTTAGGATACATACGGCCAAGTAAAGTGCTATATCGGCGTTCAAAGTGAGTTAAGCTTGGACGACTTGAATCAATTATTTCTTTTCGAGGGAGGGGAAGATAGGACAAAGGGGAAGAAAAATAAACTAAAATAAAGCCGGCAGCATTCGGAGACGACGAGGTCATAGTTTAATCAGGGCCTATGATCCCCGAAGATGGAGGCTGAAATTGGCGAAAAGTCAACGTTCGCAATTCAGCAGTTCCCCGCCGGCAAGTCCGGGGTGGAAAGCTACGCCCATACGCCACACTAAGTACTAAGCCATGGCCGCACATTGACAGGGATCCTCCACCGACAGAGGCTACGTATCGAGTCTAGGTGTAGGAGAGCGAACAAGTCCCTTAATCTTCTTGATCCATGGTCGAAGGTGGAAGGAGTACCATCTATTGGTCATTCACCACACAAGCCAACACAGCCAGTCCTAATGTCAGAGGGTAGAACAACAAACAGGTGCCAAGCAGTAGGAGCACTGGCACTACCCACCAATGGCCGCGTGCCCCGCGAGAGCTTCTTTGCCCTGTTGAGATGGCTGACTGTTTGGCCTGTCAAGGTGTGACTGCATCATCCATGATGATGGTATTGGAAGCTCACAAATGGGAGGCTGGCTGAGCTTCACCTGCAGCTTGAAGAGGTCCCAGCTGTCGCTGGGTTGGAGGTGGGTCTTGGTGTGATGTGATTGGCCACACTGTTCCGCACTGTCGCGTGGTCCACCCGTGTGGCCCGCGGAGACATGGGCAGAGCAGACCCAAGCCTCGAAAGTCGACCGCCAGAATATGCGACGTCGGAGCAGAATATCCAAGAACTGCCCAGACGACGAGTTATAACCCGAGAGGCATATCTCCGGCAACAGCATTTCTCAAGTGACGACGCGAGACACCAGGGACCCCCTGGCAGAACGGCCTTGGCCAACCACGCAGCACACGGAGCACGCGGACCACTCGGTGCGAGGCTTCCATCCGACGAGGTTCTTCTGTCTGTGCATGTTGTGCTGCCTGAGGCCGTGAGCGAGACAGCACAGCACAGCGTTGCGCCTACTAGAAGAGATCGACACTGCCGCGTGGCATCCAGCAGGTGGCCGGCCAGCTACTTTATCCTTGCTTCCTCAATGTGAGTCCGACATGCTTTTGCTTCAACAGGCCATCGGCGTCCTGAAGAAGGCGCGTCGAGGCTTGCCTGGGGGTGTCGTGAACGAGAAGATTCGGCGGCGAGGGTGTTTAAAATGGCGGGTTCTGGCTTGGCGGCAGGCCGGCAGATAGGATAGAGCAGATGCGAGTGCGCTGCTGGTGGTGCTACTTATCGCGCCAGTCGGCGTGGGTGTGGTGAGCCGGGAGCCAAGATGAGTCTGATGGAGCATCGACGCGGGAATGCGACAGAAGCGGCGACGATTGGCCTGGCCGAGTGGCGCGCGCGCGCAAGCAACCGCCGCCAGCCCAGCCAGGGACACACATGTCAATTGCCGTCCGTCTCTCACAACTCAAACAGACTGCCTGGGGAATATCAATCCGCCCATCTCAACTCATCTCGGCTCATCCCACCTGAGCACTATCCACCCACCTACTCACTCACTCACTCACTCACTCACTCACTCCCTCACTCCTCACTCACCCACTGGCTCTTGCCACCTTGCGCCGCAACACCTCCCACTTGACACATCGCACCTACCCCTTTGCCATCACCATCAACTTCACCTTACGAGCCTCGACATTGCCACGCAGGAGTCAAGAGCGCTCGCTGGTTCCCGGTTGGCCGTAATAGCCTCATTCCCCTCTTCCAAGCACCAGCCCAATCGCCGTGCCCGCTAAACACCACGCTTTGGCCCACGGCGCTCGGTGCATCGATCCAGCACCAGCAATTGCCTGGCTCGACTCCAACTGCCACACCTTGCCCGCCATGGCGACTCGCCCCCGCCGCGTCGCGGCCCAAAAAGCAAACACGGCAATCACTGACATGGTCGACAGCGAAAACGCCGTGAGCAGGTCAACTGACAGTATAGTCATGTCTGCCCGCCCCTCACGCCGCTCAGACGGTAAGCCTCCCCTCCAACTCCCGTATATTGACTCATCCTGGGGGGTAACCAACCGGGTGAACTAACTTGCTCATTTTCACATGACAGCCCGGTCACCACCAGACAGGTCGCGTGGAGCCAATGGCGGTGGTCGCAGCAGCGGCATCTCCAGCCGGGCACTCGGCCGAGAACACTTTGTCGGGGGCGAGATCCTCGAGGGCAAGCGGAACCGGTCGCAGAGGAAGAGCTACCGAGTGGACTCTAGCGACGACGAGGATGCCGTTGGCGAGGACGACTTGGACGCCGAGGGCGAGGAGGAGGAAGACGACGACGACATGATGGATGCCGACGGTGAGATCGTCGTGGACGCGGACATGGATGTCGACGCCGAGGGCGAGGAAGATGACGAGCTCGATGCCGAGGGCGAAGACGACATGGAAGTTGACCCGACCCCGCCCCCAAGGCAGACCGTCAAGGTTGCCAGGCCGGCCAATGCACGGCACAGCGTCCCTGGCAAGGGGAGGGAGACAGCCAGGGCTTCCACCACCAAAGCGGCGGCACGGCAGGATGAGAGCGACGATGAGGAACTCAGCGACCTTGACAGTGATGCGGATGAAATCCAGGACACAGTCAACGTCGGCGGCGGAGAAGAAGAGGACGAGGAAGAAGAAGAGGACGAAGAGGATGACGACAACGAGGGTGCAGGCGCCGGCGAGGAAGATGAGGAGGAGGAGGAAGAGCCTCAGGAGATGGACAGCGACGACGAGGGAAGCGAAGGAGGCTCGCCGGATCTCGACAAGATGACGAAGCGCCAACGCGCCCGGTTTGCAGATGACGAGGATGGTTCGCTGATGAAGCTATCTGATGGTATGTGCACATCAAATGTCATCACAAGGCTCGGTATGACCAAAATCACTAACGATGTAACAGAGGTGCAAGCAAAGAAGGTCTTCACTGCGGAAGAGTTGTCCATGCGACGGGCTGAGATGGCTCGTCGGAGGAGGAACCTCAGCGAAAAGCGAAATGAGGAAGTCAAGGTGAGCGGCGTGCACACTACCAGCACTTCTCTCCCATGCACTGACCAAGGTACCACAGATGGAAACGATCCACAAGCTGCTGCACAAGCAGGCGCCCAAGACCAACCGCAAGCAGTTGCTGGCCGAGGACCAGGCTCAGGAGGAAGAGAGGGCCAACCCGATCTTTGTCAGATGGGTCAACAACAAGTCCGGCAGCATTGTGGCCGTGCCAGACGAGATGCTCGCCGCACCGCCAGGCAGGGTGTTTGTGCCCGGGGGTCTCAAAAGTGGGAAGATGGTCGAGGAGGTGTCTTAGGATGGACCATAGCGAGGCAGGGTATAGGACGCAATGGCTGTCGATGGACGGCAACAAGGAAATCATCGGGTCTGGTAGAAATCAAATCGGCGCAATGTGTTTCAAACACCTCAGTGATACTCCCAATCAGTTGGATACCGCGGGCCCATCTCGACGGGGGGGCGGTGTTGGTACCATAGAAAGGAAAAGCTTAACCTGCACCGTATGAGTGACCGGTGCGCAGCATGGCTGCTTCAGGACCGTCATGTTCGCTAGCAAGTCTAGGAATGACTACAGCGTTTGAGTTCACGAAGGAGACTGTTGTCGAGTGCTGTGATGTCAACTGTTCTTTTAAGCTTGAAACGTTAAGGTATCTTCAACTCCACAAAGCGCTGGCGTTGACACAAGGTGATGTAAACAAATTGTGCAGTTGCTCCCTGCGGCCCGAAGAAGCTTCCCATAGACATATCGCAACAACGACCTGGACACCATCCAGGACCCGGCCACTGTGGCTTCCGTCTGCTATCCAGAGGGTGCGTCGCAAAGCGTGTGGTCATCTTGTCTTCTCCGTCCCCCAACCGGCGACTAGGTTCCAACGTCAAGTTCGAAGCGTCTCGCATGGCCCGTGGGGTTCGTCCCCGACACTCACTGCTCCGGTTTCTACAATTGTGGTCATGGTTTCTCCCACGACCACCCTGCGATAAGTCCCAGCCCGCGGGCCAACCTGGGTCTGGCGGGTTGCTCCGTCGTCGTCACCCGCCTCTGATGCTTCGCGCGTGGTACAGCCTAACTCCGATGCCTCCTCTGCTTGTACCGTCCAAACAGCCATTTCGGAGATGGGATGGGAGAAAATTCTGCAGCGCTGTCCTGAGTGTACAGAAAGAGTGAATGGGCATCTCTCACTGCTTTCTCCTTTGCACACCCATCGTCACACACAGCCTTGCCTTTCACAGATCCATTCCTTGACAGTCAACAGAACCCATCAAGCCCAGTCAGCCCGGAACTTGCACGGAGACTACTCTATTGCCGTCCACGAGCACGTCGGCAACTCGAGAGCAGCGGAGCAGAACTAGAGAAAGCATAGTCGAGCATCCGGCAGTGGAAGCCTCCTCCACCACTGTCTCGTCGAGATCGTTCCCCTGAACGGCTTCGACCGACAAGCTGCTCGCCGCGCTGTGCCTTGACTTGAGAGGGCAGACTAAGAACCGGCCGACCATCGAGAATCGCCCCCAAGAGAGACCGAGGACCAACAATCTCGCGACAAGATGGCGGACAACCACCACCAGAACCAGACCGGCTGGCTTCCCCTGCCCAACATGAACGGCGGGATATTGCAGAACGGTGCCAATATGCAGACTGGATGTTATCCCAGCCCGTTCTTCGCCATGCCAGCAGCGACGACGGGACAGGTCATGCCTACGACAAAGGTCACGAACCAGACCATGGCCATGCCTACACTGCACAACACGGCCACTGCTGCACAGCCAGTCTACACGCCAGGCCCGGGACAGATACATTCCCCTCAGCCTGGAAGCCTGGTAGCATCTCCTGGCTACCAGACTCTGCCAAATACTTATATCCAAGGAGGCATGTCTCTCGTCCGGAGCGTCACGCCCACTAGCTTGAACAACGACAACAGCGGCAGTAGCAGCATCAACACCACCAGCAGTGGTGGCGGCATCAACAGCAGTGATGACTCCAAGAAGCCATTCTACCTGCGACCGGCCTGCCACGAGCCAGCCCCCGTTCTCCCACCCGTGGCCAGCAAAGCCGGAGCCAAACGCAAGAGGGCACCCAAAAACAGTAACGGCAACAGTCGCAGCCCTGGAAAGGCGAACAGATCCTGTGCGGGAAACAACAACAACAATATTGCGTCCACATCGGCCTCTACTTCATTTCACAGCGGCGGGGACGGCACTGCTGCTGCTCCATTCACGTTCCCTAAGGAGGATGCGGACGGGAGTGCACCGGTGTCTATGCCAACGCAGCCGGCTTTGAGTGGCATCCAGCAAAACTACCACCAATACCACATCCCGCAGCAGCAGCAGCAGCAGCCATCCATATTCACACCCACAACAGCAACACCACAGCCCACGGTCACCACCGCCACCATCACCCGCAAGAAGACTACAACGCGCCGTCCTCGTCCTGCTGCTACTGCCGCTGCAGAACCACCACAAGGGGTCCCTCCCGAGGAACCAGACTCCGAGGAAGAAGCCCGCATCGCCGCGAAGCGGGCAAAGAAGGAGAGAAAGTGCTACATCAACACGGGCATCAGCGAGGCCGACAAGGCCCGCAGCCTCGGCCACCAGCTCGACAACGCCCTGGGCGCGGTGGGGGACCGGTACGCGTGGCAGAAGTCGCAGGCGCAGAAGGACCGCGAGGAGGCCGAGGCGTCCCAGCAGCAGTTCGTGGACAGCTTGATCGCGGCCGGGATCGCGCGGGAGGCAGAGGCAGAAGAGGAGGAGGAGGAGGCAAAGGAGCGGGAGGAACAAGAGGCAGAGGGGCGAGAGCAGTTGAATCTGGCTGGACTCTCGACAGCTGCAATGACTGGCAATTATGGCGGTGGTGGTGCTCATGGCGACGGCACAATCAACCCGGCTCTGTTGCTCCTCGACCAGCAGCAGCAGCAGAATACCTTGGATCAGCTCCAGCCGTTCCCTGATCCCACAGAGGAGGCACCCTGGGCGAACACGGACTTCCAGATGGACACTGCGTGGTTGGACATGGACAGTGAGGACGACGATCATGACGATGACTCGTCCCTGCTCCGTCGTGTACAACCGCCGCCCATGCGCCTGCGCCGGTACGAGGAGCCGTCGAGCAACTCAGACGACGACGATCCTCCCTTTGAGATCGTAGATCCGTCTCTCGGACATGTCACGATCGCAGACCTCCGCTCCAACCGGGCTGGAGCTCCTGGTGGTATCGTCAACGCACGCCACCCCAACAACAACGAGACCATGCTCCGCGAGCAAACGCCGCCGATGGCACCAGAGGAGGAGTCGCTCGACGAGGAAATCCCTGCCCTATTCGAGTCTGAATCCGAGGCACAGAGAGAGAGCGAGGAGGAGCAGCAACAGCGCTGGGCTGGACTCGAACAAGAAATAGAAGACCTTTTCGATGGCGACGAGGAGCAGGAGGAGCAGGAGGCGGATACAAACACCACCATTTCGTCGCCGCTTTCTCCGCGTACACCGTCGACCGAGCATCTCGACGGCCTCTTCTCATGCCAGGAGGAAGAGGAAGAAGAAAAACAGCAAGATCAAGAGCAGGAGGAGGAGGAGGAGGATGGCACTGCTCAGAGCTGGACGGTGCTGCAACATCAGGTGGCGGCGGCACACTCGCTCGACTACCAGAAATCAGCACCTCCGGTGGTCCAACAATTCCACATTATGGGAGAAGAGGACTCAGAGTCAGAAATCTCTGAGGAGGAATAGCAGCGGAATCGCTTAGCCGCATTTGTGGAGGTGGTTTCGGGCATCACTCAACTGTCGACGCGCGGCACGATTGCTTGACACTTGGGCATGACGATGCTCTTTTGTCGCTTGTCCTCGACGCTTTGATTCAAGGTCCAGCTTTTTGTTGATGTGGGCCAAAATCGGTCTTGACTTCGGTGCTGGTTTTATATTTCCAGATTGGATTGGTCCTGTTTATTGAAGCTGTTGGTCTTGTCGCGCGCAGCATATTTGCAACCAGCCAGCGGTTTCAAGGGTCGAGCTCGTACCTTGTTTGGCACTAGACAGAGTGTTTGTTTTCCAGTGTCTGTTTAATTCTCTGTGTTTCGCGCTGTCCAGCATCATATATACCCTGCATTGCTGTCTTTCAGTACTTGTTACAGATTGGGTTTTAGGGGAGAGAGAATTTCATAGCTGCGGTAGTCAGTCCACGAAGGGTCTGGTCTGCTCCGCTCCAATACAAACTTTTGGGCTCTCTCGATACCTCTGCTCCCACATCTCAAGCATAATGATTCTTATGCGACTCGCAATGTGCATGGCATGGTGATGTTTGTGTCTTCGTGATATCTGTGTTTGTGATATGCCCATACGGTATTATTTCTAAGTGCCTTGCCGCTCGTGCCACCGTGGATCGGGAGTCTATCAACTGCGAAGAACTCCAAACACGAAGGGTGTTTTTCTGTGTGTTTGCTTACTCCGACCTTCTTCGTTGTTGGCCTTAGGCACCTGGGGCGCCGTCCGCTCACTTCGCAGACCCCGTCCTCTCTCTCCTTTGTTGGTTGGCCAACCCCTTGAACCTAGATGAAATCAAAGAAAAGCTGGCCGGCCAACAATATTCCGATATAACCAGGCACGCCTCTCACGTCTTGTGTGTTTGTCCGAGAAAAAGCATCATCATCGTGAAGGTTGGTCTTATCTGCTCTCTTCTTTTCTCCTCCTGAGTCTTGGCTGCCATGCTGGCCTACGTGCCTGCCACTCTGCCGTTTGAACCTCGTGCCATCATACACAAAGGCCGCGCTGTGAATCTTGAATACCGGCCCGAGCGTACGCATGAACACCAGTATCCACTACACAGGCACCGCAGCGTTCACCAGTTCTTCTTGAAATGACTTGATTCCTTGCGGCTTGGATATGCATATGTGCAAGTTGGCCGGTCGGCCGTGCACCCTCACTCACTCGATGGCCCAGGATCTTCCTGAAAAGCAAGGCATCACTCATCATCATCATCATCATCATCATCACCGTCCTCCCCCCTTTGTGAATACCTGCCAGGCATGGCCATACCTAGATACCTCACCTTAGATACCTCGGGAACACATCCGTGCAGGCACGCGCGCGCGCGGACAGCAAGGAGATGAGGCAGCCAAGAAACCGACTCTTGGGGGAAAAGCTTGGCCCTTAGCTTAATTACAGTACCATATAAAGCCTGCTATTACGCTCGCTAGAACTTTTGGAGATGGAGAACAGCGAGAAGAAAACACGAGACCAGAGAGACGGCCAATGTGTAAAGACAAAAGAAGATTCGCGACGATCTCCAGATTTACAACAGAATACATTCACATATCGCTCGGCGCACACTCACACACCAGCATTAAGGCATAGCACAGGACTCCAGTCTTTACTCTCTCGGCGCTGCGGAGCGCAAAGAGCACATCCCAGGCACCGGGGCAACAGCGGCCACTTTCACTCACCGGGGCAACGGCGGTCGCGACTTTGCCAGATCCGGAACTCTGGCATTTCGGTCCCGAGAGCCGGAAGAACAACGAGTGCGGAAAGGATGCATCTCCGCAACAACAAACATACCTCGCCGCAGAAGGGCTGCGCGGAGATGATGGTGGCGGAAACAACCACCACGGCGACAACTCCAGAACCGCAGGCACCCCGACTGATGGCCAAGAGCTTGGCGACCAAAAAGACACCAAAGAACCGGGCCCCGCCGGACTTTTACCTGAACAGACCGCTGCACAAGAGGCTGCGCGCGGCGACCCCATCAGAGGAGGGGGACGAGGAGGAGGAGGAAGTGTTTTGGACGCCACCATCAGGAACGTCCCGCAGACAAACGACCGCCGATACACCCTGCCCGAAACAACAACTCGGCCAGCGCAGGGAAAGACAAGTGGCCATGCGGTACACGACGCCCGTCATGATCACGGACGAGAGCGAGGTTGAGGATGCCGACCAAGACAACGACCACAACCAGGGCGAGATCGCTAAAGATCATGAAGTCGACGACGACGACGATGACGACGACGAAGTCATGTTTGTTCGCGAGAACGTTGTGACTCCCACGAGCGCACGAACGCAATATGCAGACAAGCATCTGCCGCCGCCGCCGCCGCCACCACCACCATCCCAGCTCACCAGCATCGACGCAACCCCCAGCGTGCCGAGGGCGGACGGCTTGATCGACCCGACCGAGTTCATCAAACAGCTCCTGCAGACGCCAGAATTCGCGCCTCTCATCTTTGACGTCCTGCGGAAGAGCCTAGCGGGACACGAGGTGCAGCAGGACGCCGCGACCGGTTTCGTCCAGCACCGCTTCGCCTTGCGTGATGATCCTCATCATCATCATCAGGTCGACGCCTCAAATGCACAGGCCACGCAGGATGCTCCCGCGAGCTCACAGGTCTCTTCGATGGGCGCGCAGCACGCACAGCCTGGTCTGATTACGCCGACAGACAGCTTCTTTGGCAGCTTCTCCTCGGCTTCACCGTCCAGTCAGACAGGCCCCGTGCTCGCGTCATCAGCCTTTAGGACGCCAAGCACGGCAAACACCTCGTCCGACATTGGTGACAACACTGGCAGCACCACACTGGCGAACACGCTGCCGCCGACGATCTGGGCGGCGCTCGAGGAGGACATGTCCAAGTACCCGTCAGTGGACGACTCGGAGCAACTGTGGCGGATGGGAATCCAGTTTGGGATTGGGGCGGGCATCCAGGCATTCCGGCAGGCACTCGAGGAAGAGCAGTGCGTAGCGTCGCAGGGAGCCGAGAGGATAGGGCTGGGATCATCGTCTTTATCGAGCCCGGCGACGCAGGATCTGTCGGTGGCGGCACGGGCGGGAAAGGACGTGCTGTGGAGCCGGCAGCGGGTGGTGGATGCGCTGTGCAGCGGTGGCGTCGGGCAGCACGTGAGGGAGTCTGGCGGCTTCATTAGGGCGTGCAGCCTGCTTGAAGCTTCCTCTAGTGCTGGCGCAGACGGTGCCGCCGCAGTGGCAGCCGGCGGTCCAGAGAGTACGCTGGTGATGGGAAACATGCTGCAGGATGAGCCAGTGTCGTACACGGCGGGTGGTGAGGCCATTGGGGGCATCGACATGCGGCGCCTGGATGGGACTGCAGGTCTGGCCGCGAGGATGCTGCTCGAGCACGAGATGGACCTGGACGAGGCGCTGTGAGGCAAACTCTTGAGGAGGTGGCGGAGGGGGCAGAGGCGGGCATCACGGGCTCGTGCCGTGCTGTCATTAGTAGCGGGATGACTGCATTGTGCAAGGGACCTGTAGCTGGGACCTGTAGCTGGGGCCTGTCGTCGTAAGCGCGGGAGCTGGGCTGACTCGAGACGGAGGCGACCGAGGCGGTGGCGTGCCAAAGGAACGTCGAGATGAAGCAGCTTGGGGGGGATTGGGCTTTGGAACCCAGTGTGCGGGGATGTCCGGCTGGTGTTGTGACACGCAAGGGGTGTCCGGAGTGTGACCATGATTATGATATGTTTTGTGCTCTGCGGCAATTATCTGACGACAAGTGACTGGCTGCGACGGAGTCCCGTGATGGTGGTTCGAGGTGGCCACCCGCCTGCCTGCTCGTTCGTTCGCTCGCTCGCTGCTTCGGCCAGCGTCGAGGGCGGGCACGCAAGTTGCACTTGAGCACGGTCGGCAGGCGGCCAGGATCCCGCCGTCCCCGGCCCCGGGCACGAGCGAACTGGGAACTTTGGAGCTTTGCACATGCATGTGCGGATGGGGATGCTGTTTTGGTTCAAACCTTTAGAGTTGGCCAGGCGGTCTGGGCGCCGGGCCAGTGGTGGTACCTTTAGCTGGGATGGGCGTTGTGGTCAGGCGGACAGTGGAGTGCGAGAGAGACAGAGATGGTGATGACAATCAGGGTCTGTCTGCTTGGGCGCCGCCAAGACACCCCCAGAGGCCAAGCCAGAGCGGCTGGACCTTGACGAGATGCCAATACTGTACCCTAGTTACCTTATGCAATGGCAATCAAATGCCCAGAGCGGCCGGCCCGGGGCCTGGCCTCACAGCCACCAACCTACAGGCACGCTTGCGTGGGGTTAAGGTGTTCGTTGCAGTTCCAGCCATGACTGACTCCTGCCCGCGCCGATCCCGCCAGCCGCCTCGTCGCCTCCGATCTCGTGCTTCTTCTCGTCTCCTCTCGCTCCACGGATTGATTCCATCACTCACCTCGCTCCCTTCACCCGCTCATGTGCCCGTGGCCCCCCATCACCACCACCACCCACCACCACCGCCACTTGTCGTCACTGGGCCCTACTTAATAAAGTGTAGACCACCACCACTGCAGGGCCTGCCCGTCACAGCCAGGTACAGGTCTCGAGGCCCCGTACATGCAACCGCTCGACTTGGCGTAGCACTGACTGGGTGGCGCTCGCATCCTCCCCCGCACTCCACACCCGCTGCGACGCACGCTCTCCAGCCGCCGCCCTGCAACTGCAATCGCGAACTGCGCGAGCCGCCTGCAGACCCGATACGTACCACCCGTTAGCGCACTTCGAGCACTCCGTACTTATTCCCATCCCTGCCGCCGCTCGCTTGCCCGCGCCCTCTCCACACGCGACTGCCCACCAGCAGTCGTCCTAATCGCTCCCCTCTCCCTCTCCTGCTCGCTGCCCGTCTCTTCACCTCCCAATCGTCACCGCAGCCCATTGAGCATAGAGACAAAACCCTCGAGACGTCGACGACGGACGGCGTTGGACGTCGTCACCCACCCCCCGGCAGCCATGCTCTTTGGCAACCTCTACAAGTCCTCCAAGAGGCGCCAGCTCCACCAGCAGCCCGCCGGCTCTGATCTCGACTATGGCGACCCGGACCTCATTAGCAAGGACAAGCTCAAGCAGAAGAATGCCGTCCGCCGCTACCTCGACAACACCATCCGCACCGACTGGCACTTTTCCTGGCCCGACCCTACCGCTCCGTCACCGCTCCAGAAAATCATCACTCAGCCCAGCACAACCCCCCCGCCAGATACCGTCCAGGCGCCCGTTCAAGACGCCCAATCCGCAAGCATTGAGAAACAGGCAGGAGCAGACGATCTTGTCGCGCAGCCTGTCGACGTCGACGTCGAGGCCGGCGAGGCGAGCAGCGACGACGACGACGATGCCGTCTCCACATACAGCACAATGTCCGAGGACAACGACCACTACCGGCGACGAGTAGATTGGACCTCGGACTTTTCCGACGACGATGAGCCAATATCTCCCGCGGCGTACCGCTTCGACAGTCCTGATGCGGTAGGCGCCACGGTCCTCGCGAATGAGCTGTCCAGGGCGGCGCAACGCAGAAAGGCCCATCGCGAGGAAATGGAGTGGAACTATGGTCTGGCCTGGTTCAGTGCGCGCAGAGACGCCTGGACAGAAGCGAGGACCGTCAGAGTACGGCCCAAGCCTGCGCCCGCCACCCCCGCCTCTCAGTCGTCTCGACGGCATTCACTCTGGAGGTTTACCAGCCCCACGACGCCGCTCTCGCCCGTCGACAACCAGGCGCTAGCCTCTCCGAAAAGCTTGAGCCGCACGGGAACGCGTACCTCCGCGGAGAACAGTGCAATATCAAGCTCGGACAGCGACTCCAAGGGTGAGACAGGGCCCAAGTCCAGCGAGGACTCTTCCAATTTCCCCGTGGAAACTCTTCTCCCAATAGCACGACCCCTCCTGCCAGTAGCAAACCCCATGCGAGCATCGATAACGCCAGCGAGCTACCCATCCATCTACGACAAAATTGTCGTCCATTCCATGACCCCCGCGTGCCCAATCAACCTGAATGATGTGATCAAGTCTTGCGTTGTCGGCTGGAAGCGGGATGGGGAATGGCCACCCCGAGCCATGGACCCGCCTGCCCTGGTAGCAGTACGGCGCAAGCGCAAGGACAGCAGCGGAACGAACGCAGGCAAGCCCAATACTGGGCGCAGACTCAGTCTCGGGGGTTTTCTGGGCCGGCGCGAGAGTGCCGGAGCCCATGCTGAGCAGCAGCAAGGCGCCATGGACGCCACCAGTCCTGCGCAGGACGATGAAGCTGCCACCAAGGGAATCAGGAAGAGTTTACAGCGGGCCCTTGGGTTCGGCCACGAGAGGAACGGCAGTGCCGTGAGCAACAACGGGCCGGTCTTGGGATGATGTGAGAGAGGTTATTTTGGCCACGGCAGCCACGTCTTGAGCACCATCTGAAACCATCTCCGCGCGATTTAATCGGCACTTTAACATTCACGTCACACCATTTCACACCACGAGAAATGCCATCACTCCGCACCCAAAACACATGAATCACGTTTACGAATGATTGACAACAATATACCCATCGCACTAATTCACAAGCATGAGGAAGGGCAGCAAAAAGAGGCACTGGCGAAGTTGTGTAGCCTACGGGAGAGAGAGTACTGGAGCAGTAATCATTAAATTTGAAATGACGAGAGATACCCACTTGATCAGACAATTTTGTTTGTCCGACAATAAGCCATGCGTGGTGGTGATTGTTGTTGTTGTTGTTGTTGTCTTTTGATTATGATGACATTTGACACTTGCATTCTCTATGACACCATGGCATCCTCGTCAATGACCGCGCAGCGCTTAAGCCGGCCGTGAATCAAAACCCCCCATCGTAATGTCCTTTTTGAGGCAGGACCCAGACGGCGCCTTCATTGTTCTATGGCTATAATTCGGGGGCTTTTTATTTTTTTTGGTACAAATGTGTTCTATCCCTCCCACATGTGATTTGTCTTTTGTCTTGCACACTATCGTCAAAAGTCCCCGATGGGAGATGTTTCCAGGCCACACTCTTCGACCCCAGCAGCGCCTGATCACAGTGCACGGTTGCCGGCTGGTGCGACCTCTTCACCACATCGTCACCGCTCTGTTGTATCTTCGCTCAGACAAAGAAAACAAAACATCCAGTTGTCTGTCTGCGTGGCTGCCTGTCTGTCTGTCTTGTGTGATCTACATCCTCCGCACCCTGCCCTCATTGACATCCACGCCGTCTCCTCCTCCTCCTCCGGCACCGGGCGCCGCGAGGATGTCAAACCCCATCCCCCGCCTGGGCCGCCTCTTCATCCCGTCGCCGTACTTTTCGTCAAACTTCTTGATCGCGGTGAGGGTGGCCATGTCGTCGCTCATGCTGGCGCTGATTTCCTTGAGGGCCTTGTCAAAGTGCCGCTTGTTGAGGATGCGCCTCTTGAGCTCCGGCCCGGAGGATGACGGAGGTGACGGAGACGAGGATGACGAGGATGATGAGGATGACGAGGATGATGGTGGTTGTGAAGGTGAATGTGAAGACGTGGAGGACGACGACGACTGGTCGGCCTCAGCATGCTCATGCTCCCGGCTTCCCAGGAAGACACCACCAGCCTCCAGCTCCTCCCGGACAGCAGCCATCGCGGCCGCGACGCACAGGTTCTTCAGGTCCGAGCCGGAATACAGCGGGGTCTGCTTGGCCAGCCGGTCCAGGTCCACCGTCGCATCCATCTCCTCGCCCTTCAGGTGTATCCTCAAGATGGCAGCCCGGTCCTTCTCCGTGGGCAGATCAATCAGCAGCCGCCGGGGCAGCCTCCTTAGGACGGCCTCGTCCAGGTCAAAGGGCCGGTTCGTGGCGACCATGATGAACGCCTTGGTCGAGTCGTCCATGCCGTCCCACTCGCGCAGGAACTGGTTCAGCGTCTCTCTCCGGCTCCCGCGGTCCCGCCCGCGCGTGCCCAGCAGCGCGTCCGCCTCGTCGATGAAGATGACGGCGGGGCTCTTCTTCTTGGCCAGCTGGAACAGCGCGCGCACGTTCTTCTCCGACTCGCCGACGTACATGTTGTTGATGCTCGCGCCGCTGACCTCGATCATGCTCGCGCCGCTCTCCTTGGCGACCGCCTTGGCGAGCAGGGTCTTGCCCGTGCCCGGCGGGCCGTACAGCAGGCAGCCCGGTATCCGGTCCGTCGCGAGCACGCCGTACGAGAAGGCCTCGGGCTTGATCAGCGACAGGGTGGTGAGCATCTGGATCGACTCGATCGTCTCTTTCGGCGCGTGCACGTCCTTGAACGTGATCCGGATGTCCTTGGCCTGCACGAGCCCGGAAAGTAGTCGCTCCTCGTAGTTCTCGGACCCTTGCGGGTTCGCGACCTTGCCCATCGCCGCAAAGATGCCGCCGGCGTTGCCGCTGCTCCCACCCGCGCCCTGGGTGGCGCGCTCGTGGGCCTTGAGGTGGCGCTTCAGCGCCGAGGCCTGCCGCTCTGTTGCGAAGTCGTTTGCTCGGACGAGCGACACGATGGTCTGCCAGTGGTTCATGCTTGTGACTTGTTCGGGGCGGAGCGACGTGCCGATAATGGCAGTCGCAATGCGGTATATCTCTGGGAGCGTCAGGACTCCTGTCGTCCAGCTCTCTTCGAGTTTCCAGAACAAATCATCCAAGGCTGACAACGGATCCTGCATGAGGTGTCCAGGAATCTCGCTCAGTGCGTCGGCATGTTCGGGGACAAGCGCCGCGAGGACATTGGACAAGTTCGAAATATTCTCTACCCAGAAGTCGGCCGCGTCGATGGGCGGCCACATGTCGTCATCGTCAAGCTCGAGCTCGATTCGGCTTGGCAGGGTGTACGCCAAGGAGACGACGCTAAGTACGCGCTCGCTCAGAGCGGTCGATGTGACTGCATCAAGGTATGGCCCGGGCGCTCCTTTTGTCGAACACGTGCCGACCAGGACGACTTTCCGGCCGTCTAGCCAGAGATTGTCAATGATCTTGCGGAGCTTCGCGAGTAGAGCATTGCCACTCTCCGAGTCCATGCTCAGCGCGACAAAGTCGTGCACATGCACAACCAGTGGCCGCTTCGGATCCTCGGGCAGCGCGGCATGCACAATCTCCTCCAGCGCCGTGTTGAGCTTCAGATCTTCCCAGCGCTCGTCGCTCTTCTCCTGGCCGTTGCTGCCATTCAGGTACTGGTCCATCAAGGCCAGTGGCGAAGACTTGGACCCGCTCTTCTTCTTGTCCTGGCCCAGCATGATTGTGAATGTCTTCGGGAGGCCGGCCAACCCGCTCTCGTCATCTTCGGCCTCCTCCACCTTCCGGGGTTTGACCCTGCCCGAGTTGAGGGCTGCCCGGAATCCAAGCTGTGTCAGCATACTCGGTGACCGTGCAATGTCCTGCCCGAGGTAGTTGCCAAGCGTAAATGCCAGAGACTGAGGAGACAAGTAGAGAACATCCGCCTCGAGGCTCCGCGCCGCGTAGCTGATCACGTCTCTTGGCATGGTTGAGCCCGCCGTGAAGTCCAACCTCGCGATGGTGGCAGGTCGCTGCAGGCCGTTCATCCCCTTCGCCTTGGGCGGCGGCTTGACCTCCAAGTCGGATCTCATGGCCGCGAGCAGCTCCTCGAAGGAGGAGTGATCTATCGCGGCAACAGTGCGGTAGTCGCAGAAATCCGAGTCGATCGAGTCCTCAATGATGTCGTGATCCAGCCTGCCTTTCCTGGCGTGGTACCGGACAAGCTCAAGCCCCGCAGCGCCTGGTATTGATTGTAGTAGCTTCTCAAGCACCGCCGTCGCAGTCTTGTTGGTGTCGTCCATCGCATGCAAGATGCCCGCAAGACGCCAGTACGCCGCCGCGACGAGAAGGTCGCCCCTGCGTCGAACACGATCCGTCTTGCCATCGGACAAATCGGCCAGCGCTCGCTCAATCTGAACATCGTCCCACCCATTGGACTCAAGGATGAACGCGGGGAGGGACTCTTGGCGCATTGTCCGCCGCCGGCCCTTTATCCGGTCTCTGAACTGCTCTGCAGCGTATGTGTCGACGAGTGCCAGCTCTTCCTGGCTCGCGGGCACACATGCCTTCTGCATGTCTTCAACTCTTGTGATGGCGTGCTCGAGGAACGACTTGGGCAGCTCCAACGGCGGCATCTCCTGCGCCGTCCGGTTCCGCAGCAGTCGCGATCGCAGCGAGGTCGGACTGCTCCGCTTCCGGCGGCCCTGGCCGTCGCTGGTTGCCTTTGCATCATCTGCGGCAACACTGCTCTCCTCCGTGGCTTCGCTCAGGCTGCTGTCATGATCGCCGGGTTCGTGATTCGGCTGTGTCGAGTCGCCGCTCGCCCCGTTGGACCCGTCGCCTTTGTCGGGTTTGCTGCCGACCCCATTGTGAGGTGGACTTGGTGTTTCGGATGCGCCGGTCGCTGCGGACTGCCGGCTTATCGCCGTGGCGGAGAAAGACCGTTGCGGCGGTTGCGCTCCATGGTCAAGGGGCGGATGAGGTGTAGAGATCCGACGCGCTGCCGATCGAGGGGCACGCAGCCATCGTGTATGCATCCGGATCAGTGGTGCTCGTGGCGGAGCAGGACGGTGATCATGGCTAAACACTATGTGAGGGGACAAAGCCGAGGATATTTGTTTGCCTTCTGGCGCAACGTCACAAGCGATCACCAAATCGGGCCCTTTATCGATAGCGCTAGGTAGGTGGGCGCAGTTGCGCCAAGGGTCCCAACATTGGACGAACCACTTCGACAGCGTTGATGTCGTAATACAGTCAGGCTGAAATCCCATGTCATAGCGGTTTTTCTTTCTTTCTTGAAAATTCACGGGTCATGCGAGACGTTCAAACAGTCCTATTTGGTGTGCCAGACCACATCCGGCATGTAGTGTTATTGGATTACCACCACAGCTCCTTCTCGAAGTCTTTGGCTGGTCTACAGCTTCCGCCATAGTTCGCAATCCATCCCTGTAACTGCTCCACCAGCCCGGATACCAGTTCACTGCGATCCCATTGCGGCACAGCTATTCCACGACCACTTTGCGTGCTTGTCAAGCCTTGCAATCTCGTCGGCCCTCTTACAGTCATCGTTGAGCCTGTCGAGACCCAGTTGCGCGAGATATCGTCGGTTACGTGACGAGAGAAGTCGTCGACTTGAGTTTCCGTGCCTGGTGGCAAGGCAGAGTTCCAGAGGTCTAGACCTTCAAAGAGATGGTCAGGCACGATGGCCATATTGTCTGCACCGTTGGCTTCATGACTTCCACGGATGACACCATCAAGGTGAGAGGCTGCCGAGGTGACAAACCCTGATATCGAGGAAATGATGCTGCGCAACCTCAATGACTCATCCGGCTCAATGTCGAGCTCGTTGTCTTCCATCATGAAATGAACTACGACTGAGGGGCCAAAGGCATTCAGCGCCATGAAGATCATGGTAAGACTGTGTAGATGCTCGCCTCTCAAATCGCTGATGTCCATCCTCGCCATCTGCAGAAATGCATCGAGAGCCGCCGTGTATAAGGCAAGGACGGCCGGCATGTCCTCTTTGCCAAAGTGGCGGTGTATTGCGGGAGCCGAAAGAGATTCACAGAGAGCTTGAGCGTAGGTCTCCAGAAGGATCCACGCTTCGCCAGCCTTTGCTGCTGTCATCACTAGAGCTGGCAGCATATGGCCCAGCATGAACCTAAAGATGCAAAGGTTATCCAGACCCTGCTGTACAATAGACCGCTCTTCGGCCACTCTGCCGTTGGCAAGAGCGATCTTGAAATTTGCTAGGAGCAGGTAAAACAGCCCTGGAGCTGCGCGCGGGTCGTTCTCCTCGAGTTTTAAACCATACGACAGTATACCCGCTGCTTGGAGTCGAGGGTCCTGGCTCGACGGCGTGAATTCAGGACTGATCTGGTAGAAGAATTGGTCCACGGGGCAGAAGTCCTGAGCTCGAATGAGGTTGATAATCATGCGCACAAACTCGATGTAGGCATGCTGCTGTCGGCTGTCTAGGGTCATCAGTCTAAGATCAGCCTTTAGCTGTTCCATGACAGATTTCATAATCATGGCAAAATCCGACTTCATGACCAAGCGGCGGCTGGGCTCTGCATCTTGCAATGCTCTGCGCATGTTTTGTGTGATGGCTGGAATTAGTTAGCATGCTTATCTTCCTTGAAGGCATAGTTCGGTAATGCCTACTTGAAAATAAGTCCCTGTTAGAAGAATATCCAGGGACCAGCTCATCTCGCACTACGATCCTCCGCAAGTATGGAGATCCTGTGGACTGTATTGCTGCAGAAAGTCGGTTCTCGTACTGCAGGAACTTGGACGGCTTGACAATGGCATGAAGCAGGATCCCAAGCATTGAGCTGGATGGTTTCAAAGCCTGTCCGGTTGTCAGATTTGGACCTGAAGTTCAATTTCTTTCACGAACAACATACCTTGAAATCCGTGATTTCATTCGAGATTATCGTTGCCAGGAACAAACTTAGGTACTTTCTGGACTCTTTGGCACTGCTCTCATGAGGCCCAGGGAATGTGCTAAAGCGGCCCGACCCGAAAAAGGTCGAGATGTCCTTCAAGGTCGTCAGGTGAAAATATCGAAATGTGAGCAGTGAATGAGTGTACTTACGGCAAGGCGCGCTTGACAGAGGCGAGCGCCTAAACGACCACCAACTGCAACTAGCCTTTCCAGGCAGTTCAATTGAGTTTGAGTTGCTGTCGTAGACTGGGAAACATCTTGTGCTAAGGCCGAGCGTGCCGTTCGGAAAAAGTACTTCACGACAACGCGTTCGAGGAACTATGACCTGTCAGTCCAACACAAGAATCTGCCATGATTTAGAAGCGCCACTCACCTCTAAGGCCTCCTCGGTGTGCCATTGCTCATTTGAGCTTGACGTTGCATATGAGGGAGAACTGAAATTCGTGATCAAGGACAAGTAGCAATCGACAAGATCCAAGCCCAGGTGCAAGCAGCGCCAGGCTGAGTCGGTTGTGGGACATTGCATTTCGGCGAAAACAAGCTCAAGAGGATCTGACAATGATCAGCGGCGGCCACCGATTGGTGCTTCAAAGACTTACAATTGCTGAAAACGAGCGTTGCAAGATTCAAGCTTGGTACATGTTGCATCGTATTCAAAACTGTCGACATGGACGCCCCAAGCGATTCAAGCGCGGCCTTCTTGTTCGTGCTTATGACAATGTCCAGGAAATCTTGACTAATATTCCTTGATGCTTCAGTTGACATGGTCGCAAATTGTTGCTTGGCGTCGTCCTCAGCGGAGCGGTATTGCTGCATGAGCTGTTGCGTGATGTTGCGAATCCACGCCGCGAAAGGACGATAGGCCGATGCATCTCTATGTTCATTTGTGACGAATCGAGAGAGCTGGCTCCAAGATCTCAAGTTGACAAGGCAAGCCTCTTTATGGGAGCTTTCTGGCTGCACAAGCCTCTCGATCATTTGGGCAGATGGTCGGCAATCCACCGGCGCTGCCCAGAACAATGTGCAAAGCAAGTCGTGATGGTTTCTTAAGGCGGCCAGATCGCTTTGGTGCATGTCCATCTCTTTGCTGAACTGCCTATCATGATTTGGCATAACTCTCGCCACGAGGTTGCGAATGTCCTTCACTGACCCTGTCTCGACGAACCCCCTGATTGTCAATGCCACAACCTTAAGGAAGATGTGAAAGCAGCGATCACTAGCTGTGACCGAGAGTGACGGACACGTAGCCAGCTCTTCCAGAAACTGCGGGGACGTATAAGCCTCTTCATGTCGCAGGTGCGCCAGCCCTTGGGAGGCGAAAAAGTCGAAAATGACGCCGGCGATGGTATTGGCCCGGCGCCAACCCCATTGCTCTGCGAGATAATGGCATCGTCCCAGGATAGCCCGGCAATAGTCATTGAAACTCGCGGCTTGTTGTTGATTGGCCTTGTAGATAGCGAAAACCCGACTAAGCAGTTTTTGTGGAATCGCCCAGCCTTCAAAGGGCAAAGATTTTCTGAGACCTACGACAAGCACACCGTTGCCATCAAACTCGCTGAGTGGCAGGAGCATGAACATTGTTTGCCAAATCTTCTCGAACTTGACGGAGTCGTAGGATGACTGCATCTCGGTACCGAGCATCAGGCTGCCTAGTATGTCCCAAAAACCAGATCGTGGTATCCGAGCCATCTGCAAGATATGCATGACACATACCCAGCCTATGACTGCCGCATGTTCGTTGCGGATGCCTACTTCTCGGAAGGACGAGCTCTGGAGCTTGTCATATAGATGACGCACCTCGCTCAGTTCACTTTCGAGCAGGCACCGGAGTGTGATTTTGGACAATTTGGTAAGCACATCTTCGACCCTGTATGCCACTGCCATCAAGTCGAGTCTTCGTGCCGAGCACAACGCTTGCGACAGTAGGACGAGACAGAGGCTCAGAATGTCGATGAAAGTGCTTCGGTCAGGGCGCTCAAGGGCCAGGAGAGACTCTATCTGCTGTGTGAAAGTCTGCAAAACATCGCAGAAGCGCGTGAAGAATGAAGTATCGGGAGCGGAGAAATCCAAAGAGTCCTGCATGAAGTCCAAAGCAAAATACAGACCGTTTGCGGCCGGAGATCGGAAAGATGTGAGGACCCTAACATTGGCAGCCTGATCCAGAACCCAGTCGAAGAGTATTCCGAATTCCGAGGAGACCTCCGATGTCCAGGAGCTCCAATGTAGCACTTTCTCGCCAAGGACGAATGTGCGGTCTCGTGGGGAGAGCTGAGAGCTCATCTGCAAGCCGAGAGCTCGAGCGAGACGGCCGCTGCCGATCAGAGTATCCTGATGAAAGAAGGCACCAGGGTCTAAAGGAAAGATCTCGAAGTGATGAGTGTAAAGAGTGCCAAAGGCGCCAAGGCCCAGCAGCTTGCCACTTGAGCCAGACTCAATTTCCCGTTGTATGGGCGTTGTGTCTAGATCGGAGTCGACCAAGACGGGGTCGCTGGCGCGCAAATACTTAGGCGCGGCAGTATCTACCCACGTTGGCTGTGCTTGCTTCCTGCGTCTTTGTATGGGTCTTTCGGGACGTGTTGGTGAGGCTTCCATAGGGGCATGCAACTCAAGAGTCGATTGGCTCGTGTTGCCTGCTCTGTCCAGTTTTGTCTCAAGCGTTGAGACCAAGCTTGGGGTGCCCTTGTGAGTTCTGCGGAAGACGGCGTCAAGTGCCCTCTTGGTAGAATGGAATGCTCTGTGTCCCGTGCTGCCACTAGGTGTCTCAAGCATTGCTGGCCGAACGTGTGCTTTCGCGTGCTTCTCCACAGCTGTGCTTTTTCCGAATGACTGTTGAGCTCGCATTTTCTGAACACCTCCACTGTTTTGCCCAGACTCTTGCAAGGACTCTGCCATCCGTGCGAGGTGAATTTGACGACGCGGCCCTGAGAACTGGGCAGCTAAGAGATCCTGTCGTTGGCGTGCATCATAGTCTTCGCTCATGGGCTGCATGATATTGTCGGACATGGGCTGTAGTGGTATGGGTGACCCAGTCCGCTTCGTAGCAAGAGAAGTGACTGAAGCTCGAGGGCGGATGGAGCCGCTGCGCCAAGCTACCAGAGCCTTTACTGCATCGATGTTGTCCTTTCGAACGCCCAAGTTGATTATCTTCTGCGACGGGCTGGCCCTCCCTTTGTCCACTCGCCTCCTGGCTGTCCTGGCTGCTATGCGAAGGAATGATGGAGCATCAGGTTCGATCACGTCCAAGACACTTAATCGCGGTGTAGAACGTGCCGTCTTGGTTTTAGCCTTTGCCTGTCCCGACTCATGCTTCTTCCTGTGCTGGCGAGTACTTGTTGCTCTACCAGGCCTGGCTTCCAATGAGCTGCCCTTCTTCTGCTTCCTGCTGGTGACGTGGCCGGAGATTTTTGTCTGCTTCATGTTCCGACCAGATTCGCCGCGAACGGAGCTTAAAGTTTTCCGAGTCTTCTTCTCGGACGTAATATCATGCTCAGCCAGGCTCCAACCCTTGCTCCCTGGCAGAATCAGGTCGATTTGGTCATCTTCCACCACCGATCCTGCGTCGTCCTCGAAGACAGGTGCACCATCGTCCGCGATTTCAGGGCGCTGTTCCGAAATGTTGTCATTAAATCGTGAAGTCGTTTCGTCGTGGGATTCGTCAGAATCATCGAAAAATATCTCTGGGTTCGCTGCGCCTGTTCCAGAAACAACACGACGCTGCGCCACCCCTTTCCTCGGTGACTTGCCTGGACTCCGCTGTAGAGGCATCCTCCGGTGAGGGCTTGGCTTGGCTCGCTTCTGATCAAGGCGGAGCCAGGAAGCAGGCAGTACGCCACGTATCCGCTTCCCAACTGTCTCCACGACATCAGCATGCGGTTCTGAATCACTGCCAGACGCCGAGGTGCCACCTTCAACCTCACCATCGGAACGTGCGCTATTTGTCGTGTACCCGCTGAGATCAATAACGAAGTTGCTAAGCCTGCCCGGAGCGGGACTCTGAGGCCGTGACGAGTCAATAGTGCTGCTTGCACGCGGAGTCAGGGTTTGGGTCCGTCTTGCCAGGCCGAGCCTCGCACGGGGTGTAGTGGACTGCAAGCCAGGGCTAGTATCGGGTGGCGAGGGCGGTACATCGAAAACGCCAATTGGGTGCATTGAAGACGACTTGGCTCTCGGCATTTTCAAACTTCCTGGCAGTTTCAACCTCGCTCTTTTTGCAACACTCTGTGGAGTGGATTGAGTATTGAGTTTGGCTCGCTTTCGTGGTTTCCACTTTCCGATGTCGGCAGCATCAGGCAAGTCGTCATCGTCGTCATCAGCTTCAGCTATAACACCGTTCGAGGCATGCCTTGTTGGAGTTGCTTTGTCCGAAGACATGGAGTTGTCTTCCAACGGTGAAAGATCCAGATCGTCTCCGTCCGCAAAGATATCGTACAGATCTGTTGGCTGGCTTTCGTCAAGTCGGGTCGAGCTGTCATTTCGTCCACTTTGCTGGCTTTCATCCTCATAGTCTTGTTCCTGGGAATCCTTTTCCTCGGGCTGAACATGCTGTTCCTCCAGGACTATCCTCATGGGGCGCATGCCATGAGATTTGAAGAGCTTGCTGTATTGTGCGTTCTCTAGCAAATAAGGATGTTCTTGAATTGGTTTCCGCGGACGCAAAGATCGCGTTCCATATCCAAAAGCCTGTGTGGAGTACTCAAAATCTTGAAAGCCCTCCGCATCGAGCGGAGTGCTCAAAGACTCACCCCGAATAAGGGGCTGTGATGTAGACTGCTCATGGCCACCAGGTTTATCGTTCGTCTGGACGATACTTGACTCGTGATCTCTGACGAGTTCATCAAACTCTTCGCCGGGCAGCTCAGAGAGAGGTGATGATGGAATCTCGACCGGAGCCAGGTGGGTAGGAGAGGCGGCTCGGCGTTTCTCGATCGGCACGGACTTCTCGAAGCCACTTCTCTCCTGCGATAATGAGGTAGGGACCCTCCAGATATCGTCGTTGTCATCGCTGTCATGAGCTACATGCTCGTCTATGGTCCGGGTTGCATCGTTCGGAGGATCGAGGATCGCAGTCGGCAACGATCTTTGCGAGTCTTCGGCATCGAGGGCATCTTCGTCGTCCGAATCGGGAACCTCTCCAAGCTCCTTCCATGTCGCCATTGACACTACAATGCATGTCTTGGATGGCCAAAGATGTCCAGTCGGCGACCCATGCCGCGAAGTGCTGTTCTTTCGTACGGGTATACGGGTGACGTGCTGTCCACCAAATCCTGTGGTTCCGGAGGCCGATATCTGTTGCCAGGTCGTGCTGCCGTGGTCATAGCTGCGTGACAGGAGGAGCCGATGTGCCGGTAAGACGCGTCCGGGCTGCAGGTACCGCGTCGGTCCCCCAATAAATGCTACCGGATGTGGCTCCACATTCACAGTGCGGGGTTCCGTTGTGTGGACAACCACAAACCACTTTGCGCGAAACTGGCGCCAAATCAGTCACAGAACCTTCTTGTGTGCTGAGGTCATTGATGGTTGTGGTGTAAGTACGCACGGGCAATCTCCCAAGCATCATAATAACTTCCATGACTGGACCTGCATCGCAACCATGAGCTTCTTCGTGAGCCGCGTTCTGCCGGTAGGCTTTGCCATCGGCTTTGGTATCTGGAACGGTTCGTTAGACCTCAAGCACGTGTAGAAAATCTGCGCTGAGCATGTTCTAAACAGATCCCAGGATATTATGCATTCAACCCAGTCCTGAAGGAGCAATTGGAGAAGAAGAACGACCCGGCACTGAGAGGTGGACAATCATCACCAGCAACGGCGCAGCCACCTGACAACACATTACAGCAGCCTACCAGCTCACGATCGAAACCCGCCTAGCATACGAGGCGTTCTGCTTGGCAGCATTTGCTAGCATGTGCTACAGCCCGGTCTGCTTCATGCACAAGCCATATGAACACGAACGTCATGCCAATAATACTGCTTGAGACGCCAAACAGCCGAAACTTCGCCAGCAAAGTTCTGAAGCACGATTGAAGCCATCGAGAGACTAGGGATTGTCAATCTCTCAGCTTGTCAGCCGGGCAAGCATTTTGACATCCTTTCCGCCGTCAGGCTTCGCAGACGAGTATCTCCCGAGATTCAATACGCCATAGTGGTTAGAGGCTTGCGTTTACAAGTATGCGACCATGAGGAGCACCATTATGGACCTTGGTATCCTTTCTTCCACGATCCTGAACCGCGGGTACACTTCGTTGGGGTGCAGGGAAGCCAGGGTCATTGTTGCCGGCAAGGAATCAGCAAACTGCAGCCATTCGAACTAGTGTGGCTCGCGAACGAGAATTGACGCAAATGAACACGCTGGAGAGCACCTTTCTCATTTCTTCAAACATCATTCCGGTTCGACTGGCCGTCTCTGCATCTTGAACATGGTGAGCGGTCAATGGTCCGTGCCCAAGACTACTTGTTCCTTGATCAAGGACCAACTTCAGGCTCTGAGCCCCTCACAATGACAGCCCGAAGAGTTAAAACCAGGTCGTAAGCCAGGGTCTTCATTGAAGATGCGTGAGCGCAGAACTCGTACGACACCCCCATCGTATGATAGGATAGGATCCAACGCCGGCATTGCTTGCATCCACGAGGGACACTGGAATGTTGCAGAAGTGATTGGAAATGCGGCCCTACAAGCACGTCCATTTCCTAAAGAAAGATACCATTACATTAATAACAAACACCAGACACGGTCGTATTGTGTCGTCTCAAAAGTAGACTCAAATCATCCTGTGCCCAAGCTCGCGGCATGGTGACACCACATCGTGCATGGCCAGAAGTGGGTCTGCCCAAAGGTGGGCTGAACTGCGTAATTGCAGCTCAGTGAGTGGTGGGGACCAGCGACGGAAGGCCCTGTCATTGGCAGCAGCTGCTGGCCAGCTCCAGATCACGTGGCCTGTGTGTTCTTGACTCGGAATGCCTCGCCGGGGGAAGGGGAGCTCGGCTCGAACGACGTGCAAAAAAAGGCTCGGCCCAGTATCACGACAGCTCCCAATCGTCATCCGCCAGCCACGCAACCCGCATCCACCACGCTCCGAGACGACTCGCGACCGCCTCAATTGGACCTCTCGCCGCTCATTGGATTCCTCTCCCACAACTGTGTCAGGCACACAACCGCCAAGATGATGCGCACACCGGCCACCTCTCTGCTGCGCGCCTCCGCCAGGGCTGCCTCGAGACAGGCCACCTACGTCCCCCGCGCCGCCGCCTCGACTCACGCCATCTCGAATCCCACACTCGCCAACATTGAGAAGAGATGGGAGGGCATGCCCCCTACCGAGCAGGCCGAGCTCTGGATGGCTCTTCGTGACCGCATGAAGACCAACTGGTCCGAGCTGACCCTCAACGAGAAGAAGGCTGGTATGTTGTGACCAGATGGGGAGTTGGCAAGACGCACGGCTACATTACGACGGCATGGAGTGTGATTCTCAACAGCCCTCTTGCAGATAGCACACTGCCTGCAGTATATGGTCCTGTCGGCACGCCAGGAGTCCTTGAAAAGCTACAGTCTTCGGTCATGAAATGGGCTAACATGATATCTTCGCAGCCTACTGGATTGCCTTTGGTGCTCACGGCCCCCGTGCTGCGGCCCCTGCCGACGAGAACCAGAAGGTCATCATGTACACCGTGATTGGCCTTCTTGCATCCTTTGGCGTCTTCGCCGCCATGCGCGCCTTCGCTGGCCCCGCACCCAGCACCATGCACAAGGAGTACCAGGAGGCTTCGAACGAGTACCTCAAGGTAAGCAACCGCAAGACTCGCACGCCATGCTCTCCTCGCACGGCGACATTGACGGGAATACTTACTGACCATCATTACAGGAGCAACGCGCCGAGCCCCTTACCGGTCTCTCCTCTGCGGACTACAAGGGCACCGGCATGGTCCAATCGCCCCCCAAGCACTAAGCCAGCTATCGTGTCTGTATCATGTAATGCGTCTGCTGTAGTGGACATAATCGTCAATATAGGATGTTTTCACCTCCCCTTTGTTTCCTTTGTCATTAGAAAGAGTTGCATGGGAAGAATTCCTGCATGGCCAGCCTCGGGACAATTACTCGGCCATGCGGTGGCAAGCGGACGGTGGCGGCTCGCCTCCATGTACGAAAACGAAAAAGACAAAAACTTAGAAAGGCTCGCGAGCATGTCAAAAACACGGACAACCTTTTGGCTGATGAGGGGGAGGACGGCTATTGTGCTGCAATGACGTGTTGGCTAGCACTACTGTAACTGAGAAATGCCCGGGGCAATGAATGAGACCATGGCTTGTACATCAGTGCATCTCAAGCCCTACATGCTGTTGTGCCACACACCTCCGTCACTTCCCGCGTACTAAGTCCTGTATGATATGGTGGTGGTCTTGACGGCGGCCAGCACATCCGAACCACTTCAAAAGTCCGTCCCCAAGCCTGGCAACTCTGACCTCGACCTATGCTCTCCAGAAATTCTAGCAGATAGGCTACTTAGACGTCTCTAGGTGTGCATGTATGATAGATCGAATGCGGCTGCATAGTCTGAAAGTATATCAGCCGCCGAAGACGACATGAATATGGTTCAGGAGTCTTCATATACGATGTAACCAGCTATTTTGTGTCCCGCTAGACGCCCAGAGAGACAGACATGTATGTCAGAGCAAATCAGGATCACGATGTATACACAGGAGGAAGATGCGGTTATAATGATGTGCTCCTTCTTAGGGATAGCCGCATATTCACACCGCGCTCGATCTAGTCATTTGTGTCGTGGACGACGTATCAAGCACCACTCTCGCCGGCAGTCTGATACCCGCCATTGCTGTACACTTGCCTTCCGATGCCCGCAGGGTCATCCCCCGGCACGCCGTCCTGGATGTCATCCTCCTCACGGATGCGCCGCTCGACCTCGAAGCGCCCGTCCTTGCCCCAGTACCCGAGTTTCTCCTCGCCCCGCACAGCCTTCTCAGTCACCAGGACGTAGTGCATAGGGGCATCGAACATGGCTTCAGCTAATACACGCTCGACTTCCATCTTGAGGCCTCGCGCGCCAGTCCGTGACTTTTCCGCGCGTTCGGCAATAGCCAGCAGGGATTTGTGCGTAAAGTACAGGCGGGACGGGTATGTCTCGAAGAGGGCCGTATACTGCGCAATCAAGCTATTCCTCGGCTCCGTGAGGATGCGCAGGAGGTCTGTTTTCGAGAGTGGTGACAATGCCACAATGTTGTGGACGCGGCCGATAAGCTCAGGAATAAAACCAAACCCCTGGAGATCCTCCGGTGTCGTCAAGTCGAGAGCCGACAGGCCAGTGGCAGTCGTGGCTCCTTCTGGTCGGTGTGGGAGGTGGGCAAATAGCTCCGGAGCGAGCTCGGGCTGCTTTCCATCCGCAGTTGATCGGCTGCGGACCTCAGCACCAAAGCCTATTGTCGGCTTCGCGACTCGGTTAAGAATCACCTTGTCAAGCCCCACGAAAGCCCCGCACATTACAAAGAGGATATTGCTCGTGTCAATCGTGTACTGGTCGACCTTGCCAGAGGGGGGTGGCGTTGCTTGCGGACCCGACGTCGAGGTGTTACCGCCGGGACCGTTGTAGTTGGTGGTAATGGGACTTGCAGAGCGCGTCGAGGACGCAGAGCGGTTATCTTTAACATTGACCGTAACCTTTGTGCCCTCGACTAGCTTCAGCAGTGCCTGTTGGACTCCCTCGCCGCCGACATCGCGTCCATTCATCGTCTCACGCTTAGCAATCTTGTCGAACTCGTCGAGCACAACAATGCCTTGCTCGCATGCTTTGATGTCGTAGTTTGCCTCGATCAAGAGCCGTTCTATGCACGTTTCTACATCCTGGCCGATATACCCCGCTTGTGTGAAGGAGTTGCAGTCGCATATTGTGAAAGGGACGTTGATCTGCTTGCTCAGGGTCCTGTAGACTCTTAGTTTCCATCATTTCAAGCTGGAACAATAGTTGTGAAACGCACTCTAATATGTAGGTCTTGCCTACGCCGGTCGGCCCAATGAGTAAAAGGTTACTCTTGTCTATCTTGACGGGCGCCGGCCTATTCTCGTCTTCTGGAATGTAAAAGTCGTCTTCCTGCGTCTTCTGCCAGGCTTGGTGCATTGCTTGTATCGAGTCGTTATGACCGGGGAACTCGTCTTGCGGGTAGTCGTCAGCGTCGTACTGATAATGCAGCGAGGTGGGATGGTCGGCACCTTCGACCGGGTGAGGGTCTCTCTGCCGCATGCTCCGATCTCGCGCGATTGCTTGTCTCATGAGCTTCTCATCCCTCTTTCTTTCCATCTCCTCGTTGTATTTGCGGCGTCGCAGGCCTTGGTAATGGTTGAAGATGACGGACGATATGGTCTTCTTTGCCCGGTCTTGGCCAACGACGTATTGGTCCACCCGCTTCTTGAGGTCTCTGGGATAGAATTGTGGGACACCAATGGGGGTCTTGTTGAACATTGGCCCGCGGCCTTCTTCATTGGGGTCATAGCTGCTAGAGAAGCCCGAGTTGAAGTCAGAGGTACGGCGCGCGGCGGCTCGAAGAGCAGAGGCGGCAGAGAGCGCTCGGGGCCGACCAGGCAGTGATCGAGGGCTACCCCGCGAGACTCGAACAGCGGACTTCATGTCGTTGGTTGGGATTGTATGACACGAAATCCTTTTGCTGAGTCGGTTGCTGATGTACCACGGGGGTTGGCACGTACCGCCCAGCGTGTCTGACTAGCAGCACATGGGCGGACGATTGGGATAGTGAGCAGTCGATGCGATCTGCACCCTGGAGTGTGTTGGTGTAGAGGGCCTAGCCGATGGCTGTGTCAGAACAAGGTAGGCTTGTCGCTCAATACACGTCCCTCCTCGAATGAGCTATTGTCGCTGGACGTCCTGTCGTGGTGGCAGTCGCTGTAGTCGTGCCTGAGGTTGAGTCGGGTGTGGTGAGCTACCGTGGCTCCGATCATGGAGCTTGGGTACCCCACCAGGCTGGCGCATGCAGTTTGGGGGACCCAGGCAAGGCCAGGCGCAGGGTGCGGAGTGATGGCCTGCCTGGGGCGGCTTTGCTCCAGATGGGCGGGCGCCTCAAGAAGGCCGTTCCGTCCCATGTGCGACACGCTGTGCGGATAAGTAAGCGTATGCAATGCGGCCAAGTGCCGGTTGCGCGAGTCGGTTGTCCCTTGATCTCTGACACATAATCGTACACGCCAATGATATGCATCCATCCGTGTGAGAGATCGTGATTTCGTCTAGAGGTCTCTCCTTCCGCTTGCGAAGCATTATATCCCCGCACGACATCAAACAGGCCTGGCAAACGTACGTAGACTAGGTCTAGGCATCAAATCCGAAAGAGAGAAGTCAGGAAGCAGAAAGCCCGGAGAATCTCTTTCGTCCGAGTCTTCCTTGCGGGTATTCAACAGGGAAGCGACCACACAGTCCCAACCCATATCAGCGCTGGGGTAATTTCAGAGGTGCCTGTCGAATCGTCGATTGCGACCCTTGGGGCTCTGCTCTGGCTCGTGCGGGGATCGTGGGACGACTGGGGCAATGCTCGCGTGGTGGGGCGCGTCGTCGCTAGCGCTCCCAGCTGAGATGAGCTTGCTGGATTGAGCACCGGCCTGCAACTTGTAAGGTTTGCCTTGTTACCGTCCCGGGTCTCGCCATGCTCAAAGGCCACGGTCTACCGCGTATGTGCCGTGTGCACTTGCATGCTTGACGGCTCGCCTCTGCCCATTGACCCAACAAGAGACAGCCTTCTTGGCAAGCGCGTGGTTATATCAGGCCGTGCCTCGCACCGAGACCTGCAGTGGGTGGTACATACCGGAGCTTCATCCCAGGCGTATGGCCGAGCCGGGGCGGCAGATCCACGATGGCTTCCAGGGTTGGCCTGCAAGCAAATTCCATGGCGTCTGGCTGGAGGAGCCTGGGCTGCCCTCCGGACCAGGCCGGGTCGACAGCTGTGCGATGTTTTCCGCGCGGACAGCGAGAGAAGGGGCGACTGATAAAAAGCCGGCGACACCAGACCTCAAGTGTCAGCCCGCCGGCGTAGGCGATTGGCCGCTGCCGTTGCAACCCCGTTGTCTTAATTGTGCGAGCATTTGGCAGTGCGAGGCACGCAGGCACAGTTGCCCCCCGTAACGTCATTCCATGCAGCTCTCCACTTTAGCTCTGCCACCCACCCTGGTCTCGCCGCGAAACAGCTCTCGACAATGGAGCTTTCCGCCGCCCGCACGGGTTAAGAGTGGGGAGCCTGGATAAGCTCCAGCTTGCCTCGTCCTCACTGTTTCTCATAACCATTCCCACCTTCTCCTCCTCTTGTGTGTGTCTCTCTCTCACACAATTTTCGTGCCTTACTGCTCGCACAGCTTGAATTTTGTGGCCAAACGACATCTGCGAACCAGTACGCCCGTCTTTCGAAGAACCGGACAGTTCTACGTGACCAGCATACGTACCGTGAACATGGCAGCAGTCGCAGCCAAGGCGGCCAACAGTCTGGACGCCGCTCCTGACGGAATCCCCAACGATGGGACCGGTGAGAACGCCCGATCTTCCACACATCCATTCTACAAGGCCAATTGACTGACAGCTATTTGGCTCGCAGGCGTCGTCAAGATTGATCCCTGGCTAGCACCTTTCCAGGACTCGATCAAGCAACGCTACGCCAAGGCACAAGCGTGGATCAAGAAGCTGGATGAAACCGAAGGAGGTGTTGAGAAGTTCTCGAGGGTGAGTACAACCCTTGACTGCAACTCTCCCTGGGCTCTGCTGACCAATTGGGCAGGGAACTGAGATCTATGGATTCAACGTCGACAAAGACAACAACATCATCTACAGAGAATGGGCGCCCAGTGCCATTGATGCTTCCCTCGTTGGAGATTTCAGTGCGTCTACCCCTCTTTCGGGCCCAATGAACCCGCCCAAGCGTGTGCCAGAGGTGTCGACTGACGAGTACATCTGCAGACAACTGGAACAGGGAATCCCATCCAATGAAGCAGAATGAGTTCGGCACATGGGAAATCAAAATCCCTGCTGTCAACGGCCAACCCGCCATTGCGCACAACTCAAAACTCAAGGTGTGTAATGATCATGTTGACACGCACCATGCCAAACACTTGGGGTATATTAACGTCAATCCCAATCCAGATCTCAATGACTTCCCGCGCAGGCGAGCGAATCGACAGGCTGCCGGCATGGATCAAGTACGTGACCCAAGATCTCACGGTGTCCCCAGCCTACGATGCGCGCTTCTGGAATCCTCCTGCGGCGGAGAGGTACACCTTCAAGAACAAGCGCCCCAAGAAGCCTGAGAGTATCCGTGTGTACGAAGCTCACGTGGGCATTTCCTCTCCGGAACTGCGAGTTACTACATTCAAGGAATTCACCAAGGACATGCTGCCGCGGATCAAAAGTCTGGGCTACAACGTCATCCAGCTCATGGCCATCATGGAGCACGCATACTACGCCAGCTTCGGCTACCAGATCAACAACTTTTTCGCTGCGAGCAGTCGTTACGGTACTCCAGAAGACCTCAAGGAGCTGATCGACACCGCTCACGGCCTGGGCTTGGTTGTGCTACTCGATGTGGTACACAGCCACGCCTCCAAGAACACGCTAGATGGCCTCAACATGTTTGATGGCTCAGACCACTGCTACTTCCATGAAGGCGCCAAGGGCAGACATGAGCTGTGGGATAGCAGGCTGTTCAACTACGGCAGCCACGAGGTCATGCGTTTCCTGCTCAGCAATCTGAGATTTTGGATGGATGAGTACCAGTTCGACGGCTTCCGATTCGACGGCGTCACAAGCATGCTGTACACACACCACGGCATTGGAACGTGAGTCTCCCTGCTGGCCCTCAATAATTGTCTTCGTTCTAATTTATGATAGGGGCTTCTCTGGTGGCTACCACGAGTACTTTGGTCCGGCTGTCGATGACGAAGCGGTTGTCTACCTAATGATCGCCAACGAGATGATCCACGAGCTCTACCCAGAGTCCATCACCATCGCCGAGGACGTCTCTGGCATGCCCGCGCTCTGCCTCCCCCTTTCCCTGGGTGGTGTCGGCTTCGATTATCGCCTGGCCATGGCGGTTCCCGATATGTGGATCAAGATCCTCAAGGAGAAGAAGGATGATGAGTGGGACATGGCCGGCATCTGCTGGACCCTCACAAACCGACGCCACGGCGAGAAGACCATTGCCTACGCGGAAAGTCACGACCAAGCTCTGGTCGGAGACAAGACGCTGTTCATGCACCTAGTTGACGCGGAGTTGTACACCAACATGTCGGTGCTGAGCCCGTTGACACCAGTCATCTCCCGCGGCATCGCGCTCCACAAGATGATACGTCTTCTGACGCACGGCCTGGGTGGTGAAGGCTGGCTCAACTTTGAGGGCAACGAGTTCGGCCACCCGGAGTGGCTTGACTTCCCCCGTGAGGGCAACCAGAACAGCTTCTGGTATGCTCGCCGCCAACTTAACCTTACCGAGGACGAGCTGCTGCGCTACAAGGATCTGAACGAGTTCGACCGCCAGATGAACTTGACCGAGGAGAAGTATGGCTGGCTGCACGCGCCACAAGCTTACATTAGCCTCAAGAACGAAACGGACAAGGTCATTGTTTTTGAGAGGGCCGGTCTTGTCTTCATCTTCAACTTCCACCCCACCGAGAGCTTCTCGGACTACCGCATCGGCATCGAGCAGTCGGGCACATACAAGATTGTCCTCAACAGTGACGCGAAGGAGGTGGGCGGCTTCGGCAACATCGACTCGGCCACCCGCTTCTTCACAACTCCAATGGAGTGGAATGGCAGGAAGAACTGGACGCACATTTACATTCCCAGCCGCACTGCCATGGTGCTCGCCCTGGAGTCGCCCATCTCGCAGCATTCGTAGGGTCAATGTCTTCTTCCCATGACCACCACCTGTGTTATCCAAGCGAGTTGTTTCATTTTTACTTCATTGTATGAGAGCCGGGCAGAAGCGAAGGCCCTCCCAAAAAATTGCTATAGATTTCGAGGTGAAACGTCACGGCGAGCCAGTATTCGCCCTCTAGTCGATAATAATTCCAGCCTTCTTGATGCGGACAACATGCGCCCTGAGCTTCACGTGAAAGGGTATCAATTGTGTATTTTGCCGCCTCTTCTTGCATGCCGTGAACCGGTTATTCCCTACTCAACAAGCCACTCCTCGACCTCTACGCCCATGCTCCTGCCAATGCCCCTTATGAGCTCCCACCCAACGTTGACCCTCCATCGCCCGCCGCGGTCCATGTCGCCCGTGCCAGATGCCATGCCGCCAACACGCACGAGCAACCTCAGACTTGCCAGCGTTGCGATTGCCATACCCACATCACCATCCACACTCATGTTCAGTTTCCCGTCGTCGTCTGCGCCGCCGCCGCCACCACCACCACTACCCAGAGAAACCCATTCCCCTCTCGTGGCAAGATAAATCGCCATCATGCGCTCCATGACGAACACGCCCGGGCCGAGCAGCTTTCTCGCAATCTTGCGGTGCTTGGGCTTCGGCCCTCTCCTCAGGGCGCCGGGGACGCTGATGCCGCCGCCGCGTCTCCGCTTGCCGTTGTGCCAGGTGCTGAACAGCGTCGAGTCGTGCCGCGGAGCATTGTGGCTGGCGAGATAGGCCGCCATGAGGAGCAGCCTGGCTGTCGGTGGGAGGAGAGCAGCCAGGTCGTTGGCACGAGCTCGGGGGTTCGCTTTTGATATTGTCTCTTTTGTGCTTGTGCTTGTGGTCGCCCTCGTCGTTATCGTCGTTGTCGTCGTTGTCGTGGTTATAGGTATTGTCGTAGATGTCGATGATGATGATAGTGTTTTTGAGGCCGATGTCGTTGACAATGCTGTGCCGTCCGTGCCGTTTGCGACCCTTGTGGCAACAACAAGCTTCGGCTCCAGCACGCTCTCGTCCTGGAAGTAAACCCTCGCCGCGATGAGGAGCTTGCTGAACTCCTTGGCTTTATGCGTGCCCGCGGCTACGGGGGCCGTGAAGCGAGGCCACAGCGCGGCACAAGCCTGCTGGAAGCTCGGCAGGGTGCGCGACGCCGAGCGGACCAGCGAGTCGTGGACCGCGCCCGTGAATCGCGTCCACAGGTCGCTGGTCTCCTGCTGCGTTGTATTGGGCAAGGGCGGAGGCGGCTGCAGGCTCAGGATCGCGGCATAGTCGGTCTTTGTGTACGGCGGGAAGTAGAGATGTGCGACGGCGGAGGTGCGCAGGAGTGCTGGGGCCGGCGCCGTGAGGATGAAGACGGTCGTTAGGCTGGGAATGATCTCGGATAGGCGAGCCAGGCCGGGCAGGAGCAGTGGGGGGGCATCGCGCTGGCGATCTATGGCGTCGAAGACGAGGACGAAGCGCCGTGGAGGGGTCGGCGTCTGTGTCGATAATGTTTGTTGCGGTGTCAATGGTGTGTTGAAGTGGCTGAGCAGCTTGCTGAGCTCGACGGTCAGGGCGGCCAGCGTCTCGCAGCTACCGAGCCTGCTGTCCCAGGCCAGAGCATCGGCAATGATGCTAATGGTGCGTTCATAGAGGTGCCGCGCGGTGACGCATTCGGTGGCCTTGACGACTGCATATCGAAGCTCTACGGAAGGGTCATCTCGCATGGCCGCCAGCAGGGCTGAGGTGACGGCCGTCTTGCCGGTGGCTTCGGTGCCATGGACGATGAGGTTGCGACAAGGAGCGGCCTGGGGGTACAGGAGTGTCGCCAGCGACCTGATCTGGGCGGCTCTGCAGGGAAAGCTGTCGGAGAGCGTCGCCAGGATCTCGTCGGGCAGCTGGAAGAGATTGGCCGTCATCGTGAGAGCTGCCGGGCTGGGCTGACGTTGGGATTGACGATGTCGCACAGATGGCTACAGTAAGTACCCAAGTAGCTTGTGATTGACGCGTCCTGGGCATAAATTGGAGAAGGGGGACGCGACCGTTGGGGTAAGCTACCCGGCATTCTGCTTATATCCGTAGGTACCTTGGTACTTGAAAAGTACAGGACTTAGGTAATCCACGGCCTGGCAGGCAGGCAGGCAGGCAGGCACATGTCGCTAATGCAACGGTTGCGGGACTAAGCAAGCATCCCTCAGGCTCAGGGATGACGACGTTGATTGCAGCCAGGCCTGGAGCCAGTATAGTGCGGCGTGGGGACTCTGCCCTATCATCTCAAAGTGTGAGCTTAACCCCCCTGGACAGGACAGCCGCCGTCCCGGAAGCCGAGCTTGGTAAGGGCTGACGGGTACTGCATGCCGTTGCCTGCTTCAAGCACAACGACGGCCCCCGTCTGGAAGGATGTCATCGATCCTACGAAGAGCCTCCTGAGCTGTCCCCATTCTCCTTCTTCGTCCTGAGTCGTTGTTTTGTAGCTCGACTTTGACTTCAGCCGCAACAACTCGAAAGTCGGCCCACATATACGTGCCGGCTCCGAATCGTGCCTCGTGTGCCGCGGTCTCACTGTGCTGCTCCGGAACTAGCCCCGCTCCCTCGTGGTCGACTTTGAGATCAGCCACCAGGATGAACAACGGGATGGATCTGCTCAACGCCCACGATGGCGGCGTCGACGTCGACTTCAGTAAGCTCAGCACCGCCGACGTCGACTTCACCCTGTTCGACGACTCGGCCATGCTCGATGCTGACCAGCTGCTCCTTTTCGAGCCCAGCATCGAGGCCGACGATGCTGTTCCTTCCATCCCCAGGCCGTATCACGCCAAACGCCCGCACAAGAAGTCGCGCGCCGGCTGCACAAACTGCAAGCGCCGCAAGGTCAAGTGCTCAGAGACGAGGCCGGCATGCCAGGCCTGCGTTCTGCGCAAGGACACGTGCGTCTATCCCAAGCCTCCACCAAATGTCACGCCTCCGACCACGTCTCTGCGCGGCAGCTCGTCTCCAGGGACCCCACAGAGCAAGGCTCTTGCCCTCTCGCCATCACACAGCAATCGAGGGGACCGGTCCCCGTCGGTCGTCAACATCGACCCGGCCGAGATCATCACCAAAGAGCCCCTCTTCCGGCCCCCCGGAATGAACGACATGACCGAGATGAAACTGCTCTGGTTCTACACCACAGAGACCTTTTCGTCGTTCTCTGTCGAGACCCGCCGCTCTCGCCTCATCGACGATGCCCTCCGGGTCAAGGTTGTGGAACACGCCTTCCAGTCCCCTTTCTTGATGCAGTGCCTGCTGGGACTATCAGCATTGCAGCTCCGAAGTCTGGGGCAGCCGATGACGGCTAAGAAAGCGGCAGAGTACTCGTCAAAGGCATTCGAAGGGTACCGCAGTGCCATACAGAACGCCGAGCCTGGCGACTATCCGGCTCTGCTAGCCGCCTCCCTGCTCATGTGCGCCCTGAGCACCGAAATGTTCCGCGAGCAAGAAAAGAAGCGACTCTGTGTCATCGACTGGATGACTGTGTGGCGAGGCATTGGCTTGATCGTGGACCTGATCACGCCCAAGTCCATCCACGAGTCGGGGCTTGCAGTTCTCTTCTATCGCCCACCGATAGACCTGGAGAAGACCTTCCGCTTTATACCCAACAACCTGTTGTTCATGGTGTCATCGATCACGCCGGACGACGCCGACTACCCGCATCAACAAGTCTATTACGATGCACTGAAGTACCTTGGCTCGTTATATATGGAACTCCAGCACGGCTTCAGCCCGATTCTCGACTTGCGAGTCATCACCTTCTTCACTTTCATTCCTAGGTTGTTCTTGCCCTTGGCTCGGGAGGAACGCCCGCGGGCCCTGATCATCCTGGCACATTACCTGATCTTCACCAAACTCAACACAAACGTCTGGTGGATGCAGGGCCTCGCCGACCGCGAAATTGAGGAAATATGCCACATAGTGGGCGATGAGCGGTCGCACCTGACGGCCGTGCCCAGGAAAGTCCAGCTGGCCACGGACAAGGTCGAGATTGCGCGCATCATCATTGACAACCACAACTGGAATCCGACCGAGCAGGACTTCGTCAACCGGCTGAACAGGGACCCACGCACGGCGACGCTGGCGCTGATCAACGATGAGGGCAAGAAGGTTCGGATCGAGGGCAACGCGTGGGTGTTGACCACCGACTCCGAGGCCGTTGCAGAGGCCCTCAAGTCTTCGCCGGACAAGCTCAAGCCGTGTTTCCCGAGCCACGAGCGTCTCAGTGATGGGCTAGTCACCGAGCTGCCAGCGCAGACCCCACCTTCTCCGACACCGCAGTTTTTGCAGGAAACAGCGTCAGCGTCGTCTCTCGTTGACAACTCTCTGCCTATTGAGGTAGTAACTCCCTACAACAGCCGCTTCGCCGACGAAGCCAGCACCCCAGCATGTGTGGAAGGTGGGGACCTTTCATCCTATAAGCCTGGCCTGGCTGCCTATACGAATAGCAACAACAATAGCCCTGGCGTCGGCAGCAGTCCAGAAAGGGAGGATGGTATACTCGCAGCAACAGCGTCATCTACACTCCACGCTTATAGTGCCAGCCCAGCAGGATCCGCCATCACACCGGGGTCGTCATTACACTCGCCTGCCTCTGCCTCGTACACGACGCCCAGTTTACCGCTGAGTGATAATCAAAACAACGGCGACATTGACAGGGGCACAGCAGAAGAGAAATGGGCGCTGATGGGCAAGCTTGACGGCCGCAGCCGGGACCTTGGCGAATTCGTGCGGCTCGCGAACAGCGAGGATGACTTGCTCAGCAAGCAGCTCAACATATGATGTGAAGGGTGCGTGGATCCTGTGTAGTCTTGGGGGCGGCTTTTTCCCAACCCATCATTGCGGACGTTGTGCGCAGTAGACGTCCAGCGAGCATGCGTGTCAGCGATTTATAAGATTGTTTGTTCTGGGTTTGGGATATGGCGCAATTTGGTGTCATTGCTTGCATACCTGCTTTTTTTCTGTGATGCCGCCCTCTCTCCCAGCTCGCCTTGATTCGCGGACCAGATCAGGCAGGATTCCTTTCACAGGGACGTACAGCTATCCTGAGTCTGGACATTCATATATACCCCCCTCTCTTGCCCTTCACCCTCCTTCCGTCACTTATATATAGCTACGAGCATGTATGGGTTTGGTTGTCAGGATGAGAATATCGAATGGATGATGACCCCTGCTGCACTTTGACGGCATCGGACAACCCGGTTTTGCTTCCCAATATTCGCTCGAGGAGCAGTCACGTTTTCAAGAGAATTGTACGCTAGTCATGACTTGCAACAAAAGTCGCAGACGAGTCATTGCAGCTTCTTGTGAAGTTCCACACGACTCATTGCCCTGCAAAAAACAACGTAGCAGAATGGCTCAGAATCGTTGCATATGTATTGCTAGAGGAGAAGAAAGGCAAACGCGTAAAGCTACATGATCGCTAATCACAAGCTCTCCGTATGAGCTCGCCATGTTGTTCTTCTATTGCTACATCTTATTTTTGCACAGCCTAAGCCCTGCAATGCTCAAAATCCCACAGACGCCTACGGGCATCATGATTCATGGCCCAACAATTCACTCTCGGGGAAACTTGTACTTTGTGCCAGGCGGGTGCTCCTCGGCGCGGAACTTGCAAAACGGATGGACACAGACATTATTTACCACACTCGGGCACTGGTAGATGTATGTTAACTCCATGTAGGCTTAACTGCAGAAGAATGAAACCAGGCGCAGCAATGACTTACATGGTGACCGTAAATACAGTTGTCCACATCACACTCCTGACCGCTTGTGCATGGATTGAGCCGCGCCAGGAACGCAATTGCATTGAGCTCCTCCTTGTTCGGTTTGTAGTTGTGCTCAAAGCAGCAGTCATCACCCTTAGTGCAGGGACCACGGAGATAGTGATTGTTACACAACTTGCTGCTCTCTTTCCTCTTCTTCACCGTGTCGAGGACGCTCTGGTTAAGCGGTATTGGAGCATCCAACCCACGCGGACCGGGATTCCAGTTCGGCTGCGGCGGTGTCTTATTCGCGCTCACAGAGCGAGCCGGCGCCGCGGTCTTCAGCGGGATTGGCAACGTGATAACAGGCGGCGGTGTGGCTTTTCGTGTTATGGTCGCCCAGGTCATTGGTGCAGAGGTGGCCGCCGCCGGTATTGACGCGGGCGCGGCCGGGACCGACTCTGGCGTGGAGACTGCCGCCGAGGAGCTAGATGTATTTGACCGGGGAGGAGGTGGTTTGTCGGCTGGCGCGTCAGCACGGAAGATCCTGTCGAATGCTATGATGTTGACGCCCGTGGACCTGATCTTTTGATGTGTTGGTTGGCCTTCGAGGACCGTGACGCGTTTATTGAGTTCCTCCTCGGCTACCACGCCCTCGATGAAAGGCGTGAAGCCACGATCATGTGATACACCAAGCAAAATCTGCTTACAATCCGAGTCTTTTAGGTGCCACGAAGCAGAGTCTAGAGATACAAGCCGTGTGAGCGCATGCCAGAAAGAGCGTCAAAATGTCGGCCACATGGAGCGTAGCATACCGGTCAACTTCAAGCGAACTTGATCGCCATGGTCACCAACGTCAATAAAGTCGAACGATGTTTCTGCTTGAGAAAACCCGAGCATGAACTCGCGAACACACCCGGCACTGCTGGCGGAGCCACAGCTTCGAAGCAGCCGACTAAGTCCTACGGCATCGACATATATCTTGGTAATGACTTTGATCTCGCCTGTTGTGTCATTGCACTGCGCGGCAATAACATTTCGTAGGTCTATCGCGGCCTGAGCGCCACCCTCGCGACCTAGTTTAACATAATCCTCTTTGAACTATGGATGTCGTTAGTGCCTTCCCAACATCCTGCCTCTCAGTTTCCATAAATGACTTACAAGCAACCCATTACCATCGAGCAGAAGGACAACATAGGGTTTCCGGCCCTGGTAGTTTCATGTCAACTCGGCGCAACAAAGTACATATGGGAAGCAGGTCTCAATACCTGGGATTCACCCTCGTCCTGGGAAACAAAACCAGCACGGGCCTCCGCAGTAATAAGGCGTTGTTGTAAGTCACGGCGGGAGTTTGTTGCATCCTCCAGGTCAAATTTTGCCTCTTGAAGTTGCCGACGCAGGTCTGCATTTTCTTGCTGGAGCTTCTTTTCAACCTGATCGGCATAGATCATAAGATCCTGATTGGGATTAAAAGTCAGCAATGACCATGGGCAGTCAAATGTAAGTGACCATGCCGGATTGCTGTCGCTCCCAAAGTGGGGGCTGCCCATGGGGCGTCGGACTGTGGAGTGAGCAGCCAGAAGTGGATCGTCGGGGCTATCCTGGAGTACAGTACCACCATGCATGCATGGACAGGGGAGTCGAGGGTACGTCACGGGGACAGTGAGACACACTTACTTTGACAAACTGGTGGTGCTGGCTTATCTCGAGCTCAAACTGCTGATATCGTGGAAGGAAGTCCATTATGCCGCTCATAGTTGCGGGTGTGGGCAAGCTCGACAGCCTCGCCAGTGGTGTATGAAGTGTAAAGTATGTCTGCCACGGAATGGTTGTGTTCTGACCAGAGCCCAAGCCTGCTTGTGTACGGTTCTATGATGTTCGTGTCTGGGACTCGAGAAGCGACTTCTCAAGCACAAGAAGTGCAGACTGGTTTATATGGTGACCGCAACCGCCGCCGTGTCATTGAAGCAGGGAACGTTTGCCAGGGGCCACCAAGGTCAATATTCCGCCTGCTCGCACCTCCCGCAATGGAAGGAGCTTTGCGTGAAGGCCGGGGACAATTATCGATCTGTCTTTGCGTCGGCTGATCAACAGCTGGTTCGTAGGTGGTGCCGCGGCGTATCAGGCTGGTTGCTGCTGGAGCGGTGCTTTGTGAAGTGCTTGTGAGGAAGCGTACGAAACGGTCCGGAGTAATGATTGTCAACAAGTCGGGTGGCAGTTGCGAGACAGTCGACGTCAAAGGGGAGGGTGAGGTGCAAGCAAGGGCCAGAGAGGCGGCGGCGGCGGCCTCAATAGCAAGCTGTTTGTCGGCGAGATCGGAGGGTGCCCAGGGTCCTGCGCCACGGGTCTCTGAGTGGCGTGTCTTGCTTCTTGTCCGGCCGCGTCGTTGCCCGAGTTGGGGCTTGCAGAGGCGGGTTTGTCGTCTTGTCTCGTCTTGTCGCCGTGCCAGTCGGATCAAGGCAGGGATTGAGTGCTCGCGCCGGCAGCCGCTTTGATCGTGGGTGACCGAACGAGGTGAGTGATGGTCTGAAGCCAGAACCAGGGCCTGGGCCTGGGAAAATTAAACTGGGGATTGGCTGGCCTGCCGTGCGCTTAACAGTTGAGTCGGGTGGTTTGCGCGCGCGTTCGCGCTAAGTGTGTCAAACGCGTGCAAGTGCACCTGCCCTGCATCCGCAGCAGCTTGCTGGTGGGACCCTGGAGGGCGGCTGTGACGTCGCCTCAGGCAGGCCCTGTCAACAGTGAGTGTCAAGCTCCAGCAAGCACCGTAAGCAAGCACCGGCTTTTTTCAGTCTTCTACGACTCCTTTTATCGGCCTCTGTCTCTGTCTTCATCTTTGACAGACTCCAAGGTCCGTTATAATCTTGGTCAACTGAGGGGTTTCAGGAACAGCTAACAGCCAACCAACAACCAGCAACTGCTTTCCGTCAACCGAATTGTGTTGGCCAGTCGATTTCAGCCTCGCAGGATTCCGAAACCTGCAGGCGGGTCGCGCCCCGCCCCCAGAGCAGCTTTCCCGTCCATCTGAAGTCGCCGCTTTTGTTAGCTTGCGTGTGCCAACAACAGGTAGCCGCCCACCAATCCGCGGGCCCGGCGGCAACGACTCAATCTCTCGCTCCCCCTCGTCACCTCTGCATCTGCCCTCCAAGTCCGCAATCACTGTGGCCCAGCCATCCTTAGCTGGAAGCACCCGGCCGTTGGCCAAGCAATCTCAGCGGCGTGTCAGTCGTGGTCATCACCAGGATTGCCATTGCTCGGTTGACTGAGATGCCCCATGTTTCACCTTGAGGGAGATGCATGCCTGTAAATCATCAATTGAAACACCCTGTACGCCAAGACGCCGTTGCGACAATGTCTACAAATTAGCACCCTTCCCATGCGATTCTTTGATCCATCCCACGAGACTTCTCCTTCTATGCTCGCCATGGTGTGAGATCGCCAGCCGCATGGTTGCGAGCAACAAGCCTGTACAAAACCCTAAACAGGAGCTCCTGATAGAATGATCGTGCAAGGCCAAGCCACACTTGCCATCAGCTCTGCTCGATCTCTGCAATCTGTAGCACCATCTCCCGCTTTCCCTTGCCTCGCCATGATTCGTGGGGGCTAGCCATGTTCATAGCATGTACAAGTCTACTCCGTCTTCCGCGCCGCCGCCCTTCTCGCCTTGATATCTCCTTCGGCTAGCCACTTGCTTGCTTTGACGAGCTGGACAATATTGAGGAATTGCTTGACAGCCATGACGGGGAAGCTGATGCCAGCCAGGATCCACGGGATCTGAGAATCCATCTTGTTGATGCGGGCCATTTCGAGAGCTGCCGCACTGTATGGGTTGACAAATAGTTGACGGAGCGTCGAGCTGTTAACTTCTGCCCCGGACTGAATGGCCGCGGCCTTGGCGTCTCCGACGCTGCTGAGCAGCTGCGGCGAAAGCAAAGGCGACGAGAAGGACAGGAGATACAGCGCGATGAAGAACAGCTCGTTCAGAGCACAACAAACAAACAAGACAGTCTAAAAACAGATATTTAGCTCTAGAATCCAAAAAAGACATTGCTGCCTTTACATACCTTGTTTGTGTAGTAGAGGTTGAGAAGCCAGCTCCTTGACTTATCCACGTTCTTGTGGCTAGTTTCAGAGCCTCCCATCGCCAGGGTTGCGTACATGTGCATGTAGTGACTGGCAAAGTCGAGCGAGATGAGTGACTGGAAGACGATCGCCCACCGTGGGAAGGCAGAGGATAAGAAGACGAGCAAGCAGGATGTTGTGCAACGGTCTGTCACCATGTCCAACACGGCACCGAATTTGGTCGACTGGTTATAGTATCGCGCGGCGTAGCCATCGAGGGCGTCGAGTAGGCACGAGACGCTGTACAGCATGGAGCAAGTGCGTGGGTGCAGCGGCATGTAGTACAAGGAAGCGATTGCGAGGACAATGCGGACGTAGCCTGGAGAGTGGTTGTGGTTAGCAGCAGCTTCTCGTACATGAAGGAGCAATGACGACATGCCTATGATGTTGGGCCAGAACAGGAAGATGTTCTCTCGGGGCTCTGATCGCGCGAGCACCGCAGATGCGTTATCAGACGTTGCCGCGATACCGTTGCTGTTTTCTTTGGTGGTAGGCGAGCTTTCCGCCGTGGGCGTGTCATCTATGATGCTTGTTTCTCCTGCGTCGGTCGCCGCGGCCATCGCCGCTTGGCGTCTTGTTTGTCTTGTCGACATTGGAAGCGACAGATTCTAGGATCTCGTCCTCTAGCGACAGGGGATGCGAGGGAGACAGAGACGGGACAGCCGGAGGCCGGAGACTGGCTGCCGTGGAGCTGGTTGTCGGAAGCTTTGGCTCGAGGGGCGCTCGAAAGTGCGCAGGTTGGGAGACCAGATGCTGCTACGACGGTCGGCCTGCTGCTTTGATGGTGCCTAACTGCGAGCGGCGTGACCGTGAGGGGCTTGGATCGCGGAAGCGGGATGTCAGACAGAGATAACGAGGGTGCTTGGTCGCGGAGGTGTTCAGGGGTCTGCCTGGCAGCGCAGCCTCGTTATCGCCTGCTTCTGGAAGGAACCTGGCGAGCTGGGACTTGGGGAGCTGAGCTCCTGCTGGAGCAGGCAAACTTGACACGTGCAAGAGCCCAGCTCCGTCGACTGCGAGTGGGGCCCTGCAGCTTCCCACTTCGGGGGAAACCGTGGCGTACTTGCCATATTATGGTATTAGCTATTAGCTGTCACCACTTTACAGCCCGTTTTCCGAGGCCCACATCTAATTCCACAACTCGCCCCCACCTCACAACTACATACAACGAGAGGGCCTTCATGATAACGAAGCTGAGCGTCATAACATCATAACATCATGCCAATAACTCTTCGTGCAGCGAATGGGGTGTCAGCTTTGGAAAGGTGATGGTTGTCATCTTTGACGACCCTGCTGAGGATCTCGGATTCCCAACTCGGCCAAGACATGCACCTTCATCGACACCATCAGACGGATACTTGTGGCTCCTCCCAGTCTCTCAGGTCCATCTCGTCGCTGCCACGGTCGCCTTGTGCCCTGCTGTCCACCTTGGTTTGGTAAGGCGACAGCGAAAACAACGAGAACTCACGGGCTTTCTTCTCGGGCCTTCGATTCACATCCATAGGAGTTCCGCCTATCGTGTAGAGACACACGGCTTCATTCTGCTTCGGACCAGCACTGTGCGAGCCTTCAAGATTGGTCCCTTCTGGGGTCTCGCGAGGATTCGTGTCTTGTATCACCGCGCTGTCCACGCAGAAAGTGCGCGCTTTGCGCCATAGCAATTTCCACAATGGGAGACAGACTGGAATCCCGACACAAACCAAGGTAGTAGTTGCCTCGATATGTGACCATATGATGACGGCGATCGGAACATCTCGGCGGTCACGGATAGCAAAAACGATGGCGGAGTAGAGGCGAAGCACTCCTGCAATCGCCGCCCTGTAGCAGAGCTCGGCCGTCAGCGGCTGGTCGAAATGTCACATGTTGCCGACACTTACAAGATACCCAAGCCAAAACTGAAAGCGAGCAGAACTTTTTCCCTCCGCGGGTTAGGGAGCTTCCAGATAAATATCCATGCCAGCCCAACGTACACCATGTCGGCCAGGATGGTGGAGACTGTAATGGTATCTAGGTCAGCCACTCGCAACAGACCATCATCGGACGTGGTTGCTGCGTTTCGGAGAGGACTCACCAGCTAGTGCCGCAGTGACAGGCGTCGAATCGATACAGGTCGCGTTTTTGATCCGATCGTCCCACATTAATGCCACTGGGGTGCAGGAAGCCCAGGTGAGGATCGTCGAAACTGTGATCACCACAACGAGTATTGCTTAGTTACTGGACCAATACCCTGGGGGGGCATTCTTTGGATTACCGAGCGATAAGATGGCCATGATGATGATTACAGTCCATAGTGAAACCTTGTGCCATGGTTTGGCAACCAAGCGCAGCAGGAACAACCCAACAGGCGCTTTCGAAGTGCCAGTCGCTAGCATGGCTACCGATTGTGCGACAACTCGCCAGAATGTCATCTCTGCCTTCTCAGCGAGGCCGAGATTATCTCTTCCGAAGCTATGTAAGCATGCGATTGTAATGAGGACCACAAATATGACCATGAGAATCTAGGCCGAGCATGAGCACCGTCATCAGCTGCAGAAATAAAGTTTCCGAAACAGGCACCCACATACACACCGTCGATATGATGAACAATGTGTCATCAACCCCATAGGAAGCAACACAGACAACCCGGGTATAAGTGCGAAGCCCAAGAAAGACCAGGAGAACGGCCGTCGTTCCCCACAACACCGAAACGCAGAAGGGTCCCTGTCCACCTAAGTTCGACATCTTGGGCTTGCAAAGCGTCGTGCAACTCTTGCCCCGAGCACCATACTGCACAAACTATCAGGAGCCGTCGTGCATGTTCAGTAGGCTTGAGCTTCGCCTACCACAAATAGGCAAACATTTGCGAGAAAACATGTCAGGAAGACCCTCCGCAGCAATTTGCTCGGCTCGCCAACCGCCGATATGAACCAGGTAGTGGTGGCTACCCTTCGATTTGTGAAAATCGCCCAAAATAGGAGAGGGAGGCATGAGTCTCGAAGACCAATCGCCGCATCAAAGCCAGAATAATGACATCAGGAAGTGGTTTTGTAGCAAACATCGTGACCCTTGGCGGAGCTCTAGAGAACCACGTGAGCGAAAAGCTTGGCTGTGCCAACAGGTGTCCCCTTGGTTCATGCTTGCAGTAATTAGGACGATCGTGCATTTGCAGCAGTTTGGATGATTTCGGCACAGCCTCGGGTCAAGATTCTGGGTGACAGGTGGTACTTAGGTAGGCACCTACAAGCATGAAGAAGCTGATATCAGCACTACGCGCTACTCTATGACAGGCGAAGTTGCTATAATTCCGCAACACCTTCAGCCTCCGCCTGCAAGCAAAATAATCTCAGGTGACACGTCATTTTACATTGGAGTCGTTGTGTTGCCAGCTGAGCGACTGCATCCAGTAAAGACCAACGCCACAGGTAGATCATTGAAAGGCAGGGGACATCGCAGGGTTCGCAGAGGAGGGCAAACACATGAAATTTGGCCCTGATAAGCAAATCTTGAGATGCCATCGACCACACCATCAGCTTTGATAAGAGATTTCCCAGATAGAATCCGCATCAATTTTACAATGCAAGTCAGTGTCACTCCCACGGACCACCATTATCCCCCCCTCCCCCAGGACCCTTGTGTGCATGTGATAGCAAATAAGGTGCAAAGGCCCAGCCGTTGGGTGTTCGAGTCTTCGTCGCTCTCTTCACCATCTTGCAGCCTGTTCGCAGTACCATAAATGACACGAGAAAAAACATTCGCAGTGGCTAGTGGGCAATTCCCTGGAGGCAACTTTTGGATCTCAAGTATAAGACCAGTCGCATTATTGAAGAGAGGCAACTTGCTCCATGGATATGCTTTGATGTCTGATTGGGACACTCATGTTGAAGAAGTACCGCGGGTATGAGGATCTGTGTCCGAGACTCGAACGTCCCTTCGCCTAACTGCTCCGTTGGGACTCGCACAACTATCGGGATTGGGAAAAGCTGATCAGTTCACGGGGGGGAGTGTCCATGAGACCACAGATCGGGACAGTGAAACCAACAACAGAATAATCTCTTGGAAAAATCAAGGCTTGCAGATCATCCCCAATGTTTCTCATGGGGATGTAAACTTCCCCTTCTTGGCGCCTTTGTCCACTCTGATGATTCCATCATTCTTGTTGCCGTAGCGATCTTTCCAACATGATGTCACTCCAAGTAGTATTGTTCTTTTCTAGGAACGCCACACATGGCGCGAGGCAGACGCAACTACTTTTCCATCCGCGCCGTCTGTTACAACTCGAGACCGAACCATTGGCTCTGCTAGTACGTATCTACCATAGTAGAGTTCGAATCCTTCGCCAAGGCGCGTGGGAACTCTTTGGAGACTAGCCTGGGCTGGGCCGGCATGGATAACCCAGATAAACTCCCTCGGGTAGCCTGGTATCTGTCTGCTTGTAAATCTGCTGCTGCTGACAGCTCGGGTTTTCGAGAGATATGGCCTCCAGCACTTCTGGTCGCGCACCCTCAAGAGACATGACTCTTGTCAGTACGCGGAGAGCGTATCGAGTATCTTCGACTTGTGGGCGCGGAAGCATCGACCCGTCAACAACAGGGCCGATGAATCGTCCGGCTGCCGGAGCGGGGAAGATCGAGAGTCGAAAGCTTGGTCAAGGTGTCTGCTGGTAGTGGATGCTACTTAAAGCCTCCCTGGCCCCCAAACCCTGGCAGGGTTCACATGCATCATGGCCTGCAGCTCGCTTCTCTCGAGCTTACCGATTGCTCCGCGCGAATCATCGTCGACCATGCGAGCAGACACTTCCGAGTCGAAGCCCTCGCAACTACCAAGAATCTCGATTCCCAAAACCCCCTTATCTGACCTTGTGATCTACAGGCTAGCCAGCCAGCCAAAGCAATCTGGCACCACGAAAGAGCTGCCCCATTTGGGCGAGGCACTCGAATCGGACGCTGAGTGGCGTTGTCCGTGTGATATGTCATCCCCCAAAGGACAGAGCTTACGAGGGGCGACGGTGCGCTGCTTGCTGCTGAACCTGTCTGACAAACCTCCAATGGGTCAGGTGGCCGTATTCATCCAGAATAGGACCACTGTAGAACAATTATTTGATAGGTCGAGGTTGACAAACGCCACGACCCGAAGCACCTGGAAATCATGATCGCATATCTCCTAAAGTCCATGGTGGTTGATTTTCCCAGGTTTGTTAGGTCCACCCCGACACTCGTCGGGCAACTTGGGAAGGACTTCGGTTGACAGCTTGATCTGTGTCATCCCGAGACACATCTCGATGCTTGCACAACCGGTGGAGGATGTCGTTCGAAGCCCATACGCCACCATTTGGATGTGAAGAAGAAGAGGAGCTCTACGGGTTAGCAACCTCAGGGTTTCTTCACGTGCGGCACTCTCTCGGCTGGTGTATCGGTTGACATGAAGGCCTATCAGAAGGGGACCTTTGAGCAATATAAATATGTGAAGGTGTCGGAACCTGGAAAAGGAAGAAATAAAGAAAAAGAGTCATGACACCGAGGCAGAAACCACGTCTTCTCTCGTGCTCGCACCGCGAGGACATATTGGCAAAGTCTAGAACCAGCTTGCAAGGCGGTGCCTGCCGAGACAGACGACAGACATGGCTGTGATTGCCTTGATTGGCATGAGCTCAGAGCTCATCAGCCTCAGGATTCTCCTCGGTCTACTTCCAGTTGTCTTCCTCACACGATTCTACGTCAGATGGCGACGCCTCCGTCACGTCCCCGGACCCTTCTGGTGGTCGATCACGCCAATACCCTTCCTGGTGGTTAATTTAAAAGGCATCTCACATGAAGCTCAAGATGACTTGGTCAGGAAGTATGGTGAGTCCTTTTTCTGGACTCTGCATGTCCAGTTTGTTCATAAGGAGGACTCGGTGGATGTGTCTTTGGTTGGCTATCACAAGAATACGTCCAAACTCTCTCGAGTACAGGCGTGTCTTCGCTGACCACCATCGCATCTAGGACCCCTCGTCCGTATCGGTAGGAACACAGTCCTCACGACGGACCACAAGCATTGCCAGAAAATGTCTGCCCACAAGTCAAACTATGAAAAAGGGCAATGGTATTCGAGCTTCCGCTTCCAGGTCGGCATCCATCACTCCTTTTCCGAAACCAATGAGCAGAAACATGGAGCTCTGCGCACGAAAATCGGCCCTGGCCACGCTGCAACACCTCTGGTCGTAAGTATATCAACTGTCGTTGACTCCCTTTGTGTCGCCTGAATGGAGGGCTGACCAAGGACTTTGCCAAAATTACAGGAGAACTCCATGGATCGCCAGCTCACACGCATGTTCAGCCTCGTGGAAAGGGACTATTTGAACCCACAGCACGCAAAACCTACGAAGCGCGTAGACCTGTCAGTTTTGACACGCTCTTTCGCGCTGGACACGATCGGGGACATGACGTTTGGTGCGCCGTTTGGATTCCTGGACGAGGGGGTCGACGTGTTCGGGTGGTTCAAGTGGAATGAAGATTTCTTCCCAGTGGCGTCGACATGTGCCACGTTTCCTGTCCTCGGAGATCTGTTCCAATTCTGGCCCTTCTCGTTGGCGCTTCCAACACGCAAGGACAAGGTCGGGTTGGGGAGATTCATAAGGTGAGCACCTTGCAGAGCACGGCCGCGATGCTGACGGCTTCATGATGTTACCTCACGGCAGCTATGGATCGGTCTGATCACCAAGTCTCCGCAGAGCCGCTGAAGACTCGCTCGATAGCCACTCGCAATCTGGCGCCTTGCCGAGACAGGACATGATAGCTCAGTTCCTCAAGAACGGTGCCTCTAGGACAGAAGCAATCAGCTCGGCGCTTATTCAAGTGTAAAGTCATACATCCGTCAGAGCTGTGCTTGCTCCACGGCCGTTTTATTGGATTCTGCTGACAACAATACCTGATCGCCCCAACAGCGTTGCAGGTACAGATTCCGTGGCGGTGGCCATATGCATGACAATGCTTCTTGTCTTCTCCAACCCATCAATCCACACCAAGCTCATGAGCGAGCTTTCAAGCGCCGAGCAAGCCGGACTCATCAGCAGACCACTGATCCGAGACTCGGAAGCCAGGCGCCTGCCTTACCTTCAGGCAGTGATTCGCGAGGGTATTCGCAAGTTCCCGCCGTTGACGCCGCTGCTAAGCAAGACCGTCCCCCAGGGAGGCGACGTAGTGTGCGGGCACCATTTACCTGCTGGGACTCAGGTTGGAGTACACGTGGTAAGTGCCTCCCCCTCCCTGGCTACCAGATAAGCCCATGGTGGAGTGTGCTTGTGCCTGGTCCCAAGACTGTGTCGTGGTGGGCTAACAAATATCGCTGTAACCCAAAATAGTAAGGTATCATGCACAGCAAGGAATGCTGGGGCGGCGACGCCGACACGTTTCGCCCGGAGCGTTGGCTCGAGGCTGATGAGGCCACGCTGGAGGACATGTCGACTTGTCTCGAGGCTGTCTTTGGATATGGCAGATACAAGTGCCTGGGCCGCGGGGTTGCGTTTATGGAGATGAACAAGGCTCTGCCTGAGGTAAGACTGCTGGTATATCGTGGTTCATTGCGGGTGCTTCGCACTGCTGACGAGTTTGCCATTCCAGTTTTTGTTGCGATATAACATCACGTTTTCCAATCCGACACGGCCTGTCGACGTTCTGTACAGCGCAGCATTCTGGATGATGCACGGACTATGGGCGTCAATCTCGTCAAGGGTGTGATGGTGTACACAACCCCGCGGCTCATGGACACCACACTTTGGACAGGGCTTCACTTGGTACCAGACCGTGGCATCTGGAGCCGAGGTTTATCGGATCGGGAAGGAATCGGACAAACGTCAAGATAGGAAGCCTTGGCTATAGAAGAGCTAAGAAGTGAATGCAGCGGTCTTAAGATTCCTCAGCCAAATGGCAGCTTTACGCGTGCGATTGTGGGATCTTGTCTTACAATGCCATCCCAGCACCCCGGAACGCCAGGAGAAGTTGCCGTGTTAGCGGGTCGGGATGTATGGAATGTCAGACAACAGGTAGAGAGCCTGGCAGTGGCGGGATCGGGGAAGAGACCCCGTGCCGCGTGAGTCGTGCTCCTGTCAGCCTCGGAAGCCAAAGGTCTCGGCACCACAGGGTCGATGATGGCCTTCAAAGCGCTGCAGCCCCAGCCTGCTGGTATCGCCCGTTGAATTAGAGCTCGCGGGATCTACAGGCTCCCCAGCACCTTGCAGGACGTTGCCGCCCCCAGGACGCTAAAGAGGACCCAACCAAGACTAGCTGCTTGACAGTGAGTCTGGCTGCGGCCTTAACTGGCACAACAGCTCCTGCAATTTGCGAGAAAAAAGCAGATGGTCCTTGACAGCTTAAGGCCGCCTCAGTCTACACAACATTGCCAAGTTGGACGGCCATCAGCGAGCTGGTGACTGATTGAGCTGGCCCACGTGGTTGTGCTCGCGGTGCCCAGACAGTTCGGCGCCGTGGCCTCTCTTGTGTCTCGTGAGCCATACCGGGCCACCTAGGCTCCGATAGTGGCACCTGAGAATGCGCCTTCGCATAGGACGAGTTGATTCGAAAAGCCACACAGCTCGAGGGCCGGGATGCTTGACACGGACTTCAGACACTGTCGTCGCTAGTATGGCCAGCTCGCCAGGGCAGCCTGGATCTAGACCTGGGCATGCGGTGGTGGTGGAAAGTCCCGTGCCCTGATGTGAGGAGTCGGAAACAATCGTACCATATTCCCCTCTTTGAGGTTCCGAGCTAGTGTACTGAGCCGACAGGCCTGGAGAGCCTTTTGGCACTGGCCAGACTGCCAGCTGAATGGAGCTACTAGTGAAGACCCTGCACGGCAACCGCGACTCGAAATCGGTGTTCACGGCTATTCTCCACAGCCGAAGACTTGGCATCAGCCCAGGCTCGCTTGTTGAGCCTCTGCCGTAGGCTCTAGCGAGAGGGCACCTGCAGAACGATGGAGCTAGGCTGTCAGGGGCTTGCATTGGCTCTCACGACAGCGTCGAATTGGTCTGCTGCAGGCCGTGCGCTAACGGCGTGCGCGGGTGCAGATCACGACCAGGGAAAGGGCCTCGACCGGGCTTGATTCCTTAGCCCCTGGCATGGTCTGGTCGTGCAGAATGCTGGCTCTGCGCGTATCTCTGCTGAGCTGGCAGGTGATAAACAGCTCATGACATAAGCAGTGGAATAATGATCAGGGATCGGCCATCGATTCACGAGCTTGAAAGTGTTTGTTGCTTGGAAGGGACGGTGTCCTGAGAGAGAAGCATTGCGTGCTCGCTCGATGGTCGCTGCTTGTTCCAGACTGGAACGAGAGGAGCAGCATAGGGTCATGCGCTCCCATCCTTTTAACGAACAAACGAGCGAATAACTGAACAAATGAATGCATGGGACATGTCATATTCTTAGGCCCAAGTAAGGTCGCTGTAGCGGCTGCCCTAGAGTACGCCGTGCCATGTGTCTGTTGGCGGAGTTTTGGACGTTTGCCACACTCGTGCGTTCGCGGATGGAGCTGGCGCTAGGCTCCGTATGATGCAGACTGTGATGATGGACCTGGAGCGTGCCAGTTGTTGCCAGTCCCGCCGTGAAGAACGAGACCCTCTTGAGTAGGCAGTCTTTGCTGTTGGTGACGATGTTGGGAGCGCTGGGCCGTCCTGAGTCCACATCAAGGGTGGTCGGCGTGACTCGCTCACAACCGCGAACAATTGGAGGGTTCGGCGGCGGGAATCAACCTTCTGGAGAAGCAGCCAGTGAGAAGCTCGAAAGGGTCGAAAGGGTCGACGAGGTCAACGGCGGGCTGGCTGATGTCGCAGGGCCAGCATGCGAGGCGTCATCGCCCCACCTGCTGCGCTGCACCTGGGCTGGGGCAGGAGCGTTGTTCGACCAGACAGGGTTGCTGCTGCTCCTGCCGCGCTGGTGTGCCGTGTGTGCAGCGCAGTGGGCAGAAAAAGGTTTGAGCTGCCAACGCGGCTTGCCCCGCCTCACTGAAATGGATGCTCCCGAGGTCACATCGGCAGCGGTGCCTGTCCTGTCCCCGGGCCACCCGCGCGACCATGTTCGCTTGAGGACAAATACCTTATGAGTTGGTTGCTCTCCAGGTCCTTCGAGTCGGCCTCGACGATTGACTCGACTCAAGCCTCTTGACCCTGCAACCCTCTCGCCCAAGCTGTGTTGTTTTATCGGACCCACCTCCGTCCTCTCACATACAGTACACACCACCACCGCGGCCAGTGTCCAAGCCTGACTCGGCCGCCTCGCCTGCCACGCCGAGCTGCTCAGAGGCCGGCCAGCACAGGCTGAGACTCGACTAGGCCGTGTGCGACCCGGCGATCTGGTCCCCAGGGAACCAGAGGGGCCCCGGCGCCGCGCTCCGACTCCTCTCGGTTTTTTGTCTCTCAACCCTGTCCAGCGCCGTCCTTAATCACACGCGCTGCGACAAAAAAGCACGGCTCCTGGCCTCGCCATTCTGCTTAAGTAGTCACGCGGCCTGCCTCGGGGGGGCACTTGCACAGCAAATCCCACCTCGACCGTCTCGCCCAGATCGCTCTCCGTCCCGCCGGTGCGCACGAACCCATCGTCAGAGGCCGACTCCGCTCAGCATCCTGGTAAATTTCCTTGCCCTGCCTGCCCTGTGGGACACCGCTCCGTGTCCACCGGCTGCCATTCTGCTTGCGTACGTGCACCTCCGCGCTTTCTTCACGGACCAACAGGTGGATGCCATGGAGGACCCCTCTCAAAGCGTCATGGTATGGCCCTGGCCAAGTCACCACCAGTGTGGCTCGCCTCGTATGATTCCAGGGCCACCTGGCGCCGGGCGGTCTAGGATCCCATCCCTACCCCTTCGCCTTTGCCATAATTGATCGTGGTCCTCCAACCTCCGGACAGCCGCATGCTTGTCCTTCTCCCGTTCTTTTCGCTGACATCATTTTGCTCCACCGCCTTCAGGGTCTACTGCTTCGGTTAACTTCAGTCGCCTCGTTTGACCATCACGTCAATCACCTATCTGCATTGGGTCGCTGTATATCGTCAAAAAGAACCCCCTGCTGGGCTAGGTCGTCGTCCGATCTTGCGACAGTAGAGCAATCGCTGCCTCAACATTGCCGACAAGCCTCACACCGTCCATTCTCCCATCTTCGAACTCTGTCACAATGGGCAACCAAACGGACGCTGTCAAACACTCGACGTTCGAGGCAACATTTGCCGAACGGGCGAAGAATGCATCCCATCCACTTACCAGCTATCTGCTGCGGCTGATGGAGCTGAAGCAGTCCAACCTCTGTCTCAGTGCCGACGTGACCTCGGTCCGGGAATTACTCAACCTAGCCGACAAGATTGGACCCTCGATCGTGGTCCTCAAGACACATTACGACCTCGTTTCAGGATGGGATTTTCACCCCGAGACCGGCACCGGCGCAAAACTCGGTGCTTTGGCCAAGAAGCACGGCTTCCTCATCTTCGAAGACCGCAAATTTGGAGACATTGGCAATACCGTGCAGCTTCAGTACACAGCAGGTACGGCGCGCATCATTGACTGGGCGCACATTGTCAACATCAACATGGTCCCCGGCAAGGCTGGCGTGACAGCCCTTTCAGAGGCGGCTGCCAAATGGCGGTCTCGAGTCAACTACCAGGTCCGGACATCTGTCAGTGTCGGTACACCCTTGTCTGAACAATTCGACGACGCCGAGGAGAGCGCCGAAGTGCAGGCGGAGAGGAGGGAAAGCCTCTCGCCGTTGGAGGCTCCGTCGTCAGGATTCTACCGAGAGCAGGACGGTCGAAAAGGTAGCATCGTGTCCGTGACGACAGTCACCCAGTCGTTTGAGCCGGTTGATTCACCACGTTTCCCCACCGGCACCGCGCAGGGAGACGAGCTGTTCTATGCTGGAATCGAGGAGCCTCCTTTCGAGCGCGGCTTGCTCATTCTCGCGCAGATGTCGAGCAAAGGCAACTTCATGAACGCCGAGTACACGCAGGCATGTGTCGAGGCTGCACGAGAGAACAAGGACTTTGTCATGGGTTTCATCTCACAAGAGACTCTCAACACCGAGTCAAGCGACAGCTTCGTCTGCATGACTCCTGGTTGCCAATTGCCACCCGAAGGCCAAGAAGAGAACGGTATTGTGGACGGCGATGGTCTGGGACAGCAGTACAACACCCCCACGAAATTGGTGGGATTGTGCGGCACCGATATCATCATCGTCGGCCGTGGTATAATCAAGGCGAGCTCTCCGCAAGCTGAGGCTGAGAGATATAGGAACAGGGCCTGGAAAGCGTACAGGAAGCGCACGGGGCAGGAATGAAAACCAGGAAACTGCTGATGTACATATCAGAGACGATCACAACGGGCTGAGCTTATCCGCGACCACCGAGGTCCTGAGACGCGCCAGCTCATGCCGACATCGAGGAAAGGCATACGGCCAATCCGAGGTGCACTGTTAAGGTAGAGTGGGTTCGTCATGCTGTAAGCCCAAGAGCCAGTCTGTACTTTGTCAAATTGTATGTGTAAAAGGGTGCCTCTGAGCCGAATGGTGATTTTCCTGCTGCAACCAGTGATGGGAGAGTTCTCAACCACACCGACAATGGCTGTCCGAATCGACCCGCCAATGCAATGCTATCGCTACTGGCCCAGAGCCGATTGGGTTTTGCTGACGAGGCAAGCATATCTGCTCGACATGCTGCTAACCCTTGAGGTCGGCCAAAAGTGCCTGCTTAGTGTAGGTAGCGTCCCTTGAAAGGTCCAAGTGGTTCTGTCTCGGAGTCGGCAGGCGGGGAAGTTGGCCGTGCAGCCGGAGTGGCGACCCCCCCACGAAACGCACGCAAGGGTGGGTGGGCATCACCCTCGACTCACCTTCGCTGCACCCGGCCCTCAGGAAGGCACCTGCGCGCCGATAACTCCACTCAGCAAAAGCCGTTGCCAAACTGCACCCTGTGGGCGTGCTGCAACGCAACGTCAGCAGCGAATGCATCCCGTCCATCACTCTCGAGCCTCTGTCGCACGCATGATCGCATGCGGCGCCAGCTCCAGTCTCTGGCTGAGCCCCAAAACTACTCGCGTCCAACAGTACCTTCCAAGGTTAGCACGAGACAAAGGAGCGGGGGAAGGACTCCACTCCTAAGTCTCCAGACCAACAATGTCGGACCACGACGCCCGGTCGGAGCCGGAGGAGGACGACACTGGCCCTGTGGCAACCGAGGAGGCGCCCTCCAAGCCGCCACCGAGAAAGCGCCGGCGGCTTGTCATCAGTTGCACCGATTGTCACCGCAGGAAGCAGAAGGTCTGTCCTGTCTAGCTTGATGATTCCTCGAGCGATCACTGATGAGCTGACCTCTTGGACAGTGCGACCGCGGACTGCCATGCGCCAACTGCATCTCGCGCGGCAAGGAGAGCTCGTGCCGCTACGAGACGGGGAAGCCCGTTGCTCGAGCACACACCGGACCTTCTGGTGAAAGGCCACCTGAAGGCACGAGCCGCACGGAACGGGTCGTCGATCTGGGCTACACTCATCAGAATGGTGCCTCGACTCTGGACGTTTTGAGGAGGATCGACAATGCCTCGGATGGCGAACGCCTCGCAAGCCTGGCCGCCGAGCAAGGGACCAGTAGCGCTGGTGTCCGCGAGCGGTACAAGGCGCTGATACGCCAGTTGCCGGCCCGGACCTATGTCGAAGACCTTGTCGGTTTCTACTTCCAAGACATCAACTGGCAGTACTTTGGCGTGGACGAGATCATCTTCCGCGAGCTCATGGCAAAGTGGTACAGCGTGCCCTTTGCCGTCTTCGCCAATGTAGGACCTCAGGGCCTTGAACCTATGCTCCGAGAGTTCCCCGCGCTCGTGTTTGAAATGTCTGCTTGTGCGCTGCTATACCTGCGCCAAGACCTCTTTGAGAAGTTTGAATCGCTCAAGTACGCCGACATGACCTTTGACGATCTGGCCATGGACTACAGCGAGTCCGGCGCTGCAATACTGTCGCTTCTGGGCAAGCGGCAGATGACACTGATAGCACCGCTTGCTGGCTGGGTCCGCGCCAAGTTTCTCAAGAACTGCGGCATGGTCACAGAGTCGTGGCACCAGCTTGGTTCAGCTATTCGCGATGCTCAGGAAATTGGCATGCATCGGGACGAGAAGGACCCTCATCCTGGTCCCCACGATACGATTGAAGAGAGCCTCGAAAAGTTATGGATGGGCCAGGCCCGCAGGCGAATTTGGATCACTCTGCTGTCTTGGGATATCCACATGGGCTCTGTCCTCGGACGCACTCCTCAGTGCGATCTTGGCACCGTGAGCGTGACGCTGCCCGTGGACGTAATGCCGAGCACAGAAGGCCGTAGGATGCCCTTGATTCCGCGCCCGGATGACACACCGCCCACGCCACTGACACGATCAATCTGGTCGTTCAAGCTTATACAGCCACTCCGCGACATCATCGGATTGGAGAAGCAGGGCCCATTTCCCAAAGACTTCTCCCATGTCGACAGGATACAGCGGTCACTGCAGGAGATGGAGGCACAGATCCCTGCCCCGCTCCGAATGCACAATCCTGATACGAGATTTGACCATCTGCCAGAGTGCCGGTGGTTACCATTGACGCGGCCGACTCTGCCACAGACACTGCACTTTGGCAAACTCGCGCTGCATCGGCCATACATCTTCACCCGGGCCAGCAGCCGACTGGAAGCACTGAAGGCCAGTTTTGGCATGTTAGAGGCCCAGAAGCAGTATTTTGCCGTCCTCAACCCGAGTCACCACCGCATGTTTTCGCTGTTCTACGGGACATTCGACGCGGTAGTGATGGTGGCATCGATATTCATCCTCTTCCCGCGCGAGCATACCGAAATGTTCGACGAGGCCTTGCAACATTTCGAATGGGCCAGCGACCGATTCGAGAAAATGGCCGGCCGGAATCAGCTTGCCCGTTCGGCGACGAGCGTGCTCAACACGCTCCACATGCGACTGAAGCGTATCGGGCAGGCTGACGATCGGATGCGAGCCGCCTGTGACAGCCGCACTCGCAAAGGCAAGAAGCAGACGGGCAATGGTGTTTCGGCTACAGTTTTGCCTATAGATGAGCCAACGCCTGCACCTAACTCGGAGGTGTCATCATCGTCAGCGAGCAGTGGATTGACTAGTAGCGCCAGCTCCAACACGAGCCTCACGCCGGGCAGTTCCATCAGTAATATCGGAGGGAAGGGGCCACTGAGAGAATCTGGAGCAGATGGCCAGAACGGGGGAAGCGTGGCCAACGGCGGCAGTCATGACATTGGAACCGGATTCGACATTTTTGGCAGCACAGACTGGTCTCTGCCAGCAGACTTCGATCTTGGGTCGATCATTCCAATGTATCCCATTGGAGATCTTGCTATGAACGATCTGACTGGTTTCTTCGGCGACACCGGAAGCCATACGACATCAATGGGCTGGGCTGCCACTGGGCCCGCCGGCGCTGATCTGCTCGCCTTCGACCAACCACAACAGATTCCGACGAATGGCACACATTCCACCATAGAGAATGGCGGTTCAAGCGCACCCAATGTCGTGTCCAACATAATAAGTGGGAACTACGAGACGGGCATTTCGGGACACCCAGCCCAGGGTCGATACCAGTCCCAGTCCGGGAACGGAGACGCTCCCTGGCAGTTTGGCGGTGATTTTGGGAATGACACTGTTTGGAACTTGTTCAATCAGATTCCGTGGCCGGCGAATTCTGCGTCGTCTACGACATCTTGAGTGAATAGATGGGTGTTGGACACCAAAAGGTCATCTGGGAAAACGTTGTGGGTCCAAATCTGGTGTGTGAGTGAGAGCAAAAATGCCTGCGGATAACATCCCAGTGGAGGGCAGCTTTAGACAGAATCGTCGTGTACGGGGAGGCTTCAAAAGCACCGACCAAACAGCAATTATATGCCGTAAGCACATGGTTCGGATCGTTTCCAGCCACGTGCCGTTCTATTCAAGGCAATATCCCAAAGGCATCTCTGGTCATACCCGCAACTGTCTCACTCACCGTGAAGCCGCGGTCTTGCCAAGCATCAACTTAAGAAGCAAATGCCGAGGTTCAGGTGCAGCTGTGGTGTAATAATGCGGTGGCTAGCATCTCGTCCCGCTACCAAGCACTGCGTTAAACCGTCGAATCTAAACGATAAACGTGCAACAGCACAGGCGAACTTGCATCAGCTGTGAATCATGTTCAGGAAGGAAGACAATATATCGCAGTAGGACCCTTGTGGGGGAGGGCACTACCGACCCATAGAGCACACAGTGCGATACGGTGCGCAACATACCCCACCGTAGCTCGCCCCACGATGTCACTCACGGTATCTGGCCCCGTCCAAACTCCCCCACCATCAATTCGCCAGACCACCACCGCCGGCACGTTTGGCGACAGCTTCGCCTCGACTCGACTCGACTCGACCTTCACGAAGAGCGGCTGCACGCAACAACAAGGACGACTGCGCAGACACACAGTCCTTCTCTACCGGCAGATACACAGACACAACGGCCCCGCCACAATGTCGCACCCACGGATAGAAGAGGTGTCCGAGAGCGACAGCGAAATGTCAGACCCTTCCGAGGGCGACATTGACGACTTTGTCGAGACCGACATCTTGCGCCAGATCCAGCCCAAGGCTAAGCCCGCCGCGACGTCACCTTCCCCTCCGTCATCATCACAACAACAACAAAGATCCCAGCAGGCCAACCCAATGATCAACCCGGCCAACCTGGGCCCTCAACAACCACAGATCAAGCCCGAAGACATCAAGGACTACCAGTGCCTGTACCCGTGCTACTTTGACGCAAACCGCTCCCGCGCCGAGGGCCGGCGCGTGCCGTCGTCGCTGGCCGTGCAGAACCCGCTGGCCCGCGAGATCGCGACGGCCTGCGCGCAGCTGCGCCTGCAGCCCGTCTTCGAGGCGCACAAGCTGCACCCAAAGGACTGGGCGAACCCGGGCCGCGTGCGCCTCCCGCTCAAGGACCACGACAACCCGTTCGCCAAGCAGATCAAGAACAAGCACCACCTCTACGTCCTCGTCGCCAGGCACCTCCAGGCCAACCCGACGACCGAGCAGTCCGACGCCCTCCGCCGCGTCCGCGTCCCGGGGCTCGCCATGCCCAAGGACGACGAGGCCTGGCCCAGGCCCGCCGTGCCCCGCGGCTGGAAGATGGGCTCCCTCCTACCTGCCTACTCGGCTGCCATGACGGGCGGCGGCGTCTCCGAGGATGCCTTCAAGGACATGATGAAGGAGATGCAGGGAGCAGGGGGCCCGGGCGGCGCTGCTGGTGGTGGTGGCATGCCAGGCCTGCCGCCGGGAATGGGCAACATGGCCGACATGATGAGCATGTTTGGTGGCGGTGGTGGTGGTATGGGAAGCCCTGCCGGAGCTCTGATGGGAGGCGGAGGTGCTGGTGGCAGCAGCGGCAGCAGCAGCAAAAAGGCCAAGAAGGGCAAGAAATGATGAGATTGGACACCACATATATCACCATCGAAGCTCTCGAAAAGAAAAAGAAAAAAGAAAAGTACCGAAAAATACCCAATCGGCCACTCAACTAGGGCACTATAAGACGGCAGGACGTCGTAATGTTCTTCTGATGTGCAACATTACAACCCCTATCTGTGGGCCACGTTGAGTGTGCATTGTGGCTGGTCATTGACGGATAATACTGTGTTCAAAAGCTCTTCGTGGACGAGACCGGCCAAGAATAAGAGAGTAGTCGGCATTAGACTTTCATGGCAGTTTGCACAGAACCGCTTCTGTGTAACAAGACGCATGTTCGAGAAATGGATGATGACACTGCGGAAAAGCGCAAGAAATATACATGTTATACTCGATATATGTATTTAGCGTTGCTGTATGGGGGGGTATCGTCTCGCTCTCTCTCGCTGGCTATTCTTGTCATCAGCCCCTTCTTGATGATATACATCTGCGCCTAGCAAATAGTCGCTACTCATCGCTTCTTGACGCAGTGAATGCAAACGAAACGGATGACGGGGATCTATCTATGCTTGTCGTGAAATACTTTTGCTCCTCATGAGCATTGGTCCTGCTGTGCCACTCACTGACTCACTCACGCGGCAGAAATTCGTCGACCTTGGAGCCCTTCCCACTCGCTTGAGCCCACAATCTGAACCTCGCTGTCGCCAGCAGGGGCGGACTTCCCGTTGAGTCCAGGCAGGCGGATCTGCAGCCTCGCGGCAACCGCGTTGGGGCCCTTTCTCGAAATATCAAGACGTGGACCAGCCCTCTGCGTAGTCAGCACCACAGAAGCCTTATGCGCCACCGCATCCTGCCAGCTCTTCCAGGTCGCAAAGTCCTCTGCCTGCTTGGCAGCGTGGTACTGCGGCGAGCCCTTGGCCGGTCGCCACGCGAGCTTGTCCTTGGGCAGCTTACCAAGATCGTAGACCTTGGCGTTGCTGGCCATCTTCAGAAGCTCGCCAAGAACGTCCTTGCCTTCGGCTGCGACGAGTGCCTTGCGTTGAGCGGCCACCGGTGTGGGTTTGCGCAGCGGTTCAGCGAGCCAATCATGCTTGCCCTGCTCCGTGAGGCGGGCGCGACGGTTGTCTTCACGGAGGTAGCGCACAGCCGCCTGCAGGCTTGCAATGTCTTGTTTGAGAGCATCCATCTCCCTTGCAGTGGCAACGGCACGCTCCTGGCCGGCCTTGTTTGCACCAGACTTGTCTTCATTGCCGGCCGCGAACGTCTTGTTGTCTCCAGCAATCTTCTTCCACTGGTCACGGTCAGCTTCGAGGGTCTTGAGCTCGCGGTCTTGTTCCTCAATATTCCGCTGCAGGCCAGCAGCGTGCTCCTTGGCCTTCTCAATCTCCTCTTCGAGCCCAGAAATCCTGTCGGCTCTGGCTTTGGCATCGTTCATGCGGGCCTCGAGTGTCTGGATCCTGAGGTTGGCTGTGCTCAGGTTTTCGGCGCTGACGGCTAGTTGGCGAGCCTTCTCGTTGGCTTGCTCCTTCAGGTGACGCATTTCCTCTTCCGCATCAACCGGGAGCGTCTTGGCGGCCTTGATCTCCTCGGCACGAAGGTTCCAAGGGGCGTCACTACGCTCGAACTCTTGGGTCTGTGACAAATCTGAGCAGACCGCGGCAAGGTCCGTAATCTGGCTTGTGAGAGTCCGCAGCTTGGACAAGTATGTCGAGAAGATGTCGGATTCGCTGGAGGAGAACTTCTGCATCGCCGTCTGGGAAATCGTGCCTTGCACATCCGTGTATGTGAAGGGCTCGGCCCGACCTTCTTCGGTGAGGAGCGCATGCAGGTCAGTGCCCATTGTTCGCGACATCTCGGCCAACTCTTGGCTGGCAGCTTCACACTGCTCAAAGACCTCGGCTGTTTCTGGAGTCAGGCACAATGATCGTGCCTGAAGGTCCTCCAGTGACCGAAGTGCTTTCGACACAACAACCTTGGCGCTTCGGGTAAGAGAGATGACAGCTTCGGACTTCCTGGTGAAGTGATCGGCGAGCTCGTCCTCCTCCCCGGCAGACGGCACAGTCCGCTGGACGAGCTCTTTCACCACGGCCATCACTGTGGACGCGCTTTCAAGGTGGCTCTGCATCATGGACGTCTTCATCTGGATTTCGTCGGCAAAGCTCTCGAGGCCCTCGGAAATATGCACCTCGCCCAAATGTGTCATAAGGGCAATCGTGCGCTGCAATTCGCTGGCACACTGTTGCTCCTTGAGCTCGTTCCGCCGCAGGCCGTCAATCCAGCCGTTCAAGGCTCGTTCCACTGGCTCAAGCTCATATAAAGCCCCCTCGTACTTGGCAAACTCTTCCAGTGAGCAGTGGCTTATCGCATTGACGAAACGATTGCACATGGAAGAGACCCAAGTGAGCTTATCCATGGCATCGCAACCTGCGAACACATCGTCCTCATGCCCAGGGTGTGTCTGCCCATTGACACGATCTTTGATGAAACCATGGAGCAGAGTGGCTTTGAAGGCCAGGCGCTTGAATCGAAGAAGAGCCAGTACGGAATCCCGATCTTCGTCATAAGTCTCGGGCAGGAACAACTTGACAATCTGCAGGTGCTGTTGAGCTTCCTGGGCGTCCATTCGCTGGAGCTCCAAGTCGATCGTCTTGACTTGCGTCTTTGCAGCAGAGATTTGAAGTTTCTGATTCAGGTCCATCATGGCTCGGGTCTTGCTGTTGATCTGCTCAGACTCGGCCTCGTTGACGGCATGCGACGCCCGGATGTCCTCCAAGTCGGTCTGAAGATTGGTGACGAGCTCGCGGAACCGAGATAGAGTGTACTCGAGGTCCTCGACTGTCTCATCTTGTTGTGCGGCCCGGCGAAGCTGCTCCGCGATGAGACTGTCCTTGAAGTCGAGGTCCTCTTGCATCTCCCTCTCATGTTGTACGTGGTTGATTTCAAGCTCGTCATTGATCTCCTTGAGAGCCTCGAGGTCCTCAATCACAGCCTTCAGCTCATTGATCTGCTCAGCCTGGCCAAGCTTCTCGTAGCTCAGCTGCTCGATCATGGCCTCGGCACCAAGGTTGTCGTCCAACTGTTGCCGAAGATCTTCTGCGCGCGTCTCCAGCTCTAGCACGGTCTCTTTGGCAATCTCGTACTGTTCCTTGACAGCCTCGAACTCCTCAAGATCACCCTGCAGCTCTTTGATCTGTGCTCGCTGCTCCTCATCTTGCTGCTGGGTAAGGTCTCGTAACCGGATCAAAGCCTCGCGCAGGCGCTCATTGGTGCGTTCCAGTTGCAGCCAGCTCGTGCTTGTCCGCTCTTCAGGTGTCATCCCTTGGGAGTACTCCTCATTCTCCTCGCGGAGAATCTCGACTTCCAGTTCGAGCTCCTCTGTCTTCTGCTTCAGCGCGTCCAGCTCGACCTTGAGTACCTCGGCGGTTTCCTCTGCCATCTCGCGGTCGAGAGTGGCCAGCTCCATGATGGAGTCGTGCTCTGCCTGAAGTGACTCGACCTCCTCCAGCCTTGCCAAGGCCTCTTTAAGCTGTTTCCGCATTTCGGCATTCTCTTGGTTGGTGCTCTGGAACTTCGCCTCAATCTTCTTGTTGATCGTCTCGAATTTGTCGCCCCGCTCTTGTGCCTTCTCCAACGCCTGTATCTTCTCCCGATCCTCCAGACGCTTGCGCTCAAGGACCTTGAGCTTGGCCTTGAGGTCCTCATTTTCTCTGCTTGCCGCTGTGCTTTGGCCTGGCCGTGTCGTACCCGCTGTTGCCGCCCCCACAGCACTAGCTCTAGTCGTGGTTGTGGTCGAAGCTGCTGTCTTACTCGTAGCCCTCTCCAAAGCCTTCGTCCTGGAGCGTACAGGGCTGTTCGTAGCTTCGTTATCGCTTCTGCCAGCTGCGCCCTCAGTGCCGGAACCAGAATCTCCAGATGTTACCCGGCTTCCTCCTGGGCGCGAGAGGCTACCCCGGACACCAACGCTCGAAACTCGTCCAGCTGCCGGTCTGGTCGCGCTAGATGTCACCCTAGGCGCTGACGACGTTGTTGAAGTTTTCCGCGTCAAACCAGACGCCGGGAGCGCTGGCGGGCCCATGGACATCCGGGAGCCTATTGTCGAGGGTCGTGCTGGTTTCGCGCCAACCGAGGAGACGCGGGGGTTCGCTGGGGTACCGGTTCTTGAGGTTGCGGCACTGGATGTCGCAGTCGACGCGAGTTGCTTCGTGGGGGACTTTGTTGGGCTCTGTTTGTGTTAATAGTGCTAAATGCTATTATAACGGCACCCGTCGCGGCGATTGGGTGAGTGCCTAACTTACCCTTACTATGCTTGACGGTCGAGACGTCCGAGGCACCGGGCTCGGGCTAGGAGCATTGAGGCTCATCCTCTTGTTCATGGACGGGTCATTCACCGCAGCCTGCCTGCCCGTACTCGGAACGATGTTACTCGCCCGCGAAGGACGCCGAGCTGGCACCGCCTTGACTTGTGGCGGCGCTGCCTGTATAGCGGCCACGGCAGTCGGGCGAACGAACATGCCTCTGCCGGGAGGGCAGTCAAAGTATCTCTCTCCCTGAACGGCTCCATCGTTCTTGCCACTGTCGTCCTCGAGTTCAACTCCGATCCATTCGCTAGGTGCGAAGTGTGTCTGACCGACGAAGCGGACTATGGCGGTGCGGCCATCATTGAGCCGGATCGTCTGCCCGACCTGGATGTCCGACATGTTCGCCGACGAGCCAGACGAATCAATGTCGCATCCTGGGTCAGAAAAGTACAAGGCTGGGTGAGGCAGTGTCGTGAAATGTCGTTTCTCGTGATGGCAAGCTCCTGGACCAGCTACGCGTCTCCTGGCGAAGCTCCAGGAGATGGTGAAGCTCGTGGTGTGCCCCACATGGCCATGGCACACTACCGTGCGAATAGCCTGGGCACCGTCTCTGGCCCACATGACCACCTGCATCTATTATTGTCACCAAGACCATCCATGGATGGGGTTGCTTGTCTCGACAAGAAAACCTCGGAAGGGTAGCACAAGAGCTCAGCTTTGTTTAACGCGTATCATACTAAAAGGGCCATAGCATATCCAATTTCACAAAAGGGACTGGTTCCGTTGGAACACGAATCAACACATTCAAATAGTTGTATGTCTAATGCTACATAATGGTGGTAAAGAGGCGATAGTCGTTCCCACTCTGGCGCTCAGCCACGGAATTCCGCCAGAGCTTCGTCTTCCTCCAACAGTGTTGCGAAGGAGAGCGGCGTGAACATGTGGCCCTCGAAGTGGGCGTACTTGGATTGAGCCTCGACCCATTGCAGACGGAGAGAGTGAAGCTGTGAGACGGTTAGTGATGAGTACAAATAACGTCTTGGTGGACGCCGACGCCCGAAAACTTACCATAGCACTGCAGCCTTCCATTGCAATGAGAATAGCGCAGGAGAGGAAGAACCACATGTAGAAGACAACGACCAGGAAGATGGCACCGCCAATGCCACCGGCCACCAGGCCAGAGCCAAGGGTCATGTCCCACAGAACGATACTGAGCTGCTGATGAGCAAGCGACAGAGCCCAGAGACGCAGGTAAGAGGCAGTGTGAGAAACACAGTTGAGACAAAATTCTGGTATCGTCGATTAGTACAAGCCCGGAACACATACCAAGACAGGGAATACATACCGATCGTGTGGATGACCTGGTGGATCATCTCTTCACTAAACTCAAACTCGTGATGTCCATCGCCGTCCTCGTCGTCATCATCAGCATTGCCGTTCTGAGCAAGCATAGCAACACCCTCGCCGCCATCCGTGTCGATGCTGATGCGACCGTTGGCGCGTCCATCATCGTCGTCATCAATGGCAGACACTCGTGATGGCTCACCAATGCCTCTGTAACCCTGTCCACGAGCCTTGTTGTGCTCCCATCGCAGGTAGAACGGCTTCAAGAAGAGCATGACTGGAACCTGCACGAAAGCCAGAAGTAGGAGGCACGTCTGCACTGTTGCCTGTCCCCTGTAAAATTCGACGCCGCCTTCAAGCGTGCCAGGCTGGAGGAACATGTAGATCAACATGTTGAGCAGGCCAGGTGGTTGCCGACCAGTCCCGAACCAGTCCACGGACCACTTGTAAATGATGCAGAGAACCAGATAGCCAAAGATTGACTGGAAGAAAATCATGCCGGGGATGAAGTTGCCCCATATGTCGATGGGCTTCTTGTGGTGACGGGCGTTGAAGTACGACAGGCAAAGGGAATAAGTCATGTGTGCCCAGCCCAAAATGATGGACATCTTCATCTTGTAACTGTTGGAGAAGAGAAGAGCATTGTCGGTGCCATGCCAAGCCCAGTCGAGACCGAAGGGGTAACGGTAGTGCTCCTTGGGCTGCGCGAGCAAAGCTTCACCTTCTTTCCAACCTTCGGGGACAACCCACTCCCATCCGCTGTCAAACAGCGTGAGCGACTTGGAAAAGACATCGTTGTAGATCAAACCTGTGAAGACGGAGAAGAGGGCCATGACAAGAGCAATGTAGCGACCGTAGTATATCATAGCGAAGAGTTCGAAGGTGACCTTCTTGAGAGGCTTCTCCCAGTAGATCATAGCCAAAGCCGCACTGAGCATGATGATGGCATGGCCAAGATCACCAAACATGACGGCGAACAAGAAAGGAAAAGTGACGATGGCCGGCAGGGCAGGGTTGACTTCCTGGTAAGAAGCAGTTCCGTAAGCATTGATGATGGTCTGGAATGCCTCGGTGAACTTGTTCGTCTTCAGGTACGTCGGCGGGGTTTTGTTGGTCTTGATCTCGTTGATGATCGAGGGGACCGACAGTCCCGCCTGGTTGGTGACGTCTTGGAGAACAGCGCGGATCCTAGACAGGTCGTTCGTCGGGACCCAAGCTTCTGCGATCAGGGTCCGTCGCTGGCGGTCAAATGAGAAGAGATTGAGGGTCTGGTATGCAGCTTTCTCCTTGGTGATAAGGATCATCCAAGCGGACAGAGACTGGGCAATCTGTGTGAGCTCAGCCTCAAGCGTCTGCTGAGTGTTCTGCAGGACGTTCTGCACATCATTGAGACGGGCGTTGACCTCGTGAATCTGATCCCTGCGGAGATCCGAGTTCTCATCGACGCTGTAGATCTCGGCGCCCATGGACTCGGAGATCTTGCGAATCTTGGCCAGGATTTCCTTGCCGTGGGCGAAAATGACGAAGACGTTCTTGTTGACCGTCTCGTTCGTGCTGGGGTTGGCCAAGGGCTCTGGAATCTCGGACTGGTTCATGTACAAGTTGCCTCGAAGAGTCCGCCACAGAATGCGCTCGAATGCAGCGACGCGGTCTCTGGGGATGACTCCAGCTACGAATCCGATATTCATGCCACCGAACGAGCGCTCGGCGTCGGGGGCCTGGCTGTGCTGCTCGACATCGCGGAGCAGGGGCGCATCATCCTCCTCGGTGGAGGCGCGGATCTCCTCCACATTGCCGTGGGCACGGTCGAAGAAGCCGCCGGCCTCCCGGAGAACCCATCGCCACTCGGTCAGTTCGACTTCTCTCTTCTTGAGAGTCTCGTAGCTGTCGTTGAGCTGGAAGATGCGCTGCTCGAGACTCTGGCTGCGTTCAGCCAGCTCGTCGATCTCGGTGGTCGTAGGAGGAGGAAGCGTCTCGTTGTCGAGGTCGAATTTCCGGACTGGGATCCCGGACTTGTCCATCTGCGTGTGGAAGTAGCCTGTCGCATTGAGTTGTGAGTAATCATTCGAGGTTAGCCAATGCAGGTCGCAGAAATGCTTACGCAGCTGGCGCTCGACATTGTCGAGTCTTCGGATCTCCTGGGTGAATGTGCGCTGGAAGGCATTGACACCTTTGTTGAGCTGTTGCGTCCTGGTCAGCATGGGTTCGGCAGAGGGCTAGGCAGCCAGCACTGGGGAAGAGACGGACATCGCGGAACTGGACGAGGCCAAGCTCGCCGAGGGCGTTGACGCATTCGCGGCCGATTTCATTCGAGATGTAGAGCTGCACCATGCTCATGTCCGCCGAGCGGAACATGGACTGCTGCGATGGCGCCATGGTTGCGGCGATGGGAGTCCCTACGTAGGCTCGTCGCCAATGATGATGACTTTGTAAGGGGAGAATGAACAGCTTGGAGAAGGCGGCAGCTGCAGCTGCAAGGTGAAACGGACGCGGCACTGCGCTGTGGCTAGAGCGCTCAGTGGTAGGTCCACATGAGTGGGGCCTGCCCATGGGTGGTTCTCCCTGGAACGCTGCCCAGCCAGCCTGGTGCCTGCCCAGGCCAGGTGCGTGCTGGGTAGAGACACTTGACTCTGTGGCGCAGTCAAGGCGCGGACTGGTCTAAACACGCTGCCTGCAGGGTGTGACGTATTGGCGCCCGCCGAGCACGGCCCAGTCATGGCTGTCATTGGAAGAAGCCCTGTTGCCGACGATACGATCTTTGAGCAAGTCGATCAGTCTCGGCCCCTTTGCGTGTTGCAAAGTCACAGTAGACAAATTGCAAAGTCCTCTACGCATGTTCACGAGCAAAGTTCATGTCGCTGCACCGTGCATCGACCAAAGAAAGGCCCGCACGCAACTTGGCTGACCATCATGGCTCCCGAGGTCGCTGCAGACTCCCGAGGTTCAATGTTGTAGACAGTGATAGGGCGCAAATGTTCTCACCTTGTGCCTTGGCAAGCATGCCGCCCGCAATGTTTGGGACAGCCCTCCGCAGTAATAGAAGTGGCAGGGAGAACCATTCACGAGTGGAACTTTCAAGATGATGTTGGCTCTTGCCTAATTGTTGCCACTGCACACATTCATTCCAGCCTGCACTAAAAGTGGTGCTGTGCAGTCCCGTGAGGGAGGGCTACGATCGTATTGGAAGCTGCAGGATGATCGAGTTGCTGCAAGTGTTCAGCTGACTTTGTCAGCCGGCAGCCTGAACACACCAGAACCCAACGAACATTCTCGTACAAATCCACAGGCTCGTACTTGCATCAGTCTTCCGTCATTGCTGAAACTCGCCCGTGCAGACGAAAAGGACCCAGCCATTCTCGGCATATTCCAGAAAAGTCATCTCGGCACTTGGATCTCCACCTTGAGTGCTCAACGTACTCAGGGAAGCATCGACTGCAAAGCTGATCACGTCGCGATCCAAGGCATCCCAATCTCAGAACACAATGCCTCGCTACGTGGACGACCACGACCGCAGAGACCAGCCGAGCGGTCGGCAAAGGGATCGTTCGGCAGACCTAGCATACTCTCACGAGCCTGCCACGCCATATCCTCACACCATCCGCATGGTGGACAATGATGCGCCGCCAATGACGATGCCGGGGGCCCCGGCTTACGGCTACTCACCTCCGCCGCTCGACCAACAGGGTCCGCATTACGGCGCGGTGTCGAGATCCCGCCAGCTCGACGTTCCCAGATCACAGGCACGCCCCAGGTCGATGCCGCCGGAGGATGACCATTACCGTGCTCGGTCACCAAGGAGAACTCGCCGTCGCTCTGGCAGTGGTAGTGATTACTCAGATAACGATGGCCCCAAAAGCCCCATGGATCGGGCACTCCTTTTCGTCAACGACAACTTCAGCAGTTCCACTGCCGGACTGGGTGTCAGTGTCCTTGGTGCCCTCGTGGGTGGCTTGGCAGCACGAGAAGCTGTAGAAGTGACCGGCAAGCAAGGCAGGCGTCACCACCATGACGACCCCGATTACAAGCGCAACCAAATGATCGGAACCGTTGTGGGGGCTGCTGTGGGTGCGCTTGGTGCTAATGCTTTCGAGAAGCGGATTGAAAATAATCGTGAGAGGGAAAGGAGACGAGAGCAAGAGTGGGAACGGCACAGATGGCCAGCTGACAGAGTCCTGGAGAGGCGAGAGGTGGTGGCCAGGTCCAGAAGCCGTGGAGGCGACCACGGTTCGGGACAGTGGCGAGGACGGAACCCCATCGATGGTCGTCCTCGAAGTCGTGGCACCGGAGTCGAGCGCAAGGTCGACGACGATGACGGCGGCAGCTGGGAGAGTGTCCAGGACTGGGTTTATGATGATCGGAAATCTGGGGGCCTCCCAGACCGACGAGCTGACGTGCCTGACCACCACCACTAATACGGCTTTGTACTCATCCATTTGTGCTTGTTTTGGTCCTGTTAGCAAGTTCTGCATGAATTCCAAGTAATCTATGGCAAGCTTTCCACATGTTAGTTTACGCTTACCCTGCGGCTACCACCACGTGGACCATCACGGCCTTGGTGGAGGCGGCCACCTCTGCAATTATCAATGGTTTGCTTTGCACCAACCGCGAGTGTTTCTGTATGGCTGGCGTGCGGTCTGTGAAGCAGCTCGCAACAATTGACGAAAGGTATCATTCGGTGGCTTTACAGTGCAGCACACTGTAATCCGGTGCTTCGCTTCAGCAATGTTCTACACCAGCGCCGCGGAACCAGCAGAACCCTGCAAGGCTGCCATCACACCTGGGCTCTGCACAAGCCCAGTAGCATTCAGATGCAGGGACACGGGACGTACCTACATCCTTGTTCACCATCAACACGTCTCCCGCACGTCGCAAGCTACGTATTCAGAGTTCGGCGCAGCTCAGGGACTATCGGTTCTATTTCCCGTGGCTGCCGTGCACGAGGCGCCACACGCACCGGCGCATTCATCCGACGAGCTCTGGGAGAAGCAGCAAGCTCAGGCACCACCCAGCCAGCCGCGTGTTCGCCTCGCCCATGCGCAAACAACCTGGGTGCAGAACGCGACAAAGCCGCAATTGAGCCTGGGCCTTGCGAATGTCATGAAAGTATTTCTCGGAGATAAGAACGAGATCATGCTCACATTCCAGCATGGCAATGATTCCTGTTGCGCAGATGACCAACCCTGAGGGCGAGAGTCTCTTCGTGCCTGAGACTGAGGCGAGAGACGCGGCTGACGAAGATGGGCTCTCGGCGACGTCTTCGGACGACGAGGACGATGACAACGAATTTGAGGTTGAGATGGTGCTTTCCGAACGACCAGACCCAGGAAACCCCGGGGGCTTCCAATATCTGATCAAATGGGAGAACTATCCCATGGATCAAAGCACGTGGGAGCCACTACAGAACCTGGGCGAAGGAGTACTACAAGGCTGGGAAGAGGCCAAGGCCGAGATCAAGGCTGGGACCCGAGCAGAATTCGACTTGAACATATTCGAAAAAGCTGTAAAAGCTGCCGAATCTCAGGCGGCCCTAGAAGAGCGTCGTCCCAGCACTGACTCTACGTCTAGCGAGCCTGTCGTCGACAACCACAACATCAGTACGGAGCAACCATTCAGAAGTGATCTGCCACGTTCGAGGTCTACTTCTGCAGAGAGACAGGACGCACCCAGCCATGCATCCCCGCACGTCCGCGATGTGCCCAACACGATTACTAAAGAAAATGAGGGCATCACAAAGTCGGGAAGCGATAAGCGTGTGGTAGCTACCCAAGCACAGCCAGGCACCAAGTCTGGATCTCGATATCAGGGAACAGGCAAAGTGGCAAAGGCACTATCTGCGAAACCCATCACATCCAAGCCAATTGCGAATGCCGGCCGCTCAAAGCCCATTGTGAAACCTGGCGCCTTGGCGCCTAGTTTATCCTCCAGCTTGAGGGACAAATTCTATGGAAAGACGGCCAGACGCTCGGGGCCTGTCTCCCATATAATCATGCCAGGCGAGCAGGGCATTCGGCCACGCAAACGGCGAAAAGCAGACAACAATGTCGACCCTTCGAAGGATCCGAAACCGTTCAACACCATGCGGCGCATGAACAACGCGAGGAAACAAGCAATTCAGAGAAGCGAACAAGCTCCCCGCGATGTCACGGCGATTCCAGCCCACTTTTTGATGTCGAATGATCGGTCAATTACGACAGCTGTACGATCAACGAATACGGTGTCGGAGGCTGGCTCAGTAACGTCGGACAAGTCAACAGGGGATGCAGTGACCGTCCCAAAGAAGGCGAAGAAAGCGGTCCGCTTTACGGGGGCGGGTGGTTCGTCTTCATTGGAAGAGGTTGTGACTGTCGAAAGTCCCCAAGAGATGATGGAAATTGATGACGCTCAACCTTCTGCAGGCAAGAAGTTGACGCTCAGTAGCTACCAAGCCAGGCACCGGACGAAAACCTTCGTTAAATCTTGCTCCTTTGGCCCTAGCGGTTCATCTGCACTCGACGTCAGCTTTTCCGATGTGCCTCATTCGAGCGAGCCGTGGATCACAACTTTCCTGGACGCAACAACCATCTCGTTTGACCGAGAATGCAGATTTGACGATTTTTCAACCCAACGCACAGCTCTTGTGTCCACGCAGTCCCATCTCGGATCCGCGCACGCCAGCTCGACTGATGACAATTTCTTGATCGCTAACGTCGCCGCGAACTTGAAGCAAGAGGGCACCGCACTGCTTTTGTTTCGGTCGCAATACTGCATGCTTATGTTCCCCTGCGATGCCCTGAACTGGCTGAATGCACTCGGACGCTCACCTCTGCCGGACACACCCAACTGCGCCTTAACATTCCTGTTGTTCAAGCCCAGCTCCGAGCCTCAGCTCTTTCCAACTCCGTCGCAGATTGTCCTTCAAAACCCGGTTGAACAGCCGGCGGATTTGGTGCGCCTGTTTAGAGATGTTCTCTGTCTTGATCCTCGCGTCCTGCGACCACGAGATCCTGCCGAGGAGCGTGAGCAGGTTTTCATGCTGTGTTTTTCGGCCGAGAATCAAATGCTTTGCCAGTGGGTCGCTTTATGGCTCAGTGAGTTTCCAGAGCATAGAAAGGACATAAAACATGACCGGGCACCACAAAAAATGCTAACAGATCTCACAGGAACTGTGCAACCGGGTTGTCGGATCTACATTTACGCTAAGGGGGGAGCATGGAAGACATTCATAAAAGACCTGCATACATCCCCAGGTGCTCTGATTTTTGATGAAATCCTGAGCCCTAGGATCCGCCGGTTTCCCAAAATCTGGCATCTGGTCGATGCAGCGAAGTGTTGCACCTTTTGGTGTCTCGCAAGTGGGGAGAGCATCAACCCGCCCCGGTTTCCTTCAAACGACGACGTCCTCTTGGCTCCGTCACAGTATCAATTCACACAACTGTTTCCTCATGGGCGGGTATTTTTCCTGACTCCAAGCTTCGTTGCAACGGATCCTAAGGGGCTATGCGAGTTCCTCGAATGGTTCATTGAATGGGGAGCTAATCCCGGCTACCTGGTCGTCACTAGCCATGACTTCCTTGCGTGGATGCACAACCTCGTGAAGCAGCGACTTCGTCACTTTCGTCAGGAGGTTGGGCCAGCATCAACCGGCCTGTCCATTGACCGAATGCTTGAGGATGTCGAAGGAGAGAAACAAGACCTTGAGCTCAGGAAGAAGGCTATCAACTTGTGGCACTCTATCACGGAAAAGTATGGGAATGAGCAGATGAGCGACAGTCTGCGGAAACTCGAATCGGCTCCCCCACAGCTGCACGCCAGTGACGAACAGAGCCTGGTGAATTGGTTCTGCTGGTGGTCTCTGCGGCGCCTCGATCGACATAGGAGGTTCACTGTCATCGGCTCACATGCTCAGACAGGCATACCGTGCTCTGTAGAGTTCACGATACCGAATTACCCAGAGGATATGGCCGCTGATCCCGACGCCGAGGAAATCGAGGTCGAAAAAGTCATTGCTCACCAGCGTGATGCTCAGATCACGGCATGGAGGCGGCTCCATCCTGGTGCCGTACCAAATGTCGACACCCAGTATGACCTTAGGGTAGTCGCCGGAGAGCCAGCTTTCTCTGGTGTGGTGTTGAGAAGCAGCCGCATTGAAGACATTTCGGCGTGGCTCCGCAACCTGAAAGATGACCTGGCTACTAACTGGTCTAAGGTTTTGCCGAGTCCAGTTGCATACGTGGATAGGGACATGGCGGAGCACTTCCACGATCCTATGTGTGCGTCTGCTACTTTTAAGCAGTGGCTTTACGAACCCTTGCCATTTAGCAGATACTTCAACACGTGGATGGGGCTGTTCTACACCATTGACGGTCGCTGGGATGACAGTCGTCCCGCTACGTCCTACAAGCGCCGACCATGGATCGCCATCTACCGCCCGATGTACCCACACGAGCTCCGCAACCCTTACAAAGCCATGGAACTCTTGATCTGGGATATTTCGGCCGACGAAAAGCTTGCCGAGGCCCGCGATCTGAGCTGTCTGGATGACATGCAGACCAGACTTGTTGATTTCGTGAGAAACGAGGCAGGGCATGATGATGTTGAAGAGTACTACCTGGCCCGCGCGTGGATCGGATCAAGACTGTGCGAGGACATCGATCCTGGCAGTCATCCTCTTGAGGCGACGTGTAGCCAGCTGAAGGTCATGGCACTGGAAGGGCGTTATTGGCTGCCTCCAAAGGACCATTTGTTGATTGAACGTGGCTGGACCAAACTTAAGCTGTCCAAGCCAGCTATTGTGTCGTCCGCGCCAGCATTATCTCAGGCAGAGCTGTTTGGTCTGGCCTTCCCCAAAACACCAGCCGACCATGAGCGCCCGGAGCAAATCATCTTTCATCCTCTGCGGTCGCAGTCTGCGGAGCACCGCACGAGCCGGAGGAAGCTCTCGAGGTGCTCGAATGACATGTACAGGGCGGCGATGGAGGCCAGATGCAAGGTTGCGGACTGTCCCACAGCTGTCTTGCAGTATCGGCCCACGCTGAGCTGGTACGCAGATTTGAAGGCGGAGAAACGTGATGCAAGTCATGTGTGTGTGCAAACTTGGGAGGCCATATCCACGAAACTGGGCAGACGGGGCCAGAGGTCAGCACCACCGGCCGCCGATAGGCCGTCTAGTAGGGGATAGGAAGAGCACTCTGCACAAACTCGGAAGGGCAGCAAGGCCAAGCTAGAGGGAGCAGAAGGCAGTGTGCACCGGCTTCATTGTCTGGTGATGATGTAAGGCGTAAAGGTGCGACCACTTGGAAGCAGGAGCTGCGGCCAAGGATAGTGCGGCCAAGGATGGTGAAACCCATGGTACGAAGCGTCAGATTGTGCCATGGACTTTTGTAGAGAGCCGATTCTTGAAGAGTGCAGCTGATATAGCATAGGCATTGAAGTGCAACCTTGAGTTCTCCTTTATCAGATTCTGGCCACGATGAGGCCGTCCATCTAACTCATCCCATGTAACCGAGGTGAAGGCGGGCGGCGACCCCCTCTTGCAGTGGGATTGCTTCAAGTCGACTAACCTATCTTGTGAGGTGGCACAGACGTGCTGGTACTTGATGGCTCTACAAGAACTCTCAAAGGCCCGATACGCTGCAACGTGGTCACAATCTGTTGGTGATGCACAGGATACATGTTAGTGGCCGCACAGGCAGCATGAGTACTGCTTTGTGCAGTAGTGAACATGATCAGTGTGTCTACAACGAACTTGTGATAATAATTCATGCCCGGGCCATACTCTCTAAACGTACCTACTAAGTATAACGCTAAGCATCCCATTGTGGTTAGACAAGCGTAGTTGAAGAACGTACGTTTGACTGGATGCAAACACGTGACAGCGCACGATTCGTTCTTATATGATGGAGTATAACAACATGACGATCTATAGAAGTCTGCCATGCAGATAAGCCGTCCACGGTCACATTAGCCTACCGACACGAATCAAAACGGACACGTGTATGGCGACGACATGCCGCAAAACGGTACAACAAGCGGGCTAGCGCCGAACCCGGCCTGCACCATGGCGACGGAGAATGCGAGGGCAATGTCGTACTCTCCGTGCGGGTTCGGGTGCAGTCCATCATATCTAAACAAGCCGTTGGAGTTTAGCACTTTCTCTATACAGGAATGGTTTGGATTGCGACAGATTGTGACGAGAGAAAGAGAGCAGGTGAACTTACGCGTCCGGACAGCCCTCAGGTCTGCACTCATAAGCAGTATTGACATCGACGAGCTTGACGAACGACCTGGAACTGGCCATGCTCTGCAGCAGACCGGGAAGGCGTTGATTATATTCCTTTGTGTTCTTCACGAGATCTTCCCTCCCGCCCAAGAACGCTCTGTCCACAATATTGGCGAAGAAGAACTTGACGTCTGGCTTGGCCCGCCTGGCCTCCTCGATGAACTTCTGCGTGTTTGCAAGCGCCCCCGCGACGTCTGTCACGAACCACCCGAGATCGTTGAACCCGAGCATGACGAGGAGATACTCTGGCTGGTGGTCGCGCGTCCACTGGGAGACGGTGTCCTTGGACTGGGCGAGCGCCCGGCCCCAGTACGCCGCGTGCCCCGAGGATGTCGTGAGGAATACCCCGTCTGTACCCGCGTGGTACTTGCCAGACGTGTCGAATTCTGTGTTGGGATCGCCATCGTCGAGAAATGTGCCCTTGAACGGGCCGACAAACTCTGGCGAGAGGGTCGTGTTGTAGTGCAGCCACTGCCAGAGCCGGTAGCGCCAGGTCCAGTCCCCGTTTGCGCCGTGGGTGATGGAGTCGCCGAGTATCATGGCGCGAAATGGAGCGGCTCTGTTGTGCAACAACGGAGGCGCAGGCGTCGACAAAGTTGGAGTGGACAATGTCGCCACGAGAAGGGAAAGGGAGAGGCAATGGTGCTTCATGATGTCGCTGGGCCGAGTGTGTTTTCCAAGTTGAGGTAGTTGAGGTAAGTTGGGAAAGGTCATACATACAACGTGGGTACGGCTGCCGAGGGCTCTAGCTCTCTAGAACAGATTATGAGTGTTCCCAGGCCTTGACAACGAAGCTGAGTTGTCCACAATGTTGTTGCTTGAGTCTCACATAACAGGGTTCCTTTACATGTCTCGAGGCTTGTCGGCTGCGACGGACTACATTATGTAGCTAGTACACCATCAGCAACCTTTCCTGAAGAGGCAGATTAGTACCAGGAACATTGCACTTCCCTTTAGGGTTCGAGTACAGAATCATACATGTCAGCCACGACTAGAGTGGAGATGGCCGAGAAGGGCCTATAGTCCGGAGGATTGCATCAATTTGCATGTTTGATGGATCCTTGTCATGGCCAAGGTGGGCTGCAGGCTGACTGCACAAGGCGTTGCGAGAATGGATTCGTCATGACATGTACCAGTCGGCTACTTGGAATTTCCCAAAGAGTATCTATTAAAAACGCGTATATTCTCATTACGCTATGCGGTAGGGGAGATGTAGACATCCAGGTGATCCATCTAATGAGAGGTGCCCAAACCCTGTATCTCGTCCGTATAGTCCTATTCCTTCTGTCTTGGCGTGTCTGACATGCGCAAGTAAGTCATCGCTTATTGGTCAACCTCATACGATCATAGTCCTTGGCGGTGTTTTCTATAGCCCCCAACGGACGCCATGGACTAGGGACGGCTTCGGGACCAAAAAAGTCGTGGAGTGTGCACCGTACCTGTCGGCTGCTGGCTGCCTTGCGTATCTCTCCACTCAGACAGACGCGCCTAGAGCCTGGATTTCTACGGCAGTCGTACCAGTTATTCTCTTGGCCACGGAGACAGATATTCTCCCGGCCACGAAGAGAGACCGTTTGCTTGCTAAGCCATCATAGTTATTCTAGGCCGCCGCAAAGAGGAAGAAGAATGGTCTCATATGATTGGCCTTGTCTGTACGTAGCCGATCGTACCTACAATGACAACTATAAGAATGGACGATGTCGCCTGGCAAGAAATGTGAATATTCGACGATACGACTCATCAACCAGCTCTTCCATCTCCACTGCTTCTAATTCGGCAATTTGCTCGCCCATATCCCTACAATGTTGAAAATCACTTTGGCAAAGACGGCTCTCCTGCTTGCCCTCGGCTCGCCTGCCTTCTCCGCGGTTGTCCAAGACAGAAACGCCGCGACCTACGATGACCTCGTCTATCGCTTCGCCGCTGACGAAGCTGGCTTCCAAGCCGAGTCTAGCCCTGTTTATCCCGAGGTCTTCACAGTTCCCGAAGACTTCGTCCCTGACGAGGAGTTCTTCGCCAACCACTCGGCCCAGAACCAGCCTCTTGTTGGTCGTGGCATCATCGGCGACGACAACCGTTTTCAGTGGGATGGTGTCGACTTCCCGTTCAAGCCAATCGGCAGGCTTACTTTTCAGACGCCGACCAGTGGAGTAGCCTGCAGTGCCACTCTGATCGGTCCTCGCCACGTGCTGACCGCCCGTCACTGCGTTGCTGATGGTGCCACCTTCTTTACCAATGGACGCTTTGGTGAGTTTGTCGACCTGAGCACAGGAGAAGGCAATCCTTCTCCAGATGACCTGTAGAATGACGAACTGACACCGTACTGCATCTCATAGCTCCCAGCTACCTCAATGGCGAGCGCTTCGGTTCCGCAGGCGTCACCGGCGTCATCACGGACCCAGACTTTGCTCAGTGGGCACCTTCTACCTCGTGCTGGATCAAGAACGACTATGCCATTCTCATCCTCGACAGGCGCATCGGCGAGGAGACGGGTTACCTCTATCTCGGCTCAAACCCCGACCCTGCAAAGATCGGACGCCAGGTGCTCAACACCTGCGGATACCCTGGAGACAAGGGCCTGAATTCTAAGTGGTGCCAATAGTCAGTCGCCTGTGATCTCCCGAGCTTGTACACCGAAACGGGATCGAGGGACAAATATGCTGATCAGTCTGGACTCTTGCGATTCTATAGCCTGCGTACTCCCACGCTGATTGGTGGTTGCGGCGACAACACCGGCCCACTCGCCACCGATATCGATGCCGTCGGCGGCCAGTCTGGCTCGCCTGTATGGGACCTCGCTCCCAATGGCGCCGTCTGGATCGTGAGTGGTCCTGCAATGCAAGAATCGTACCGCAGCGTGTCCCGTGGCTGACTCTGATGCTCCGCATAGTGGGGTGTGCTCTCCGTTTCCAGCAATACCGAGACCATCGCGGCTTCTGGCTCGACTATGATGCTTGGATGGCAGTTCGCCATGGCTCAGTTCCCTTAGAGGGGGTGCTCAGTCTCGTCAACTCGAAACCAAGCTGGACAAACCGTTTGGCCAACGGTGCAACGGTGGCACATCTTTTCACCATAGGAGCTTCCTCAAGAAACCTTGTGCCCACAGTACGAAACAGTGTAGACTGTTCTTTTTCTCTTCTATCTTTGTGGCTCTGTGCCTCCCGATATTCCTTTCCGGGCCCTGGAGACTCTTTGCGTTTTTCGCGGCCCATATTGCCAGAATAAAGTATTTGCTCAAAATCTTGTATCAGACCATTGCCAATGACATAGTCAATGCTACTAAACGCGTCGTGCCCCACGGACATCCCACAGCTGGCAAGACCAGCGACTCCGTGGCGCGGCTATCCATAATCATTAGGACGCTTACAGACGTGCTCGGGCACTGCAAACTATCCACCAGAGGGCTTCCCTGTACTCACCTTTCGTTCTCGCTATAGTGATCAGGTCATATCTGTTGAAGGGACTTCTTGTCCATGCGAGCCGGGGCAATCCCTACTATACGTTCATAGTGGAAGGCGGTGCTCCACTCACTGGAGGATTGCACCCTACATACCTCTAGCACTGCCCTGGGCCGCAATCCACATACAAGCACAGCTTCATGGTGTCAAATGGATATCGTGTAATCGAGCATGCGCGGCTGTAGTCTCAAAAGCAGGGCAGCTGGATCAAGCAGCCCAGTCCAACTTCTCTGTCGCCACCTCCACACACAAGCAGTTGCATATCGCTGCCTGTCACGGCCGCCCTCGCACCAACTGCTGCCTCCAAGAAGGTGAAATTCTTTAAATGCTGAAGATCCACCCGTGTGACTACGAACAGTTTTTGAGCTGGCCACGAAACCTCCCCAGTGCTTCTCAAAAATTCCCCTATAGAGATAACGCCCTATACTGTGGGACCAGCTGACATTCGTCGGATTGGTGCGCAGCGTGGACTTGGACTGCAGAGGGCAAATGGAGCCGCCAAAGTGCTCTAAGCCCTGGGCTTCGGGTCCGACTCCGAAGGCCACTCGGGGGCCTTTACTCAGTGTGCGTATTTTTATCCGAATACAAACCTCACAGCTACACGGTTAGGACGGCCAAACCAAGAGGGCGGATTGTAACAGATAGATCTACGGACGAGTTAGACGGCGGAGATAACCACAGGATTACTTCCGATGGTAGGGTTGGCGGCAGCGGCCTACTATACCTACTCCTACAGCATTATTGACGTCGCAAAAATGTAGTTGGCTATAGTAGTGTAGTTGAGTGGAATGTGAGGTCGGGATGAGCTGGCAGCTGGCAGCGACGGCGGGGCAGGGACCCCTGGACTAGGGCCTGGACCAAGACTCTTCTGGAGCACCTCCGTAGTGCAGTGCTGTGCTGGGCCGTATCAGAGGTCCCGGTGTTTTGTGGCTGCCTTGCAAGTGGTCCCGCAGCAATCCAGAGGCTGTTTTGGGGGCCTGGAGGAGGTACGTACTAGCTTAGTGTAGCCTTCCAAGGTTCCCACTGCACCTGCCCAGGCAGGACCAGGGACACATGGTCTCTCCAGCCTGGGCCCTCGAACTTATCGCGTGCGGCCGACCGCCTCCATCTTCCTCCACCCTGGCACTTCGCTGCGACAACCACCTCCACAACCACCATCCAAAGACAACAACCTCCTGAGCCGACATCTCCTAACCCGCCACTGCCCATCGCCCTTTGCGCCTTCAACAACAGACTCGCCCGCCGCAGCCTGCGCCTCCATCAACATGGCCAACGACGAGTACGATGTAAGCCGCCCGCCGCCCGCCTCAGTGCCCCTCCTTGCGCTCTGCCCGCCCGTCCGCCCACTTTTGTACCATCCAGGGGCCACAGCTAACCTGCCCGTCCATGTGCGCAGTTCCTCTTCAAGGGTACGACGATCCGATGCCCATCCCCCGATCCAAGACGCATCCGCCCCAGGCACGCTCGCCGCTGGTCACTAACGCTCTGCTCCTGAATAGTGGTGCTCATTGGTGACTCTGGCGTCGGAAAGTCCAACCTTTTGAGCCGATTCACCCGAAACGAGTTCAACCTCGACTCCAAGTCTACCATCGGCGTCGAGTTCGCCACCCGCTCCATCCAGGTCGACTCCAAGACCATCAAGGCCCAGATCTGGGATACCGCCGGCCAGGAACGATATCGCGCCATCACTTCGGCTTACTACCGCGGCGCCGTCGGCGCTCTCCTCGTATACGACATCAGCAAGCACCAGACTTATGAGAACGTCACAAGATGGCTCAAGGAGCTGCGTGATCACGCCGATGCCAACATCGTCATCATGTTGGTTGGAAACAAGAGCGATTTGCGGCACCTCCGCGCCGTCCCCACAGAGGAGGCAAAGGCGTTTGCTAGTAAGCAATCCCTCTACGCCGCAACCGTCGCACACTCGGTTGCGCCGCTGCTGCTAAAGCTCCAGCGCCAAATGCTGACCATTACTACTTTGCCACAGGTGAAAACCACCTGTCCTTTATAGAGACTTCGGCTCTCGATGCCAGCAACGTCGAGCTTGCTTTCCAGAACATCCTCACTGGTACGTGTTCTTGCCGGCATCTGCCTCGACACGAGTCCCGCATCTCGTCTTACCTGCTGACCACTTGGCCGCACAGAGATCTACCGCATTGTGTCAAGCAAGGCTCTTGACAGTGCTGAAAACGCCCCCGCCTCGATCAACCCTGGCATCTCACTCAGCAAGTCAGTGGACGACTCGCCGAACAATGCCGGAAAGTGTTGCTAAGCGGCACCCCCAACACAACGATGAGCATGCATAACGGCGAGAAACGAATTGCGACGAGAAGCCAACATGTAGTCACGTATATGGCGTCATTTGATGTTCCCTAGGGCTATTTCTTCTCATTTGACTTTTGTGGTCTGTTCACGGGACAGCGCGGATGCGTGAATACAAGTGCATTGTACGCTTTATTCATGGCGCAGCGAAGTCATCATCGCTGGGACTTTCGTCGTCTCTTTTGTTCAGGGCGGATTCTGCGGCTGTAGTATCATGGATCACTCTTTCTATTTTCAGTGGCGAAGGTTCATGCGGTACGATCACGTCAATCTAATTATTTAAACCAAACCGTGAAAAGTGTAAATTGCACTGCCACCGAAGCCTTGACGTGCTTGCGAAGCCCTGCAAGCGCTCTCTTGCGTTCTGTGTTGTCTCCTAAGTCTTATGGTTGGGCTGCACAGAGACGTCATCCAGCTTATCCCGGACTGGCATGCACAAGGTTGTCAGCGCAACAGAGAGATTGCGCTAACATGACATGCCCACCACGCCAGCTTGCAGGCTACAGCAAAAAGCTGTCTCACATGGTCGGAAACTCAGGTCATGCTCACGCCAGGCCACAAACACCACTACAGTATGGCCGAGCTCATGGAATGCTACACAAGTGCCAACGGCATAGCCCCGTGACCCACTTCTCACAGCCGTAGGCGTGCTGAGCCCCCAAGCGCAAGGGGGACTCCACCATGCCGCTTATCGATATCCTGCGGGTCTGAAAAAAGTTATGACCCACCCAGCTGCTCGGCGCCTTTGAAGAAGTTTGGGCGCTGCGCGGACGGGCAGGCAAAGAAGTAGAAGCTGCATGCGCCGCGAACTTGGGGACAACATCACCATACACGCAACTCCACATCAGACCTCGAAATACACTGCCCTTTGACGGACGACATATAATGGCATCAGTATACAAGTCGCTCTCCAAGAGCGAGAAGGCTGCGAAGCCAGAGGCTCCGGCGAACGGCGTTCGCAAGAACAAGCAGAGAGTTCTCATGCTCACATCAAGAGGCGTGACCTACAGGTACGATATTCCGGAGATTCAACCTCTTGTGAAATCATTGATACTGACAGCACATTTCCCGCTTCGCAGACATCGTCACCTCCTCAACGACCTCTCTTCCCTTCTCCCTCACGGCCGCAAAGACGCTAAGTTCGACTCGAAGTCCAAGCTGTACCAGCTCAACGAGCTTGCCGAGCTGTACAACTGCAACAATGTCCTCTTCTTCGAGGCGCGCAAGGGCCAGGACTTGTATGTGTGGCTAAGCAAGGTGCCAAATGGACCAACCGTCAAGATGCATCTCCAGAACCGTACGTACATGCCAATAGTCGCTGAGTGGAAACCCCGTGGGACGAGTTACTGACTTGGGGATACGTTCCAGTGCACACAATGGAGGAGCTTCACTTCACAGGCAACTGCCTCAAGGGCTCTCGGCCCATTCTTTCGTTCGATGCCGCCTTTGAGAAGCAGCCCCATCTGCAGCTCATCAAGGAGCTCTTCACACATACCTTCGGAGTGCCCCAGGGCGCGCGCAAGTCTAAGCCATTCATCGACCACGTCATGGGCTTCACCGTCGCCGATGGCAAAATCTGGATCCGCAACTACCAGATCAACGAGACCGAGGTAGCCAAGGGCGATGGCGCGGGCGCGGACGAGGATGCCGAGGGCGCAAAGAGCGCGAGCAAGAGCAAAGGAGGAAGCCGCGATCTGGACGTCAACCTTGTCGAGATCGGCCCGCGGTTCGTCCTCACGCCGATCGTCATACAAGAGGGCAGCTTTGGTGGCCCCATCATCTACGAGAACAAGGAGTTCGTGTCGCCGAACCAAGTCAGAGCCGACATCCGCCGCGGCAAGGCGAGCAGGCACAACGCGCGCGCCGAGCAGTTTGTCGAGCGCCAGGCCAAGAAGGGAGACCTGGGCCTCAGAACCGAGGGCGGCAAGAAGGCGGCTGCCAACCCACTCGAGACCAAGCGGTTGTTCGCATAGATTCACGCGATCCGCGGCCATGTTGGGATTGTCTAGGCACATGTGGTATAATATCGGCGTTCTGGGAGTCTGATTGCAGGTATCGAGCATCTCGTCTGACGTACAAAAGTGCATCGGACCTACATAGCACAAATCGATGATATCCAAGTCCCAAGTATCTTGTTTTTCGTCAAAAATTGACGGTGCAGAGACTACGTTCAGAGTTGCAACGCCGTAGGAACGCGTATGCAAGGTCACCACATTGACAAAGTTTGGGAACTTGGTAACCAGGACCACTTCGTAGCATGAGACATTCTCGCCAGGACATTTTCAACTCATTCCGGGGATGCACGGAGTATGCCACATCCATGACTTACAACATTTCTAGGTTTCTGAGTCGTGAGTTACTCGTTACCTTAGGAAGCCGGAGCTATTTGATGTCGCGCTAACCCGCACATGGCCTTATCAGACCCCTGCTTATCAGGCCCTGGGCTCGCTCGCCCAGGCGTCATCCCGCCGGGTCACCCAAATCGCGTGCGCGTGTCAGTGAGTCGAAGCCTCCTTTCCTCTTCTCTGCCACACATCACCACCATGTCGACCCGACACCAAGATCCTGCCGTAATGGCACAGGACCTTTCTACACGAGTGATGCTGCCGTATGCGCAATTTCAACAGTATAGCCCCAAGGGAGGGGTCTCTACTTGCTAGACCGTCTACGTTCTCACGGCTCATCCTTCAAGATTCGGGGGAGGAGCTCGAGTGGTGCCTTCAGAGTCAGCCATAGTGGTCCGACGACCAGCACGGACGATCCCATTACAGCCGGCTTCAGCACCACTGTACTTTACACAAATATTCATTCTGCACCAAAAATAGAGCCAACCAAAGTCGCAATGGCGGTCGTACTCCCATATCCTACGGTCCTGGGGCCCCGCCGGTTCAAGCACAATCTTGACTTCATCGAGAACGCAACCGATGATGCAGCGAACAGCGACGATGGGGACGATGAAGCAGAGTCGATGCCAGCCGCAGCCGGGCCGTCTCTGTTGGAGATCCTCCCGACCGAGATTGTCCTAAGGGCCATGGGTTTCATGTCAGCACAAGATCTCACCAACCTCGTTCTCCTCAACAAACGGCTCTACGAAATCTTCAAGAAGAACCAGGCCATGGTAATGACAGAAGTCCTTATGGGTCGGGCCGAATTGTCGGTCTTGCTTTCTGCATTCTGTGCAGATATCAGCGATCTGGCTGACGGGACGATGGCAAGGCCGCGCGCTTTCAAGTTCTTCACCGGGCTCGAAACTGGGAAGATTATCAACCTCCACGTCCCGCCCCAGCAAGATGGCCAGCCTCAGACAGGCTCATCAGAAACCGTCATGCTCACGGCTCAGGATGTCGACCAGCTGTGGAACTGGACCAAGGTGGTGGATTGGTGGGTTGAGAGGTTCCCGTCTATGCGCTGGCGCGACGTGACGGAGGACAGTCGCTGCCTACGACCATCCGAGGAAGGGCGACTGCGCATGGCGGTTGCCCGCTGGTGGCTGTACTCGACATTCTTTCACGGCTCGTTCTGGCGCGACCGCTCCGTCCCACTCAAGTGGCGGTGGGACAGGAGGCTTCTGCTCATACGCCAGATGGACACGTGCGAAGTCCGAGAGCTCGAGGGGCTGATGGGCCTCGTATGGGAAGCCATCAGCAGGGACCTATGCTCTTCTCCAGCCAAAGTCTTCAACAATGTATGATGCCGGCCCCTGACATTCCCTCGGCGATGGACTGGAAATATGCTGACATGCGGCGCACAGGGGTCCTATGACTACGAGATGGTCCCATGGGGCGAGGACGAAGGTCGTCATTCTAACATTGTGAATACATACTCAAAGCTCGACCCGTTGCAGCTCAAATACTTCTTGGTCGACTTGGTAGGTCGCAAGAAGAGGGACATCATCACGATAGCAACTGAGCTGAAGAACGAGTTTACAATGGACAGAGAGACACTTTCAATCTCGCTCAAAGTTGTCCTCCAGGAGCGCCTGATGCTGCGGCCACCCAGCACCATGGACATTCCGGAGTTCGGCATTATCGACGATGACCGGCCAACAGAGGACAAGGCAGTATTCTGGAGGGGCGACTGCTCGCCGAATGGAGGACCGCCCATGCCGCAGTTCAGCATAGATGCTTTCCCTCGTGAGACGCCGCGCGATGTATGGTGCGGTGATGACGGCAGCGAGTCAAGCTGGGATTTCTAGAAGCCCCGTCACGGCAATAGAGCTGGGTCTGATCTGATCAAGGACGTCTAGAGCTGGGGGCAGCCGTGCTGCGACGGGTGTATACTCGTTTCATATTCCTAACCACTGGCAAGCATAGAACAGATACTTTGGGCCGCCCTTGCGTCACTCATTAAAGAGCCAGTTGACGTGAACAAAGCGATCAGTGATTATTGAAGGAGCCCCAAGCCGATCTCTTCCACGTGATTTGTCGTGATCATCACTTGCCACGTCGCGGGTTTGCAGATGGTCGCCAGGCATCACTTTTCGTCGTTTTACTCTTCCCAGATTATTTTTGAGGCGTAAGCTTCTAGGCCTTATCGCAGAACGCCAGAACGATGCGTTGTGTTTTGTGTATAAGTCGCATGTGTACTTAGACGGGGCCCGCCAATTCCGCGGTCTGGGCTGGCCAGCGGGCGAGCGGCCTGCCCCTTCAGTGGGAGCAGCACCACCAAACACCAGCGCGCTCCAAGCCTGGCAGCCCGCACCCTGATCCCCAGCCACATTCAAACCACACAAACCTCCACCAGCTTGCAACCACATGCGCAGTCTGCAAGCAAGGAGGCAGCGACTTGCAAACAACTTACTGCGCACGCCTGCCAACCAGCGCCTTGGCTCCCGTCACCCCGTTCCTCAAGCTCTTGCACAGAGGGTCTCTCCTAGTGGCGCTCACGCTGCGGTTGCGGCGGGGCGCGCACGGCGCAGAGCGTCTCTCGTTCGTTTCTCATTCGGCGGCGGTCCTGCTGTTCTGGCATTGTGCATACAGGTCCAGGCCTATCTGCTGCTACCGCCGACTTGACATATTCTCTATTGGCAAGCCTTGTAAGTCATCGAATGTCTTTTTTTTTTGTTAGTCGTTCCCCATATTCTTCCCGCCTGCAGATAAGCAGCCACTATCCCACAGAACCCTACTCTTTTGACCGTGCTTGGGGACAATACTTGCCTCGCAAGGCGAATGCGCCGACGGTCGGGATCATCAAATCGCCCTTGATTATACGGTGCGCTCAGATCTTTGATCTTGCGCCTCAGGTCCCCATGTCCTTGCTTCCACCATCACACTATCTCGCTGCTGGGATTGTCAATAATATTGCTAACCAGTTCACTAGGTGACCTGTACTGAGACTGCTCTTTGCCGTTGCCGTGGTTGAGTGCCGCTGCTTGGCCTTAAGCCCAGGACTACTGTACGACATCAACCTCGATAGCGACACTGTCAACACAGCGCTGTTGTTTCGTGTTGCGTCCTCTCCATCTTTCGTGTTCTTTGGCACGTCTCGCAGTACTACCGTTACGCCGTGGTCCTGCCATCCCCGTCCACGCTTTCTCTTCCCTGGGCACTGCCGTGTACGGTCTTGCCAACCCTAGAGACATCCTACGCCTGAGCAGGCCAGACGGGAAAGGCAGCGTGCGCGCCTCCAGTCCTGAACAGCCAGCAGTCCATCTTGTTGAAACACTTCCCCATGCAAGGATCGGGGACACTGTCTGAATCTGACTTAACATCATGGATGAGGATCAGTCGATGACAGACGCCCCAAATGGCGTGGGCGATCAGTACACGAGCAGGGAACAGACGGGCAACGGAATCGACAATACCCCATCCAACATGCAAACGGATGACCGGGAGCCATCGGGGCAGACTGACGAGCTCGCCTACGCGAAGCGGCGGGGGTTGCTGCCCACAGGGGTCTGCTACGACGACAGGATGAAGCTTCACGCGAATGCCGACTTCGGTCCGTCGCCTCACCATCCCGAGGATCCAAGGAGAATCGAAGAGATCTTCAACACGTTCAAGAAGGCCGGGCTCGTCTACACGGGACCGGACTCCAAGCTGCTCGATATACTGAGAGACACGCCGACGAAATACATGTGGAGGATACCCGCCCGCGACGTCACAAAGCAGGAGGTCTGCCTGGTACACACGCCAGGCCATTTCGACTGGGTCCAGGAGCTGTCGGAAAAGTCCACGAAAGAGCTACGCATAATGAGCCACACACTGGACATGGGCCGAACGTCGCTGTACGTAGGCGCCATGTCCTATGAGGCTGCGCTCTTGTCCGCCGGCGGCTGCGTCGAGACTTGCAAAGAAGTGGCGGGCGGGTCTGTTAAGAACGCGTTTGCCATCATCAGACCACCAGGCCACCACGCCGAGTTCGACCATCCCATGGGGTTCTGTCTGTTCAACAATGTTCCCATAGGGGCCAAAGTCTGCCAGCAGGAGTTTCCTGACACATGCCGCAAGGTTCTCATTCTTGACTGGGACGTGCACCATGGCAATGGCATCCAGAACATGTTCTACACAGACCCGAACATCCTCTACATATCAATACATGTGTACATGAATGGCGAGTTTTATCCCGGCAAACCAGAGCTCGACATCACGCCGGACGGAGACCTAGACAAGGTCGGTGAGGGCCCTGGTATGGGCAAGAACGTCAACATTCCCTGGGCGGATCAAGGCATGGGCGACGGCGAGTACCTGGCTGCGTTCCAGAAGATTGTCATGCCCATTGCGCAAGAGTTCAACCCGGACCTCGTCATCATCTCGGCTGGTTTTGATGCTGCCGACGGCGATGAGCTGGGTGGGTGTTTCGTGACGCCTCCGTGCTACGCACACATGACGCACATGCTCATGTCGCTGGCCGGAGGAAGAGTCGCAGTTTGCCTTGAAGGCGGCTACAACCTTCGCGCCATATCAAATTCTGCTCTTGCAGTCGCCAAGACCCTAATGGGAGAGCCGCCGCCTCAGATGAACATGCCACCCATCAACAAGGATGCTGCGAGGGTGCTAGCCAGAGTGCAGGCTGCACAAGCACCTTACTGGGAATGCATGAGACCTGGCATCATCGACAACCAAGAAATCACCGGAAATGCCACTCGATTGCACGACGTTGTGCGAGGCTACCAGAGACAACGGTTGTCGGAAAGACACGGCATGGTTCCGCTGTACATTCAGCGAGCCGTGCTCTACAAGTCGTTCGAGAATCAAGTCCTCGTGACCCCGGGATTCCAAGTACAAAAGCGGCTTCTCCTGATCATACATGATCCGTAAGCAAAATCCTCCTGAACCGAATTACTGACCATCCCATTACTGACATTCGGATACAGGCCGGAACTTGTTGCCATGCCAGACGTCATTGATAACACTGTTGACGCGCATAACGCATTTGCGGTAAGTAGCTGTGTCGTGATATGATCATTTTGTCAGAGGTGTACTGACACGACTGCAGCTCGATGGCGTGGCTTCATATGTGGACTGGGCTCGCCAGAACGACTTTGGCGTTATTGACTGCAACATCCCTCCGTACATCACACACTCTGAAGACGACGCCTTCGTGCCTCGTGCCACAGAGAAGACCCTGCAGGAGCAGATCCAAGAACTCGTGTGCTACATCTGGGACAATTATTTGCAGCTTTCAGAGGCTGAAGATCTGGTCGTGCTGGGTGTCGGTAATGCCTATCTTGGCGTCAAGATCCTCCTGACTAATCGAAGTAAGTTTGGATCCAATACCTCCACTGTTGCAAGGAAAGTCATCTGATCAGTGGTGTTGCTGCATCTGCAGTCTGCAAGGATCGCATCTCTGGCGTCGTCAACTTTGTCACTGGGAACTTGCGCCCTGTCAAGTCTGAGACGGACCCCGATCTCTCGAATTGGTACAAGAAGAATTCCCTGGTCTTTGTCGCGAATGATCACGCCTGCTGGAGCAATGCAGAGCTGGTCAAGAAGGTCGGCCGGAGAAGATTTGGCGGCGTGAGGAGGAGTCCGCAGAACGGACTCAATCGCATGATGGAGGCGCACATGGACGAGATGGGGGAGTGGGTCAAGGAGCGGCTCACGCCGGAGAGCGCTGATGCTACCGAGGAGGATGCATGATGATATCCACTCGCAGCTGCTTGAGGGCGTAGCCTGGTATGAAGAGATGCTGCTGGACTTGAGGAAGCGCAGGGTCTGTCGTTGAGCTTAGGAGGTTCACATAATGAGTGTGAACACCCTGACTGGGTCGCAACTGCTTTCTGGTTGCCGTGGCTGTTGGGCACCTTGGGAACCGGACTTGTCTGCGTCTTCCCACTGAATATGCGGTCTGCAGAAACATTGCTCCTCCCCACAGCTATAACCAACAATGCTATTCAAAATCTTCAGTGGGTGCCTCGTCTGAAGACTGCTCTGCCTCTGGCCATCTTCACTGTCGTTTCTCTTTCTGAAAATGTCCGTCGTGGGTAGCCTGCCACGCCATTCTGCTCACACACCCACAATCCCTTTTACGAGAATCCACCACAGCCAAACAAAAAGCTTGACGGAAAACGACCAAACAACTAGTGGTTTTATGTTGTACATTGACATTGTTGGCCACCCAGTTGTCACCTTCACGACATTAGGACAACCTCGTCGGTTGCCTTGCATCACAGCCGCCACACCGAGAACTACAAGCCGGCACGGGACTTTCACGACGCTCAAAGAAGCAGCGGATCGAAATCCTTGCCCAGCATCGACCTGGATACATCCGATATGAGCAGTCCGTGAGAGGTACGTGACTCTGTCCACGACCTTGGGAGCCAAGTTCAAGTACACTTACACGGAGAAGGTCACAGAGCTGACTAAGCAAGTGGTCCAAGGACCCGCTTATCGACTTCCTTATCAGAACGTGTACCTGAACGCACGCGCCTACCGTGGCCCAGCGAGAAAAAAATGGCCCGGCGGCGCGGCGCAGGCAGCCGGGGGGGTGCTGCTACTCGCGGCGGTCCTGCCAGTGGACGTGGAGGACGCAGGGGACGAGGCCGCAAAGGCCGACCTCGACAGCCACAGCCTTCCCAGCCCCAACCACGTCCTTTCAGACACATTGACTTTGCCGGACCGGGCACTGCTTCGCTGTCGCCGCGACCGACGCAGCCTGTCGAATTATTTGCTCCAAGTATCGCTGTGGACGTTGCGCAGAACGACGACGACGACGACGACGACGACGACGACGACAACAAGTCCACAGAGGACGGCCAGATCGACGCCAGCAGTGTTTGCAACAGTGACGGCGACGACGAAGACGGAGAAGGAGAAGAGGAACACGAGGACCACAAGAACAAGTCGCGGTGGCTGACAGCATACGACAACCCTGAAGACACTCCAGACCGTACACAGGCATCCTCCGCCCGGGTTAGCCACGACTGGGTCCCTCGTCTCGGGCCATACGCGGTGGTCAATCCCCATCTCAAGAGCTTACCTGCCCAACTCCCTGTTCGCTCTCCCGACTTTGATCCCCAGGAAGATCCGACTTCGCAGCCTCTGGTGCATCCTCTTCGCCTCGCTCTCATTCGCTCTTTCAACCCTGGCATCGACGTAGAGAAATCGCAGCGTGGGCATTCGCACGCGCAAACATCTGTTGGCACTAGCGACGGCCCGCCTGAGAGTGCATCAGACATGAGTCGACGGTAAGCCCCTAGAAAATGCTCAGGGCAGGCCCGACGGTTCTGTTGGCTGACGAAACACCTTGTGGTCTATAGCTATGATGATGGCGAGGTAACTCGCTACGGCGCAGGGGAATCCTACCGGCCATTCAATGGCAACCGATCACCACGTCGCGCAGCGTCGCCCCGACGCACAAGTCCGCCTCCGCGCCGTGCCAGTCCTCCCCCCCGACGAGCCAGCCCCCCTCCGAGACGGTCAAGTCCTCTTGCTAGACGCAATAGTCCGCCGCCGCCTCGCAGACCAAGCCCTGGGCCTCGCCGCGTAAGCCCGCCTCCACGACGAGCGAGCCCGCTATCGCGTAGAGCCAGCCCTCCGCCGCGAAGATCCAGCCCACCACCCCGACGAACAAGTCCTCCACGGCGGCCACGTTCGCCCCTGAGAGACCGCGGCCGCACACCTCCGGTAGGTGCGGAGAACGACCGCTACGTGCCGGATCGTACACCGCGCAGAAGTCCAGATCGTTTTCGACGAGATGTATCGTGGGACCGTCGTGACGGAAGAGACAATGGGCCGGATAGCTGGAGACGGCGAGACAGAAGCCGCAGTATACGCAGAAGTCCTCCACCACGGCGTAGCCCTGGGCCGCCCATGAGAAGATCGAGCCCACCACCTCGTGGCGGCAGAATGTCGCCGAGACGAGATGATAGACGTGATGACAGACGAGATGACAGGGGCAGATTCCGGTCGCCTCGTCGGGGCGGGTTTGACGCTAGGTTCGCCAATCCTAACAATGTCCCCATCTCCCCCAAGCCGGGCATCCTAACTAGGGCTCTGAGCAGGCGGCGGTCCCGTTCTCCTGACGACCGAATGCGCGATCGACCTCGCGAGCGATCTCCACCGAGGCGGTCCCCGGGGCCTATGGCGAGGCCCAACAACTTTCGAGGCCGATCCAGATCACCCGACCGCAGGGACGAGAGGCGTGGAGTGGATGACCGCCGTGAAGACCGGAGAGATGACAGGCGTGATGACAGGAGGGATGACCGCTACGTCGCTAACTACGCACGGCGGCCGTCACCAGGCCGTGAACTGGTTTCTGCAAACTCGATCCCCATCCACCCATCGAGAGACTCATCTCGCAAGCCCTCTCCACTTCCGCCCATGTCGCGGAGGGACGATCGATCTCGGCCAGAGTCGCCCACTCGCTCCAGGCCACTGTCTAGGTCCTCGGCTAGTGCCACCGCCAGGGAGAGAAGTCCACAACGACCAGCTCAGGACTCTTCAGCACCTGGTTCGCTTGCTCGATCACCCCCACGAGGACCTGCGGCTCAACGTCAGCCACCCACCGGACCACGAGATAGTCGCGGGTTCTCCAGCCAGCCTCCTTCAGCTCCCTCTGCAGCAAGAGCAGGTGGCACTCCATCAGCACCAAGGGCCACGCAGTCGCCAGCTAACCCCTCGAACCGCCAAGAAATGCCTAGCCCTACCATGCCTCCGACTGGTCCTCGAGGGCATTTCGCCTCTCGCGGTGGAGCCCCGTTCCGAGGTGGTCGTGGCCCCAACGCTGGGAGCTGGGGTACGAACCTCCAGAACAGAAGCGTACAGCAGTCGGCTTCCGGACCGCCATCAACAAGCGCATCGGTATCGCCTGTCCATGGCGCTCCTAGCGGGCCGCGAGGCTCTATTTCGCAGCAACAGAACTCTGGCCCGCCCACACCAACGCTCAACTCGAAGCCGTTCGACCCACCCAAGGGGCCAGCAGCGGACAAGAACAGCCGCCTCAGCCTTGCGCAGAGACTCCTGGCGGAGCTCCCACCCATCATACCAGGAGGGAAGCTCGCTCCGGACTTGATTCCGCTGACTACGGGTGTGCTGCCTGAGCTGCAGTCACATATGGACTCGCTCAAGGAGGAGGAGGAGCGGATCCGCAAGGAGAAGTACGTCAAGGAGGAGCGGCTGCGCCGGAGCCTGCAGGAGTGGGACAAGCTGGGGCGCGAGATCAAGCTGCTCGAGCTCAAGTGTGAGCTGTCGACGGCGAGTCTGAGGAAGATTGCGGGCGAGGAGACTGGTGGTGCGGCGTTCTAAGTTTCCGAGGGTGGAAGGGAACATGTGTAGCCTGCATTTGTAGGGAATCAAGCCATGGCTTGTGGGAGCAGAGAGCGGCTTTGTTTAGAGAGAAACAGGAGCGGATCCAGCTCTAACCTTGACAGATGACGACATTTTTAATCTTTTGAGGGAATAGCTCTGCACTGGGGATTTTCCTCGTGCTATTATTCAAGAACGTGTGCTTTTTCTGTGCTACACTGTTTGTGTGAAGCAGGGTCTGTCTACATGGATTAATATTATTGCCTCCGGAGTCGACCACATCAAGCCTTGGCCACTGACAGTATTCTGTTGTGGATAGCGATGACATACCAACAACACGTATTTTTTGAGAGTTGCAGCCTTTGGAAGTGCCTGTTGAAAGACGCAAAATGATTGTATATATAATTGTCTTTTGTCTATTCTAGACCCTGACGCGAAAAGCCTACCTGAATGGTAGTAGTAGTCCTGAGTAATTGGAGTGTACAGAGCTTCGCAAGAAGATGAGACCGAATTAATCGGGATGAATTTTGTTGGAGAGCACGGCTTGCCGTAGAGACGAAGCAATATTGTCACACTGACACGGATTTCTCGGAATGTAAACTTTTGGTGTTTTGCTGATTGGCATTGCTGGACTTGAAGACTTGAAGACTTGGATAGGGTAGCTTTGTTTCCGTTGAGATGCAGAACTGCTCTCTCTCGCTGTCTCTTATGCTTACAAGCACAGGATCTGGGTCAAGTTTCATGACCATCGTGTACATGCCCACTACTGGGTATCTCACCTTTACTTCAAAAGATTTTTTGTAAATCCGACTAGGTTCCAAACTACCTTTGATATCTGGCTGTCTATTGACCTGCCTCCCACGTGCTCGATATCTGCAATTGGGCGAGCGGAACGAAGGACGAGGAAGAGACAAGTGAGACGAGACATTGGTTTATGCCCGCCAGCCATTTACTCATTGACCCCCTTTTTGGCCACGCTGGCCTGACTTAGCATCTCGTCCATCGATTTCCATCGTCTGTCCATAATTTGTTGCTTGGCGCCAAAAACAAGCGCCGGTATGTGATTCAGCCTTGTCTACATGAAGCCCGGCATGAGGCGGACCAAGGTGGCATGCACGTTGTCTAAGGGAGCGAAGGCTGTTTGTGAGCACACACATACACACACGGGTTTTGCTCTTGTCCGGTGGGTGCGGCATGACAGCCTTGAGTTTTTTCTTTTTTTTTCTTTTTTTCTTTTTTTCTTGTTGACCACATGGCCACTGCTACAGTAGTTGCTGACCAAAGGTGGATGTTGTGAATCACCATGGCACGGGTCGTGCAAATAATCGGCAGGGAGGCAGGCAGTCGAGGCAGTGATGTACGTGAATGAAGTGTGATCAAACAGTGTCCCCACACCCGCCCGGCGATGACGCATTTGTTCCCAGGGCTGTGGAATTCAGGACACGTCTGCACGCCTCGAGGTTCTTTTGGCCGGCCCTGTAAAACATTGGCATTCCATATCGAAAGCAAAGCTGTTCGTCAGTTCCAGACACGACGGAGGGTCTCGTGACCTGGTATTCTGAGTCCGAACTGCCGCCGCCGCCGCCGCAGGCAGACTGTGCTTGGTCACGCGGGAGCGTGTGAGGAGCACCACAGGGCACCAGAGGGATGGATATTCAGGGTCCATCCACCACTCCTCCGGTGGAGCGTGCGTGCGCGTGCCCAGCTGGCGCGGGCGAGGCACTGACTGACGGGGCTAAGGGGCTATTAGCGGTCCTTTTGGATTGACTGCTAGGGTTCTCATGGATACTGGTAATTAGCCCTGTGTAATTGTGTCATTTCCTGCAAGTCCCCCTCGAGAGACACGACCGGACTGAACAGGACAAGACAGACGGTGTGCTCAGGCAGGACAGGAGAGAGGCTATTCTGGGAACGGCCATATTGGAGCAATGCACTGATGGGCCGACGGGGGGTACAAGATGGTACAAGATGCAGTCGGTACACCGTATACCGTGCAGCAGCAGCAGCAGCGACGTGGGCATGGCCTCACGGGCAGGCTGGTCGTGTGGTTGTGGTGTGCTTGTGCATGATTGACGTTATCTGATGATGTGGTGGTGCAGCACTGAGTGCAGGTGGTGGTGGCGAGGCAGGCCGTGGTGTCCGCCATCTGGGTGGTTTGCCACCGTCTGGTCGGCCCTTGCAGATCAGTCAGCGCTCTCTGCTGCAGTTCCTCGGCACCACAACCACCACCACCCGCTCGCATATCTCGCAGTGCAGTAGCTTTCCCAAGCGGTTCATTCGCCTGGCGGCTGTTGCGCCTAAGTTGGCACCCTCCTTTGGGCGAGTGGGCGCTTGCCGTTCTTGCTCGTCGGCTGCCAGGCCACGCACCATTGACGCATGGGGTGATGAACACGGACTGGACTGGCCGGCCACTTTGAGGGAGCAGGCAGGCATTGCAAGGCCTGAACTGGACATGGATGCGCCGGCCGGCTCTTCCCCGCCACTTCCAAGCTCCCAAGCCGTCAGCACAAACCTGCAAGTCACACGACCGGCGCCCACAAGGTGCAAGTGGTGGTGTCGAGGTTCCAGGCGCTGCCACCGGCGGATCATCTGAGACAACCCGCCATGCTCAATGCGGCGGCGCCCACCACAGGCTGCGCTTCGACAGTTCCTGCAGCACCGCGACCTGCTGCAGAAGCAGAAGCACCAGGGTCCGTTCACGACCAACTGCGGCGGCTGCCTGCCTGCCTGCGATCACGAGGACACAGCAATAACAGCAGCAGCAGCAGCAGAGTGTGCTTCTTACTTGAGAAGTGGGAGCAAATGGCCTGGTCTACCTCGTCTAGGCTCACAAGACTGCCATGCTTGGGTCGCTGCACGACAACACACCAGTTACAAAGTCGGTGCATGAACCAGCCAACCACGCCTGGAGCCAGCCTCAATAGTCAACAAGGGTCGTTGGACCCTGGGGCCAATTATATCATCCCATCCTGCCGGATGGCGGTGCAGTGCAGGACCAGGGACGCAGGGGCGGTTGGCCAACCACGCTTTTCCCGGCAACTCCAAAGTTCGAACCCGATAGCGGAATTCGCATCCAAGCCAGCTTGATTGCCAGGCCGAGATGCGCAAGCAGCTCAGCTGGCCGTCGCACCAGTCCTTCTGGATGAATCCATCAATTACTCGTCAAGGTTGTGCCAAGGCGGGCGAGCCCATGTCGATGCTAAATCAAAGTCGAGAAGCTCTGGAAGCCCCGTCTCCGTGAAAGCTACGCTACTTGCCCGATACATCGACGAGCCAAACCCGGGTCCGGCCTAGTTATGCCTCAAGCCGGCGACGTGTTGTGCAAACATGGCCACATCATTCGTCCCATCGAGTCACGCCCAGGTCAGTGGTGACTTGTCACGGCCCGCAACCATGGGGTTTGACAGTTTGACAACTCCATTCATGCACCGCCAGCACTCTGGCCCGCCGACCCCTTCCCCACAGGTGCATTGTCCAGCGGAACGGTGGATTTCCTCAGCCACCGTCCGAGGCCGTAGCAAGGGATGCTGGGCCTGCCAGCCTGCCTCGACTGGACTTCCTTGGAGAGGATCACGGCGGGCGGCAGGCAGGCCCTTTGAGATCGGCGGGCGACCCCAAGTCCTGCATCCTTCCCGGTTCAGCTCGCTTTCAAGGGCGGGCGTGGCTGTTGCGCCGTAGCTCCGCGCCGATTGGCTGACCTGCCCACGCCATGATCGCGTGCCGAGTGCTCCATGCTGTCGAGCTAGACCTCTGTTGAGCTCCGGCGCCTGCGGAGAGCTAGGGCATTTGAGTTGGGATCCGTCGCGAGGGCGAAGCACTGGGCTCATCATGGGCCCTCGGAAAGCAGACTGCACACTTCGGCCGAAGCGCAGCTCGACTAGGCCATGCCGGGACCAGCCAGAGGGGACAGGAACATTGAGCAGCAGCAGGAGGTGGTTGCGGTTGTTGAATCTTGATCACTCGCAGCTGTCGCTGGGCCCCTTGACGCAGCAAGGCCCAGTCGCACCAGGCCTAGGGCAGCACCACATCCACATGTCTCGAAACATCAGAGCGTCGGAGCCTCCCCTAGCCCTGCAGCAGCCAGTCGGGGGGGGGGGGCTGGAGCACTTGTCGACTCTTTGTCGTCAGCCGCCTGCCCACCAGTGTCTCTGGCAGGCGGACGGCCAGAGCGGGCGGGACGGGGTTTCCGGCGACCAGGCACGGCGGCGATTCTGGCGATGCTCAAGTGACCTGGCATGACCTGACGGAAGAGCGGACTCGGAGGGAACGGACGGGGAAAAGAGTCACCCTCAGCACGCCGCCTGGCCTCGCACCTTGGCGCTCGCCTGGCGGGTGAGGGTCGAGAGGGTGCAGCCCAAGCCCGACTGGGCATGCTGGGCTAGCCAGAAGGAGCATGGCGTCAACAATGCCTCCCGGCCAGAGCCAATCGCGCAGCGGTGGCAAAGTCAGGAGGTGGGGACCAGTCGGGGTTGGCAGAGGACGGTGTGGCAGGCAGGGCGGATGGCATGGGACGGGCGCGTGTGAATTGCCTGCTGCTGGACGGACCGCCTCGACGCCCAAGTGATGCAGGCAGGCAGGCAGGTACGCCTGGCCACCCACAGTTAGGTACCGTACAGTGCATTGTCCTCTGCGCCAGCAGGGTTCTTTGCATCACAACCCGCCACCACCCCACCCCTGCCCTCGTCTGGTTCGCCAGCCCGCCTGCGCCGCCCGCCGCCTGTGGGGTCCACCCTGTGCGAATCGACCTGGTCTGGACGGAGCGGGCTGGCCCACGGTCCACAGCATCGAGACGTGCCAGAGGCATGTACCCAGCACAGTGTCCCAGAGGACAGCCCCTGGCCCGCTGAGCCCTAGGGGCGGCCGTGATTGGCCACCGGCGACACCAGAGAACCCCACTGGCCATCGCCCAGTGAGTGGTCTGCATTGCATGCGATGCCTGCTGGGGCCGCTCGTGGGCAAGGCCGCTCCCCCTCCCTCCCAGTCCAACAAAATCCTTTGCCCTCTCTCGTCCCAGCTTCCGCCCGCCTGCCCATCCGTCCTCCCACTTCTCCTCTCGCACCCCCCTTCCGCATAGTCACCTCGCACATACTCTCTGTACCCATATCCAACCGCCAACAATTCAAGCAAATAAACACACAACTCCTCACCGCTTCAGCCTTGCTGCGCGCCTTTCGCAATTCTCGAATCCCTCCAGCCTCACGACCACTATCCTGCTCGTCCATCCGTCGCTGGCCGAGTCAACTGTCTGCTTATCCACCTGACGCTTGCTCCTCCTTGTCTCGGGTATTTCCCGCACAACGCACGGTCGCAGTCCACACCCACCCACTGCTGCCTCAGGCCTTCCACCAACAACAACACAACACCTGCCAACTCGCACACCGGCCTGCCACTCGACTCCTGCGCCTAGCATCCTTCTTCCCGTGCCTTATCAACCACACACTGCCGACAACCACCCAACATGTCATTCACGTCGTATCATTTCAACCAGCAACAGCCCACTGCCACCGGCCCATCCGTCCACCAGCAGAACCACCATGGCCGCAACAGAAGGGCACCGCGTCTGTCCGTCTCCCAGAACTCGCAACGTCAGTTCCGCGGCGTCAAGAGCATCAAGGAGATGAACGACACTGCAACCGTCACCTCGTTCCGCTCACAGTTCGAGGCCAGCCGGTCCTTTGACCTCGAGGACGACATGGAGTTCTGCCCCAAGCTTCTGACGGAAAGCGATGTAAGTTGCAAACTTGACTCACCTGCGCGTGACTGTCGTCGACTGGATATGCTTCCAGAAACACCTTGGGTGCATCTGTGCTGACGCTTGGCTTTCCTTGTTGTTGCAGCTTGTTTCAATCAGCAGTGCTTCTTCGGACAGGTCCTCGCTGTCGAGTAACTCGCCCAACTCGTCGCCGACGCAGCACCCGCAGCAGGTCGCATCCTTCTCTCTCAACTCCACTTCTCCGGCTTTTGTGCCACCTTCTCTTCACAACCAGCAGTCGAGCATGAAGCTCCACCAGCCACACGCCACGCGCATTCGCAATGCGATCCCCATCATCAACCCTGCCAACGGCCTCACCATGTCTAGCCCGCCGCCCTCGGTGTCTCCTGCCCGGATGCAGCAGCCCCTCGGCCGACGCTGGTAAACACTACGTTTTCTCACATCAACTGCTTTGCCTCCCCGCATATGCGCGTTTGTGATGATCTCTAGTATACCATCTTTGTGCTGAGGCGTCTTGCTTCCCATTCATACTTGAAATGCAGACCTTTCAATCGTCTCATTTTGGCAGGTACCGATTAGACAACAGGCATCGACAAAACCACGACCTTTACATAATATCTTCAGGGCTCGACTGCTGGCTTCATCCCCAACCTATATCCCTTTTAAAGCACCAGATATCCCCCCTGTACAAAAAAACATACATTTCTATACGACATGCACTTATTGTTTATCGGCACGGTTTGGAGCTGTCACGATGAGCTTTCGCGCGGGATCTGGAGATATCGATACCTCTTGCTTTTACTCGGTTTACACGCTGGAAATACCCCCCCTTTCTGATCACTCGGAAGACCGGTGTTTTCCTGCCTTCTCGCCAAAAACAAAATTATTGGACGATGGCGCTCGCTTTTGCGTATTTCTGGGAATTCTGCGTTTCTCGTACACGGATGGGCGTGTTTTATCAGCAACGCAGCGGTCTAATTTTTGCATTTCATCACTCGCATCGGTGTTTGTTCACTACACAGTTCGGAGTACACTGGTTCGCATCGGGGAAGCGGCATCACGCACAAATCATCACTATTTGTCACGACGTTGAGAAAACAAAAAGAACACTCTCCAAACACATAGAACGCCCTCGGCTTGTTCGGGCGACGAAACCCTGGGGGCCGGTCACTGTTTTTGGGTCTTTTCCTGGGTTTTCCTTTTCATCTGGTTGCAGGCGGGCGGGTTACTATACATTGGCCAAAGCGAGGCGGCGGTGTTCTTTGCGGGGAGAATCATTGGGTTTACACTGCGATGGAGATATCCAAATACGGGGAAACGGGAAATCAGCAACCATGTCTAGCAACACCTTTTGTTGTCGTTTATGGGTCTAGCGGGCGAAATCGCGCTCGCGGGGTTGTCTTGTTAAGTTGTCGTTTCATCTTTGAGAGCAGCCTCATTTTCTCATGACCAGCGCGGCAATCGCGGGGAGCGTACGGGAGCATCTGCTTCTTGGGTTTCTGGGCCGCTTTCTATGCGGCGGAATACGGAGTTTGAAATTGAAATCTTGGAATATTTTCCCTCTTCAACCACCTGAATTCGGATATCGTGATATGTGTCGCATCATGCCTACGCTCCATTGACAACTTGTTGTACAGAAGACATTGTGGATCTGTCTCGATCTTGGGAAAAGGTGCTGTGAAGTGAAAGACCAATACGCCTTAGAAATGGCCATTGGATGACCACACATAACAGACGAGCTACGATGATCTGAACCAGATGAAAAGCCACGTGTGTCCTTGCACACGCCTCTCCTGCTGATGAGGTGCCCGTTGCGTTTAAGGGATAGTCGTGTTTTCAAGGACTTGGACTTGTGTGTATGATCGGCGCCTTTGAAGCATTTTTGCAGCATGAAATGGAGGACACTCGAGGCCGTCCCAGGCAACGACTTCTTGTAGTCTAGTTGAACTTGGGGGGGGGGGGGTTGTCCGTGGAGGCAAGCTGCCTTTTCGTTAGTAGTGCCTTTCTTTGCTACACGCACCTCTCTAGATGTTATTACCTCGCTGTGTTGTTTTCTTCTGGTGGTTTGGGATACCGAGAGGTGAAAGGGGGAGAGAGAGAGAGAGAAAGAGAGAGAGAAAGAGAGAGAGAAAGAGAGAGAGAAAGAGAGAGAGAGTGTGTGTGTATGTGTGTGTTCTCTTTTGTATACATCCAGCGTCAGAAAGGTATTTTCATGGTTCTCAATATGGTTCTCGAATAAAAAGCTTTTTCGCGGTGTGTATATTTTTACTATCAGTGAACCGATTTTTGGTGTCGAATTACCGCGGGGAGGTTGTTACTTAATTCGCACCCAGGTTGTTGTCGTCGCATACTTTCTCCTTTCGTACTTTTCGGCATCACTCACTCTTGAATTTGTACCATGGAGCTGACAATAAGGGATTTTTTATTTTTATTTGTTTGTACGGTACAGCAGGACTAGCTGGATACGTAGACATTCAAAACAAATATCAACTGATCCTTAATTTTGATGGAAAACAAAAACATCCTTTAATACAGTTCTGCCATTCTCGCTAGTTATCACAAGACTCGAATACTCATATCCTTATGGAGCTCACCGGGATAATCCTCAATTATTGCTATTCTTCCCTTTCTGATATTCCTTCCTTCGTCCTGCCGCCACATTAAAAAACAAGATAACCCGAGAAACAACGAACGAACGAACGAAGTGGTACGACCACCGACGACGCCCTTCCCCCCTCTCTCTCACCGCTTCGGATTCACCCAAACCATGACCTCGTCCACGGCCTTGCCGCCGCTCCTGCCGAGCGCCTTGACAATCTGCCAGACCTGCCGGGGCACAAACACCGCGACCTGCAGCAGCGCCTCGCCGAGCCAGTACACGACGCGGCCCAGCAGCCCAAACACCGTCTTGAGGACGTCGTACACGGCCCGCGCGCCGCCGACGAGCATCTTGTCGTACAGCACGTCCCTGGGGAACGCGACGAACACGGAATGCAGCAGGACGGCCAGGCCCCGGAGCACGTCCCGCGCCGTCACGCCGCGGCAGAACCTCGCGAGCGCGAGCAGCATGGTGTGCAGGAGCGAGACGAAGCGCGCCAGGACGTCGACCGCCGCCCGGCCGGCGGCCCTGAGCACGTTGAGCAGCCACAGCACCGCGATCCGGCCCGCGGGCGGGATCCTCTTGAGCAGCTTCCACAGCGCGGCCGCGAGGTCCCTCGCGTACTCGGGCAGTCTGGCGATGATCTTGACGGACTTCCTCGCGGCGGTGTTACATGCCCTGCCGAACCGCTTCGCGCGTCCCGGGAACTCGGTCACCTGCCGCTTGCACCATGCTGGGAACTTGTCCTTCTTGCGCCAGCAGTACCTGGTGAGCCTGGCAGCAGGGAGAACGAGCACGTGTTTCGGAACCGTCCATACAAGGTGCCGGGGGATTTCCCAGAACAGGATGGCGAAGAACTGGGCGATGCTCGCCCCCGCCCGGCGGATGCGGCGCAGCGCGAGAGCGTGCGTGTCTTTCCAGCGCAGGAACTCGCCGCCTCGGCGCAAGGGCAGGTACTCGACGACTTCGCGGTGGTTGTTGGCTGCCGCGAGACGTAGGGCGAGTTGTCCGTCTGGCGCGATGATGGCGTCGTCGGCCGGCCCACCGCCCAGCTCCGTTGTCATCAAGAGCCGCACGAGGACGAGGTTGCCGCGGGTTGCTGCAACTTGGAGGGCCGTACGCAGCGGCAGGGCGCGGTCGTGCGTATTGCGAAGGTAGAGCCTGCTGTGCCTCTGACGACGTGCGTCCTCGGAGAGGTAACGCGGCGTTGACTGAGGGAGGCCCTGGGGAGCTGACGAGCTCGAGTGCTCCTCGTCGTCGTATGCGGCAAGGGCGTTGATTTGTGCACCCAGCTGCAGTAAACATCGGACCATGTTGGCGTCGCCCGCATTGACGGCGACAATGAGAGGAGTGCTGCCAATATCGTCCGTCACGTCCGGGCTCACGATGCCGGTGCTGACGAGCCGAGAGACAACTTCCACGTTTTTGCTCCGTACCGCATCGTAGAAAGAATCTATGATCTGTGCTTGATGCTCGTCCTTCGCTTTCTGGGCCAGTCGCTCTTGCTCCTGACGAGCCCACTCTTCAGCACTCACTGTACTGGACGATTTGTAGTTGCTGTATTTGGCTGTTTTCTTTTGGCCTCTCGATGTCATGAACACAGCCGTCTGGTGCAAAAGGGACTCGGGATAGCGCGTGATTGGGGCGTGTGGATGTTGCTGTTGTGGTTGTGGTTGAGGTGATGACGGTGCTTGGTTAAGCTGAGAATCATCTTCATCGCTCTGGCGAGGTGGTGAGGGAGGCAGGACCTCGATACCACCACTCACATCCTCAACTGTGTAGACCGGCACTGGATCATCGCTGGCCGCCATGACGAGCTCCGATGTGGGTGTTGCTGGCTAGCCGTTTCCTTGAATGCCGCAGTCTGGTCTGCGAGGTTCTGTATCTGCTGGGCACGAGCTCGTGGATGGTTTCCAAAACTCAAATGGACGAAGGAGCACGTGCTCGTGACGTTCGTGGCTGAAATCTAATGATGAGATTATGAACTCGAAGCCGGGAGCGCTTTGTGAGGAAGGCGCCCGTACTGTTTTATATTATGTTACAGCTGGGTAGCCGCAGCAAAACATCTGCCTGGGAGGGCCGTTGATTGCGGTTTGCTTCACAGGGCCGTGATATAAGTCCGTGACCCTTGAAAATGGTTGGCTGCAGCACAGCACGGTAAGACCATGACTTGTCCTTGCTGGCATGTGAATAGGGTGCCTAGTCACGATCATTGTGGAGTGATCGAACTAATCTCTGTGACAATCGCCCAATTCGTCCTCAGATGAGGCACGTTTCGTGGTCATCAGACAGACCCGGCAGTTTGGACACCCCGTCGTGATTGGCGCTATCATGAGAAAGCCTGGCCTTGCCAAGCAGACCGTTCAACAGCCGTGGTCCACAGCTTAGGGTGGGCGAACTACGAGGCCGACCACACGAAACCTTCAACGACATGTGCCATTTGCCAGACGACGACTTGTCAGGCACGACAACCTTGCACGCGCACGCCTACCTCGGCCTGTCAAAGAAAGTTCGGACAAATGTTTCGAGGCAGCCCCCTTGTCGGCGCTCGAGCTGGGTGCCTGGGTGCCAATATCATGTGAGGGACCCCAGCATAGCCACGTCGTCGGTGGTGCGGCTGAAAGCTCCACCCCCGGTCTAACTTAGCTGCCCTGAATCTGCGAGGTTCGGCAAATGCCCACTTCCACGTCGCCCTGCTCATCTGCATGCTCATCAAAGCATGAACGCGTGTCTTGCGCTCTTTGGTGGTGAATCTCATACAGCAATGTGCGCAGGTCAATATTGCGGGCGACTCTGGCGTTTGCGATTGTGCTAGGGATATCTCTGATCGTGCAGCTCGCTTCTCTCTATTCTTCCCGTAAAGACATCTGCCACCAGCATCATCATGCTTCCGCCCAGACGACAGCTTCGTCCTCGCCGTTCTCACGTGTTCGTAGCATGGCCAGTCCAACGGCTGCCACCACAGCACCGGCCACAGCTGCCACCACCAGGACAGCAAACGTCAATGGCCGTGCCGAAGACCTAGGTTTGTCCGCCATGTCGGTGAAGATGTGATCAAGACGCTGCGACATCTGCAGCTCACCAAAATTCTGCTTGACCCTGTCAATCCCAGCTCTGGACATGTGCTCCGTCTCTTTGGTGGACATGCGGTTCAACACCTGGTCCATGACGTCTGCCCACTCGTCAGGGCGATCTGGAGAACGGAGCCAGCCCGTCTTCCCATCCACCACAGTTTCCCTTGGCCCACCGGTGTTGGCTGCGAGCACGGGTACTCCAGCCAGCATAGCCTCGAGAGGGACGATGCCAAAGTGTTCATTAGAAGGCGTGTAGACGAGCAAGCGAGCAGAAGCAAGCAGTATCTCTTTCAGCAGGTTCGGGACGGACTGCAGGAAGAGAACCTGCACGTCGTCGGGCACCTGCATAGCTGTGGGCAGGGTCTTGGCCGTCATGCTGCTCAGGCCGAGAGACTCTGCCAATTGTGCCAATTCTTTGTGATATTCTACGTTCTCAACAACGCGATTATCGTAGCCTCCTGCTAGCACGAGCCGGACGTCCTTTCGCTGGTTCTCGTCCAATCTCGCGAACGCCTTGATCGCCAGCTCAATGTCCTTCTTTCGCTCGAAACGGTTGATAGACAAGACGAATTTCTTGCCGTTCCATAGAGGCTTGTCCGCATTGTCGTCGTTTGAGGCCTGGCTCTTCGTTTTCGGGGAGGTATCAACGCATGGATAGACTGTGATGAGGTCCTTGCGCCGTGCGAGATCTGGCCACGTCTTGGCCACGACGCTCTTGGTGAAGTCGGAGTTGACGGCGATTGCATCGGCGAAGCTCATGCTCCATTGCTCCCATATGTCGAACGGCACGCGATAGGCTCGCTTCCACCATTTCTGTCGGCCTTTGGCCAGCAGAAGATCCGGAAAATGACAATAGAAGAAGATCCGACCCTCGGGGTGCAGCCAGCGGAGCAGCGGCAATCCAGCACTCAGCTGATCCACGAAGTAGGCATCGGGGTGTATCGATCGAAGCTCGGACGAGAGGTAGATCTGGATAATGAGGTGAAGTTGTCGGAGGATCGCGCAGAGGATGCTGAAGCGGGCAAGTATGGAAGGAGGAACGATGCTGTCGCCACGCACGCGGACGTCGAGGGTGCCTAGGCCGATCAACGATTGGAAATTAGTCTATGGAGGGGTTTTCCATGCGACACTGCGCGGTATCGGTACGCACCGTCTCTCGCCTCATCAAAGCAGTGCTTTGGATCGCAATGGCTCGTGAATATGACAACTTTGTGCCCTTGCTTCTGCAAGCCGACAGCGGCATCGACGACGAGCCGCTCCGCGCCGCCGATGCCAAGGTCGGGGTGCAGGAAGACAATCGTCTTTGGTGCTGACGGCTTTTCCTGTTTTCCTGCCATCGTCGCGTTGGGCTCAGAATTGGTGTCGTGGCGGGCGGGCGGTTGGCAAGGGCAACGTCAGAACCCTCATGTTTTGCGCCACGATTCACACGTGGAAGCTCCCGTGGTGCGTCCCTGCATGACAGGTGCCTGCCCCTCCCCACCTGCACCCACACCACACCCCAATCAGACCGGCCGTCAGCGTACAACAACATCCTCCTGCCTCGGATCATGGAAAGGGTTCAAGGATGCGCCCTCACTTGCGAGCTCGAAGTATCAGGACTTCAGTACTTGCAATACACAGGTCTTCAGCTGCTTCTAAAGATACAGCTTGCACCGGAGAATGGGGATGGGGTACCGACAACCTTGTGGCTCACTCTCTCAAGAACATGGCTGGAACGGTAAGCTCATTACGTAGTGATGCAAGAGTCTTGCTATGCATGCGCAAATTACTGCACATGCATAGCAAGACTCTGGGCAGCCAGATGTGCACGATTGGCCACTCTGCGATCTGTCCAGGCTGGCAGAAGGATGCGAAGTCATGACTCGATCTCTTCAGGCTTCGAGAACGACGAGATGCATGTGGATCAAGACATTGCTTTTGGCCTTGAACAATGCATTGTCGTAACACTGACGACGTTGATGTGTGTCGATTGTTCCTGAAATTCCCACGGTGAGGTCAATGACGATGTTGATGCGGACCGAGCTTGGCAGCGCTCGAGCGGATGAGGCGTGTGACAAGGCCTGCCTGTGTGACCGTGGAACTAGTGGTGGTGGTGACCACGTCACACTCTGCACTGGCACCACAGCCATTTCTGGTTCTGCCCAAGAACACCTAGATTGTTTGATGGGCAGCTGCGGGCTGGTGACCACTGCTGTTCCGTACCATGCTGCACTGCAACCAGGGCATTTGCCGTTCCTGGCGCGCTCAGTGCCCAGACGAAGAGCCTATGGAGATCTCGAAGCTTCTTGCTTGACTGGTGCTGCGACTATCGACGGACTGCGTCATGTAGCCTCTACTAGCCCTCGCCAGAGACAAGAGCCGAGCGGTGCACCCCTGATCTAACTGCCACCTAGCCACATGCCTGGTACAGTCCAACATCCATATTGTCCCTTGGGGGTCTGCCTCTCGTGCCTGCTCATCTTGTCTGTACTGTGATAATTGATGGTCCTCAGGTGTGGAAGAGGCCCTGGTCAGATGCTTCGTCTGCCAGTCCCATTTGCAGTGAGAAGCACTTTAGGTAGCCCGATTCCCAGCCAAAAATGCAACCCTGGGAGCGCTGCCATCTAGGAACCCCTGCCCCTGCCGCCCGCTTCACAGGGCCCGCCGCAGGATCTCTGGGATCTGGAGGCTGGTGATGTCATCCGCGATCGCATCGGCTGTTCCCTCTCCAGCTCCAAACGGACGGCCGGAGACATGCCAATTGGTGCTCTGCTTTGTGGAGTGAACACGCCAAGTGCACCATAGTGATCAATGAACTTTAGAAAAAAACAACAGAGCAGGGCCTAACGGCGTCTCCGCCGAAGATCTTGCCTAGCAGAAGACAAGACCGGAGACCGGATAAGCAATGCCTGGCACCAGCACTCGCGGTGAGGCTGCGGGGACCAGGTTTGCCTGGAGATGCTGGGCAAGGGCTTTTCGTCGAACAAAGTTTGGATGGAGCTTAGGCGATGCTGCCGGAGTCTGGACCTGCGTTCGTGGGCTCACAAATCAGAACTCGCCGGAGTGGGACGCGAAGCAAAAGAGGGATACAGGTGGCTGGGATGCCCAGCCACAATCTCAGTCCAGAGGGACCTTCACAAGGCAAGGGGCAAGGTGCAGTTGTCCGTCCCGCGCTAGTGAAGCTTTTGCCAGGCCAGGTTGTGCTCTGCAAAAGGTTGTTGTTGGCTGTCATGACGCCCTCCGAGCTCTGAGGGGTGCTCGTCCTGGAGGAACCCCTGCCCGGCGGGCCTCCCCACTGCGAGGCCGCCAGCCGCCACCGATTGGCTGCTTGGGGGCTTGGCACAGCAAGCTGCCCTGGGGCCGCCCCAAACAGGGAAACAAGCTTGGCAGGAGCCGACCACGAATCTCAACCGCATTGGCCAATCACGCGCCAGATCGTCATTGCTTCCACGACCAGACGTGCCCAGGTGAGGTCCCATCCATGGCAAAGTCACACAGCACGGGATCACAATCTGCAATGTTTACCTAGCGCATTGTCCCGCAGCCTCGCCAGTCCCAGCAACGGCGCCGCTGAATGCCTCTGTCGTCCCGATGATCGGCGGCAGTTCTGCCCGGCTCTGGCCAGCTCAGATCGATCATCACTCCGCCCGCGATGTGGAGGCACGTTGCGATGCTCGACATTCACACCGCGAGGGCTTGATGTGAGGCCTCACCACTCGCAAAGGATCGGAGACCTCATCTGTGCGGTGGCTGGCTGCTCTGGCTGCTCTGGCAAGTACGTGTGCGGGTGGCTTCGTCATCGAGGTCGCGCAGATGGGCAGACTTTCCTGCGCATCGTCCGTGTCAGCGTCAATCCTAGCGACAGAGACGTCCTTTCGGTTTCCCAACACAACAATATAATATATCCACGAGCTCGCTGGTGAATTGCAAAAGGGGCCCTACGCCTTTACTTGCAGGAGAGCTAGCCTCTGATCCCACAAGCAAGCAGTCAACGGAGTGTCGACTCTTGTGTTGCGACACATCGAGGTCCTTGCCGAAGGCGGCCTCTGGAGCAAGATGTTTATTGCGCCACATTGACGCCTCGTGGCCGAGTAAACTCCAGGCTGTTTCGATCTCCCAAACTCTGAATGTGCACTGAAGGAGTGCGCGTCGCGGAGCAGTGCCTCTGCGCTGTTCCCTGGAGCATCCCATGCTCGATGATCTCAAGGCGCCGGATGCGGCCCCACTCCCACGCATCGCGCTACCAGGGGTGCAACGCAACCTTGGAACGCCTGCTCTGGTGGGTCCTCCGACCTCTCCATCTTTTGATCCGCCGATGATGAAAGTGCCCGCACCGCGTCGACAACTCATCATTCGCCCGGAGATGCCAGCGCAAACAAGAAACCCACGCAAGGCCCGGCTGGGCCGGCCGCGCCGCGCGGGTTGCACGCACGGCAGAGCACAGCACAGCAGGCTAGCGGCCTGCACGCATGCCTAGTGCGTAGAGTCTAGTAGCAACGACATCGTCACACGCCATGCGGTGTGGCCAAGGGCCCTGCCAGCCTCTAGCGTTGTCCTGGAGATTGGGCCTGCCATGGAAACCTGATATTGTTCGATCTCCATACAGCTGCAGCTGACGACAGGCTCGGGGCTCGGTGGTGCAGGAAAATAAATATCGAGTAGAGCCGCCTGCGGGCAACAATTTAAATCTTCTGGCCACCATCCTGCTTTGCGGACTTTGTCAAGCACCAGTGCCTTGGGATTACCACCAACAAAACACCTTACCAGCAGCAACCCAGCCAAGCTCCGATCCCACCTCGGCCTCTTCAAGTCTATCCAGTTGGTAAGTGCAAATCGACCTGGGCGGAAGGCTCGCGACTCTGGCTCTGCGCGACTGTCTTGGAACAGTCTATCTTGTGCCTGGCTGATCGCCGTGCCTCCCTGGCTTCACCAAAATCTCCATTCGGCTTCACCCGCCCTTCCACACCTGCTCCTGGCTCATATCCCACGGCCTAGCCTGTGTCTCACGCAGCACAGCTTGTCTTCCCCTCTGAAACCCTTGAGCGACTCGAAATCTCGGCAGCCTCCCGCCAGTCAGCGCTGGCCGTCCTGGGAGCTGTGGTGCCTTTGTCATTTCCCATGTGGAAGGGCGCTCTTTCCCTGCATGCCTTCCATCCACACTCGAGTCGCACCTTCCTGAGCTCACGAGGCCCTCACCCCCAACTCACCTTCCACCTGGCGTTTGGCATCGCCTCCCATTTCTTCCTCTCTCACCCCCATCACTTTCATCCACCCCAGGCCACGTCCATCTTCTCTCCTGCAAATCATATCAACTTGTCGCGGGCGCTCTGCCATCAGGCACATCCACATCTCCAGTTCTTGCACGCTTTTTGAGACATCATCACCACCATAGCACAAACAGCAAGCCAACCATACTTACTGAGGTTCGCGGTCAACAGATATCGACAGCCCATCTTCACACCCGTCAAGATGAGGTCCTCCGCCGTTCTCCTTGGCGCCGCTGCCGGCCTCGTCGCTGCCCAAGCCGGATTCCCTGAGGGTTTCCCCGCGTGTGGTGTAAGTCCCCATGCCTCAAATCACGCATCTGCTGTCGACCTCTAACATGGAACTTAAGAGCACCTGCATTGGCAACATGCTGGGCCTCGCTGGCTCTCTTGGCTGCGAAGCGACCAACGCCCAGTGCCTCTGCAACAACCAGGATTTCGCGTACGGCATTAGAGATTGCTCGCGTCAGGCCTGTGGCGATGAGCAAGTTGCAAACCAGGTCATCGCCTACGGTGTCCAGTACTGCGCCAGTGAGTAATCCGTGATGATGTGGTCACCATAGGCATGGCTTGCTGACCATGTTCTCAGACGCCGGAGTCGCCGTCATTGTCCCGGGTGCACCTGGTCCCGTAAGTTCCCTCCCAGTATGAGAGTGTCTGAACTTTGCTGATCGTCTCTTCTCCAGTCCGGCACTGGCCCCGTGTCTACAACTCTCGAGGCTACCTCGCCTCCTACCAACACCCAAGGTGCCGTTGGAATTAGCGTAAGCTTCTCATTACAACTAGTCTCGTTTCCCATCAGCTACTAACTGGTGATTGCAGTCCACTGGCAGTGGCGAAGGTGTTGGTTCGTCCGCGTCCGGTCCTGGTGCTTCGTCCGCCTCTGGTGGTGCGGGTAGTGCTTCGACCCCATCTGGCACGGGTGCCGTACCCATTTCGACTGCTGCTGTCCTCGTCACTTCCACCAACTCTGACGGGTCGGTCGTGACCAGCACCATTGGCTCAACCACCATTTACTCGGAAGCTAGCGGTGGTGGCCTTGGTGGTCTTGTTCCCATCTCGACCGCGACCATTGTCTCAACCGGCACCGATTCTGCTGGTTCGACTTTCGTGACCAGTGCTACTAGCACGATCTTTTCGTCATCCGCCGGTGCTGGTTCCGGTTCTCAATCCGCGCCCGGCTCTGGCTCTGGCTCTGGCTCGGCTTCTGGCTCTGTGTCGACGATTGTTACCAGCGTGAGCACAAACGTCCCCATTACCACCACCAATTCTCAGGGCAGCCCCGTCTCCACCAATGTCCCTAGCACTGTCGCTACGACACGCACGACCACCGGCTCTCCTGGCCTTGCTGTCAAGCAGACTGCTGCCCCTGTCGGCCTTCTTGCTGCCGCCGGTGTTGCCGTTCTCATGCTATAAGCGCGTTGATCCAGGTCCCTTGCCGCATCTCGGAAAAGTGCCAAGCGGCAGAGGCTTTGATTAAGGTCGAACTGTTGACGGGTCCAGACAAGGACCGTAATACAAGTGGATGGGTGAAGGGAGACTGGAGTTTTTGTTGTTTTTGGAGCCACGAAACGTCTGAAATGTCATGATGTACAAAGGGAAAGGTCTATTGACCGCTAATGGCACACTGAGATACCCCTCTCTGGGCATTGGGCAAATGGTAGTTGACCGGCTTCTTGCTCTTCTTCACGATTAATGAAACAACTTGTTGTCCGATATTGCATCATCCTGATGCCATCTGGTGATGTGCGGATGCATGCGCACAATCAGATCATGTGTTTTGAACGGAACGGTGCCAGCTGTAAGCGGCGCCGGCCGAGAAAGCCACGGACAGATCAAAGCGATGAACATGACTGCCGGTCGTCGGCTATCGGTCTTTTAAGGTTATGCACGTTGCTGGTCAAAGTATCTGCGGCACTTGTCCAAGGCGCGCCTGACACTGTACCGTGCGGGGCAACTTGCAGGAGCTGACGATTAAGGAAGTGCTGTGCCCGGTTGCGGTGCGGAGAAAGAGGCCATTGTGTGGTATTCCAGCTCATGTGAAGTCAGCCGGCACGCTTCGCCGCTGGCCATCTGTGGTCTGATGGTTATTCTTCCCCTCAATGCCTATCCCCAGTCTCAAGACTCCCGAGAACAACACTTGCAGTGCTCGAGACCACGAGAAGCTGGGCATCGTGGATAACGCTTACACAAGCACTTGACACTCTGCATCTTCTACATCTTCTAGAACCCATCGCCTGACCCCAACCAGGCCCCTCTCGACTTCGGACCTCCCTGACGTTTCCCCGCACCGTAGCATCCCAGGTACGTGGCCAGCTGTTCGCTCAAAGTTCCTCGTCTCAACACACCTCCAAAAAGAAAGCCACAAGCACAATGGCTTCCACCAGCACCGCTGCTCCCTCAAGGGGTACCCCTCCTAGCGGGAAGATCCGGCTCGCGACAGCCTCTCCGGGGACGCAGGCCACGACTCGGCAGACGGTGGGCGAGCTGGAGCAGATAGCCCGGAGGGCGGCGGCCGAGGGCCAGGCGGATATCCTGCTGCTGCCCGAGGCGTACCTGGGTGGCTACCCCCGGGGGTCCGACTTTGGATGCAAGATTGGAGCTCGGGACCCGAGGGGCAGGGAGGAGTTCCTCGAGTATTTCAAGCAGGCGGTTGACCTTGGCGATGTGGTCGGAGAGGCTGGAGCTGGGGGCGGGGAGAGCTGGGTCAAGAGGAGTCTTGGTGGGAGTGATGGTGGTGGTGTTGGTGAGACGACGACGAAGAAGCAGCAGCAGCAGCAGCAGAGGGGAGACGGGACGAGGGAAGAGCTGGAGCGGATCGCAAAGGAGACGGGCGTGTTCCTTGTGGTTGGCTTGGTGGAGAAGGCTGGTGGTAGCTTGTATTGTGCGGCCGTATATGTCTGCCCGTCTCGTGGCATGATTGGGAAGAGGAGGAAGGTCATGCCGGTGAGTTTTGCCGTCCCCCATTCCAGAACTGCCAATGGCTGAGCGGAAGTGGGAATTTGCATCGAGAGAAAGAGAGAGAGAGAGAGAGAGAGAGGTGTGCTAATGATGAGTGACCAATCGAAAAAAAAAGACTGGCACAGAACGCCTCATCTGGGCCCAGGGCTCACCGGCGACGCTCAAGGCCGTGAGCACGGTGATCCGGGGCGTGCGAATCAACATGGCTGCGGCCATCTGCTGGGAGAGCTACATGCCGCTGCTGCGGCAGGCCATCTATGCGCAGAACGTCAACCTCTACCTCGCGCCGACGGCGGACAACCGCGACGCGTGGATGAGCCTCATGCGCACCGTGGCCCTCGAGGGGCGGTGCTTTGTCGTCAGCGCCAACATGTGCGTCCCCGAGGGCGTGCAGTCTGCCACGAACGGGCAGCCGCAGCAGGCAGCTCCGCACAGCAGCAGTCCTCGCACCACGACGACGACGACGGCGGCGGCGACGACGGGGGAACGGAGGAGGAGGAACTCGTGCATGACCGAGGAGGGCTTCGAGATTGCCCTGCCCTCTGCTCCGGCCTCGTCCTCCTCCGCCGCCGCGACCAGCACGACTGTCACAAAGACGGCAAACACGCGGACGCGCCGACGGTCGGTGCTCGACGAGGACGGCAACGAGATTGTGCTGTGCAAACTTCAGCAGGAGTTACATAGGACGACGACCAGCGAGGCCGTTCTCGAAGAGCCCGAGGACGACGTGGACACAGCAGCATCGACGACCGCAACAGCAACAACCAACGGAGCCACCAACGGGACCACCAACGGAGCCACCAACGGAGCAAAGAAGCATACTGCCAGAAGCTTCATCTCTCGCGGCGGCTCGAGCATTGTCTCGCCCACTGGTGACGTCGTTGCCGGCCCGCAGTGGGAGGACAACGAGGGCATCATCTACGCCGACGTCGACTTTGACGACTGTATCCGCGGCCGGCTGGACCTGGATGCCGCGGGTAGCTACTCGAGGTGAGTCTCACATTTCCTGCTCGCTGTCTCTTGTTCCTGGCAGGAGGTTTTCTTTTGGCCCTGTCTTCCCCCCTTTTCGGACAATGCATATTTCCCGGTCAAATGTTTGAGCTACTCCGCCCACATGACCAGTTGCCAGCAAGACCATTTTCCTTAGCGATCATCTCATCCCCTGCATTCCTCTCTAGCAAGAGACAATGAAGTCGTCCGCAGGCTTATGTCCAATTGGGCACACACACACACACACACACACACACACACACACACGACGCCCCGGCGATTTCATGGCATTGTTTTGTGTCTTCCTTGTCATTCCTTCCCATGCTTGTCTCGTGATGTCTCGGTTTCTTCTCGCGCAAAAGTCTAGATCTAGACTATACTGGCACGCGGGAGAAAACCCCACGGTCTCTCCCTCTCCCTCTCCTTCTCTGTTTTTCTATGCCCCGACAAGGACCTAAAGGCGAACAAATGTGGAGGAAACAAGAAGCAGCGGCTAACCCCGCCTTGACATCCCCCGGGGAAAAAACAAAACAGGAACGACTCGTTCAAGTTCTCCGTCCAAGGTCTCGACCTGGACCCTCTACCGTACTACTAACAACAAGCCGAGATGCTACGAGAGATATCGGAACGAAGGGGGGAAGGGCGCGTCGTCGAGAATGCAACTTGGGTTTTTGCCGGGCTCCAAATAAGGAGATTGGCCAGATGCCTGTCTACGTTTTCTCATTTTTGCAGCAGGAGTATTGAGGAACTGCAAACGACATTTGTATTTATATGACAGTAAAAAAAATGAACAAAAATCGAGAGAAGGAACCACATTGGCGATTGGTGGTGGTGGTGATAATAATGCTCGGGAAATCCCCCTGCTACGCCGAGTCACGGGACGGTTGGGACAGTGTATAAGATGCTCCGCGGACATCATCAAGTTTTTAGTTACACACGGCGCTGCTGTTTTCGACAAGTCCGGAGAATGGAAACAATGATGGATGAGGTGGAACAAACGTGGCAAAAAGGCGCACATGGTGGCCGAACAATGTCCCCCGCCCGGCCGGTCTCTCTGTATCAGCTTCGTACCCGGGCCCAAAAACTTGGCATCGTCAAGGGATAACAACGGGACAGAGTCAGACAATCTGGGCATCGGTCCTCGTTCTCACATACCTTTCTCTGAGCTCTGTCGGCATGTGAGAAAAGGGAAAAAGGGGGGGAAAGGGGGGCGAGGGGTACACCAGATATCTCCCAACAGCCGAGTGAGGCTCGGGGCGCGAAATCTTCCCAGCATGCAAGCATGCATGCATGTCAAAAACAAAAAGCACCCGATGCAAGACATAGTTCTTGGCCCATTCTCTGCAATGCCACCACCCCCTTGCCGCACCTCCTCTCCATTCTTTGTGACTCCTCAACTTGCCCTCAATACAAGCGATACAGGTGTCAAAGGTCTAAATCATTTCAATCAGTCTACTCAGCAGTAGATTGGAGGGTATCTCGTCTGTTATCTAATTCCAAGCGCAAAGAAACCCCAATTCGGTAGCACCGGCCAATTGCAATGCAATCAGCCTCCTGTCCGTAGACGTGGAGGCACAAATCTAACTATGTCACAACCAATGGCTGTCTTTGCACGGCTGGCATAAACCCTGCTCCGTGGTCAGACAAGCCTTGCGCTCCAAACACCTTACTCTATTGATCGAGGAGTTGTTTCTCCTTGTGCTCAAGAGCTGGGTCCGTATTCTCGTCGCCACCTGGAGCTAGAGGACGCTCAGTCTCTGAAACCTCCCTAGGGCTTGCAAGAGGACTGTTGACGCCTCCGACGCTCCCAGTTACGCTGTCCGCCCGGTTGTGTCCAAAGAAGCCGCTGCGCACACTGACGGCATCGCCAGCGAGCTGTTTTCCTGCATAGTAGCTGTTGCGCTCACTGGGCAGAGCCGGGGCGACTCCGGTGGCTGAGTATATGCTTGTTCTCTCGGCACCAGCTATACGAGAGCTGCCCTGGTAAACACTGGTGCCAGGTTGCATCGTGGTTGAGCCATCGACATTGGCACTAAGAACACTCAGAGGCAGGCTTTCCCTGCTTCCTCCCCAAAGCGAAGAAGGTGCGAGAGCTCGGACTGATGCATCCGTGTCCATGGATCTCCTCCGCCGCCGCTTGCTAGATGATGCCAAGGTCAGGATAGACGCGTTGTCGGTCAGCAGATTGTTGGCTGTAGCTGTGTTGTACGTGTTCGGAGGCCCGTGGGGCGCAAGATGCGCGGGAATGGCCGAGGCAGGCACCGAGGGGAAAGGTTGTGTGAATTGAATTGTCTGTGGGTTGCCTTGAGAGGCTGCTTGGCTCTGCGAGGGACCGCCTGGGGCATTAAGGGCCGTGTTGGGATTGACCGATTGGATCGTCGTCAATGTAGTCGTCAAAGACCTCACTGACGGGGCTGGTGATGAGAACGTGCTGTCTTCTCCTCTTCGTCCATCAAAACCACCGTTGGCTGTTCTGCTTGTTCCCGCGACAGAAGAGGCCATGTGCGAGGGGGCATGTATGGAGTGCGAGGCATCATGGTCCGTAGAGACGGTCCCGGCCATGGATAGTCCGCCGGCCGTCGTTGGTGGTGCTGGACCATCTCCAGAAAGGATCGACCCTCGACTTCGACCGTCGTCCTCATCGAAAGACACATTCCTGTGCGTGTGTGCCGTAGATAATGATGGCTGACTGTGATGTGCCGGTGTGCTGTCAGGGACGCGCCCAGACTGAGGATAGGGGTTGTTGTATCTGTTTTTGCTGGGCCGCAGCTTCTTTCCCGTTTTCGAAGGGCCGTCGCGCTTGTCTTCTGCAGAGTCTGCCGACGAAGACCCATTCTTGAAGGCGGCGAGCTTCTTCACCCAGCTGGCGAAGGGGCGCCTTCGACTAGAGCGTTCATGCGATCCTGTTGCCTCTGCATCTCTGATCAGCCCTGGCTCAGTGCAAGACAAGGCCAGCCTAATTGGTAGAGCCAGCGTGCTCGAGGGGAACCGGTGCCCAAAAGGCGTCGGATCATGGCGTGTCTATGAACAGGAACCATCCGAGTTGCTTACCATTGTAGGCAGGGGATGCGGATGTGATGGCCATCGCGGGGATGCACTTCCAAGTGTTGTCGCAATGGTCGAAGATGCCGGGAGATGTGTGCTCTGGACGCGGCAAGCGAGGGTTGGTAAAGAGCGTCGAATGGCGATGAGTTGTTGAGCAAGGGCGCAATCGACGTTGGGGAATCTGGGTGGCAATGCTGTTTGCGCAGAGTATGGCGTCGGTACAGGAGTCGGAAGGAGGAATGCGATCACGGCAGCTCCAACAAGCAAACGCTACTGGGGTCCAGCCAGCCTAGCGCAAAGCACGGCGTGTGCGGGTGGCTGAGGCTGGGGCTGCGTCTCCTTGGGAATCGTGCAGCTGTCAACAAAGAGCGGCGTGTTCGGCTTGATGCTCCAGGCAGCACAATGTCTCGCGGGAATCGAGGCGAATGGCCGGATTGGATCAGTTCTATGGCAAGCAGAAGTGTCAGTGCTCGCACACACGAGATGGAAAACCTCACAGTGATCTGGATCGCTTCTTGCGCAGCCGCGCTCCCTGTAGTGGTTGTGTAACCACAGACGCCACAGCGGGCGAGGCGACGCAAGGTGGTGAGCGCCGGTGCAAGAGACAGTGCATGTATACATACATCCCGGACGGATTCAACACATTGAGCACGGAGCCTGATGCGGTTTTAATGTCGATAAAGGCGATGCTTGCCCGGGGAGTCGAGGAGGAGAAGGAGGGAAAGGAGGCTGAATTCAGGCACCGGAAGGCGTGGATGGGCAATGCAAGATGGCCATGGAGTAGTGCCGCATTTCGACACAAGTGGGTGGTGGACGACCACGCAGTGTGCACCACGCACGCCTCACGCCAACCACTGGGCAGTCACCACGGGCCCGGCAGGCAGGCGTTGGTGCCTCGGGAACCAAGACCACAGGGGTCTGTCCTCAAGTGTCCCTCCTTCCCCAACACTGGGCACGCACTACGTAATGCGGGCGCGGTGGAGAACACCCAAATCTAGACAGTGTGCATTCGCTCATCCCCAGTCGTACTGCCTTCTCGCTCAATCCTATGGTAAATGCATGCGATCCCATGGATCCACAGCTAGGCTAGACGTAGCCATCACGTCCTCACGCAGGAAGGCGCTGGCGACATGAAGGTAACATCAGGCACAATAGTCGCATCGTCACCGTGAACCTGCCAGCGAGTCGCGGGCAGACTCCATGGCTGAGCTTCACTCCGCACCATCTTGACATCGCGCGGCCGCTCTGCCTACCATGCAGCAAGCCTCCTCCATCCACCGTCTACCACAAGATGCCATTGCCCAAATCAAATCTTCTGCTGTCATTGTCAGCCTCAGCGATGCGGTAGTCGGCCTTTTGGAGAACTCGCTCGACGCGCACGCCACCAAGATCAACGTATCAGTCGATTTTGCCCGCGGAACCTGCACCGTCGACGACAATGGTTGCGGCATCCTCCCAGGCGACTTTGCGGAGACGGGTGGCCTCGGTCGGCTATATCGTAAGAAAGTCGCCTGCCTCGCACAAGCACTGATCACTAACGATCCTCTCACAGACTCATCGCGTTTCTTGGCTGGCAGCGAGGCCCATGGCCGCCACGGAACCTTTCTGGCATCGTTGGCGGCTTTATCACTTTTGACCATAAATTCACACCATAAAGATCATGACTCGCACAGTGCAATCCGCCTGTACCGAGCCGAAGTCGTTGCTCGTCATGTACCGGCCTCACCGGAGCATAGATTTCTGACCTACTCTCATGGGACGAGGGTGGCACTTCGCGACTTGTTTGGTGGCATGCCTGTTCGCATCAAACAGCGGGCCTTCAATGCTGAGAGAGGACTTCACGCGAGAGAATTTGAACAGTTGAAACACGACATCGCCGCCGTACTGTTGGCATGGCCTGGTTGCGTCCATGTCGCCCTGCGTGATGCCAGTAGTGGACAGACTCTCTCGGTCCGTGTGCCGTCTATCAATTTGCAAGCTCCGAATCAGCGAGGCGATGTCTCCAGTCTGGCAGCCCGGCTGAATGCGGTACTGACCTCTGTCCAACTATCGGAGGAGAAACTCTCAGGATCTTGGATAGAGCTTCGTGCATCAGCAGGAGGGCTGTCAGTGTCGGGAGCCGTAAACCTGACACCAGTTGCTACGAAACGAGCGCAGTTCGTGAGTATCGGTATACGTCCAGTCAGGAACAGTCACGGCTCGAACCTCCTGTACGAAGAGATCAATCGCATCTTCGCTGATTCGGCATTCGGCGTCGTGCAGAACTCGACAACCGAAACACAGGCGCTTTGCTCAACGCCTACATCGACTCGCGAGAAGGCTAATAGTGGCACTCGCCAAGAACAAAAGGGACGCAAAGCCCTGGAGAAGTGGCCAATGTTCTTCCTCCAGCTGCAAATCGTTGATGCTGCTCAGCAAGATGAGGACCACCTTCTTGGCGAGCAGTCAGATTCTCTGTCCAAAATTCAGCGTTTGCTTCGGGCAGTTTTGTGTGAGTTTCTGCTCAAGCATGATCTGCAACCGAGGTCCTCGCAGCCTCACACGAAAACCCCGGATGGCAGACCGCTGTCGACAGAACCGATCGTTGGCCGACGAGCGACGCGTAGTAGTGGTTCGCGCCGGCGCAGCAGCTCTCCCCCTCGGAGCCGCATCGCTGTGGGTGATCTTGCCACTGCCCGAGTTGACTTGGCCGCGACAAGGGACATGCGCGCGCGAAGCAGGTCGCCTTTCAGTTTTTGGGGTCGAATCAAATCCGGTGTAGCATCGGACTCGCAACAGAGTATGTTGCACAAGTCTAGTCCTCTAGCTGAAGCCAACGGGTCTTCAAGGTCTGAAGTCTCCGCTACAGAGAGCGAGCCTTTTCTGCCACCCGGTCTTGCGCCAAGTCAGTCTCCTTCGACCTTTCAACATCGCGATGACGGTGGAGATCCAAGCTGTAAACGTAATACACAGAACACCATCACATGGATGAGTCCTGCCACCGATCATGTTTCGTTTCTCGATCGCCGAGGAGGCCTGCTTACACAGAAGCACAACCAACTTGCCTACTGTGCAGGCAATCGCATCTCCGATGCCAGTCGGAAATACCCTCTCGTAACACGACCGGCAGAGACAAAGCCTGCAAGCCCGTGGCTGACTGATTTGATTTCTAACTGGGAAAATCCAGTGTTTCCCAGTGCTGAATTGTCGATACCAGCGATATCGAGTGTAACAGAGCTACAATTCGACGACAAGCCGCCGCCCATGCGGAAGTTCTCGGAATACAAAGTGTCAAAGGTTATGCTCTCTCAAGCCGAGGCTGTCTCTCAGGTTGACCGGAAGTTTATTCTCGCTAAACTGCCAGCAATGGCCCATGCTACACTCTCCGAGTACTCTCTCTTGATGATTGACCAACATGCGGCAGATGAGAGATGCAGAGTAGAGGCATTGATGCGCGAGTATTTTCAACCTAAACGCACTGCTGCCTCCGATGACACGCAATACTGGAAAGCTGTGGCCGAGCCACTTGACCAGCCTCTGCGGTTTGATATTTCCGACCAAGACGCTGTCAGGTTTGCGGCAGCGAAGTCGTTCTTCGAGCATTGGGCTGTGTTTTACAGTATCAAAGCACAGCCTCGACCGATTGGCAATGACGAGAGGATTGTGCCCCAGAGTCTTGAAATTACCCAGCTTCCGCCCAGCATCTTAGAGCGATGCCAGTCAGAGCCGCGTTTGCTGATCGAGCTGTTGAGAGCAGAGGCTTTAAAGCTGCACGAGTCGACGCAGCCTTTACAGCATATGAATAGCCCAGCAACGAATGACACGGTCGGTGACAGCGATACCAAAGCTCGGTGGCTATCGAGGATTCAAGGCTGCCCTCGTGGGATATTGGAGATGATCAACTCCAGAGCATGTCGGAGTGCCATCATGTTCAACGACAGCTTGTCACTTAAGGAGTGTCAGGAATTGCTCCATCGGTTATCGACGTGCGCTTTCCCTTTCCAATGTGCTCATGGCCGCCCGTCAGTGGTGCCTTTAGTCGATATTGGCTTGAATGGCACAGCGCCGTTCCCAAAACAAAACCATCTAGTCTCTTTTCGAGAAACATACCGAGAATGGGCAGGGACTAATCATAAGATCACAGAGCCTTAAACAGAATGTCAAAGCGGAGGAGTTCCTTTCTGACATGTGCATGATGTTCACTCTCAGGAGTATCGGCTGCACTTACTCATGAGTCTGATGCTCGCATATTGCATACACATAAATATACACATGACAAAAGCGTTAAGAGCTGGGGCTTGATTAAAAGTTGCTGTGGAGGTGTGATGCTTGACTGGTGCTTTGAGGGTTACTATAGTGCGGAGGGGAGCGCGCACAGTATTGGCTACTCCACCCTTGCATATATGGTTGGCAGCTGAGCTCGGAGCTACCGTATGGTGGATGACGTCCCGATTAACCCCAGGCTCCCCAGATGAACCATCCGCAACACCGAGCTGCGCTACCCGTGCACAAGTACTTGCAACACCTCGACATAGAGCTGATGCGCGAAACCTGATGCTCATACCGAGCTGATCAGCCACGCGCAGGCCATAGCAAGGCACGATGGCTCTGCTCCTGGTTTGTCCTTTCCTCTGGCGCCCCCCTTGACGACTACCGTGGGCCGCGATCAGTATTGCTAACCTCCAACGGCTTCGGCTGCTGTCGCGTAGTGGAAAGCGTTCGACTTCTTCCAGGTACACCAGGTCAAGATCGAAGACGACGACAGGACTCTTGATGTCTCGGACGTCAGCAGCGTGTGCGCCGGGTCCGACAGCCTCTTCCTTGGCAGCGACGATGGCTACGTCTATATCGTGGGCCCGTCTTGGAAGGTGATGCGCAGCTTTCGCGCCCACGACACCGACCGAATCACCCATATGCGACAAGTCGAGGGTACGAGCCTGCTTCTGACAATCTCCGAGGACCTCAGCTCTGAGCCGCTGCTCAGGGTCTGGGCGCTCGACAAGATCGTGAAGAAGACCGGACTGCCCACCTGCCTCTCGGAGCTGCGCATCAACAACGGCCGCAAACAGTTCCCCATCTCGGCATTTGCAGCGCTGGACGACCTGTCGCAGCTCGCAGTTGGGTTCGGGAACGGCTCTGTGACAGTCATTCGCGGCGATCTCATAAATGATCTGGGAACACGACAGCGCATCGTCCACGAAGGGGAAGAGCCCATAACGGGTGTCGAGTTTGTGGTCGATGCGAAGACGACTACGCTCTTCGTTGCGACCACGGCCAAGCTTCTGAAGCTGCTGATCTCTGGCAAGGGCCAGTGGCAGGCGGCAAGGACAGTTGAAGACGCGGGCTGTGCAGCTCACTGCATGACCGTCAACAAGAAGACGGGGGACATTATCGTTGCTAGAGAAGATGCCGTATACTATTACACACTGGATGGCAGAGGCCTCTGTTTCGCCAATGACGGTGCAACAGATACTGTCTCTGCCTACAAGGACTACATAGCGCTTGTCTCACTGCCCTCGCCGTCGAAGAACGGTGCGGCAAAGAACATCGGCAGATCATTCGGAGGCGCAAATGCCGACGCGCTGTTCAATGCGTCGACTTTCTTCATGGTCGATCCGGCGTTGCAAATTGTCGCACACTCGGAAACGCTCATCTCCCAAGTCAAGGCGACTTTTCAAATCTGGGGTGATGTCTTTGTTCTCATGCAAGACGGAAAGGTGGGCCATATTGTGCGTGAAGCCAAGCTGAACGACGTTCTGACGAGTTGCAGATCAATCGGTATCACGAGAAGCCGTTACAGCAGCGTCTTGAGCTCCTTTACCAGCGAAACCTGTATCCGTTGGCCATCAATTTGGCTCAGAAGGCTGGTCTGGATGGCTCGCAACAAAACGCGATTTATCGCAAGTACGGCGACTACCTGTACCAGAAAGGAGACTATGACAGTGCCATGTCTCAGTACATAAAAGCAATTGACAGCACAGAGCCGTCACAAGTTATCCGCAAGGTATGATCTTAGACTGTGAAGCCCCATCTGCTCTATGGCAACCTAACAGCACAAACAGTTTCTTGACACCCAACGGATACACAACCTGATCGAGTATCTTGAGGAGCTGCATGAGCACCACAAAGCAACAGCGGACCACACGACACTGCTGCTCAACTGCTATGCGAAACTGAAAGACGTGGAGAAGCTCGAGGCATTTATCAAGTCTCCTGGAGATCTGAAGTTCGATCTAGACACGGCGATCACGATGTGCCGGCAAGGAGGCTACTTCGAACAGGCGGCATATCTTGCGACCAAGCACGGCGAAAACGAGCTCGTCACAGACATTTTGATAGAAGATTCAAAGCAATATGCTGATGCCCTAGACTATATTTGGCATCTAGATGTGGAAACGGTAAGCGACTCTTGCGTCTTCTTTGTAGAATCTATGTGCTTTCTAACACATCCTTAGGCGTACACGTGTCTGATGAAGTATGCCACGGTACTGCTCGAGAACTGCCCGAGCGACACGACCAAGCTATTCATTGAGTACTATACGGGCCAATACAAGCCGAAAGTACACGCCACCCCTATACTACCACAGCCCGAGCAGAGGACCGGGCTTGCTGCTGCTGCCGGTCATGCCGTACAGAATCTGACGACACTGTTGCCACTCCCATACATGAATAGCCCTGCCATAGCGACGCCAGATACACAGAGCAACACCCCGGCTACGACGCGTGACGCAGAAGCCGTCATTGAGCTGGGCGATGCACTGGAGCCCAAGTACAAGCCGCCACCGCCACGAACCGCATTCTCGGCATTCATTGACCATTCCGACAACTTTATTGCATTCATAGAGGCTTGCTTGGAAGCAGACTGCTTTGGCGAGCAAGACAAGGCCGACTTGTACACGACGCTATTCGAGATGTACCTCCACAAAGCCAGCGAGCGCAAGGGCATACATAGAGAGGAATGGGAAGCCAAGGCGAAGAAGCTTATCGAAGGAAAAGACCTGCCCATCGAAAACTCGAATGTGTTGCTACTCTCTCACCTGTCCGACTTCCGCGACGGCACAACGCTTGTCAAGGAGCAATCCGGCCTCCTGTTCGACATCTTCCGCTCCTACACCTCAGCCAAGGACACGCGGGGCGCAATCAAGGCGCTGCGCAAGTATGGCGGGATAGAGCCGCAGCTCTACCCTGCGGCGCTGGCCTATTTCACGTCTGACGCGCGGGTCCTGGACGAGGCGGGACCCGAAGAGCTCGAGAGCGTGCTCCAGAAGATTGACGAGGACGGGCTCATGGCGCCCTTGCAGGTCATCCAGACGCTCGGCGCCAACACGGTGGCGACGATGGGCATGATCAAGCCGTACCTGTCCGAGACGATTGCGCGGGAGAGGCGCGAGATCGCGACGAGCCGCCGCCAGTGCAACAGCTTCCGCCGCGAGACGGCGCAGAAGCTCGGCGAGATCAGGGAGCTCGGGACCAAGCCCGCCGTCTTCCAGGCCCAGCGCTGCCCGGGCTGTGGCGGCGCCCTGGAGTTGCCCGTTGTGCACTTCCTCTGCAAGCACAGTTTCCATCAGCGGTGTCTGAAGCAGGGTGGTGGTGGTGAGGCTGCTGCTGACGGCGTTGGTGGTGGTGGTGCCGACGCCGCCGCCGCAGGATCCGAGTGCCCAGTCTGCGCGCCGAACAATTCCGCCGTGCGGGCAATGAAGGCACGGCAGGACGAGTGGAGCACGAGGCACGACTTGTTCCGCGACGCGCTCGAGAAGGGCGGGAAAGGCGGCGCTTCTGGAGGAGGAGGTGAGGATCGGTTCAAGACCGTCTCTGGGTGGTTTGGGCAGGGTGTCATGGGCGTCAGCACGCTCGAGTAGGTCAATAGAACCGTACATCGGGCGGGACTGGAGGATGGATCCCTTGCAGGTTGTGATTGTAGTATCCGATATCCCAGATGAGCATGACGTTAGATTATGGCTTTTCTAGATTGGTTTTTCGCGCGAGTGAACGCGGTTGCCGTCGAGTTACAGATTGACGCGATCTAGGTTCCATTCAAGGACAAAGACAATTGCATTTTTGGTGGCCTCATCTTCATGATATATACTACATCGTCCTTAATCAAGTCCGGAAACCCCTCTCAGCGGAAGGTCACTTGGGGAGGTTGGAAGGTGTCTGGACCAGAGATTGAGGTCTCCTCATGGGCGCGGCGTCACGCCAAACAACTTATTGAACCAAGCTCCCACAGCCTGGTGCCCGAGGATTGACCTCCAGTCCTGTATCTCGTGGAGCTTGACCCCCACGACAGAAGTTGTCTTGTCGTCTGCGCTGCTACTGGCCCCCGACAGCAGAGACGACTCCCCCGCAAGCCCGCTGATCTCTGCGTCCGTGACTTGTCCGTGGCGCACAGACATGTGCGCTTTGAACGGCGCGTCGCTGTCTTCGATTTCCAGCTGCGACGCAGAGTCAGGTCGTGGCCGAGGGTCTTCTACCGTGGGGTGTGTGGAGAACGTGAATTGCGGCGTCTGCGCGAAGATCCAGTCTAGCGAACTGAGCTCGTCATAGCCCTTGCGAATGGCTGGTATGCTGCCGAGGAGAGACCTCGCGGCTTGTGGTGTGATGACCTCTGGTTCTAATGGTGTAAGGGCTGGAGAGGTTGCTGAAGACGATGGCGGCGGCGGAGGAGGAGATGGAGGCTGAGATTGTGGTGTTCCGGCAGTTGATGGCTGCGAGGTGCGGAACTCTTCATTGTTGTACATTTTGTCAAACTCACGCACCACGGCTCGCTCAAAGGGTGATCCTGGATCATTGGACAAACCGACGTTGCGGATCGGACTGCGAACACTTTCGACACCTCGAGCCTTGATGTATGGTTCTGCCGGGGATCGGAGGAACTGTCCGATGACTGGCAGATTTGGGGAGCTCAGAAGAAGCGTGCCGTGGTGCAGTGAGCGTAAGCGCGTGAGCTTGTATGCCGATCCTGAGATCTTGAAAGTGCTGCTCTTGCTGCCGGGTCTTGAGCCGGCAGAGGTGGATGTTGAGGTCGCAGATGTCTCATGCTGGACATCCATGACAATGTCATGGCGCTCATTGACGCGGATCTCGAGCTCCGTGCCCAGCGGAAGACCACGTAGGGCACGGACGACCATCTCGGCGTGCTTATCGCGGTCAAAGATGGCTGGCGGGCAGATGATGCTCCAGTTGATGTTGCCAGCGTCGTGGAAGACGGTGCCGCCACCAGAGCGTCGCCTTACAAGCTGCACATCCACTGGCTCGTCATTCTGCGCCTCGCCATCAGAAGCGGTGACGGGCACCTGCGGTGAGCGGAGCAGCGCATCGCTGCCACCCTCAGGACTCCGGTAAGGCCGTAATAGATCCCTCGAGCCCTTGAGCAAGCCCAAGTTGACCTCGACCCATGGGTTCTGGTTGCGCCCAATGACAACACATGGCCTGTTGGTATAGAGCAGCAGGACGACTGAGTCTGGGTGAGACTTCTGGAGGAGGAAGTGCTCGATCGAGAGGTTCAGATATGGGTCGCTGCTGCGCGAGATGTATACCTGGACCCGTCCCGAGGCGTGCGAGATCTTGTCCTCTGAGAAGAACCGGCGGGCTGGCCGGGGCGCCCGCTGTGGCGATACAACAAGAGCCCTGGGCAGACTGGACGCCGAGCAGAGGCCCTGACGGAAGGGACCGGCCATGCGCGGTATTGCGCCTGTCATGTCGAGAAGGACAATCTAGGTTGGCTGCTGCAAGTCATGTCATGGCCGCAACATGGCAGCGCGTCTCTAGATCGCAGTGGATCGGGGCTGGTGCACACCACCACCACAGGCAAGACTGCAGCCAGCAAATGTTTTGCCGCTGGTGCAGGGGCCAGCCAGCCAGCCTTCAGCAAGTCCGCGGCCGTGGACGCCTTCACCTCATGTGTTACAGCTACAGGTGTCTCAAAGCCAAGCCTCTGACCTGCTAATTACTCTCAAAGACAATTGACACGCTGACCACGACTATGGGCTTTCCAGCATGGCGGGCTGGGAGTGAGAAAGCTCAGGCTGGCTGAGGGATGGGATGGGATGGGGGACGGGCCTATATCGGACCAAGCGGCGCGGCTGTGACTGGGCAGGAACGAGGCGCCCCACCCCCACCATCGTCGGCGCAGTCAGAGTTCGAAAAATGTCGTCCCATCGGCATGCGCTTTGCCCAGGCGTCAAGAGTCCACTTCTCCCGTGTCTCAACATCTCAAAAAACTCATCACTGACCGCGCTGCAGTCGACACGCCCGTGACCACATCTCTCCGCAGAGCCTTCCTACACAATTGTCGAGTCGACGCGCTCAAACTCGACCCCCTCCCTGTCGACACAGCCTGGCCCCGAGTTCGGCCACGAACCCCAATACTTCCAAGGTTGACCGCATCCCTCCACGAACTGCCAGGTGGCATTGTACCTTCGCCCTCGACAAACACTCTCCTACAGCAGGACTTACGACCAGCCATGTCGACCTTCGGCCACGCCTTCAAGGTTACGACCTACGGCGAGTCTCACTGCCGCTCAGTGGGATGCATCATTGATGGCTGCCCACCCGGCATGGAGCTCACCGAGGCCGACATTCAGCCTCAGATGACCCGCCGCCGCCCCGGCCAGAGCGCCATCACCACTCCTCGCAACGAGAAGGACCGCGTCGAGATCCAATCTGGCACCGAGTTCGGCGTCACCCTCGGCACCCCGATCGGTCTGCGCGTGCTCAACGAGGACCAGCGGCCCAAGGATTATGGCAACAAAACCATGGACCTCTACCCTCGCCCCAGCCATGCCGACTGGACCTACCTGGAAAAGTATGGCGTCAAGGCCAGCAGTGGTGGTGGCCGCAGCTCTGCCCGTGAGACCATTGGCCGTGTGGCTGCCGGAGCCATCGCCGAGAAGTACCTCAAGCTCGCTTACGGCATCGAAATCGTCGCCTTCACCTCCTCAATTGGTGCCGTGCACATGTTCCCGCCCACTCCCGAGATCCCTTCGCCCAGCCAGAACCCCGAGTTTCTCAAGATGATCGAGACCATCGACCGCGAGACCGTCGACAAGTTCCTGCCCGTGCGGTGCCCCAGCCAGGAAGCGTCGGACAGAATGACCGAGTACATTGCCGACTTCAGAGACCGCAACGACAGCATTGGAGGCACAGTCACCTGTGTCATCAGGAACGTTCCCAGCGGCCTGGGTGAGCCCTGCTTCGACAAACTCGAGGCGTCCCTGGCGCATGCCATGCTCAGCATTCCGGCCACCAAGGGCTTCGAGATTGGCTCCGGCTTCGGAGGGTGCGAGATCCCTGGCTCTATCCACAACGACCCCTTCATCAAGTCTACTGCTGTCCACGGACCCGAGACCGGTGCTGCGAGAAATGGCATCCCGCGCCCCAAGCTCACCACCAAGACCAACAACTCTGGTGGTATCCAGGGAGGCATCTCGAATGGTGCACCCATCTACTTCCGCGTGGGATTCAAGCCAGCGGCTACTATCAGTCAGGAGCAGACCACAGCGACCTACGACGGCGAATCTGAAGGCGTGCTTGCTGCCAAGGGCCGCCACGACCCCTGCGTTGTTCCGCGCGCAATCCCAATTGTCGAGTCCATGGCCGCCCTGGTCGTCATCGATGCTCTGCTGCAGCAGATGGGTCGTCACGAGGCTAGGAGACAACTACCGCCTTTGAAACAGACACTTGAGCCGTCCGACAACGGGGTTTCGATGCAGACCGAATGAGGTGGAGCGAGGCAGGGCCCGACTTGGTAAACACTCGAACGCATATACCTTTTCTTTTGCTTTATGTGGATTTCTTTGTGGCGCAATCTGGCATAGCTGTGGACGAAAAGTTACTGGCATCTACGTGTACGAGAGAATAGATGGGTGAATGTACAAGGCTACTTGCAGCGAGAATTTCACGGAGAGTGCTGAGAATTGCGCTGAATGTTAATGTGTCCCTCCCCAGGAATCGCGGAGCCAAGTCACATCAAACGCTGAAGAGTTTCTGGCCTCGTTATTGAGCGGGTTATGGCGAACAGGCCTTCTTCGGCTTGATGAACGGCAAACACACAAGATACTCTTATCGGTTTGCGCCAAGTTTTCCTGTGATCGGCAGTGGCTCGAGATTGCCCGCGAGTTATCCACGACTTGTGGTACGGTGGAGAGCTCCCGTTCCCCAATCGCCCAATAAGGTCCGAACGGCAGAAGGGGATTTGGTCTGATTGATGGGAAGACTCAGCCGAGGGCTATCAATGCAACCACGAGCTGGATGTCGTGCAGACCAGGGCCGATTTTGGAAGAGCTGCCGAGCTTGAGAGGCGTGACTGACTCGAGGCGGGGAGGCAAATGTCGGGCAGCTTGGTGGACTGCCCAGCCAAAGAACAAAGCCATTGACGAGACACGAGACCAGAAGATCTGCCCTCTTGGCAGCCAGATTCAGGGTCCTGCCAGGCCTAGCTAGCGTCCAGGGCTCAGTGCCTGGGGGCTTGCCAATTGGGTGGACTCTGGTCAATCAACGTCAAGAGAGGGCTTGCTGCAGGGGGCCTGACCAAGCTTTGGGCTCTTTGTCGCCGTCGTCCCCACACACCACTTCCCGTTTCTGGTCACTCTCCTCCACGATCCCTCCCTCCGCCCTCTTTCGCAGCACCGAGCAAGACGACAGGCAAAGGTTCACGCCACGCGACATGGAGTGACATAGCGTTGCGGCTGTGCTCGGCCATCGACAAGGGTCTCTCCCAAAGAGAAGTCGACCATGCCTGCAGGGACGAGCCACATCCTCCTCGAGTCCGCCCGGCGTCCACTGAACACCCATCCCCAACCACCACCGCTCTCTGGCCCGGTCCAGGATGGGGGAGTCTGAGCGCGTCGGTGGCTTCGATGGCCCCCTGTCAACAATGGCGTCACAGCATGCCGATGCCCTGGCACATCCCCACAAGCGGGCAAGCTTGACTCACAGACGATAGATAAATGCCAGTCGGCCTCTCGCGATGGCAAAAAACGAAGGAGAACCCTTGGAAGGGTGGGCGCCATCCACCAGTCACTCCGTGGTGTTCCCCTTGTGCAAGACAAGCTTGTTCGACTATCCGCCCGACTATATCCGTGCTGGCCTGCCGCCCCTCTCGCTCGGCCGACAGCTTGGCTGCTGTCCTGGCCCGCCCCTGATCGCCAGCACGTGTTGTACTCACTCGGCCATAAAGACCCTGCACAAGTATCTGCCTGTCCCGTCTCGATCGATCTGCCTCATCGTTCGAACAAACAGGAGTGACTACCCCTTCGGCAGCCGCCATCAAAGAGCCGCTCAGTAACAAACTGCCCAGTGGTAAGTCCAGTCTTGCTCTGCCAGCCGGCGGGCCGTCCCCACAACAGTACCACGTTGCAGACCCCAGCAACCACCAACCAAGCGGCCGCCAGCAGCCGCTCCTCAGACTGCTCTAAGCGCGCGCTCTTGCCCAGGCCAACCCAATCGACCATGTGCGCTGACCCGATGCTCGAAACACAGCACCAGCAGCCTGTCTGCGCCTAGGGAAATTGCAAAACGTCTATTTTCCGACATTCTGCAGCTTAGAATAGGCCCAACAGGCGCTGCCCTCACGAGTTTCCAAGTTCTTGGCGTGGCGTCTGCCGCATGCACGCAACAATGACTGCAAGGTGAGTGGGCAGCTGTTTGGTCAACCCACGCTGGTCTGACTTACACGACACAACACACACCCTCGCTTCACCTCCTCAAAGAAACCCTTTATCCTCTGAGCAACACCCACCTCCCCGCCTACAGCCCTTTCTCTTTGTTTGCTGGTTGCATTCCTTCCCCAAGGCTTCTGTGCATCCAGAGCTTTTCCTTTTTTGTCCATCCTGCAATTTTTATTCCACATCTCCTTGTCATTGCATACGCACGGAGTCACTGGCACCCCTAGATTGTTAGACACGGCATACTCATCCCGCATCACGAAAGACACTGGCAACTTGTCTTTCTCCGTTTCCCATCCCCTCCTTGTTTGTCGCCAGCAGGCTGGCTTTAATCACCGTGTCACCTACTCTTTCTTCATATCTTTGGCAACGGGACCATTATAACACTGCATCACCCCTCCCTTGACGGCGAATCTCCAGTCGTCTTTCACGACGTCTTCACAAAGCTAAGCCGATCCATAATATAGTCGCGAAAAGACAACCCGCATCATGGGTTGGCCTTCAAGCAACGACGGGAACTCACCGTCCCTTCGTACCGACGGCTTCACAACCTCCAGTTTCCACAAAACTCGCTTCGTCAATCCGGCGAGGCATACAAAGCACACCCCATACCTGCGGACCCCGGCCCGTCTCTCCCAGGTCTGGTTCAACCGATGGACAGTTCTCATACTGCTCGTCCTCGTTCACTTCCTCATCACCCTCAGCAGCCTCAACTCTGGCCTCGACGATGCCAAGATAAAGGCACTCTCCGCCTGCACAAAGGTCGAGGACATTGGTAGCTCCATGGCCTCCATGCCACACTACCTTTCCAGAGGTGTCAACAGCCTTGCGGCATCCGGCATCACGAAGTCGGTCCACGCTCTCCTGTCCGTGCTGGACATGATCCTCAGTGGTGTCGAGGCTCTGATTCTCTTCGCCATCCACATGTTCACCGATACTTATGTGTGTCTTCTCAGCTTGGCCATTACCGGCGGCCTGAACGCCACTGCCGCCGCCATTGAGGGTGCCACGGACGGTATCAATAAGGCAATCGACGCTTTCGCTAACAAGGTTGATGATGCCGTCGCCCCGATGCAGAGCGTCATTAATGGCGCTTGGTCTGCGGTAGATGGCCTTGGAGATGGTATCAATGCTGGCACCTCTGTCGTAGGTGGCGTTGTTGACGGCATCACGGGAGGCATCGGCGGAATCTTCGGTCGTGTTGAGCGCAGTACCTTGGTTCTCCTCGACGTCGAGGCCACACAGCTCGCCAACTCTTGGTCCAGTGCTACTGCGACAGCTGCGTTCCCCCGTGGTACGGAGGCTCTCGAGCGTTTGGCTGAACGTTCCGAGCTGGTGATCGACGCCATCCCATCAACGGTCACGGCAGCCAGCCCGCCGTTGCCAACCGAGGAGAGTGTCCCTCTCGTCACCGTCGCTCCCCGTGCCATTGACATCGGCCAGGCCCCGGATATCGGTAAGACTCTGTCGGGACCTATTGCCGAGCTCAAGAGCTTCGATATCAACGCGAGCGGCGTCGTCGGTGACATTGAGTCTCTCCGAGACAAGGTCCCAACCTTCGACGAGGTTCGCAAGCTCACGGAGGACACGATCGGTATTCCGTTCGATTTTGTCCGCAAGGCGCTCAATGATAGCTACGGTGCATGGAGGTTTGACGACACGATATTTCCGCTTGCCAACAAGGAGGCCCTCTCTTTCTGCTCAGAGAACTCCGCGCTCAACGACTTCTTCGAGTCGCTCTTCAAGCTGACCGCCACGGCCAAGATTGTCGCCATCTGCATCCTCTGCTTCCTCGCTGTCGCTGCCTGCGCGTGGTTCATGTTCCTTGAGATCCGCCAAGGCCGGAAGGAGGCCGAGTATGTCCAGACTTTTGAGACCGAGCAGTACGACCAGATCGACTTTGCACACCTGTTCTCGCGGCCTCGCATTGGCGCATTCTCGGTCAAGATTGCCCACAAGATTGCCCCAAAGCCGCAGGACACCAAAAAACGCATGCTCATCCGCTGGTGCATCTCATATGCAACCTCGCTCCCCGCCATGTTCGTCCTGGCCCTGGCGATTGCCGGCTTCTTCTCTTGCCTCTGTCAGGTGATCCTGCTTAAAGCCATCGAGAAGCAAGTTCCTGCTCTGGCCGAGCAGGTTGGTGATTTTGCTGAAGATGTTGTGTACACCCTTGGCAACGTCTCTGAGAGATGGGCCACCGACGCCAACGGCGTGATCATTGGCTTCAGCGACGAGCTGAACAACGACCTGTTTGGGCACGTCGAGAACGCCACTCAAGCTGCCAACGACACGCTCAACGTATTGGTTGACAGCATGAACGACGGCCTGACCAAAGCCTTTGGCGGTACATTCCTGGAGAACCCTGTGAAGGACGTGGTCCGGTGCCTCGTCGGGCTCAAGATCGAGAGCGTGCAAAAGGGCTTGACCTGGGTGCATGAGCACGCGCACGTCGACTTTCCCTTGTTCCCGAAGGACGTCTTCAGCATGGGCGCGCGCGACTCGATCGAGGGCGACTCGGAGCTCACCACGTTCCTTGCTAGCCCGAGTTCCGTCTCGACCGACGAGGTGACCGGCGCCGTCACCCACGTCACCGACTGGCTGTACAATGGCATCATCCAGGACCTGCTCATCTCGGCGGCCCTGTTGCTCGTGTACGCGCTCGTCGTGGTCGGCGGCGTCCTGTACACCGTCTTTGCAATGATCACACCTGAGAAGAACCGCGGCGTCAACGACCTTAACGAGATACGCCGGTCCGGCGAGGTTCCCCGGCGCAACGTTACGACCGTCGAGGCCGGCGGCGCTGGCAATAGCGGCATGCATCAACGCAGCAGCAGCTATGCCTCCTACGACTATGCTGCGGGCGAGCCGAAGCGCTAAAGATTTGAACACTCAAGTCTATGTTGCCCTGTCTCTGGGTTTTGGCGCAATTCGTTTACGGTAGCCCCAACATGGCGTTTGAGATTTGGACATTGATGTTCTAACGCGAGACGTTATATGTATATCCCTCCCCGTTGGTTGTTCATCTGCTTTGTTTTGTGGTTTTCCTCTGGGTACATTATCCCTTTTTTTGGATTCTGCGGTTTCACCAGTCTCTCTCCTGTTCTTCTCTTTCCTTGCAAACTTCGTCATTTTGGTAGTCATTTTCTGGAAAGCTCGACGTCGCAGATACTCTTTTCAGTCATCATCATGTATACTCCTTCCAGCCCAACTTGTCGCGCGCGCGTCGTCAACAACCACCATCACCAAGAATGGTCTCCCCCTTACCGCCGCGGGCAAGCGCCTCGAAGGGGTCCTTCCCCCCGTCGTCCTCGTTAGTCCCCTGCTGGTCATGGGGTCTAGGATGTTTCCAGGCGGTCGCCTATGTCAAATCAAGTCTATATGTGTTCTGTCGCCACAGCGAACCAAAATTTCGAGGGAAAAATAACAAAAAACAAAGGAAAAAATACGGCAGAACATAGAAAAGAGACAAACAGATTGCCAAACTTGTTGACTTTTGCCGGGTACGTGAAAATGTGGACATAGTCATAGATCATGCAAGTCGATGGCTTATATCGTGTGTTGATGGGTTGGTCACCTTGCCTTTGCTTGCCGTGATGGTTTTTGGGATCATCTGCCAGGCTTCGTTCGGGGTACCTGAATTCAGTGCAGAGATCGACACGCCAGTCTCACCAGCATCGCATCCATGGCTCGAAGACTACTCATACTCTCGCGAGCAGCAGCTCCTGCTCGACATTCTAAGCGCTGTGTGATGACATTCTCGTAATAATCTTATGTGACAAAACTCCCCAAAGCACTCGAAAGCTATATCGCCAGACGCCTCAAGGAAACACAAAAAATGAGTTGCCGTGGGGTATGATGAAGTGCAGACCGTCTTGATGCATCCTGCCGACTGATGATAAAATGCTCCGCCTCTTCGTACAGCCCTTGCGCCTCTATGACAACCAGCCAAGTAGAGAAACGCCAAAAACAAGAAATAAAAGGGAATAATACGCTGGCCAAATGACCCTCTAATGTGCCCTGCCAGCTGAACCCGTTTTGCTCCATGCTAGAAATAAGGGGTCCAAAGGATGTTCGAATCGTCCTGCTTGCTACTCGCTTACGGAGAAGCTCTCTTCCTCTTCCGCGAATTCTTCGTACCTAGGGTGACCTCGCTGAGCAACTGCCAGACCCAGCTCGGCACGGACGTCTCTTTGAATCCGCAGAAAGTACCTCCGCAGGGACGCCAGCCCGCGGAGGAACCCTCGATCTGGTTCGTTTGGGTGTGTTGGTGGACAGGGCTTGTCCGCAGGCATTTCGCCAGGGATCACGCTATTGGCAAAGTCTGCCATCTTGAAATCAACCTCGCGCTTGTCCTTCCGGCGTCTTCTAACCTCCCAGGACTCGTCCGCGTCGGTAGGCACGTCGGTGGTCGAGTCGTCAATCGTCGTCTCGTACCCATCATCTGACGTGTCCGCATCGTAGAACATGAGCAGACTGGCTGCATAGAAACGATAGCCATGCAGACGACGAACAGTCAACTCCAATTGGTTGAGTTTGTGAAGGATCGCGGGGATGTGTTTGAGCACACTGCCGTAGTCCATGCCATCGTACAAGAACATGGTCAGCGCATCCTGGAACTCGTGACCAGCTCGGAGGTCCCGGCCCCAATACTTGTCCTTGAAGATGAACGACTGGGTCTTCGCGTTCCAAGTCTGAAGCCCGCAGACTCGGACACCCAACTCCCGAGAGGTCGTTGCCGCGCACTTGCGTCGCTGTGATTCGCGTTTCTTTGCGCTGGCTTCCACGCCGTACTGGCGCGTACCCATCTTGAGATCCATGATGCAGGGCTTCTTCATGCCCGCTGTCAAATCTTCCAGGAGGAGGAAGTATTCCACGCGCGAGCCTTGAGTTTGGGCCTCTTTTGGATTCACAGGACGTGGGATCTTGGCCGGTTCAGCTGTAGGGCTAGGTAGCTCCGATGCTACGCCCGACGACATACCAGATGGCGGGAAAAACGGTGTTTCTAGCCCACCTGCATGACGGGAGTCGTTCGCAGCTGAGTCAGCAGCTGGGGTGGTCACAGCCGAGGCAGCAGCAGATCCAGTATCGGCCCTGTAGCCGGCATCGTCTGCACCTTCGAAGTATTGGAGATCTCCTCGGCTCTGTACAGCATCGCTAGCTCCACCATTAACTTCTTGCGGTCGACGCCTCAAACCGCTTCCCGAGTAACGCCTCTTACGCCTGGGCGATGGAAACCGTTCCGACAGCGTGTCAGGCTCTGGGGCACTAGTTCCAGTCACATCTTTGACGTGCTCGGCAGGCTCGAGAGAAAGAGTATTTCTCTCTCCACCCAGATCGCTCTGGTGGTAGGCTAACGTAGGTGTAGGACGCAAAAGGGATGCCGAGTCACGCACGTCCCCACCCTGCTGGGGGTCGTGCTGCGCAGTGACGTCGACTCCGCCTCGTCCTTGGTATGACGATGTCTGCTGGACCGCACGGCGAGGAATCGAGCGCTGATGTGTCGCTGGTGTCTTGTGCTTGCGGACGGTGACGGGTTCTTTCAAGAAGGCATCGTTAAAGACCTCGTTCCGCAAGCGTTTGTTTACAGTCGTGGCACCCCAGCTGTTTGCGTGACGGTCTTCAAGTGCTGGCCTTGATCGAGGTCGCTGTGGCTGCGGATCTTTGCATGTTTCGTCTGGACGTGTTTGGTCATAGATGTTGGTCATTGAAGCACTGCGCGCACGCTCCATACCGGCTACATTGGGTTGGAGGAGACTTCGAGGCAGAATGTGCTGGTTGTCAACAAAAGTAACGGTGGGCAACGGTCCAGTTGTGGACTGGATTGACTGGCTAAAAACTCTGCGGTGATTTCGGCCCTCTAGTTCTGCTTTCGTAGGCGAGAGGACCGACTTTAGTAGTGAGTTGGGCCGATCTGGAACGGGTGTGGAAACAGTTTCGGCTGCCGCAGCATCTTCGCGCTTGACGACCGATTTCCGTCGAGGCTGTTTCCGGAAAGTAACATTGAGAACCCCAATGTATCTGGACAGAACGATTAGTATCCCATTTTAGACGCGAGGCCAGCATAAGAAAGAAAAGGGTTACCTTGGCAAGAAAGGCAGCAGGGCACGATGATATCGCTCAATGTTTTCGTAGAATTCGTTCTCTCTATTGTTGAGTTGCTTGCACACGGCTTTCTTTGAGAATCGCCACACGGTGGTGTGCCCGCCGACCTGGTGTTTGTATGGCACGAGCTCGATGGCTTCCAGGGGTTGCTTGTGATCAGGTTCAGCTTCCACTGGTGGGTCGTCTTCAACAGGCACAGTGCTTTGCGGCACGTCCGAACTTGGAAGACTGGTTGGACCCGGTAGAGCATTCTCCTCATCGTCCTCAATGGCGCAGTCGTCAGCGGCAGGAGGACTTGCTTTGACAGTGCGGCTGGAGTCCGCGTTTCCTTTTGTGTCACCATCCGGGCGGACCATTGACTCGGGCTTCCCACCTAGCTCGTCTGCTTTCACCAGCCACTCATGGAAGTCCTCTTTGGTCGATTGGCGCCTTGCCGGCGTGGGTCGGCTCGATACATGGTCTGAAGGTAGCGTGTCTGACGCAGATTCCTCAGGATCCTGGTGAGGAACAAAAACCGCGGAAGAGATCTTCTCTTCCGATGAGTCTTCACATTCCTCGGTGGCGTCCCCACGATCGGTGCTGGCATCGGACACTCGATGTGCTTTAGGAGGCTCTGAGATAGACGGGGGCTGCGTCCTCGACTTGTTCTTTACCGGCGGTTCCAGAGACGCCTCGGCGAATCGAGCTGCCAAGGAGGATCCTTCTGCAGTTCGAGGTGTTGGAATCGGCCCGTTCACCCGCGAGCCGAAGTAGTCCGTTGATGAATCTGGATGTGTTGCTTGCTCCGTTGTTGTTGAGCCGGTCGGGGTCACACTCGGTAGATCCCGTTGAGCTATGCTGTGCTTCTGATGGATGTGGTCGTCCTTCACGCGTGCGGCCCCTTCAGCATCGGGCTTCTCGTGGGTGGGTGAAAGCTTATGTTGCATACGAGATCCGCCCCGAGCGTCGCGCTTCTTGGCAACTTCATCTGGAAGCCCCTCCTTGAAGAACCGCAAGCTGTGGCTCGCCTTTCTGCTCCGCGTGGGTTCGACGCCCGCCAGCGCTTCGGTGATCGATTTCTCCACGGGCCCATCCTGCGGGGTTACACTGTCTCCTGTGTCTATGGACCAAGCCTTCTCTGGACCTAAGGGCACAGGATGTTCTGAGGCACGCCAAGATCTGTACTGACTTCTTGCATCTGGTATGGAATCGTCTACTGGCTTTTGTACCACATTGCTGCCTGTCTTCTTCGCGCCAGCGCCATGAGAAAAGCTGGTGTCGCCAATATTCTGGTTGTTCACTCTGTCGCTTTGCTGTACAAGCATCTCCTTCTCTGTGCGCTCAAGAGACCGGCCCCTAATGACATGGGTTGGACGAATGGTGCGGAACGGGCTGATTGTTTGCGTGAGGGTCGCTGAGGGAGCCATTGTGACTGGTGCTACTGAGCCGGTTGGCTCGCCGGTAGTATCGATAGAGGTCGGTGAGGTTGTCAATATCGGTTCTCCCTGTGCTGCCCTGCCAGATTGTGGGAGGTTGTCGGACGTCAAGGACGCGCCATTTCTCCAGGAGGCGACGTCATGTTGTCCTTGGTCTGGAACTGCACTACTCTGCAAGTCTGTGTGTCGCGCTGGAGCGATCTGGGAGGACTCTTTGGGCACAGTTGCCTTGCTGGGTTGAGGGTTACGCGCTTCGGTCTGCACAGGCGGCTGTACAGGAATGCCACGGGCAGAGGCAAGGGCTTGTGTCAACAAAGATGAGCGGTTCGCAGACGGTGTAGTCATGGGCAGCCAGGGTCTTTTAGGACCCAGGTCGACCTGAGTACCGGGACCAGGAGGGTTGGACGTCGAACTCGGTGAGCTGGCAGCGGAGGAATCCCTGGGTGGAGGGACGGAAAGAGTTGGAGGCTTGACAGGGACCGAAGTATCAGAGCTGGCAGACGAAGGGGAGCCAGTCAGAGCGGCAGGCGTGGCGGATGGGTGGTCAGTCGAAGTCTCAGTGGCAGCCTGAGCCGTGAGGGCCGTGTGGCCAGAAACATGAGGAGCAGTAGCGGCAGCAGCCACGCCAGGGGTGTGGGCAGGCAATGTCGAGGCAGACACTGGCGGGGGAGTCGGGCCTGGGATGGCCAGAGGAGTTGGCGAGGCAGCGAGGCTCACCGGGGCGGCGGCGGGAGCTTGGGGCGGTGCGGGTGCGGCATTTTCGCGGCTAGAAGGCGAGACGGACATGAGTAGGGTAGCGGACGGGTGACATGGCAGGGCAGGCAGGCCTCGGGGAGCGGGTGGGCTTGTTGTGAGCGCGGCGGGCGTGTTGTCGCAACAGTGGTTGGCGGGCGTGGAGGAGTTGAGGGTGGAATGTGGGATGTGGGATTTGAGCAGCGGCGGGTGGACAATGTGCGTGGGCAACCTGGCTGGGCAGCGGGTCAGGCAGGTACGTACATTCCACGCCTGGCCGGCTGTGCCTTGCGGGGTGGGGCTAGCCCAAGCGTACTTACTTCCTGCCGCTCAGTGTACCTACGCTCACTACATACAGGATGTGCTCTGTCCGGGGCGGGCTCCCACCACCACCTCGCGCCGGTGTGACCTCAGGCCGGGTGGTTATCTCTGCGTGCGCATTGCGGCCCCGACGTCTGTTGTCAGTGCCCAACCACCAGCGTTATCTCGCCGTGCCTCTTGAAATCCATGCCGCGCTCCTTCCTATCTCTGCCCTCTCGCCTTATCTTGGGATCCTGCCCTCCATCACAAGCTTGTGGTTCTGGAGCGCCTTTTTAGTTTTCCTCTTGGTCTTCCCAGCTGTTTCACCGGTCGCTGACGCCCAACCTTCTTTCAGGCCAGGGGCGCGGACCACACAATCCAGTCGCAGCTCCGGTGGCATTCTCCTGGGGGCCTGCGCGTCAAGGGGCCCCTCGCGGGAGCGCTAGCTCAAACGGGCACCCAAGCCATGCGATTGCCGCTTTTTTTATACCTGTTATTGAAATACCAGAAGAACCTCTGCCAACGTGGTTTGCGACGTACCTAACAGCACGGATCCCCGGTGCGGTTGTTGAGACGGCGTCACGATGGCAGGCAGGGGTCCGCCCCGACGGACCAGACAATCGGGAGCCTCCAGGCCAGGTTCATGACGCCCCACGTCCACTGGCCATGGGAACTTGCGATCCCTTCAGACTTTTGGGGCCCGGCAGCACGGCCACGTGTTGGCCTGGGGGGAGCTCCATGGATCTACGTGCTCCATGCAATGGTCGACCTCGACGCAGCGATGCAGGCCATGACGAGCATACTGTACAGTGTGCCTGTCAGGAACGATCGCCGCCCTCGCAAGCACGGTACCTTTTGTCGGGGCTTTTGCAGTGCCGGGGCACATTGATAATGACGAGCAGATCAGGACGACGACCATGACATGAATTGTGGAGAGCACACCCGTGCGGGTCTCCTGCTGCTGCCCGCTGGTGCTACAGGGCCAGCCAATGGCACTGGCGGTTTGTCCCACGCTTGCCCAGGCTTGGACTTGAGAGCCTCCGGGCCCCGGAACCTCGACAGCCGGCACAACACACTTCGACAGCTCCAGTCAGCGCCATCGCCACCCTCCACTTCAAGTCCATGATCCTGATTGCGTAATGGCAACACGCACGTGCTGCCAGCGTCCGCGACCGGCCGGCCTGTTTCTCAGAGACTAGGGAGTCGGATCACACATGCAGTCCGTCAACGAGCCGTCCGTGGTTTGATCCAGCCAGAGATTGCGCAACCTCGAACCGAGTCGATACTTACCATGGCAAAGCGCGAGCTGCGGCGCACGAGGCATAGACTTTGGTTCGTGTGGAACGCAGTCCGCAAAGACGCTTGGGCACGACGGTGCTGTCAGACGCACAAGGCATGTTGAACCCTGTGTCTCAAGTCCAAGTCAACTCCCCTTGAGACGTGTCTCAGTGTCCCAAAGTTCTCAAGGTTTCTTTCTCAACTAAATACAGCTAATCACGACTTAAGGCTATCCGCTTGCGTGCAATCGCGGCTGCTGCTCGGTTGCGGTGTTGTCGTCCTTCGTGTGGCGATGGCATCAGCGACCAACACCGCTCCTGCAACAACACTTCTGACCATGCCACGGTAGCGTTTCATCCTGCCACGAGGTAGCAGATTGCCCACAACTGTGCCGTCGCAACCTCGGCAGGGATATCTCCTGACCGTCATCGTCTCTTCGGAGTGGCTGATGCCACACCTGGATGTAATCAGGCTCACATATGCAGGACGACAGGGATCGTGTCGAGCAAGCCAGGCTGCGGGCCGTGCCCCGGACTTTGTGTCATTCATCCATAGGCTCGGCAAGGATATCAAACTCAATTGTACCCTTGCTCGTCCATCTCCTCCGTGCCGAGGCCAGTTGGCTCAAAGTTGCAAAGGACTGCCAAGGGTCTATTGACCAATCGTTCAGCAACGTGCCGACTTACACCACGCCCACAAGCCAAACCATGAGCAATGTCCCAGCTCCGGATTCCTCAGCCCGTTTCTAGAACAACAAGCCGTCGACGATCCCGGCGCTGGTCATTTCAAATGTAGGCGAGATGAGCCCTCTGCTCCCGGAAGCCGCTTCATCCGATTCGCTCGGGCCATGCGATTGTTTATAGAGATACCCCTGCGGTCCTGCATGGGCGCTTCATTGGCTATCCTTATGTTGTGATCAGGAACGTGGCCATCGGAATGCTTATTCTTCTCACATTTCCGTCCCAGCATTGCACGTCCTTTGTGATATGCTTTCCTAATGATGTGATGTACACGTCGCAAGTGACAAATTTGACTCGATGCAGGTCACAGCGCCAGAGGTGTTCTGCCACATGAAGCGTCACACGTGGAGGACGGCAGCCAATCATCTTGAGGAATTGGTGAAGCTTTGTCTAAATCATGTCCCTGAGGTGGTCAAGATATGCTGAGTAGGGGCATCAAGCTATGACCGATTATGAGCAGGTCTTGACAAAGCAAGGGTTAAGCATCTTCACGTTCTATGCTCTCTGCTTGCTTCCACATGTTTCATCCACGGCAGGTGAAAGCCACCATCACGGAGAGCTAAATTACGGTCGCAACACATGACGAAGACCCAAGGAGTATCGTCCCACACCGGAGGGGTCTGGAGTTTTACATTCGCCCTTCCTTGATACCCACGAATCACCAGCAGTGAACCTTGTCTGGCATTTCGGTCTCCGGCTTTTGTCCATATACGTTGCGAATTCTTCAATGCATTTCGCTGGCATGATTTGGCTTTCCCTCCTTTTGTGTTTCAGAGGCAGACGGCGTAACCTTGGCTGCATGTCGTTGCCTGACGCAATAACGCAGCAGGGTGACTTCGTCACTGCCATGATGAGTAGGGTTGATTTGCTCAACATGTCGTCTGGCATGGTCCTAGAGGATTACCTCACAAGCAAGCCATGCTATGCAGTCCACTAGTATCTTAACATCTGGGATTCAATCGGAGGAATGCGTGCTCACATTGCTGCTGCTCATTGGATCCATGCCGCTGTACAAGAAATTGGGTTCCCTAGCCTCTTCCTCGCCACAACTCCCCTGCGGTCAAAGCCGGTATCATCTTGCAATGGTGTACAGACGGGCTATGCCACACCGACCAGAATAATATTCCCCTGCGAGACGAGCCCCGTCTTATTCTCAAGGGTCAGTGCAGACCACACACGCTTACACGCCTAACAAAAAAAAAAAAAACCAAAAAAAAAAACCCTTACGCTCGACCGGACCACTTCTCGTCCAAAACACGTCCAAGCGTGAGAAAAGAGGCCGGCCGGCTCTGCTGTAAGCCCATCGTCCACACACTTTTAAACTGATGCAGACGGGGACCCACTTATCTTCCCAGCATTAATATGTCGTCTCACAAGATCATGAGCCTTCCAGCCAATCAGCGGGCGAGATGGCCGAGTTGGTTATGGCGTGAGGTTAAGGTCATTCTAAAAACTCTTAGCAACTATATTCCTCATGGAGCAATCCGCATGGGTTCGAGTCCCATTCTCGTCAGAAACATGAATCATGCAAACCTCGGGATAACGAGGTTTCCGCTCTTCTTTTTTGTTTTTGGGGGTGCCGGCGTATCACCATTCGAAGAGCCCATGGATGAAGAATGTGTGTGTGTGTGTAGCCCGTGATGGAATGACCCATATCCGCCAGGTTGATTCAGTCCAGGGGACGTGGGTCACGGGTCGCTGTTCCCCTCTTACAGGGCACGTGCGGCAGACAGACTTACATCAAGGATTACAGCAGACAATCATGCCGAGATTTCTGCAACAAATTTTGATATTTCCTACACATCATGGCAGACCTGAAGCCATCCAACATCGCCTGGTCAACATTGAGTAATCTGTTCGTGTGAGATAACCCAGGCACGGAAGCAACAGAGGGTCAGCGGACCGCAAAGCCGTGTTGGGCGAGATCTTGCATCGACTGATTATAGCAATACCCAGGCAATTGAATATATATACCATATCTACTGATATACTTTTCCTGGTCTCAATGATGCAGCACGTCCAAGCCTAATCCGTGAAAACGACCTTCTCGCTCAAGTCCCCGAGTATACCATACTCTTGCTCTTGTTCCGATAACGCCTGACCCAGGAGAAAAATTTGAAGCAAAGGGGTATCAACATAATCATTCGCTCATTGGTTCATGTCCTCTGCGGACCAGCATGGTCCATCCTTGCATCTCAATTCCATACTGACAGCTCCTGTAAGCCAAATCGATTACCCGAGGTTCGGGTCCTGCTCTGGCCGAGGCCATGGTTCTCCTGATCGACAGGGTCACCGGCTTTCTGCATTTCGTGCTCAACGCTCCACGCATCCAAGAAGGCGTCCAGGTTGCCCATGACGGCAGCCACGTCGTCAACCATGTCGCTCTGTGTATCATGTCTCCATGGAGACTGGGGTTCGTTCGTGCTCGGTTGTTCAATTACTTCTTCTGTGCTGACACCATCCATCCCTGCGGGTGTCGTGATTTCGTCCCCGGCCAAGGCCAGGTTGTCCGTTTCGAGATGATCTGAGCCAGACGCATATCCCGATGAAATCGGGTCTAGGCGAGATCTGTCATGTACCACGAACCTTGCCTTTTTGCGCATCACCGAATCAAAGTGTCCCTGAAATTGGTCGGTGACATCTTCATCACCCAGGCCAGGTGTCGTGGCCGGTGGCGGCGATGCTGCACGGACGTTTTGGGCCGAGTGTTGCTGGTCGGTAACATCACTAGGTAACGGTGCAAAAGACACACGCCGTCGAGCGCCACGGTTGACTCGCTGCGAGGATTTTGTTGAGAGAATACCCCTGGGCTGGCCTGCGGAGTAGCATCTGTGCACCCTTTGCGCAGACCGGCGCTGGGGTGATGGCGTATTGAAACGTGAGAACGATTTCAGGCCCAAGTGTGCCGTCGTGTTGCTTGGAGGGGGTGTTATTGGCGCTGCAAGTTCTAGGTACGCCTTCCCAGGGATTTCCTCTGCCGAGCTCGGCCGCACTGCAGTTTGTGCCACTTGTCCCGTAACCAGCAGAGCTTGATCGCAAGGTGCCCATGGACTCTGCTGAGATGGACAGACAAAAGTCTTCTCAGGAGTTGCGTTACTCTCGCCTATAAATACTGTCTCTGTGGCTGACAAATCCCCATGTGTTGATGCGTCCTCATCAGCGTGGACCGATCCACGAGTTGCAGGTTCCGAGGGGGTGCCCCTGGGCTGCGCAGCTTCGTTGTCATTGAGTAGTAACGTTTCCTCGATCTCCAGAACGTTAGCACCCGAAATTTGCTTCGGGTCCAAATCGCAAATAGCGCCTTCAATGTTCTCGATGTGCACTTGAGCCATCACTGGATTGCCTGGGCTCGACACTGACTCCGATAACTTATCGGCAGTGATCGCGATTGCTTGCAGGTTGGCATGGTTGAGCTTCAATGAGACCTCGCCCGCTGCTTCGTTCTCGAGTTCAACTTGCAAGCCTTCCTGACCAATCATCGTCTCTTGGACGACAGCAGCCGTTGCAGCGTTTGTGCTTGGTTCCAGATTGTGACCAAGCTCTTTTGGCTCTGGAGATTCGAATCTAGCCTCGGCCGACGGGTACTGCGACTGGGTACTCTCAATTTCCTGGTTCGGCACCCTATGTTGCGCGACTCCAGGTGCGAAGGCCTCTGAGTTGGGTTCATACTTGATTGCGGCTTGAAAAATGTGGGCAGTCGGCACCACGCTGTCGTGATGGTCAATCTCAATGACCGATGGCGCCTGTTGTAACATTTCATGTACCGAGCCGCCATCGGCAGGACCTGGCTGAGCCCCCGCAGATCTGTCTACGTTCGCAGAGGTGAGCAGCTCGTCAGGATGGTGTGAAGATTCTGGTGTCTCCGTCTGGGTTAGGGTCTGAACGCCCGTGAGTCCTTCACAATCTGGCCTGCCCTTCTTCTGTCCGCTATGCATGGTGTGTTGATGAAACCTGGTGTTGGCCTCACTTTCAAAAGCCGTCTCCATTCGTTCGGTACTCTTATTTGCGGGAATCAGTGGCAATGGGAGACCCGAGTCCTCATCGAGGGCGACGCGACTACTAGCTGTGGGCCTTTTTGGTGAAGCACTATTTGACATATCGTGGTTTCGAGCCTCTGTTTCTTGATCGGGCATTCGTAGCACGCGTCCTGTGTCGTCGCAAGTCGAAGCTTCATCGTATGCTGAGTGGGATTCGTACAGCATATCTTGATCGTGTTCCATCGGCTGAGGGTCGGCTAGGGACGACGGCGTAGTGAGCTCGAAACTGCGGCTCTTCAGTAGTGATGAGACCTGATGCCGACAGGCCGAATTGGCCACTCGCATCCGTGGTTGCAGCGCAGCAGAGTCTGACGTGCTTCTAAGAAGTTGAACAGATCTGTTCACCGTGCTCGTAACAGCCGGTTGCTGTGGCCTGGTCCGTTTGCGTTTTAACGGCGTCTTCTTAAGCCATCCGTTCTTTGTTGGCGCGTCGTCAGTAGCTTGGTCATGACCCTCATTTTGGCTCTGGCCCTTTGCAAACGGGTTCCAGAAGTCTTGGTCGTCCTCGACAAAGCTTGTTTCGACATTATCGGCCCAAACCTGAATCTGAATTCTCTTTTCCTCGTGGATGTGAGTCGTCGGGGTTGTGGCCTGTGCACTACTCCAGACAGCAGAGGACGACCCTGCGACCAGCAATGAAATGTCTTCTGTCGTGATTGGCACAGCAGCGGTGGCGTGGACTATCGTTGTGTTCATCCGCCTCGGGGTTTGGGAGCCAGCCTCCGAGACGACACCATTGCGGGCCTGCGTTCGACTGCATGAAGACTTCGAGAGCCAGGGATTTCTCCAGCCAGATTTTGCATCAAATGGCCCTCTCAGAGAGGCTGAGAGGAGCCGAGGCCGTTGTCCGCTGAGAAATCGCCGGCCAGCAGCTTCGTAGCGCAGCCGTTTGGCCAGTCGAGCAGAGCTGTCGAGCTCTTCGTCCGAGTCGTAGCTGTTGGGTTCGTCGGGATTTGTCATGGGTGGAACGGCACAGTACAGAGGCTCGTCAACCAGTTCCCTCAGCCTCCAGATATCGAGCTTGTTTGCACTCATGACGGAACTCGTGCCAGCGTCTAGCCAGCCGGTGCATGCCTGGGTGTTGCTCGAAAGTTTCAACCGGGCGTTGTGAGCTTGCAGTGGAACGTGGACCAGACCACAGGAGACTTCGACGGCGAGTGGTGTGTTGTAGCTGGCGTAAGGTGGAAGCGAGAGTTGGTCAGTCACCAGCAGGGTGCCTATCACTGACAAGGCGGAAGTTGCCCACGAGAGCAGTTGGTCCGGGATGGGTGTTTGCAAGAAGCGAAAGTGCTGTCAGGGATGGTGGTTGCTCATTGACAGCCAGCCCCACATGCATGAATGGGCGTGCGGACTCAAATTAGCGTGAAGTGAGCGAGACGCGCCTTGAGCGGTTCCCCAAGCGCGTTTGGCACGAGTTTCGTGTTTAATTGATTTTGCGCCACACCTCGAGCCCCAGCTAGCCGTGGCTGAGCCCCAGCTGGGGCTGCTGCGCGGAAGGTGCCGTGTTGTCCAGGCAACGGCGAATCCTAGCAGGGGTTCTTGTGTAATGTTTACAGCGCCCCACCAGTATCAGTGCGCGTCGTGGCTCCCCGGCCTGGGGGAAGCTCAACCGTTTGGGCCACCCAAGCTGCCGTCATCATCGAATGCCCGCTCACTAGCACCAGACTAAGGCCTCGACTCTGGCAGGCGGGGACTTGGACTGTTTCCTTCGACTCCGGACAATTCGCAACCGACCTCCAAGAGCACCACGCGCAGGAGCAGCACGATCAGCACGCCTACCACTCATGATGAGCAGTCGCCCATCTCTCCTCCTCACTCCCGGCGACTTCGCGACAGCCCTTTTGGCAACGCATCTGCAAACATAACCTTTCGTCTCGTCGTGGCCACCGCGCGTCCATAGTCTTTTGCATCATTCTTCGACACGAAACCTCTTGACGCCTTGCACACATTCCCATCAGCAACCGAAGTCCCCATCTTCTCAGCAAGATTCGACAACTTCACTTCTAGCAAATCCTCCCAATCTCAACGCGCGCACGACTTGGTATCGCAGTCACGCGCAAGATGGCGCACCACGCCTGGCTCGATTCCCTTTCGGAAGACTGGGTATCGCAGCCTCGGTCCAACGAATCCCAAGCGGAGCTTGAGCCGTTCTCGAGCCCAATCCCAGACGCCAAATCAGTGCCCCCCGACCGAGCCAGCCGCATCCCGCGGTTGAGCGCAGTGTCTAAAACGCCTGCAGACCTTCCCAACTCCGCCCTTAATGAACGAAGCGCCAACGAGATCAACATGGACATGACAGGCCGCCTGTCTCCTCGAACATCACGAAACGCCAAAGAGAACCACGAAGCGCGGTCTGCATCTGTCTCAACGACATCATCCGTGTTACATAACACAGTTCAACGCAACTCCACAGATGGATCTCCTTCCAAAGGTGCAGACAGTATCCCGGAGTGGCGAAGGCGCTTGGTAAATGGCGAATTACCATACGGGGAGTCAAAAGACCTCTTCAGTTCAGCTGGCACCGGCCTCGAGGACATGTTCAAGCCCCCCATGGGAAGCGAGCGTGCCGGTGACGAGGCGCTCGGAGAACTCTCTACACTACAGGATATGACACTACCGTCGAGCCCCCCGCCGTATCGAAAACGGACGTATATTCCTTCCACACAGTCAGAGGCCGGGGATGGGCCGTCCGACCCTGCACCCCCCACAAGTATCGCCAGAACCCCCGGTCTCCCACAAAAACCAGAAGAGTCCACCGAGGAGAGCCCGAAGAGCAACGGCAAGGCATCCAGCGGTAACACGGACAGCTCTTTCACATCAGTCTCAGCAAAACCCGAGCACAAAAACATGAGGACAGTGAGTGGGATAAGTGGTCAAAGTGTCATCCAACATGAGCATCTGAGTCCTATCCTCCTGGCTCGCCATGATGGCATGAATGGCAAGTTCACATATGCACCCTTGGATGCATCTGCGGATCAGCTCAAGAAGCGCTTGGAAAATTTGCGTCGCAATCAGCAAGTCCTGGACGACGATCCATACAGCTCCATGCGCCAACCATCGGTGCGGGTCCGCGCGAATGAAGCGATTGGCGAATTCAACACTACAGACGACTTCATCAGAGGAGGAGGCTTCTTGAACATAAAAAGGGGCGGCCGCTCGGGTGAAGGCTCCTTTCGCACACGGCCACTAAGCCCCCCCACAAATATCGACACGTCGGACATGCTCCCAGAATCATCGCTTCAGGCGAGTACGCCGAAACAGTTCCCTACTGTAAGGACGGAATGGATGGCCTCGACGAATCGCGATGACGAGTGGCAGAGACCATCAACACCAGATTATCCCCAGGATGCACAAAACAGCGCAGCCCAAGCACAACATGGTGCTAGCCAGACGACGAGTCCTCTGAAGCTATTTGGTCCTTATGATACATTCACCAATCAGACACTACTTAGGCGAATCAGCCAGTTCGAAGATCCCATGTCCGACAGCCCGTCCCAGACTGAAACCGCCGTCCGGCCCAACTCGCGAGACCGGCCAAGAAGCGCGAAGCAACAGGACGAGAGAGCTCGTAATAGAAGTTCAATCTGGAAGCCACGGGATGCACGAGGTGTTACCAACACGTTCGGAGCTGGCGAGCTGAATGATTTCGAATTTAGCGAGGATGTTTCGCTCTCGAACGAGGCTTCAATCTTGACAAACAAGGAAAACATTGCACCATCACGAGGCGCCGCGTCCCAGGAAAACTTGATCAAATTTAATATTCATGAGGATCTGCCCTCTGAGTCTGAGTCTCTCACAGTCGACAAGCTGCGCAGACGATCGACTTCGAGCGCTGCGGCACGGTACAGCAGACAGTCATCTGGGGTTTCTCATGCACGCCGGTCGCGAGCCTCATCAGGCTTTGGAAGTTTGGACAAGGCTCTACTGTCGACACCTAAAAGAGAGAGCTCAGAGGGAAAACGCCCAAGGACCTCGCCATCGAAGGACCCAACGCCTAAGCGAAGGAGGACATTACACAAGTCTGATGTAGCTTTTGGTCTTGTTGATCTCGCTGATGATTTTGAGATGGTCCATAAATCCCATGATGACCTGCAAGATGCGATGGGAAGGAAACGGAAAACGCCACAACAGCGCGAAGTTCCACTCTCTATGAACCCAACAATCTCTGCACTACGTCAAGCCGTCCGTCCCCGGTCTCCAACGCCCAGTCAGAGGAACTCAGCTGTCAAAAATCGACAACCATTAGAAGAAGTAGACCTTGCACTTGACGAAAGCGCCCCGAACATCCACAGCGCCGCAAATGCGACGCCTGACTCCATGCTGGACGGCTCGCGGAAAACTTCGATGAAGACTCAGGACTTCTGGGATCAGGCTAACGAGATTATGGCCATGATTCGAAACAAGGCTCGACCGAAGACTAGCCTCGACAGTGTCGAAGAATCAGAGGTCGAGCAAGGGAGTCAGACACCACCGGATGATGCAGTCGGTGATGATGATGACTCGTACCAGTCGACTGAAGAGCCATTCTCGCGCCCTCCAAGTCGCGAAGGTCGGCCTATGGCACGAATGCCACTCCGTCAGGAGGATCCCGAGCTTGCTGATCGGCTCAAGCAGTACGCTGAATTGAGCGATCTCGGCGAGCTTGTGAGCTTGTCTATGGGACGTATCAAAGAGGTCAACCACGAATTCAACATGGCCAAGGAATCCATTGATCAGAGTCTGCGGGACACAGCGTCGCGTTCTTTCTCCTCACCCCGTGAGGATTTTGTCAGCGACTTACCGAACGTCCGCATATCTCGAAACCCTGATGAGCCGCCGTCCCCAGGCACCTATAGCCGTCCCCCCTCAGGCTACTCGCAAGGATCAAGAGCTTCGAGTGCTCGATCGTTTCCTAGTGGTTCATCGCGGAACTCAGATTCGCGACGGTTGATTGCGCCTGATGCTGTAACGCAGCTCATTGGGGATCAAGTAGGCAATATGGTCTTCGATAAGGACAAGAATGCTTGGATGAAAGTTAGGACGCCAAAGCCTCCAACGAAGATTGTCAATGTTTTGCCGTCCGACGACAGCGAGGAAGACCCTTTCGCGAGCATACCCGATCTCTCGGTCGACATGACGAGAGAGAAGGAAAATCTCCTCGGCTTGTCAGCAGGGACACATTCTACCGAGTTTGGGGCTCAGCCAGAGGATCTGGACGCATCAGACATGTTCTCAGATCGGAGATCAGAGGCCGGCACGCCGTCACGAGATCGTAGTCCAGCTATGAGTCCGGCAGCGCCCCTCCGGTCCCCGTTCGACAAGGTTTTCACAGACGATGATGAGACCGTGGAGCACGAGATCACTATTGACGAAGACCGCGTCAGCAAGACTACATCCTCTCGTCGGCGGAATCTGACCATCACGTTCTCATCTCCTATCGCTTCCATCATTAGAGATCTGCCCGCTCTAGATGATGACAACCTTGGCATGGATCCGGCCGAACTGAGCGAGGCTGTCCGTGAAACAACATCTGCATTTGTCGCAAGACACCAAAATGAAGCTGACAATCCTGTGAGCACAAATACTCGACAGCAGAAACAGAGATCAAGGAGTCAGTCGCGAGGCCCCGCACGAACGCTATCTGTCCGCGGACGAGCTTTCCTGACTCGGCCAGTTTCTCGGATCGAGGAACGGGATGAGGCCTCAGAACAATCCTGCATTGATGAACGTCAACTGAGCATTATACCCGACCTGAGCATCGGCGGAGTTGATGTTGAAGATGGCCAAAAATCATCCATGGATGTGGCTTGGACACCTGCAGCGGAGAGAAGGTTGTCCATCTCGGCCACACCTGTCATTGCTAAGCACGTCGGGACGCTGTCTTTGAGTCCCCTCTCCGAGTTCACAATGCTTCAAGCGGATCAGTCATGTGCTCTCGAGGTCAGCTATGTGGTTGAAGACCAGTACCTGGTAACCGGAAACGGATCCAAGAAAGTTCTCTCGAGAGCAATCCGGAGTCTAGTCGAGAAGATCACGGAGGTTGAACCCTTTGAGCCAGACTGGGAAGGCATGCGAGAGCTGGACATCAGCAACAAGAAACTTGCATCACTCCACATGCTCGATGAGTTCTGCGGAGGTGTTGTCACGCTAGAGGCATCGAACAACAGTATAAGTCATCTTGAGGGCGTGCCAGATGGTGTCCGCAACCTTCGCATCACTCACAATCAGCTATCCGAGCTGACAGCATGGGGCCACCTGGTGAACCTCCAATACGTGGATGTCTCCAATAACAACCTTACCAGCCTCCATGCCTTCAAAGAGCTGGTCCACCTGCGGAATCTTCGTGCGGACAATAACAAAATCACAAGTCTCCAAGGCATCTGCCATCACGACACCTTGCAAATACTGCGAGCGCGAGGCAACCTGATCGAGGCTCTCGACTTCGAGGGTTCAAGGCTGGACCGGCTTTCTGAACTCGACTTGGAGCACAATAGCATTGCGTCGGTCCACAATCTTGACCAGCTGCCTTGTTTGACTTCTCTCAACCTGCAGCGAAACCAGCTAACCGAGACCCCAATCGCCGCGGGGTCCACGACAGAGACTATTCGGTACCTCAAACTGTCCGACAATAACATCTCACTTCTGGATATCACCGGGTTTCCGTCTCTCAGACTGCTACATGCTGATCGCAATCAGATTACTGCCGTGACAGGAGGTTCGCGCTGTCGACGGCTTGATAGTCTGTCTCTGCGTGAGCAGAAGATTGAAGGCCGACTGGATACTGCCTTCTTGGCCGAAGTCTACGAGATTCGCAAGCTCTTCCTGTCGGGCAATCTGCTCAGTGGATTCGACCCTTCAGTCGACTTTCTGAACCTGCAGTACCTGGAACTCGCCAACTGTGGGCTCGAACTACTGCCTCAGAATGTCGGGCAGCTTATGCCAAATGTGCGAGTGCTGAATCTTAACTTCAATGCTCTGAACGACCTCTCACCTCTGCGTTTCATCCCAAGGCTCAAGAAGCTGTCAGCTGCCGGCAACAGGCTTGCCGAAGCCGGTCAAGTCGCTAATGTCCTAGCCGAGTTCCCGCACCTGGCCAAGCTGGATCTGCGAGACAACCCCACGACGCTGGGATTCTACCCGCCACTGCAGACGCTCGTGCACGTCGACGAGGATGGCGAGAAGCCTTTTGATCCATTTGTCCTGCCTGAGGGCAATGCCGAGCGCGACGGCCAGTTCCTGGCCAGGCTGGACATGGGGACGAGGATGCGCAGGCGGCTTTACGAGATGGTGGTGCAGGGCCGCTGCCAGAGACTCAAGTCTCTCGATGGCCTGGCCGTATGCAGGTCCGATGTCTCTAAGAAGGATGCTATCTGGATGGCGCTCAGCAAGACTGGTGTCCTGAGCAGCATACACATGGGTGCTGAGGAGAAGGCCAAGCCGGACGAAGAGGCAGAAGAATGCGAACTGCCTCCCCTGCCCGCCAAACAAGACGCGGCTGCGCATATTGATTTGCCATATAGGCTATTTACCCCAACGAAACAGCAGCAACAGCAGCAATCATAAGCTGCTAGGAATAAGCACGACCAACATAAAACATGACATTACCCTGAGAAAGATGAGGGGTACAGCGGCGTTACTGGAAAAGGGATTGGCCTAGGGCACGCATAGAGTTCTGGTTCATGTCAAGGAGTTTTGATTTCCCCCCGCCCCAGGGCCTCCGGGGGATGCGGCTGGTTCATGTACAACAGCGCAGAGTCTTGTAGGGTTCTTGATTTCAATTTTACTTGCCACGATAATGAACGGGATAAAACAGGAGGACAAGCGGGAAAAGGGGGGCAGGGAATCAGCGGTTTTCAGATACATTGGCGTTTCACATTACCGAGAGGGGGAACTCAGCGAGCGAGCAAAGCATGTTGTACCAAGTTATTGATTTCTCATGAATGGCCGAGAACGCAAAGTGTCACAAGCTCCCAGTATGAAATCTTTAGGTGTCTCTCTGGTCCCAGGCCTGTGATTGTTTTTCGTACTCGTCGCAAGTGGACAGACAGGGCTTTCACCTACCTCAAAGGTGCTTTAGTGAGCATGCTGCGATGCACTGGGGCTGCCAACCGAATGCATTCGCGACCACCATCGACTCGGGGCATTGTGACATTCGAGAGCTGGGGTCATTCACAGTTACAGATCGCATTAAAGGTCTGCGAAGACATTCACGGTAAGATTGCATTAACCAGCATATTCGCGAGGTAGAAACTGGGTATATTCGATCGCCCCGCACCAGATGACGCTGATGGGATATTGACCAGCCATTGGACTAGGATACGCCGCGAGGCCGCGTACGGGCCATCTCACTAAAGAGAGAAAAACAGGCAACCAGCCGCCACAATGGCGAGAAGGTTGTTTAGTGACAGGAGCATAGAAAAACTAGAAAAACTCCGCTGGGAATGCCTCTGTGTCTCCCGATGATTATGTTCGATGTGGTGATGATAAGCGATGATTAACTCGAAATTCCGACAAGAGGATTTGAAGAGAATCGAAAAGTAAAAGAAGTGGATAGCATCTCTATGACAAAGCAAGATGAAATAGATCGCTCGACCGCCCAGTGATAACGTGATGTTTTTGGAGAAAGGTTTAAATGTGTTGCACTTCTACCGCGCAAGACTATCGCTCAGCTCGTCATCATCCACCCAGTTGCGCATTCCTCGTTCTTCGTATCATTCATCTGCTGGCGTGCGCGCATTGCGGGCACAGCTTCTTGGTTGTTTCGTACTTTACATCGCTTCTCATACAATTGGGCTGGTTGGTTGTCGAAAGAATATAAGAAATATGTTATCGCTCGTAGAATAAAGAAGCTGTGGTGTGATCATCTCTTGACGTGGATCAACGACTTTGCATCAGGATCTTCTTGGCAGTCTCAGTGCTGCCCACACTCGTCTGCGTGTCTCGCCGGCGGGAGATGGCAAGCTCCTTGGGAGGACCTTTCCTCTTGGACTTGAACATCACGATGCCTTCATCGCTGTCGCTGTCATCCTCGTCCTCGTCCTCTATGGCTCGCGAGGGCAAGGCAGCGGCTGAAGTAGGAGCCTTGCCCCGTACTTGAGGTGATTGGAAGAGAACAGTGTGATGGTCATCGTCGAAGCCCTCCAGGGGGAATTCTCCGAGTGGTTCTTTGCACATAGCGGGAGGTGTGAGCGAGTCAGTGGTGTCGACTAGTGAGGCACGATCAACTTGCCCGGGGTGAACCAGAAATTCGCCCTCGGCATCTGCGGACACAGAGCTGGCACCACTGAGAAGAGCCGGCAGCGACGGGTCCGATCTGAAGACTGGTGAGTCGTGACTCTGTCCAGGATAATTGGTCAGCCCCGGAGAAATGGTCGAATCACAAGGGCTGGTCATGGAGCTGGTGAGTGCGCCAAGCGACATGGAGCTACCACTTGCTACGCCGCTGCTAGTCCTGCGTTTTGTCGAAACCACGAAGGGGCCAAAATCCAGCTCGTCGTCGGGCGACGGAGGGCAAGGTACTGCTGACGCATTCACAGACTCCTTCAGGGGTGTCTCGTGCTGCTGAAGACGCCTTGCAAGCTCCTCCTCTCTCCAGGTACGTTCAATCCCCTTCCTCTGAGCCTGTGCGAATGATGCTGCTGTGGAAGGCTTGTAGACTCTCGGCGGTGGAGTAACAGTTTCCATCATCATGACTCGCTGGGGAGTAATCTGCTGCTCGTCCTGGCTGTTTGTAGCTGCATGGTTCTGCTTGTGATATATGTTGGGATCTGAGCCAGGTAGCCGGTGCTGGTAGTTCTGCATCGCATGCTGAGGAGGTCTGACCTCGTGAACACGTTGCCGGGTTTCGATTGGAGCAACAGACATTGGCCGCTGGGGTAGCTCGACATTGCCTGGCGCCACTACAGTGCTCAAGGAGACCTTCGCCTCGGCGCGCTTGTCCTCACTGGCAAAGACTCCACGGTCTACCGACCGGGCACGTGCCGACTCAGCAAAGGGGCGAATGTCACGGGCTTTGCGCAGTGTCGCCATGGGGTCATCGCCTTTGTAGTTCTCAACAGCTGGCGTGGCAGGGGTGGTTTGAGATGGTCTGCTGGCGGCTGTCAAAGGGAGGAACTGGTGGGGAGTTGATCTGGTCCGTTCGTGACGCTGCTCGTATGGCTTAGTCGCAGCCAATGAAGCTGTAGACGGTTGCCGGCTGCCAAAGTCGGATTGTGCTGTGAAACTGCTGGCCGCTCCACTCCCACTCCTACGAAGATCCCCATTCTCTGAAGAAGCCCAGTCTGCGGGGTAGCCTTGTTCGTCCAAAGGGGTCACCTGAGGGCTGACGGTGACGCTCTGGGAAAGGGGATGATCGCTCTCGCGGAGCGTTGCGAAATAGTCGTCCGGGCGTATGCTCTTTCGGCGTGAGTCTCGCAAGAGGGCTGGCAAGGCAGGAGAGTATGGGGTGTTCTCTCCGTTTGAACTAGCTGCACTGCTTGTCGCTCGACGTCTGGTTTGACTCGATGAGGGAATGACCTTGTCCATCGTTTTCTTCAAGACGGACCGCGCACGCTCAAGAAAAGTGAGCGGCACAACAGCCCGAGTCATCTCGCGCTCGTCGACTTGAATCTTACGGCCAGCTGTGCGTCTGGAAGGGTCCGTATCGTCCAGCCAGGCAATGACATCATCAATATCGCGAGTGACCCATCGGTGATGCTTCACTTCCCTTAGTCGAATCCGCTTGAGGGGATCCTTTGTTAGCATGCGGCGAAGGAGGTCCTGCAGATCCTCATCGACATCCTCGTATGTTGGCGAGCTGTCATCTCGGAATTCGCCCCGATTGCCGGAGTGGTAGAATGAGGTCGAGGACGGGGAGTGCTGTGTATTGACAGGTTTTAACCGCCGCCTGGGGATGAGCACAGGTTCTTTCGCGATCTTCTTAAACATTTGGAATTCATCCTCAGCCAAGAAGGGGATCCGCGCATAGATCAGACAGTAGAGTGTGACGCCCAGAGACCATATGTCGATCTGTTCTGAAATGCGTGGTTGCTTCTCGTCGATGTCCGTGTAGCACAGTTCTGGGGCGAAGAAGGCCGGTGTGCCAACCGTCTTGGCCAACTCCAGGTCGTCATCAAAGTCGCAGGCTTCGGATTCTGGCACCAGCTCGCCGGATTCCTCGTCACGAATAGGTCGGCCAAAATAAGAGACTCCAAAGTCTGAGATCTTGACTCGGTGGTCTTTCGACCACAGAAGGTTGGCTGGTTTGATGTCGCGGTGAACGACACCTTCGTAGTGCAGGTACTCGAGCCCAAGGAGCGTATCGCGGAAGACAGCTCGTGCCTTGTCGAACGTGAAACATGGCACGTAGGAGAAGTCATCAGCGAAAAAGTCGTGGGGCTGGTGAGTATTAAAGTCGACCGAAGACATGTGCGAAATGATGGAATCCGCCACGCTGGGAGAGCGTCCTCGGAACCACGGGTCGTCCCTAATGGAACTGGTGAAGGACCCAAACTGGCCACTGTGCAAAGCATTGGAGGAGCCAGGTTGGGATCTGAGTGGCAGGGGACCAGGGGTTTCCATATCGCCCTCGTCATCGGCATCAAACGGGGACATGTCGGGCTCTGAAGGCACTGGTGTGCTCGATCTCGAAGCACCACGCGACGCCGGTCTTGACATGTTGCGAACCCGAGACAGCGAGGTGTAAGAAGACGATAACGCTTGGGTTAGAGCCCGGCGGTGATCCCAAGAGTCGCCACCCGAGCCTTCTGACGGTCCCTCGGTGTCGTCCTCATGGGCGCCGCCCAGCTCGGAACTCCACAGCCAGTTCTCTTCTTGTTGGTTTTTTTGTAGCTTTGCCTTCTTCAGACGTCTGATGGTCTCCTTACGAGTCATGTATTGGTACGCCTGCTCGTCATCCTCTGTGAATGGGTCTCCAAGCATCTCCCTCTCGATCCTTTTTCGCTCGAGGTGGCAGATCATTGGGTCGCCCTTTGTTCGCCAGACAACCTCGCCAAGTTCGACGTGCTCAAGTACCATATAGATCTTCTTCAGCTCAGGGTCATCGATGATCTCAAGGAGGGCGACGACGTTCGGGTGCCGGATCTTCTTGAGAATGGCGATCTCCTTCTTGGTCTTGTCCTGAGGCGAGGCGGTGACTTTGCCCAAGCGACGCGTCTTTGAGAAGCGAGGAATGATTTTGATGGCGACATTCTCCCCTGTCTCAAGATTGCGGGCGAGCTTGACTTTGCCGTGCATGCCACGGCCAATCTCTTCGATAACTTCATACTGGTTGATAATCTTTCGGCCAGTCATCATGTCGAGGTCTACCAGCGCCTTGTGTGTCCTGCCAAAGAAAGCTTGGTAAGTACGGGGTCATAGACCTGTGGGCGCTGGGTTGTCACCCAGCACGAGGGCACAGTGATGGCAGTGTCAACCGACGAAGGGCAACATGATAGTAAAGAACCTACTCTCGGACTTTGTGTGTCTGCAGGGGGTGCAGATATGGGCTTCCTGGTCCCAGGCCGTGGGGAGAGTCGGTGGCCTGGCCATTGTTGCGAGTCGGGCTGAACAAGCCGGGGGAAGACGAGGGCGTGCTGCTGGCCGTCCTCAGCGGCGGGAGCTGGTTAGGCTCGAAGGAGTACTGTGGGTGGTAATGATCCATGTTGCGCGGTGAGAGGGATCACGGAGGAGGAAGCGCTGCAGATGCGGCAGGTGGCACAGGACGCGGGGCGCCAGAGCATGTCGTCGCAGGGGTGTAGTCGGCGGCAGAGGCTTCGGCAAGCACGCAACCGCACAAGGAAAAGGAAGGGCTCTTGTGTGAAGAAATCTAGCGGCCGCGAGCCATTGTTGCGTTCGGCTGGTCGAGGCTTAGGTTCGGTCTCCAGCCGTCGAAGGTTCGCAAAGCCCACAGTGTGGTGTTGAAGGGGATAGGCTGTGTTTCGCAGAAACAGGGCTGTCGGCCGGGGCGATGTGCAATGGCGAGATCGTGAGAGGAGAAGGAGCGGTCGAAAGTCGCAAGCGTAGCCCGTTTTGCTGCAGTTGTGAGGGGAGTTTGAAGTGAAGTTGTGCAGGCAAGAAACAAAAGCCTGAGATTGCGGCACGAGAGGTGGCACCCAGGCGTAATCGGGGGGCCTTGTGAGTTTAAGGGACGGAGGGAGCGGCGGGTGGGCTGCAGAGTGATGGGGTGTAGGGGGGGAAAGGGCGAGACTTGATGACGGGCTCGCCCAGCGGAGAAGGTCCCCCAGGCCCGAGAGGCTTGGGCGAGTGGTACAGTAGTGGTGGAGGGCTGCGGCGGCGGCGGAGGGGGGGGGTGGGTCGCGCGACATCGATAAGTTGGGCGGGCAGGCAGGCAGGCAGGCAGTCATGGCTCAGAGAGAGTGGTGTGCAGCCCTGGAGAGCACCGCAGAGGGAGCCCCATGTGAAGGAACCTGCGGGCCAGCGCCAGGTATCACCCCCGGCGGGCGGTAGTGGGAGTGGTACTTTCTAATCCAGCATACGCCAAGCAAGTGCATGGGGGCCGGCGCAGCCCGGTGGGGATCCTGCCTTAGCCCGCGCGCCTGTGCCCATCCATCCTCTCCAGGCCTGCCCAGGCTTGCCCGCGCTTCTCCCACACGTAGCTCTGGCGTCAACCCAGCGATCGGCACTCTTGCAACGTCCGGCCACCACCACCACCATCATGGTGGCGGCGGCGGCTTCATCTGCTTCTCACTCAATTCACACGCACGAGGAGTCGATACATCAATCTGCTCTCGTTGCAGGGCGGCGTCAACCAAGACCCCATATACTGTGCTGCACTACGTACCGTACGCAGACCGGCATACGAACCCCTGGCCCCTACTGGATAGCGGACGGGCCCCGGCGAGGACAACAAAAGACTGCCACGCCTGCTCGCTGTTGTCGATGCATCCGCCGGCGGCGTCACGGACCAGACAGACTCGGTCATGGGCAAACGCTCCATTCTGTCCCCTGGTGCTTGCAGCAAATAGTGCCAGCGAAGCTCGGCAGGTTCAGGCACAAGACAGCACGACAGCCGCGTGCAGCCATTCGTCTAGCTTGCTGAGCGCGGTTGTCGCTCTCTCTCCGAGCCGTTCTGTCCAACCAGCACAAAACCTTTAGCAAATCGGAGCCGCAGGCCCCTGGGGCCGACCACGGACCCTGCCAGCATTGGTTCGCCTCCAGACAAGCCAGCACGCCTGCAGGACCGGAAAGCAGGAGCAGCCAGCAAGGCACGCGCGTGGCCTCAAACGTTGAACGTAGCCTGGTTGTCGCTCGAAAATCACAGCTCTTGGCTCGAGACTATCCCTCCTCCCCTCGCACATTTAGTCGCTCTTCCGCCGCTGGCGAGGAAAAGCCCAACATCACACTTTGTATGCGAGCCAGAGGCGCAGGCTAGGCCTTGCTGGGTTTGGTCCTTGGCTGGCTGGATAAGAATAAGTCGTAGCCCGTTGATAAGTCTAGCCTCCTGAGGCTATCGGTACGCAGCCATCGCGTCGTCCTCCCGCCCTCTTAAAAGTGTCCGTTGAAGCTCGCGCCGCGCCTCGCATCAAGTGCCGCAAAGGCGACATTGGTGCCAGTGTTTCAAGTGCTTGAGGCGGCGATACCACCATGGCCAAGTCGTCATCCATGGCGGTCTTGTGCATGAGGCCAGTCAAGCTAGTCCGGCTGCTCAAGATGGGCGCAGGGGAATTGGCAATAGCCGGGACATGACACTTGCACGCAGCCTTTCTTGGTTTGGCGGCGGACTGGGGTCGTGCCGGCTGGCCGCTTGGCTGGTGTCTCACCTTGCGAGACTTTGGTGGCATCAGAGATAACGAGAATGGAGGCGCCTGATTTGACGACAGGCTCCCATGCTGCAGGCCGACAGGAACCAGCATGACGAGGTCCAGGGTCGCGCAACCTAGCGGCTCTGTGGCCCAGCAGGGTCCGGGCGGCAGGATTCGCAACGCAAAGACCTTGTCCCCTGCCAACTCAATCGTTGCGCATGGACAGCCGCGATCGTGCCGTGTTGGTCCTGAGGCACAGACACAACAAAGGCGGATGTCTCGCGTCTGACGCCATCGGGCTTGTCTGGAAGGCGCCTGGGAGATAAGGACCGAGACAACAGAGGCTGCTGGACAAAGGACATTGCAGCGCAGCACGTGGCATCTACGGTCGATGGTCTCACAAGTCTCAGACCTTGCCGGCGCCGCCGCGAAGAATGCTGGCCTGTCTCGCGGAGAAAAGTCTGGCCCACTGGCTGCAGCGGTGACGTCCTGCACGACCGCAGCTGTGCGTTGTCCATGGCTCCACGGTCGGGCTGGCAACGCAGTGCAGTGCAGTGCAGTGCAATGAAAGCACTGCAGCACAGCGCAGGTCACGATGGAGTCGCGCATGCAGGGCAAGTGGTCCAGGGGGGAGAGGCACTGTCTGTGGTGGAGCAGCGCCCGCCAGCCAAGCGTGCGTGCCTGTCGACACTGACTGGTGCTGCCATTGCCAAGACGCACGCTGCGTCAGCCCCTGCCTAGCGTGCTGCAAGGTGCCAGGGGGCCTGGCACGCTGCAGGTCGATCATCGTCTTGTACCTGTTGTCGTCCTCGTCCTCGTCCTCATCATGCTCGTCGCCATCAGATGCCCAGACAGAGGTTTCCCAGCGTCTTGTTTGTGCCACTGGTGGGACCAGTGCGGCAGGCAGAAGCAGCAGGAAAGGTTAATTGGCAGCAGGCGCCGCACCGCTCAACGGTCGCAGAAGCTTCAGGAAGCAGCGGGAGGGCGCGGGAATGGAGCCACCCGTCGATCAACTAATAACTCATCGCCAGCCGCACAGCTTGCAGCGCAAAACGAGATCATGTCGCAGGTCCCATCCAGCTCGAGATCTGGGCTTGACATGCTGCTGTGTTTCCATCCGCCGCGCATGCGCCTGCTCGAGCCATCTCCCCCGGCAACTCAACCTCACCGCACGGCCAGCAGATCAAAATAAGCCAGGCCCCGGCACATAGGGTCCGCCCGTAGCGCATCGACGGGCCGCCTAAGGCTTGCTGTTATCACGCCCAAGGTTCGCAGCCTCGTGTCCGCTGACGGTGGCTAATATCTGGGCCGCCTCCCAGGCCACCAGGCTCACCACCATGGAATACGGATCCGCCTCACCTGTACCTTCGTAGTAGCTCGGCATGTGCAGGCAAGTGCTGTTCTTCTAGGAGCCGGGTATCTGCAATTGCGGTGCACGACACATGCGTGTACCAGACGGGGACTAATAAGCAGTGAGACACGGACCCAATAATGGACAAGAACACCGTACCCACGCCACGATGGATAGTGAGCCCACCTCCCCGGCCCGTGCTGTCTCGAGACGGCACAACGCCCGCCAGGCAGGTAAGGGACCTTCGCCAAAGTGGGCAAATGCAGGTGCATTTCGTGGTTGCACATCTGCACATCACCACACCAAATCTGTCCGTGTCTCACTCGGAGCATGTCCCTTCGAAACCGGTCAGGGCTGCTTTCCTCTGGGGCGAGCTTGAGGGCCCGACATATCATCGTGGGCGGGCGCCGACCACCTGATGCTTGGCTACAGCTTCCGCAAGCCTGGCAGCCACAGCCGGACTGGCCAGCAGTATGGGACTCACTCACCAGCCCTCCGAAGCATATTCTCGATTTGATCGACTGGGGCGACCGAAAGAGACTCAAGGTTCTGCCCGGACTTGCCCGCAGCTTCCTGCACGATCGATGCAGAGGCTGGCTCGCTTGGCATTGCGCTCGAATGACTTGAATTCGTTCCTGCTGCTGCTGCTCCTTGGACGTTTCTCAAGTTCCGCACCCTCCAACGAGCCGGGCCGGGGCAGACAGGGCAAGTTGGAGACTACTGTGCCAAAAGGAGAACAAAGTTTGTAATCTGCAGCCAATCGGCGAACAAGACCCGCTATTCAAAGCCCTCGAGAGCAATGGAAGCTGGGTTGGGCCGGCGGCGGTCAGAGTCCCTCTCGTGGTACGTTCCGACTGCTGTTGATAATCTTGAATCGTCGTTTCGAAGGCGCCCTGCACGCAGCCGCAAACCCGCGAGCAATGGGACGAGCAATTGCAGCAAACACGCTACAGGCACGTAGCCACATCTTAGGGCTATGGGGAGGGAGCACGAGTCGTGGCGTGCGTTCCTGGTCAATCTGCATACGCCGTCCAAAAGAGCGACGAGCCGCCCCACAGGCCGATCCTCATCGCCGATCACGGTATCTTCCGACACGCCTCACCCGCAAGATCAGGCGTCAGTGCCTCTCACCAAACCACTGCGCTTCGACGTCATGGCTCGCTCAATGAATCGCAAGCAAGCTGTTAACTGTGCGATTCGAGCTGTGAGCAGGCCCGAAGGCTGCTTGCCTCAACAGATAAGGGCACAGCTATCACCAAACTTGACCTTGTGGCGACACCATATCATCGCCACTTTCCGATCTCTCAGTGAAGCTTTCAAGTCGAGGGTCCTTCCGGGTCGAGCATCAGATAACAGCCAAAGGAGGAGCAAAGGCAAGCGCCGGCCATGGTGGGGCCAGAACTCTGGCTTTCCCCCTGAAGCTGCAACTGCAACGCTCTGGCTCTGTGTGCGGCACGGCGGCTGGACTGTGAATCCACAATTTGCCAGCAACTCAACCTGGGCACAGGCGCAGGGCGAGTGGACTTCTGTGCCTGAACGCCGGCTTTCCTGAAAATGTCGTCATCGTCCTATGTAGCATGAAGGACTAACGTGTCTAATGTTGGTGTTTTGGAAGTCGCCAACTTGCTGGCTTCGATGCTTCGCATCAGCCGCGGGAGGCAGACGTCCCTCTCGAGCCTCGAGGCAACTGGCTAAGTTTCATTACAACCCGGCTCTTGGGCTGTCCGACGGTGCTCAAAGCGTTACCACAATCAGTGTGCAGAAGACGGTGGCACCCAGCCAATAAGCGATCGACTTCGTCGTACAACAACAACAAAATCCTCATTGTCCAAACTGGGGAAGCCCTGGCTCTCTGGCCCGTGATATCATGTGCCAGCCAACGATACTTTTGATCACGCTTTTGCGCCTTTTCCATACCACAAGCATATGCTTACCAGATCTGCCGGCTGGGCAATTGGTCGGCGGGAGGATATAGTGCCACCCCAGCGTCGCACTTGCGGACAAACCCCCGGCCAGATTCACCATACTCCGTGTAGACGCCCATCTGGCTTTTTTTGGCCACGTCAAACAGGCTTGTGGTGGTTTGTGTCTGCAGAGATGCATTTCCCAAATTCCGATCCGCGCGCGCGCGCTCCTCCTGAGGCATCCCCTGCCCCTCAGCAGCTTGCACTCGCAAGGGGGGGCGCGGGCGTGTCACTCATGCACGCTGCCAAGAGTGGCATCATGGAATGATTCTGGGTATGCATTTGTCCTTGCCTGCGCAAAGCTAATTACGTCCAGAGAATCTCACGATCTTTTCGTCTCTCACTCGACCAGACAGCATGCATAAGACATTGTCTGTCCCAGATGCCCAGATATCCAGGTCTGGCCGTATCCTTTGAAATATGCGATAAGGAGTTGCCGAATCTCCCTCCGGCTGCCAGATATTGGTTGATGACATGTCACCCAGTATTCGGCTGATGTCAATTAGCATGGCCGCTACTAGGCTATATACAGAAGACCGGCCGCCTCACTTTTCGCCCATCAGTCTCGTAGGTAGTGTTTCCTTCCCAAGGGTCGGGCGCATGCATCGCCAGGGTACGTACTCATCGCGAGGTCCAAGCCTGATGCAGCAACGGGCATTAAGATGAGTGCGCGCGGCTGGCACCTCGGCTCATGGCTTGAAGCTGAGGCGAGGCTGAGGGGGGAAAGGAAGTGCCATTGAGTAAGTGAGAGCCATTGCCAGTGAACCCTTTGGTTGCGACGAGACACATTCGGGGTCTAGTTCTACTCTGGTAGGCCTTAAAAGCTCGGCCAATATTCGCTCGGTGCGGACCTCCGAGCACAAGCTTCGCGAAGCGCACGGCGGAGCGAACCAGTTGGAGAAGGGAGCGAGTGTGTGATGTGACAGGTAACTCCGAGCCCCGGCATCGTGGACTTTCCCGTGCGCCCCCTCCCCCCTTCTACGATCACAAGCATCAGCTGTAAAGTTTGGGTGGCTAGCTGAAAGACCGACAAGAAAGCCCCTTCGAGGTGCCCAATCCTGACAACGCACCGCTCCCCGTTTACAGTATTGGTTGGTGGGAAGTGACAGCGGGAAAAGCGCAGGACTCAAAGTGCTGGTGGCGCCACGCTTTGTGGAAATCACAAAAGGCGGGACAAGCGCAGCCGCCGCCGCCACCACCACCACTACCACCAGCACTCCAGGCAGTATGGGCAAGACTATCGACCACAGCATCGTGACCCTTGTCGGCGCCCACTCTGCCGAAAAAAAAGGGATAGCACGGGACCTGACAAGTGAGCGAGGGGCAGTGCGGCACAGCAGCATATCGGACAAAGAAAGAAAAGAAGCTAGGCCGGTCGCCCACCCTGCATGTTGGTACAAGTCTCGCCGCAGTTTTGTGGCGGCTGGCTGGCTGTTCCACTATTCTTTCTCCCATCATGTGTGTCTCTGCTCGTCCCTCTCCTGTGGTGGCTCTCGATCACCGTGCATGATGATGGATCGTAGTCTGGACCGTGGGCGGCATGGTATAGATTGGTATGCGTTTGTGTGGTGCACGCGGGGCGAGAGGGAACCTGCACGCGCGTCCACGTTTCGTCGTCCTTCCCCCCGTTCCTCGTTGCGGCGGCCCCGGCCGGCAAGGATCTGGGGGAGCGGGGCAAAAGATTGCTGGGGTAAAGACGGCAGGGCAGGCATAGAATAATATGGCAGTGACCGGCACGGCAGGGAGGAGGAGCAACAGTCCGGAGTAGTGAGATGAGGGCACATGAGCCGAAGACTCTCTAGTCGAGAAGGACACAGCGGGGGAGGGGGCCGGGATAGACGGCGCATGGGGCGGCGGGCATGTTGCTCGTGCGCCTTTTTTCTTTCACGATAGCATCAAAACCATGACGAAAAAGGAAATCCTGGGAGGGGGAACGGGTCGGAGGGGATGGGCGCCCAACTGGAGGAACGGGAAGACCAAGGCGAGACCTGGCTGGATGGGATGAGGGCCGCTCTCGAGACGACGTCGTCAGCAAATCAGGTTGCGGCAAGCAACGCAGCCGTCTGGGGGTGCCTGCAGCTGCAGCAAGCCGCTGGAAGCAAGACAGCCAGCCACGGGGGCGGCTGGGGTGCGTGCTTTGCTGGGCTGGGCTGGAGCAAGGGAGGGAGATTGCGTCTCACACCTGGCTGTGACATGAAGCTATCGTGACTGAGCGAGCGAGCCCAAGTCTGGTCTGGTCTGGTCTGGCCCGGTCCTGCCCGGCGCCCAACTTGCTCCTGCCCAGACAAGGGCCCAGGTAACCCCTCTCCGATGTCTGGCTGCCTGAAACCCACGATGCCTCTCGTCTGCCACGATCCTCCGTCGCTGTCATCGCTGGCTTCTTTGACTGATAACGAAAAAAAAAGTTAATGTCGTGCATGCTTGCGTCTCCATGCAGGCTCGTCCTTGCCGTTATCACAGGCCGAGCTCGAGACGGGCGTCTGCATCAGTGTGATGGCAGGCATCGCCAAAGGTGCCACGATCTGAGGTATCCTTCAGCGTACACCCACCTCCTCCCCTCCCGCATTGCATGGGCGATGTCCTCTCTTACCTCCCGGTCGTCGACGACCACGATGATCTGTTCAGGACAAAGGAGGGCGCAAGGTTTCTGCAGGCATTGGGGCTCTGGAAAAGCCACGAATAGGAAAAGCACCGAAAGCACGGCCGCTGCTTCTGCTGCTATTGTTGTGTTGTTGCTGCATGCTCGCGTGGTTCCACGCGGTCGCCAAGTGCAGTCGTGGCATTTAGCCATCGGTCGTTTACGACACGCAGGATGCCGGTTATAGACCTCGAGGGGGGATGTCGAAACATCGCAGATCGGCTTCCCTCCATCCAGGACCGGCAAGCATGGGCATCTATCTTGTGCATGGGACGTGCGTTGCTTGGCCAAACCGGGGCCGCGTCGAAACATAACATCGCCGGGAAGAATCGGGCATTTTACGGGATGCGAGGTAAGCCGCCCTCGAGGCCCTCAGTCAGAGTCAAGACAGGGGCTTCTTTACCCTTTGTTATGGGCCTTGAAGCGTCAAGCAGTTCGACCCCATCTGTGTGTGGCTGACAGGCCTGCTTCTGGTATCGGCGCACAACTGACTAGGGCTCCGGCTCTATGCACTCATCACAAGAGCGCTTCATTACTAATTCACAAGCAGGCAGAGATTGCTCCTCGGATTACAATGTGTCCAAGAAAGGTCAGGTATTTCTCCGCATGGCGCTATACCCAACGCTGTCTGCTCTGCATGCGTAGCGCCGTTCGAACGGTGGAAGAAGGCCCGTCAACCGCCAATCCCGTTCTGACGAGCTACGACGAATGTTGGCTCATTGTCGCTGGGTGTGCATTCGTGCCCAAAAGGAAATGTCGATCGTGCCTTTGCGGAGACTGGGGTCTCTGCCCGCGATCACAAGCTTATCAAGGCAACAGTTGACAGGTCCCTGGTCGCTGCACTCACCTCGTAACCGGGGCCACTTCAGCGAAGCACTCTCCCCATGGGGCAGTCGTGCGGCTTGCTCCATAACGTGCCGCGAATTGGCTAGAGGCGGACCGATCCTCGAGGATCTCGAAGCGGAGCATGCCTGCAGGACCCGCACAACATGCAACCAGCCACTCCGCTCGCTCGTCATGTCGACAGGTGCTGCGTTGAAGCTCGTCGTGACACTCATGGTCACAAACGCAGCGCCCCGTGTAATTTCCCGCTGGAACGGCAAAGCATGATATATTGGTCGCTGACCAAATCAGGCGATTTTGGAACTATCGAGTCCTGCTGCCAGACTGCATCATATGCCCCTGGCCTTCTCAGACTGATCTGCATGGATGAGGTGCTATGTGCCAGCTTTTGTTTCTGTGCGTGAAATGATGGTGTGCCGCGTGTTATGAAGACCCAGAGTAGATTTGAAGTGAGTGTCGCGTGTCGACGGTCGCGCAAACCAGATCGAATCATCACAAGCTCGGGTCTGGTCTGGGCCTGTTGCGATGACATTTCGTGAAGCGCCTAACCCCCCTGCAACAAGCTCAGCCTCCACCAAGCACCCAATATGCCGCTTCTTCACCAACATGCATGTCGACGAACAATTGGCAATCTCACGATGTCTGGTGGTGACGCTGACCATCGGCGAACCATGACCGGAGCTGATATGCCAGCCATCCAGGTTCCCCCCTGTCTCGTCTGCTCTCGCTACTCGTGCCCTGTTCCGGGTGCAGGGGGCGAGGTGGACTCCACCCCTCATGCCCTTGTCATAAGACAGTGAGCAAGGAACACGGGCTGCCTACACTACCCGTCCCGGACTGCGAAATGCGATGTTCGAACCCAGCGACAGCTCCGGGTTCAGAGGGAGGAAACTGGCGTTGTGATGGCCAAGGAGTGGTGGCACGGTTTGGACCCGAGGCTCAAATCAAGACATGACGTGCTCGTAACTGAGGACAGTGCCGGCGGGCTCGTACTTCAGGCGGCAGTGAAGGAAGGCAGCACGTCACTTTGTACGGTTGGCGCTGACTGAGACGCAACCACGAGCGGGGATTCTAGTTCTGGCGCCGCTTCATCGGACCCCTGCATCAGGTCATATCTCACTGTTTGCTCGCTCTGCTTTCGGCTCGTCCCACCATGACCCGATGGTTTGGTATTGCAGTCAGCAGCATCGGCGGCATTATCGGCCGTATGTGGAAACAGGGGAATGCGCTTATCTACGACGATGTCTCGATTCCCGGGGCTTGCAGCTCAGTTTGCTTTTTTCCCCCGATACCTCCATTTAGCCAGCCGTGAGACATGCATCAGGGATGCCGCTAAGCTCACCGGTTTTCTTCAGTCGTGCCGGATATTGAAACACAATCGACATTTCTGGGATGGAGAAAGACAGTATTGGAGGAGGGAAGGACTAATCCCGGCGCGGAGGTGAGAATGTTGTTGCATCAACCACTTGGTCTCCTCGAAAAAGTACCAAGTGACGTGAGCGCTCGAAACGCGAGGACACAGAAAGTTCCCAGCACGACCCTTCCACAGCCCCGGACCAGCGTTCTGTCAGAGAGCCTCTGAGAAGAGCCGGCGATGAAGCTGACTCAGACTTTGGGGGGGTTACATGAGGCACCCTTGATCACTAAATCGCGAGGAGGAATGAAATGGCGGCTGTGTTGTGGATGCAGAGAGAGGGTGATGTGATGCTCGGCTGCAGTCGTTGGCGCGAACCCCCTTGCGTGGACATTTGAACCATGACGATCCTTGACCCTGGCCTGCCAAGTGCGGGACTTTGGCACCTGGACTAATGGGGTTAGGGTGTGCGGCCTGGTGTAGCTGCTGCCCCGCCATCCATTGGCATCGCGACGCGGGCATCGAGAGGATTGGAGGCGATGCTCGGATGTTGGCCGCCATGGATGGGAGCTGAATATGGTGGATGGGTGCTGCAGCGCCATGCGACCTGACGTCCTGGCCCAACCACTTCACGTAGCAAGGGTGCGTACCTCAAGGGAGGAAACGTATTGTCGACTCGTGTGGGTTCTGGCGAGGGTTTGGCCTCGAGTCGTGTGGTGTTGTTGCTCGATATGCTTTGGCGATGCTGCAGTAGCCAGCCGTCACCGTGAGCTACGGCCCACGCCTGCGCGTCATGATGCATCCACTGGCCCGAGTCCTGTGCATGCTCCAATCAACGGCGCTGATCAGCACCATGGGGTACTGCATCTCTGGGGAAGCCCCTTCTTCGTGGAGAGGCCATGGGATGGAGGCATGGCCCGATCAGTCTCGATCAGCCGTGGTTGGCCTGTCGGCAGGGCCTTCGCACCGAACGGGGTGGTGTTCTTGTTTCGGCCGCGTGGTCTTTCAATGTGCAGGAATCAGGCGACTATTGTTGCCGTCCGCCACCCAGCCGCCGCCGCCTCACACACCATCAAGCTTATTGTGATAGTGGCCGTGGGCGTCGGCACTAGCAGGGCTTGACGGCTACCGCGGTTGGCACAAGTCGCGGGCGCTCGCCCGAAGAGGGTGTGCCCAGGAACCGCATCACAAGCGGGACGATCGGGGCCATCAAGGACAGCTCGTAATGGGCTCTTTTGTCGTCTGCCCGCGGACTGTGTGCAGTGCAAGAGACGCCCGTGTACGTAAGATGACCTCGGGAAGCTGGTGTGGCCTCCTCCCAAGTGTCAGTCCACCAGGCTGCTGCACGGCGCCTTCCGCCATCTGTGTGCTCCACCAGGCCATGGCAGTGGCTGCACTGTGGTTTCTGGCTTTCCCTGAAGTGTGCCTGCCAGCAATACAACCACACGTGCGTGTCTTCATCACCATCACTCTCGCCAACAATAGACATGTGCTCAGCTCATCCACACCTCAGTTGATCGTGGCAAGAATGATCCGTCTCACCACACTCTACCACGGCCCACTGTCCAATCACAGCAGCCGGGTACGACTTCCAGCCACACATCTTGTGCCTCCGCCCGTCATCACAAAGCCTCTGCTCTTCTCAGCAAGCTCCCCGTCCCGACGGTGTGGTGCTGAGATGTGATTCGTCCCGCAAGTTTGCCCAGAGACGAGTCGCAGTACACCACCGTCCTGCGGTCCAGACGACATACACGACCAAGATTGCTCTGGCAAGCTCGGAACGAGCATGACCAGAAGTTGGGCTCGGAAACTACTGACTGCGCAGCTTTGACTATTGGCCCCTGCCCAAGGCTATCCCTGCCACAACGTACCAAGCCTTGATCGAAAATGCCGAAAAGAGAGAGTGTCAACTAACAACACAAGTCATGAATGTCGCAAGAAGTCTGTCCTCTGGCTGGAACGCACGTAGGTCGCGATCCTGTGCTTCATAACGGGCGAAACAACGATCGAGACACTCCGGTTTCATGTAATTATTGGGCTCTCCAGCTGTCGAGCAATCATCAACATGCACCAGCATCACCGTCGAGATGTGCTGGCTGCCAGCCTCTGCGTCTAGAAAACTTCCAGACCGCCGTTGATGCATCAATACAAGAGATAGGGACGGGAAGGACAGAATATTATCTATGTTCTGGTCACATGCACAGATTTGAGTTTCCGCATGCCGGACTCAGACAATGTCTCAGAGCTCTGGTAGGGCAATGCCTGTGAAAAGGGTTTCACGAAGCTATCATAGGAGTAGATGAGGCTTAGATATACTCTCACTTCACGGACGTGGTACGATAAATTGCCAAAGCAGGGCGGCATTCGAGATTTCCTGGTTGTTCAGGATAATCATCATTCCGGAGATGTTCTTCACTCTCCGACTCATACACACAGGGAACATCCTGTGTTTCTGAAACATCTGTCGTCAACGGCAAACTTTCGCATCCACAGCCCGGCCGCCCAGACGGGGCGAGACGACGAACCTTCGCACAATCTATGTTGCCCGCAAACGTGTCTCGGCTCGGAATTGACTCGGCTGGATTTCAGAGATGCTCGGACTGAATCGTTGCTCACACCTGCAAAGGGTTACTAGGGGTCCAAGACAGGAGTCACGCGCAGGACAATGACTCCTGTCTCGGGCGATGAATTGAAGCTTCGACAACATGTGTCATGTCTCAAGGGTCTGAAACCAACAGTGTTCATGGCTCACGCGAGGCATTCAGACTCTGGAAATTAAGCTCACAGCCGCCGAGGATATGGCGCCATACGTCATAGTCGTCATCCGGAGCTTGTTGTTGTTTATCGCGATCGAAAACGTGGAGTACAAAGTATGATCAGCTCTACTCAGAGTCGCCAGCATGGAAGGAAAGGCCTTTCCCCGGGACTGGTTCTGCAGCGCATGCCCACTCGCTCTGAAAGGGTCTATTCCGAATTCGTGCTTGCCGTTCAACTCACGGTTTTATTCTGGTGCGCATCGCCACTTCGCACCGGAAACACAACCGGCTGAGTGTGAACCAGAGAACGGGTGCCGAATGGACGTTTTGATCAAACACTATCATATAGTATTCTCTCGCACAATGTCAGTATCCATCTTTCCGCGTGACTGATGCTACAAGACTGCCAGACCTATGGCTTGGCGAAGACTGATTTTGTGTCCAGCACCATGCACACTTTGGCATGCATGACTTTTGCAGATGTCACGCCAGACACAGAGCGATGAAAGAATAGTTATGACACGGAAAGCTCTTGCCCGTGCCAGAGCTTTTCTAGCAGCAAGTTCGCTTGCCTCTGCAGTCCTTGGGGTGAGCCCATGCGATCTAGACTAGAGCCTCGTTCTATCCTGGAGTGACGTCGATTCCGCATTCAACAACAAGCTTCCAACCTACACAGCCTCACTGGGGACCGCCGAGCGTTGTCGAAACATGACGAGCAGGGGGGACCCAGGGCAAAACAGGGCAAGCGAGAAACCTTGGCCAAAGCGTACTGCCGGGTGCGGCCCGCGCCGTTCGCAAGGAAGGTCAGGCAACAATTTCATGCAGGGGTGAGTGGCCGCCGCCTGTCCCTTGACCGCTCGACTCCATGTCTCCCGTTCGACATGGCCTGTAAGACTAAGCATGGAGCATGGAGGAGGCGGATCTCGAGTCACCCACTTGACCATGGGGTTGCGACCCAACAGTGGAGCATCGTTGCACCATGTGTGCAAGGGGGGCGGAGGCGGAGGCGGGAGGCAGCTGCATGTATGCAGTCATGCGGTTATTTGAGCCTCTCGTCTCTCTAGAGAGATGGCAGTATTAACCAGATGATGCTCGAACCCCATGACCTTGGATGGCTGTGACAGACATGTCTCGCCAGAGCACCCTCAAAAATAAATGGCACATGGGCTCTTCTCTCACGAGTGATTGTCCGCCATATGTAACGTGGCCTGAAGTGATCCATAGACATACTTCGAGAATACGAAGAAGACGAGGTCCCGATCTCTCATCTAGCCCGGGTTCACCCCGTAGACGTCTGACCCGGGAATAACGGCGCAGGCAGCAGACAGGGACCTTCCTTGACTGCCGTTCCCGTTCCCCTTCACCCTCTCCCTCTCTCCCCCTCTCTCTCTCCCCTCGCTCTGCTAATAACGCCTTCCGGGGAAAGCCAGACCTGGTCGCCGTCCCACATGCATACATATGCCGGCAAGTATCAGGGTAGCAACCCAGGTGGAGAGGGGAGAGGGGGAGGGGAGTCGAGAGGGGGGGGAACATGCCCATCCGTTTTGCTTCCTTTGCTCTCCCATCGATACATTTCCCCTTGGTCTGGCTGGTGCTACCTATGCAGACTGTGCGGGCGAGCGGGCGGGCGGGCGATCCGCGGAGAAGAGACGCAAAGACCTCGTTCTTGCACTGCTGCCTACCTACCTAGGTAGGTACTTATAGGTAGGTACCTACGCGTAGGCAACTATTCTGTCCCAGGAGGCCTCATTTCTCACATTCTGCGGCATCGCACGTACCTACATCATCGGGTAGGAGATTCCCGGCCAGTCAGGACAAGCGCAAGGACGGGCATCGGACACGCAAGGAGAGACCGATGTGCGGGACACGCCGATATTCGACGTATACATGGCAACAAATTTGCGACCATTTCGACGGGAGAGAGAACAAATATCTATCTGCACGTCCCATGTAAATCGAAGTAGTGATCACCGCCGTGTATATAGATAGGACTTTCCGCGCTACATGAAAAGACCAACCTCGGAACGCCCAAAAAAAAGGCACGCAACATTTGTGAAGCCGCCCTAGAACAATACCGCAAAAGTTTCACAGCCACAGCAGGTGGTTTAACTAGTCGTCGTTGTAGGGCTGGCTCCTGTTGAAGACCAACATCATGTTGGCAGATGAAAGGATGCTGCTTGAATCAAGCACATCAGTGTCTGCCGGTCTACCAGCCTAGGAGTGTCTCAAACAAGTTTGTAGTGGCAGTGTAGTGTAGGCCGTCAAGAATAAAAGCGTAACCAAAACCCTCCAAATGGCCGAGTCACCAACCAGCCAGACGTCATGCAAGAAGCCGTGCAGTATTTCATCTCAACCACCCCGAGGTCCAATCATCTCACAGTCACGAGTCAGATGTAAATGTTTCAAACACGAGCTTTGCCCGGCAGGGCCTCTGTAACGTTGTACTTGGCCAAGAACGTGTATTTTCATTGATCACAAGGCGAGCGATACGAGGAATACAGGAGGATACGGAGCACTCGTGTGGTTGTCATGAATTCATTTTCGGGGGCAAAGTATGGCACAATCAATCATGAAGCCAGTATCGCTTCTCAGCGTCTCATCGATGACGGGCAGTCCATTGTTAACGCAGCAGGTTACATATGACATAGTTAGAGACGTTGCAGCAGCACGTGGGCGCCCACTTCTTCATTGTGCTGCTCGGCACTGATGCGGATAATTCCCTAGACTCCGCTGGTGCCCACACCAGAGGCACCACCACCACTATGCTTTATCGCGTCGATTCGGCAACGGTCTACGCATACATTAGCCGCAGTCCGGCCGCATGTGACCAAGCAAACGCATACACCTGATCCATCACCACCAGAACAAGAGAACCTCTTCACACCTTTCGTCGATCATGACGGGGACGGTCGCGGGTGCGCTGGACCCTGTGACCGCGGCGGCCGCGGTTGTCAAGGCACTCGCAGAACGACTCCGGCTCGACCTGTTCCATGCCGAGGAACGACCACGTGCAGGCCGCGTGCTGCTTAGCCCTGCAGGCGAACTCGATGCAGTCCTCGTCGTGCCCGCAGGGGATCGTCTGCGGGACTATCAAGGATCGACAGTCGCAGCGGCTGTGTGTGAGGGAAAGGGAAGGACAAGAGAACCGAGGGTCAGCAGGGTGATTACATACGTATGTAATGGCAGTAGTACAGCGCAGGCGCACCACTAGGGGGAAGGGGGAACCAAAAGAAAGGGCATGCGCGGCTACTTACCCGAACGGATATGAGGTTGGGTTGATGTCGGCCCGGAGGCAGACTCGGTCTTCGTGCTCCGAGTCCTCGCACGGGGTATCGCAGATTCCTGGATAATGGAGGTCTGGTCAGCGTCAATTCCCTCCTCTCCAGGCAATTAAAAAACACAAAAAAGAACACTGGTTGATGCAGCACATACCTCGCTCAGGGGCCCCCGACATGCAGCCAGAGTTCCACTGGCAGGCACAGTTGCAGTGCTCGTCTCGCTCAATCACGCTGCAGTACATGTGGAAATCCTCGGCACAGGTAGTGCAGTCTTCGTTGGCACAGCCCTCCGCCGTCGGTTCGTTGTAGAACTGGATCTTGTAGTCACTGGGGCAAAGCGCTTCCACGACTGGGTCGGGTGTCGGCAGCGCGGATGCTAAGGCTGAGCTTGTCGTCCACATTGACGATGTTGGCGGAGTAGACACCGAGGTCGAGGGTGAGGTTGAGCTCGTCATCCATGTTGTCGACGTTGGTGGAGCAGACGATGAGTTGACGGCACCTGGTGGCACAAATGTCGGGAGCACCGAGGGCACAGTCGTAAAGGTGAAAGGAAGGTCGTCCAGACTGTCGATAATGAGAGGGCCGCCATCAGGCGCCATCGGACAAAAATACGGAAACTCCTCGTCAGGATCCATGTGCTGGAGCCTGGGAGGAGGCGGCGGCGGCGGAGAACCGGAACCACCTCCAGTCTCAACATCGGGCTCATCCGGGTCGTCATCGTCATCACCGCCTTCGCCAGGAGCATCTGGAGGTGCCGGTGTAGCGCCTCCTTCCCCATTGATGGGGTTGCCGTATGGGTACACTGGCGCATTGCCATTTCTCGAGCAGTCTGGTTGGCGTCAACACGGCTCTTTGTGCGCCTTTGCTCACGTTGCATGGTGCTATCTCTTACCTGCTTGATCACCCCGGGCGCCATTGTAGGCGACCTTGACATTCTCGGGCGGAGGATAAGGCAGTGTGACACCACTGGGCAGGATGACCTGATCCGCCATGTCGTGGCGGCGGTAGGCAAGGTCGAGAATCAGCCACTCTTTCATGGACTGGGTGTAGTGATAGCCATAGTCTTCGGTTCCGTCCGGTTCCCAGAATATGCCTGCCCAGCTGTAAAGATATGCAATCAGTCCAGCCTAGATTTTGGTCAGTATCTCTGGCTTCTCCTTCCCGCAGTGAGATGGTTCTTTCGAGACACCTTACCACTTGAGGGGCGGCGACGCTTGTGCCCTTGGTCTTCTCCTCCTGAGCTCCTGGTCCGAGGCTTATGACACCCTCCCCTTGCGCCCAGATCGAAATCTCCGCTTTGTAGTAGTCGTCCGGGGGAGTGCCTTCCGGGCTGGTCCACGGCAGGTAGCGGCCAGTCAAGCTCACCGCGCCGACAGAGACAAGGTTGTTGTCCGATGCAGTCAGTGCGGCAGGGTATGCATAACCAACGTAGCGGATCTGCCTGTTAGGAAACTTGGGATTGAATCCGCCATTGCCCGCGCTGGTGACGAAGAGAACGCCGAGGCCTTCAAGCTCTCGCAATTGGTCGCGCCACATGTCTTGTGTCCGGAGCCACTCGTCCCCCTCCGACGGCATCATGACTGTGCGTAGCGGTCAGTTTTCCAGTAGGACGATATTATTAGGACTGTAGGCGTGCTTACGAAGAGAGCAAGTGACGACTGCTCGGCCTTGCAGAGATCTGTCCTTGATGATGTTGATGATCTTCTGCATGGCGTCTGCGCCGGACTGCGGAGTCCAGCGGCCGACAAACTTTTCCCTTTCCTCGTCGTAATAGTAACCAAGAGCTTTGACCAGGAACGTCTTGGCGTTCGGTGCTATTCCATATGTCCTGCCCGTGGTGAGCTGGACGATCGATGAGCCATGGCCGTATCTCAGACTGCCGTCTGGACGCCGCACCTAAATAATCAAGCATGGTCAGATAGGTCGCCCATGGCCTACTCGGTTAGCAGCAACTCACCACCGCATCGTCATCAATGCTTTCCGGTTTTCTCTCAAGGTGTTCTGGGACGTTCTCTAGTGTCAGAGAGTTGGGGACCACGTAACTCCAGTCAGCGAGATCTTCGATGTTGTCGTAACCATAATTCGACGGCTGCAGCACGTGAAGTCAGTGCGGATCTTGGACAGCATGCGGAGCGGAAACTCACTCCTGGTTGCGTCATGTCGAAGCCGCCGTCTATCACGAAGACGGTCAGGCCACGTCCTTCAGAATCATCGCGACGATACCTTGGAGCGAACTCGCCCGTGGCCCAACTTGCAGCGGACAGGATACGCTTGTGAGCTGTCTGTGGTCTGAGATTCGGCTCTTCGATCATGGCTCGTGGACGAATTGGTGATTCATCCACCTCAAAGTCATCCTTATCATCTACGATACCTCCTCCAAAAGTCAAGGACTCTAGAAACACATCTGACGACTCCCACTCTTCAATGGTAGGTGATCTGACGACAGCCGAGAAGTGTGGCATCACATCGTAAAGAACATGGTCGAGGACCTCACCCTGGGCCATGCTGATATTGTAGTTGAAGTTGAAACCAAGAACGTCTCTCGGGCCCAGGCAGGACCCGGCACCTTTGCCACGGGGATCCACAAAGTCGGCGACTGTGTTAAAGTACCAAAGCTCTCTCACCTCTTGCTTGAAGGAGAACATCCAGCTGCGGTAGTAGAAAAGATCCTTGTATACGCTGAGATCAAGCTTTGACATGAGGTGAAATGAAGTCAGTCCAGATAGCAAGGAGCCGCCAATCTCGTAGAGACCAGTCTGTCCATGTTCGTTGTTCATGTATTCGGACCGGAACGTCTTGAGGTGGCTGATCAGACTGGCGCGATTAGACCAATCCTGCCCGGCCAAGAGCTGTGCAGTGTTCCAGAAAGCCTCCGTCCTCCAAGGAGCTCGTTCGCACAAGTTGGCGATTCCCGGAACGTCCTTGAATGCAGCATCAATGTACTGTTTGGCACTGATCGTGTCCATATCGGGGTCTTCATCCGGCGGGTCTGGAGGTCCCTCAGTCGGAAGAGGTGGTAAGGGACCTTCGCAAGCATCGGGGATGCCGTTTCCGTTATCGTCAATGTCAAGATCCACCTCCTGATCATCGTCTTCGTCATCATCGTCGGTGTCGTCTAGCATCTTGACCGCATGCAGGAACGCTTCCTATGCCGTCTGCCGAGGGTCCATGAATGTAGTGGCGACTGTGCGGGCAGCACTGATGATAGAGTCGAGAACGGCGTCTTCCGAGCCGAGCAACGCGGTCGCGGCTTCTTCAGAAGGCGCATTAAGCCTTGCAAAGAACTCGAAGATGGTGTGGAACAGCACGCTGGCAGGATCAACCATATCCTTGCAGAAGGCAATGTAGTCCTCGGCGAGCCCGCGAGCGAGCTCTCGAACCAACGGATTGTTTGGTGGGAGTAGAGTGGGAGGTGTCAAGGGCCTTTCGGAGAAGATGACCTGGAATTGCCCCTGGGAGAGAGTGGTTGGCGAGGGAAGCGGTAGAGGTGGTAACGCAAATGTCTGGTCAGCGACGACGACACTGCCGGGTCCGAGAGTGACGGTGATACCGGTATTACCAGCACTGTTGAGAACCACATGAGTGTCGCTGCCGTGCTGAGGAACGATGAAGTCTATGTTGTTGATCTTGACCATGTAGCGTGAAAACCCGGAAAGTCCTGAACAGAGGGGGGGTGCCCATGTCGCAGTAGGCGTCGATGTCGGATCTGTCATGGTCGGAGACAACGTGTTGAAGGCCTCGCATCCGGGGATAACAGAAGGGACAATTGTTGGGGTGACGACAGCAGGTTCGCTCGAAGGCTGCGGACTCTCCGTAGTCTCTGGTTGAGGCTCCGTTGTTCCCATCGGTGGAGGGGGAGGCGGCGGAGGAGGCGGCGGCGGTGGTGGTGGATGAATGGTTGGCAGCGGAAATGGTCCGATAGTCGGAAAGGTGATGCCAGGAGGGGGAGGAGGAGGAGGAGGAGGAGGAGGAGGAGGAGGAGAGGGTGAAGGATCAATGGTTCCTCCCGGAGACGAAGGAGGTGAGAAGGTGTCCGACGTCTGGGGCGTGGTCAAATCGCTCTCCGATGGCGAGACGAGTATCGGCGGCAGCGGTGTGCTAATGAGCGACGTGGACAGCGTGGAGAATGTGGTCTGGGAAGTGGTGCTCGCGGGGCCAGCTGAAGTGGCCACGAAAGTGTTGCTTGATGCGAGCGTGCCAGTGAGGGCCGTGGTCACTATGTCCACCGTGCTTGGGGGGGACTGTCCGGGGCTGCTTGAGACGATTATCGTGCCCAGAGCGCTGCTTGACCTAGTAGATGCCGTAGCGGTAGATGTTGTTGGAGACAAAGTCAGAGATTGCGCAAGGGGCGAGCTTGTTGGCAAAATAGTGGCAGTCTCTGAAAGAGTTTCTGAGCTGTTGGGTCCAGGAACGGTGGACAAAGTGCCAGGTGAAGACAGCCAGGTTGGTGCAACTGTGGACGAGGTGCCAATGGAGAGTGGCCGGGTTGAGGTAGAGATTGGTGGAGTCGGGTCACTCACGGGGTCCGAGACGCCACTGCTACTGTCGCTGGAGACGGAAGGCTGTAGACTCGAGCTTAAAAGGCCCTGCGAAGTCGTTCCAGTCGCCCTGGTGGTCGTGGTCAGAGTGCTAATGCCACCACCTGGAACAGTCATGGTGGAAACGACGCCACTGGGAAGAGCAACAGCAGTAGTGCTACCTGAAGCGAGAGTGTATGTCGACGTGGCGACTCCACTGATGACCAGCGTAGTTGTCCAGCTTCCAACAGGTTCGCCTTGAGACGTTGGTGTGACCGCTAGAGTGCTCGTTGGGGGCGAAGTAGGCACAAGTGTTACTTCTGACCTGGTTGGCAAGGCACTGGTCGTCTCAGTATCTCCAGGAACAAACACAGGGCTCGAGTCTGGGGCCGATGAGACAGTCAACGATATGTCTTGCCCGGAAGAAGTAGGTGGAGAGGGGGAGAGAGGCAAGGAAGACGACAGCGGATGCCCAAGGTCACTGGAAGAAGAGTGCACCGTGCTAGGAGAGGTCTGTGTAACAGAAGGTACGACATCAGGAGACGAAGTCGGCGGAAGCAGCCCAATGGTGCTGACTGTGCTCTCGCCTGTCACGGTCGCGACTGGACCGCCAGTGTCTGGCTGCGTAGGCGTTGCATTGGGAATTGTCGAGAGCAGTGTGCTGATCACACTGCCGCCGACTGCGCCCTGGCTCTCACAAGGAACGCTCACAACCGTCGGCTCCCTCGTAAAAGTGCTGATAGTTCGTGTGGACGTGGACCAGGTACTGGCCAGGGGATCCCACGAGAGATTGATGATGGGCTCGATGACGATGGTGACGGTCTCGAGGAAGCAGATTGACACGACAGACGCGGTAGTACCAGGAGAGGAGACAGTCTTGAGTACTGCATGCTCACACAATGGACCGGGTCAGCTTGGAAGTTTCACGAGGCGCCTTACAATGCCGTCCTACGCGGACGACATATCCATATCAGCAGGTAGTCCAACTCACCTCGACGAACAGTGGAAGAAACGACGACCTCGGTCGTATTAATGCCAGGGTCCGGACCCCCCAGCGTAGCAGACAGTGCTGCAAGCCATAGAACCGCCAGCAGCCAACGAAGGATCATCTTGGTAGATGAAGACGTCGGCGTGAGGGCGTGGTGAGTATTGTGACGCAATGCTATACGAGTAGCCTTATGGTAAGATCTCGGCGGCGATTCGTGTCGATGAGGGTCAAGAGAAAGAGAAAATGCAGGTCAAGCTTTGTCAGTTAACTGGCGGAGGTGTTGGTGCTGTTGCGAAGTCGAGGCACTTGGGTCGGAGTTGAGTTAGGAGGAAGAGGTGGCTTTTGTAAAGCAGCACTGTCTGCGAGCGCCTCGCTGATCCAGGCAGGGCAGAGCAGGCATCAGGAATGCATCAGAATCATTACTCCGAGAGGACCTGGCAGCACATTTACTGTTTCCGAAGCAAAGGACTATCGTTCAAGCAGACTGCGCAAAAGGTTTTGTAAACAGCGGCTGAGAAATGTTGCAGCCACAGCTGATTTGATATAGACACGCCTGAATGACTTATCCCGGGCGTCGTGAGTGTGGATGGCAAAAGTCGGGCGCAGTGATAGGGGCGACATCGCTTTGCAGACCCAGCATGAAAGGCCAATTCATGCTGCTCACGGGTTGTAGATGTGACATAATGGATTCTCAGCATTCTACGAGCTTTTTTTTTTTTTTTTAATTTTTTTTTTTCATCATTGTTCGCAAGCAAAACATCAGCCTGTAAAATGTGTGATTAAAGTCTATGATTAAGCATTGTCTATATCTGGGTATCAGTCTAAAGTCTCCAACTACAGCTCAAAGAGCAATTAGAACATCTTCCTAATCCATGTCCTCCAACATAGATTTTGGGCACCTCCCAACATTCGGAGGCGTTCATAACGCCCCCCCCCCTTTTCCCCTTCTTTCCTTCAGCTTCTATTCTCAGTTACACCACCTAGAGCTAGGAAAGCCCTTAGGGGTTGCTGACATAACTCTGCGCCCTCCTCAGATCCTCATCATCCGAGTGATCCTCTCGGAGCACTGGTGATCCACCAGCACTCTTCTCCGCAGCAACATCCTCATCGTCACCCGCATACGCGTACTTGCTGCGCCGGCGGATCCGCTCACCGTACCGCCAGAACAAGAACGGGATCGCACAGCACAGCAGCGCAATGCCGGCGATCAGAGTGCTGGCCCACTGGTAGCCAAGGCGGTCATACATCTGCTCGGTGAAGAGGACGACCGCTGCGCCACAGAAGCTGCGGATGCATGTCTTGGCAGCGAGCGCAGAGGCCGCCTGGTGCTGGTACGAGTCGACGAGGTAGTTGTTGGCCGAGTTGTAGAGGAAGATGAAGCCGAAGCCGACGGGCAGGCCGCCGAGAGCCGGACCGGCCCAGGAAAGGTGCGGGTAGGATGTCCAGGCAAAGATGAGCACGCCGATGGGGATGAACCAGCATGACGCCATCATGGGAACCAGGCGCAGCTCGGGGGGCGGGAGGCGGCCCTTGTACTTGGCGATGAGACCGCGGTAGTGCTTGTTGACCATTGGAGAGCAGGCTGCGGAGAGGATGACACCGACTGCGAGGGGGATGCTGTTGTCGAGGGGAATGAGGTTAGCGGGGATGTGTTGTGCTGTGAGTATCATTGTCAAGGCGGCTTTCCGAGAATGACTTACAACATCAGACCCGTGATACCAGCAGAATAGCCCTTTCCTTGCTGGTACACGATGGGGAATGCGACGAAGAAGGCGTAAAGCAATCCATACAAAACAGACATATAAATGCTTATCAGGAACACGATAAGCTCTCCGAACAACAGCTGGAACGGGCGGACCATGAAGACGGAGAGCCGCTCCGAGATAGGGCGGGTGTCGAGATCCTGCTCCGTGACGAACTCGGCATTGCCCGTCTCTGCACGGAGCTTCTTGGCGCGCCGGGCGAGGATCGTGGGCGCAAAGGTCTCGGGCACGGTAAAGGTGATGAGCACCCACACGATGAAGGCGAGGATGAGCTGGATCCAGTACAGCCAGCGCCAGCCCGCAGCGTCGGAGAGGAAGCCACCGACCAGAGGACCGACTGTGGGGTTGATGAAAAGGACAAGTCAGTAAGCTGTTCGTATCTGTAGATGAGATTGCTCATGAGGAAAGTCTGCTTACTCGCAGGGCCGATGAACGGCGCGGCAGAGAACGCGGCCATAGGCACGCCGCGTTCCTCAGCCCTCCACAGATCAGCCAGGGTACCGCCAACGAGCGTCATAGGCGCGGAAAAGGCGATGCCGTCGATGGCACGGGCGACGAGGAGCGTCTCAATGTTCTTTGCGACGGCGCCAGGGATGATGAAGACGACAGCCACCAGGAGGGTGGTGCCGTAAATGATACGGCGACCGTAGAGCTCGGAGAGCGGGGCGAAGACCATGGGACCTGGTGAGCATCACTGTTAGTTATTTGTTTCCTTCCACTCGTTTCGATGGTAGGAAGCAGTGGACCGGGACGTACCGAGGCCAAAGCCAACGACAAAGAGCGAGATGCTAAGCAGCGCAACCTCCTCGCTGCAGCCGAATTCCTCGACCACGCCCCCGACGTCAGCAGTGACGACGCTTGACGCAAAGGCAACGACGAAGCACGTCATGGCGACGACCATGGTGCAATACCACTTGTACGCCTTGGACCAGTTCTTGGGGTTCTCCTTGTCGTCGAGAGCAAAGGTGACCAGCTGGTACCGCTTTTCACCCTTGCCGCCCACGCTGCTGCTGGTATCGGCAGTAGCCGCCACGGCAGGAGGGGCAGGAGGTCCCGGAATGCTGCCTTGGGCCGTCTCGGTCGTGTACTCGGCCATGTTGGCGTTGGGGCTCAGGGTGCGGTACGGGAGGTTGATGTCGAGCTGGGGATCGCTACGTTCCTTTGTTGTTGCAGCTGCAGTGGTGCTGTGGGTGCTGTGGATGGGTGCCGCTGGATCAGCAGCCATATTCGTTGACGTTGCCATGATGTGTGTGAAGCAAGCTATATGTTCTTGTGTGGCGTGGTAGTGACCAAGATGAACAGTGTCGTGGCGATCCAGGTATTCAGGGTCTGAAGCTTGGAGGGCTTTTTGCCGGCAGGGAGTAGGCGGTCTTATATGCCCACGACCCGAGGATAAGTTGAATTCGTCAGAGGGTCGTCAACAGGCTTTGTGCACATCACAAACCACCACAATGGTCTGATGCAGGCGAGGATGGGAGGGGGGCGGCGTCATTTTATATTGGCAGGGCCGGCCCGAAGGAAGAGGGACGAAAGGAACACCATTGCGCCGGTTGGGCGTCTGGGACACGAGGGAGTGCAAACCCCTGGCAAGACCTCGCGACTTCGTGGTTTCGTCAGGGGAGCAAAGATTGCCATGCAGGAAGCGACATGATCGTTATCTGAGCACACGCGCGCGCGACGAGGTGCGAGCGCCGCCGGTCGGCCGGGCAGGTGGATCCGACGGATGCAAAGACACGGGAATACCACCGGGCGTTATCGTGGGCCTGGATGGATCACAAGTTTCACCAGGGGAAAACCTCACTTTGGAAGTGATGAGTAGGCGCTCCGTGGCCGGAGGCACGTAACTGCTATCAGGCAATGGAAATCAACTCTGCCGTCATGCTTGCTGCCCGCGTGCAGCCTGACACTGCAGCCCCGATTCTGGCTGTCAACTACTGCTCAAGATCGCCGCCACGTGCAGAGAACCTTTTGGTGCAATGGAAAATGCTGGCGGCACGCAGTGATTGCCGCATCGAAACCTCAGCCTTAAAAGCTTGCACGTATCTGCAGGGGCCAGTGACGTCTCGGCACTGCTCGGCCTGAGTCAAAAGCGCGAGCTTATGGCCAGGGCCCCACCCTTACCCGCACAACCATCCTGCAGACTGTTCCTGCCACGAAACAAATGCGGCAACAGAGCCTCATTGTCCCACCCAGATGCGAGCTGCAGTAGCCGTGTCTCTGGCCTTCCCGATGCCCTATAAGGGATTGCATACAAGCACTAGTCCGCATACAGAGTTCTTGTCACATCGTTTCGTAGTGTGTTTCCTGGCGTGCCCATTGCTGTGGAAGCCCATCATGGGACAGCGGAACCGGAGGCGAAGCGGACCGGCTGGTGACCCACTTATCCCGGCCGAGCCCCGCCGGACCCGCTGAAAAAGCAGGAGGCTCGCATCGCGTGCAAGCCGTGAGGGCGTCGGGAGCCTTGATCTTGAAATTATCCGTGGATCCTTTTTAAAACTCCTCAAAAGTTGATGTCACTTTGTAGATGTCACTTTGTATGCCATCATCTGCGTCGCTGTTGTCAACGCACCGAGCAAGGCACATGACATGAAGACGACAAAGAGTGGCAACCCGGGACAAACTCATGCTCAAGGTCGGACCACGCCCGTGTCTTAACGACATCTCACGGCCGTGGATCAGCCTGCAGCGGAAGAGCTGCATAACGTTCTTCACATGTAGAACTCCGTTAATTTGAGTAATCTAACCGAAGCAACATACACCAATTCCGAGACCGGATCTGGGTTCGCGACCAGCCGCGGTTTCCTGGATCACATAGAAACTCTCAGCACGGTTCATGCGAATCTCTCAGCCAGCCCCTCTAGGCCAGCCTTCTTCACTCTCGCCGGCGTGGCAAGCAGCTCATGTGGGAACCAGTCAACCACCCGGCCACCAGGACGGCCTGGAGCCTCGGCCAGCTCCCGCAGCTCGGCGCCGGAGATCATGAGTCCCAATGCCGTGCCACACAGCCAAGCCCAGACCATGCCATCGCCACAATATCCAGCCGAGACCCATTCGCCCGGAGGCACTCCAGAATACCCGGGGCCTGCCCCGGAGCTGGAATGTGATGTTGAGTCACTGCTCAAAGGCGAACGACCAGTCAGCGTGGGATCCAGCCGCCCGACAAATGGCAGCCAGTCTCCCGTTGCTGCGACGATGCCGGTCCAGCTCTTCTTGATGCGGCCCTCGGGCGCGTCTGGACCCCAGCTCGGCTCGAAAATCGTCGGCAGGACACCGCCTAGATGTGCCATAGGTAACGGGTCTGTGATGCTGTCGTCCCAGACTCCAAAAGCACTCATGCCTTCGTTGGCACCACGATTTAGTCCACCGCCATGCATGATGTCACCAGCTGAGCCATCAGGGCCTTGCGGTCGCTGCGTTGTGTAGTCGAACGCGTTGCCGTATACAAGGGACCACGACTGACTGCCGTCACTCTGCGGAAACTTGGTGCCAGGCCTCTGTGCGGTCATGTGTGCTAGAGCTCCCGTGATCTTCCCGCGGAAGCCGGGGATGTACTGGCCAGCAAAGGCGTTTGTGGCGTGGACGACGTGTCTACATTTTATGATGCCTCGCGGAGTGCCGACCTGGTAAGCATGCCCTGAAGAAGATGAAGCCGTGGTTGCTATGGATGTGACTGGCGCGTGCGTTTCGAGCGAGATGTGATCTGGAAAGTCCTCAAGGAGAGACTTCCAGACGCACGACACGAACCGGAATGGCCAAAGAGCACCGGCCGTGTAGGTGATTGCCCCTTTGATGAAGCTATTGACACCCAAGGTCTGTTATAAGATCATGGGCCAATTAGTTCATGCCTCTGAACAAGAAGAATAACAAGGAATACGGCCCACCTTTTGTGCTTCCTCTTCGTGAAGACAGTCAATCTTGCATTCGGGGACCCAATTTCTCAACTCCCGGACTTGAGAAAATGACCCATCCCGGTGCTTCTCGTCAATGTACATGTCGCTGGTCTTGACGTGCCTGCACTCGGCAGCGTCCCATTGTTGGCTGGCGCACAGCTTCGGCAGCATCTCAACATGCTTCAACTGGAATCGTACCAACTCAGCAGCCCTCGCGGGTCCCAGTCTACCTTTGAGGTCGGCAAATGTCTCATGCGGAGACGGCTTGATGTGGCCGCCATTCCGGCCCGTTGCGCCGGAGCATAAGCTGCGTGCCTCCAGCACGACGATGCGAGGTGGGCGAGACTGGTGATCCTTCTGCTGTTGCTTGTCATCGTAGTCTGCACCATCGGTCGTTCCAGGGCTCGACGGGGCAAACTGCTGCAGAATCGACCAAGCGACCGCTGCTCCCGTGATACCGGATCCGATGATTACAATGTCTGCAGTCTCGGGCAGGACTGGAGACTGAGCATCGACGAGCTCTGGGTACGGAGGGTCCTCGAGCCAGTACGAGGCTGTAGGCTTGGGATTTGGCAGTCCTGGCGCTTGACTGGCTCGCTGGAGGACTTCCTGCAAGTCTTTGTTGGCCTGGAGCAGGACCTTGATGGCTATCCCAAGCGTGTTGAGGATGGAGAGCACGGCACCCATATCGACAGTGCGGGCTTACGTGGCCAGGTGCTCAACCGATAGCGTGAAGAACTCAGAGCTGCAGCCCAGACAAAAGTGGGCGAGCAATTTGTGGCAACCCGCGACGGTCACCGACACATGTGGAAGTATGCACGAATGCTTCAGAGTTCAAGGACTGAGTGGCCGGTTGTCGTCACTCTCCAGAACACGCGGCTGTCAAGGCTGCTGCGTTTCAGCGTTCAGAATGGACAAGGATACACGTAGGGGTTTCACCTGAAGCCAAGACTTCTGACTAGATCTGGTGCCGTATGAGCGAGTATGGGAAACGGCGATAGCGGCGGGCACAAGGAGCACAGCAACAATCCACGCAGGGGTTCCAGCTAGGATCGCATTCGCCCAAACAAGTTGTACCCCAGCCTGGACAGCAGCAGGCCAGAAATCAGCGAAGCACATGTGCAATGCAGGCGTTGGAGCTGTCTACGGGTGGGAGTGTGTCGAAGCTTGCCCAGGTGGCGTCAGTGGGCTGCCGCCGAGGGCCGCTCGCTGGCTCCACTGAGCCCGATGGCCGCCAACCCCCTGTAGCCGCCACTGAAGTGGGCAGGCACGGCACTGCAGCACCGAGTGCCCATGTGTGTGTGTGGCCGCCGCCCACCTTGCTCAGACGAGAACGAGCAAGAAACCCAATGATCCCAGAACGGAGGACGATGGTTGTAGTAGGACGCGAGCGGCTTCGCGACTTGACATCACCGCTGATAAAGATGTGCCATTGACACCGTTGCAGCGAAGCAGGGTCGAGCCAGCAGCTTGCTCTTTGCAGTTGGGGCATGGACCCAGCGATTCTTCCAGAAGTCGCAGGACACAAAGCCAGCAAGATCCAGATAGCGCCAGAGTCTCGCAGAACACAAGTGACGCAACGGTCGCACAGGGACGCAGCACAGGCCCCCAGATCTGTTCCAGAATGTGCTCGGCAGCTCCCGAGAAAGCAATTAAGGTCAGAATTAAGCAATCCGGGGGTGGAACACGGATGTCGAGAGGACTGCTTGCCGCTGGATGTATACCGTGCTGCCGTGGTTTTGGTGGTGTCTGGGGGGGCGTGCAACCGCCTGCGCGGGAGTCGGGCACGGTTAACGGGGCGGCTATGATGGCCTCACGCTGCCGCGCACTGAGGCTCAACCGGCTGCCATGTGGTCCGGTGGATATACGTGGCGTGCCCCTGGTGGTAAATTTGACGACATCTCTTGTCCTCATAATCATCTCCTGGTACTTCACTTATACATAACCCGCCCTTCCCGCCCTTCCTGCCTCGCCGCACTTGGTGCAACTGAGATGCACGTCTTCGCTCGGCACAGCAGACTTCTCACCCGGCCCAGAGCTCTCCAGACACGACTCCCACACTCGCCAGCGCACACAGGCCTGCTGCCACACACAAGCACGAGAGCCACCATGTCCTCCTCCTCCTCCCCCTCCTCAGGCTCCGCCGCGACGAACAACAATGACGACACAACCGCGTCAAACGCCACAGCAACCAAGCAGCCGCTCCCGCTCCCCGAACCGCCCAAGGGAAGCGGTGCGACACAGCTCGCAGTCGACGGTGAGGGCGTAAAGCTCGACCACCTTGGCCCTCTAGTGGTCAACGTGGACGGCACAATGAGCCGCATCGGCAACTGGGACAAGATGGCGCCCATCGAGCGCGAGAACACGCTGCGCATCATCGGCAAGCGCAACCAGGCAAGGCTCGCGACGCTGCGGGCTGCGGCGGAAAAGGTCGCTGCTACGGCGAGCGACAGCAGCAGCGACACCACCACGACAGAGAAGAAATGAATGGGCAGAAACGTCTGAAGGTCCAGCGGTGTGCAAATCCACGACTCACGATTCACACGATGCACCCGTGACCCCCCAATGCAGGCGGATACTTTGCACCATCACACCGAGTATTATTGAGTCGAGTATTCCCGAGGCGCAGAAGCACATGCAGAGTTGTGCTGCTGCCATGAAGCCATGAACACCACCACCTTGGTGCGTCACACACGATCGCGAGCGGTTCACGGCCTCGGCGCCATCCTCAATTCCATCCATTAGTCAAATCAATCAATCCGCACATCCACTTACCCAGCATTCTTGTCTCCCTCTGTCTCTCTCCACCATCAATCCCCCTGCGCACAAAAGTTCCAGACAGCCCTCGCCCCTTTTCCCCCGGCCCGCCACCTCTTCAAAGGACGCAAATCCCCTCTCGGCGAAATAGCACCAAACGCATTTCATGACACCCACTCGAGCCACTCGCAAGAGGAGGAGTCCGGATCTATTCATGGACGGGGAGGCGCAGAGTGGGCATAACACTATCTCCCACCGTGTTCTCTTTTTTTGGTCGCTCGCTCGTGCGCGCCGCTTACGAGACTAAAACCCTCAATTCGGTCCATGTCGGAGCCGATCTATCTCTAGGTCGGTCAGGGGAGGCGCCACCATGGGCTATGGCACACACCGACGGCGACGGGTTCAATCGGCAAAAACGCACTATGCATCGGGCGAGCGAGCGAGCGCGTGGCCCCCCATCCCATGGGTCCGCCCGGCTTGGCTTGTCTGCCCTGCTTGGGTCCCCGCCGCCGCCCCCTCGAGACGTAAGATTACTCTGCCCGCCGGAAAACTCGGTGCACAGTAAACCCTGGGTCTCTCTGTGATAGTGCGCCTTCCTTGGGATGGTGCGCGAGCACATCCTGAGCCGCCGCCCCTCCCCTTCACTTTCTGACACCTGTGCGCACACTCTCTCGCGCGCGCGGTGGGTTCTTGAGGGGAAGTTAGTTGCTCATACGCACCAAAATGACAACATGTGACCCGCCCCAATCATCACGCACGCGGATCAGGCGGCACAGACAAGAGCGACTCGCAAGAGACGCGGCAATCAGACAACATTCAACAACGAACAACGAGCAGCATCGTAGAGAGGAAAACTGTGTGTGTAGTAGACATTTCTACGATCCGTGGATCTGTAGGTAACTATGCAAATGCGATGTCGAAGCCGTCCGCGTATATATACCATGATATACCATCCCCCGCCCATTTTCTTCATTCCCGTTCCGCTCAAAGGAAGCTCGCTGTCCGTCGCTACGCCGAAAATTGAAATCAAAGACACCAAACCGGTGAACGCCATTGCTTCATGCATGCTGAACCCTCAGGACCGTATCATCATGATGACTTGCTGGCGGTGTCGTTCTTGGAGGACTCTTTGGCTTTCTGACCGTCCATCAGGGTGGAAACAGCCTCGGCGCTGCCGCCGTTCTTCTCCATGACCAGCTCCCGGAGCCACTTGTTCTCGGTCTCCAGTGTGGAGATACGACCCTCGAGAAGGACAATCTTGTCGGCGTACTCCTTTTGGCTCTTCTCAAGAGCTTGCTCCCTCGCCTTCTTCTTGACACGGAAGCGCGCACTGGCGGCTGTGTTGCGCCTGCGCTTGTCCTCCTCGGCGGCCAACCGGGACTGGTCCTCAAAGCTCAATTGCCGGGGAGCCGGGACTGTGTCGGCCTTGCGCTTCTCGCCGGCTGGAGGACCAGCGGGGACAAACTGGTTGCGTTGAGAACCATGGGAGGCATAGGTAGGTGCAGGCTGCAGAGGTTGCAGGGCACTCAGGTTCTCTGAAAAGGCAGGCACACCAGAAGATGTGTAGGGGTTGAAGTCGAACCCATAACCGTCTGAAGTCATCGTGTTAGACGAATATCGTGTAACCATGACGCATTTGAAGAGGTGAGATAATGTGAGGATGAGATGGTGAGGGGGAGAATGAATGAAAGAAGGCTCAAAATTGGTGCACGAATGAGTAGTCCTGGGATTGAGATGGCGACAGATGCGTGTAGAAGGTAGATATCAGAATGGAGGGCATTCGCGGCTTGGGGTCATCAATTGCAGCAGATTGATAGTATGGGGAAGAGAGCTTGTGATCCCCAGGCCCAGTGCCGGAGACAGCCCTTTGTCCTCGCACGTCAGATCACGGGATATTGCACCATCGCCCAGGCGCACCATCACTGTCCTGGCCTGGCGGGAAGGCACCTGGGCACCCCTCAACGGGGAGAGACAGGACAGATGGGCTGCAGGGAGGGGACGCACATCCATGCTCTGCATGCGTGGACTGGTGGGCCGACTGCACAGTGTGAATGCGCAAGGCCGGCAAGAGTGACATTGCTGCGAAGAGGAGGCCGGGAGTGGGGTGGGGTTTGGGTTGGAAGGGTGTGAGTCTGCGGGAAGAGTAAGGGTGTGTGTGGATGGAGGGGACCAGCCTGCCGTCTGGTGTCTTCTTTGGGGGCACCCAGAGAACACTGCATGGTCTGGGCCACATGCTCAAGCAGCTGCACGCACATCTGGTGATTGAGTCGTTGCGTGCTTGACCAGGGACCCCACCACTGCAATATGCATCACTTGATGCTACGTATGTGGACATTTTGGGGACCTGGAAAATCGTGGTTGAGACTTCCCGTACGCAGACCAGAGTGATGCTTGGATGAGCCGTCGCAGGTATGAAGAATATTGGGCTTGGCGAGAGGGAATGACACGCCGGGCGGAAAATATCAAAAGGCTGTCGGAAAGCGGCCCCCAGGCCGCCGCATGGGCAGGCACTCACCCAAGTTGAAATCGAACGTCGTCAGATCAGCCAACGGGTCTGTGTTTGGCGGCGCAGGCGTCGCAGCCTGCTTCATCATAGGCGTATTCGCAGGCACAGATGGAGCCGCGGTGCTGGGAGTCGGTGCAGAGACCGGGCTGGTGTGGTGGGCAGCGGTGGGAGTGTCCCAATCGACAAAGTTTGTGTTGGCGAAGACGGCGAGGTCATCCTCGAGAGTGCCCGTCGTGTCCTCGGGCGAAGGTTCTTGCCTGATCTCGTTCAGAGTCTGCAGATATTGCGACATGTTGACGCTCTGGCCGCGCCGGCCGGTGGTGAAGCTGCTCATTGTTGCTTTTTGAGGCCTGGATCAAGCCTGCCTTGGTGCGGGCGCGCAGAGTCGTGAATGCGCAGGCGGAGCACGCTCAAGGTCCAGGTGACCGATGTTCGAGTGCTTCGGATGTCTTTGCCTTGTGCGCGTGGCAGCAAGTAGTGTCTCCGGCAGATGGTGACGATGTGGTGTCGATGGTGATGTGAGGATGGGGAAGAATTGAAAAGACGCAGTCGAGAGAGCGAGTGCCGGCACAGAAGGACACCCAGGCTTGCTGCGGGCAAGGGCGGGCTGACAGTGGCCACAGGCAGTTCGTTCATCCCACAAAACGACAGCCCACCCAGAGTGGGCGCATCTCATCTGTGACTGGCAGGGCCAAGTGGGGAAGCAGAGCCCGCGAGAGATGCCGAACTTCTGCCCGCTCCGACCACGGCCGCGCCCTTTGACCCGGGTCCCTCTTTGCGCCCAACACTCGACACTGCATGGCACGACGAGGGCCTCTCTGTGCGGGCGTCGATGGACCGCATTTCTAAGCCACGTCTTTGATGTGAATCCCCACCAGAAGCCCCTGAACTAAACGCATCGCGACAACTCGCTCGCGTATGCTGTCTGGCCGCCCAGGACTCAAGATCAACCATGAGTGCCACATTGGCGACACCAGATTCATTGGCCATGTCTTCAGTCTGCCCATGTAACATGACCATCAATTACTCACACTCACTCACTCACTGGTCTGGTCGCTGCCAGTGTTGCAAGGCATGGCCACCCGCTGTCAGCCACATTGCTTCCTGCAAAGGCCCGGAACAATCCCACGCGGGCTGAGGGCCAGGTTGGATTTGTCATTACAGTGCACTACGTACCCTGTCACGCCTGCATGGTGCCGCCGAGTGCTGCAGCCCCGCCCGTGTGGTGATGGGCTGGGTCCATGTCCCGAAAAGCAACGCCCGGTTCCGACGGTGCAGAGTCTTCATGGGGCTTGACATGGCGTCGCTGTGACGCCGGCCAGAGTCTACGGAGGGGAGCACGAGTATGATCCTCGGTACGGACTAATGGACAGTGGTTGACGTCAACCTTTTTGCCCCTTCTGTCCAGCCACTCTAGGTGTCGACACAGGCGACTTGATTGGCATCGCGCCTTTCGAAACAATATTGGCCAGGCTTGGGACAGCCGTCCTTGTCATAAATAATCACCACAACAGCACTCCACAGCAAATGCCCACTGCGCCGCATCCCCAATGCCCCGTGGAGGGTGCTGGTGGTTCATGTGGAGAGGCTCCTCACGATCCCACCCGATGCTGGCTGACTGGTCATGGCCAGGGGGCAGCCAACTAGTCGCACCGCCTTTGTGCCGAACAACGAGAGCAAAGCCCGCACATGCCGCTCAGCTGTGTGGGCATCATGTCTCTCGTTCCTGCACCAAGGTTTCGCAGCGGGGAGGATCAAGGTGTTTTGGCGGCTGCTTAATAATTGTTGTTTTGGCTCGGTCAAAGCAAGTCGGGTCCCCCCACGACTATCTGCGGGCCCCGCAGGCCAGGGACGCAGTCTCATTGGCCGGCTGGAATGCTTGACGGTGCACAATTACTGACCGCCCGGTGCGGTATGTCCGGGCAGTCAACAAGCGCTGATTGAAACCTTTTCCACGTGCTCGTCTGAGTGAGACACTCTCGCGTACACGGAGTAAGATGCAGTGTCACAGACCACAGTTGGATTCGGCCACGACATCCGGCATTGGAGATCTCCAGGCCCGGCCGGGAGTCGTTGGAAGCTTAAACCTGGTGCTGCTTGACTGCATTGGTAGAACTGCTTATTGCTGGTTCCAACAACACTCCTGCAGCTTACTGTAATTAGTACTATCTGTCCAACCGACGAACCATCCATCCATCCGCTGCCTACAAACACGTGGGCCCGCGGCGCAAGGATTGTTCGGGCGACAAGTGCTCGTCATCGATCCTCATTAGCGAATGGCTGCTAGCCCACGGGCGGGGCTAGCACGACATATTCACGCCCGACGACGAAATCGTGACTACAGTAAAGCTGTGGTCTCTGGGCGTCTCTCAGCGTATAGTGCCGAGGGAGAGATTCCGGCTGGCAAGAGCCTCTGTCGTCTGCACAATGGTAACCTGTGGGAACCCCACGGCTGCGAAGGTTGCAGATGCTGCACATAATGGCGATGGTGTCATCTGCGAGTGTGCAGTGGCAAGGGATAAACTTACCTGAATGGGCAGAGAACCCCCAAACTCTGCGGGTCGAGATACTGTGCCAAGGGGATTCCTGCTCCCGAATCTGTCCAAGGTAGTACCGCAATGCTTGGCGCCTTCGAGGGTCCTACCAGGCCGGAAATCACGATCTTTTCAGGGTCTATGGCATCATGATTTTTTTTCTTGAACTCACCCCCTCTCGGATGGCTGTTCCAGGTAGGGCAAGAGCAGCTGCCTCGTGGACACCCACAGCAATGGGCTTGCCGCCGAGCCTGGCCTCAACAGTCCCTATTCAGACTGCTGCTCTCTCAAAGGCTGACCTCCTTCGGCTCGGATATTGCACCGCCATCGAACAGCTCCAAGAGCCGAGGGGCATCTTGGCGGCACGCTCGTGGAGAGAGACTGCATGACTCGCCAGGGTCGACCCCTAGGAGATATCTCGGGGTTCTCCAAACCAGGTCTGAGCACTTTGCATACGCTTAACTGGGCATCGCAACCTGAAGCGCTTATGCTGTTGGGGTGATCTATTTCTCCAAAGGCTGTGTGGCTGACGCTTGTGGCTGCGCAGCGGTTGGCGTGGCGCAGCCCGGCACCCCTTTGGAAAAGGACCCTCAAACTGTTTACGGTCCGCCCAACCAATGGCAAACATGTGGGGTTGACCGTCTTAGACGCGTCTGATACGCGGATACAGCTTCACGCATAGATGGGTAACATGCGACAGCGACAGAGATGTCTCTTGGAATCCTGCACCCCTTCCTGTAACAACTTCTCATGGCGCCGCGCGTATCCGTGCCTACGGCCACGCGACTGCCCTCTTCTCTGCGTGTAGAAGCAAGCCATCCGGCCGTCGTAAAGGCCCTCAATAAGCTCTCCAGGCCGTCGCTCTTATCGATTGTGCTCGACTGGCTCGACGACAAGAACCAAGGCATATGTCCGCCGCTGCTGCGTCCCGCGGAGCTGGACGAGGTCGGCCCAGATGGCCAAGAGCAGGACGATCCGTACGCAGATGATTTCTACCCGCCGGCGCGCTCCGTCGACGAGTTGCAGGAGCTGTACTCGGATCTCCAGGACCGCAGGGGCGGCAAGCGCGAGGTCGTCGACCGCATCATCGAGGGCGACTGGCGCCAAGGGCTGAGCCTGTACCAGCTCGCGCTCGTCGACATCCAGTATCTCTACGACCATCCGCTGTCGCTGAAATGGGGAGCGTTTCGCATCCAGCCGCTCCGGCCGCCGCGCGACGAGGCGGAGGCGGAGGCGCCGGAGAAGGTCAACAAGATGTCCTTGGCGGTGCCGCGCTTCCACCCGTCAACGTTCCTCCAGAACCTGCAGGCCGAGGTGCTACCCGATGTCAAGGCGCATTACCAGTTTGAGCGGCACAGGAGTCTGCCGCTGTCACTACTTCGCATCTTTGTGCTAGACTCGCCGTATACGACGTCTCTGGCCGTGGCATCGTCCAGTCGTAATCGGGGCGGTCTCTCGGCGCCTACGAGCTTTGATGCATCGAGAACGATATATCTTGCATTCCCGGATGCCGCGCCGTACATTTACATTTCCAAAAGCACAACCACGGGGGCGACAACCACTGGCGACACGAGGAGTCTGCGAAGTCTGCTCATCGATGGCGTTCCAAAAGCCCTGTCCAAGCCCAAGGAGAGGTACGCTTTGACACCGGTGGGACTAAGCACCAAGAACCTTGACGCTCTACTGTCCACGAAAGGCTCGGGAAGGACAAACGCCGCAGGTGGCGGATGGGGCATCTATGTCGATGATTCAAAGACCACCGAGAGCCCGCTAAACGTAGTATTGCCCACGCCGCCGCCGTCAGCACCAGGCTCGGCTGATGAGGTCTCGTCGCCACATGACCCCCAACATGCGGCTTTACCGGTGCGCAAGAAGAGGCCGAGAGACCCCGTGGCGTCGAAGTACGAGCGAGAAATCAAGCGCCATCGTTCACTGGCGAAAGCCCGCTTCGGACATTCCGCGCTGGCTGAGGACGGCAAAGGCATAGAGAGGTTAGACATTGTAATCGAGGATGCGTTTCCACACTTGCCTGAAAGCGCTACCAACAACAACGACGACGACGACAGCGACGTTACGGATGATGAGGAGGAGGAAGACGACAACAATGCAGACGCTTCCGGCAGGCAATCGCCATCAAAATCTACCAGGGGCAGAAGAAGCACACTCGACATAACATTCATCCAACAGCAAGCCGCCCTTGACGCTGCGGACCCGGACAACAACGACGACGAGGACATGGTCGAGAACGCCGAGTTTGAGCGCCTCAACGCCGGGACCTGGCGACCCAACGTCCGTCTCACGTTCCATGGCCCCCACGTCTTCGCAGGCGTCAGGCAGCTCGTCGAGGCCGGCGTGATCAATGGCGAGCGCATGCCTGGGTGGCTCACGGGCGAAGAAGGCGTCACCATCGGAGCGGTGCGGAGTGGGCGGATCAGAGGGCACAAAGGTTCCGGGCTCTAGTTACGCGGCACAGCAAGGCTGCGTGTGTGTGTGGCCTGCTTCATGGAGTGTGAATGGCTTGTCGCGTTTTGTTTTTTGCCGATGGTCGGGCTCTTGTTTCTCCCAACGGGACGGTTTGCATGGCGTTGGACGGGTCAGGGTTTTTCGTCCGTTATCTCGTGTGTTCAGGCTTTATGTGGCAAGTGTCCACCCACTATACCTCGCAATTATTGCTCGATGGGTCGGGTCATTCACGTCAGAGGTACCTCTGTATATATCGCATTACCCTCGAGGGGATTATTCACCTCCTTCAGAAGTGACAAATATCAATTCCTCTGATCGATCACTTGCTGCCAAGGGGTTTCAGATCGTGCGATAAGTACTTTCTGCTCTGGTGACTTCCAGAGGAAGTGAAGTTAGAATTGCGCATGCTTGGCTGGACTCCTGGTGCCAAAAATAGGCCCGACGATTGACTCTATATATACTGCCTCTACTCAAGGCTCTCTCTCTCTCTCTCTACAAAGAAATTTTTATGTTGGTCAACACCTCGTTGCTCGCCCATATCCATAAGAGGAGGGGACTCGGACAAGACGTATCCCCGCACGCCTATGATATATCAAAGGCGCTACTCGGCACCAGACAGACAGCCCATACATACATGCATGGCCAAGATTACTCGAGCTTGAACACCCGACAAGTATTCTCCCACGCGGCCTCGCACACCTCCTCGACGCTGACGCCCTTGATCGCCGCGACCACGGTGCCCACGCGCTCAATCATGCACGGCTCGTTGCGGCTCTTGACCATCGCGCCCTCGACCCACTTCTCCTTCTTGACCGACTTCCACCGCTCGGGAACCTCGGGCTCCTTCTTGGTCTGCTTGGGCGCGGGGGGCTTGCGGCGCGGCTTGGGGCCGGGGGTGTGTGTTCTTGTCGAGGGGGTGTTGGTCCCTGCTGAGTTTGTTGTTGTGGTTGTTGTGGTTGTGGCGGTGGTGCCGGTCTGGCCAGGGGAGGAGGATGACCCGAGGGTTGACGAGGATGGTGGTGCTAGTGATGCTGAGGCAAGTGCTGCGGTTGCGGCCGCCAGAACAGGTGTCTCTTGCGTTGGCTTCTCGCCAGCTTCGACATTGTCGTTTTGCGGCTCTGTGGCTTCTGCTGCCTCGGCGGCGGCGACAGCAGCAGCAGCCGCCTCAGCCTCCCTGTCTGCGTTGATTTTGCTGACGAGATACTTCCCTCCTTCGTGGCTGGGCCGCACCTCGCACCAGGGCCCATCAGTCTCGAGCATGAGCCGGTCGAGCTTGATCTCCTTGACGACGTCACAATTCTCGGCCGTCTTAAAGCTGCATCCGTTGGTGCCGATGTAGAGGCCCAGGTCCATGAGCTCGCGCATCTCCTCGGCCGTGCCGGTGAAGCTGTGCACGACGCCGCCCTTCTCGAGCCTCTCCAGCCTCGGGCCAAACTTGTCCTTGAGCAGCCCGACAAAGTCGGCGTGCGCGGCGCGGGAGTGCAGGAACAGGGGCAGCTGGGGTTTCATGGCGAGCACGAGATCCAGCTGCGCCGCGAACGAGTGCAGCTGGACCTTGCGGGAGCAGTAGTGCAGCCTGTCGTAGTCGAGGCCGAACTCGCCAAACGCGACGAGGGCGCCCGGCGTCGAGGCCTGGGCCTCGGCGATGAGGTTCTGCAGCGAGGCGATGATCTGCGAGGTCTTTTTGGGGCAAGCGTCGTGGTCTTCTGAGATGGGCTGCGACGGGTCAGGATCGCATGGCGTGCTTTGGCCTTCGGTGTGGCCCTCGCCACCCTCGCTGGCTCGAGGCTTGTGGGATGAGCTGAAGATGGCGCTGGAGCAGGGATGTATACCCGCAGTTGTGTAGACCACGCCAGCTGCGGCGATGATGATCAGCGAGTAGTTCGTCATGACGAGACTGCCGATCTATGGAGAGTCTTACGGTATTCCTTTGCTATTTCGAGTGCCTCTTTCGAGTTTGTCAAGTCCGAGCCAGTGACGATAAGCTTCTGGCAGCCGACCTCCTTGGCTCGTGATATAACGGCGCCAAGGTCGTCTGGGTGTCTTTGCTTGCCATGGTATAGACCACGGAAGATGGGGTCGGCCAGGTTGATGCCAATCTAGAAAAGCCGTCAACATGGCTGGACTCTCCTGACAAGTATTTTACGGAACCATCCAGGCGGACTGACATCTATGTAGCGGGGCGTGTAGGCAGAGCTGCCCTGTGACTGTTTTGACGCCATGGCTGAAAATGGTCGAAGCCTCGAAAGAGACGACGGCTTTGCTGAAAGGCGGGTGCTGCAGCGCAGGAGTTGGGAATATCGAAATCTTGGCAAACTCATCAAACAAGCTTTCCGAGTCTCTTCTCAGCCAGACTCTCTTATGTATGTGCCACGAGCATCTGTCGAGCTCAATTCTCGCCTATTTTTGGCAGTTCTCGCTGAAAAAGGTGACTCAATCAGTTGTTGGTTGAACGAACGACCCGCCAAGAGTCACCACAGCGTTGCAGCACACAGCATCATAATCTCACGTGCTTTCGTGGCGGGTGGGACACATGGCAGAGGTGCACTTTGGTGGGGCGGGACTGACTCACCTCACGGCTTTGATAATGCAGGCACAATCTGGGGCATGGACCTCGAGGGAGGCCTGCTTGTTGTCATGCACGTTCCTGCGGGCTATGAAGCGGGGAAGCACAGATGTTTCTACGATGCTGGCCAGGGAGAGAGGAGGTGGCCAGAGGCGACGACTGCACCTGTGAGCACAGATCCCCAGACCTGGCCAGACGAGGCGGGTGCTGAGAGTCGAGGCGGCAGCGGACGCCCTCAGCGCTGGGGCGGGCAGGTGGTGGCGGTGGGGCGCCACTTTACGCGCTCTGCATCCACGATGGGAGCCGCAACCACTTAACGCGTGCCCGCTCAGGTTACAGGGCGCCAAAGCAACATTTTTGTCGTCTGCGCTTTCGTGCTTGTTACCACGATGACGGCCGGTTTGCGTTCCTATGATCTTGATTCATGAAAGGTCTCAGACTAGTCGCTGCTGCTGCCTGCTGCGCCCATGACAAATCAGCCAGAGAATGGCACAGCGCTTTGTTGTTGCGGAGTCGACGGGGACCCTGGGCGAGCCCCGCGGTCCATTGGCATGGCGACAATGTTGGCAAAACAACCAGCAGAAGGCTGAGTGTCCAAGCTCCCCGCAGCACAGCAAGCAGTCGCCAGATCTCGCGGATGTAGAACCGCTCGCGAGTGACATGTCGATGAGAGCCCCGAAGATGGAAAAGGACATGCCTGGCGATTGAGCAGCCTAAGTTCAGGTGCATAATGCTGTGGTCAATTGGCAATCTCTGATGGAGTGTCCAACATGGACGTCTGCCCCTCAACCCAGGCCATTTGCTCAACGCGTCTAGCAGCCCCGTTTGCGAGCTGGATAAACACGGCTGATAAATCATGGTGCTCCATCGATGGGCCATCGCCTGGCCGATGGCCTGCCTGCTGCAAGGGGCAGGGGCCGGCCCTGGCTGGCGGTGCCTTTTCTGCCCATGCGCGCTAAAGTGCCTGCGACGCGGTCGGAGCGCGCCTTCGCGTCTGCACTTAAAAGAATCCCACTGGCAGCTGCATGGGAGCCCGCATCCCTTCCATCAACACATCCCACCACCACCACAACAACAAGCCACCACGACAGCATCTTCTTGTCTGCTCCAGAAGACAGCACAGTCCGGGTGCACCTGAGCCATTCTCCTCACCAGGCTCTTGAACGGGAAAGCGTCTTCGTGCCGCCTTCTTGTACGCTCGTCTAGAGCTCCTTGAACTCACCCACGACGGGCATCTACACACACATCCTCCTCCACCATGTTTGTGAGAAAGAGAGGTGAGTTTCACTCTCGGGAACGCATGCATCTCGTCAGTCGATCAACGATACTGACTTCCTCTGCTCAGATGGACGCCAGGAGCGTGTCCAGTTCGACAAGATCACAGCCCGTGTCTCACGGTTGTGTTACGGACTTGACGCCGAGCACGTTGACCCTGTTGCCATAACCCAGAAGGTCATCTCAGGTGTCTACCCAGGCGTAACAACAGTCCAGCTGGACGATCTCGTAAGTCGCCGTCTTTTTCGCGTTCAGTCGAGTATGTTTGAGTATCAATGACTGACCTCTTCTTGTTCCCCTTAGGCTGCCGAGACTGCTGCGTACATGACCGTCACACATCCCGACTATGCCATTCTGGCTGCCCGCATTGCAGTTTCCAACCTTCACAAGCAGACCAAGAAGCAATGGTCGTCGGTTGTCAGCGACCTCTTCCACTACGTCAACCCAAAGAACAAGACGGCCTCCCCCATGATCTCCCAGGAGACGTATGACTGCGTCATGCGGCACAAGGACGAGCTCGACTCGGCCATCGTGTACGACCGTGACTTCAACTACCAATACTTTGGTTTCAAGACTCTCGAGCGGTCATACCTGCTCAAGCTCAACGGCAAGATCGTCGAGCGTCCCCAGCACATGATCATGCGTGTGGCTGTCGGCATTCACGGCGATGATATTGAGAGCGTCATTGAGACGTACAACCTCATGTCTAGCAAGTATTTCACACACGCCTCGCCAACCCTTTTCAATGCTGGTACCCCCAGGCCCAGCTTTCATCTTGCTTCCTCGTCGACATGAAGGACGACAGCATTGAGGGTATCTACGACACTCTCAAGACCTGTGCCATGATCTCCAAGATGGCTGGTGGTATCGGCCTCAACATCCACCGCATCCGCGCTACTGGCTCCTACATCGCCGGCACCAACGGCACCTCGAACGGTATCGTTCCCATGCTGCGCGTGTTCAACAACACTGCCAGATACGTCGACCAGGGTGGCAACAAGAGACCTGGTGCCTTTGCCATCTACCTCGAGCCCTGGCACGCGGATGTCTTTGAGTTCCTTGACCTCCGCAAGAACCACGGCAAGGAGGAGATCCGCGCCCGCGACCTCTTCCTTGCTTTGTGGATTCCCGACTTGTTCATGAAGCGTGTCGAGAAGAACGGCGAGTGGACGCTCATGTGCCCCAACGAGTGCCCCGGGCTCGCCGATGTCTACGGCGACGAGTTCGAGGCTCTGTACGAGAAGTACGAGGCCGAGGGTCGTGGCCGCCTGAAGATCAAGGCTCAAAAGCTGTGGTATGCTATTCTCGAGGCTCAGACCGAGACGGGCAACCCTTTCATGCTTTACAAGGATGCTGCCAACCGCAAGAGCAACCAGAAGAACCTGGGTACCATCCGCAGCTCCAACCTCTGCACAGAGATCATCGAGTACTCTGCCCCTGACGAGGTCGCCGTCTGCAACCTGGCCTCTCTTGCTCTGCCGCAGTTTGTCGACTACAACGCGGCCACCTATGACTTCCAGAAGCTCCACGATGTCACTCGCGTCATTGTGCGCAACCTGAACAAGATCATTGACATCAACTACTATCCTGTCCAGGAGGCTCGCAACAGCAACATGCGCCACCGTCCCATTGGCCTTGGTGTGCAGGGTCTTGCCGATGCCTTCCTTGCTCTGCGCATGCCATTTGAATCGCCCGAGGCAAGACAGCTCAACAAGCAGATCTTTGAGACCATCTACCACGCTGCTCTCACTGCCTCCATGGAGTGCGCTAAGAAGGATGGTCCTTACTCCACCTATGAAGGCTCTCCTGTCTCGCAGGGCATTCTCCAGTACGACATGTGGAATGTCACTCCCACTGACCTTTGGGACTGGGCTAGCCTCAAGGAGCAGATCAAGGAACATGGTGTGCGCAACAGTCTGCTCGTTGCTCCCATGCCCACTGCCAGTACCTCCCAGATCCTCGGCAACAACGAGTGCTTTGAGCCGTACACCTCAAACATCTACTCGCGTCGCGTGCTTGCCGGCGAGTTCCAGGTCGTCAACCCTTGGCTGCTCAAGGATCTTGTCGACATGGGCCTTTGGTCTGACAGCATGAAGAACCGTATCATCTCCGAGGGCGGCTCTATCCAGAACATCCCCAACATCCCTGCCGAGGTCAAGGCTCTGTACAAGACCGTGTGGGAGATCTCTCAGCGCACCGTCGTCCAGATGGCCGCTGACCGTGGTGCCTTTATCGATCAGTCCCAGTCTCTCAACATCCACATGAGGGAGCCTACCATGGGCAAGATCACCAGCATGCACTTCACCGGCTGGAAGCTTGGTCTTAAGACCGGCATGTACTACCTACGTACTCAGGCTGCTGCTCAGCCTATCCAGTTCACCGTCGACCAGGAGGCCCTCAAGGTTGCTGACACTTCCTCGAACAAGCTCGGCCAGCTTAAGAAGCGCACTGCTCCTGCCGGCAACTACTCTTCTGCAGCGGCTGCGGCTATCTCCAGACCCGCCTATGCCAAGCGTGAGGACTCGACTGGCCTGACCACCACGAGCGCCGCTGAAACCAATGGCATCCCCACTCCTAGCATCACTCCTCCTCCTGTGACGGAGATCAAGGCCCCTCGGCCCATGGCTTCTCCCCACAAGGCGCCTGCTTTCAAGGCCGATGCTGAGGAAGGTGACAGCCCCAAGGCCCTCGCCACCGAGCCCAAGGGCGAGATTAAGGCTGAAGAGCTTCCTGAGCCTGCTGTCGATGCCGCCAAGACCCCTGCTCAGGACGAGGACAAGGCCGACTCCAGCAAGGAGCGGGAGTTCGATATCTACGCCGATGCAGTGCTAGCTTGTAAGTTGAGCCCCACGATTTATCAGATGACGATAGAAGCTAATCAGTTCATGACTGCAGGCAGCATTGAAAACCCCGAGTCGTGCCTGATGTGCAGTGGTTAAGCTGCATATCACTACACGGCGCAAGCGCGAATGAATGAGATGGCATGATTATTTTTGATGAGGCATAATATGGACAAGCATGAGAGATGTATTTTGATACCAATGGCCACGCCTATGACCAGCCCAAGAGGTCTATTAGGAGGCGTGGCGAGAGACACGAGTGCGCATCACTGCATATGATGACGGCAAAGCTACCGACCGGACAGGGGTGGTTTTTATTGCTTGGACAAGGCTTGGGTTCTGCTTGTATTTCGACGGTGTTTTTTTCGCTTAGCATTTTAGGGTCTTGCTTGTAGTTGTTTAAACGCTCACACATGGAGATAGTTTCATGGATCTTTCATCACGATAGATATGTCAACTTCTGCAAGATATTGTGATGAAAAGTACCTTGCTGACAATTCCGGGTTGGTGTATCTTGCCTCGATCAAGTTGCCAGCTGGGTGTGGGCGTTGAGATATCGCTCTGGCACATCCCAAGGGTATGTCAACTTGGCATCCGCATAAAAAAGGCATGCAGTGGGGGATGGGGCACAAGTGTTCGGTGCTCTCATGATGCAGCTCCATGTGTCTGGGTTTCTTTTTCATTCCTCTCAAGCAGTATTGGTATAGTACTATCGTCACTCATCAATCTACATCCATCTTTTGGCCGTCTATATTGCGGTCCTCCAGGCCGCCACTGCAGTTTTATCCTCGGTCTAAGTTGCAGTCTGACCATGATCAAGTACTAAAAGCTGCTCACTTGACCTTTGTCATGATGGTCTCGGGCCCGCGAACGACTTCCATCTGCGCAGCCCGCGCCTTGACGGCATTCAGCATGCTCCTCTCAAAGTCGTCGCGTGAGCGCAGCACGCTCTCGACCCACGTGATCTGCAGGTCCCAGTAGAGCGACTTGAACTGGGCAAAGACGTCCGGAATGGCGTCCTTGGGCTGCTCGAGGAGCTTGAGGAACCACTCGGTGACGCGCCAGGTCTGCTTGATGGTGTCCGGGTTGGGGAGGGTGGAGAAGTACTCGAACGCGGTGGAGATGTCGTTGTAGATCTTTTGCGCAAAGGGCTCGGCGCGGCGGAACTTTGCGCCCTTGTTGCGGACGCTCATGAGGTAGCGGACGAGGAGCTCGTCGGCAAAGATCTCGACAAAGATGTCGACGAGCGAGTGATGCAGGACCTCCTGGTAGTCGTTGACGTACTCCTCAAAGGTCATGATCATCTGCTTCATGGCGGTGGTGGTGTACCACTCGGGCGTGAAGAAGCGCGGCATCACGGCGCGGAAGTCGACGGCGATGACGAGCAGGGCAAACTGGCGCAGGCACCACGTGCTGCAGTCGACGTAGCTGTCGCGCAGCGTGGCGAGGTCCGTCTCGGCACGCTCGAGGTAGGCCGGCGTGACCAAGGGGGCGTACTTTTCGCGGAAGCCAGAGACGTAGCCGAGGCGGCCCTCCTCCTCGACGTCGTCGATGCACGCAATCTGGTCGTTGGCCGTGGCGACGAGCCAGTCCTGCAGGGACTGCATGCCGTCGAGCTCGCCCGCGGCGTCGGCCTCGTACCTCGCGGCCTCGTCCTCGAGCATCTTCTGGAACGTCTGCTGGCGCGTGCGCAGGCGCACAAACATGGCGTCGATGACGCCCTCGGCCACGTCGGTGCGCTGCGAGTTGCCCGCGGCGTCGACCTGCTCGCGCAGCATCCGCCACATGTCGACCAGGTTGCGCGTGCGGAAGTAGCCAAACTCGTCCCGGTCCAGGTTCGACCCTTCCGTGTCGCGCTCCGCAAAGTCGCGCTTCTCCTGCGCAAAGATGCGCTCGATCCACTCGTCCAGGAACTTGATGATGAGGTTCCGGAAGTCCTTGACGAGCTCCTGCTCCCGGTTGTCGATGACGTGCGGCTTCAGGTCCTGCTCCGCGAACCCCAGCTTCTTCATCTTCTTGTAGTACTTTTCCGGCCAGTTTATTATCTCGAGCGTGTTGGCCGAGCTCGACTCCGGGTCGTCAATCATGCCGACCAGGAAGTCGTGCATGAGGTTGTGGTATATGTCGCCGTAGACCTTTAATATCTTCCACTTCTTGGGCATCAGCGGCACCATGCCCTGCTTGACCGCGTTGAGGTCATTGAAGTACCACCGCAGGTACTTCTCGAGCTTGCTCGGGTCGTCCAGGAATTCTCCCCGCACGTCCTGGAACTGGCCCTCGGCGGAGATCTTGATCGCCTGCAGGAACTTGTCCTTGTAGCCTCGCACCTTTTTCGCGCCGTCGGTGATGCTCTGGAACCGCGTCGCCATTTCCTTGTGGTCCTTGAGCGCTTCCTGCAGGGCCTCGACCCTCTGGTCGCTCTTCTCTTCGGCCTCGACAATGACCGCCAGCCGCACGACCAGTGCGTGGTTGTCCGCGACGACGAGGTTGATGAGGTTCAGCGCGATCAGCCCGACGTGCTCGTCGAACCAGTCGATGGCGTCGTTGAGCCTGGCAAAGTAGTCCTCCAGGGTCGACTGCAGGCCCAGGTCGTCGGCGCGCAGGATCTGCTCCATGGCGTCGTCGCGGATGTTGCGCAGCTGGGTGAGCTCGTAGTGTATGGGGAGCAGGTTGGGCATGGTGTCCTTGTCGTCCTCGTCCCCGCGCAGCATGGCCTCGATGGCGGTGAGGCGCGTGTTGAAGGTCTCGAGGTTCTCGACCATGGCCTCGACGGCGCCAAAGTTGCGGTGCGCCTGCGAGACGAGGTTGATGTTGCCAAACTCCTTGATCATGAGCTGCGACTCGGAGCACAGCTGGTCAATCTTCATCATCTCGTCCTTGATCGCCTGCACCGTCTTCTGCCCGTCCGTGAGCCCGTTGATGCCCGACTGCGTCGTCTCGAGCTGGTCCCGCAGCCCGCCGCGCAGCGACGAGTCCACCGCCGCCTTCTTGCGCGAGAACTCGAGCTTCATCGCGGGGATCTTGTCCAGATCTTCCGGGTGCCGCAGCAGCTCTGACAGCTTGACCGGTGGGGCGTCCATGTTGTCGACGTCGGTTCGGGCGCAACAACCGCGCGCGCGGCGCAGGGTACCGGACGGTGATCGGGGAGGAGGGAGGCTCGGTCGAGGGGGGTTGGCCGGCGGCGAGAGGGCGGCCTATGAAGGCTCAAACCATCCCTGGGTGGACGCGTGGTTCCTGGCGCGCAATGTCTGCAAGAGTCGCGGTCGGGGCCGTGTCCAAGGCGAGGTGGCTTGTCAGTCTGTTCAGTTCGCGGCGTTGTTTGCGTCGTGGTCCACAGGTCGAGAGCTCCCCCAACCTCTGCAAGTTCAAAGTGTCACATTGCTGCTGTGGGGTGTCCGCCCAGCACAACCCCCTTAGCGGCGTCTACCCCTGGCATGGGGCCAGCTTCGGCGATCATGCCCCGGCTCACACGTCTTCTTCTGTTTGGCGTGGCCGAACGGTTCACATCAGAATCGCAAACAGAAACGATTTCCATATATGGTAGTGTATAATTACAACGCTTAGCAATCAATGAAAGTCGAATTGTCCTAATCCGCCTGCATTTCCATTCAGCGCTATTCTCATCGTGCTGCCGAAGTCACGTCTCTAGGTGAAACTTTCAAGGACGATACGCCGGCATTGGCTTGTGGAAGCTGTGGAAGCTGTCCGCCTCGGCGCCTTTAAAGGGGTGCGACATTCCTGCGTCTGACTTGGTCGTCTGTCCATCTGCATCCGCATTTGACTCTTGACGGACCACCTCGCGGGTGACCATGATGACCTCTCCATCGTGTGTGATACCGTGAGGGAAGATCTCGTCTTGGGACTCGTTCTGCGCCCCAACATGCCGCAGCGCTTCCACGTGGCTCGATGTGCCATAGCCACGCGACGGGGTACGCCCCGTGTTCCTAGGCTTTTGTGCAGATGCACCCAGGTACTCCTTGCGACCACGGCTGTGCAAGTAGATGGATGCTCCATGCTGCCTCGAGTTCTTCCCGTAGTATGTGTTTGCGTTGTCTCCCGTAGAAAGCCCAAGTGCGCTGTTGAGCCCAGGAATCGTCCTGGCAACCTGCCGGAGTGATGGGATGCAGGAGCAAATGATCAGGGCGCAAAGTTCGACTTCCGACCATATGAGAGGCTCGGCGAGCTCATCTGGCAAGGGATCGAAGTCAGCACATGCTTGCTGGGATTCATTGCACTTTGCCCGAACAAATAGAACAGGAGAGCAAAAGACTCACAAGTAACATCAGCCCCAATTCTTGTGACGAAATAGATTCGGATCACTGATATGGAGGTCACACTAGACAAAAACGAAAAATGAGCACATTTGCAGGCAATTTTGGCGGAGAGGACGCATCACAGCTTACAGCAGACCGAGTGATAGCATAGCGATGAGCCCGATTCTCTTGGCCAAGGGCATCTGAAGCTTCCACATTGATGGGATCGGCTGGGTGAATAGCGAAAGATCGGTGAAAACGTTGAAGACAAACTGGAAGTCCATCGGTAATTAGTCTGAAGTTACAACTCAGCACTTCTTGAAATGATTCCAGAAGCATGACACTTACAGTACACCACCAGAGAGCTCTCAGATCAAGGCAAGAACCATCCATCAGAGGATTCCAAGACTTCTGGATCGGTCTACAGGCTAGTGCCACAACCAGCGTCTCCTCGATTGCTTGGCAGCACAAGAAGGCACAGAGGCCATAGTTGAAAATCCTGAGCTCACAGACTTTTCAGCCAATATTTCAAGAATTCGTGAGTACGAGGGACCTACTTGTACTTCGACTTTGGCAGCAGTCTCAGATAGAGCACAGCAAAGCTCGCCTTTGCGGCGCAAATCCCGCAGCTGTAAAGGTTGGATGCTACAGTTTGCAACTGTGACACATTTTAGTTTTCACTATTGAGAGACTTTGGCCATTGAGCTCTCACCTTTAGATACATAACAAACTCGTCATAGTTGACCTCATCCTTGTGGCGACCAAGCCCGTAATTCGAAGCTATGGGCAGACGGTGTCAGTGATCGGAAGCAGCAGGGTTCGCTTTTCTTCCGTATCGTGGGACTATGCTGTATTGCTTCATGGCTTGTCCCTGTCCCTGTCTACCTGGCATAGGTACTTACCTTGTATCACGGCTATGATCATGGCTACTGAACATAGCTGGTCATAGTCAATTTGGAAAGTCAGCTCCAATGCTCCAGTGCGACAGTCGAACGACGAGGCCGAACGCGCCGAGGTTGCGTCAACATACCCAGCTAAATACGATCAAAGCTAATCCCGGAAGACTATGGTTAGGATTACGGTGCTCTCGGAGCAGTATAAGACAAGATTGACATACCATCATCGATACCAATAGACCGTATAATGAGAAGACGGGCCCAAACCCTAGCGGCGACGAAGATGGCTGTGAGGACCAGTAGCGCGATCCCTGAGGCAACTACATGATCAACCACATTATCCATGATGAAGATCTGCGGAGCTGCGCAACCGCTGACTTGTGACGTGGGCAGTGGCTATGTAGACAACATGGTCTGCACGAGCTCGGAAAGTTGGAACCTTCGGACCCCATATGACGGGGAGCAAGATCTCTTTGGATGTTATATGGAACAGGTAGAAGGAGTGTCTGCTGGGGGAATCAATCTCCGAGCTAGTCTACGCGCGGAAGGGGTAGGGAAATAGCCAAGAGATCCCCGGGTGCTCTTTGTGGAAGTCTGTGGGGGGTGGCGGAGCTTTGCGTACCTCCCCGTGTGTGCCTATACGAACTTCGCAACGCCTTATAGGGCTGCCGGGACGAGTGGGCTGCTGGCAAATCTTCCAATATGGTGTGTCATGACAGGCCTAGCGTTGCTCAAACATAGCAGGGCACTTCTGACGGAATAGCCACGTACTCGCCTGAATGACCCAGGAGAACGGCTGTGCCTCTTGTGTGGCTTGATGGGGTACAAAACAAGGAGCTAGAGCCCAAAGATCCTGAACGCCACGGTGCAGAGCGGACGAAGAGAAGGAGGAGCATGGGAAACGAGAATCCACCTGGTCTCCGTTTCATATGGCGTGCATCCCGGAGACCGCCATAAGAGCATGCGTGGCATGCCTGTTGCTTAGGGCGAGTTGGCCGCGGATGACGGCCACCCTGTATTCCGGCAGCAGACTAAGGCGTCAAGTCTTGGAGCTACCTGCTTCCTGCAGCAGCCGGCCTGTCCCGGCTACGACGCAAAGGGATAGGATGCAGCTTGGCAGGGCATGAGGAAGGGGCCCTCGAGAGCCATAGGGTCGGGGAGCTGGCGCAAGTTTCGCCACTAGGCTCAACAGACGAACAACGGCGGACTAGTCGTTTCTGCGCTGCCAGTATCATCCCTGCATTCTTAGCTAGAGAGTCGCGGGTTGGCTAAATGGAGCTACTGGTGCGTTGGTGCATGGCGACCAGGCCGACTCGAGTAGTTGCAACGAAGAGCGCTGGGCAGCCAATGCGACAGGACAGCAATGCAATACAGCATGTGAAGGGTCTTGAAAGCATGGGACAATGGTGGATGACGGATGACTGGGCGTGGTGATGGTCTTGAGAAGGAGCTGGCGTGTTGAAGACATGGGTGGTTCCCGAAAGACTGTTTCGTGACTGACTTGCAAGGCGGAAGGGGACCACTTCCCCAGGTTCTTGGTCGTACCTGCCACATCCACAGCCTGCTCCACCTGCTCTCCGCTCCCCGCCAACAAGTGGATGTCGAACCCCAGATTCTCCTCGTCGGGGACAATCGCACGCCTCTTAGCCCTGCCCGGCTCTCAGCTTGATCTATTTCCCAATCCTGATAATCCAACGATATCTGCCATTGACCCTGTCCCGCCTGGCTACGGACCCTCTCCACCGTTTCGATTGTAGAGCGAGCGACTGGGAACAGAACCAGTCTCGTCGCTTTTAACGACAATGGCCTACAGTGGGAACCTCACCCATCGCTTTTACTCCGAATCACATTGCGTAAACCAGGACTCATCAGGCAGGGCCTTGCCAAGCTACTGGCGGACGCTACTTCCAGCCACCAATGCAAGTGTCTCTAAGCTAAATTTGAACCAAGTCGCAAGGCACAAGAAAAGGAGGATCCCTCCCCGAGACCCCTTAATCTGGCCCAGCCGCCGCCTGTGCCGCAAGAAATCGTTCATTACCCGGGGGCCCTTTCGCTGCATGAACCTCAGCCGCAAGAAGCAGATCCTTACTGGTGTCGATACTACACCTACGCGCGTGCGGAACAGAGCTTGCCAGACCACCCGGTCGGTGCCGAACGACTCCTCGAACCCCTGGTGATCTGCACCGGGGGACATTCTTGTGGTGTGCTGCTCTTTCCTACGACAGGTGACACACACTGGTCCGTGTCAGCTACCCCTAGCGGGGGAGGCGCCGGCGAGGTACGAAGACATGGCAGCACTTCTTTCGCGCTTTATTGGTTCGCCGCAAGCGCGCCCAGAGCAAGCAGACAGCCAAAAGGCGTCTCTCCCAGATGATCTGCGCTTGCAGTATGGAGATCTCAGGGCAAGACGAGGTCACAGAGGATCTCGGGAAGGATTCAAAGCGGACACGGGAGAACCTTTTCCTGTCGATCGCCCTTCCGACTGGACAGCGGGTTCTGCTTCCGAGACGTTTCATCTTCATGTGAAATCAAGATACTCTCTGCCGAGGGGCCATCGATGGCTTCATGGGCCGCCGCTTTTGACCTAGGCCTGAGAGCAAGAACACCGAGCTTCGCCTTGTCACTCGAATGGGCCTGCTTCCCAGCTGGGGGAAAGGTGAACACGACATGTTCTTTGGCTCTTAAAATCGGCAGATTGAAACGATGCTACATGCGAGAATGGCTAAGTTTTTCATACTGTGAAGTGTGCAAAAGAGTGCTGCGGCGAGTCGATGGCTTGGACCAGGCTTTTCTGCAGGGAGTGGGATCATTGTTGTATGTACCCGCTCTCTCTCGACAAGCCCCGTTGCAGCTAACAAGACCTACCCATGTATCTGTCGCGTTACTCGTCCATTTCTAACCGGCCAAGCAGTCCAAGATATGTGACAAAACATTGGGACCTAAGATGGACAGCTTGCACGTAACTTTCGGGGGGCATTCGTTCATATAGAGATGGCAGGATATTCTGGACCATGCCAGACCATGACAGCATGTGGAAGCACAGTTACGCCGTGACAATGGGCGAAATGCTTTTTTTGAATTCGACGAGCCGCTACGCAGATAATAACAAAAACCCAAACTTCTCCCCTTCCGGCTTCCGACAATATCAATACGCCTTTTGCACGGGTCGACTAAATCTTTTTTAGTCCGCATCCAGCCTCGCCACAGGCGGCGTGTCATCTACCTGGATACCACCACGCTTCTTCTCGTCCGCGTCCCAGTACGGCAGCCGCCAGCCGCCCTCGCTCTGGGGCACGCTCAGCCACAACCGCATGAGATGCCGGCGGGGCTTGCCCGAGTCTGGCCCAAAGTCGCGGTACGCCGTCCGGGCGTGCAGCGTGTGCGAGTTGCTGACGAACTGGATGTCGCCGACGTCGAGGACCATGTGGAGCTTGACGCGCTCGCACGTCTCCTCGAGGAGCCGCACGGCCTCGTCCTGCTCCGGGGACAAGGGCGGGATGATGCCCTTGTCGCTGAAGCGCGAGAGGGAGCGCACAAAGTACGGGTCCCACTTGCAGTAGACGCGCTGCTCGCGGGCCGGGTCTGCCGGGTCCGGCGTCTCGAGGTAGAAGACGGCGGCCCGGATGTACGGGTCCTCGCCCTGGGACACCTCGCCCTTGCGGTCAAAGTACCAGATTGGCCGTGTGAGGAGCTCGGCGACATCTGGCCGCTCGTCCTGCAGGATGTTCCAGACGTGGTGGATTGAGCTGTTTTTGGGAAACGGTTCTGTCAGTGAATGCTCGCAAAAAAAATAAAAAAATAAATAAATAAATAAAGAAAAGACAAGGATCATTATGGGGAAACATATGAACAGTGACAACTAAGGGGGCCAAATCGGACGGAAACACACTTACGCAATATCACTCTCGCCGCCCTCCTCCGCCTTGGCGATGCACAACAGCCCGACCACATCGCAGTCGTCCGCGTGGAAGAACTGCCGCGCGTTGGTCCTGTAGATGCGCACCTTGTCGATCTGCGTGCTGTCCTCGCCGAGGTCCTTGACGTGGCCCAGGATGTGGCCGCGGCCGTTCTGGCTGACGGGGTAGCCAATGTGCGCGCCGAGGCCCATGTACGCGACGGCCGACTTGTGGTTGCCCCACTGCTGCACGGGGAAGCCCTTGTAGAGCATGAAGCCCTTGCCGTTGAGCATCTCCTTGCGCATGGTGGCGAGGAGCTGCTCCAGGTTCCCGTCGAGCCGGAACTGGGCCTTGTTGATGCCCGTCAGGGACTCGCCGGACGCGAGGAAGGCGTCGGCCGCCGCGGAGAAGGAGGCAATCTCGCTCGCCGAGAAGTGGTGCACCCAGCGCTCCGGGTTGGACGAGTACTCCTCGGGCCGCCAGACGGTGGTGCCGGTGATGTGCTTGGGGAAGGCGCTGTAGGGGTACACCTGGTCGTAGAGCGGTGGATGTTGGCCTGAATAGAAGACAAGTAGATTTTGCCGTTAGTCGAGATGGAGCAAGCCAGAGGAGTTTCGTTCTGCCTTTGTCAAGGTTGATTCTTGGGGGGTGGATGGGTGTCACGTACCTGTCGTCTTGTATCCATCGGGAAACACGGCCGTGTTGACCTTTTTGGCTGCCTGCTTGAGCTCGTAGAACGGGTCTGCGGCCTGTGGCTGAGGGGCCGTGGCTACCTCGACGGCTGGCATTTTCTCTCTATCTGTTTTACCTCGTGCCGTTGTCGAATTGATGCGTGCGAGCGAAGAAGGACAAAGACAAGGAGAAGGAGGAGAAGCCCAAGGTGGTGGTTGTGTAGTTGCCGGCGATTGGTGGTTATCAGCAGGGTGTTATGTGATTGGTCAAGAGCAGGGTTCCGCTGCCACAAGTAGCAATAGCTGATAGATAAGAAGTGCTCGCGCGGGTGGGCGGGTGTCCTTGGCGAAAGATGTCTTTCACAAGGGGCAGGCAAAGTCCGGGGAAGTCTGAAGGGGAAAACAATGGACGAATCCTGACTGCATGGAAAAAAGAGCTTAAATACCACCAGCACTGCCTTTTTTCTAGAACGTCATGCTGCCTCCCATGCCCAAATGCCAATTGGGAATTGCGCAACGAGGGGCTTGCTTGCGTTTGGCTGCTGGGAGGGGCAGGTGCGAGACGCGCACGCCATGGCAATCACGCAATTGCCCCAAGAGCCCCCCGGAGCCACACCAAAGATAGCGATTTGACACCATCGCAGACGCCCAGCACGCCATCGTCAGGCCCCCTGGCGCGCAGGGCCGCGTTCTTTTGGAGTTGATCGGGGCTCCGGATCCCCCCCGCACGCCCGCATCGCCGAGACCGCTGTTCTGCCTGGTCATGGGCTCAGGAGTGAACTATCGCGTACGTGTCAGTCCCTGGACGTGCTTGCTCAGCACCGGAGGAGTCGGGGATTGCCCCGAGATATCAATCTTACTACGACATACGCTCTCGGGCGCTGGGCACAATGTCTGCCATGCTTCAATTGAGCATGGAAGTATGGGCACGCGACTCGTGTCATTGTGCTAGTCAGCTCCAAACTGCGGCGGTTGTGATAAGCGCTCCCAGACCGGTAATGATTGCACAGCATGCCGTTGGAGACAAGGTCCGAGCTCGGCTCCTGATCTGATAAGTGAAACGAAACAACAGCCATATCTTGTTGATCTGCTCATTCAATCACCATGGAAATTCGAACAACAGACGACTAGAGGTATCTCAAAGTTCATGTTCTACTTGATTGGAAACACTAGTGTTTGCCCACCATTGAACAGACTTCATGATAGGCTTGCCCAGCACAGCAAAGGACAACCTCACTCCCACAATACCACAAAGCCGCCCGACTTTAAAGCAGACACTGAATCACAACGAGTACCGGAACCCAGGGTTGTCCAACTCAGTGACGTCGTGCATGCCCAGCTCAACCGCAGCCCTCTCGTCCGCGGGGCCAAGAGCGTCACGGCGCTTGTTCTCACGGTACATGTACACATACAGGACCAGAATGGCGACAAGCTTGACCGAGTAGCCGACCAGCATAGCAACGTAGGCGCTCTTGTAGTACGCTTGATCGTTTCAAATCCATGTCAGCACAACCATGTAGACTAAATCATCCGGGTGGCGGGGACTGGAAACTCACGTTTCTCCGAGTCAATGAACGTCTGCGGGCCGATAATGTTGCCCACGCAGTAACCCGTAAAGAGGAGCGCCGAAGTAAGCTGCTTCTTTGTCGAGCCGGCAACATTGGACGACACCATGGTCAGGGACATGCTGAAGCCCAGGCCCTGGAAGTAGCACAGCCAGAGGGCAACCAGTCGTCCCCACTGCAGGCAAGAGAATCGTGTGTTAGATCAATGGACGAGCAGGTTTTGGAGAGATTTCCTTGAGGGAGAGGAGAGAGCGAAACTCACCTTGTTGGTCAAGGGCAACCCCACGAGAAGTCCAGCACCGAGGATGCACACGCTGTTGGCAAACGTCATGGTCGCACACCTCAGCCCCGGCCACTTGGAGCACACCACGCCGCCCGTGATGAGCGCGAGGAACTGCACCGCGCCTCCGGGGATCTGCATGTACTGCGTGCCCAGCGCGTCAAAGCCGAACCCGGCAATGATCTGGCTGGCGAAGCTCGTGAGTGCCGAGTTGGGCACCTGCGCGCCCGTCGCCATGACGAAGAGGATCCATGTCTTGGGATCTTTGAGGAACTGGATCGCCTGATCCTTCTTGAAGTGCTGGTTCTTGACGCCCTGCCGGTTCCGCGAGACCCGCTCGACAGCAATGATTCGCTCCTTGGGGTTCAGGAACTTGGCCGTCGCCGGGAGGTCCGGCAGCCAGATCAGGCTGATGATGCCCTGGACCAGACTGAGCGCGCCGAAGATGATGAAGACGTACATCCACTGGGCGAGGCCGGTCGTAATATGGCCAACTGCATATCCGACGAGACCCCCGAACATGGTCGCTATCCCGTTAGTACAATAGTATGTCTCTAAACGTAACGGCTGCTCTGCCGCGGTGTACCACATAGACATGATAAACACAAAAGCCGGGTTTATGATCGATTCGGTGAGTCCGAGGAGGAAGCGGTTGGTTGCGATGCCTCCAAAGTTGTGGCATGCCGGTGTGGTCATGAGGATGATGCCCCAGGCGATGGTCGTCAAGGACGTAAACTTGCCGGTCGGAAGTCTTTGTAACAAGTATCCGGCGGGAAACTGAAGGCGAACATGTTAGATGTCGTGATGAATCTTGGTGGACTACGAGACTCGGATAACTGCATACCTGCGCGATGAGATAGCCGAAATAGAAGATAGAGCCTGGATTCCGCACCAGTTAGTTGAAAGTCGAGGACCATTTGATACTCCTGATGTTCTTTGACCGGATTCGACACAAGTGTCCTTGCGGAGCGGAAACAAGTAACCGAGACTTACCCAACCACGAGTACTGCCCTCCATCAATGTTTGTGCCCTCTTTCAGGCCAAACGTCGCGGCAAAGTTGATCGAGTTCTTGTCCAGGTACTGCAGCATGTACGTGAAGAACAAGATGGGCACGATGCGCCGGTCGATCTTGCGCAGGACCTGCTTCGACTCCTCGGGCGTGGCGTCGAGCGTGCTCGTCTCCTTGAAGACGTGGTACGCATCGTCGAGGTTGGCCGAGGATGTCTCGGAGATCACACCGGGGGTCCCGGTTTCTGGTGCCGACTTGATGGCGTCGGAATCCCCAAGGGGATCGATCTTTCCTGCCATGGTGGAATTTGGACCTTTGTTGATCAGGTACAGGAGAAACCAGCGGCTTGGGACAGGCAGGCAAATCAGGGTGGGTGTCAGTCGACGATTAAGTACGAAACGCGACAGCACACATACAAGGCAGAGACTATTGGATGTAAGCCAGGGACGGTCACGGGCGGAAATAGCCCGAGGGTTTGAATCAGAATCCACGGTAGGGAGGCGGCGCCATGACGCGCAGCAGGCACCACGCTGCAGAGAAACACCACCGTTTGCACCACTTTTTTTGAAGAGAAATTCTGCAAACCGACGGATAAGCTGTACTCCTCTTTCGTACTCTAGCAGGGTTGACGGAGTGGGTTTGGAGTGGATGTGGTTTTTGGCGCACGCGGCGTCCTATGGCGAGCCGGGTATATTGTCAAATAGCAAGGGACGATCACGCCATGCGCGGTGTCTGGCGCGGCGACATCATCGCCCTGGCTGAGAGTGCAGAGAAGCCTTGTTATAGGTTGTCTTGGCCTCGGGTGACCCCCTTATCCCACGCTTAGGTCCCGGTCGGCTGGTACACCGTGTAATCAGCTCCAACTGGTGGCAGATATCAGTCGGTGGGAGGGGGCATAGAACTCAGTCCTCATCTTATGGTTTGGAGCGAAGAAAGTGACCAGGCTCGTTCGGGGGCCATGGCATCATCACAGGGTCGCCTCACATCATCTTCCCTTTTGGGAAAGCTTGGAGGAGGCTCGGTTTTACCCAGGCTGCAGATGGCCCCGTTGCGGGGGAATGGCCAGGGTAGCGCCGTCTTAGCCCCGACACTTGAGCAGTGCTTGCGGGTCAGTGCCTCCCGTTAGGCTTGCCGAATGGGTTCCTATGTGTAAAATCTCAGGGGGGTTTTCAGAAGGGTCGCGGAAGAGTTCTCTAGTTCGTGTCGGTGCATGTTGACGTTGTGTTCCGACGGCTCCAAAACTCCAAGACGACCGAAGAAGACTCGGCAAGGCTTGGTGGTGCCACCTTGTAATGCCCAGGAATGAGGCGTTGGCATTCATCTTGGCGGTCTCGTCACGACCCTCAACAACGAATGCAGCACCACCGCAAGTACGGGAGATCCATGTCGACCGCCAGATAAGCGAATTGACTGCTTCGGGCCTTCCGGCCAATTGGCTGGCATTAGTAGACAACAATGCTTCAGAGCAGGGTAGTCAACATCTTTACGACACATTCGGCGAATGCCTCGTGATTGATATCCTCCTTGCGCTCAATCACCTCAATCTCCGTGCCCTGGAGATCTTTTCTGATGGCTGCAACGAGCGCCTCGTCGGCCTCCTGATTTGCGAATGGCCCGCCAGGGGTCGCAATCAAGCTGACACCACCCAGGGGCAGGATGACTTTGACCTTGGACTGATCGGTACAGTGGCTCTTCAACTTCGCTGCGATCCAGCTTCCCACCGCCTTGCACTCCTCGGCCGTCGTGCGCATCAGCGTCACGTAAGCATTGTGCTCGTACAACAACCGATCCGCCTCAGCCTTGGCGTACTTCTCCGGCACCGTCCCGCGCGGTCCAAAGTTGACCATGTCTGTTGCGCCAACGGACACGATGCAGGGAATCCCGCGCTTCGCCGCGGCCTCGAGCCGGAGCGGCCCGGCGGACATGTTGCCCCCAAACAGCTCGTCGCAGACCTCCGTCGTGGTCAGGTCCAGCACGGCGTCAAGCCGGCCCTCGGCCACAAGCCGCTCCATGGCCTTGCCGCCGTGGCCCGTGGCGTGAAAGACAAAGACTTCGTGGTCGTATCTGGCCTCGAGAATCTCCCGGACCTTGTTCACGCACGGCGTCGTGACGCCAAACATTGTCACGCCTATGCGTTTCCTGCGTCGCTCAATGGTGTTGTGCTGCTCTGCGCCTTGAGCTTGCCGCGGCGACGAGGGTGACGAGGCCTTCCACGACTTTGCCATCCCGACAATGGCCCCGGCCGCGTTGGCAAAGATTCGCTCCAGCAGCTCATTGGAGCCGGCAATGTCGACGACCGAGTACATCATGGTAACATCGGCCTCGCCGACCACGGGACCGACATCGCCACTGGCCACCGTGGACACGAGGAGCTTGGGAAACCCGATGGGTAGAGCCTCCCTCATAACTGGTGCCGCGAGGGATGTGCCGCCGCTCCCGCCCGCACTCAGGATGCCGTGGATCTCCCCGCGCGAGAACAAGCCCTTGACGTAAGACGTGATGGCCTCAGTCATGATCTTGAGACCCCCACTGCGATCCGAGGACGGGTCATCGATCTGTGCGATCTGGGAGTCGCTCAGGAACCCCGGCGTCCGGGTGCGGCTGACGGTGATGGCATCGTGGGAGACCGGGAAGCGGCCGCCGTCGATGAGGATGACTGAAGTCGCGCCCGCGTCGAGGGTGAGCTGGCGCAGGCGCAGCAGCTCTTGAAGTTTCGAGTCGCAAGTGCCGACAACGGCGATGACCAGATCGCTGCTACTAGGGGTGGACATGGCCGTGTGTGAGATGAGAGATCGCAACCACGATGGATATGTGCAAGATGAGAACGAGGAAGGGAAGTCTCGGGGTCAGCGTTCTAGTGAGTTGCAAACCATGCCGGCTGTACACGCCCTGCAGCAAGATCCATGCATGATGCAAGCTGTCTCGTTGTCTGCAAGTCCAGTGGTTCATGGCAAGACATGGGCAGGAGGAGGAGGGAAGAGACAGCGACTGCCGCGCCCCGGAATGCGACGCAGCGGGGCGCGGGGTTGGTGCATTAGCTCCCGCCGCCGCAACCTCTGTCTGGATGGAGCCTCATCTTGTGTCCCCTGCCAATGACAAACCCAGGCTCTTCTTTTGGCCGGCTTCAGTCGGTTCCTCCTGTTGCAATTGTGACCTGGTCTCCTGCGAGAATCCCAATTGTTTGAGACTCTGATTCCAGATACAAGCTTCAAACCCATCCCGCTTGCTTGCTTGCCTGCTTGTACCTGCGAGATAGTGTGTGTCGTCATTGGCATCCTGGACATCGACATGGGCAAGCCGAGCAACAGAGAAGAAGCCCTTGCGGCTCTCCGAGCCACACGAGAGAAGGGCAACATAATCGTCGGCGCCGGAGCAGGTAAGAAGCTCGAGTCTCGCCCTTCCCCCTTTTCCACCAGATATAAGCCGTCATCAGTCCATCCGCTCTAAGCGACGTATCGTTGGCTACATAATCGCGTTACAAACAGACCACACAAGAATTCGATGTCGCTCACTAACAGCACAACTCCCAGGCATCGGTCTCTCAGCCAAGTTCATCGAAGCCGGCGGCGGCGACCTCATCATCATCTACAACTCTGGCCGCTACCGGATGGCCGGGCGGGGCTCCCTCGCGGGCCTCATGCCGTACGGCAACGCCAACGACGTGGTCCTCTCCATGGCCAGCGAGGTGCTGCCCATTGTCAAGCACACGCCCGTGCTCGCGGGCGTCTGCGCGAGCGACCCCTTCCGCGACATCCCGCGCTTCGTCGCCCAGCTCAAGGACCTGGGCTTCGCCGGGGTGCAGAACTTCCCCACCGTCGGGCTCATCGACGCCGACAGCGTGTTCCGCAGGAACCTCGAGGAGACGGGGATGGGCTACGGCTGCGAGGTCGAGCTCGTGCGCGAGGCGAGGAGGCAGGGCCTGCTGACCACGCCGTACGTGTTTAGCGAGGACGAGGCGGTGCAGATGGCCCGCGCGGGCGCCGACGTGCTCGTCGCGCACATGGGCCTGACCACCTCGGGCAGCATCGGGGCCAAGACGACCGGGTTGACTCTGGATCAGTGTGTCACGCTCATTGGCAAGATCAAAGATGTCGCCCGGGAGGTCAACCCCGAGATCCTGGTGCTGTGTCACGGTGGACCGATTGCGACGCCCGAGGACGCGAGGTACGTCATTGACAAGGTGGGAGGGCTGGACGGCTTCTACGGTGCGAGTAGCATGGAGAGACTGCCTGTTGAGGAGGCGATTGCGGGCATCACCAAGGAGTTCAAGGGACTGAAGCCGTCGTCTTGAGTAAAGGACACTCGGGAGTCTGGAGAAGGATTGTCCACAGTACCATTGGTCGTAGCTGTTGTAAGAGTAATCATCTGCCGCTGCCCATTCACTTTGAGGGGACGACCGACGTCCTCACCTAAAAGTAGACATGCCCATTGGGAGTTGCCGTCATGGGCACAAACCAGAGTTCTACGGTACTATCGGCAATCTATGCTAGGTATCAATTAGTAAGGAAGACGGACAGCAACACCAGCTTCTTACAAGACCAGAAAAGGGCTCCACAGACTTTGCCACAGGAGAACGTAGCGAAACAGGATCAAGTTCGCATTATTGCTGATGGGATAATATACTATCATTTATGGTACGCGTGAGAGATTTGTGAAGTTCCATGCCCTTTTTAAGGTTATCTTTCACCCCAGAGCTCGTTTATGCTATCAAGAAACTCAGCAAAGTCTAGGAATCATCTCATATATTACGTCATCGGTCCGCGAACAGCCGCTACGGTTTTACCAGGCAATATATATCTGGAACCTTTGTTAGCAAGTAAGGCGAAACTAACGAACAAGACCACAAAAGCGCTCCATCAGATAAGTCCAAAAACAGTATTTAATTTGTGTTATAATCGTAAGGAGAACATGGCTCCATCGAACCCTGAGTTGCCATTAGGCACCCGGCCCACTAGGTAGCAGCCCGATCTCGGCCGTCTATCAAACTATTTCGTCTCCTGTAGCTCTTCACCACCTTCTGCTCCTGCCGGCGGCGCCGCCCCGTCCTCCGGGTCCAACAGCTTGACCTCCTCGTCCGGCACGGGCGGGGCGCACTGGATCTCCCCGCGCAGGATCTCGATGATGCTGACCACGGGGAGCAGCAGCATGCCGACGGAGAGGAGCTGGCCGAAGCTCCAGGCGCGCTCGCCCTGGTCGCTCAGCGAGACGGGGGGAGCGGTCTGGAAGGCCTGGGCCATGAGCACGACGCGGATGGTCGCGCCGATGGCGATGCCCGCCATGGTGACGAGGCCGATGATCTGGATGAGCCGGTAGTAGCGCTGGGTGCGGCTCTGGAGGTAGTACGTGGCGAAGCCAAAGACAAAGACGTTGCCGGCGATGGCGACAATGGTGCCGATGAAGCTCAGCGAGATGCCCTTGGAGGGGGGCTCGACGGCGTTGTCCGGGAGGGGGTCGGGAGACCAGACGCACATGATGGGCAGGGTGGAGTTGTTGATGCCGTCCTGGACGGCCTCGAGGATGAAGATGCCGTACGCGCAGGACAGGAGGAGGTTGATGGCCATGAGGGCCTGGCGGACCCAGCGCAGAACCGCGTCGCGGCGGTAGTCGTGGACGAGGGCGATGAGGGTGGCGTTGTGGACGCCGATGGAGAGCAGCGAGAGCATCCAGATGATGAAGAAGTGGTAGGGCACCATGGTGGACATCTTGGCGAGGCCGACGCCCTGGATGCCGATGCCCGTGAGGAGCTGCTGGTCCGAGTACGAGTTGAGCAGGCGGCGGCGCAGGACGGAGGGCTTGCCGCTGTTGCGGATCTCGTCAAAGACGAGCGACACGCTCAGGCCGAGGGCGATGACGGCCGTGATCATGAAGGAGAGCAGAACCTGTGCCGCGGTGGTTAGTACCTACGTCGAGTCTCTCGCCGTTGATTGCGGTGATGGCGGCGTCGACTTACACCAACGCCTGCGACGCCGGCATCGCTGGGCACGCTGGCCGGAGCCACCGTGCAGCCCTCTGTGAAGTTCATGGTTCTTTGTGTCCGGGTACAGTGCTGCCCAAGAATGCCAGGCAGAGACGAGAAGAGGCGCAGAGGTTTGAGAAGGCCAGCCTTCCGGGGAGACGCAGTCTTGTTTTGAAGGAGGCTCAGTCAGAGGCCCAGGGGCCCAGAGAGTCTGTGCCAAGAAGGCGTGCGCGTGTCTTGCACGAGAGTCCGGCTGCGATGAGTCGACAGCCAGGAGCAGACGCAAATGGCTCGTGGTGGCGGGCGCGAGAGACACACCAAGACGGTGAAGGCGTCTCCAGATTTTGGGCACAGTCAACCAGCCATGCCTCTTGTCTCTTGTCTCGCGGGGCCGGGCCCGGGGCCCTTTAAGGGCTGGGTGCGCCCCCTCGAGCAGCCCTGGAGATCGGGCGCTCCTGGCATCTTGCCTGCTTGCAAGTCGGGTCTGCAGAGAAGGAGGCGATCCTCATTTGTTTGGCCGCCCGCATTGTGGCCAAGGTGGGTCGGCCTGACGATTGGCCCACAGGTGCCGGTGCTCTGGCATCTCGAGGCGCCTGTTCCTGGCCCGGCCACCCCAGTGAGTGTGGGTGGATGCCTGGCGTCATTCCGTGCCGCCCATCAATGCGCGCCAGGTTGTAGCGCCGGGTTGCATTGTGGCACAGTCGCCTTTGACGCTGCTTCAGAGGCAGCCCAGGCACTGCAGGTTGTCAGTGGCGAACGCTTGCGTTTCACTACCCGCCTACGCAGTACACCCAAGCGCAGAGACGGTGCTTTCTCTACACTACGCATGCTCCGTACCTCGCACAGCATGCGCAAGCTGAAATCATTCAAGAATCGCATCCAGCCAAGGGAGACGGCGGGAAGTGGGGATATGCCTGGTGTTGAAATTCCCCCATCTCCATCACGACCGCAATCGTAATGGCCATGTTTCATCCGACAGCCGGCTCCAGCCCCGCACTGCCGCGCGCAGCACCAAGCACACACCTCCCCTCGTATGTGTGTCACGCCATGGGTGTCAGATAAGTTGGGGGACTTGATTGATCACGAGCAGCAAGTTTCCGCAGGCCCAAGAAGTTTATGAAAAGCCCAAGGAGGATGTGCTGTCCTCGGGAGGGACATCCAGAAACAAGGTACAAAAATATACATTAGCACCGCAAATCTCCAAAGCTCACACAGTCTAGGTCTCAACCTGCCATTTCCCAAGGCTCAGAGCTCTCTCCTTGTACAAAGCAAATATAACGTGCAATAAGTCCCCGTCGTTCCAACAAGTTCTCAAGGACTCAAACAACAGCCGTCTGGTTGTATAGTGTAGTTGGTTATCACTTCGGATTCTGACTCCTCCGCTTCTCGCAATGAGATCGGCGCGATCGTTATTCCGGCGACCTGGGTTCGAATCCCAGTACGACCTCTTTTTGCCAGCAAGCCAGCGTCCTGCATGGGTTGTTGGGTTCCTTTTGCGCTCGTTGAAGCCCTCTGTTGTTGAATCGTGATGCGTGATGCGCGCGATTGCTGTTTTGGGACATGTTACCGGTGCGCTGGGACCGCCGTGGCGGTCGTTCCTTCCGTTTTGTGTCGACAATGTGCGACGCGGCCGCGTGGAATCCCTCCGGCGCAAGCTCCTGCCGTTCTGTGACAGTGGCAGAGCTTGGCCCCGAGAACGATGGTTCTTCAACCATGGCACTTCACCATCACAATGTTCAATCACTCTTGCACCTGAAACAATATTGCCATGTGATGATGGACCAGGGAACGCTGTCTGAGATTTTTCTCGCCGCTGCACTAGTCCAGTATTGAACAAAAAACTCCCTTGATGTGATGAAAACCCCCCCCGCGCGCGCTATCAAACTAAAAAGCCAAACTCGGGCTCTTAACCCTGATCCCTTGCTCTCCTCCTCCTGGATGTCCCGTGCAAAACAATGAACCGATAACTCCGATACCCTGATTGACCCTTTGCGGCTAATGATGTTTGCATAAGAAAAAGAAAAAACCCGCCATCTCGAACAAAGCCAATCTGGACAGCAAGTTGCTCACACTTTGCGCTGACGTTTCGCCGAGCGGCTGGGACTCTCTTCTAGGTCATCCCTCGTTATCTCCTCTGTCCCGCCTGGGCTTGGGCCCTGATCGGGCGTGTTGCTCTCCACGACCCGGCCGCCGCCCAGGCCGTGCCCGGACAAAGCAGTACCACCGCCGCCGCCGCCGCCGCCCACCACGCTCGGGTCAAAGTCCGGCAGGGGATCTGAGGGGTTCCAGGTGTACCCGGCGCTGCCGAAATCGCCGGCTGGCCCGTTGGGGTCGAACAGGGGCGCGCTCGTGTCGAAGCTGAAGTCGCCCACCCCGCCCGCGGCGTCGTTGGTAAACGCCGACGAGTCGAGGTACTGGTTGAGGTCGATGTCGTCGTTGCCAAAGTAGCTGACGTCGCCTTCCAGGCCAGGGATCCTACCAGATGGGCTCAGAGGGCCGAGCAGGCTGTTGAGCTGCTCCAGCTTCTCGGCCTGTTCCGCCTGGAGACGCTGCAGCCTCTCGAGCTCTTCGTTGTTCTGGTTCATCCGCTCGATGGAAGGCGGCTGGACCTCCCGCGCAGCACGAAGGATCGGCGACAGGTTCGTCGATGTTGCGGCTGCTGGTTGTGGTGACGGCGACACGCTTGTTGTCTTGAGGCTCGGCGGGACCTGTGTCCTTGGTGTCGGGAGTTGGCCAGCTGGTGGAGATGGCCCTGCCGGGACAGGCGACGAGCTGTGCCTGGCCCCCGAGTTCATGATGTTGAGCATGCGGTCACGCTGGTCGTTTGTCATGTTGGCGGACGTGTTCGCAGCGAGGTTTGAGAGGCCAGCAGAATTGGGTCCGGCATTCGAGTTGGCATTCTGGATAATCTTCATCATCCCTTCCTGCGGGTTTGATTCAAGCTCCTGTTTGAGATATGCTGGCGTGGTCGACTTTTCTGAAGAAGGAGGATCAAAGACCTCCTCGACAGATCCCATGCGTGGCTGCTGGTTGTTCTGGTAAAGGTTCGTCGCCGCATTGCCAGAGGCCGATCGGGAGTCTTGGTGAGACGGTATGGGTGGCAGGAGGCGTTGTGGTCTTTTGGGCGTCGACACCGAGCCTGTGCCCCCCAGGTTCGCCTGTTGTTGCAGAAAGTCACCCAGATCCACAACACTACCAGAAGAATTCTGGGGCATCTGCATGTTAGGTATGATGCCGGCCAGCAAGTCGTTGACGTTCTGCACACCGCCCTGCTCCTCCAGAGATTTCCGGAACACGTTCGCCAGGAAATTGAGAATGGCGGTGATGGAGTTCTCGTGCCGGTCGTGCATATTCTGGAAGACGACAGCTTGCTGAAACAGACTGTTGTGCTCGCTCCGCAGTCTCTTAATTGCATCGCTGATGGTCCGTTGCTGCTGCTGGAGCACAGCCATCTGGTCTCGAATCACCGAAAGCTCTTTCCTCTGCAACGGCCCCGACTCCGGCGCGGGCAGTGCACGGCTCGGATCTTGAGGACGGGTCGCGGCCGGGGTCACGTTGTCCTCGACAGGCAGAATCTCGTCGTCGCTGTCGCCTTCCACATCATCCGCGCGCTTCTTGCCGCCCTTTTTGGCGTTGCCGCTCTTGGGCTTGTTGATCAGCCAGAGAAGATTCGGGTGGCCTCTCCGGAAGTACGGGTTGTAATATTCGCTGGGGCTCTTGTTCTTGCGCTCGCTCGCTTTCATGGAATTGTCCGAGAGTCCGACCTTTTTGTGGAAGCCATACATGTTCAGTTGCCGCACGAAAGAGGCGTAGTTGTTGTGCTTGAAGAGCTCGGGAATCAGCGTCTTTGCGAACTCGTCCTCGTCCAGGACGATGAACGAATCGCCTCTCTCAGACCACCGGATGAGCTCGGTGTTTTTCGACTCCTCGAGGAAGCTACACTCAGGGTGCGCATGTCAGTGAAACCATGTCTTTTAATTGCTGTGCCGATAACCGGCCTTTGGCGCGACTCACCTGTTTAGTTTCTGCACAAACGGAGGGATCTGTTTCCTCTTCGCTTGCGCCTCCCGCTTCGCCCTCTGAGCCCGCTCCTCCAGCAGCTCAACATTGTCATTGTCGTCGGTTCCACCGTTTGCGGCTGGCACTACCATCCCGTCCTCGAAGTTTGGCCAGGACTCACTCTGTGGCTGGACATAAGCGCGGTTCGAGGGGACGAGTGTCCCGTTCATCCCCCGGCGCGCAAGCGTTGTCGATGTCGCGGCCGGGTTGGTTTGAGAGAATTGGGCTGCTGCTAACGGCGTCGACAGCATGCTGTAGTCAATGTTGTTGGCGCCGTCCATGAAGTTGCCCGAGTTGTTGCCGGTCCAGCGCATCAACTGGTCGGCCTGTGGGTGGAACGGCTGCGCCATCTGTTGTGATATCGGCACGCTGCCCGGCGCGGGTCTCTTTCTCGAGTTTGGCGAAGTCATAGAATGGCGCACGGCGAGGGCGGCGTCGCGCGGGCGCTTCGAGTGGATGGATCGTAGAGGCCGCGCGCTCGAGGAGTTCTCGATTTCTGCGCAGGGCTGGAGAGCGGCCGGTGTTGCGCAGTCCAATGTCCACTGCTGCAGGTGGGAATGGCTGGCGACGATGGAAGCTCCGGCAAGGCAAGCGAGCAAGAGGCAGGCAGGCAGGCAGGCAGGCACACGCGCGGGCGCGAGTTGAATCCTGTCGCAGGGCTGTCAGGCGAGTAGCAGCGAGGACGCAGGCGCGGGAGGGCTGCGGGCGGGAGGATCGTGTTGTGAGGCAGGCGGACAAGCAGACAAGTCGTGCGGCTCGATTTCAGTCGTGATTGAGAAAGGCCAAGGATAAATTTTGAATGCTGGCCAGCGATGGGAACTCTGGAAGCTATGGGCGGATAACGTAGCGCTGGAGGTCTGTCAGGCTGACCCCACTACGCTCTAGCCTGCCCTGGTCGGCAGCCTCCCACGTTTTCTCTCTGTGGAGCCTGGCTGGCGGTGATGCAAAGAGGACTTCCAAGGTTGCGCCTTTGCAATTGGCGGTGACCTCGCAGATTGGGATGCTAATTGAATGCTGGCAAATAATATCTTGCGCCAGTGCAGGCGCAGACAGCCTCGGGGACAGCGTCTGGGGGTTCACAGGTCGTGAGCTGGATCGGTACTAGCTCACCAGGGACGGGGACAGAGACACTCTCGAAAACCCTTGGTGCACTGCGGGAAGCCCGGCTGCTGGAGGCGCTAGCGATAGATAAAGTCGCGTTCGTCGTTGATGACTCTAGCAAGTCGACGACGTGTCTTTTTTTTGGGCACCGCAACGGGACTCTTTTGCGAGGATTGGCAATGGGCTGGGGTGCCAGGAAGAACGTGCAACTGCCGGCCAGACGGTCGAGAGCTTGTGTTCTTGTCTAGGCGGTCAGGCCTCTTCTCCTCTCCTGGGCGGGCTCTGCATTTCACATTCTTTCCGTCGATGTGACGTGATGTGGAGATCCTGCTCTCGTCCCGGGGCCGAGGCAACCGCGCAGCAGCCCACGCATACGGGAGGCCAGGGGGGCGCGTCAAGTTGTAGTCTGAACAACAACCACCTCTCCTCGTGGCCACCAAGAAAGCAACACTCTCAGTTGTTCAGTCTGCATGTCTACCATACCACAACCTCTCAACCCGTGATTGCCTTTTCAAGTTCCCGTCTAGACCTCACTATAGCTCTGCATGTACTGCTTGTAGCCAAGTTTTTGTCATGGGCAGCACGTCTCAGCAACTAGGCACCCTTCCCGCAATCAGCCACGTTAACCACCCAACCCAAAACACCCGACCACCGCAAAGCGGCGACTGGCACGATGTAGAGTCCAGCAAGATCTCCAGGATTGACCCCGTCGTCTTCGTTGAAATGCCTCCAGTGATCGCCAACACAATGGCACGATCTCTGCATAGGGCCCCAGCCGGATTGCGCCAGCTTGGTTTCCGTCCCCTTCGCTGCGTTTCCATCTAAAGTCCCGCCCCTGACACGACCTGTCCGCTCCAGTCGAGCCCATCTCGATGACAAAGAAACAGACAGCCGGTCAGGTCGTCCTCAAGATGAGCAGGCACAATTCTTCGGATGAGGCCCACTGCAGGGGATGCACTTCACGACTTTGCACAGCGACCCTCGCACCTCAAAGGCTCTAGTTCCTAAGCTCATCGGTTCAAGCCGCTGTCGCCTTCGCCCGAATCAGAGGCGAAGGATCCGGACGAGAGCGCTGACCTTCACTGCGCCTATTTCTGTTGTGGTTGCCAGGACTGAGCTGGTCGAATTTCATCATGTCCACCAAGTGTCTATCAACCACTATGCCACTTCAAAATACCGGATGACGATGGCACACTCTCTTTGAAGAGCTTGGCCGCCTTGCTAGGTGCATAGCCGCTCGGAGGCATCCGCGTGTGGATATAATGCATATCTTTCCTTTCGAGTAGACAGGAAAGAGCGGGTAAATCTAGGCAGGCTAAGGATTTCCGTCATTTATCAAGCTCAAGACTAGAACAAAGCTACGTAAGTAATATAAGGTTGGGGAATACCGGCAGGTATAGCACTACAAGAGACCTTGGCCGTTCCGTTTCGTGGCACACGGCCAAGCTAGTCGCCCAAGGAAGACAAGGAACACCAGATGACGCCTGGCGGCAGATGTCTGATACCATTAATCGTCTCTGAGGGTTGAAAAAAATCATGCCTATACGCCAAAAGGGAAAAGGGTCGTCATACACCGCCGCGGCTCCGGGTGGGCGACCTTCGTGTTGCTCCGCTTCACGTAGCGAGTGCAAACTTGCCGCAGTTGCCATTGCTAAGCGTGTAGACTACGCCAGGCCCTGATCCCCTGTAATATTCAAAGGCCGTCTGGGCCGGGTTGCAGGCAAATGAATTATCTCCTATCAGGATCTCGCACTCTCCAGAGCTCTCGAGGTAGGCGCTGCCAAAGCAGTCCGCTACAGCGGCGCATTTCGCGCAGCAGTCCTCCGCCGAATCCTCAAGGCTATCCTCGGTTGTGTAAGGCTCCAAGTTGACTGGTTGATAGTCAGCGATGCCCCGCCCATTGAACGTCGACCGGAGGTTATCTGGCGCGCACTGCGCGTAGACTGTCGGTGTCGGCGCTTCAGACTGCGCCGTCTCCGTGGCGATGGTCAAGGACGTTGTAGTTGTGGTTATAGTGCTGGTGATGACGCTGCTGGCGGTCTCGGGCTCGGTGCCGGCGGCGCCGGTCGCACTAACGGTGGTGGTCAGGGTGGTGGTGGCGATGGGGGCGTCTGCTTCGACGGTGCTCGTCTCGGTTGCAGTACTGAATATTGTCGTTGTTAGGCTTGTCGTGGATGTACATGCCGGGTCCGCCTTGGTGTCATCGCGAGGCTCGGGCATGCCTCGTCGCCGGCCAACCGGAGGATAGTCGTTAAGGGGTGTAAAGCCGGCCGGAGTAGGTACGGTAATGGTCGGTGGTGTAGTCGTTGCCGTGGTCGTTGACACGGAGCCCGTCGCCTCGGTCAAGGTGTTTGTGACGAAGACAGTCTCGGTAGCAGTAACGACAGGCAAAAGATCGCCGGAAGTCACGGTGACATAAGACGTGACGACGGAGCGGCTCTCTGTAGTAGTAGTAACCACGGTGCTGACCACATACGCCGTGCTCAGGCTTGTGCAGACTGCGCCTGCTTCGGAGCTGCTTGTCACGGACGAGGACGGTGATGGTGCTGGAGGTAGCGGTGCCGGTCCTAACAGGAATGGCGGTATGCCCGGTGCGTTAACTTGTATAAAGAACCGCCGTGGCGGGTTCTGACCAGCCACGAGGGTAGCTATTCCTAGCAGGTAAGAGACCACAGGTAGGAGCATTATGAAAACAATTCAATGCAGGGGATAGGACAAACGACCTCGGCTTATTGGTACGACCGAGTCGCTAATGATTGGGGCGGCGACTGGAAGGCTTTTGTATATATATCTACGAGCCGCCTGGGAAGGAGAGACAAAGCCAAGGGCGAACCTCTAGTAACCACGCATACCTAATCATTTTCAGCCCGCTATCCAAGTATCTTGATCACGGCTGGAACTAACACTGCGTTCACATTCCATATGGTATTACTGACATGCTATGCACCAGCTCGTGTCGACGACCACGATTCCCAAGTTACAGGATGGCGGCGGTGTCGCTGGCTTGGTCGACACTTGCCATATCCGAGGCTTGACGCAGCGGACGCCGGCACAGTCTTCCATGCGTAGCATATATGCCCTGGTAGCCGGTCGTTAGACCGTGGCTCTGTACTCCGGTAAGCTTTAAGCTTATATATTGTCCGGCTGGTGCTTCGTCCTCCCTTTGTTGAGATACAGAGCTAATCTGGGGTCGTACAGTGGAGGTTAGGCTCAAATGAACGCCCTCCAGCTGGCCGTGCCGCAGACGGAATTGGTTACGTAGTCCCTTGGAATGAGACTCGGGAATACGGTCTGTTATGACCCTCCCTTTCCGCGCCGTCTCACGGCGTGCTCTTCGGATTTGTTGTGCATGGGGTATCCTACGGCCTCCACTTCGGAATAATGGGTGAGATATGTCTCAAAAAAGCTTGCGCAAGCCAAACAGGACAATGGAACTTGGCCTTTGACCTGTTTGGCCAGCATATGTGTGTGTCTCAATGGTGGCCTCAACAGCGGTGCAAGTGCGGCTGATGGTGGAGAGACACGAGGGCAGATTCCCGTGTGGTCCAAACAAGGGATCACCGCCTGGCACCACTCGAGCAAGAGTTGCCGGCCAGTGGTGATTTCAAGAGCGTTACCAAGAGGTGTGAATCCAGCACTGCCAGAGAGCTTCGTTCATGGCCTGGTCACGTATTGTCCACCAAAGAGCGATCTCGAGTCCAACAACAAGATCACGGATGGCGTCGAGTCATCCTTGCATCATGGACGGCCCCTCAGGTCCATCGAACGGGGTTTGCCGCCAGCAGGAAATCGTCCCACCGGCACTGGTAGCCTCCGGCTTGACGTGCGGAAAACGTTGCTGGCGTTCTTTCTGATGTGTGGCCAAGGTCTCCAGAAATTAGAGTTTTGTGTTTGACGTAACTGCCCGGCAGGGGTTCCGTCTTCAAACGGGGACCCATTTGCTGCAGCTTTCCAAGGCAATTGTCGAACGATGGACGCATGGCAACTGACTTGACACACTGATAGCCAGTCCCAGTGTGCATGGTGGACCTTTGGAATCATAGTAATCGTCATCAATGTGTGTGCAATTGGGGAAACTGGCGCCTCGAAACGCGTTACACGGCACGGTATGCTGTCATGCTCTGATACATTCGCAATGTCACCATGTCGTGCAGGAGACAAACGGGCTTCCGCCATACACGAGCCAGCAACGACGTCCTGGATAGCGGCCCTGGGTATTCTTGATGGCTTATCTCGCACCTCTACCAGCGAGAGCGCTTTGCCTCGCCAGTTTCGCATTGCGCGCCTGGTCCCACTCGCGGCTAGACTCGCCAGACTGCGCGCTCCTCTTAGCTCTCTTCTCCTCCTTGAGCGTCCGGGCCTTTTCGCGAGGGTCGATCACGACAAGCTCCTCCTCGGCCTTCTTGCGGTACGTCAGGTCCTTACCCAGCTTGTCCGCGGCAAAGGTGAGTCTGTGCGACATCCAGCCTGGATCGTTGTCGTCGTCATCGTCGCTGGCCCCGGCACCTTCCTTGTCCCACGATTTGCAGCTCTGGCAATTCGCGATAAAGTGCAAATCGCAGAGCTCGGCTTCCTCATCGTCGACGCCAGCCCTATCTTTGCCATTCGTGCCATCCTCATTTCGTTCCGAGGTGCCTTCGGTCCCTGGATGTGCTGAGTTTGCCGTGCTTGATCCGCCATCTCCTGCAGAGACATGAGCCTGCCCTAGGCGTGAACGAAATGCCTCAAACATGGCCAGGTCGGCATCTGTCATTGTGCCTTCGCCTCCCCTCCTTCGTTTCCTCCCCCGCGTCGAGGTCTCGGGTATCATTTTTTCCAAGGGTGTCTTCTTTGTCTCCTTGATCGTGTCCGTATGCGTGCCGCGCTTCATCGAGGCCTTGAGCGCTGCAATCTCCTCATTGACCGTGTCCAGAGCGGACTTCTTCTTCTCTTCTGGTTCCGGAGATATTGACTCTTCTTCGTCGTATGTTGGTCTCGACGGCTTTGGTCTTGATTCTGTAGCAGCCCTCTTCACCGTCGTCCTTTGCTCGTCCGCGCCGGCTGACGGCCGCTGGGGTGACCGTGTCCGCTCAAGTTCTTTAGATTCGGCGTCCCTGCTGCTGCTCGTCTGCTTCTTCTTGGGTTTCGACGCGCGTGGCTCACCCTTCTCCTGCTCGTCTGCCGTCGGCGGCGCGACCACTCGTGAATCAAACTTGGTCTTCTTGAACACGGGCATCTCCTCGCCGTCCGCTTCGTCATCGCCAAAGCTCAACAATTTCTTCCCCGCCGCTTTCGCCTTCTTGCCCTTCTTCTGCTGCTGCTGAGCGGGCTGCGTCCTCGTGGTCGTCTCGGCATTCCGCACGGCGCGGTCCGACTGCTTCATGTCCTCGAACGGGTTCACCAGGATCTCCACGCCGGTGATCTTGATCGGGTACAGCGGCCGCTCCGTGCCCTCGGCAACCTCGGCCTCCCCCATCCGGGCGAGGTTGTATATCGTGTCGCCCACGATCCTGCCAAACACGGTGTTGCGGTTGTTCAGCTCCTCGGCCTTCTCCAGCGTGAAGAAGAACTGGCTCCCGTTCGTGTCCGGCTTGCCCTCGTTCGCCATGCCCAGCAGGCCGCGCCGGTTGAACTTGAGTCGCGAGTGGAACTCGTCCCGGAACCCGATCCCCTCCGTGCCCGCGTTCGCGCCGCGGCGCTGGTCCATCGGCCACGGGTCCAGGTCCCCAGAGTATGCGCCGCCATCGTAGATGCACTCGCCGCCGTTCCCCGTGCCCGTCGGGTCGCCGCCCTGGATTATGAAGCCGGGGACCAGGCGGTGGAAGATTGTGTCGTTGTAGTATCCGTCCAGGCAGAGCTGGAGGAAGTTTCTCGACGTGAGGGGCGTCTGCTTCGCGAAGAGCTCGACGGACAAGTCGCCGAGCGTGGTCTTGAGGATCACCGAGGCTGTGGGCTGCGGCTCGAGGTTGTAGATTGACGACATTGTGGCGGCGACCGAGGCAGTCGGGTTCCTGCTGGTCTTAAGTCAAGATGGTTCTCGGCCTGGTCGGTTTATGAGACGAGCATGCGCAAAAGTTCGCTCGAGCTGGGCGAGCTCACGCGCCTGGATCGAGGTCGCGACCTTCGAGTCTCACGGCGTATCGTGCGCGCAAATTCGCTGGTACTACGCCGCTTGTCGTGAATTAGGCCGTAATTATCTGCTTCATGTGGATAGTCGTTGCGATGTTGCGACGTCGCGTTATGAAAGTGGGAATAGAAGGTTGAGATTGGCTTGCGGCTCGATGGAGCTCCGGAGCTACAAGGATGTAAAATGCGACCAGGAAGCTTGCGAGGCTGGCTGTTGCATTAGAGTGGGTTCTGTATTACATAAGCACTCGAGATATTCCAACTACTCAAAGCCAGGCTTCACAGCAGGATCACGCTTCGGCCAGTTGGAAGTGGTTCACGATCTATTGGTGACAAGAATTGGCTTAAACAAGAACTTCAGGTTTCTTATGCGCTAGCAAATGAAGAAAGAAGGAACGGGCACCAACTGATACTTCTCGCAGCGATCTGATATTTGATTACACCGACGCCACCTCCAACAACCTCCACGTAACACACTCAGCGCTGCAACTTATCACTAGCTCTTCGTGGTCGATTGCCGTTAATATCGACGTGGGCGTCCCACTGCTCAAAGTTTCAGTATGTGAGTCACTCCCAAATCGATATTGTTTGGCAGAAGCCGAGCTTGACTTACCGCTGCTCCCAGGTTGGAATTCAGATCCTCCGTAAGTCTCTTCTTCTTCGCAGAGCCTGGTCGGCCTTCCTTATCGGCTGAGTCACGCGCATTCTCGGCCATGGACGGAGTATTGGTGGTCTTGTTGTCAGTCTTTGCCTCTGCAGAATCGCTACCGTTGGGCGCAGGCTGGGGATGGCCATTCTTCTTAGGAGTGTGTTGTCGTGGTCGATCATCCATCACTCTCTTGCGCGAGCTCTCCATTGCCAGTGGCGGCAAAACCGGCGGGACTTTCCGCTGCCGGAGGACTTTGGCACGACCTGGAAATACAAAGTCATCCTCCTCCTCCCCCTCGTCTCCTTCGGGCAGCACAAATCGGAATGGCTCCTGGCGCATCCTGTCTTGCTCAGCCTGGAGCGTTTCGAGCTGCTCCCATCGGTTTCGCTCATGGGATCGTTTCTGCAGGTGAGCCATGGCATTGTTCAGATAGTCGTCCCACACTTGTCTGCTTGCACTGGGTGACGGTGGCCCTTTGCGGCCCAGAGCTGTGTCCATGTCCGCCTCCAGCTTTTTGAAAGCCGCGTTGATGTCTGCTCCATGCTTCGTCTTCGGCTTGGACTTTTCGGTCCCGTTCAGTGGGCGTGGTGTCACATCGAGGTATTCTCGCTGGAGAGGCGGCGAATCGAGCTGCGGGTTCCTCCCGCTATTCGACATCTCGGGGCGTGATGGAGTGTCTGTATGCGGATCGATGTGGTCCTGATGGGGCGCAGGGCTAGACGATGCAGCTTGCGTGTCGTAGCTTGCCGGTACAGTGACATCCCAGTCGACCGTGATCTGCGAGTCGACTGACACTGTTGACCTGCGCCGCCTTTTTGGCCTGTGATGCGCAATGAACGAGTGGCTGAAAGAAGAACGCGGTGATGCTGATGTGGAACCTGCGTAACGAGAGCTTGGCGGTGCGCTCGCGATCTCGTCCAGTCTGTGGAGGTGTACGGTCAGCCTGGAGTGAGCTTGGGATTTGCAATGAGGACAACAACTCACATCAATGGTGGTCGATAAGATGGCCTTGGCCGATATGGCTGGTTGCTGTGGAAATATGATTGTGCCGAATACTGCTCGATGCTACTGGGCTGTCCCTCCTCGGACCCTATCGTGTACTTGAGAGAGAGGACTCCAAAACTGTGCGTGCGAGAGACTATGTTGACCTTGTTGGTTTGCGCCAGGCGCGAAGTGGCAGCGTCTTCGTGCCTAGCCGGCCCTGTTTTGTCGGCCATACCTGCCTGGCGTTGTTTGCGAGCTGAGGAAGGTGCGGACAAAGTGTCTATAGAACCTGATGTGTTTCTCCCCTCCAGCACTGGCGGACTGTGCTTATTATTGGGCGTTGGAGAGCTAGGCGTGGGCATCTTCACCTGGTACTTACGCCGTTCCCGTTCTCCTCCTGTACTCCGCCGCTCCGACCTGCGGAACTTTCCCATTGCCGAAGGAGACAGCATGATGCCTAGATGATGCTTTCGAGGAGTCCACCAAATCGAGTATGGCGCGTTGCAGTGCAAGCCAAATCCCATGTAAAACACAGAGGATGTTGTGAGTTTTGTCCTTGATCGTGTAAGCCAATAACGGAGTAAATAGCTCGAATAGGCACCGGCCTCAGTAAACTACAAGGACTGGATCGCAAGCTGGACCTTTTCTGTTGTTACAAGAAGCAATTGAGAGGACCCAATAGTGGTGGATTCACGTCATTAGTGCTTCACCTCCGACGGTGACGCCCTGCATAGAGGAACCAACAGCTTTCCGATTGAGGAGGATGTTTATAACTTTGGGATTTTTTGGCACTACTTTTCTGACCAAGTCTGAAAGCCCAAGGACTTGTGGGATCGCTTCGTGCGACAACCACGGGTGCCGCAATTCTGGTACGCCAACGGCATTTCCCCCATTTCACGGACCGAGGGATCGACCTCGTCGTTTGTTCGTTTGTGGCATTCCCCAAGGTTGAGATGCAAAACAGCACATTGCGTGTAGTTCCAGACGCGGAGCATCAATACCTGCTGGCCCCCTTGGTCCCCTCTCCTCGACCCTACCACAGTCAATCCTCCTTTGCAAACGTGCTCGCTACTATGAAGGGAAAACAAGCCGATGCCTCAAGATATACCTGCGGTGCACGTTAGTCGAAGTCTTGGGAGGTCGTTTGCAGGTCTTCTGCTCTCTCACCTTGACATGGTCAGCACCAATCTTAATCTTTCCCCACGACACGGCCTCATCCGGCCGCGCACCGGCATCGCTGCCATCAAACTCCTGCGCCGTGTTAATGTACACCGCCGACTCGGCACCATTTCGCATCAAGCAGGCATTCGCGATATGGTGCTTGACGACTCCGCCGCCTAATATAATCATACCGGCCCGCTTTGCTCGGACGGCTATCGTGTTGATACGACGGATATCCTCGACAATGTCCATCTTGAGCTGCTTGGGCGACGCCTTGAATGTATGGAAGTACAACATATCGCCCAGGCTGCCGTCCGTCAGGGCCGGACAAAAGACAGGGATGTTGTTCTTGTACGCCCAGTAGTATACGGATCTCTCGTCGTTGATTTCCTTGCCGAGCCTGTGGATGATTTTCGATGGTGTCCAGTTGACCTCGTCGTCGGTGCCTTTTGACGCCTCTTGCTCCTCTAGCATCTTGTCCAGGATGGGCACCACCCAGTCCTCGAAGGCGCAGTAATTCGCATTCGGCACCATCAGGTTGCCAATGCGGTTCATGCCCTTGGCCCGCAGCTCAGCGCCGACTGCGCTGAAGGACGACATGTAAGTGTCGCCCAGGCACTTAATAAAGTCCTCCTCGATGCCGCCAGCCGTCGTGACTATGGCGGAGACGTGATTGTGCTGCACGAGATAGCGGAAGACGCCCCGAAGACCAGAGCTGATCATATTTGAGGTGTATCCGAGGAAGATGGTGGTCTTGTCTCCGGTTTCAGGGTCCCTCCAGGCTCTCTGCACACCAGGGTGGTTCAGCATAGATTGACAACGCCCATTCTGACAGAGACCAGCCACTCACCATGTCGTTTATAATGCGGACTGCCTCGCCCATGGACGAAGCCTGAAAGCCCATGTGTTTCATACCTGCCATCATGTCCTCGACAGTTATGGGCCGTCCTCTGAAGCTGTTGAAGTCGATCTCTTCGACCTTCTGGGTGCCTGCTGGCACCTCGGCCGACTGGACCAGAACGGCATTGGTGGCAGCAGCAGGGGGCCGGTTTGCGTCGTCGTTTGTCGAAGCCATATCTGAGATCCTGATCTTGCCCCGCGATATAATTTTAAGTGGTTCGTTGATGCTGGGTGAGAATGTCTGTGCTGCCCCGCAACCTCCCAATGGTGCACGTTATGGCTCCTCGGATATGTTGTGTTGTCTTGTTTTGCCTCGCTAGCCAAGCCTACAGAACAGCGATGATCTCCAGGATCTTCTGTCGTCCTGATGCTAATTATGCGTTGTGGAGAGATCTTGGCGGCCCTGCCTGAGCACTTGTTCCACGGTGCAGTCCAGACAGTGCCAATGGCGGCACCTCGTTTTGGGGCCGGCCAATGTGTGATGGCATGTCTTGGCGTCTTAAAAACCTGCACGCCCCGAGCGGCCAATCAGCGTCGCTGGAGCCGCCGTGCCGGGGTTGGCTTTCGAGGCCCCACCTCGAAAAGAGCCAAAACGACTTGGACCCTGGCCTGGTCGGCCGGCAGCTCTAAAGTCTGACGATGAAGGATGGCCGGCTGGCTGGTCAGCCTTAGGCCCGACGCGGCAGGCCCGGCCTGCGTCGAAGGTTCCCTCTCGTTGCAGCCGACCCCACAATGTGGTTCGTTTCATCTGCGGATGAGGTGTCTCTCTGCACATTCGCCCCCCCCGCGCAGTCGGTCCCGTCCCTGCGAGCAGAGAGACCTCTCGCAGCAGCGCAGCCACTGTGCATGGGCATCACGGCATCGTTCGGCCCAAGTCTTTGTGCTGAGCCGTGCGCATGGCAAGGCGGTTACCAGGGCCCAGCGACCCCCCAGGCCAGCCAGGGCATACCTCAATTTCGATGCCCTGACTCGCCTCTGGCCCCTGTTCGACAGCTCAGCCAACACTTGCAGGCCATCCTGGAGCCGCTAGGCACTCAATTCCCAAAACCGATCGTCCACGCTCCAGTTTGCGACGAGTCCATGGCGCCAACCGAGTCGGCCTTGAGCCACCTGGCCTAGCGTGGGTTTGGCGGCACCATGCGTCACGCGTACATGCAATTATTGCAAGGCTACAGTCTGAAATTTCCGTGGGGCTTCTGGCCATGACCAGGCGGCTGGCTCGTTACCCAGCCAGGACAGGAGGAAGCGATCCCACCTAGGTAGTCTGGCTGCCGGGGAGGCCACGGTTGAGATCTGGTCTGTCTGACCAAGCGGGCGTGCAAGACCGGGGTTGGTGCCTGAAAGAAAACCTCCCTTGGCCGCTTTGTGACGGGTCCGTCGACGTGTCTCCTGAGCCACTGAAACTGGGGCCGGCAGCCAAACCCCGAGTTCTCGTCGCCGTGGGGAGCATGCATGGAGAGTCTGCAAACGACAAGCACCTCACGGGCATGCTGATTGTGACGTGAACGCGAGCCGAGCAGGCTGCCTGTGCATTGCGGCGGGCGGGCAGGAACTGGCACTCTCGATCTGGGCGTTGTTGAAAGGGGCCAGCGGCGGCGGCAGCGATCTACCGCGTTTCGGGCTACAGTGGCATTTGGTGGCTCTTGCTTTCTCTGCCAGGCAGGCAGGGGCCCACCGGCAGCGACCCATGCGTCAAGTGCGTGCAAGTGACTTCCCTCGTCGCTCCTCCCGCCCGGGCACCCGCCACGAGCGCCCCCCCTGGCTGCATTGGCGCAACATTCATGATTGAGATGCAGCTCCGGGCCCATCCCCTGTTGGGTCAAGCGCGCAGGCGTCTCTGCCCAGATCTCCAACCCGCTCAATGCCAACCTTGAACCTTCCTCCGCCTGTCACGTCCGTTGCTGTCGCCGCCTCCTGCATATACCGTCCATACAGCCCCGTACAGGCACTACCATCCGCCGCTCCAGACCGGCTCTCGCCATAGATCGGCTCGATCTGTGGTCACCATCACCATCATCATCCTCATCAACTCTGTCAACAGTGACCGACCGCACGCACACCGGCTGCTGCTCAGGCCACCCTGTCGTGGCAGACTAGTTCCCCTGCATCGCCTCGGCTAGGCAGACCACGCCCCGTGATTTGCGACGACGCGCGCAGCTACCGGCACCACAGCCGCCGCCCTCCTCTTCTGAGACGCCGCTGCACTTTGTCTGACTCCGCGCAGAGTCAAGTCCACCAGGATACACCCTACCACGTCGCGATCTCGATACCTGCAACGCGATCCTAGCTCTTGCGTCTTCGTGCTCCCCATGTGGTCTGCTGGAGGCCGTTGATCCATTACCCGGGCCTTGTTCAGCCCTCGCTGCAATGTAAGCGCCCCATTGTCCTGTTGCCTGATCTTCACCGTCATGCACACCAGAGTAGTACCAGCAGCAGTATATTCATATGATGGCGCGTTTGCACAGGGCATCTCGATATCCGCCATCGCGCTACGACAACGACGCGAGACGGTCAAGATCCCGAGATCGCTCGCCAGACAGGCGCTCACTCTATAGCGACGGCGGACCTCGGCGTTCCTCTGCAGAGTCTCGTCAGAATAACGCCGCTTTCCAGTCAAACCGCGATGTCTTCCGTGATCCACTCCCGCGCGACACGCCACGAGGCCCAAAGGCCCTGATCGAGCCTCCCAACGGCCCGCGAGGCGGCGGCTATGCTGGTAGCGACTTCCGCGGTCGGGGTGGCCGTGGCAGAGGCCGAGGTTGGAGGGACGACAGCCGAGATCGTGGGCGTGACAGGGATGCCGACTTCAGAGATCGCAGGGAACCACCCTTCCGGGACGAGCGCAGCCGCGAGCGGGAGCGTCCAGACTGGCGTGATCGCGACAGAGACGGAGGAGGTTTTAGGGGACGGAGACTGTCTCCGCGCGGTAGATCACCAGTAGGGAGAGATTTCCGAGATGTCAGAGATCAGCGCGACGCGCGAGATCCCCCTCCAGGTGTCGATGCTGACAGGGCGCGCCGCGGATCGCGCGACGGTCCGCTCTCCGCTGGCTCATCGTCCTCCGATCCACCTTTTGGACAGCCATATCGTGGTGGTTACGCTGGACGGGGGCGTGGAGGTAGAGGTCGCGGAGATTGGGACCGTGGCCGTGGACGACCATTTTATGATGACCGCGACCGTTTTGGACCAAATGGTAGAACGCGCTCCCAGGAAGGCCGCTTCAGAGATCGGGATGACAGGGATCGGGATAGAGACCGCGATCCACGCTTCTTCGACGTTGACAACCGCCCCCGCGACCCGCGAGATCCCAGGGATGACCGCGACCTCATCCGCGATCGAGAAGCGCGCCCAAAACTCGATCGCACTTCGCATGAGCCGCCCACGGTCACCAAAGATGTATCACCGCCACCTGTGGCCCCTGCTGCTCCTTCGTTCGGCTCTGTGCCTAACAGGACTGCGTCGACCTCCGAGGGCAGTTCGACGGCGGCAAAGGTGCCACCAACTGGGCCTAGGGCCCTGAAAGAGGAACGACCTCCCCCTCAGGGTGGTGCTACGGCAGCCACTGATGCGAGACAGCCGCCAACTGGGCCTGCAAAATCGTCCTATCCAGATGGAAGCCCTACCATCCCTTCTGGGCCGCGAGGACTTCGCACACCAGGGCCCTCTAGCAAGCAGTGGGTCAATCCCACGTTCAAGCCGCGTCCTTCAGACTCACCACAGCAAAGCCGGTCCAACAGCTTTGCCCAACCGCGGCCCAATGGGCCTCATACTGATGCCCTTGGCATTGAGCACCCTGACACGCATCATCGGCCCCAGAGCAGTGATGCCAAAGCTGGCTCACGACCATTCCTTGAAGGCAAGTCTGAAGCTGGCGAGGACCTATTTCCCGCTCGCGGCCGTTCGGTCGAGTCGCCCACAGACCCGGCCTTTTCGTTCCAAGGTCGAAATGGCAAAGCAGAGGACGACGACACGAGAATGGAGGACGCTCCACAACCCAGTATACGCGAGCTATCGCCTGGAGAAATTGACCCCGAAGCCCCCGAAGAGCCAATTGTGCCAGATGCGAAGAACGCACGAAAGCGTCCAACACTCAAAATTAGCCATGTCCACATCTCGATGCCACGCAGCCAAGCAAAGGCCGTTGTTGCAGAGCAATCTGAATCTTCCGACGACGACGACGAGAACTTTGGGGACGAGCTTGACAACGACATGGCAGAGGTTGAGACAAAGCTCAAGAAGCTCGAAGGGCTGGAGGAGACCTTGTCAATACAGCCTGTCGTTCGCCATGCTATTCTGTCCATAGAGGCCATCATCAAGGTGCTAGACGACTCGCATTCTTTGCAGGATGTGGTTGGCCCTGTCCCCGAAGTTTTGGCCAATCCCAAGGAGAAGAGCTTGATCCAGCCTACTGCTGAAAAGAAGGAGACCACGCATCCTGCCGAACAACAAGACAAAGAAATGAAAGATGCGACCGGGGCGGATAAGATTGAGCCTAAAGTTTCCGCACCTGCGAACAATGTCCCTCCGCAGGGTACTGATACAACAGACAAGGCCGAAGTCAAAGGCTTGCCGGCCAAGAATGCGCCAAAAGCGCCCGCGAACGACGAAGACACTGTCATGCAGGACGCGAGCGAAGATGTGCGCCCTGCCAAGCTTGCGACGCCCAACCATGAGCGCGCAAGTTCTCTCCTCCTACCGGAGAAATTGTCAGTGCCCAGCAATGAGCTGGACTCGGTATCGCAAGCGGCAAGCAAACAAGGGTCAAGCATGCACTCTCCTGCGGACGACGACGATGACGACGAAACAGACATTGAAGACATCGATCTGCAAAGCATCCAGATAGTGCGCGAGCACATGGAGACCCCGCCTATCGACAGCCTGCCTACCTTTGATGGGAAACCTTGGTTCGACGATGCAGCCTTCGTAAAGAGCCTCGATGCCACGCACCACAGCCTTGACACGTTTATCCTCAAAGGACTCAAGGAAGAAGCTGCGCGCGTCGCAGCAACCCAGGGCAAACAAAAGGAAGGCTATGCTGCGAACTACGAGCAGTATCTTCGATTCACGCTATCTGACGACCAGGACGCCGTCAAGAGCCGGAGCAAATTCATGTGCGTTGCCGAGGTTCCTGATCCAGCACCAGTCAAACCGCCGACAGCGCCTGAGCCCAAGACCGAGTCCACAAGACGCAGCCGGTACGCATCCGAACGCGACCTCGAGCGAGTCTTGGAGGAGTCGAGGAGAGTCGAAGATGAAAAGCGAGAGCGCCGTTTGCGAGCCGAGAAGGAGAAATACCGGACTGAGAAGGAGGCCGTCATCCCACTTCAGTATCAGACCGAGGAGGAGCGACAGAACGAGTTTTACGTCGACACCAGTGGTTATATTCCGCCGGAGAAGATTGTCACAGCCTGGGATGTTCTGCCGCCCAGTGTCAACTACACGGAAGAGGAGACGCAATTGTTCGAGAAGGCCTATCTTGAGTTCCCTAAGCAGTGGGGTCGCATTTCTGAGAGGATTCCCGAGAGAAACTTCGGCACCAATATCCAATTCTACTACCTCAAGAAAGACGAGCTGAATCTCAAGGACAAGCTGAAGAGACGACCTCGACAGCGCAAGAGGGGTGGTGGCCGAGGAAAGCAAAGGTCCAGCGCACTGGTTTCTGAGCTTGGTAACCGGGAGAACGAGGGCGAAGACAATGCCGAGACTGGCGAGAACGGCGAACGACGCCGCCCACGACGAGCCGCCGCGCCGACATTCAATTCCGAAGCCACACCTGCTACAGACGAAGGCGTCACGCCTGCAGGCACGCCTGGCCGCCGTGGCGGTGGTTCCAGAGCTGAAGGGACTGGCGATAAACCGGAGAGAAAGCCAAGGGGCCGTCGCGCTGCCAAAGACAAAGAGCCAAAGGCGCCGCGTGGCACTCAGACACTCGCAGCAGCACCGCCGTCCACAAAGGGCAACCGGTCAAGATCAAGTTCACGTGTACAGAGCACAGACTGGATGGGACAACAGCCCCAGCCTGATCTCGGCCGCGGGATTGGCACATTTGAGATACCGCAAACCGCCCCCCCTGTTGTGCCAGTGATGGCACAGGCGCCTCCCCAAGTGCGACCGCCGCCCATGAATACCGAGCCCAGCATGCCTCATGTTCCTGGAGTTGTCTTTGATGGTATGGCACCACCATTGCGACCTGAGCCACCTCAGCAGCAGCAGCAGCAACCACCACCACCGCTACAGCAGCAGCAGCAATTGCAGCAGTTGCAGCAGCCGCCGGTTACAACACTCGATTTGGGACAGACAACCTCGGCCGACCGGAAACCAGCAGTTCAGGCATCAAGCTACTGGAGTGTTCCTGAAGCAAACGATTTCCCACACTTGCTCAGGTCTTTTGGCTCGGACTGGGTTGCGATTGCAGGGCACATGAAAACCAAGACAGCTGTGATGGTAAGTATCCGCACTCTAAATTAGGGGGTTGCAATGCAGTCGCTAACACTTGACGCAGGTAAAAAATTACTACGCGCGCCAGAAAGGCAATAACAAGGAGTGGGAGCTGATTGCCCAAGAGGCCGACGCGAAGAAGGCGCGTGGAGAGCCGCGACCGCAGCCTCCAATGCCCAGCACGACTGGACCCAAGAAGCGTACCGAGGGACCTGGGAATCGTCCACTTGCTGCAGCGGATACGGTCATGGAAGATGCGCCTTTGACTAAGGTCGAACACATCCCGACGGCGCAGTCCATGACAGGTCGCTTTAATGTCCCTATTGCCGCGCAGCCGCAACCTCCACAGCCTCCTTTCGTGCCTGTCACCCATGGGCAGCCTGTGGCTAGCGTCCACCCTGGACATTCTGCAGGCTCGCTTGGTCATGGGCAGCCAGTCGCACAAACCATGTCGCCACGCGATAGGCCTCTGCGCCAGCCATACGGATTCGAGAGAGAGCGGGAAGGCGGCCTTGTTCAACCACCGGGACGACGTACCCCTCTCGGCCAGAAGCACTCCCCTCACCACAGCGCCCCGATGCCAGAACCACATTCTAGGCATCCACTGCCGCCCACCATCGATTCCCCAATGGATCGCCAGAGAATGGAGCCAAAGCCTCCCAAGGATTCCGGACGCCAACCACTGCGTGTCAAGCAAGAGCCCGACGTCATGTCACAAGCAGAGGCATTCGTTGGGGCAAACGGGCGCGTGCCACTTACGAGAGCAGAGCCATTTTCTCTTGGACGCCAACCTGAAGGACCTCGGACTGTGGCGCCTGCACCACAAGCTCCCTATGCCGTTCTCCAGCAGCAGCCGAGCCGTGGGCTGTTGGGTGAGAACATGGCTCCTTCTCCACAACCGCCTCGTCCGATGTCCGAGCACTCGCGAGCCATCTCGAGCGCTAGCGCCGGCTCTGATCCATATGGCACTCCTCCAGCAAGGCCGACAGCAACCCCTGCGCCATCACGTGCCCCTGAGCCACGAAAGACTTCGAGCTTGATGGCGCTGCTCAATGATGAACCTCCAGCACCTCCCAAGCGAGTCACCGAAGTGCCCGCAGCTGCGAGACCGTCACCTACGCCTCCACCTCAGTCGAGGCCGCCACCTCCGCCGGCACCGCCTTCGCAGCTCCGCAGAGACGCATCTATGGCTGACTCGCAGGCATATTATGGACGGAACCCGCCGCCGGCGCCCTCTTCGATGCCATCACTGAAGCCGTACACCGCCTCACCTCAGTCACAACCGATTGCTGCGCCAAGACACATGGCGCCTATGGACGCCCAGTCTGAACGCGATTATTACGGCGGGCGACCCAGCCAATATGGCGGAGCAAGTCAACCGCCGCCTGCAGCGTCACCTCCAGCGGCCCATGCATACCAGCCTCCTCCCGGCCAGACGCCCTATGGACAAAGCCCGTATGGCGGTTATGGTGGCGCCGGCCAGCAGCCGCCCGCAGGCTCTCCACCGGGACAATATTCCGGTATTTCGGCTGGTCCTCGTGGGCATGAAGGACCAACTCATTCTCGTGAGCCTTCTTGGGGCGCACCGCACCAATCAGCACACTCGATGCAACAGCAGCAGCAACATCAAGCACAGCAGCAGCATCCAAGCTGGGCACAGCAGCCGCCTAAATCCAGTCAACCACCTCCCGCCCAGTCCGCATGGGCAGCACAACATGCCGCGGCAGCACCCAAGCCCCCGCCACCGAGCAGCTCCGTGCCTCCGCAACCGTCGTGGGCAAACACGCCACCGCCACCTCGTGGACATAACCCTATGGCCTTGCGCGACGTTAGGGATGTCTACACGCCAGGTCGCGGCATGCAGCCACCAAACCAGCCACAATACACTCCGTCGTCGCGGGCTCCGGAGCCTGCCCCGCCGCAGCCTCCGACCGCATATCAGCGGTACTCTAACACTCCCGGACCTGCCAGGGACCCTCGCGATCTGCCCCCGCAGCGGAGCTACACGCCCAATCCTTATGAGAGCAGGGGCTACCCGCCGCCGGGTCAGGACATGCGCGATGCGCAGATCCGCGAGCAACAGGCTCAGCAGCAGCAGCAGCAGCAACAACAACAGCAGCAGCACTCGTCATTGTTGCAGCAACAGCTTCGTCCGCCCCAGGATGGTCGGCATATCTATGAGCGTGACCGTTACGGGCGGTGATGTGGTGGCCACGAGCATGACTTATGAGAGTAGTCTGGAAGCGACATCACGGCTTTAGGAGTTATGTGGGTCTCAAAACCCCGATCGAACAGGGATAAGAAGATCGGCGTGTATTCCCGCTGTGCCAAGTCGCCTGGAGATGTCGGGCTCGTCAAATTAGTTGTTGGGTTTTTGAAGGATGAAAGAGAGAAAGAGGCAAGATGGGGGCGTCATATATCCATTGTCATGAATCTATGTCTGTGAGAGACGAGCAAAAGCACATGGCGCACAGCCTAGGGTTGGATGATGAAGCATTTACCATTTACACAAATACATATATATGCATCTCACACATTGAGCGCAACATACATACCTATCTACCCTCAAATTACTTGCGCGCACTTTCGTTTTACTGCTTACTTCCACACGTGTTTGTCGTGACGATATCAGACATGTATGTAAACACCACAAGTCTTGCCGATCGCCAGTTCTCTCTTACTTCCCGTGGTCCATTTGATTGACTGCCAACGTGCTAATCGGAGCGAGCACATGCGCCACTCTCTCTACTTGCTTGCATGTGCGTATAGCGTCTTGCGAATTCATTCCCACCACGCCGGGACGAGCTCTGACCAGGGATACGAGAGGGAAAAACAAAAGATGCATCTATAGAAATATACACACAAATACAAATCATGCAATCCTGCAGTGCGTCTTTTTATCTTCTTGCGATGCCATGCACACACACATATATATATAGTTTGTCCTGTACCCCAACGCCACTTCCCGGGGGGAAAAGAAAATGTGACATAACAAGAGGAATAAACAAGAGAGGTCAAGGCTGAGGATATGCAGATAACCAAGAAAAAAACAAGAACGGGGACCGCGACCCCAAAACAGACCACCCAAGAGACATTGGCATTCATTATAAACAGATGGTGGGTTGAGCACAGCGTAGGCGGGGGCTGGCTGTGACGACGCGACATCGGTGGTCGTGGAGCACGTAGGGTTTTCCGTAATGTACTACTACTAGTAGACTGAACTGGGCCTTACCGCGGCGATAGCGGGCTCTTGCCAGGGCCCTGTGCTTTCTTGAGCGCGCGGAGCTCGTCCTCGATCTTGCGACGCAGCGCTTGCTCGGCCTGTGTGCGAAGTCGTCAGTCGCGGTGTTCACATGGGCATAAATAATAATAACGAGGAATGATAGTAGCAGATGAGTACATACCTTGAGCTGCTCCTCGTACTTCTTGCGCTCTGCCCGCAGACCAGACCGGTACGACTCGGTCAGGTGGCTCGTGCCCCTTGAACCACCAGGCGACAGCGGACCGTTGGCTCTGAAGCGTTCCTGGTCGAGCGCCTCCTGGAGCTCCTGCCTGTCCTTTTGCAGCCTCGCGACCTCGGCTTCGAGCCTCTGCTCAATCTGCTGCTTCGTCTCCGAGAGCTCCGCCTCAAGCTCGTCCTTGAGCCGGGACTTTTCGGCGAGCGCGCGGTCGAGGTCCGCCTCGAGCGTGCCAATCTTCTTCTCGGCCTCGAGAGACTGCGCCACCACGTCCGCCAGGTCCTTGGCCGTGGCCTTGAGCTCCTGCTCGAGCGTCTGCGTGCGCTGCTGGACCTTGCTGATCTGGGAGGTGTCGTGCAGCGCGGCAATCTCGGCGGCGCGCTCAGATCTCGAGCCGTACGCGGCCTCCAGCTCTGCCCGTGCCATTGTCGCTTCCAACTTAAGCTCCGCATACAGGCCGGTCATCTGCTCGAGCTCGGCCTCCTTGGCCTTCATTTGGGCCTCCTTGTCGTTCAAAGCCTTCTCGGCTGCAGCCTTGGCCTCTTCCGCCTCGTCCAGCTGTGCCCCAATCTGCTCGAGCTCGGCCTCTGTCTGTGCGAGTCGTGTCGACACTTCCTTGCTTGACGACTCGAGGGACGCGATCCTGGCATTGCGCTCCTTGAGGATCGTGCGCGCCTGGTCGATCGCGTCAGACTCCTCACCGCGTGATTTCTGCAGGTCGTCAAGCTCGCCCATAGTCTGGGAGAGCTCCATGCGCACGGAAGCCAGTTCCTTCTCGGCAACGAGCTGAGCAGACTTGGACTCCTCAACTTCCTCTGCTTTTTGCCGCAGTGCCTCATCCTTCTCAGAGTCGGACTTGCTGTTGAGCTCGCGCTGCTGCTTGATCTGCCGCTTGAGGACCGCCTTCTGATCCTGCAGACTGATGGCTCGAGAGTAAAGCCACTGTACCTTGTTCGAGAATGCCTGCAGCGAATATGTCTCGTTCGGATCAAAGGACTCGCCGTCCGACATGTCATCCTCATCAACTTCCAGGCCTCTGTCCTGTCGGTCTCTCCGCCGTTCTTGCTTCTTTTCTCTAACGTCAGCCAGCCCAGACTGGATGATGTCCCAGAGGCCAGACAACACCGCATCAGACTGTTCTGACTTTTGGCGATCTGCGGAAGTGGATTGTGACGAATTGGCTGCCCGCTCAATCTCGCCCTGTACCCGACGCAGAGAATCCTGCAGATATTGGACTTGCTCGTCCAGTCCTTCTGCAGACTCGGGGGGATCTGGGTGGCTAGCATCGGAGCCTCTAAGAATCTGCTGGACCTGTGCACTAATCTGCCGCATCTTGTCGGCGGCGCCAGAGTTGTGGCTCGATGCCTCGTCGAGCGCGGAAAGTCCGCCGTCAAGGTACTGAAGGTGATTTTCGAGCATAGATCCCCTTTTGCCCTGGTTTGAAGGTGGTGCGCCAAGTCCCGAGCCACGCTCGGGGTCTGTCTTGTTCAAGATGGTGCGAAGCTGGTTGTTGAACGCCTCGAGCTGCCGCTCTGTATTGGTGATGAGCTGAAACTGGTCGGCGCTCTCGTCACGGATGGCGCCAAGCTCGTGTATCAGCTGCTCCATCTGGGTGCGCAGGTCATCATTTTCGCTGCGCAGTCTCTCGCTTTCGAAAGTGAGCTGTCTCTGCTGCTCCCGGATGGGCGATCTCACAGGCGGCTCAATCGGCTTTCCTCCGGCTCCCTCGACAAGGGCATCGAGCTGGTCGAAAGACTGGTACAAGCTGCCCTCGTTGAACAGAAAAAAGTCGTCTGGCGCCAACTCTATGCTGTTTCTGCCGTGCGTCGCCGTGTGCATGCTCTCGGGGCTTGGCGGCACTCCATTGACCAGCTGTGCTTTGGTGCCTGGCTTTTTAGACTTTGAATGCGTCAACTGGAGTATACCGGCTGTGTGCTCCAATAATCTCCTCCGTCCGTCCATGACTCGCTTCTCCAGAAGAAAGAGCTCCGAGGCAAGCTCCTCGCAGCGCTGTTGTACGGCCCTGCGTTCTGCGTCCGCCTCTTCCGCATCCTGGCTGGAAGCGCTATGCCTGACATCAACAGGGCTGCCACGACCTCCGACTGACCGCGGGGGCGAGTATAGTTTCGACATGGACACGGCCGCGTCCCGGTATTTCGTCTGGACTGCGAGGTTCGAGCGTGTCTGCTCGATGCGCTGGTTCGTCGTCTGGATCATCTTCTTGAGGTGGTCGACTTCTTCCTCGGATAGGATCTGGTACTCCCTGCTGTCGAAGAGGGCGGTCTCCGTCATGAGGTGCACCTGGAGAGGGTCTTTGAGATCGAGCAGGACGGGGCCGTCCGCGCGAGGCGACGGCATCTGGAAATCCGAGTTAGTAGGCTGTGGAAAGCACATGTAGCGAGCAGAGCATTCCTACCGTGCTGGACCCATCTCGTCTGTAGGCGTCTATGAGAGCTGGACCTCGTGGTGCCTGCATTGATTGCCCGGGAGAGCCAGGTCTTCCAGTGTCTATGCTCCTGGGTCCTCCCTGCCTTGTGCTGCCGCTCATGGTTTTTGCCCTTGTTTCCCGCGATCGTTCGCCTGGCAGTTCAAAGCATCATGCGGTAGAGGTCAGGGGTCCTTGGTTCCCAAATTTGGTGCTGGAAGGCGTGTCGAGAGTTCGGCACCGTCCTGGCCAAGGTCTGAAGCTCGATCGAGCAAATATTGCGCAACGTTAAGCAAGGAGGAGCAGAGAAATTCGTCCAAGGCAGATGGCCGAGCGTGGTTGAGCGGGTCGAGAATTGATGGCTGGGTTGGCTGGCGCGGCGCGGCGGGATCGTTGGCTAGCTCCAGAGGAGACGGGTACGATTTGGGATGGTTCCTGTGCCCAGCGACCTGGTCACAGGCGATCTGTTCGTCTGCGGGACGCGAGAAGGCTAGTGACGATGCGACAACGCGGTTCGATCCTTTCCGAGTCTGCGGCGGCTCGAGAATTAGGGAGTGATGCTGGCCAAGACCGAGCGATGCAAGCAAAAAGGAGACGAGGCAGGCGGAGGGCTCGACGGCGGGCTGCTAGACTTCGCGATAGTCAGGAGAAGGGCCTCCATGTCAGGTACCGCCCCCCGGAAGAGGCGCCGTGCAGGCACTTGGCCGGGGTGGCAGAGCAGGGGAAATTGAGGGTGGGCCACTGGCGCTGGCAGCACCCGCCAGGCATGCACACCCACTGCACTGCAGCACCCACACCAATCACAATCCCATCGCCAGGCAGATCTTGGCTCTACCCTGGCTGCGGCTCGCTCGATGACACTGGAGCGCCACCTGGGCAGTCAGTAGAGATCCCTCTAGTCCAGCCATGGCAACTGAATCAATTCGGAAGCTCACCCACTGACTGGCATGGGAAAGGAAGACGCAGCACGGATACTTGCGCCTACGTGCAGCGACAACGCCAAACCTTCTGCAACTGCGGTAATAGAAGGCTCACGTCAAAAGTGTCAAGGCACTCAAACTGTATTGTGACAGCTCCTGTCATGGCCTGACCTGGCTGAGCTGAGCGGAGCGGGAAGGGTGGGCGGGCCTAGTCCGCGTTAGAGGCCCCCTTCAGTAACATCGAGCAGCTCCACAAGCATTGCATTCGCCTAGTGCGAGAGTCGGCGTCCTGATTCTTGACAACTCACCATGTCAAGGCTCGACATGGCGGAATACGGGGCTGTACGGAGTAATCCACCAAACTGACATCACTAGGCCGTGCATGTCTCCAGAATGAAAGCCAGCGACCTATACGACCCCATGGCAATAACATTTGATTTGTGGTGTTGCTCGCAGTGGTCCAGCCAGTTTAGACAGAGCCGGCTACGTCAAAAATTCGCTTGATATACAATTTCGAGATGCATCTATTGTTCCCCCCGGAATTGGTCCATAAACTGTTGACCCATCGTTCTGCGCCGGCCACCCTCGCCTGGCTCGCCTCTCGCCTGGGTGCCTGTGGACGTCGCCGTAGCCGCATCACCCTCCATTCTTCGTCGGAGGCCTTCAAACTCCTCGTTCCGCCTGGGCGCCCGCACTCCCAGTACCCATCCAGGCAACCGCCACCGAATCAGACGCCGCGGCAACAGCTCCATTCTCCACGAGTAGCCTACCACCCAGCCCATCAGCGCGCCAAGCACTGAACCGGGCCATTGCGAGAGAGCAAGCTGTGCAGCAAGCAAATAGCGGTACGACTTGTCTGAGAACGTGATTCCTTGTTCGTCGTTCCCAGCAGAGATCGCAGTCGCTATCTTGTACTGGTAGGTGTGTGGGATCATGGCGTGATATTGGGCCATGACGGCAAACACGATCGGCGTTGGGCCGGCAGGGAGGTAGTTGAGCAGGCCCAGAGTCAGAGGGCGCATGAGGAATGCCAGGAGCACTGGCGTGACCACGCTCGTCAAGAGGTAAGTCGAAAAGACAAAGCTCTGTAAGCAAAAGCAAGCTGTTAGCGGCCTGTGATCTACAAACGTCCTGAGGAATGCAGGTATGTGACGGAACAAGGCATGCTATGGTTGTTCGATGTGGACGGCTGGTGAGGCTTACAGCAAACTTCCTCGGTCCCCAGAACCTCTCGACCATGCGCATATTGTAGAGGGCCATGCTGGCAAACAACACCTCGCTCGAATTCGTGTAGCATAGCTGCCAGAGAAGCACTCTCCAGGTCTGGTGAAAGCGCCATAGGTGTAGGTCTACAAGAATGTAGAAGTAGTGCTTGACGTCAAAGAGGCTCGCGGCGATGGACATGCCAATGATGCCATAGATCAGACTGCGTGTGACGGGCGCATTGGTGAACGACATGGTAGCTAGTGGCTGTGGTACGAGCTCATCGCAGCTGGTTTGGGGTGGGAGCAACAGGAAGCTGGCTGTCGGCAAAGAAACAGCTGCCGCGGAACGAGCCTCGCCGCCAACGCCGTCGCTAAGTGCCGCAGACAGCAACACTTGTAACCCAAGCTGGTTGGTCGACTAGCTGTGATATGGGAGCAGTTCGCAGGTCGAGGTGTTTCTGACATGTAGAGGGGTAACGTTTATGCTCCTGAGCTTGAAGTCTGGACACGTTGGGGAAGATGGTGGTGGGCCAGCTTGGAGCTCCGTGCTTACATAACACGATCCACGTAAGGGGGCATAGATCGTTGGCCAGCCATGGCGCCTGTGGCATGTAGCATTGTTCGGCATGGCGTTTTAGGGGACGCTCAATGTCTCGCCCAGCTTCCCCGAATTTCAGACAGCCTTAGGCCCGGTTTGGCAGCACTTTATCTTGCCATGGAGAGGTGTATTCATCCGACATGGTTGTGTGGTGTCATGAGCACTGTACGTACTCAGCAGTGGCTGCACGTGGATTCAGAAGTACTTGATACAAGTAATTACGAGGCGGACACGACATCTCGAGGCCTGCCGTGACTGATCCATGCTCGTAGAGTCTCCGTGATTGGGCGACTGCAGCATGCCTACGTCAAACATTGCGGCTTGGGCACTTCGTGGCGATCAGAGCACCTGGCCTCGCCCGCTGGCCACCCCGGCCTCTGCGTGCCGAGTGGCCGGGAGCCTGCCGCAGCGCGGTCTGCCAAGCTAATGGTGGCCGCCTGCCCATGGCGCTGCCCTAATTAAGGCAGCCGCAACAAAAGCTGCTGCTGAGTTGCGTGTTGCTCTGCGGCAAGGTCGCCGCTGGTTGGCTGGCCGCCCCGTTTGCTGAGCTGCAGCTGCAGCCCGCCGCCCCAACCTGGAGCAGCAGCATCGCCAACTTTCCTTCGTCATCCCTCATCCCTTGCGCTGCGGGCCAGCTATCCTCTCGCCCAACCCACCCGGCCTTTTCCTCCTTGTCTTGCCAGCCTGCGCGTGCATCTGATTGCATTGCATAGCCTGCCACCTGCTTCTTCGTAACCATATACTGCCCGCTCGCTGCAGCTTCCCTGCCTTGGAATTCCAGCACCACCAGTCCTCCGCGACAACTTCCCAGTCCTGCTCTTCGTCCACACAGCCACCTTATCCGCCTCGGCAGCACTAGAATGTCCGACCTCCACGTTTCCAACATCAAGCGGTGGCTATTCAAGTCACCGCCCGTCGAGTGGGCCATCTGGACCGCTCGTGAGATCCTCATCGGCACCCTGCGTCAGGGTCCCATCCCGCAACATGTCGCTTTCGAAATGGATGGCAACCGCCGGTACGCCAAGAACCACCAGATCGAGACCATCCAAGGCCACCACCTTGGCTTTGAGGCCCTGTCGCGGGTGCTGGAGATTTGCTACAAGTCGGGAGTCAAGGTTGTCACCGTCTACGCGTTCAGCATCGAGAACTTCAACAGACCCAAGTCCGAGGTCAAGGGCCTGATGGCCATGGCCAAGGTCAAGCTTGAGCAGCTCGTCCAGCATGGCGAGCTTCTCGATCGCTATGGCGCCAGGGTCAAGATCTGCGGCGAGCGCAACTTGATACCTGCGGATGTGCTGCCCTTTGTCGACAAGGCCGTCGAGATGACCAAGCACAATAAGGAGTACGTCTCCCCGGGTTATATAGCACCATTGACCTGGCCAAGTAACGGCAAACGCTAACGATTCTCTAGTGCTGTCCTCAACATTTGCTTCCCATATACTGCTCGAGCCGAGATGACCAGCGCCATCAAGGCCACCATCGACGAGTTTACCTCGCCAGCACCTCTGCCGCAGCCCTCCGCACCCTTTTCCCAGTCCCGCATCGAGCAGAAGATCCGCGACAACCAAGCCAAGTCTGGCACCGGCGCGCCACAAAGAGATGCCTCGCCGGAGGCAGTCAAGTCTGACGTTGACGATTCAGGCCGCTCCTCGACTGCCATCGACCCTGACTCTCCCACACTACAAGCCACGGGCAGAGCCAGCCTCCAGAATCCCGAAAACATCACCGCCGAGACAATCAATAGCCACACATACACTGCGGAAGACCCTCCGTTGGACATCTTTATCCGGACCAGCGGCGTTAGGAGATTGAGTGACTTCATGCTGTGGCAGTGCCACGAGAACACGCACATCTTCTTCCTGCAGTGCTACTGGCCAGATTTCGATCTGTGGAACTTTGTTCCCGTACTCCTGGAGTGGCAGTGGCGCCAGAAGAAGACAATGGAGAAGGAAGGAGTCCGGAGGAGAGTGAAGGAGCGTGCAGAGTAGGGGCGGTGGTGGTGATCGATGTTTATACCCAAGCCAGACTTTGTCTTCATAATTTTTCCTTGATAGAACCAGTCAATTGTATGCGTGTAGATGAGAGGACACTCCTCACGAGCAGCATCCCATGGTCCGCGATGGAGATGGTGCTCTGGTTATCTTATCGTAACTGTGCGAACGCCCCCCGTGAGCAGATGAGCAGTGGGCGGTGGCCTGGTTGGTGGAAGGGCAGTGGTATCCTCAAGCTCTCAATGTATGGGACGACAGCGGGAGCAGCCTGCGCAAGGTACTTGGACAGCGCCGCTTGGACCACTTTGGGTGGACGCCCCGAGTGCTCGGCGACTCGACACAACCAATGACCGACGCCATTAGGTGATGGGCCTTCCCCAGTCGCAGCACCACGCCGCAGGAGCGCGCGCTCGCTGGTGCCCGGCACAGCACTTGCAGCATTTGTCCCTCCTCCCGGCAATCTGCGCTTCTCCTCGCTCGCACACCTGCCGCTTCGTCTTGCTCCCCCAACCGCGTCACTCCAACATCTTTCCTGCTCCTTGCATGGCAGAGCGCTCGACATGTCCTAGCACGCGCCTCGTTCATCTCTGCCACCGTTATCACTGCACGACCTCGACCGCGCCGTTACGAAAGCCCCCAGCCGTCTTTCGGCACCCCAAGCGCATCCTCTCAATCACCCTCTCCCAGTCTCGACAACGCCTGCCGTCCGCACTTGGCGACTCCTAGTCGCGCGCAGAGAGCAGCCACCAAGCTGGGCTGCGTCTACATCTTTCGCTTCAGCATCCTTGTCCGCCACGCACCAACATGAAGACCGCGAAACCACCGCCTCAACAGGCCGACCCTGGGGCCACAGCGGCGGCCAGTCGTCGAGCTCAGCCAGCTCGCCAGGCTCGTGCGAACCCGACGAGAACCCTCTCCGGCCTCACCAGCAATTCCCACGAGTCGCGCAGACCACCTCCCTCATACGACCAGCCGATCGACATCTTTCCGGCGATCACCCACTTCACCGACGCCATCCAGTCGCTCCCCAAGGACCTTGTCCGCCACTTCACTCTGCTCAAGGAGGTCGATGCCAAGATCTTCGGCCCAGAAGAGACCTTGTTCCAGCTCGTCGACGCCGCCCTCAAGTCGAACCCTCCCGACACCCGCCGGACCAATGCTGGTTCCAGCATCGTGGGCACGGCCACCCCGATTAGCACACAACACTCGATCGCACCCTCAGTAGACGACGCCTTCAACCAGGCCGTCTTTGACCCTACCAACATACCGAGACGCCAGCTGTTCCACCAGACTGCTTACAAGATCCAAGAAATGCTCAACTCGCTCGAGGAGAAAAACCACGTCATTTCGACGGCCAACGACGCCCTCTCGAAGCAGCTGTCCCGCATTAATGACGTGTGGCCGCATCTTGAAGCAGAGTTCAGCGACGAGGCGAAATGGGGCAGCACAACGCATTGGGCCTACCCAAGCAATCGGGAGAATAACAGAGTCAGCCAGGCGGAGCGGTCGCGCCGCGACGGTGCGGCAACCATTACCGCTGCTGCGCAACAGCTCGCCGAAGAGGCCGCGGCCAGGAGTGACGCGAGGAAACAAGCTGTTGCGGCCAAGAAGAGTCTGAAGGCCGCACAACAGCAGCAGCGCCACGAGTCGGACGCGGACGACCACGAGACGACGAGCAAATCCAAAAGCGAGGCGAAGAAAGCCGCGAGCAGCAAATCACGCAAGGGCGTAGACGCCGCGGCGGCCCCAGCCGGCTCCGCAGCTGCCACAGCCGCGGCTGCCAATGGCAACCCTGCTCCCAAGAAGCGCAAGACAGAGAAGCCGCCTGCTAACGGCGGACAGCCCATGGAGCGCTCCCTCAGCTCCGTCTTCGGCGACAAGTCAGCAAAGGCTACCAAGACATCCAGCCCACGAGGGACGCCCGGTCCCGATCAACCACCAAAGAAGCGCAAAGCCCTGCCGACCGCCAATGGCGCCGCAAAGAAGAGGTATGACAGCTATGCTTGAGTAGGGCCCGATCTTAACACTCTCGTGCAATATACTGACGCGCTTGCTAGCAAAACGTCTTCGACGGCCGCTGCCACAACAACTGCGGCGCAGGCATCCATGTCGCCCGCCACAGCCCTGTCGCCAGCTCTACCCAACTTCTTGGACACCAAAGCTGCGCCCGTCAAGTCGCCGGTTCCGCCACCTGCCGCACCTGCCGCAACTGCTCGACCCTCATCATCCCGCGCCCGTGCAAACTCGGTGCGATCTACGGCTGAGTCTACCACGCAGCAGCGACCGCCTTCGTCCGCCTCGAACAAGACGAATGGCACGACGATACCTGCGCCGATATCCACGACGCCGGTGCCTCCCCCTGTCACGAACGGCATCAGGCCGCCTATTGTGGAAGTAAAGCCGACTAAGGAGGTCGCCCCCCCGGTCAAGGTAGAGGCAGCCAAGGAGGAGCCAGCCAAGCCATCCAGCCGGGCAAGCAGCACAGCAGATAGCTCCAAGAAGGAGGGCGTGCCGAAAGCAGAAGAATCTGAGCCACGCACAGACGCGACGCAACAGACACCACAGACTACAGCATCCGTCGTGACTACCAAGAGTGGCCGAGCAAGCAAGCCGTCCACACCGGCGCTGGGCTCATTCCCAGATCCTGTGCTGCCACGATCGCGCAATTCTCGCAACCAGGTTACGACAACTACAGCAAAGAGAAGCCACAAGAAGGGAGCGTCCCAGATGGCCCTCGCACAGGCCGCCGACGACGACGCCGCTAGCAGCAGCGTGCCTGATGACGATGAGGACGGCGAGATAGACGCGGACGAGCCGCTATACTGCTATTGCAATAACGTTAGCTATGGCGAAATGGTAGCCTGCGACGCGGAGAATTGCGAGAAGGAGTGGTTTCATCTTGGCTGTGTGGGCCTCAAGGCGGCTCCTTCGCAAAACAGTAGGTTCATCCCTAGTCGACACATTCCGAGCCATGTACTGCTGAGCTTGAGCTAACCATTATTCCCTCTCCTGCAGCGACCTGGTATTGCGACAACTGCAAGGATCGTCAAAAGCATGGCAAGAAGTCAAATGGCCGCTAAAGTCCAGCCTGATGGTGCTTACTTACTTCCACCATGGCTTTCTGACGATTGGCTTTGATCTGACGTTTGGATCTATCCTGGTACGCCAGAGAGGTTCCCTGCCTTGGCTCGTCGCGCAGATATCCAACAGCCTCCTGTTATCACAAAATTTGCATAGCGCTGGCGTCAACTGGAGTTCTTCCTTCTTTTCCGGACCATACACAGAGAGCTGTTGCCTGTGGATGGGTCATCACGATGTAACGAGGCGGTAGGCAGCCTGATGTCAAGGCATCTCTGGCTCACTTTTTTCTTTATATTGCGCGCTCTCTCTCTCTCCCCACCGCTGAGGGAAAAAAAGACGAGACGCAACAACTAGTTTCATGGTGAAGCAGAGAGTGGATAATAAATCACAGTAGCTAGAACTAAATGCGTAAGATTAGGAATTGCAGAATACATTTAGCCCCCTTCCTCCCCCAAAATCAGGGTTTGATTGATTGATCGAAGCTGGCCGTTGCGGGACCCCCGTTGCCCATATTTGAGGACGTCGTTGCTTTGTGTTGAGTGCAATGTACAGACAGCGGCTTCTAAAACGTTCACCGGACAGTATGACAGTAGCGGACGGAATGACAATGAGCCGTGGCACTAGCAATTGGCGATCAGAGACGATCAGAAAAGTAAAGCTTGGGGTGGCCAACCCCGTGCTTTCTCTATGCGAACTCTCACCCCAGCCCAGCGGCATAAATCATGCTGGACGGAAACGGGGGAAACTGCTGGAGGAGGGCATATCCAGAGAGGAGCGGAGATGACACGAAACACCCCCTAGATCTTCGGGCCTCAGGCCTTCACTCGTCCTCGTGATCCTTCTTTTTCATAGCCCGTGGAAGCCCGGAAGTAGTGGAAAGGAAGAGAGAGAGAGAGAGAGAGAGAGAGAGAGAGAGAGAGAGAGAGAGCGCCCGCGCAGGGAGGATGTGTAGACCAGAAGAGGGAACAGCGCCGTGGGACACCTTTTCGACGTCCAGTCCCCCCCTCCCCTCCGCCCCAAACCTCCTCGGCCTTGTTCTTATGCCTGCTTTTCATTCCGCAGGGAGGCCGTCGTGGCTGTCCGCCTTAGAATGCGTGTTTCGGTTGGCAAAATGTTGTTGTTGGAGAGACTACCTAACTATTTTTCTGGCTTTTGGTTGCCAGTCGAGGGGATGGACAGCATTATACTCTAACACTAACACCATGAGACAGCTCATTGTGGAAAATAATAAGTCCCAAAATCCACAAGTACCAGGTGAAAGTCTGCATTTGGCTCATTCGCGCCTGGGAGGCAAGAACATCTCGCTGTAAACTCCAGTTTGCCCGATTGTGAAGTTTCGGGTCGCCCACCCCGAGATGACCTCGCTGTTTGGGCCTTTCACACCATCACACATTATCTAGGCTATGCTGGGATGCAGTAAGAGCAAGACTACGGATGACTGGCTGTTCCCAAGTTGGACTGTAACTTTACAGAGAGGATCTAGACCGAATCGTAGCGTCCAGCTCAGATCGACTGTTTACATCTTCACCGCACTTCAATTCCGTAAACGAGGGGTGAAGGAGAGAGCGGCACATTATACTCACAAGCCAAACAGAGCAGCTGGGACAAGACGTACTTGCAGGCACCCGACCCTCCGACCCCCCATCCCGAGCCCAGACAAAGAAAGAATAAAAAACAAAAAGGGTCCAGGTGAAAGCGGGGGATGCCACAGCGTCGACTGACACAAGACGTGAGGGATATCAGTCTCACAAACTCTGGACACGGATTTGCCGGCGGCCGTGTGTGGCTTCTGCGCATGCCGAGGCTCGTCCCCAACAGCGAAACGGTTTTTAAAGATGGGGTCTTTCGGGTTTCACGAATCCGGGGCTCCTTTAGCGATGGTCCTGGGCTGTTTGTAAACACTTGACACCTGCGAGGGGGCTCTGCTGTCTCGGGCTTACACTTGAGGAGCTCCTGCCTCTGTGCCTCTGGCTTTTACTGGTGGCTGACGCTTACCTGGCCAGCGTGCATGCTGGCGGGAGTACGCAGGACCGTGTTACAGGGGGGGAGAGAGAGAGACACGGATTGATATCAGACGACAAGCAAGCAGCCCAGACGCCCAGGACTCCAAAACTCGCCCATGTTTTTCTATTTTGGCGCCAACCGAGGGATGTAGCCGAGGCGTAGTGGACAGGAGACGGAGCAGCTGATTGGCTGGGTAGCGCCGGTAGTCAGGACGGGTGGCCTGGCGTTGCCTGTCTTGGAAGGTCCAAGCAGGAGGATGGTTGCGCCGGGGCCATGGACGGGGTTAAACGTGGTCCCGGGCGCGAACACGAGATGTGCTAGGGGAGCATGTTCTCGTCATTTGTGGACCTGGTGCCTTGTGTGCGGACTACTAAGCGAACATGTCAAAAAAAGAACACATCCTGAGCAATGTGTTGTAAGAGACCCTGGCTGTCATACTGAGTAGGTCCAGGGACAGAGAGCACCTGATGTGCCCCTGGCTGGGGGCTGGAACGAACCAACCAGACCACGCAGCAGGCTTCCCCGCAAACTGCTAGATCTGGTCCCCCCCCCGGCCTGAACTGCCCGCCCTGCAAGCCTCAGCTGGTCCCCACGATCCACTCGCTCACTGCATGGGCCGGGATCTCCGCGTGCCTGGAGCAGTAGTGCCGTGGTGCAGTGCTGCATTGCATGCTCCAGCATCAAACATGCGGCTGTGGCGCCTCGCCTGAAGCATCGCCCTCTTCGCCATTGGTCTTGTCGGCGGCGCCTGCAATAATCACAGTCCTCCACCCCAGGATCCTTTGTCCGGGACACCCCGACCACGGACTCTGACCTTGACTCTAGTGATTATGTGCAGCAACAAAGCGTGGTCTGCATGGCTGCCCAGGGGCAGGGCGAGCTAAGGGACACCACGTCCAATTTCCTGGGGAAGGCCAGCAGGCGGATCGCTTCCGGAGCAAGGGTGGTGGCGCTGCCTGCTGATGTGCCCAGCGCCCCTCCTATCGAGAAAGCGGTCTGGAAGGCCGGGCCAAGATCAGATGATGGTGTCTCTGGTTGCGGATGGGCCCGGCCCCTGATTGTGCTGGGTCTCGTGAGCGGGCGTCGAGCTCGGTTGGGCCTTGGGAAGACGGTCTTGCTTGGGCTTGGTTCGTGCGCACACTACGCGGATGCATCATGTGGCCGCCGGCCTCTGGTGCTCTGCGTGCAGATTCCCAGAAGCACTGTGCACTAAGTATTGCTCGGAGGCGTTCACGCTCGTCTTCTGACGATGAGTCCAGAATAGGCATGACACATACTATGGTACACGGCACGCAGACCGGGCATGCAGGCGTCGCAAACATACCATAAGCTCCGAGGATGACGTTTGCGAGCGGCGCCTGCCGACCACTCCGTGTCACCACGCAAAACCTTGTTGTCCGTAGAGGCCCCTGGCACGCCAGCGCCAGCACGCCACGCGACACGGAGCTAAGCAAAGACCGGCAGGCGGGATTTCGATCGCAAGGACACGCGCGGCAGAGTATTTGATGCGGCTCCGCCCAGGGCTCCAACGCTTGGCAGCAGCGAACGAAAAAGAAGGTTCTGCAGGTCACGGGACTCGGCATCGTGTCAGAGACCCTGGGCCCTGGTCGCTCAAGGAGAAAAAAAGTTTCATGGGGCAAGCAGAGCGGTGGTGGTCGTCCTGGGGCTCGGACACAGCCGATGATGGGCGAGAGAGCGGCGCTTGCGGAGACGAGAAGCGCGTGGCGCCCCCCCCCCCCCCGGACAGTACAACCCAGGCCTGCGGTGCTGTATGTAACCTGCTGCCTCGCGCAAGGGAGAGACCACCTGCCAACCAGAAAGGTCATGATGGCATCATGTTCCGTGACAATGGCACACTTTGAAGCACAACACCAGTGAGCGCCAGAGTAAGCGTCTTGCGACACAGACGAGGGGTCGCTGGGGTCCGGGGATGGCGGAGATGCACGGCCCACAGGAGCAAGGGAGACAAAGAAGGCAGCAGGCAGGCTGGGTGGATGGATGGCGATGTTGTTGCTGTTGCGGGAGGGAGGTCGGCTGGGTGCTGGTCAAGTGACCGCGAACGGGCGGTTTTGATTTAGCAAGTTTTAAGTAATGAGAACTGGCCGCTGCCAACCGCGCTGTCTTGGGCCTGCACGCTGCGCCGCCCATTACGTACCCGCAACTGGCCCAGGGTCGCTCGCCCCTTTGCGGGCTCGGCAGACGACAGAGATCGGTGGACATGAACATGATCAGAGGCCGTGCTCATGTCCTGTTCCGTGTTCAGGAGGATGTCTGGGGTTGTCGCAGGACATGATCACGACAGCCAGCGCCTGCCCGGGTCGCAGCATCATTGTGTAGAGGGAGCGACCACCGCGGCGAGCCGCCAGCGAGTGAGACGTCAAGCACATACATACCTCAAGGTCCGTCAGGTATGTGACATGCCGTTGACGACAGCGGCACCCATGGATGATGACTTGGGCCGGGCCGGCCTTCTGGAATGCCCCATTGGCGCTGCTCCCCGCGAAATGGCAAGCTCTTACCTAACGAATGGCAGCGGTGACTAACGCAATCCCCGGGGCTGTCAAATTTTCAGCGCGCCCGGAGCCACCACGCCCGCCCTCGAGCGCCGCTCATTGGGCACCAGGAGCTCCGGGCTTGCAAGTGTGCGCAGAGCCCCGTCACCGACGACCGAGAAACAATCCCAATAATAATAGGCCCAGCCTAGCTCTCGGGACTAGCAAGGCACGCGCAGGGGCAACCTCCTGCAGCAGCAAACCACCATCGTGTGACTGCCTACCTGCCTACCTGCCTGACTGACTGTCTGTCTGTCTGTCTGTTCCTCCACACGCAAGCACGCAACTCTGCTCCCCTCTTCTCGCACCTGCCATTTCCATTACATTACATTACATTACACTACACCAACCACTCTGCGCGACCTAGCCTGTACAAGCACAGATGCTTCACGCCGCCCGGCCCCACCATCCCCAGGATCAACCGCCAAAGCCGGCCCCTGCCACCACCATGGCTGCCGGCACCAGGCTGGCCGGCCTGCTCTCGCCTGATAATAAATCTGCCCGCTCCTCCTTCTCCTCTGTCCGCGAGGACGATGCCGGCCTAGCCCAGTCCTTCACCAGCTCAAAGATCTCGTCCTTCTCCCACCTCCACCTCGCCGCAGACAGCTCTAGTGGTGACGAGGCTGCCATTGACGACTCCTCGCCGCCCCCCTCGCCTCCTCTGTCCCGGCCGGCCTCCCACAAGCTTGATACCATGGCCACCACCACCCTCACCTCTACCATCACCCATTTCCAGACGCCTCTGACCCAGCCTCATAGCCGCCTCCATGGCTGCTGGGTCCCTGCTGTCGCTGCCGACAGCTTCCAGGGATGGAAGGCCATCGATGTCAAGGGCAAGCTCGCCAGCAGGAGCTTTGGAGATCTCCAGTCCCTCAAGGTCGTCTGGTCCGCCCCCTCGACTCCCAAGAAGCCCCGGTCTCCAGGCCGGCCCGCCCCTGGCACCGCTCCCATCGAGCGCCTGCCCGTCGAGATCCTAGGTAAGTCTTCCGTCACACGTGACTTTGTCAACGTCCTTGCCACCCCAGTACTGACCCTGCTTGTAGGCCCCATCATTGAGATGCTGGTGCTTGACGTGCCACCCAATGGCGAGACTGCCCGGAACGTCGACCTGATGTCCCTGCTGTTGACGTCCAGGACGCTGCACACTGCTACTTTGAACGCTCTGTACAAGAACATTACCATCCCCCACTCGAGGATCTTCCGCAAGTTTCTCTCTCATGTTACACAGAACCAGGAGCTTGGCACCATCGTCCGTCGCCTCGACTTCAGCCACTTCAACCCCATGTCGCTTTTCTTGTCAGCCAAGGAGCGAGCAAGCACACGGAACCTGACACCAGAGACGCTTCTTCAATGCCTGGAGCTAACACCCCATCTGCGCGAGTTCCTTGCTCAAGAGTACATTGACGACGAGATCGACATCAATGTCCTCAAGAAGCTCTTCTTTGACCTGCCGCGGCTCAAGGCTGTCGACTTGTGCGGATGCTCCTCGGCACTCTTCCGGACCGCCATGACAGCATTCGTGCAGGATGACGTGGACTGGACCATGCCCCTGTCTATCTCGCGTTTGTCGCTGCACCGTTGCGTCAACCTGCCACCCGCAGTCTTTGATACTATCCTGCCTCGGCTCACCAATTTGACTCACCTGGATGTTGCCGGCACACGCATTTCCGACGAAGCTCTGCACTCTATTCCCTACACAGCACGCATCACACACCTGAACCTCGCCAAGTGCAACGGTCTCACGGCTGATGGGATCATCGAATTCTTGACTTACCACCCAGCTGTCAAGGACACTCTAGTCTATCTCAGCCTGGCTGCCGATTTCCGCAGCCACCAGATTTTCGACGAGGAGGATACGTCTCGGCTACTGGCGATCATGCCGCACACTCTGCGATCATTGAGTTTGAAGGGCAGCAAGATGACGCCGGCACACATTCCTTTACTGCGCCCTCTGACCAAGCATCTCGAAGAGCTTGCTCTCGGAAGAGGGCTCAAAGTTGTCGATATGGATAGGCTGTTCGTCCCCGACCCTGAGCCTGTTGATGAGGACGAGGATGTCGACATGGACGGCGAAGTGAAGGCGCAGTTGGCCTGGGTTCCGCACACCTTGAAGTACCTTGACCTTTCGGATTACATTGGTGGCGAGCTGGACCTCAGCGCTCTGTTCTCATCCCAGTGCAGTATCATGAAGCGGCATTCGGCCCCGCTCGAGGTGGTCGAAGTGGCAGACGAGCTATACCGGCGGCTGTCGAAGTCTCCAGTACTTGGCAACGCCGGCTGGTCTATCACCGAGTTTGGCAGCCGCGCTTGGATCGTGCGTCGACCAGACAGTGGTGCTGGGGACTCCGGTGCTCGAAGCTGGAAGATGGGCGCCAGCTATTGGGGCATGCGCAAGGTCCCTGTCGCCGTGGCAGATGTGGGTGGCATGTACGGCAGCTACATGTTCAAGCGCGGCCTCTAACCAGCTCGGACCGCAACGACAAGACGACATTTACCGGAGGCGACCATCTCGAATGAAGTCTCGAATTTTGTTTTACGAAAGCCTTCGTCTTCAGCATAGTCTCTCCTTGTCCGAACACATTGTCAAAAGCATCATGACTGCGAGCGATCCATACCTTGTTTTTTCATGTTCGAACATAGCGAGGGTGCTATTTATCAGCCTTGTACGATTCCTTTCCGGCATTCTGGGGATTTTTATCGCAAGGGAGCATTTGGCGTTCATGAATTTGGATCATAGCATCTCAGCACACTGGCATGAAATAGTTGTTTTCCCCATCACTTTGCGGAAGGGCGAGCAGACGACACCCAGCTCGCAGCGCAGAAAAGCGATTGTATTCCGTATTGGTTGGCTTAGCATTGTCTCATGCAGACACACGAAATAATGAAAAAAAACATCCCAACTGTAAAGCTTTTTCTGCGCGAGGTTATACAGGTAATTTGGATGCCTTCGATCCTGTGCAGTAATTTGTGGAAGAGCTATCATGCCAATGTCGGGTGTCGTTCAATGACAGGCATCCGACGGGACAGCCTGCAGCAGCCACAGCTGCAGCCCCCGGCTCAAAACCGCCAGGTGACCCGCTTTCCCAGAAAGGAAAGAGCAGCCTGCATCTAGCCAATCACCGCTTTTTGCTAAACACAGCACCCCGCCCCGGTCACAGCGGCAGACAGACGGACAGACAAGCCCGTTCGTTTCGTTTGGTCCTTCTTCTCTCTCTTTCTCTCTCTATCTCTTCTTTGGGGGGTTTTTTTTTCTTCGGTTCTTCGCAGGTGCATACATGCATGCGTCGCCACCCGGGCGCGGCCTTGGGTGGCCACCAACCCAGCAACCCAGACAGAAGAGTACCGCTGCCAGCGGGTAACACTCCTCTTGTGTTTTTTATCCCCCTCTTTAAAGTTTCTGTGCCCATTCTTGCCATGCCAGACAGACACCAGGATCGCCGTCATCTTTTTGTTCGATATGGGGTTTGTACATATATATAACGTAACCCACGGGTGACCCGCCCACACGGGTGACCCGCCCACTTTCCCAATCTTTCTGTACAAGCTATCTTCAATCCCATATTCCTCCACCAAAAATCATGCCACAGCAATCGAATGAAGGCGACATTATTCTAGCGCTAAACGCGCTTCAATCCGATCCAAAATTAAGCGTACGAAAGGCTGCGCAGATCTACAAAGTCCCTCGTACGACACTTCGCGACCGAAAACGCGGCGCACAGCAAAAACGCGATACCCGACCACCCTGCCAGAAATTGACTTCGTACGAAGAGGAGAGTATTATACGATACGTAATCGACCTAGGTTCGCGATCATTTCCACCGCGACTTAGTGGTGTTCGAGAAATGGCGGATCGACTCCTCGCCGTACGCGACGCGCCGCGTGTCGGAACGAACTGGGCCTCAACCTTCGTACGACGACGATCAGAGCTCCGTACGCGTTTTAATCGAAGAATCGACTACCAGAGAGTCCTCTGCGAAGATCCAGACGCGTATCGCGCGTGGTTTGAGCTCGTACAAAACATAATCGCGAAATACGGGATCCACGATGACGATATCTACAACTTCGACGAAACGGGCTTCGCGATGGGCAAAATCTCCGCCGAAACTGTTGTTACGACCTCCGATCGACGCGGGAGGCCAAGAGCCGTACAACAAGGTAATCAGGAATGGGTTACAGTAATCCAGGGTATCGCGTCGTACGGCTATTCAATCCCGCCGTACATTATCTTCGCCGGGAAGGTCCACCTCGACTCCTGGACCGCGAATAGCCCTCTACCGGCCGACTGGGTAATCGCGCTTTCAGAAAACGGTTGGACGACGAACGAGAGAGGCCTAGAATGGGTAAAACACTTTGATTTCCATACAAAGAGTCGTACGAAGGGTACCCACCGCCTCCTTATCCTCGACGGCCACGAGAGCCACCATTCCGTCGATTTCGAGCTCTACTGCAAGGAACAGAATATTATCACGCTCTGTATGCCTGCTCATTCGTCGCATAAGCTCCAGCCTCTCGATGTTGGGTGTTTTGGACCTCTGAAACGGGCGTACGGTAAAGAAATCGAAGGTCTAATGCGGGCGCACGTAACCCACGTTTCAAAGGAGGACTTCCTCCCAGCCTTTTATAAGGCGTACGACGCTGCAATGACCAAATCAAACATCCAGGCAGGCTTTAGAGCGACAGGCCTAGTACCGTACGACCCGAATTATGTGATTTCGCAGCTAGATATGAAGTTTCATACGCCGACACCACCTGGTTCCTCTGCTGGACTACCACCCCCATGGGTTTCAAAGACGCCGAACAACCCAATTGAGACCGAATCGCAGACGAAGTATATTAAAAATCGCATCATACGACACCAGAATAGCTCACCGTCGTCCATTGTTGAGAGCCTACGGCAGCTGGAAAAAGGAGTTATAATGATGGTACACGAGCAGGACCTTATACGCCAAGAGCTCGCCGAACTTCGAGATGCAAATGACCGCCTTAGCCGCCGTCGTCGTACGAAAAGAAAGCAGCTACAGAAAGGAGGGTCCCTCACGATTGATCAGGCAAAGGATTTGAAGGCTCAAATCGATGTGACGCAGCAGTTAATAGCGGAAACGAGTCAGAATAGTGGTCGTACGAGGAGGCCCGAAACGCGCGCGCGACGATGTGGCGTCTGCAGCGAGCCCGGTCATAATGCTCGTACGTGTCAGAAAGTTGTATCTGCCTCTGAAGAAGAGGATTCTGAATAGTTTCAATTGATTTGAGGCGTTATGGTTGAATTGACTTATATATTGTCGGACGATAGCCCGGAAAGTGGGCGGGTCACCCGTGTGGGCGGGTCACCCGTGGGTTACGTTATATATATATACATATACTTTTCGTTGTACCTCGCTTATCTTGACCTTTCGCGCGCGTAAATATAATCCGCGTCTTACTCCTGGTTAGAAAAAGAAAAAGAAAAAAGGAGAAAGAAGAAAGAAAAATAATCGATCGTCCTAACTTATTTCTTTCATTTGTTGTGCACGCTTGCCTACACGATTTGTGTAATCTGGCTTGGTTCGTTCTCGTCTGCACACCATGTACTAGGGATTGTCATTCCTGGGACTTATTGTTCTCTTTGGGTAGTTAGACTGTGTAGACATTATGTTCTACGAATTATTCTGCTGTATGGTTCAACCGTGGGGTATTTTGTCTTTCTAAAAATGAGGAAAGCGAAACGAGGAACAAAATATCCAACACACCCCACCACTGCCACCACCCAAGCCAATGCAGACCATCATATATACACATACGGCTGCGCGCCTCGTCCACTCACGACACCCCGGCGAGCGCCGTGGCGCTGAGCTGCCGCAGCGTCGCGGCCGCACTGAATCCGCCGCCGCGCACCCATTCCATAATCTCGAACCCGAGCCGGCGCTCCAGCTTCTCATCCAGCCCGCGACCCTTCTCCAGCGTAACCACCATGACGCAAGCATCTTCGCCGCTCTGCGCGGCCCTCGTCGGCCCGCCGCTTGCGCCAGTGGGACTGTTGCTCGCGGAGACGGCAGAGGCAGTCAACAGCTCGACACCACCGTGACCGCCGTTGCTGCCGGCCGCGTCGTTGCTAGAGCCCTGCCGCTCGCGGACGTAGATGGTGAGATCGGCACCAACAATACCGCGCCATAAAGCCGCTATCCAGCGCCAGTGCTCCTCGTCGCTGTACGGCTCCATCAAGCCTGGCTGCTGCAATGCCGCTGCCCACCTATCACTGATGGTGAGGCTATAGCCCGTCGACACTATGGCCACCGGCATCTTGGACGGGTCGACAGCCACGGAGGCTGCGCTTTGTCCAGCAGCAGCCTGCTTTGGCGGGTGATGAGTAATATAGTTGACAAGCTCTTCCGAAGTCTCGTGCCACCGCAGCATCTTGGACATGTACTTTGGCAGGGACGCTTGTGTCCTGTCCTCCAAATTGTCGTACACAGAGGCGAGGCTCTCATCCGACCACACCTTGACAGCACAGTCTTGAGACACAAGTAACGCTGTCTCGATGACCCGCGAGACAGCTCTTATGACGTCAATATCAGCCCCCTCTACAGCAATCACCGGTCCACGAGTCTCGGATGATCGACTTTGCTGTGTGCTCAGCGGCGGGTGGATTGACCTGAGGGCTTCCAGTTTGCCCAAGAAAGAGGACCTTGTCCGGTCACGGGATGAAACTGCTTCCCGCCTTGGTGGTTGTCCGAGCTCAGCAGACTGACGTGGCTGGAAATAGTCTTGAGCATGCCGTAAGCTTTGGCTGTGTCCTTCCGAGTGGCTCTGATATTGCGCCTGAGACCAGCTCTTTTGGTCATGCTGTTGCTGTGTCGCCCCGGTCTGCAGCGGATGTCGAGACGCTTCCGTGGAGCTCATACCCAGACCTCTCGGTTCTGTCTGTTGACCTTGCTGATACTGGCGATCTGTTATGCTCCTATCGTAGGTGAGTGGTCCGCCTGCAGACGTGGAAGTAGACTGCGGAATCTGTGGCTGTAGTGGAGGAAGTCGAAGAGACTCATCGAACGGCGCACCCAGCTGTGGCGCTTGATGCTGCTGCTGCTGAGCGTGGCTACCTTGAGATGGGCCTCCATGTGTCTGTGACATAGACAAGGGATGGTGTTGCTGTGGCCTGGATGGTGCTTGTTGTGAGCGGTGATATTGTGGAGGCTGCCCGTAAAGTCCGGTGTGAGCGTCTTGATGAGACAACGTGGCCGATTCACCGCGAGGAACTTGTGCAGAACCATATGTCAAGGCACCACCGGAAGGCTGGCTAGTCGGCTGCCAGCCTTGGTACTGCTGGTAGCGTGGATCGACATGAGTATAGTTCCCTGCCGCCGGGGGTGACATCGGGTACGTGCTGCTGTTATTGTAACGGCGTCGCTTGGAATCAGGGGACGCCATCTCCCCAGGCGAGGCCTGATGTTGCTGGTGAGCGGCATAATCCTCATTGATATTTGCCAGCGGATATTGAGCCTGAGTGTTGTATCGCCTCGCATGGGAATCTCCACTGCCTATACTACTGATCGAGCCCCGTCGCAGATGCTCCGACTCAAGGGCACGGCCACCGGGCGGAAAGTACGCATACCCGCTTCCTCCGCTTCCTGGGCCGCCAGATCCCGATGCGGTCCCTGGCGTGGAAGCATCTCCAGTTGCGGGAGTGTACGGTGTGCTTGGGGTTCGTGGTGTCGCTATATACCTACCTCCGCATTTGTTGCAGCGGCCAGGATCGTCACCGCCAGCCACGACAGTTCGAGCACCGCCGCCATGGGAAGCACCTGACTTGCCTCCCCGTCGAGGCTGATACCGATAGTCGGGATATTGCTGTTGATGTCGAATCTTCTCCTCCTCTGCTAGCCTCTTCCAGCTCTCTTTGACCTCGTCGGGCTGATCACGCCATTGTTCCCCAATGAGCTTGGAGATTTCTGGGTTCGCAAGTCCTGGATTGTTGGCAGCAACGTTTGCCTGATGGTGTTGACGGTACAGGATGAATGCTAGAAGCATCGAAGGCAAGGTTAGTTACACTCATAGACGGAAAGTCTCGCCTCGGTGGCTTGCGAGAATACACAGATGCTGTGACCAGCTGCCCATCAATGAAGCCCTCGCAGTGAGACCGACCGTAGCTCCAAAAGGACCAAGTCATTGCCAACTTACCATTTCGAGGTCGGGGGACCTTTGGCGCTCTTGTGCAAAGACAGATCAGCTCACGACCACTGGCGTTGCCTCCTGCCACGTTTGAGCCTCCACTGCCAGCTGTAGCAGTAGCGATTGGAGCATAGTGGCCAGCACTCGATGCGACGTCCGCACTGCCGGATGACGAGGCAGAGGGCGGGCCCCTACTGTCAGAATGTGTCGTCATCGTGCTATTGTCGGCACCCGAATAGAGGTTCATCTCCTGGTGGCCTTGGGTCCGTCGCGTTTCCCCCTTGCGACTGCGCGGTTCCAGCCCGTATGCAGCGAGGCTAAGCGGCTGCGCGGTCGGCTCCTGGCGCTCGTCTTTGATCTCTCTCGAGCGGCCACGCTTCAGCGAAGCCTGGCCACTTCCAGTCGAATCCGTGGACATACGACCTGGCGACGCCGGTGTCTGAGGGGCATCCTGATATGCGCCTCCGCGAGGAGTGGCGGTGCCTGGAGGTGCGCTTGTGATACTTCTGGGATTAATGTTGTCATTACTAGGGAAGCTTGGACGGCTGCTGCTTCCCTCAAAGAGATGGGGGCTCGACCGGCCAAAGTCGGGTCCGTAGCCCAGATGCGCAGCAGCCGAAGCAGGCCTATCGATCACAGGAGCTGGGCTTCCGGGTATGTCACCGTATTCGCTGCGCGCGCCACCATGGTGGGAGAGGAGCAAGGAGTGACGAGAATGCTGGTGATGGTGGTGTGATGGTTGGAGAGTGTGCGGCTGTCGCTGTCCGTGGGGAAGGAGCTGGGGAAGATGGAGGTGCGGGTAGTGGCGAGGATGGCCGTCTGTCATTGTTGCCATGCCGGGCTGCTGCTGGTGCTGCTTCTGTGGGCTGGTCTTTGCCAATTGGCTAGGCCGACTACTGCTCAAAGGCCGCTTGCTCACGCCCTGGTGGACGTCCCGCGACGTGCTGGCCGTGCTGGCCGTGCTCACCGGGCTTGACGACAGCGAGTCTGAGAAAGAGTCGGACGCGGACGACGAGTCGTGGGCCTCTACTGCCTTCTGGCTCTCCTTGAGCGATTCTATGGCGCTGGCTCTCCTAGTGCGGTAGTGGTGTTGAAGGGGAGCATCGAGCATGATGAACTGCGACAAAAGACGGCTTAGTTTCTCAAGTCATGTGCCTCCCGGCTTTGTTCCTATGGCGGCGCGACTCGGGGCGATGACGCAGAGTTGCAGTGCACCCTATCGCATCAGATACGGCAAAGCCCAGGGGAGAGGGTTTATAAGAGGCTGTCCAACGGGGACTCGACTTGGGGGACGATTGCAGAGCCCCCAGTGATGGATCAGACTTTCCGAGAAAGGGCTCCGTTTGAGTGCCGTATGGCGGATCCGATCGCTCCGGAGGGTCGACAAGACGGGACAGCAGATCTGACGATCCGACGTCAGGCGTGCCAGCGACTATAAGACAAGAACAAGATGATCGGCAGTGATGACCACGAATGAAGTCGAAGGTGCCAGTGGAATGATTGTCTCGAGCTTCAGAGAGTTGACAGGCAACAAAGCCAAACCGAATCGTGCAAGGGGCGGCAGGCGCTGATGATATCAGGCAGGCCGGAGATGGGATGGGGCGAGGGGATTAAGGTTGACTTCTTTGTGAGAAGCAGGCAATGTCTTGGGAGGGCGAGCAGCAGGGTTGTGCAGGGCGGACGATGGGAATAGCAGTGAGCGAGAAGGAGCGAATGTTGTCCCATGAGGTGAAGAAAATGTGGTTGCTTGCAAAGACAAGAGAAAAACTATGGAATCTTGTGGTCGAGGGTGGTTTATGAGAGGAAAAGGACTAAAAGAGAGGCGAAGAATGTCCGGGGTGCAAGGTTACTGTTGTTGGTCGTACCTGGGCAGGAGGGATCGGCTGAGGATAACAATAGGGACTAGATCTAGGGGCGCCAGCAGCTCTCGCCTTGCGGTCGACCGGCTGCGAATAGTTGTGTGCAAATCTCCTCAAGCTAGGTGTGAGTGGCTGGTGAGAGAAGGAACATCGCAGCAGACGGTCATCCCGGTGCCGGCCTGGAGAAGAGGATGCAGCCCAAGGCAACAAGACGCGGCAGCAAGGTTGGGGAAACAAAGTGTGCGCTGTCCGGACGTGTGACAGCTCGAAAGGCCATGACACGAGCACAGAGTAAGAGCTTCAGCAGGACGGCACTCAAACCAAGAGGCGGAACCTTGCCTGGGCGTCTGTGTATCGCCGCCGCCTGGCGGCGCTCCAGGCAGAATGCAGCTGCAGAGGGCCGCTCTGGGATTGTTTTGACATCTGGCTCCCGCTCGCTCCATTCTTGGCCCTCTCTTGCCATGTTAGCTCTCATTCTTGGCCGGGTTGTCGCCGCATTGTCCAGCCCGTGGCGGCCCTGCTTGCATCCAGTCATGAAGCCCGTCCGTGGCCGCTTCATTTGTCCGGGCAAGCCTCTCCAGCAAGCCACGCACAACGGACCCTTTGTGCATGCTTGGCCTCACACTACAAAGTCGGCCGCCATCTTCACAGACTGGCTGAGTCGCATTCATTTGCAGCCATTGTTTTCTAATCGGTTGCTGGACCACCCATCCTGCCTGCCAGTGGCAACTGCCGAAAGGAGAGCGGCTGGCATTGTAAGCAGTGCCCTGGCGCCCACGCCATGTCTCGGGAGCACATGTCCCAAGCTGGGGCACTGAGACAGCATCAACAGGTTGCCCGTCCCATCCATGAGCTCCAGTGCGCCGCGGCCTAGCCTAAGCGGCGATCCACACCAAAGGACTGCCGATATGGGAGCGTTTGCGCTTGGCTAGCCGCCGGACTTGGAGGACGAAGTGGCAGGCGAGAAGGCCCGGCGCCGCCGGTGGGACGAGGCTCTGTTGGCGGCTCCCAATGGCTTTGCATGTCCTTTTGGCACACTATTCCCTTGCAACCCTTGAGCATCCCACTTTTACGCTCTGGGTGCTTTGCCGCGAACGGAACAGCTGGACCCAGCCCGGAAAGTCTATATCTCGCCCTTTCGGGACTGGCCGTGGTCTACCTGAGTCGGGAGGGTTTTGCGTCAGGCGCCATACCGGAGCAGAACCTGCCATCAGTATATCATGCTCCGTCGCTCTGGGCTCGGATAGACGACTTGGCACTACCTTTATTCCTGCTTTGAGGCGAGGTGTCGAAAGTATGGCGGGCAGTCCCGCGCCTCTTTCGCCCGTCTGGGATAGAGCTAGATCTAGATTGCCAGAGAGGAACCCAGCATATGGAGCACGAGGATCGATGTCCCCGGTGGCACTGTCACAGATAGCAAGCAAGTGTCGATTGAGCTAGATGGATGCCGCTTTGGGCTCGAGAGCTGGAGGGCCTCGGTCGACAGCAGACCCCAACTGTCCCGATGGAGTAGGTAGATGACTGACATGGACGACCCGGATGCAGCACAAAGAAAGGCCTTTGTGTGTTCGTAGGGGCGGCCATGCGACTGAGGCATGCAGCAGGGTGCCTGCTTGTCTTGGGGAAGAATGCGTTGTTCATGGGATGGCCGCCGGTGCCGTGGAATCAGTCATTGGCGGACGAGAGGAAGTGATTGTTTGTGTCGTGTGTAAGTGACTGACTGACTGGGCTCCACAGACCGGGGTCAGACAACGGGCGAAGGAATGCTGCTTCTGGAATGGGCACCCCTTCCGCACCTGGGACCTGCATGCCACGGCAGGCTGCTGCACAACACCTGCACAAACAAAGAAAACCAGGAGCCGCAGCCGCATCAATCCCACGTCGTGGGGTCCCGCACATCATCATTGGGGGACCAAGCGCAAGGCTAGCACGAGCCGGCAAAGGGACAATGTCACTCACTCCAACCGAGTTGGGACCACGACACCAACCGGCACCAAGCAAACCTCATCGCATCTGCGTGCCATCCCTCTAAACGGACACAACGGTTGCATCAGGCAAATACCCAGGGCACTCCTCACAAGCTTGAACGCTGGCCACAGGCGGATCATGGTTTTGGGGCTGACAGCAAGATTTGCACAAGTGTGACCAACATGGCCTTTGTTTCCGCTCCGTGTCGTCATCTGTCCTCGACCCGAAGGCTATCGCTCCGAGCTAGGCGCCTCGCCGTACAAGTCGTTCCAGACGTTGCTCGCACAAACTATAACCCGTGGAGGCGTCTTGGGCATGTAGTACCACTGGCTTGTGACCAGCCGGGCCCCATCGGCTGCATTTTCAAAGTGCTTAGTCAGTAAGGTAGAACAAACGTGCTCCGCCTGGATAGCCGTCTTGCAAACATGTGCCTGTCCCTTGAGTAGTACGAAACGGCCAAAACTCTCTATTGGGTCAACGCCGGTGTTTAGAGGCGTCCTCCCGCCGTGGTCATCTCAGCGTGAACTGCCGATTCGCTGTGGCTTCCCTACATGTAGTAATTACACATCTCCTTCAGGATGAGGCATGCCGAGTTGCCCTACCAATATCCTGCGCCCGTGTGCAGGAAATCTAGAATATTTTAACCATGGTGCTCTTGTGACTCATGGGGTTCTACGTCAAAAAGCCTTTGCCAGCCTCACCAGTGAGTAGGCTAGCACTTCGCCGGGCGTCCAGGAATAGCTCTTCACATTCGGCGACGTCGTTCGTTTCAATCTGCGCGCGACCGCCTACGCGAGCGAGGATGCTGTTCAAGAGGGTGTCAGGGCTTATAGCTCAGAACGCATGGCGTGCATCTGCCCATGGTATGCACGTCATCGAGAAAGAAAGAAAAATACGTACCTTGCCGGCGTGAGCAATTGGAGGCAGTATCGCAGACTGATGCGGACACCGTGCTCCGCAATCTTGTCGAGGGCGCCATCAGATAGTGAGACGTTCTCAGTTGTCGCACGGATGCGCACGATACGTTTGATCTCATCAGCATCGTAAGGGGTTGTTGGGATGATGAGCAGGCGGGCAAGGAAGTCCGGAGGGACGCCATGGGCTGCCACGACGTCATCTGTCCCACGAATGGTGCACATGCCGCGATTGGATGCAAGCACGACAATGGGAGAGATACTCGATTCCAGTGCTCGGTTGAGGTAGGTGAAGCATTCGATATCGAGCATGTGAGCCTGCGTTGTGATGCAAGGTTAGCATAAGTGTTGGCGAAGGGGGAAGGGGCTATTCGGCATACCTCGTCAATAAAGAGCACACCAGGGACCAATTCTGCGACACCCTGGTCGATGTACTTGCTGACGACCTTGTTAATCTCCGCACGAAGCTTGTCTGTGATTTCCGTCATCTTCGGCTTCATCAGTTGGCCCATCATGCTCATGATGTCCTGACCGCCCTGCGGTCGTGCGTTTGCCACGTCGAGATCGTGAAGCGTGACGTCCTGCACAATCTCCTTCTTCTTGTGGACTTCGCCCTTGGGAATAGGCACGTATTCTTCGGCTTCGAGATCAAACTCTGTGGCGTAGGCGTCTGACCGACCGACGCGCTTGCAAGCGCCAGTGTTGGCCTCGATGTAGATGACATCACCCACGGTGACTCTCTCCTTCTGGATTGCCTCATATATGCTAGGGTCGAGGCGCAGCTTCTTCTGGCCCTTCGCGCTCTTCAGTCCGATCATCAAGGTGCTGATAGTCTTGCCGTAGCCGCCAAGAGGGTTCTCGGCTTCCTCCGGCGTGAGCTCTGTGACCTCTCCTTCGTACACCTCCTTGGTCTCGCGGACCTTGAGGCCAATCGCCCTCCGAAAGTTCTCCATGAGGACCTCTGTCTTCTTGACTTCTGTGGAATAGATCTCGCTGCCAACAATGGGGCAGAATGGTATCTTGGTGCCGAGCTCGTGGCTGAGGGCGAGCGCAAGCGCGGTCTTGCCTGTGCCGGGCCCGCCAGCTAGTAACACGCCTCGGCCGGCCATCTTCTGTGCGCGAATCAAGTCGACGACGACACCGGCAGCCTAATTGTGATGCGACACACGTACTCAAGGGTTAGCAAGGGGGACATGATCCAGAGTCTCTACGCGGGCTGGCAATCATGCGCAACCCAATCTCGGCCAGTAATGATGTCCTGCACGTCACACCAGCTGCGCGTGTATCGCATACCTCACGAGCCTGCTCCTGGCCGACGAAGCCGCCAGCCTGTGTCTCCGCCGTGCCATCTGACTTGAGGCCCAAGCCCTTGATGTGGGTGTGGGCGGCGGTGCGGTTGTCGCGGTTGTTGCCCTTGATCTCGCTGATCTGCACCATGGCTGCACGTGTCAGTCTTTGGCGACTGCTACCGGTCGATAACGGAAAGCGTTGTGTGCGAAAGGGTCGGGGGTCTCGGCGATGTGGTGGATTGATCAGAGGTTGGTGGTTGGAGGTTGGTGGTTGTCGGGTTCTTGGGTGGGTAGTTCAAGCACTTGCGGCGCAAGGCTGGCGATGAGCTCAAGCTGGGCGGTGCCTTGCGCGAAACTTTTCTGGAGCTGACGCGCCTGGGTTGCGCCTGCAACAGCGCAGAGCAAGGCAATTGTGGGTCCGTGCACCATCACCAATGCAATGCTTCACAGAGTGTTGGTCACAATTACTTTCTGGCAGTGGCGTATTCCATCATCCTTTCGATACAACGTCCATCACCATATCCAGTGGGTACAAGGGAGCCTAGCTTTTCGCATTACAAGCCTTCAAGTAGATTAACACTGATCCTGCTCATCGTCGGCTCCGGCCTCTCGTCTGTTGTTCCTGCAAGTCCATCCCGTCCACGTCCCTCATCATGGGCACCGTCTCGACACCGCCAACGGGAGCCATGCCATGCTCGATATCGCGTTCACTCGCAGTCGTGCCAGGGTTCTTGGTCATCGCCACCCAAACCGCGCTTCCTAGGATACAGCCACATCCAGCCAGACTCAGGGCGCCCATAGTGTGCTGGAAGAATATCCTGTCAAAGGCTGCAGCATAGAGCATGTGCGTGTAGACCATGGCAGTGGCCCGATTACTCTTCTCTCGCGCAAGACCGGCGCTCAACAGAAATTGAAGGGAAAAGCCGCAGGTCCCAATCATTAACAGGAGTCCCCACTGCTTAAAACCAGAGGGCAGCGCAAAGTGCAAGTCGGGCTGATCATAATCGAGCATCGGGGCAACGGTCAAGGCGATGATCGCCACAACGGTAGCGACCCCAGAAAAGTAGTTCACTGAGTGCAAAGGGTGCGCTCGTTGTCCAATCCAACGCAAGATCGTGAAGACGATTGAGGCTCCCAGGACGCCGATCAGCCCTGCCCCAATGGCAATGAGACGCTGAGCAGTCGTCACCGCCATATCTGGATCTTCTTCAGCCCTGATAAGCAACAAAGTAGCATTGACGGCTGCCTCGATGGCGGCTTCGCCACCAGTCCCAGAACTCGATTCACCGCCCAGGCCCGGAAACAACGAAAGTGGTCGAGTAATGAGAACTACACCCCCGAGCGCCAGCATCGATGCGAGCTGCTCCGTCCGCGTGTATGGCTCATGTAGGATTACGTGGCACATGTAACCTGACAGATTCGGGGCCAGGAATGAGATGACGGTCGCGTCCGCAAGTGGCAGATATCTGAGCGAGTACCACATCCCATATATGCCAAAGAAGCCGAAGAAGCCACGGGCCACCAGCACCAGCCGAAGGCCTTTTGGGCCGAATGGGGCGTCTGGTGTCTTCTGCCACTTCATCCACACGAGGCATGCTATGAGCGTGATCGCCATGCGAACACACAATATCTGCATGGGATGCATCGGCCTATCCTCATCAAGGACGAGAATTCTGGTTGCGAGGTTCATCAAAGCTGCGAAGAGCTGAGCGAGAGCCACCATGATGGGACCGGCATTCTCATTCCAGAATCTTTGAATGGGCTTCCATAACCTCGCATGTGGTGCTGCAGCTTGGCGGGTCTCTGGCCACGGTGAGGTCTCCCGGAAGCTCAAAGGGCTGAAACGCCCATTTTGGGAGAACGGGCTTGGTGACAAGTGTCGAATAGCGTTCGGATCGAGGGCTGAGTCGATTTTCGCGTGTTTGATGCCGCCATTAGTACTTGAAAGCAGCCCTGGCTCTTCGTGATGGCCATCGGCAGGTGGCTGCTTGCTTTCAGATGTCGTTGACATCGGGTCCAGATTTGTCATGTTCTCATGGGAAAAGCGTAAAGGATGGCAGACAAAAGAGATTTCGGGGGCGACCACAAAGACGAGACCGCGGCAACAGTAGAACCAGGCCTTCTGTCGAAACCTTTTGGCGGATGCAGGCTAGGTGAGAAAGGAGCAATACCCACGGCCGTGTCTCTGGAGAGGAGTTGTTGTTTGCACAAAGAGAGAGGGAAAGCACTGCAAACGATGACGAGGAGTACCGACTGACTAAGGGAACAAAGCCAGTTTAGTTTCTGTCAAGCTGGGGGCTAGCATCCCACACCCTAGGTTGAGGACAAGGGCCGCTGTCGCAACAGTAAACCCGCCCTCTCTGGTGGGTGGGTGGGGATCGAAGGCGAGGCGGCGGCTACTACATGGATGCGTCTGAGAATGGATTGGGCCTGTCGATCATGTGCTTTGCAACAGCTCCTGCGTGTCATCCAGAACCCACCAATCGAGCTCCATCTGGAAACTTCGCCCGCAATGTGCTGCTTATAGAGACGTAGTTGCTAGCATGAGGGAGGCGTAACATATCTTACGGATAGTGAAAAGACGGCTGCCAGCCTGGCTTCTGTTCAATCTTTGAAGTTCGTGACGGCGGCGCGGGTGGTTGGATATGGCTGGGCAATCCGTTAGTGTCAAGGGTTGCAGAATTTAGCACATGCACTCTTGAGTAATCGGCCGGCGACTTCGGAGACAACACCAAGCGTGGCTCAGCCAACCCATCAATCAGCCCGGCCTTGACGGCCCAACCACCAATGGGCTCCGGGCACGGCTCTTGCTGGAAAGTCCTCACGTGGTCGTCATTGTCGCCGTAATAGTCGGTCACGTTGACAGCGAACAGGCAGGTTGCTGCCTGGCTTATGGTATTCAGCCACACTACTTCTACGGACACTGACTCAATTAACTCCGCAACCCTTCCCGCCCCGTGAGATGTTATTCCCGGCCACCTACCTAGGTAGCCTAAATCGCTTGGGCAAGAGACAGAGTGCTTATCGGGCTGAAGGTGGATGACGGCGGCCTTTCACGCTGCGGGGAAGTGGACTACAGGACGTGGGGCTGGAACACAAAGAGGAGCACCTCCACTTTTTGTTGCATGCAGCCTGCATCCAGCGGGCCATGCAGACAGAGGCTGCATGTCCGCCTGTCAAGCGTAGTGTAGCGAGTGTAGCTACATACGGCCACATTGTAACGTACTTGGTCTTTGAGATGTCACGGTCAGACTCGTGGCTGCAGAAAGAAAGCATTTGTATCTCCTCCTCCTTATCATCATCATCATCAAGTGAGAGGGCACGACACAACACGGCGCTTGGTGTATCAAATGCCTCCTGCCGCGAAACGGTTCTGGAGGAAACGAGACAAGGTAGCTAGAAATACAGGGGCCCATTCAGTCCCATCCCTCGGATGGGGGTCTAGGGGTTCAACCCCAGGACGGTTGGAGACGCAGATTTGTGTCAAAGCGTTTGAAAGAGAGCGAGATGCGTGGGTTGATAAGAAGGGAACAAGGGAGAGATTTCGAATAGACGTAGGATGTTGGAAGTACAGGCTCTATATGCTTCGCATCATCTACAGTCGGTGATTCACCAAGGATGCAGTATCCGGCTGTGGGAGCCTTCAGAGATACCATCTCATCTGAGGTCCGTCGTCGAACACCTTGATGCATTAGGCTTGCCTACGACAACTCCAAGCAACCCAGGGACGGCCTTGCCCAGCCTCGACACAAAGCCCTTCGAAGCAGGACTTATTCAAGCAGTGAGATTGTATGTCAGCATATTTGCAAATGGCCATATTTTGTATCTGCGATTGCTGCCGCTGCTCGACTGATCTATGGTTCCGCCCCACGAGACCATGCTATGCGGTTGTTGTTGTTGAAAATCTCAGCCCAAACGCCAGCGCTATGAATGACAATGCTCAAATCCCATATGCTCCGAATCCCGTGTGATTTGGTCCATTTCACTGCCCAACGTTCCCAAATGCTCCGAAAGCAGCAAGAGTCTCCTTGCCCGTGTGCGTTCACAAGCACTATACCAAAGATATCTCTGCAATGATTTGCTTGCCGGCCTCCCGTCAACGCCCCTAGTCTACGGGCTCGCGCTTCCTCTTCTTCTTCTTGGGCCCCGCGGCGCCCCCCTTTGCCGATCCAGCCACTGACGGTTTGGCAATATCATCCTCGTCACTCAGGCCTTCAAGCAGCTCGTCCTCCAGCCCCGCTCCTCCCGAGGCGCCGTTCGCCGCGCCGTTCTTGCCCGCGCGCTCGGCCTCCTTGGCCAGTGTGTCGTCGTCCTGGTTGAAGGTCTTGCGCATCTTGTTGATGTGCTGCCGCTTGTCAATCATGTTGCGCACCTTGCCGAGGTACGCGGGGCTGTGGCGCAGCGCAAACTCAAAGTCGTCAAACTTGAGCTTCTGCCGCCCGGCGACCTGGGCGCGCCGGCTCGCCTCGAAGCACACGCCCTCGAGGAACTCGGTCACGATCTCGTCGGCCACGCGGACCGTCTCGGGGAGGGGCTTTTCGACATCGCCGTACGCGAAGAGGAGGTTGGCAACTGTATGATAAGAAGGACCCAAGGCGGGCGGTTGGGTCAGTAGACGAGAACAACAGGTGGGTGGAAAGCGGGCGCGGTGATGTTTTGACGAGTGGGTTAGAGGAACTGACCTTCTTTCGGGTTGAACGTCTCCTTGCCGACGTTCTTTCCCGCGCGGGCTCGGGGCTCCATCTTTGTGTGGTTCGGGTGTGGGATGCGCCGCGCGTAAAGTGGTGAAGGTGGCGCGGACAATAGCCGAGGGGAGTTGGTTTGTTTCGTGGCTTTGATGAGAAGAACGTTATTGTATGCGGCCGTGAAGTAGCAGTGAGCGGCGTTGTGCGGGTCAAGTGCACGGCAGGACGAGGACGGTAACAGTTGCACGCGCTGCGTCTGCGATGACTGCCTGAGGTTGTCGCGACGAGCTTGCCGGGGCGCGGACAAGGCTGAGGCTCGGATGTGCAAGGCTAACCTAGGAAAGCGGCAGAACGCGACGACCAGAAAATGACGTGGAGGCCAGATTGCGGGCCTCAGTCCCCACCAGTGCCGCGTACCTCGTACATGGCGTGGCTGCCAAAATATCTCCCACTTGCGGCAGCATAAAGGTACACACTACTTGAGCCCACCACGACCGATAGGAGCTCCCTAGGTGCACTTTGGCAACATTGAAACCTCCCCGTCCCTGAACATCGGCCGTCACCCAAGCACATTGAGCGCCTGTCTGCATAACCACGAACGAGATACCACAGTGCACCGCCCCGGACGCGCTGGTCTGATTCCGACCAGCATAGGCCACTGCCCCGATACGACTTTGCAACAACACACAAAGAGCTACCTCGAGTCTACGCCTTCCAACCCAGCAAGATGGTGAGTGTCCCTCCCCCTCCCACCCTGGAGGGATTCGAGCCTGCTGCGACAACACAGCTAACGTCTCACACCGTTCCGACAGTCTGCGCTCTTCAACTTCCAGTCTCTCCTCCTCGTCCTGCTGCTCCTGATATGCACATGCGCCTACGTGCACCAGATCTTTCCGACCATCCTCGACCGGAATAAGCAAGGGTCAGTATCCGGTCGCGGCTCCCAGTCCTCCCACGCCGTTCTGCTGCTAGACTACGATGGCGTAGATCGCGGCATATGTAGACGCCAAGCTAACGTCGGATGTGCCTGGAACTAGTGTCATGGGCATCTTCTGGAAGGCCGCGCGGATAGGCGAGCGTCTCAGCCCATATATAGGCCTCTGCTGCGTCGTCATGGCCGTAAGTTGCAATCACAGCCTCCAGGTTGCCCGCCGCTTACACTTTTTACCATGCAGGTCTCCGTCATGCTCAACTAATCACGCTTTGGAACACACATCATAACGATGACAACGACGACGACCATGGGGGCGATGTTCTTCTTTGCTGGGTTTTATATCATTGCGCACGGAGTTAATTGGTTATGAGGGAGCGAGCGCCAGGAGGGGGAGGGGGGGATTTGTTGTGCCCATAAGGACAGCACAGCGCCATTGATTGGGGCAAGCTTGTGGTGCTGTATCGAGTCATAAAGAGAAAGACTGGCTGTGCAACCGAGCATATCGGCAATGGAGGTGGTGTGCGGAATGGCCACGAGGGGCTTCACACAAAACTTTTCATCTGTTGTGTTTTGGCAATGGTTGACTATGGGTAGCTTGACCTCGCGACTTTGCGATCCGCTCCCAGCCATGTCTTGGTGATGGATTTCTAGATGAGAGAGCGACCAGTCTGAGGATGGTCGACTAGAAGACATCTACCGACTATGAACACGATGGAGAGCATGGCCTATGCTGTCTGGCCTTCTAGCTCGACTTTGCAAATTGCAAATTTCGCTTCTTTTCAGCAACAACTTTACGGAGCGATCATGTACTGTGCCTCTCTCTGGTTGACAATCACGGGCGGTGTCTGGAGCTTCCAGCAATTTGCAAGATGAACCATGGTAGTGTAGCCGAAGTCATCAACATGCGGACCTGGAGTATCTCTTGAAACTTGTCGCCAGTTGATATCTATCGTCGTTCCAGAGAGTGATGGAGGTGACAGGTCGTCTGAGCTGGTGTCTAATTGCGCTCTTCTGAGTCTCAGGATCGAAATTGGGTGAACTGGGTGCTCTCTGGATGTGGCCTTGAATTTCACTCAAGAATAACAGCAAGCCTGGGAGTGAGACTGGTCCTGAGTCCATCATAATGGCTTTGTTCTGTAGCGTAGAGTTTCTTCTGTTCCCGTGGAGGCAGATGAGAATGCAGCACTCGTATGAGGATTGTGATGACAACACAGCAGCTGATGATACCCGCCACTAATTTGAAGCTTTGTCGATGTCAGACGCAGCAATATACGATCTCTGGTTTGGCGAGGCACGACAATATCCGTACTCTCGGATACACACTGAGGATTATCTGAGTTCCAGATCAGTAGTGTCCGCGTAAGGTCACGGTGTGCCCTGATGTCGTTGATTATCTAGTTGACTGGGAAGCTAGTTGGACGATGCGACGACCACAGATCCGGGAAGTTTTGAAGGCTCTAACCGCGATCGTGCGCGCCCATAATTATTCCTTGGAAGGCTCTTTTTAATGACCACCCTGAACGAAGTTCGTCACATTGGACGTTGGCACAGTGTCCGCTATAAAGGTTTGAGCATATGCCTAAAGACGTGATTATGAGCCGCAACCTGAACGGTCCGCAACATGCCTTGGATATATCTAGTGGCCCGATGCTTACGGGCGATCCATCTTGCCAAACCATGTTGCTTTGTTGGCTGCAAATCGTCGAGGTAGCAGCGCCCCTTTGAGGTTTCAACACTCTTTTGATAGTAGGTTCGGGCATTGCAGAATGTCGAACCAACGTCCTTCGTCCAGGAACCTGGGTCGAAGCCCACGAGCAATCTTGATGAGGGCCACCAAAACGCGCCCAAAGCAGATTACTCCAATGCCACACAACTGTACTTGCAGATTATTATGCATAGCCCATAACAACCAGACCTTTACGTGGGCGAAACCGGCTACTTTCTTCCAACGTGACAAGACCGTTGAGCTTTGACCTGCAACAGCTTCCGCGCTCTGATTCCCGGATCACGGGCAATGTTTCTATTTCGAGCCACGCGGTCACCCAGTTTCCTCCCCCCACAAGAAAGAACCGACCTGGTGCTTTGAAGCTAGAAGCCCCAGTAGCGCCATCTAGTGGCGGCCATGATGCAGCGCGTGTGTTTGGCGCTTGTGAGGCGCCGCCGGGCACACGGCCCCCTTTTAATGGATATACAGGTGAACCCCGGTTATGCGGAATAAAGGAGACATTCCGTTCAATCCGCTAAAATGAGGTATCCGCAGTATTGAGGGGAGGTCATTCTTGAGGTATTTCGCGCCTATCCAGGCTCTGTATTCTACTGAAAGTACATGCGGATATCTCTCTGCTGTAAGGCTTCAATTGATGAGTTCGTAAGTACCCTTTCCTGCTTATTGAGGTAAGAAATGAGGCCAGTATCACCACCTGATTGCTCCTGGTAAAGGCGCAGTCGGCGGAGGGCCTCTAGGGCCTCAACTATGGTGATTCGTGGCTCAATTTCAAGCTCAGCATTATCGTCGTCGTCGTCGTCGTCGTCGCTATTGCCTGCCGGGGTAAACTGGTCGAGAATCTGCTGGTCAAGGTCGTCGGATTCTTCAGTCAGATTCTCGTCAGCCGGGTTCAGGAAGTTATGGATGTTCATCACCTCCTTGACGTGATGATTAGCCTGAAGCCTCTGCAAGCCGTACGTAATCTCGCGAACGGCTTCTTCATGAGTAGCAGCAATTGCTGCCTCAAGTGTGGCCTGCTGGGGGTCTCTAGGGGCCTCCATGAGGCCTTTCTTGAAGCACTTCGTGATAGTTTCAGGAGTCACATCTGGCTCCCAGGCCTGGATGCCCCATCGCAGAGCCTTTAGTACGTTCATTGTACTAAGAGGGTCTCTACCGGCGTCATATTCCGACAGCATATAGCGTACCCAGTACCGTCGCCAGTGAGATTTCCAGGCTGCAATGATTCCCTGATCAAGAGGCTGTGTTTTGCTTGTAGTATTGGGTGGCAGCCATATGATAGCGGTGTTTTGTAGGGGGGTCGCACTTGTCAGAATAGCTTCATATCCGGCTTCATGAGCAGAGAAGTTATCCATCAGCAAAATGACGCTTTTACCAGCCATTTGGCGGTCGAACCAACGTAGCCATTGCTCAAATATAGTCCCTGTCATCCAGGCCTTCCTATTGTGAGTCCATTCTAGGTTCATATGGCGGATATCGACCCCCGCAGCGGTGAAGGCGCGAGGCCTTTTTGCCTTGCCAATGAACCATATTGGTAAACGGTCAGTACCTGACCAATTACAGCAGAGATGGGCTGAGATCCGGGCCTTCTCCTTTTTGCGGCCTGGAAGGCTGCGCGTCGAAAGAGAGCGATCCGGAATCATCTTCCAGTAAAGACCTGTTTCGTCGCAATTGTAAATGTCATCATGGGAATACTTCGAGAGGATCTGTCGGATTGAGGCCATCTCCTTCTCAGTATTGACGATATTGACACTGCCTAGCTCTCCATGCTGTACGCGTAGTTTTATATCGTGTCGGCTTTGGAAACGATAGAGCCAGCCGTTCGAGAACTGCGGCGGCTTTTGGTCCTTGTATTGAGGCATTTGCGCCCAGAATTGCCGTGCTTTTGCCTTAATGACTTCGCCCGTGATAGTAATTGAGCTTTCAGCTTGCTGGCACCACATATATAAGGCGCCTTCGAGGTCGCGGTGAGGGTTATTATTGACCCGCGTCAAGTCGAGGGCGCGTGGCTGCTGTAGTGGCTCGCTTAGGTACGCGAAACGGCTGCCGAGGATGTCGGTAATGGAGGATGTCGAGATAGGCTGGTCGTACTGCTTCAGGAACCATTGCTGTAGCTCGATATGGGAGTCTGTCGGACGGAGACGTCGTCGTTCGCGAAGGGCTAGCTTCTGCGCAGTCGAAATGCGTCGCCGCGACGGCTTCAAGTTGGAGGGTGCGGTGGCGCGGGGTGCCATTTCGGGGGGTCAAAACGCGGTCCAAACGCGCCCCTATTTCACTCGGATTAGCGGATTTAGGTGGTGGCGATGGCCTCGCTTTGTGCGTAATCGATGAACGCGAGGGATTAGCGGAATCGCATGTGTTTTGAAAGGAAACAGCCAGTTCATCCGCAGAAGCGAGGGAATCCGCTTATGTGAGGTCCGCATAACCGGGGTTCACCTGTATTGGCGTGCAAGCCGTGCAGATTGCAATATGGTGGCTTGGTAATATCACCATTTCCTGCTTCTAGGGGAGTTCCGTAGAGGCCATGGCGAGACATGTGCGAAACGACGGATAGGCTGCTTGTGTGATCAGGTGGTCAGGTGGTCGTGTGTGTGGTCAGCGGTTGTGACATTCCCCTTGATGCAACTATAGCACATGGATCTGAATAGCCCGACGCCTCGCACCATAACTCTCAAATTTAGTTTAGGTTTCCTTCAACGGCTTGGCCCAGCCGATTGAGCCACTCAGAAGGGAGCCTGCGGCACGCTCCACGCATAAAGGTAATACTATATCGTATTGGAGCAAGCCAACAACGATATGCGGCTCAGCGATCCACCACGACGGCGACGGCGGGTGTTGTGCGAATGACGCAGATGCAGCAAGCATCGCCCCAGTACCAAGGTGTCCAATGTTGCATCCTCCTGCCGCCGTGCTGCTCGCCTTTGCCCTGCCATCGGCGATACCCGAATGCACCATCGCATGCACTGACAAGTTGCATCTGAGCGCCGCTCTCCGCCGGCACGGAAGCTGATGGCCGAAGCTGAAGCACACACAGACACATGCACCGCAGCACAAGCCCGTGACTGCTACTCACTCGTAACAGTAGCACCCAGCACAGAACAATACCACACCCAGACACCAACAACCCACTCGCAGCGACACACGAGCTGTCGTGGGAGCACGGACGTCGTGAGTGATATTTTTTTTTTTCCATTGCTCTCCCACGGCCAGCCCAGTCAGCCAGCCAGCCGCAGTGGCACGGCACGGCACAACGCACGTACACACACACATACACACACACAGCTCAGACGCAAATGCAGCCGCAGCCACGTACGCATGCACACACGCACACACACACACACACGCACAAGGCGGGCAGCTTCAGGCAGGTTTCACCTTTCGGGATATTGGTGGTGGTGGTGGTGGCGACTGTGTGCCGTCTCTTGGAGCTCTGCAGGTATGAAATTATTGCTTGCTGGCTCCATCCATATAGCATGAGGCTTGGGGAGGTCCAGCACACGACATCTGTCAGAGAGCTGAGCACATCATCATCATCATCTATTTCGGGCATATCGCCACCCCTTTACTGAAGAAGAAGAAGAAGATTTTTCGTGTGGCATCAGCCGAAAAACACCAGGATCCTGCAAAACTTGGCAAGTCACCACCCATCTGTGAAGAAAAGGATGATGGGGCTGCTGGCCTGGCGGAACCAGTTGTTGCTGAGATGAGTTGTGACACGGCACAGACACCGGCACAGACACACACACACACACACACACACACACACACCACACGTCTACACATGTAGTCGCAAAGGCTAAAGTATTTCATCCATCTGCGCGGGCCGCGACCGGGACCTACCGACCGCACCAGAGGATAAAAAACAAAAAAAGCATCAAAAACAAATCAAACACATTATGCCAGGTGTGCAGATGTTCCTGATCTCCAAGAGTGAAAGATTGCACTAATCTGCTATCTCTCTGCTTGATTTTCATTTCTTTTTTTTATCTACTCTACTCTTGTTTCACCTCTCCCCCCTCCGCCGCCCTGGCTTTTCCGGGGGGAGGGGGGGGGGGGGGCGATCTATCGTCAGCCAGCCACGCAGCTCAGCCTCAACGTCGTCATCGTCGTCGTCGTCATCAAACGACAACCCCCACCACAAATTCACGACCAATATATTTCAAGCCCACCTTGTTTACGAGGGAGGGGGGGTTGAAGCGACTGTGGTTGTGCGTGCAGGCGCAATGAGCCTAGCAAAACACTTTCCCTCCTTCACGATTTCCCAAGGTAGCGTACTCTGCCAATCTTGGCCGTGGCGTCTGCCCAACAACGCACCAGACACCATGAAACACACGGGCGCCCCGCGCCATGCGCAATGTACCCGTGCTCAGAGAACAAACCAGACAAAGCATTCCCCTGGTGACCAGCGCAGGCCGCCAGTCCCGCGACCATCAGTAGAACAAGAAGTTGAAGGAGACACAACCAAGTTCCCTCATGTTTACAATGGAGCACCTTTCGAGGGGCGGGCTGTTTATGCTGCATGTTTCACATTGCTGCATGCACATCGCTGCACTTCCGGGCACGGCTCAGACACGCCACGCCAGGTCAACAATGTTTGTGGGATGAGCAACAAAAAAAAGATGAAGGAGACATGCAGACGCTCCTGCACGCGCCAACAAGATGTGATTCGAGCATGGCGAATGCTGCATCATTTTGGTCACGCTCAAAGGCAGGGCCGAGCAAAGCCTATGTGCCAACCTTTGTGAGCCAAGAGCGGAATATGTGAGTTTTGTTCTGATAGTCCTGGGCTGACGACAGCGTTGTGTCGAAACGGAGGGAGAGAGTAATATCGTCCCTCCCGCTTGCGGGAGACGCCACCGTACCGGGCGAGAGAACCCATTTGCACGACGCTGGTGTAAACACTTCAAGGACGCAACAAGGTGCGCAAGAGGTCAAGTGCGACCTTTGTTGTTAGTAAATATCACGACGCTTGTCGTCCGCGACCGGCGTGGCTGGATCTGATCCGAGCTTGTGCTGTGGCCGTTCTGCCCACCTCCGCACACAAAGGTTTGCGCCCAGCACAAACACGGTGGAAAAGTTTCCGACAAAGGGCGTGACGTTTCCAGAAAAAAGACAGATGAATGCCCTCTGTCGGTCCGGGTCGGTCAGCGATGTGGCGGGAGGGCGCTCTCTGGAATGTAGCGATGTTGCCAAGAACACGACGCCAGCGTCGGACAGCAACGAAGAAAAATACATGACAACAACAACAAACAAACAAACAAACACCGACAACCACAAACCTTGACCGAACAGGCCCTATCCTCGTCATCCCAAGTCGAACGGAGATCACGCTCGCGTGGGTATGTCGCAGAGGCATGCTGGCCCCGCCCTCGTGGCTTCCGTCTCCCGCCAGCCGGCCCGGCGAGGCGAGTCGAAGCAAGGCGGACATGCCAACGGCCGCCTGGTCCCGATCCATGCACGCAACCCAATTGATGCTGAACGCTTATCCACATTCCTCCGCAAGCACCTGTCGGTGTTATACAACGTAGCGTGTGCTCGGAATAGCCTGCATGGACGTCGTTGTCTGGAGAAATAACATCACCATGCGCTGGGGGGATTGTAGGGACGAATGACAACTACATCCCTCTTTCGGAGTACCCAGTCGCGCCGGTGATTGAGGCTCCGTCTGCGTGGCCACACTCGGAGGATCCAGAGCAATCTCAGATGCAAATGACGGATTCGCTTCGCCCTTGCTCACGAAAGAGAGGTTGTGTGCGTCTGTGCTGTGCCAGCCCCGGGTGGCCGCTTTGCGTGGTATAGCGGGCAATCAACCTCGCGATATCAGACCAGGGTTGCTTGTTGTCTCCGAGATTGCCAACGAACACGGAGTGCGCACGGGGCCCATGGGCGTTGACTAGACCTCGGCCCCACGGTGTCGACGCCTTGGGGGCACAACCCCAGGATCATGGGCCACGACAAGGGACCATGCCCGCAATGATGCTCCACAGCCCATATGTGCAAGCCTTGAGCTCTCGCACCCGTCGTGCTCGCCCCACCATATCAACATTGGCCCATGGGAGATCTTCCTGGTCTCAGCATGGTGTACCTGACAACATTGAGTTTGGCCATGACGCTTAATGCCTTCTGAGAACGGTCCAAAACGACCAGGACATAACCTTAAGCTGTGACTGTTGTGACCTCCCTAATACCTCCGTGGCCAGCACGGGCTCATTCAAAAGCCCACGGGATGCTGGGCAGGCCGGGAAGGTGTCTTCTCGTGGATAATGTCCCAGTTCTTGCGAATCGGCAAAGACAAGGAGCATTCGCAAGCCCGTGGAGCGCTTGTCGTATACGCTGTTCGTTGGGTGGCAACGGTGGCAATGTCGCTCAGTGGCTCTCAAGCCAGCATGACTCTGGGCGCCGGCTTTACGTGTCCTGGCCTTGACAAGTGGCTGTACTTCTGCAATAAGCGTGGTGGCGGGTCCATACAAGTGTGAGGTCGTCCGTTTAGCGGGCGGCGACTGGATGCGATGTGCTTGGAAAACGGCAGCACGAGCAAATTGAGTTGGAGGGCGGACGAGTCAGGAGCGCCCAAGTGTGCGTGCAGCTCATCTGCATCGGACACTCTCCAAGGCGGGCCCACTAGAACCACGTTGATGAGGTACCCACGAAGCCATGCCATTTCAGCTGAGGGATGTGGTACCCCAGCCGGTTTCGGGCGCGACGCCCGGCCACAGTCACACTCCAGGGCTGGCCCTTCCCATGGCAGCTGGGACCTGCTAGCCTGGGACCCTCTCCGAAGCCACCGTACCGGCAAATCGCATCTCGGCCTCGTGTGGGTTCGGGGTGTGGAGGTTTTAGAGTCGTTCTCGAAGGGTTCTGCCAGGTTGTCAGTCCCACGAGTGCAGGGGCCGACGAGGTGTGGGCTTCTCACGGTTCCCAGCTTCCGGTCCCTGCTTGCGGCAGTCGCTGCGGCTCATTTGTTCATTTGCAGTGGTCATGTCGCTCGCCAACGCAACAGAACAATCGCTGGTAGGGTACCGAAATCTCGGATGCCCAGTCTCACGCTTGCTGCTTGATGCACACGGAAGCGTGCACGGCACGGCACGGCACGGTTTCGATGTCGCGTCATTGCGGGCAGTTGCAGCGATGGGATCGCAGGCGAGCCTGTGAACAGAATAAACCAGACAGTGCTGCTGTACAACTCGGCTGTAGCTTGACCATCCTTTTCTGACCACAGCCCCGGCAGGGTTGGAGCCACTGTCACTCACATCACCCGTCGAAGGCCCCCAAATTTGGGGTGGGTGGATGGCGTATTGTGGGCCGGAATAATAACGACCGCCGATAAGTCGTCACGAGGCGTCGCATCGCGGGAGGAGCAATTCAACTGCCTCCACGGGGCTCGACTGGGGCACATCGGTCGGCCTCCTTGGCTATGCTGCACGTCTGCGGCGAAGCGCTGACTGTTGTAGCCGTGAGGCACTCACCATTCTGATGATCCGCTCCTGCTCTCCATTTGTCCCGTAATCGACAGTGTTGTGGTGCTTCTCGGTGCCCCCCTTGCCTTGCCTAGACACAGCGCGCAAGAATCCTAGACCTTGAAGCCTGAGGAGAAGCATCGATTCAACATCGCGGCCAGCCTTTTCCGGGACGTTAGGGCGACATACGAAGGGAATTGTCTCAATAGACGAGCTTCGTGATGCGTGCATGTTTAATAGTGGGTTGGTATGGGGGGCTGAACGCGCACGGTTGTTATTATTGGTGAAGATCGTGGTTTGCCGTCGTACCTGGCAGTGGCCCGTTGTCGGGAAGCGAATCCGTCCGTCCAGACAGTGGGGGATGAGACCCTGCCGTTATTGCATTCTTGTTATGGCCAATAGTCAGTCTCATGCCCTTGCATTCCATATTCGTCGCCCAGGGTATCCTCAACAGGCCTTTTGCAATTGGCAGGTCGTGTTATCGGACACACAATCAATATCGAGCAGACGTGGGAGGCACACGCATGTCGAGCGCTGTGGTGTCATGCCCGTGGCGAATTGTACCACGGCAGACAAGGCTTGCCACTTGCAAAGTAGGTCGAGATTGGTCTGTAATGTGAGGTACACTAACACACCTGGACGGGATTGGGCTTGGCTTCACGTTCTCGTCCCATCTGGCCTGTCTCGTTTTAGCGGGACCGCCACATGTCGTGTGCAAAAGGGCGGCGGCGCGCAGCGATGAGGTTTCGGCACACCGAAGCGGAGGCAAACCGCCCTGGACGCCAATCGTTTCGGAATCTAGCCTCGTCTGGTCCGCTTTGGCACTCGCTCCGACGACCAATCGCGCAGGGCCACACTGTTCAAATCCCAGTGCAATGCTGAGGCCCGTGTGAGCGAGTGATGCCTTTGTCCAATGATCGACATGGGTAGGGCGGCACGTAAGAGTGCTGCGTGGGAGGTATCGCAATGTGGGTAAACCGTCGCGGAGCTGGCGACATTCATGCCTGCTAATCGAGGCTTCGCAAAAAGATTCCCTTGGTATGTGGCTGCTCGAGAGAGTCGAGAAGCTCAACATCCTTGCGCCGGGCTGGCCTTTCTCCTTGCGCCGGGTACTTCGGGGTGAGGTGCTCTCACCTTACACCATGGCGGAGTCGGCACAGTCAGGGCTATTTGAAGCTTCACAGTCATCTCTGGACCAACTTTTGAGAAGGCTGGCGAAGCATTGAAAGCCACAAAGAGTCGTTGTAGTTGGTGCTGTGGCGCTTGTACAGAAGTACCGCCATGTACCTAAGCGCGCCCACAGGTGTCTTTCATCTAGTTACCGTGTCCAGAGCAAAGGCGCTTCAGTGGTGCATTTGTGTTCACATGCACCCATATGCTGCTTGGCCAAGAAGCATTCATAAGAGCGCAGTACTATGCATCGAAACCTGCTTCAAGTTTTGATGATTTTCACGGAGGGGCAAAGGCGTCTCAGCTCCGTGCTGGTGCGAAGGATTTGCTTCAGGGGCATTGGCGAGCGAAGTGCAAAGGCGCGTGTTGCAGAGTCACCTTCTTGTTCGCAAGGCCAGAGGGATTGGGCCCGCTGCAAATGGTGGATCAGCGCGCCGCCTGCAGGGGATTGCCGTGTGATGGCCCATGTTGATCATAGCACCAATGTCGAGAGTGACTGGGACTCGAGTGCAGCAACGCCGTGGCCATGCCGGCCACTATCGAGGCAACAGTCTAACAAGGTACCCTCTCTGTAGAAGTGACCGAGTCGCTTCCAAGTTGGGCAGGTTTGGCTCGATGTGCCAGGCCGTGTCGCGACCAGCCACTGGCTGGCGCCGTCTCGCACACTTGTCTCTAGTAGGCCGATATGGACCCCCTGAGCAGCCCCTGGGGAGCCGTCGGCACTCCCTGGAACCGTCCGCCTGGCGTGCGGGCAATGTGGCGATCTCGAATTGACTCGGCGGGCGGGCATCGTGGGCTCGAGCCACCGACTTTTGTCGACGAGGACACCAGGCATGCAGGAGCGCCTGCAGTCAGCCAGTGCACAACGAGCCGCAATGTGACGATGACAGCGAGGGAGCTGGACCACGGGCGGGCGCCGGAATAGGGCGGAGAGGCGGCTGTCTGGTGTTAAGGTTGGAGTTTGAGAGATCCCGGCTTCGTCTTGTCGTGCTAGATCCGTTCACGGGACGGGGTGGAGCGGCGTTGCGGAGCCGGCAGGGCCGCGAGGTCATGGCCATGGTCCTGGCGGCATTGAAAAAAGCCTTCTCGTGAGGGCAGTGATGGTGCAATTGGCACGCTAGACGGAAAGGCATCACCCAAAGGACGGGGTGGTGGCCATGCTGAGCTCACTCAGAGGGCGAGGCGAGGGCCAGTGGCCACCTCCTGCAAAGGTCATGGGGTGGTGGTGGGAAAGGCCCGCCCACCACCTTTGGTGGATGGTCGTGAGGTTGTACCTGCCTGCCTGCGGTGAAGCCCACGAGTTACATGGCCGGTACGCCAACGCAGGCAGCGCGCTAGCTGGCGCTTCTAATGCAGGTGCATTACTAGGGAAGGGTGGGAGGGTTGCAAGCATCAATGCTGCCCACGCCTGCCCTCCCCAATCTCTCGCCCTGCATGCATGCAATCCCTCCCTACGCTAGCCCAGAGGACCCTGCGGTTCCTGACTTGCCCGCTGCTGTCAATTTCCTTCTAGCTTCCCATGTGGCCACCACCACCACCAGGCCGGCCCCGGCGTTCTCGCCTGGCCCGCACACCCCCCTCCACACCCCTTCCCCTTACCACGATCGCTATCACTCGCGGTTGCGACCGCACTCCAGCTGTGGTGCTGTCGCTCCTGGACCGCCCCCCCGTGCCCTCCTTTTTCTTTATAGCAGAACGACCTCCTCCTGCCTCGCTATGCCTTGCTCGTTGACTTGTCTTCTTCCCCCTGCTTCCCGATTTCCTTAATTCCATAGACGCCCTCGTCAACGCTCGCTGGCTCTACAGCACAGTCACGCTGCCTCCGTAATCGGTCTCTCTCTCTCTCTTCTCTCTCACACAGTCTCTCTGTCTCTCTGCCTTCCTCTTTCCTTGGCCGCATTCCTTCCTGGACAGGACCTCTCACCCCCTTGCAAGAGACAACCTGGCAGAATCAACGCCTACGCCACCCTCGATCCCCAGCACTCCTTTCTGGTAGAGGAGCAACAGGCGTCGGATACGCCAAGTGAGATTCCAACACGACGGGGCACCATAATCACCGGTAAGTACCAGACAGTTCCATCACCAGGGCCGGGTATTTCGCCGTGGGCTACCGCTCGACTCTCATGGTCCGGTTCGATCGGTCGTTCGCCGGCCTTCATGCCGGCTGCCGGGCTGGGTAGGACACAACATGGCTTGTACCCGCTTGGGCACTTTTACCAGCCGGCTGTTCGACCTGTTCAAAGCACCGACACTCTCGAATCACACAACCGCCCGTGCGCTGCAAGCAACCGTGTTCACGAGACTCATCCGTACCCCCCTACCTACAGCGGCCCAACCGTGGCCATTGTTTGCCCAAGGCATGCCATATATAGGAGAAGATGCCCAACTAACATTTATGCTTCTGCAGGTCTGTCGATCGATCCGTGCCAGTGTATAGCGCATTTCACCAGAGAGCACGCCTTGGCTCCAGCGAACCAAGACTTCTCTCCAGTCGCTCTTATCTTACTTCTCATAATGGACGGACACGGAGTAGGCGGGCGGCGCGAGTCCGTATCGCAGCAGCAGAATTACCGTGACGAGCAATCTATGCAGACCACCACAGAACAGCAGCCTTCTAGCACCGAGGCCAAGGCTCCGTCTCGCATCAGTCAACCAAAAGTCATCCCAGCCGTTTCTGGGACAAGCACGCCTGTCGAGATCGGAAGCCCTTCGCCTGCTACCACACTATCGTCCCGACCTGGACCGTCAAGTCAAAAATCAGACTACTTCTCGAGTCGGAGGAAGCTCGAACCTCCCGTCACAAGAGCCACACTGAGCGAGCTGGATGTCCACAAGATCGTTCACAATCCGAAGCTCCACCACGACATCAACTTTGACCCCGAACTGCATTTCCGTCCCAATCTTGACGGCGAGAAGGGCCAGAAGAAGCAGGCGAGAGCACAGCAGTTTTGGCAGTCTCTGGCTTCCCAGCTCAGGATGTTCATGACTGATCGTGACAGCTTCATGAGCCTGTATGGGCAAGGCCAGGAGTGGTGCTTGCCGATGTTGCTCTCCTCAGTAAAAGACATCATCAACACTCTTGTGCCACACAAGGATCGCGAGCAGCTGGCCGAAGGCCTCAACGTACCACACATCATGCAGCAGTTTGCGCACGGCATGGCCGACCTGGAGAAGTTGGCGTCATGGCTCTCGGGCGTTCTCAAGTCTCACTGTGCGCCTATGAGGGACGAGTGGGTAGACGAGATGTACACCCAGCTCACCAACGGCAACCGGAACAACGATATCGACGAGCTTGTCAAGGGGATGCGCAGTCTGCTGAGCGTTCTCGAAGCTATGAAGCTCGATGTTGCCAACCACCAGATCCGTTGCCTCCGCCCTGTCCTGATCGAGGAGACAGTGGCATTCGAGGACCGCTTCTTCCGGAAAAAGCTGCGTGAGGGCAAGTTCGACGCCACAGCTGCCAAGGACTGGTACACCCGGATGAGCGAGCGGACTGATCAGCACCACCAGGGCTCTGCACAGGCCTTTGGTGACATGGCCATCTTCTTTGAGTCGATCGTTGAGTTGATCATGCCTTCCAGATCCGAGGCGTTCCCCAACACATTCCTCTTTGATGAAGAGCGGATGTCAAAGCTTCGCTCCGACATGCTTGACGCCATCAACCTGGAACTCTGCATGCGCCTCTACGACAAGCTTGACCGGGCATCGCCTACATTTGAGCCCACTGCCACGACAGGGGCGGCCTTACCCCTGGACCTGGTCATGGACGATGACTCGGACTGCCAGTCAACTTCATCCGCACGGTCGAGCATGGTGTTCAGCTCTGCCGGCTCTCCGCATGCCAGCCCTCGCTCCTCGCTCGTCTGCCCGACAAGACCCGCATCAACGCGGCCTCAAGATCGCAAGGTGAAGAGCCAGGAGCTGTACGCCTCGTTGGTGTCCCTGCTCCAGTCCTGCCCTGCCACGAGTCAACCGGCCCAGCGCTGGCAAGCCATGAAGGACTCTCTTGCTTTGCAGATCTTCCGCTTCTCGGATGCTCCTACCAGTGACCTCATGATGTTTGAGGACATGCTCGACCTCCATCTCAGCGAGACAGCCTCGGAACTATTCCAAGAAGTCGAGAAAGACTTCCGTCGCCGCCTTGTGGTCGAGTTGCAACAGCGCGTCAAGACCTTCAAGAACCTCGGTGCCGTCTCCCTATTCTCGGTAGCCACGGGTGGTCGCCTGCCGTCAAGCGGCCGTGCGTCTACTGGACCGTCTGACGCGTCCATTCGGGGCCGCGCCCGCAATCCCAGCGACGATGGGAGTGTCGCAGACATGGCCACTCGCCTCGCACACCTTGGTCTTCTCCACTGGCGTGTATGGGGCCCTCTCGTCTACTGTGACGAGGACACTGACGTCGAGATGTCGTGAAGACGATCTCTCTCAGTCAATTTTTGGCGCTTTACAACGTTGCCACTCTATCATTTTAATACGCCACTAGCGTCATTCGCAAGCCATCAACTCCTGACTCGCTTGCGTCCACTGCTTTACACTGCACAGCATTAATCGGTGTTTGGGGGGTCAACTATTTTTTTTTTTTTTCACATGTCTTCATTGGGGACGGTTCTCTGTTTCGGAGCTTTTGTCGTTTGGGTTGTCTGCGAATGATACACAAGTTATCGGTGCTTGATTACAAGTTTGGTTTTCTGGGGGCGAACTGCGAAGGATTGCCCGCAAGAAGTTCTCGCCGCAGATCTGGCTTGTCTGGCCATATAGAGAGACTGCCACCAAAGTATATACATAGAATAGAACGAACCGTTTGTTCTCATCGTATGTCGAAGCCTCTCATGAAGCAATCGCGATGTCACATGTGTGCGGATGGTGGTTCTCTCCCATGTGGCCATGAAGACCTCGTCGTCTTCGTGTGCTTTGGCTGGATCTGCATGATGCGACATGATTGAAAGTGAGCTTCTGTACAATAATCCAGCGCGCTTCCGGGCACCTTTTGGTTGTCCATTTGGGTATGTCTTTGTCCCTGAGAATGGCGCATGGGAATGTCACATCCAAAGTTATGCGACGTAGTAATCAAGGATTGACAACAACCGGCCGGCGCTGATGTTGGATACAGCCTTTTCGACCTTGCGCCACGCAGATACAGCTAGTTCTCTTCACCGGAGCCTGCCGCCAACAGATACGCACACGACCGGCTAGTTGGGATAAGGCCTTGGTTCGTTTGATATGTTGCATATGCTGCGATGTTTTAAAGTCCCATGTTGGAAAGCCATCTAGATTATGGCTCTGGAGGCAAGACACGAGGGTCAAACCGGGTTGAGCTCAGGGTCATGAGACCCGCGAAGGGAACGACACGAAGATCAAATGTCCCAAGAAGGTATGTGCTTGATCTGTGTCTCGTCGGAGACGTTGTGCGGGGAGAAGTACACGGCTAAGTAGTTTGCATTTCACAAATAAGAGCATCACAGGAGATTCTAGCCGGGCTGACATCATGTACATGGCGTCGTGTTGCAAGGCGATCACAGATTTAGTCTCATGACGTCGCGGACGTTGGCTCGTTTTCAGAAATAGATTAGCAGCCGAGAAGCACAATGCCCTCCGGATACTGGGTTCGCGAGCTCATCCGTATGGCGGAGGGGGAAGATGTTCACGTTCAAGTTTTGTTCGGCACTGTCCACTTGGATCGGACGAGGTTGGTTCGCGAACATTTCTCAGGCGTTCATGGTTCCGTGTCTGGGGGCGAACTCGGGATTTAGTGGATTTCATCTTCAATTGTAATGATACGTGCCCAGGTAACTATGCATGCAGGTTCAGAGCTGGATGAATCCAGTGGATCAGGTGTATCTCGATTAGTAGTAAACCACATTTGTGGCCTTTTCTCTGCTTCCTTGCCACCTTCCCGCTCGCCTTTCAGACCGTTCTTGCCAGCTTCCAGATAGAATCTGTTCCAGTGCCTCAGCTGCTTCTTGTGGGCATCGTCTTGATCCCAGGTAGGCTTGATGGCATTGATAACGCCGCATTGTCTTGAATAGATGGAGGTTTGCTCGCGAGAAGGCTGGTAGTGAAGTTGTATCGATTTTATGTGTACCCTACTGTGAGGCCGTTGTTGCCTCCCCGTCATGGCATTGTGCAAAGTAAAACTGGCGTCATTATGTACGACCAGGTGTTATCCTCACCGCTGAGCCCAGAAGACTTCACTTAGGAATAGTGGATAGCATCTAGGTTTATGAGCTGCTACGCTCGTTTATGTTCGAGGATACTTTGTTCGTCGCGTGAAAGAAACATTTGCCATCGTGCTTATTTCACACGTCACACAAGCACAGCCCCATCTTCAACTGCAGTGGCGAGCAGAAAATCGTGATACAAACGGCACACCAAGCGGTACCTCTAGCAGGCTCTCGGATGTGCTAACAGGTGTTGTCTCGGCGAGGCCGTGGACTCGCCATCAGGCGGGCGGCGGTGGTGGTGGTGGCGGCGTGTAATCCTGGACAGAAACCCGCCTCCACCGAGTCATTCCACCGACGCTAAGACAAAATCTTGCAACATTGCAATCGCATAACACCCGCCTGCTTCACTCTCTGAAATCCATTTCCCGATCAAAGGAAACCATTATATTTCATGATGCGCGGGTGAATTTGGCGGCGCCTGCCGGACGTCCGGCCGGAAATGCGTGCAACCGCAACCTCCTCTGGTTCCGGACCTGGGGGGGCCAAGGTTCCTCCGGAACCCACCATCCCTGTCCATCACTTTTCTCACAATATATTCCCAAATAATTGTCCCGCTTCTCAACAAACCAGCCACATCAAATTCGGACGTCCAACATCCGGAACAGGCACTTTGGCGGAGTGGTTAACGCGATGCCCTGCTAGTATACCCCTGGTAGTCCGCCCGGACTATACAAGGGTTCTATCGTGAGGCATTTCCTTCGGGAGCGCAGGTTCGAATCCTGCAGGTGTCGAGCATATACAGCTCACTCAGCAGTAGCTGAGTTTCTTTTTTGGTTTCCTTGGGACTTGTGGTTGTTGAGTTGTGAATTTCCAAAGATTCGTGTGTAGGGGTCATGAGTTTTGTGTGTTTTTTGCGATTATGGCTGCATCTCGGCATGGTTGCTGCTATTTTGCGCAGTCTGGGCTAGGTCGTTCATTGCTCCTTCCCCCAGACTGGTTTCTGGAATTCCCCGGAATTATTTGCGCATTTTCAAGGAGGGTTTGTTGACGTAGACTTTTTTTTTTCATCTTTCTTTTTTCTTTTCTACAGAGAGCTTTTCATCGAATAATTCGCCCATAACGTGTTCCTTCATCGATCTTTTATTATAGCGCGATTCTCCAGGTCCGAAAGGACAGAGAGGCGCTCCCGCATCGTCCGCGCATCGAACGCGCGGAATGGCAGAGCCGATGGTTATCGTGGGGGCTGGTGCCGGGCTCGATCAGAGTCAACACCACCCGCACGCGGGCCGCAGCGCAGAGGCGCCGCAGGCGACACGCGCGCACACCGAAGGCGACACTGAGGCGAGCGTTCGAACGCAGGACTCGACCGTCGAACAAGAAATAGCCGACGTCTTTGGGATTGAGGATAAGGCGCGCCTCCACGACCTCCTCGAGAAATTCTACGCCCTCCGCGTGCGGCGCGACCGAGCCTCGAGCGCGACGCGTACCCACACGACCGACAAACACATCGAAGCCATTATCGCGAAAACCGTACAAGCAACCATCGACGCACAGGAGAAGAAACAGAAACCCACATGGGCCGCGGTCGCGTCGAGCGCGCAGCTTAGTAGCAGCGCATGGCAACCCCGGGTTGTCGTCCCTGAACGCAGGGAGAGACAGGCGATAATATCGGCCCCCGAGGGAAATACACTCCCTGACAGGGACCCCAAAGCCACGGTAGAGGCAGTGAACGCGGCCCTGCGCGGCGGAGACGCCGTAGCAGCGATGCGCCTTCAATCCGGCGATGTTATGATTACCTTCGCGAGCAAGGCAGCTAAGCCCGGACGCGACGACCAGTGGGTGGAGGCGGCCTTCGGCCGGGGAGCGGTCCTGAGGCACCGCGAAGTCGCGGTGATCGCGAAGGGCTTGCCAACGGCGCTACTAGCGGCTGCACACGACGAGCGCGCTCTAGCTGCGCATCTAGCGACGGAGAATAAGGTGGGCATTACGAGGTGCAAGAGGGACCTCCCCAGGAACAACCAGGCAGCAAGCGCGTCGCTTATTATTTTCACGAACGGCGTAAGCGCAGCGCAGGAGCTGGTCCAGCGCGGGTTAGTCTGGCAAGCTCGGATCTTCGACTGCGAGCCCTACGACCCCAGCCTCCGGTTCCTCCAATGCTACAACTGTTACGGTTACGGCCATCGAGCCCGGGTATGCAAGGCTAAGCCGAGGTGCGGGCACTGCGGCGGCGCCGCGCACGAAGGTGGCGAAAAGAACTGCACGAAGGCGGCGCCGAGCGCCAGAAAGACATGTGTTAACTGCCAAGGACCACACGCGGCGTGGGACCGGCGCTGCAGAGCAGCGCAGACGGAGCGCGAGCGAGTCCGTGAGGCGTTCGCTCACCGGGCCCGCCGCTTCGAGGTGGCCGACAGCGTATCGACCGTGTCGGCACTCCGGAGTGAAAACCACACTACGGTACCACCAACGAGCGCCCGCGGGGAGCCCGCCCCGACAACGACGCGCGACGAGTGGCAGGTCGTACAGGGGAGAGAACCCTCAAGGCCCCGCGGCCGCCCACGGAAGCAAACAGTATCGAGCGTCGGGGGGAGCCAGGACAGGGCCATAACGTCAATGTTCACTGCGCCCGCGAAGCGAAGGCGCGGCGATGGAGGATCGATCGCAGCACCACCGGAGACGAGCTCAACCCGATCAACATGAAGCTCTCAGTCCTATACTGGAATACCGCAGCAAGCAGAGAGAACGCAGCGCTCGCGCTAGAAAGCCGCGCCGAGTACGACGTCATCGCGATACAGGAGCCCTGGACCAACAGGGACACAGGGGGGGTCTACTGCCCCAGCCGCTGCCGCTACATAGCGGTCTACGAGGGAGGCAGGGCGGCGCTATATGTGCATAAACGACACGACCCAGCTACGTGGGCGCAGCGCGGGGGCACCGACTGGTGCGTCGTTACCTTCGGAGCCGAGAACGCGGCGATACATATATGGTCCATCTACTCCCCGAACCAGACGGACCCGGAGAGCTGGGACAGCCCACTACGCGACCTCCCCGAGATGGCGCCGCGTGGGCGGCACGTACTCGTAGGGGACTTCAACACCCACCACCCGCTCTGGGACTTGCACGGCCGGACCTCTATCCACAGCGCCGCGCTCCTCGAGTTCGCGCAGCGCTGGCGCCTCGAGCTAGCCACGCCCTACGGGGAAATCACACGACAACGCCACGGTCATAGGGATTCAACGATTGACCATACGTGGGCCTCCAGGGACATCAGGGTCGCCTTCGAGGGGGATGCAGGGCTTGAAGGGTCCGACTACCGTTCGCAGCTTATACGCATCGCGGAAGCCGCGGTCCCGCAGGGCCCGGAGCCGGAAGGATGGAACTGGAAGATGCTCGACAAGAAGATGGCCTAACTCGAGGCGAAGCGACGATTCGAGGGCATGCCGCCCCCGCTGCTCACGCCCGCCCAACTCGATAGCAGGGTGGACTGGCTAATCCTACAACTTGAACAAGTTGCGAACGCGGCGGTACCGAAGCGCACACGATCTAAAGGCGGGGGGGCGGACTGGTGGTCACCCGAGGTGGAGGATGTATGCGACAAGGCCAAGGCGGCTAGGAGAGAGTATATAGCACGACCCGGCCCCTATACTTGGCAGAGGTGGCAAGACGCGACACGGAACTAGAAGACCACGATCGGCGACGCGCAGGCGAGGCGGTGGCGCCACTGGCTCGCTGTCGCATCGGAAAGGGACCGCGATATATGGGCTCTCGAGAAGTGGGCGCGGCTCCGAAGCTCCGCCCCGGCAGACTCTGGGAGAATCCCCGACCTACAGCGCAGCGCAGACGATACGCAACTAGCGCGCACGTACGAGGAGAAGGCTGGGGTTCTTGCGGCCTGATTCTTTCCAGCACCTATTATCACACACGGAGCTAATGAGCCGGGACCTACCCCGGAGAAATCCATCGAGATCGAGAGGCGGGTGAGCACCGAGGACGTAGCGCAGAAGCTCCAAAAGACGTCGCAGTGGAAGGCCCCTGGGGTTGACCTTATCCCGTCAGGCCTACTCCTACACTGCGGACCACCGCTGCACCAAGAACTCGCATACATCGCGGACGCCTCCTTCGCACTAAGCTATTTCCCGCAGCGCTTCCGATGCGCCCGCGTAGTAGTTATACCTAAGCCTGGAAAGACGAAGGCGCAAAAGGGAACGGTAGCAGCCTGGCGGCCCATCTCGCTTACTAGCACAATTGGAAAGCTCCTTGAAGCGATACTAACTGAGCGAGTCGCACTCGCTGCGGAAACGCACCTTCTGCTCCCACAAGGCCAGATGGGCAACCGCGAGGGCCGCTCCACTGAGCTCGCGGTCAAGCTCGTCCACGACGTAGCGCATACGACGTGGGCACGAGGCGGCCTCGTCTCGCTACTTCAGCTCGACATTAAGGGGGCCTTCGATACGGTGGACCATATAAGGCTTCTCCAGGTGCTCCGACGAAAGGGATTCCCCTAGTGGGTAGTCGGATGGGTGCGCAGCTTCCTTGACTCGCGAACGGCGCAACTCTGCTTCGACGGTGCTACATCAGATCCCCTCCCTGTTCGGGCCGGGGTGCCCCAGGGCTCACCGTTATCCCCGGTCCTCTTCCTGCTCTATATCTCCTCGCTATATGATGCACTAGCCGCGTACTCGCAGCTAGTAATCGTCGGCTACGCCGACGACACAAACCTAATAGCCGTCGGCACGGACCCGGCCGATACCGTTCGCGCCCTCGAACGGGCCTGGACTACCTGCAAGGTCTGGGCGGAGGAAATGGGGATGGCGTTTGAGCCAGCGAAGAGCGAACTCATGTATATGACACGCGTACACGCGGCGCCTTCGACGAGCGTTCGCCTTGACGGCGTGGAGGTACAACCGGTCGACGAGGCCAGGTTCCTTGGCGTCTGGCTGGACAGGAAACTCCGGTGGACGGGCCATATAAAAAGGACGAAGGCGAAGATGAAGTCCCAGACCCTCGCGCTCACGAGGCTAGCAGCGACTACGTGGGGATGTAGCCTCGCACGCGCGCGGCAGATATACCTTATAGTAATACGTAGCGCCCTGTCATACGGCGCCAGCGTCTGGCACACCCCCACACCAAGGACCGGCAAGAAAGCGACGGGCCCGAGCAGCGAACTCGCATCGATACAGTCGGAGTGCCTCCGCGTTGTCTGTGGGGCGCCGCGATCAACCCCTATAAAGTACCTTGAGGCTGAAGCCTGCGTCCCCCCCCTGGACCTACACCTAAACTATATCGCCGCAAGCTTCCAGGAACGGATCGAGCGGAAGGATAAAGAGAAGCTTATACGCATCGCGTGCGCGCGAGCGGCGGGTATCGTAAACCGCGCGCTCTGGGCACGCCGGAAACGGAACTCAACGGCGATCAACCTACTGCCGAAACCTGACGAGGTCCTGACGCACCGAGCGGATGCACTCCGCGCGTGGACCCGAGGGTCCTCACCCAAAATCGCACCCGCTGAGGGGTGGGAGGACCGCTGGAGCGCTGCGCGAGCGCAGGGCGCCGGACCATGCGCAGAAGACCGCGCGGCGACTATCAAAAGGCACAAGGGCCTCCTGAAATTCGAGTCCTCCATTCTCATCCAACTACGCACCGGACGACTAAGCACCCGCGCGCTCCTCTACAAGATAGGCGCCCCCGGCGTGACGTCGCCGCTCTGTCGGTGCGAGGAAGCCCTTGAGACTGGGGAACACATCCTCCTCCACTGCGACGCACTTAGAGCGAGCCGGGAAAAGATGTGGCACGACGCCGGTAAGTGCCCGCCGCGCGGGAGCCGCGAGTTAGCAGCGCTACTAGACCAGCCGCAGCTTAGCAAGAAGGTGGCCCGGTGGCTCATCGCGGAGAACCTACTCCCCCACTTCGCTAGAGCGGGCGAGGAGGCCGCGGCACAGGAACAGGGGACGCGGGAAGCACGGGAGGACGAAGCACAAGCGAGAATGCAGCGAACACGAAGCGCAGGCGATGCGGGCACAGGGGCCCCGGGCTGGTTGCCCCGGATACTGAAGCCGACTTACACGACGACCTCCGCGAGAGGGAGCGTCGCTGACGATGCGCACGCGCCCCTAGAAATCACACATACCCAGGAGCTGCACCGGCTTAGAGGCGTGGAGGGAGGCGACCAATCTCGCCCAAAGAACGTCTGGCTGGTGAGAGCCATTCGTGATACGCGACGGAACCACGCAGCGAAGACGCCGCTTAGGCGTACCGAATACGTAGCGTATATTTTTTATCCGGCTTCGGTACGGTTTATTATACGATAGATTTGTAGGCTCGCGAAACCTAACTAGGTAACGCGTACTAATAATAATAATTTTTCTTTTCTGCTATATGTGGTCACATGCTCACTTGCACATAGCATAGAGACACTGTTTTCTGAACCAAGTTCTGTTACTTATTTCACACGGACTCCGGTGGTCACCTTTCTCTTCTCTTTTGCGCAGGTTGTGAATTTAAGCCGCTCCTATGGATTCGGTTTTGTGACTTCTCCTTTTACCGGATCACAACTGCGAGGACAGACATTGTTTGCAAGCCAACGAGAAGCCCTGAAATCCGTCCCCAGGTCTCCTCAATGCCCTCACAATCCAAGGAAAAACAATCACCGAAAAAGAGGACCCTGATCCCCAGCATCCAGAAACAATCGCAGCAATCCAAAGAAAAGATCCGGACCACCGGAAACTTCCAAACATCCCCCAGAACATTCCGTAAATCCGGTCACCCGAGGACCCCCGATGTTTACAACGTCCAAACCACTGCCGAGCTCCCGGTGGCGATAATATGAAGGTGTTCACCAAAAAAGGAAAAAAGAAAAAAGGCACATCATTCCAGCTGGGCGGACCAACCTGCCTGACAAAGGCATACTTTCCCACCAAACACCACAGCTTGGAAACCACCATATGGCCGGCCACTGATTTATCTATCAGCTGGGGACTACATCATCGCAACCACTAGAAAAAGGCAAGCATTTAAAAAGGGGTTGGTGAGCCCGGTGACGATTCAAAACAAAGCTCATAATGGCCTTCATGCGAAGCCAATTCAAGGAGAGCTAAACATCCATGAAAACAACTTTACAAGACTACATCATTCGAGCACCCCAATACGTCAAGATTTCAGTACCCGGCAATGTGCCGTCTAGAGGAAAACTTCGAGAGAGAGAGAGAAGAATGCCCGCTTGCTCTCGTCGATTATGACTTCCTCCTCCTCATCCTCCTTCAAGTGTCGGATATAACTTGCACACTGTCTGACCTGTCCCCTCTGGAGTTCTCACGCCGAGTCCCCCCCCTACCAGGATCACACAGCTCGTACGTGTCATGCACACCAGACACATATATTTACAAACGATAGACAGCTCTGTGGACGTCTCGAAAACACAGACCAGTGTACATTTTCATGCCTACAGACAGATGGAGACAGGACTGACAAAAAGCGCCAAGCAGAATGATGAGGTTTCTTCCAAAAAGTCGAAATCTTTTGCCCGGCAACAAGAAAAAAAAAGTAATCAGGAAAATTTTGACCTCTTGCAACCTGTACTCCAGTCCATGACATTATTTCGACCTCTATACAATGAGAGCTCTCCGCAATACACTTTTTCCCGTCTTGTAAGAGTTTCTTTCTCCCCTCTACTCGTTCGCAGGCTTGTCGTGTCGCGAGTACATCTGGTACTCCAGCATGCTGGAAAAGTCGAGCTTGCCACGCTCGACCTGGGCTCTCGTCGTGTTGAGCATGGGCTCGGGGAGACCCATCGACTGGAGGAAGAGAAGGGCTGTCGCAATTGGAATTAGCATTTGCAGCTTACAACTCGGCCTAGATTACCGGGGGGAAATTGCCACTTACTGTCCTTCCACTCCTTCTCCTGTCTCTTCTTGTCCCACTTGAGCTCCTGCGCCATAATGTCAATGACGCACGGCAGCGCCTCAAGAGAAGCCTGGGCGTTCAGGAAGGCCAGGCGCGTCCTCCGCGCGAGGACATCGACTGCGGTCTGTGCATACTCGTGCGCAACGGCATATCGGACCTCGCCGTCGACGAATGGGTACAGGCGGGAGATGCGCTCGCCGCGCGCGGGGAATCGCTGGTCGGTAAGCTTGCACATGGACGCGACGGTCCAGGCACGGTCGCCGTAGCTCTCGGTGAGGTGCTTGGCAACCTCGGTCTCGAGGCCAAAGTGCTGGATGAGAGGAATGAAGAGCGTCTTGCTGAAGCCGTGGGCGCCAATCAGGCGAACATTGTGCGTCTGGCAGGCTCCGTCAAGAATGGCGCCGTCGTCAATCTCCTCGGTGCCGCTGACGCGGGGAGCGTTGGGGACGGGCCGAGTCTTGAGGTCAAACTCCTTGACGGCCGCGTCAAGGCACTCCTCGGCCATTTGGCGGTACGTGGTCCACTTGCCGCCTGCGCAGGTGATGAGACCGGAATCGGAAATGTCGATGAGATGGTTGCGGACCAGCGACTGGGTGTTCTTGGCCTTGGGGTCCTTGACGAGCGGGCGAATGCCGGACCACGCAGCAAGCACGTCACCACGGCGGACGCTGATCTCGGGAGACAGGTAGTGCTTGACCTCGTTCAAGATCCACTGGATGGACTTCTCGTCGGGGAGGGGGTTCTGCGAGATCGCTGAGGGCTCGTCGGTGGTGCCGGCAATGGTGTTGCCCTGCCAGGGCAAGAAGAAGATGACTCTACCATCCGATGTCGACGGGTCGATCAGGCCCATGTTCGAAGGGCTGTAGTAGCCAGGAAGGATGACGTGGACACCAGAGGCAGGGGCGACAATTGGTTGGCAGTCTTGGTCGTCCATCTTGCGGATCGAGTCGGTGAAAGGTCCCGTGGCATTGATGATGCACTTGGCCCTGACGGGGATGTCCTGCGTCTTCTGGCCATTGAGTTCGGAGACGCGGTCCTTGATGGTCGCGCCGTTGAGACGACCTTGCGCATCCTTGGACAGGCTGGTGACCTCGGCGTGGTTCAAGACAGTGGCACCGTAGACAGCCGCGGTCATGGCAATAGAGACGTTCATTCTTGAGTCGTTGTGCGCGCCATCGTAGTACACGAGGGCGCCGACAAGGTCAGTCTTCTTCAGCATGGGGAAGGCGTCGATTGCCTTGCTGCGAGTCAAGAAATAGGAGCTCTCGATACCCTCGCTGCCAGCCAGCAGATCGTAGCACTTGGTGCCGGCCCAGTAGTACGGCGCTTTCCACCACTTGTCGAGGGGCAGCATAATGGGCAGCCACGAACTGAGATGCGGCGCGGTTCGGAGGAAGTACTTGCGCTCCTTGAGGGCCTCCCGGACGAGCTCGTACTGCGAGTAGTCCAGGTTCCAGAAGGCCTTCTCCAGGTACCGCACGCCACCGTGGACAAGCTTTGTGCTCTTGCTGCTCGTGCCGCTGCTGAAATCGTCTCGCTCCACGACGGCGACCTTTAGGCCTCTGGTCACGGCGTCAAGCGCCACACCAGCACCAGTGGCACCACCACCAATGATGAGCACATCGTACTCCTCGCCCGGCTGGGTGCTGCCCTTGAGAGTTGCGAGCTGCTCCTCGCGTGATTTGACCTTTGGGAATCTAGGCAACCTGAAGGTTCCGTCGGCACTGTAGGGAGGCGCTACGGCGGCATCCTCGAACCCGGGGATGTTGCGTGGCCGGTATGTAAAGTAGAGAGCACTGCCGCCGACAGCAGCGACCGTGGTCGGCACAGCCAGTCGGCGGAGCAAGCGTGAGCCAGCAAGTCTCGACATGTTGCGATTCTTCAAGGAAGCCTCGCGTGCTGGGCGGCCGAGAGCGGCAGCCGGGATGGTCGAGGCGAGGTCGTCGCGGTCGTCGCGGTCGTCGTCGTCGTCGAGAGTTGGCGCGTTGGGGCGCGGAGTGTCCGGTCGAAGACGTGGCGGCAGATCCGGGAGCCCGGGATTGAAGGAGGAGAGTACACGGGGCGGAACAATACTCGGAGGATGGCAAAGTCAGCGCAGAGGCGAGGACGGACGAGGAGTGGTGGAATTGTGGAAATGCCCGTGGAGAATGTGGCCGGGCCTATGCCGGACCGGACCCAGACTATGACGTTGGCTGTGCTGAAGGGGGGCGGTGCGGGCGCCGTGTCAGGGGCGAGCTGCTACTGGAGAGTCCTGCGCACGCTCGTGTTGAGGGTGTCGCGAGCAGTGGTTTACAAAGGCTGTGCAAGATTGCGGACGGAGAGAGCGGGATTCAAGGGACGATCATGGATGACAGCTCCCCAAGTCGTTGCCCGCGGGCCCGGCTGAGCAGGTGTCAAACCCAAAAAAAAAACCGGCAAGGACGTCAGGAGCGGCGTGCGTTTCCCCAACTCGGCCGGCCTCGCTTTCTTGGGGCACATGGAGAGCCTGTGGGTGGCCGCGGCGGAAATGCTAGCAGCCCGCCCACGTGGGTCGCGCCCGCGGGCTCTCAGTGGAGGAACCTGGGCCGCCAGCCCCCATCAACTGCCGGGATCGCTGCCCGGCTGCTCTTTCCACCAATTATGCCCCGCGGCCACTTTTCCCCCCCCGTGCGAGCCCCAACTTTCAGGTGCGCCCGTCCCCCCATCGCCATCATCTTGCCATCGTCTCCGGTCTCCGCCTCGAGACTGCCATCCTCACGTGCGACATCGCAGGCCGCAAAGTGGGTTTTCTGTGGTCTCGTGTGGGCTCTCTACAGATCACAATGTCATATGACATCGAGCAGGAGCACAGTGCACAATTTACTCCTTTAGTATTATATATATAAAGTCATATATGCACGATCGTCGTCGTCGTCGTCATGGCACAGACGAGACCCAGAGCCTGGTGCAAGGGAGGAGCAAGGCGCTGCCGCAAACAACGCCAACCCATGTATGTGTACAATGAATGGAAACCCCTGAAAACATCATATACAAAGCAAGAAGAGAGTCGACGCTGAAGCAGAAACAAGCGGCAGTCCCTTTAGCTACCCTCCGCATTCCTCCCATCCACACACAGTGGGAACAGGATGTCGACAAATGTCCGCATCGGCGCGCTATCCTGATCGTACACGACGACCGCACTGCGCTCGTTCAATGCTGCGAGCTCGTGGCCCTGCGGATTGTTCTTGTGGTGGCCAGCGTCCTCCTGGGCCTCAAATACTGCAGCCGTCGCGCCCCCGACTCTTAACTCTCTTCCAGCCACGGCCTGGTCAGCACTCTGGTGCCGCACCAGAACCTTCGAGCTCGGCCCAACGGCGGCAGGTGGCACTGGCGATGGCAACGTCCCAGCCACACGGACGTCAACCTTGATCTCTTGGGACACCATGATGCCCCCAAACTCGGACCTCTGCTGCTGGGCCCCCTTGCCGCCGCGGTGGTGTTGGTCCCCTCGGTCAGATGTGGGGATCTTGAATATACTCTTGTGGTCGTTGCTGTTCTGCTCCCACAGCTTGAGCGTCGAGCTGGTACTGGCATTTGATGATCTTCTGGGCGCGGCTGAATCGCTTCCCTCGCTCACAGTGGAGTGAGATTTTGCGCGTGGGCGGAAGAGACGCTGTAGGGCTGCGGCTTTAGCCCTGGCACCTAGACTCTTGCGTGAGGTGATTACGAGACGATTCGGGGCGTTCAGTAAGGCCTGGCTGACAATCGGCGATACTTCCCGGTGTACGTGACGAGAGAAAATGGCGTGATACGGCGAATCCTTGTGAGCGAGCTGGTTGGCCTTGAAAAAGTTCAAGGGAATAAACTCGCACTTTGGGCTATGGACCGTGGTGTGGATCGGGACAACTAGCTGCAGCGTAATCATCGTGCATGTCATGGCAGTGTTTGTGCCTGTCCTTGCGCGGCAAGGTACCTTGACTGTCGTGGCGACAAGATGAGCATCGTTGAAGACTGGGTCGTCCACCCATGCTCTTAGTGACTCGACCGCATCGTACAGCTGTGATGCAAAAAGCATCTCTCTTGGCGTGAGCTTTTGCATGGAGTCCAGCCGCTGCAGCAGGACGAGCACATTCGTGCGGTCGAATTGCCGCACAAAGCTTTCTTGCCATTCTTCCAGATGATCGAGCGGGAGTTGTTGAGACGGGAGCAGATTTCGTGCGCCTTTTCTAACAAGAATGTCGAAAGCAAAATCAGAGTTGACTGTGGCCTTGAGTGCGAAAAAGCCCATGTGGACGCCAGGCTCCAGCATGGTGTTGTCCTCGGCATAGGTAGCCATGCTCGCAAGCTTCCCGGCCAGATTCCGGGTTTGGATCTGCATGCTGGAGCCGATGATGCCGCAGACCTGGTTGACATCTGCAAACCGGAAACCAGCAGCCTCGAGCTTTTCGACTTCGTACGCATGCTCTACACGACGCACCAAGAACATGAGAGAGCCGCGAGCATAATGCTGATGCTGTGAGAAGGCCCAGCTCTCACCCTTCTCGATCAGGTCGCCCGACTTCTCCGCCTCAAGAATGTCGCCAGTGTCCCCGCGGCGCCGGCGTGGGGAGGAGCCAGTCGGCATTATCTCGTCCCAAAGAATCCCAATGTCTGTAAGCTTTTCCTTCATCTTGTCTGCCAAGTTCATGGCAGCGACACAGAAAAGCTCTTTGAAAATGATGCCGTAGTTCTCAATCTGGTGACCGCTTTCGTCGATCAGTCGCACTTTGTGATCACGGTCGCTCTTCGGGAGCTGCTGTATGTGCTTGGCCATGCCATGGATGATGCTCTGCAACCCATGCCAGTTGCGGGAAGCCTGAAACATCCAGTGGAACAGGGGATTCCCGATACTAAAGCTGTCGCTGGTGGTCCTCTCCACGTAAGTGTCGGTTATCTTCTCGCTGGGGAGTAGACCGTCAGGGTTGACCATGATACGCCCAGAGCGGTCAAACACAGCAGCAGCGAGGACGATTTGCTGCGCCTTGACAGCATACCGCCTCATGACGCGCGTTGTATAGACTGCTGTACACGCAATGACTATGGCGGCACCGACTGAGAGGCAGATGACCACGATGACGGTGGTGGTTCGGGACTGCTGGGCATTCGTATCCGCCAGGGCAATGAGCTCGTAATTTGTTCCAACCGAGGCGCACCAGTGCATGCCAGAGACAGCACCTGCGAGTACAACCCCGGAAATCATGCGCTTCCACCATGAGTTCGTCCACGAGGCTCGAGAGACGAAGAAGAGCGTCAAGGCTACAGTACTGGCAAGCACTGATATGACGGCTGCTCCAACGACATTTCCAGGCTGGTAGACACAGTGATAATTGGCGATGGACGAATTGCCGACGTAGTGCATGCCACAGATGGCACCCCCAGCCAAAATGCCTCCGACTGGTGTCCGCCACCAAGAGATGGTGTTGTTGGCACCGATAGCCACAAATGCTACCAGGAGCACCACGATCGGGATGAAGAAAGAGAGAGCCGTGAATGTCGGAGAGTACGAGATGTGTAGCTCAGGCTCGCCGTTGCCAAGTTCGATAGCTCTGTTGCCGATGAAGTGCATACACCAGATGGCGATTCCTCCCATAGTGACGGCAGAGCCAAACAGGATGAGGTGGTTGTACAAGCCATTCTTGGACGTCCGCCGGTTGATCAGCTCGAGGGTGCATGCGGCACCGATGAAGGAGACCAGGTAGCTGATGACGACAAAGCCGCTGTTGAAGGAACGAGGAACAATGTGGCCTCCATACTGGGCGAGTAGTTGCTCTGCTTGCGTCGACATGGTGTCGCGCGAAAGTGTGGTTCCGAGGTAGCTGGCGCGACGCTGACTTTCAGACACGGAGAAGGCCTTGTACTCTGCTGGGAAGGATCTAGTTGCACTGAGTAAAGGGGACTCAGACCGTTGTATAGCTGATGTTCATCGTCTCAAAGCTTCGCTGTGGGTGTGAGACTCTGATCAGTGTATGTTGGTGGGAAGTCTCCCAAGTGGTCCAAAGTGCGGCTGCACAGTTTAATGCTGAGAACAGGAGGAAACCAACCCTGTCGAAGTTTGTGCGAGGACGGGGTCCAATGCGATAGAATGACGACGACCAACAACAAGGCGAAACGGCCCCAATGAGTGTGCTTCGCCTGGAGCGGAAGGGAACAAGGGCAGTTTGAGGTAAAGATCAGCTTCCCAGCACGGTAGATTCTTACCAGCCGCAGAACCCTATCCAACGGGGCTTGCCTGAGGTTCTGCTGGTGAGGACGGAGAGTGCTTCCTGTTCCAAGCCTAGTTTGCACATTAGGTTGCAGTGAAAAGGAGTTGCTTGCCGAAATGGATATCCTCAGGTGGATATATCAAGCCAAGTGCAAAAGCTTAAGCCTAGCTCGCGAACAGAACGACACCGTGAAGTGTGGTGGCGTTGGGCTACTGCGAATCTGAGCCCGCTCTGGAACGCTGGGCTGGTGAGACACTGGCCCGTATGTCATCAGTAAGTTGGGGCTAGGCTCAACTGTCGACATATGATTTGAGGCTTCAACCGAGGAATCTGAGCTATTCGAATCACCATAGAAACAGAACATCGGAGACGACGAGGGTCGCGAGGGATGCGTGGATTGTGGGATAGTAGGCTTTTGTCCTCGGGCATGATTGCAGGAGTTCCATGAACACATTGTGATCTTTTGGCATAAAAGCAACCACGAAGCCCTTGTCTGTGTTGGGAAACATGCAGCAGCTGCCACGGCTGGTGGTGCCCCTGTCGTGTAGCATCGCAAAGGTGGTGTCTGCTCTGAGGCGAAGTGCTGTCAGGCAAAGCAAAGCGCCAGTGATAGACAACGACTGGGGGGCAGGAGATGCGCCTCCATCGCAGCCAGTGCTCCAGCTCGATCTTGGCGACAGGGCCGGACGGGTCTACATGGCGATAGGTGTGAAGGCACCGGGGTCGGCACAGTACCAGGCATTTGGGGCCGGCGGCCGTTCTCGCACGGGGGATGCCGTATCAAATGCAAGCAGAGCATGTGCTCGCTTCGGCTGTTGCTGGGCAGTGGCTGCAATTCTGTGAGGAATGTCGGCAGCGCTAGGACTGCTTGAGGATGGTCCATGTTGAGCTCCACACCCGGAGCGTGGCACCTGGCCTGGCTTGTCCCGAGTGCCTGGGCGCGTGATGTGTTACATTGATCTCGTTCTGCAACTCCGCCCCTGCCACTCAACCGGGGGCAGCGCTATGAGGACGCGGTAAACAGGCCCTGGTCGTGGTGGGTCGGCAGGGATGGGCACACGAGGAAACCAAGCTGAGAGGACGAGTTGGCCGGGCGCGCTGCGGGAAGCCAGATCCAGGCAGGAGGATCGCGAAAAGCAAAGAGAAGGAATCGCGAGCTGGTGGTCCGGAGCAATTGGGTGGCTGGAAGCAGAGGCTGTTGTCGTGGCAGGGATCCGGGGCTGGGACGCAGAGATCGGTGCCAGGATGAAGGCAGGTGGGGTTCATGGGTGACCCCTGCCTCTGATCTTGATCGCTCGCGTCTCCGGCGTCAAGCCCCCACTTCCCTGTCCAGATGGCCTCCAGGGCTGCCGATTGGGCGGCTGCCCGTTTCTGCATCAGTCAATCAATCAATCAGTCCGTCAGCCAGTCAGTCAGTCAGTCAATCACGCGGCAAGCATACTCGCAGAAGAGGCTCCGAGGCAACACTGTGCCTGAAGTGGCTGCCAATTGCACCTCGTCCGTTCCGATTGACTTGTGCCACGTTCGAGGTGGCTGGCACTTGACGATTAGGTTGTGGTTTCTGGGGCGAGCCACTCGCCTGTCCATCGATGGCACCCCCGTTCCCGACCGTCAAAACCATCATGGGCGTTCGAGGCTTGCCTCCGAACCCCTCACTTCTCGTCGCCAGGTACTTTCAGCTCACTCGGAGTGCACCGCATCAGCACTAGTTCCTCCGGCTAGCAGCTACGGGGTGCGGAATTAGCCCCTTGCATGCTTCTGTCCGGTGCCGACGTCCGTAACGCTGCCCATCACTGCGGAATCTCGACTAGTACCCGCAGTAGTTGGTGTCATGTTGCGAAGGGGTCTCTCGCTCAGTTCCATCTGCTTGGGACCATCTCTCGGGCGTTGACCGTGACCTGGCTCGTAAAATACCCGCAAGCCGGGTTTGGGCGTCGAGCCTGCATGCAGCTTTGACCCTTCGGACCGAGCATCCGGCTGCCGCGTCGTGTTTCCCGTGCGTCTCTCCACGGTATGACATGGGGCTGACCGGCTTCCACCTCATCGTGACTCTTGCCTGACGCAGCAATGCTGGCTTGTGACGCGAGCAGTGTGTGCCTCGCACCAGAAGCAGTGGGCTCGGTCGCAAGCGTCGGCAGAGAAGAGTCTGATAGCCCCAGCCGTGCCTACCTTAGTGTTCTGGTTAATTATGCTATGCCCGAAAGGCGAGTCTAGCGGCAGTGAGGGATCAACTGGTACTGGACCTCAGTGCTTGTCATGTCTCAGACCTCGCTTTAGCTTGCCACGTCAAGGCTCAGCCTGGCTCCCTCATCAGTATACTGTCCGTTTTCTTTGTAGCCTCTCATTCTGCAGGTACCTGGGGAATACAAATAATCCCAAAGGGCTTGTATGGTCCACGGATGCCGTGTGACAGCAAGTGCGATTGTTCCTACTGAGGGCATGCCCGAGTGGTAGCTGGGGCCGGCCGTTGACGCTCGCGTCCGCGAATCACATATTAGGTGCTTCCATATCTCTTCTGATCCTGTGTAGACAACTGCGGCCACTGCTCTCGCTCAGCAGGCCCCCGCGTTGGGGCGATTGATATGAGATCGGATCCTTGCTAGTTAGGACTGATTGAATGCGACCCATCCCATCTCGTTGCGATATGGACCCGCGCTTCAAGTGCTACCAATGCCAGCTTTGTCCCAATACAAGGTACGCGGTGCTACTGCAGTGACTTTCAGGTGAGTTTCAGCTGCGATGGTCCCGTACGCAATGCCGGTGGCTTCGAACTGGGGCCATGCGCTGCTGATCGTCCAGCTTCACTTCTAAAAGACCCCTGCTGGGTCACAAGGATGAAGATGAGGTAAATGGCTCGGCATTGGAGTACTGTGGGGCCACCCTCTGTGGCCATGTAGCGGACACTATGCTACCGTACCCATGGAGGCCCGGGAGTCCGGAACGCCCGCAGCTCAAGTAGGAAAATGCTCATTCCTCCTCACAAGAGCATCAGATGCAACGACACGTGCACTAACACTGGACCACGGCGTGCCTCGTTTCGAGCGGGGGTCCTCTAGTGCTTGGGAATGGCGGCCGGCGGCAGAATAGTTTGGTCAGTCTGCCACTAATACCGTTGCGAGATGTCCAGGCTGTTCTGCTCGCCGCCTCGGGCGCTATAGCTATTGCTTGGGCACAGACTGGCGTTCGCCCCCCCAGGAGAATTTCAATGCAGGGGCAGCATTTAGTCAACGGTCGAGGCACTGATCCTGGCATCGCGAGTCTCGTGGCGCATCGTCTAGCCAGGGACTCTTCGCGTGGGAAATGGTCTCATGTGAACACTTTCAATTGACTTGCGAAGGTTCCATGTGCCTATCCTTTGACAGTCAATGCGTTCCCGCGAGGCCGTTGCCCCTGGTGCCTGAGTGACACTCTCGGATTGAGTCCCTGGTCCTGCGGAATTTATTCCCTGGCGGTGAGGGTCATGTCGATATGGCGCGTGGGCTAGCGTAGCCAGCAAATGAAGCTAAGTCTCCAAGGTCCGGTCTCGTCCTCGGCACCCACGACGACGGGTCAGTAACCATTTGGGAAGCGTCCGTCCCTCCTGAAGCAGATCGACCGGCCTCGTGGCACATGCTCCGTGATTGCATGTCACAGACTTACCACATCCAAAGGCTCAGCTGCACAAGAACAAGGGGGCATTGTGCCGCTCTCGACGACCAGGTGGGGTGGACTGCACTGCACATCCCTCAACCAGCCGCCCCTCACGAGGCACAGAAACAAAACACAAGAGACCAGTCCGGTCCAGTAGGATTAGCCGGCCACGCACGCGGCTCACACAAAGCCTTGAGACATTTCTCGGATACCCGAGCTGTCCCTTTTTTCTTTTTTCTGGGACATCTAGCTCGTTCTCCCGGTCAAAATCACACATGGTTGCTCCCTTTCCGCCCGTTGCGGGCCTTCGACCCTCTGACAACCGCCAGGTGACACATCCGTCCAGCCATGCATGTCTCAGCCCAGCTACGTGTTCTGTCCTGGCTTTTTGTTTGTCAATCTTTCCACTGTGACAGGTATGATGGCGGAGGACCCGGCCACCCGGCACATGCCGGCAAGCCGCCGCACACGGCATACTTTTTCCAAGACACTGTGATTTATGAAGATTAGAAAGTCAATGGCCATGCCTGTGAAGCGGCGCGTACAAGTGTGTGTGTATGTGTGTGTGTGTGTGTGCGTATGTCTCTGGATACGTCCGCCGCGTCGTTGGGATTTCCCATCGTCTCCGGGCACGCGTTCTTCTTGAGCAGGACTTTATAGATCTCAACTGCTGCTCCTGCTGCTCCTGCTGCTGCTGCCACTCGACATCATGTGCGTGGCATTCAAAAGATAATCGTCACTGTACTGTGTATTAAAAATACATTTGTAAAGAGAAAAAGTCGAAATTATTTCAACACGGACATGGCGTGCGGCTCGGTGGGAAGACCACCGTTGCGCTCTATTTTATGGAACGAGAAGAATGCTGTGTCTTGAATGACCCCCAATTAGGAATCTTTATTGAACGCCGGCTTCACCATATTTCTCATATTTATGCTTGATGCCGCCGAGGCATCGATCTTGCCTAGCTATGATCGTGACGATGCACCAATCGAGGGCATGTGTCGTCCACGAAGAATCAGGGAGAAAGGGCGTCAGTAACGAAATGTAGAGCCTTGGTCACAGTACTGAACAGTCTCGAGAGTATGGTGTGGCATCGGGCAAAGAGCATTTTCGTTTCTGTCGCGTATCTACGACTGCAAGTACCACCGAGGCCATATAATACACACCACGCTGTCCAAGGAGGAAGTTTTGGTCTTCTATTCCCTCATGACAACTCCGGCACAGGCGCACTAACCTGCCACGGCCTGATTGTGCCGTCGTCCCCAGTCGTCACGAGCATCTCCTCGACGCCCCTCTTCTCGGGGTCGCACGCCTTGTCGTACCGTTTGCACCAAGTGATGTGATTTACCTCGTACGGCCCGTGGGCTGCTGCCTTTGACCCAACGACCTTCCACAACTTCGATCCCAGCTCGTGGTCGTAGTCCTGCTGTTTCTGTGGTTTGCTACTACTGCCGCCGCCGCCACCACCCATCTGTACGTCGCCGTCGAGCTCGGCTGCGGCCTCGGCGTCAGTGGTCTCGGTGTCGGCAGGAGCGACCTTCTCGGACGCTCCCGTGTAGAATGACGCTGGACCTTCGCTGTATATGGCGATCTTCCCGTCACTCCCGCTGCTGGCCACCCTGCCTGTGGAGGCGCTCCATGAGGCGGTATAAATCTCGCGGTCGTGGAAAGCCGGCAGCGTCGCCGTACAAACCCACTCCTCCTTGAGCGAGCGACGCATGGTGTTCGGGATCCCCCCCAGTGCGCCAGACCACGCGTGCGCTGCCGGCGCCGGCTGCACGTCGTCCTCTTCTTCGGATTCCTCCTTGAGCGACCATAACCGGATCGTGCGGTCGGCGCTCCACGTCATGAGCCGCGGGAACCTCCCGTCCTTGGGCTTGGGCTCCCACTGCAAGCCCCAGACAGTGCCCTTGTGGCCCTCGAGCACCGCCACGCACACCCACTCGCCGTCGTTGTCCTCGCGCCATATCCGGACCGTGTCGTCGTAGCTCGCGCTCGCCAGGACATCGCTGCTGTACCGATTGCCGCTACTGCTGCCACTGATATCCGGACACCACGCAACGGCCTTGACGTCGCCATCGTGCTCGTTCAGCACGGCCACCGTCTCCCACTCGTCGTCGGCCTCACCCGGACCGACGTCCTCCCAGATCCACACGCTCTTGTCGCGGCTGCACGTCGCGAGGTACTGCCCGGCAGGAGAGAACGAGACCGACTTGACCTCGGAATCGTGGCCCTCGAGCACGAGTGTAAACTCCCAGTCGTCCTCCTCTTCCTCCTCGCCATCTTCTTCGTCGTCATGTTTGCTCCTCCCCGAGTTGGCAGCCGTCACTTCCCGCTCCAGCGCGGCGCCCGCCCGGCCTCCTCCTGCTCCTCCAGCCGCCCGGCGGTCGTTGTCGTACCGCCACAGGCCCGCGGTGCTGTCGAACGAGCCCGTCACCAGGCACAGCTGGCCCGCGCCGGCGTTGGGCTTCCACGCCACGGAGCGCACGGAGCGGTTGTGGCCCCCCGTCAGGGTGCTGTGTGAGGACAGAGTGCTGAGGCTGAAGATTGTGACCGACTTCTGGTGCGCGGTGGCGAGGAGCGGCAGGGTCGGGTGCGGTATCGACTGCCACGCGCGCTCCTGGAGGTCTGGCTTCAGGGCGGGCAGGGTCCCGATGCTGACGTGCGGCCAGAAGCGGTACTGCCTGCGCGCTTCTTCGGTGTCTTTCTTGGCCGCCTCCGCGCTCGCGGCGGCTTCCAGTGCGGCAGGGTCGGCCATGTGCACGAGGTGGACTCGTCAGCGAAGTCTGGATGGGGGGGTCGAGCAAGTCGCTGTGCGGGGAGGGTTGATGGCGCTCTGGCAAAGAAATTGAAAAAGATAGATCATCGCCGACCATCGCTATCCTGGGGCGAAAAAGTCCGACAACATCCAACTGACGTACGCGGGGCACGATATCGGGAGGTGGGGGTGGAGAACCTCAGGATCGCGCTGCAGAGACCAAATATTTCACACCATCGCCATGCAGGCAACATGAGGTGTCTCCTGGTTGGTCTTTAATCGTGGATCGTGCACTATCAGAGCCGCTCATTATCCCACTCGCTCGAGATTTGCATGCGTACTTGGCACGTAGTACAGCGACAATCTGCGATGCAGACTTAGGTCCCTCTCCGATTATCGGAGGGTCGGTTCTGACTTGTCCGAGCCACAAGCTCTGGGAAGATTTGGCGGCAGTCACCTACGGTAGCGACAGTTTGTTTTTGCTATTCTCATGATTGGTTCTATATCGTCAGAAGGCCTGCTAGGGACAGCACGCTGCAGTAACTTGACGCCAGGCATATCGTGTGCACCATCCATCATTTTCCTCCGTGTCCCTCGCGGGTCGCCGCCCAAATCCCGTCCAGGTCCAAAGCCTCCTGCCAGTTCGGCAGCACACAGCGCAGGGTTGTGTCTCGCTTGACTCTGCCGATCGTGCGTCTTCTCGTACCGGATGCCGTGCAGTATGACTAGAGTCGTGTCTCATGGAGCTATTCCTGCGATATGGGATCCCGAGGCAGCCAACGTCGGCCTGTGCTGGAAGCGAAGGAGCTGGCCCCTTAAATCTCTGTTGTGCTCCTGATGCACCAGTAGCTCGTAAGTGCTGCCTTCGCCTAGTTCGCATCTGGCGTGACCGGCTTCCTGAGCTTGCCGAGCCTGCTTCTCTCCAGCGGTCAAGCAAATGTATTCTTCCACATCCACGATCTTGGCAGCCAAGCTCTTCCACTGCACGTCTCGGACGCCTTCTTGAGTATCCAGACGCCATACCGCAGTTCCAATGCTCAATCCACGGCGGCGTTGACGGATGGCAGTAGCCTGCACAAACAGGGTTTCGAGGGTACTCGTGGGGATCTAGACGGGCCAGAGAACCCAAGAGATGCTCGGTCTCATCCCCGTGGACAGCCGAGCCAGAACAGATTGCCCAGTCTTGTCGCATGAAGCCCATATCTGCCTCCAAAGGCCAAGTCGCCGTTTGTTTGCGGCCATAGAGAGCTCTACCATAAGCACGTACGCATGCAGGCAAAGCTGCTGTTGGTCGAGCCTCGCTAGGGATCGGGCGCATCACTGGGCACGGAGCTGCAAAGTCGCCGTCGTTCCTGGCAGTCTTTTCATTCCGTGAAACGTCGCTTCGAGTCCCGGTTTCCCTGAGAGTGGACTCGTGCAGAAGACTAGAGAGGCCTGACGTGGAGACACTCGCAGTCCTCAAAGTGGCCATACTTGGTTTGTTCGGCACAGCCCCGAATGGCGTCCAAAGCTCTTGTGACATCACCGCCTCGGCTCGTATTCTTGTGAGAGGAGATAAGGCGGGGATTTCGGCAGCGTCTATTTGTCGTACCTGAGTTGCAGCTGAGCATAAGACTTCAGTGCGGGACAGATTAGGTCGCTTTGGGCGTGTCGTCTGAGATGCAGGGGAAGTGAACAATCGTATTGGCGTATCGAAGTCACTGCATGAAGCGAGTTCGGCCTCGAATATTGAGGCATGTTCGCTCGGAATTTCTTCTGAGAGGTCTCTGTGCACCCAGATGGCTTGCCTGGGAGACCCGTGTACGTCCTCCGATCCTGGAATGTCTCCTTTGTTCGGCGATCGCGGGGACTGAGCAGCATCGTCAGTCGCGGTAGACAGTGGTGCGACTCTAAACGAGTTATTTCCTTTCGCCGAAGTCGAGCAAACATCCATGGCAGTAGGCAGATCCATGATGGGCCTTCGTTTTGCCAGGCCGGGTAATGTGTGTTAAATAAGAATGAAGCGAGTGTAGGACATCTGCAATAAAGATACGGCGAAGACGACGCTAAGTGTGAGATAGAACGGACGTCAAACATCATTGCAAAATAAGGAGATTGCTATGTTAAATGGCCTACGAGGCAGCCATGTGCTCAGTCGTCGCTGCCTTGATTCTGATATACGTGTAGGCCGTGATTGACAGCAAGAACGACCTGGCGCAATCCATCACGAGTTTCACAGTGTGCAAGGACGGACAAGGGCAGTCTGAGACGATGGGTGTCCGTCTCTATCTCAATTTGACATCTGATATGCTTGTTTATCTAGATAGGGCCCTCATATCCGCAGTCTGGGTAGCAGAATAGCTTCATAGCTCCGTACTGGCCTGGATTCCCTCCGCTTCTAACGCTCGCTTGTAGTCCGCGAGAGCTCTATCCAAAGTCTTTGACACAGGATCCATTAGCTTCAGCACAGCTTCCCGGCCGCCTCTGACAGACTTGAAGTTGAAGGTACGCTTTCGGCCCGTCTTCTCAAAGTATGCCCTGATCTCTTCTTTCTTCTTTTTGATCTCGGCATCGCGAGCCTTTTCAGCCTCCACGGCTACTGCCTCTATCCGCTCCTTTGATCTGTTGAGCGAGTCTGCCAGGTATCCCAACTCAGCCGCCCGATCTGGATCGCCCGACAGGAAGGCGTTCCAGAATTGATTTAGAAACTCCATCGTTGTGGCGTGCGTGAGTGTGCAGCTCGCGGCGACGTCTTCGGGCAAGCCCATAGGAGTTGTGTCGTCCATATTGTGGCCATAAAGATGCGCACGACGCTGTACGATGCTTTCCAGCATTTGAGTTTGTGCTTCCTTTCGCGACGCTCGAGAGCCGACGTGTGGCGGCTGCTCAGCCTCATCGTCGCTGTCCATTTCATCGTCAATTCCCAGCGAGTCGTGCAGAGCAATACCACCGGCGCCATCGCTTTTCAGTCTCTCTAGTTCTGAACGAGTATCCTTGAGGACTTTGGATGATTGTGCCTTCGTCAGGGCTTCATTCGTGATGGAGGTCTTCTCTCCGGAATTCCCAAAGAACCTGCTCTGCTCTTTGATGTTCAAGGCTATCCGGCTTTCTTCAGTGCTGCCAGCAAGATCGCGTAGGGCAACTTCATGGTACGTATCGTAGTCCGGTAGGCTCGTGTCCACAGTCGTGTCGAGCGGCACCGTTTCTCTCAGCAAACGCTCGCTCACTGCGTTGAGGGTGGCAATGATGGGGACTTCTCTCCTTCCACGAGGACGCATCTCTACGTCCTTGCGATTACCTCCTTTGAATCCGCCCTGGTTTTCTTCGTTTCCCTCGAGATTGATGATCTGCGGCATATGTTCCGCCAGAGCCTTGTTGGAGAAGGCCGAGATATCGTCCTTCTCGTCATATTTGTCAAATATCTTCTGTGCCTCTTCCATGCCTGTTGGGCGCTCTCCACGGAGCTGCTTGTACAGTTTGCTAAGAAAGAACTTGGAAAAGAACTCGTAGTCGTTCAGCGGCGGGACGTTCTCGTTGTAGATGCGTTTCACCAGAGGGTGCTGAATGAAGATACGCTGGAGCTGCTCCGTGTTCATCTTGAGCTTCATCTTGTTTGCATCATTTGGATCGGTGCTCGAGACGAGATCTGGCTTGAGCTGTGCAAGGACGTTATAGGGGCCTTTCTTCTGGCTGCTTTGTATGGCGTAAGAGCGAAGTACATTGATCCTCGTTGACCAGAACTGTGTGTTGAAGGCCGTGTCAGACATCGAGGCTGGCTTGGTCTCTCGAGCCTTGAGATACACTCTTGCAAGCGCCTTGTCTTCTCGCATGAGCCCTTGCTGCAGCATGATATCGGTCTTGAGCCTGGAGTCGTCAAAGAGCTGTGCCGAAGCCGTTTTGTTCGCGGCTCTGGCCAGAGCCATGGCATCTGCCGCTGGGCCGCCATCTAGACGCGTGACGCTGCCATCATTCGCCTTGGCATCCGCTATGAGTCTCGACAGCAAATCTTTGATGGCGCTTGCCTGCTCAGAAGGGTTGGTCGGCGAGTTGAAATGGAAGAGATATGGGGTTGGTTCCGCTCCGTCAGCGCCCTTCTCGAAGATCTTGACCATAATCTTGGCAGATGTCGCTGGGGTCTGCTGGAGGTTTGTGATGCTGCTGATCTCTATCGCCACGCTCGGAGGACCCGTCGGAGCGGCATTGGGCGTCCAGATAACCTTCTTGCGGTCTGCGGTGAGAGTGATGATGCCATCCTTCTTCTTGTGGACCGCCTCGCCCTTGGGTATCGACGCCATCGCGATGCACCTCAAGCCTGGACGGTCTTGGCGTTTGTCATGTAAGTTCTTACGCCAGCCTCAGGGGCATGAGATAGCCGAGCGGCTGTTCGGTACTGGTCACTGCCGCATGTGCGTCTACTGTTTCTGTCCGGGCGGCTCGGTGAATGGTGAGGAAAGAACCTGGCCGGTGAGAGTTTTACGAGCAATAGAAGTGGGCAGCGATGTGTTATGCTTGTTTCTATAGGTACAGTCACCCGTTACCTTGCTGCGATCCGCAGGCAGCGTCCACGGCTGTCTAAGTGTGCCAGCTCAATGGAATTCGAGATTGAAATGGGAGTTCACAATCGTGAATGTCGCGTGTTTGCGTCAGAGCTCACAGTGGCTCGCGAAGTCGTCTTGGACCCACCAGTGTAGTCCACGCAATGGCGATGAGTCAGCTGTGGCGGTGCTCCCACCTCGCTCTGGAGTCTCGTCCGTGCCCCAAGTGCGTCTAGTCTTCAAGGGGCGGCTCGGGAGCTTGCATTACATCACCAGACATGAAGTCCACGTCCTGCAAGTGGGTTGCAACCATTCCTGGGCTCGTGTTTGCGAGTGCACGCCATCAGTTTGGCTCACGAGAACCTTCGTCCATGAGCTTGACGCTCAGTTAGATCACGCACGATGGCACTGATTACTCCCCATCCTTGCGCTGCTCGATGAGGTGTAGCTTCGAAACACACGCAAAGGTGGGACACGCAAAGGACAACCCGCGGGAACGGAAACGCCACCATGTGGTCTGGGTCAACCTGGCCACGCATGGCACGGCTCTCGCGCGGCAACGCTGGGACCGTACATGCGACTGTGTTGCTTCGTCCACTCGTCTACCATGTCACGTTTGAAGTTGTTGCAATACCGTCGCAGCCAGGACGCGTGAAACAAATATCGGGAGGTCTCAAAATAGCACGAATCAGCAAGGGAGATCAACAATGTTTCGTCCCTATGGGCACCATCTGCAGGAGATCCTGGTTTCGGCGGACATCCTCCGACCAACTCGGCGATAGGCGAACGGGTTGGCCTCTTAGCGCTCGGAGGACTTCCAGGCCTCTTGAATACCGGCCCTGAGCCCCCATACCCACAGCTGCCAGGTGTCCTCGTGTACAGCAAATTGTCGTGAGCAGGCGATTGTCGAAGTTGCGTGTTCTACCGGAACGGCGAGCCTGCCATGAGATCTACAACGCCATTGCGGCGTGCCACTGCTCAGCAGTGACACTGACTACCACGATGCCATCCATAATTCGCGCGTGGGCTGTGTGGACGAGGCACTACACAGGCTGCCCGTGCCGGACACTGTCCGTCACTCGATGCTGCTTTAGCAGATACCCTCGGCCTGGGCGACGATGCGGCAGGAATCGGGGCGGCCTGGCGAATCACGAGCCCATGAATGCGGATGCTGCTTGGAGAAGGGGGCGGATGCACAGTGCACCCGGGTCTTGGCTCGACACAGTCCCCCTTGGGCTGCGGCTTCCCCGGCCTGAGGCGCGCGGAAGGCAGGGGCGCGGCTGCTAGCCCTGTTTGCAGAGCCGGCGGCGTGGCCCCGTGTCCTGCTCACAGTGACGTGTATACTGTGCTCAGCTGCCTCGACAACTGCTGGTGGTCCAGTGACCCCCCCCTAATTGGCGCACGCCCCATGCACAGCTGGCACTGTTCTGTCCTCTTGCGGCGTGGAGTCAGAACTAGCTTCTGCGGACCCGACAGCTGCGAGAATAATAATTGCATCGCTTGCAGTCTCGCTCCTCTCTGCTGTTTTTCCCGCTTCTCGAGCTTTCCCCACGCCCTCACGCAGCACCACTCCCGTGTGATGCTTGCCCTCTCGAACGCCTAGGTCTCTCCTAAGCACCACCTCTCTTCTCCTCCATTCTTGACTCGCCCTTTCTCGCGATGTTGAGAACCTCCCTCCGCAAGTCCTGCGGCCAGCTGCTCCGCAGCAACGGCACGCCGCGATGCTCGGCCCTCGCCTCCGCCAGGCGGCCTGCGGCTGCCTCGACGAGCTTCCTCCAGAAGAGACATGCCATGTCCTCAGCGCCGGCGCATAACGACAACTTCCTCTCTGGCAGCACTGCCAACTATATTGACGAGATGTACCTCCAGTGGAAGGAGGACCCCAAGAGCGTCCACGTGTCGTGGCAGGTCTACTTCAAGAACATGGAGAGTGGTGATATGCCTATCCAGCAGGCATTCCAGCCGCCACCCACCCTTGTCCCTGGCGCAACTGGTGGTGTTGGTGCTGCCGTCTCCGGTGTAGGCATGGGCAGCGATGTGACCAACCATCTCAAGGTCCAGCTTCTCGTCCGCGCATACCAGGCCCGTGGCCACCACCAGGCCAATCTCGATCCTCTGGGCATTCGCAACGACTCCTCTGGCTTTGGAAACATTCGCCCCAAGGAGCTGACTCTGGAGCACTACCAGTTCACCGAGAAGGACCTTGACTCCGAGTTCACTCTTGGCCCCGGCATCCTGCCCCGCTTCAAGCGTGATGGCCGCGAGAAGATGACCTTGCGCGAGATTATTGACGCCTGCGAGAAGATTTACTGCGGCTCGTACGGTGTCGAGTTCATCCACATTCCCGACCGGGGCAAGTGCGACTGGCTCCGTGAGCGCATCGAGGTTCCCCGTGCCTTCAAGTACTCCATCGACGAGAAGAGGCGCATCCTCGATCGCCTCATCTGGAGTTCCAGCTTCGAGTCCTTCCTTGCCACCAAATACCCCAACGACAAGCGTTTCGGTCTTGAGGGCTGTGAAACTCTTGTCCCCGGTATGAAGGCCCTGATCGATCGCAGCGTCGATTATGGTGTCAAGGACATTGTTATTGGCATGCCTCACCGTGGTCGTCTCAACGTGCTCAGCAACGTTGTGCGCAAGCCCAACGAGTCTATCTTCAGCGAGTTCGCCGGCACTGCTGGTGCCGAAGATGAGGGTTCTGGCGACGTCAAGTACCATCTCGGCATGAACTTCGAGCGCCCTACCCCTTCCGGCAAGCGCGTCCAGCTCTCTCTCGTGGCCAACCCCTCCCATCTGGAGGCCGAGGATCCCGTCGTCCTGGGCAAGACCCGTGCCATCCAGCACTACAACAATGACGAGAAGACCCACCGCACCGCCATGTCTGTCCTCCTCCACGGCGATGCTGCCTTTGCTGCGCAGGGTATTGTCTACGAGTGTCTCGGATTCCACTCTCTACCTGCCTTCTCGACTGGCGGCACCATCCACCTCGTCGTGAACAACCAGATCGGCTTCACTACTGACCCTCGCTTCGCTCGCTCCACCGCCTACTGTACCGATATTGCCAAGGCTATCGACGCTCCTGTGTTCCATGTCAACGCCGACGATGTCGAGGCTGTCAACTTTGTTTGCCAGCTTGCCGCCGATTGGCGTGCTGAGTTCCAGACCGATGTCGTCATCGACCTCGTCTGCTACCGCAAGCACGGCCACAACGAGACCGACCAGCCTTCGTTCACCCAGCCCCTCATGTACAAGCGTATTAGCTCTCACGAGCCTCAGATCGATATCTACGTCGAGAAGCTTCTCAAGGACGGAACTTTCACCAAGGAAGACATTGAGGAGCACAAGCAGTGGGTCTGGGGAATGCTCGAGGAGAGCTTCTCCAAGTCCAAGGACTACCAGCCTACCTCCAAGGAGTGGACCACATCTGCCTGGAACGGTTTCAAGTCCCCCAAGGAGCTCGCCACCGAAGTCCTTCCCCACAACTCGACCGCCGTCGACAAGCAGACTTTGGAGCACATTGGTGAGGTTATTGGCTCTGCTCCCGAGGACTTCAACCTCCACCGCAACCTTAAGCGTATCCTAAACAACCGCACTAAGAGCGTGATTGAGGGCAAGAACATTGATTGGTCTACCGGTGAGGCTCTTGCTTTTGGATCCCTCGTTACTGAGGGCCACCACGTCCGTATCTCTGGCCAGGATGTCGAGAGAGGTACTTTCTCTCAGCGCCACGCTGTCTTCCACGACCAGGAGAACGAGAGCACCTACACTCCTCTGCAGCACATTGCTAAGGACCAGGGCAAGTTTGTCATTTCCAACTCTTCCCTGAGTGAGTTTGGTGCTCTTGGCTTCGAGTACGGTTACTCGCTGTCGTCTCCCAATGCCCTTGTCATGTGGGAGGCCCAGTTCGGTGACTTCGCCAACAACGCTCAGTGCATCATCGACCAATTCATCGCTTCCGGTGAGGTCAAGTGGATGCAGCGTACTGGCCTCGTCATGTCTCTGCCTCACGGTTACGATGGTCAGGGCCCCGAGCACTCCTCCGGTCGCCTGGAGCGCTACCTGCAGCTTTGCAACGAGGATCCTCGCGTCTTCCCCTCCCCCGAGAAGCTTGACCGCCAGCACCAGGACTGCAACATGCAGATTGCCTACATGACCACTCCTGCCAACCTTTTCCACGTCCTGCGTCGCCAGATGCACCGCCAGTTCCGCAAGCGTAAGTTAACATTCCACCCCGTAATCGCGACATTTTGATAGCACGAGCGACGTCGCTAACACTACAGGCAGCCCTCATCATCTTCTTCTCCAAGTCCCTCCTGCGTCACCCTCTTGCTCGCTCCAGCATTGAGGAGTTCTCCGGCCCCGACGCCCAGTTCCAGTGGATCATTGCCGACCCTGAGCACCAGACTGGTGCCATCAAGCCTGCTGAGGAGATTGACCGTGTCATTCTCTGCACTGGCCAGGTCTACGCTGCTCTACACAAGTACCGCGCTGACAACAACATTGACAACGTCGCCATCACTCGTATTGAGCAGCTGAACCCCTTCCCCTGGCAACAGCTGAAGGAGAACCTCGACACCTACAAGAACGCCAAGACCATCGTCTGGGCCCAGGAGGAGCCATTGAACGCTGGTGCCTGGTCCTTCACGCAGCCCCGCATCGAGACACTGCTCAACGAGACCGAGTTCCACGACCGCAAGCACGTCATGTACGCTGGCCGTAACCCCTCTGCTTCCGTCGCCACTGGTCTCAAGGCCTCGCACAAGAAGGAGGAGGAGGATCTCCTCGACATGGCCTTCAACGTCACCCAGGACAAGCTCAAGGGCGAGTAAGCAGTGGTGATCGCGGAGATTTGTTCGAGAAAGCATTGTTTGACAGCATCATATATACCAGAGACGGGAGGGACGGGAGCAGGATGGTTTGGTTTTGGGTTTCTGGGTTCTCGGCTTCTTCGGCTGCACCAGTGTACACTTTCCCCCTTTTTTGCGTTGTTGTTATCTTCATGCATGCGTGTCTGATTTTTGTAAAAACTTTTGTATGTGTATAACAATGACGCGACCCTGCTACCCCTGCGTACCTCAAACGGCATGGACCGGAGCAATGCCAAGTAGGTCTCACGGGGCGAGGGGGTTGTCAACACACTTATAGACAACGACCATTTCTTTCGCGGCGGCTGTGGTTGCCTGCCGAGGAGGGAAAAGGGGAAGAGAAAAGGGAGAATACACTTCGTAATGTCAACATGCAGCCTATGATCACGACGCAGTCCTGAATAGGCTCACTTGTGACACGAAATAATGCGCATTGGAAGACTTCGATTGTGATGGCCAAGGGACACTAAAAAGTCCGCGTCGTAAGCCCCTAGACAAAGGTCGAGCATGAGAAATGAATTCCAGTGACCACGTCTTCTGCGTTGATCCCCTCACCAACTTCCACGATCCGATCGTCATCTCCATCCAAGTATGAAAGCCCTCCCTCCCCACTCTCCAAACTCAAAGGCACCAATACCGACCCTTGTGCAGGTACAAGCCATCCTCCTGCGTCGTGCTCATCGCTGCCGGCGAGGCCTCGATCTGAACCGAGCGGCCGACGTCGCAAGGCAGCGTCAGCCACGCAGCAATGTCCTGATCACCGTGCATATCACTGATAGCAGTGGCGATGAGCTCAGCATGAAGCTCGTACCCGAGGGTATCTAGGGTCAGACACGTGGCCGGCTCAAGAGACGACGACGACGACGCGGTGAGAGGCGGTGGTGGTGGTGGTGGTGGTGGTGTAGAGCCTCCCGTCACCGTTGCAGCAGCAGCGAGAGCCGCATGCTGCAGCTGCTGCTGCTGCTGTTTCCGGACGGACATCTCGTGCTTGCGGTACAGGCACCAAGGACCGTCCGCGCTGCTGCCCTCCCATGGCCGAGTCCACTCTTGCCACAGTCGTGCCCGTGTGGCGGGGAGGAACATCTCGTGGCAGCCCAGCTTGATAGCCGCGCAGCAGCGCTCCGTCACGATGGCACTGGCGTACCAGAACTTGTGCAAGTCGCGGGTCCAGCGGACGAAGTCAACCGCTGTGGTGGTGGTCCCCGTCGTGCGGTGGTGATCCCCTTCTTCCCCCTCGTCCTCTTGCTCATTGCTGCTAGGCAGGGTGGTGCTGAGAGTCCAGCGGCGGCATGAGGCGACGCGGGTGTAGAACTCGGGCGGGAGGTTCTCTGCGAACTCTGCCTCCAGATATTCGGCAAGGCTGTTTGTGATGGATGGCGAGATCTGATGACGTGGATCGGACGGGTGGCGAAGTCTGGCGTCTGCCAAGGCGCTGTTCAGGAGCGCGATGCGGTTGCAGATGCCTAGGAGGTCGCAAAGGCCTTCCTCGAAGCAGCGCAGGGCTATGATGTCTGACGCTGCCGTTGGGTCGGTCGTGATGTACTGCAGAGTGTGGGCCAGCTTCTTGGTGAGTGGTGTGAAGCTGTGGAGGACGACCCGTAAGGCTGCGAGCACCCCTTCGCCTGGCCGGTGGGATAGTTCCCTGCAGATGTCGTGACCTCCTCGTGCTACGTCCTCGAAGAGGTGCTGGTTGTGCAGGTCGTCTTTGCAAAATATAAGCGGTACAGGGGCTGTTCTCAGCTTCGGCCTCTCGAAGCCGAGCAAGGCCAGCCTGGCTTGGTCGCCTTCGTTGCTGGGGTCGAGAAGACCTCGTGCTCTGGCAGCTTCGCAGATTCGAGCCGGAGGTGCCCAACCTAGCTTGAGGGCTTCTGGCAGGACCTGGTCGATGTGAATAAAGTCGCTTGTAGGTGGATGGCCTTGGGTCCGTGGAAGTGTGGCGATATTGCTGATCCACTGTCCCAGTGCTTGCTTGCCGACTTCTACAGTGGGTGCCGGGGCTTGGTTCTGGGCTGGGTTCTGGGGAGTGGTCGAGCTGGGCGGAGTGACTTCTGTGCTCGGTTCTATCCTCGCATACGACGAGCTCAAAGAGCTTCTAGGCAGGCATTGCCGTTTTGGAGGACGGAACCCAGGAGCCTGTCCCGTGCCTGCGCCTGCTTTCTGGCCGAGAGCGCCGGAGACCAACGTCTGCGAAAACGGTTCTTCCTTGACATCTTTAAATAGACTTTGAGGCACAGCCTCGATCCTTGAAGTCACTGAGGTGCGTTGACCGACGACGGATCCAGCATAAGACAGCTCCCTGCCTGCATAATCAGGAATGGTGACGATGTTCTGGTTAGGCTTGTTTGCAAGGGCAGAGTAGTCCCGGCGAGTTTCCATGCTGCTTGGTAGCGCTATATGGGTGTACCGGTGTTTATCAGACTTGTTGTTCTGCAATGCTTGCAGCGAGGGCAATGTCTGGTAGCGGCGGACAATCTTCCAGTGACTGTGGTACAATGCCGCTGAGATCAATGTCCGAAACTCCAAGCTCGTGCTCTTCGACCTTGGATGTGGGCGGTAAATGGTATTGATGTCACCGAGCATATCTACCATAGGCTGGACTGCTTCGTAATGCGACATCTGGTGGGAGTTTGGGTTTGCCCACTTCGACTTCCGTAGCTGCTCGTCTGCAAAAGCTTCGTTCTTGGTACCTATGAGGTCTCCAGGTAGTAGACCGGCACAGACTTCTGGTGTGTTCGAAGTATAAATGGCCATTAGCTGGTCCTGGATCGCCGTGGTCTCGGTTTCAAGCCTTTCTTGATCGTCGTTACTGAAGTCGACTGCGGATCTTGTCACGGCCGCAAGCATTAGGTTTGGCCATACTGCGAGACCGTCTTCTTCAGCTTCCCGTAGTACCGTCGGTATAAGAATAGTAAAGATAATTAATGGTACCGTATCTGCTACGTCGTCCGTATCGGTAGACGCCTGCTCGTCGTCTTCGCTTTTAGTGATATAGTAACACCACCAAAGAGCATACACTGTTAGCTGTGAAGCTGTCATGTAGTCGAAAGTCATCCTAGCTCTAAGCTGTAAGACCAGATCATGGAACTTATCGCCCATATCAAGGTTTCGAAATGCAGGGATTATGTCATATGGTACCTTCGCACCCCATGATATTGCATTTAGCGAAATCGCTGGAAGTGGCTGACAGAAGTGCGCAAGCTGGTCTGGAGGTGTCCAAGGCCCGCCTTCCTTCCACTTCTTTGTGCGTCGTGCGGCCTCGACCGACCAGTCTGTGGCCGAGAAGTCGAGGTCACTGTCATCGCCGTTGAGGTGCTTCTTGGCAGCTTCTAATGCACCGGGTCTGAAGTAGGCGACGAAAGGCAAGGCTAGCAGTGGCGTGTTGTTCTTGAGACCAGTGGCGCGGACGCGGGCGCCTCTTGCGAGCGAGTTGTTGATGGGTACTCGGACGTCACTTCCCGCTGCTGCTTGGATAAAGACCGGGTAAACTCCAGTCATGTCTTTGCCGAATATGATTGAAGCTTTCGCTCTTGCCGCGTCCACTTTTCTGGAGACCCCGAGCTTATGATAGCCTCGAGGAGTCACTTTGATTTCCACGTATTCGTCCGCTGTGGCCATCGTGTGAGGGCACTGGGGTGTACAGAATCAGAGATATTGTAACTGATGGCCGATATCGTAGTGAAGGAAGCAGAAGTAATGAGTTCAGATTCACGAGCTGAAGGTAGCGAGTCAAGGGTAGTGAAGCGCCTGGTAAAGCAAGTTGGAGTACTAGTAGCGTAGTTTGCGCGACGGCCGAGGAAAGGGCGATACTAGGAGAACGGTTGTTGGCAATGAATTGGCCTTGTCGATTCAATGGTCAGAGTATAATAGAGTGTGGTTGCCGTCGAAATGGTCAGGGTCGATGGTGAAGAAAGAACTTTGGAGTTGTGAGAGTGAGTCCCGATTTGTTGTGCTGAGAAGTCCAGAGGACCGTGCCTCTCGTTTGCGTCCACACTTGAGACCTCGCTCGATTTCGGGTGTGGCAGACGGAATGTGATGGATTCGTGAAATGACGGGAAGGAATATCGTGGCCAGGATAGTTCTCAGAATATGTCGGTGTTGTCAAAGTGCGATCGGAGTCTGCCTAAAGGATGTCACAATATGAAAGTCATTGAAATGTGAGAAGTGTGGGAGGTTGCTTCAAGAGAGGTAAGTAGAAGAAAGGCCGCAATGTAAGGTATTCAATTGGTCGGTAAGCCTGGGAATGCGCGCCTGGAGAAGCTTTTTCTCTGCAGCTGCTCTTGTCTGTCTTCGGAGGGGATGTAGCAGTAAAGCACTGTGAACTAAAATCTGATCTGTGCTTATTTATTGATCTACAGCTATTGAGCCAAATACTTAGACCGCCACAGGAATTGGAACTGGTCCCACAGGCGAGGTCGACGCGCCGATGTTCGCCTAGACATATGAATCAGTTACCAATCTCTTCCCAGATAAGCGCATCGCAGACGTGTCAGAGGGCTCAGAGGGTTGAGAGGGCCACAAGCAACTCACCTGGTGCATTGTCCTCGGGCCCCAAGAGTCAGGGTAGTCAACTGCCGTGTGGAATGTCTGCCAGTTGGCCCACATGATGATGTCGCCCTCTTCCACTTTGGGCAGCATAATGTACTCTGGCTTCAGTACACGCTCTTGAATGGTCTATCATAACGTTGGATCACAACGATTAGCATCCCTGGCCACAGCAACGCGAAACATGCCAAAATTTGGAGTAAGGGGATCATCATACCTTCAGGAAAGCCCGGATCTCTCCAACGTCCTCCACGACAACAGGCGTCTCATCGGGTGACGACCGAAGGAACAGCTTACGGGCGCAGATACCATGCACCATGAATGCCTTCTCGCCTGTCACGGGATTCACCCAGACCATGGGGTATGTCTTGACGGATTTGGGGTCGTAGTCACCCAGCTCCTCGAGCTTCTTCTCCCGGCCCTCGGTGGCGACACCCAGGCCAGTTGTGAGGCCTCTGCAGTTGCCCATCCACATGTACTAGGAAAACAAATAGCGATGTTAGGATATGACAAAATCATATCAAGGGGCGTTCATCCGGGCGGGCGGTACACTTACCGGATGTGGCGCATACTCGACCCAGCTGTGATCCGCAATCTTCTTCTCCTCCTCCGACATGAGCTCGTACGTCTGGACATTGCTGAAGAACGCCGTCAAGCCGGGCTCGCTCTTCATCTCGAGCCCACTGCCGTCGTCCCAGCGGATGTTGACCTGGGGCTCGGTGGGCCTCTTGATGCACCGGAGGGTCGTGAAGTACGCCGGGTCGCGCGCGTAGAGCGGGGCGTCAATGTGCCAGCGCTGGAACCTTGTGTTGCCGGCCTCGAACTCGCCCTCGGCCTGCGGCTTGCAGTGCCAGTCGTGGCTCAGGGGCTTCTTGACCGTTATCTCCTTGAGGCCGTAGTGGTCAGGACCCTGGTAGCCCTTGCCGACGAGGCGAACATTTTCTGCGCCGGGGATGCCGTAGACGTCGCGAGCTTTCTGTGGAGGGAGAGGAGCAACCATGATCAGCATCATGTCCCCCGGTCTATTGTTGATCTTTTCTTTCTTGGTGGCTCATGGGATGGGAGAAGGGGCTGGTGACTTACAGACAACAGGCCGCCTTCCTTGTTGAAGGTCTTGACGCTGCCATGTGAGTGTACCTTGGGCGCGGTGGGGTCGAACCGCGTGACCAGCTCCCATTGCTTGATGGGCTCCAGCTCTTGCTGGCCTTTCACAACGAGCAACTTGTGTGTCCAGATGAGGTTGGAGAGGGCCTTCACGTCCGCGTCTTCATCGCCGGGTGATATACAATCAGCATCCATCTGACGATTCGCATGTAACTGTGGCGAGAAGCACGAGCCCAAAGCTATGGAGCAACTCTGGTATCTAACACATACCGCTGATTTCATTGAGGTCCAGCCCGGTGACCGTGGCACCAAAGTCGTGCTTCTCCTCGGCAGTCTTCTTCATCGGCGTGACCGTGAAGGTCGGCTCTGGGGTAATGGCGCTTGGCGACATGGCGAAAGCTGCTGGCTGGCCTTGGTGCAGGACTTGCTTGTGTGTGTATGTCTTGCAGAAAGTATCGGCTGGTCGATATGTTGTGCTGCTTCCTCTCTGGGCACACTTGCTCTTCGTAGACGCAGATATTGATTCCTGTCTCAAAAAATTCCACAGAGGTTTCGTGGTTATCGTGATGCAAGCCGGTGAGGAGCACGCGCGTGGCTGTCGGGCCGTGCTTGGCTTTCTTTATCTTATTAGCTCGTGTCTTTGGTTGACGCCGCTAATTGCCGTGATCTGATTTATCGAAAGTACGGAACAATAGTAGACTTCAAGTTGGAGCAAAGTCTAAACTGTCCCCGGCCGAGATACTGCTCGTAGTCCATTGCCAACCCCACGGCTTCGGCCAACTCCGACACTCCGCGCTGGCCAAGTTCAGACATCAAAGAAGCCTACGACCTATTACAGCCCCCGTCATTATCCATTACCAAACACTCCTCCTCGGGAGCGAGGCGCGAGGCCAATCCGACCCACCACCCGCTCAGTGCGAGGACGTGGAGAGAATACCAGGATTCATCTCCACGCGACCCTTATCGCAACTGCCCCCCCCCCCCCCCACTCCCCGGCCGACCTCCCGACGGAACCGGGGTCGGGCAGCGAGTTCACCCCCCACAAAAATAGGCCGAGGGGAGGGGAGACAGTACTCGCTCTGCCGATCCCGCATATCGGAAGAGCTCGGCCGAGCTCCACTTTGGCCCCAAGTCTCGCCCTTCGTTAGTTCACGGCAAGCTTATCGAGCTCTCTCTCGTCTTGGGACGCCCAAAGTCTAGACACTTTCTAGTCAGATTTAGCGTCAAGTTCAACTTCGCCTTTCGGGTCGAGGTTTCACGAGCCGATGGCCACTGGTATTGTGTGCCTTCATCAACGCAGATCGCTAGCTTCATGTCTTGCGAGCTGATCCCATGTTCTAAGCTGAGTCGCCAGGTCCAGCCTCAGTGTGGCGCAATAAGCTTATCGGCCAGGTTCGCACTTCGAGAATCGGCCGTGGCTTGGGACTCGATCGGCACTATGAAGGTGTGCAAGTGACTGTATGCAACTTTGGTCCCAGTGCTTCGGGTCCGGGGAAGGTCATTGATAGTGTAGTCTTATTGGGTGCAGTCTATGATATATATAACCACTTGAGATGTGGCCGACTACAACAGCATCCTGCAATTCATGGTGCGACTTTGCGCATGTGTGATGGTTTATCGATCCGATACAGGCCTGGTGCGATTTGAAAGAGGTCACGAGGCAGTTGCAGACTCATGGGGGTATGGCTTAAACTTATCATTTCCATCATAGACTACATATAACGTAATCCACGGGTGAGCGGGTCACACGGGTGAACGGGTCACTTTACTGCAATTTAATTGAGGTTCACTTCCTTCTCCTTTTTCTCCACCTCCAATCATGGGACGACAATCAATTGAAAGTGATTTGGTTCTAGCGTTAAATGCGCTCCAATCCGACCCAAAATTAAGCGTACGAAAGGCTGCGCAGATCTATAATGTATCTCGTACGACACTCCAGCAACGATACCACGGCCGAGCTGCGAAACACGACACCCGACCACCCTGCCAGAAATTAACCTCATACGAAGAGGAGAGTATCGTACGATACGTACTCGACCTAGATTCGCGTTCATTTCCACCGCGGTTAAGTGGTGTTCGAGAAATGGCGGATCGACTCCTCCGCGTACGCGACGCGCCACGCGTTGGAACGAACTGGGCCTCAACCTTCGTACGACGACGACCTGAGCTCCGTACGCGTTTTAATCGAAGAATCGATTACCAGAGGGTCCTTTGCGAGGATCCGGACGCGTATCGCGCGTGGTTTGAGCTCGTACGAAACATAATCGCGAAATACGGGATCCACGATGACGATATCTATAACTTCGACGAAACGGGCTTCGCGATGGGCAAGATCTCCGCCGAAACTGTCGTTACGACCTCCGATCGACGCGGGAGGCCAAGAGCCGTACAACAAGGCAATCAGGAATGGGTTACAGTAATCCAGGGTATCGCGTCGTACGGCTATTCAATCCCGCCATACATTATCTTCGCCGGGAAGGTCCACCTCGACTCCTGGACCGCGAATAGCCCTCTACCGGCCGACTGGGTAATCGCGCTTTCAGAAAACGGTTGGACGACGAACGAGAGAGGCCTAGAATGGGTAAAACACTTTGATTTCCATACAAAGAGTCGTACGAAGGGTACCCACCGCCTCCTTATCCTCGACGGCCACGAGAGCCACCATTCCGTCGATTTCGAGCTCTACTGCAAGGAACAGAATATTATCACGCTCTGTATGCCTGCTCATTCGTCGCATAAGCTCCAGCCTCTCGATGTTGGGTGTTTTGGACCTCTGAAACGGGCGTACGGTAAAGAAATCGAAGGTCTAATGCGGGCGCACGTAACCCACGTTTCAAAGGAGGACTTCCTCCCAGCCTTTTATAAGGCGTACGACGCTGCAATGACCAAATCAAACATCCAGGCAGGCTTTAGAGCGACAGGCCTAGTACCGTACGACCCGAATTATGTGATTTCGCAGCTAGATATGAAGTTTCATACGCCGACACCACCTGGTTCCTCTGCTGGACTACCACCCCCATGGGTTTCAAAGACGCCGAACAACCCAATTGAGACCGAATCGCAGACGAAGTATATTAAAAATCGCATCATACGACACCAGAATAGCTCACCGTCGTCCATTGTTGAGAGCCTACGGCAGCTGGAAAAAGGAGTTATAATGATGGTACACGAGCAGGACCTTATACGCCAAGAGCTCGCCGAACTTCGAGATGCAAATGACCGCCTTAGCCGCCGTCGTCGTACGAAAAGAAAGCAGCTACAGAAAGGAGGGTCCCTCACGATTGATCAGGCAAAGGATTTGAAGGCTCAAATCGATGTGACGCAGCAGTTAATAGCGGAAACGAGTCAGAATAGTGGTCGTACGAGGAGGCCCGAAACGCGCGCGCGACGATGTGGCGTCTGCGGCGAGCCCGGTCATAATGCTCGTACGTGTCAGAAAGTTGTATCTGCCTCTGAAGAAGAGGATTCTGAATAGTTTGAATTGATTTAAGGCGTTGTGGTTAAATTGTCTTATATATTGTCGTACGAGTTACTGGAAGGTGACCCGTTCACCCGTGTGACCCGCTTACCCGTGGATTACGTTATCTCCATCTCATTTATACTATATACCAACTCTACTAGGCAGCAAGCTCAGATCGGCACTTCCTTGGTGACGCTAGCAGCAGATGAGGCGCTCTGGCCTTTCTCGCTCTGGCCAGCACGTGACTCAACGTCCGCCTCAGAGCTGTCGAGAATAACATTCTCGTCACCATAGATGGTCTTGGGAATGAGCGTGGGCTTGTGAGGCCATACCACGTTGAGGACCCAGTAGAGCACAAGAGCCACGAAAAAGCCATATAGCCAGTTGAAGTTGAAGAGATTCTCGAGGCCCACGCTGATTGACACGCCCGTCGGGTTGACCTTCTTGCCCAGCGCAGGCAGCAAGGGGACAATGACCAGAAAGGTGGTCACAAACGCCCGCCAGTTGGTTCCCCACTTGTTGAATTTGTAGATACCCTCAGGGTCGTACAGGGCCGGCACATCGTACTTGCGCTTCTTGACGATCCAGTAGTCGCACAGGATGATGCCTGCCAGGGGTGCCATGAAGATTGCGTAAGCCGACATGAAATTGAGGAAAGCCTTGGCCGAAGAGACGATGATCCAGGGGCAGAGCGCCCAGCCGCCGAGCAGCGAGGCGAAGATGATGCCACGGCGGATGTTGAACCACTTGGGCGCAAGAGACGTGATGTCGTTGGCGAAGGAGATGCCGTTTGCGCTGATGTTGACGCAGACCTGGCCAACGAGCCAGCAAGAAGCAGCAAAGAAGGCCGCAGCACGACCTCCGGGAGTGGCAGGCCACTGGGAAATGATCTCGAGAGGCGACCACAGAGTCTTGCCGTACAACTGCTGAGAGGCACTGGCAGCGATGATACCGAAGGTACTGCACAGTGTCTTGAGGATTGGAATGATGGGAAGTTGCCAGTATTGCGCGCCGCGGTCCTTGCTGAATCGGGAGAAGTCGGGAATGTTGACACAGAGCGTACTGTAACCGCCAGTGACACTTGTCTAGGGATCGGGGGAAGGCAACTGTCAGTCAAGTTCGATCATAATTCATGCGGCCAGGATCAATACTTACCAAGTTCGCGAGCCATAGCCATGCTCGGGTAGAGCCAGAGACGGTCGCCGGAGCACTGAAGAATACGCCGCCGCCTCCAGCCTGAACCGCAATCCAGATGACAGTCGCCAACGCAGCCGGGCCGACCAGCACGGTCTTGAACCAAAAGAGCGGCTGCAGCTTGTGCGTTGGGATGAGCAGGAGGGGGAACTGAATGCACCAGTAAATGAAGTACGAAAGCAGGCCTTGGCTTGTGATTCCGGCCGAGGCGGGCAGAGTATTGGGGAGGTTCTTGTAGCTGGGCCACAACGCCGTCAGGATGACCGTAATGCAGGCTCCGCCGTTCGCCGAGTGCACACCGAGCCAGAAGAGAGCCAGGATACCACGAGAGACGACACAGAAGTAGCTGAACCAGACACCAAAACTAGCTCGAGCGGCGATGGGGAAGGGGATGTGGAGATCAGAGCCGATCGCGCCGTTGAGGACCGTGGGACCGGCGTTGCACATGGCAGCCACGAAGACGATGAGGACCGCGTCAGTCGCGCTGAGACCAGTGGTGAGAATTGCGCTGCCGGCCTGCCATGTCGAGATTGTGAACAGGTCACTGACTGTTGGAGAGAAGTCTGGTCAGCCTCCAACCTTGAGCGGTCGTTCCAGAAGCCTCTTGAGCACTTACACCAATATGTCATGAAAGTCCACTTGGTCCATGTCCTCTGCTCGACCGGGACGGGATCCTGGTCGGCATTGGACCAGACATTGGCCGGGGCAATACTGCTGGCCTGTTTGGGGAGCTTCCAGCTGCTTGGGTTGGTGATTCTCTCATGGGCCTTCTCCTTGGCCGCCTGGCCACGCTGACGCAGAGCCGAAAAGTCCATCTTGATTGATGCCTCGAGGAGGTGACAAGAATGGTGGCAAGTAGGAACGAGACTCTGGGACCAGGGCGGAACCAGTGCTGATGCCGTCCACCGCCGATCACGAAGGGGATGAGGCGGGTGCCTTATATCAATAATTGGCCGTAGGGCTCCATCTCGGCCTAGGTGCGGGAGTCCCGAGCATCGCCCACGTTGCTGGGCCAGACCCTACCTGGCGAGATAGGCATGCGAGCCGCCCGTGCATGGCTCGGCAGTCGAGCGAGCCTGGCGGCTGGGTGTTATCGACGCGATGGGATGGGGGTGCAGGGTTTGGTCGTTGCTGGCTGTCGTGCTGGGGAGGGCACAGCTACAGCGGCCGATCCGCTGCGTCTTAGTGGCAAGATAAGCACAGTGGGTTCCCCCGTCGGCAGGCTCCGCAGGAGGAGGGGCGGCCACTAGGCTGCGCACTCTAGGGCGGCAGCCACGACCGGGCCACTGCTCCCGCTTATCGCGGTGCAGCCCATCCCAGGGTCCAGGCGAGCCTCGTCATCCAGTCCAATCAAGCTGCTGCTGATTATCCTACTGTGACTATCCCATGGGTCCCTCTCCTCTCTCCCCATGGGGCCTCCCTGCACTGCTGGACCTCGCCCGAGGTCTTGTGCCTGTCCATCACATCACGTCTTCTTGCCCTTCCCGCCACATGCCTCTCGACCTGTGGGTGTAATCCACACCACGACGACCTCAATTGCCTTCGCCCGAGATGGCCCATCAAGTTGCGGTTGCCACTGAGGGCACGCCAGTAAGAGCCAAGGTAAGGGAAACATTGCCCTGGCCCATGGTAGTTTCTCGACCCAGGCAGGGTCCCTAACACGAGATGGCCATCACCAGAACTCATGCTGGCCGTGTCGTCAACGCAAGGTCAAATGCTCCAGAAATCCAATTCCTTGCAAGAACTGCATCAGACGGTGATTATGCCCTCGCTTCTTTGTGATACCCTGTGCCTTCTCGCTCTCGTTCTAACGCCAGCCAGTGGTGAACAATCTGCGTGTGTGGTCGACTTCGAGTCTCGTCCGAGACCACCCATCCTAAGAGCCGCTGGTGGTGCTGCCTCACCAGAGAATCACGAGCTCATACTGCTTCGACGAAAAGTGCTAGAGTTGGAAAACGAGTTACAAGGCCACAAGAGCCCGTCCTACCACTGTAAGCCAGCCCACGCTGGCGCTTCAACCCTTGGTCCGGGAAGGTCAAGGCACTGATGTTATGCTTTGCAGCTTCACCAATCCCCAATGAATCGCCAACCATGCGGCGGGCTGTGGCTCCTGAACCAGCAGCGCCCGCACCGGCCGACGATGATTGTGCCTCCCAGGGATCAGATGCCCTTATAGTGGAGGATGCTGCATCCATTCTCGAGTTCCTAGCTTGGGGTCGCCAAAAGAATCCGGACTATCACAGGCTCGCCAGCCCCGAAGCTACCAGAGGCGGCATCCCAGGAGACATACAGGAGGAATCGACTGGACTGGACGACGATTCTTTGGGTTCTCTGCAGATGCTGTTGCCCAGTCAACGACAAGTGTGGCAGCTTGTCGACTATTCCGACAATAATCTGCTCTGGTTCCATGGCTCGTACATGCCTCGGCAATTTAGAACAGGTCAGTAATTCGTTTATTGAGCATGCAGATCCAAAGGCTGACTGGCTCCGCAGAACTGAGGGAGTTCTATGCCAAAGCAGGCGGCACCATAACCGACAGGCGCATCGACTTGCAATGGGTCTCACTCCTCTTTAGCATCTTGACGGGCAGCCTTCTGTGTGCGCCACGAAGTCAGACAGGTGCGTGGGGTTTCCGCGCAAATGAGCAGGCCTTCCTCAGCCAGAAGTGGTCGAGCGCAGTCATGACCCTCCTGCACAAGGCGGCGTATACAGCCAACCACTCCATCTACTCCGTGCAAGCCATAACGACGATGACAATGTCGGCTCATCTGCTCGGACAATCAAACATGCAATCTATACATCTCGCAGCCGCAGTACGCATCGCCCAAGCTCTGGGTTTGCATCAATTGACCTCAGAGCGGAAGGGCGTGGACCCTGCGACAACCGAGCTGGGTCGTCGTGTATGGCAACAGCTTTGTAGCCAAGACTGGTTCAATATTCCATTCTCGGAGACTTACCTTATCAACCCCCTCTACTCGAAATCCGACCCTCCAGTCAACTGCTTTGACGACGGGAAATTTACACCACTTCCAGAATCTGTCGCGACGCCAGAGTCATACACTCGGTTCTTGGCCAAGATCGCAGCTTTAATGCCCCACCTTCTAGATGACATGACAAGCTGCAACACGACTTACTCAAGATACCATCGTGTCCTGGCCTGGGACAAACAGCTCCGGGCAATGGCTTCCGAGAGGCCGCCAATGCTCTCGAACCAGCCCATAGAGCAGGGGTGGCCTTCCTACACTGAATGGGCAAGACGCTCACTGGCCATATCGTCTTCCCACAAGATCATCATGGTGCATCGGTCTTTTCTCTCCGAAAGCTTTAGAAATCCCCATTTCGAGTTTACACGACGCACGTGTATTGCCGCTTCCAAGACAATCATCAAGGAATTCAAGATCGCCTTAGACGACGCGGGCATGCCCACATTTTGGACATACCAAGCTTTTGCTGTAGCGGCCTGTATTATCCTGCTGCTAGACGTGTTCCATCGGCGTCCGGAAGAGAGGTCAGTTCTGCTGAGCTGCATACACTGAGCTCACACCTGTGCTGACATCATTTGACACTGGCAGGGAATGCATTGAGCACACAAGCCTGGTTCGGGAAACCATTACTCTACTGCACAGCTGTCATAACAGCATGATTGCTAGCCGCGGTGTCAAACTTCTTTCTGCGCTCCTTCAGAACAGTACCAACACCCGACCTCGAAGCTCATCGACCTCTGCGGCCGCTGTCAACCCTAAGAAGCGTAATCATGAGGATGACCGTGTTAGCATTGCAAGTGAACGAGCTCCGAAACGAGGTCCAGGCTTTGATATGGCTGCATTTCTCGAAGAATTTCACAGGAACAACACTTCTGAGGTAGCATCGCGAGCGGCCCCAAGTACATCTGCGCCTTGTCTGGTGCGTGCCAATAATGCTGCACGGGTCTCGATCAATGCTTCCGACGTCGCTGGCGTTGATATCTCAACAAACATTCAAGAATCGCTTGACGCCGAGGCTCAGTTCGCGTTCATGGACACAATTACCCGCCAAATGCCGATGGCTGGCGCAGACCAGATGAACAGCTTCGAGAATCTGCTTTACTTGGCGAGCCATGACTTTTCGATAATATGAATTATATTGATGTCTATTCGCTCGCAACTATCACATCGGAGCTGCGATCTGCTCCAGCAGTTTTGTCATGGCCGCAACAACAGGTTCAATGTCGTCGATGATCGGCTGATGGCCACCCTTGACTACCTCGACACGAGCGCTACCACCGAGTAGTTTGCTGAGGCCCTCCGATCTCTCGACTGGGCTGATGACGTCCAAGTCTCCGGCAATGAAAGTAACAGGGCATTTGATCTGCGCATAGTCTGGATCCTTGTGCTCTTCGCCAACAATGGCCTCGCAGGTCTGGGCGTAAGCCTCTGGGTCTGCTGCTGCTACTTCGTCGTACACGGCCTGCCTGTTCGCTGGAGGGACGACTCGCTGCTCGTCGCTGGGGAAATTTCCAATCGACGCGCCCTTGGCAACGGCCTCGATGCCCTCGGTGCGCGTCTTTGTGGCGGTGTCGAGCATCCGTTGGCGGACTGCGGGAATGTGCGAGGCGGACCTGCCGGCACCGAGCAAAAACATGCCGCCGACTTTTGCGGGGAATTGTGCAGCGAAGTGCAAGCCGACAATGCTGCCGAGGGAGTGTCCGAAGATGATGACCTGGAGCGCATGCCATCAGCGATTTTATAACCCCGAGGTTATCTGTTAATGGTCTTACCTTGTCATCCTCTGTTCCATGGCTGGACTGGATGTGCTGTACGAGAGCCTGGAGATCGGCCACCAGCCCAGGGATTGTCACCGTCTGGGTGGTATTTCTCGGGGTCTTGCCGTAACCAGGGAAGTCGACAATGACGGTGTTGTAAGACTGTGGGATATGCGGGAGCAGAGGCAGAAAGGTCTTTGAGGAGCCACCAAGGCCGTGCATGCAGATGATGAGGGGGCCGTTGGCATTGCCGGACTGCAGGTAGTGCGTCTGCGTGCCTGATGGCGTGGTGAATGTATCTAATGACGGCGACATGTTGTTTCGGTGGCTGTGACGAGGCAGGATGAGATTCAAACCGTCTGCACTTTGGTGTGTTGACCGACTAGCAGAAGACTAAGTGTAACAAGCAACAAGTTCGTTCTACACCTAAGAAAAGAAGTCTAGTTACAATCGGTGCTCGGCGAGGGAGGGGCCGGGAGGAGGATCTGACATTGTCCACGACCAAAAAGCTGCTACCGCGAACCCGCCGGGCTCGGGCGAGGAGCCATGACAATTCGCCTTACGTAGTAGTGTAGCGCAGTGCTGGGCGGTTGTGCCCGGCCGATACGATCCGCTTGGACGCTCCGAGTGCCCGGCTCCGCAACTCGGCGAGCTACTGGACCCGGCGCCGATTGCCCATATCATGAGGCTCCACATCTCGGCCGAGCGCTCCCCCGCAGGCCTCGTGCTGGCCACCGATTCGCTGGATAGCCTCGTCCTGAAGTCAAGACTACCATGCTGATATCCCTCACGGGCTCGGGCGAACTGGATGATATGCGCGGCTTATTGGGGATTGGCGAATCGGGATTGGAGCGGAACGATCCCTATGGCTGTTTTAGGCATGCTGGAAAAGTCACGATTGTGGTGTTGCTAGTCTGCGGTACGGGCTTGAGATACCTCGATATAACTCGGGCAAGATTGTGTCCTTTCCGACCCACCCGTTCTTGGCTAGAAGGTGCTGAATGAGAGATACTGGGAGAAGCGCGGTACATCACGATCTCGAGTAGCCTATCCTCGTCTGCTCTGCCGTTCACCAGTTGCCACATACCCTTAGACGACTTGCCCAACCATGACGATAACAGCCACGACAACTGAGGAGGAGGCTCCGGGCCTGCACCTCAGAGCTTCCCACGTTGCCTTTGAGCTGCCGCACGCCGAGCACACGACGGGCACCGTCCAGCCCATCGAGCATGCCGCCGGCAGCGCCGTCGACTTTGGGGCCGAGGTGTACGGCATCGACCTCAACAACTTCACCGATGCCGACTTTGCCTTCATCTCGGACGCCCTGCACTGGCACAAGCTTCTCGTCTTCAAGCAGCAGCCACGCATGCTCGAGCCGCACCAGCAGTACCGCCTGACCTCGAGGTAAGTGCCGGCCTGGCAACGTGGCTAGTCGTCTTTTCCTTCCCACATGACGATGACGACGACGATACCGGGTACACCCAATACTTACTTACGCACCATGCAAACAAAAACAACAGCTTCGACCCTGACGAGAAGACGGGCGGCTTCGCCCACGGCGCAGACCCGTACCTGACGTCGCACAACGGCGTCGACATCTACGGCATCCCCAAGCGGCCCTCGATCCCCGAGCAGCCGCAGGTGCACATCCTCGGCCGCGGGCCCTTGCCCGAGAACCACTACGGCTTCCCTCCGGGCTTCGAGGTCCAGGGCATCGACCACACCGAGTTCCACCTGCCGCCGCACATTCCCGCCGAGGAGCGCGAGGCCGGCGCCTCGCGCTTCTACCAGTGGCACTGGGACGGCTCGCTGTACAAGATCCCCCCCCTCGCGTCGGGTGCCTGCTCGCGGTGCGCACGCCCAAGGGCCCCGACGTCACGGTGCGCTGGGAGGACGGCTCGGGCACTGAGATGAAGATCGCTCCGGGGGCTACCGCCATGGTCGCCGGGTCCGCGCGCTGGCCTTGCTCGACGGCCCAACCCGCGCGGTCGTCGAGAACTCGCGCATCGAGTACGCCCCGCACGCGTTTGTCTGGATGAGCACCGCGCGCAGTACGCGCCTGGGCCACCTGCTCGAGACCGAGGGGCTCGAGGTCCCGCTGGACAAGCTCCCGTCCTGGAGCAAGGAGCATGTCTGCGTGTACCCGATGGTCTGGACCAACCCGGTCACCGGCGAGAAGAGCCTCCAGGTCCACGGCCAGGGCGCGTTCAAGCTGTACTTGAAGGACGGGCCGGACGCGGAGGAGAGGGTCGTCGATGACTTGGGGGAGGTCCGCGCTTTTATGGACAAGTAAGTGTTCTTATTCTTCTTCTCGCCTCTTGTTTTTTCTTCAATCGAGTTTTGTTAGGGCTGGTTCAAACCGGCGCCCCGATCTTGTGGCGTGGGTTAATGGAAAGAGAGCCATATTGGGACATTGTCGCTAACGTGGAACTTTTGCAATCAGGATCATGAAGCCCGTCCTCCAGCCCGAGAACATCTACGCACACCCCCACCAGGAGCAGGACGTCATCCTGTGGTACAACAGGGCGTTGTGGCACAGCATTGTGAGTATATCGATCCATGTGCTTCTCCCTCCCTCCCTCCTTCGGTCCAGGAAAGCTGGGCAAGACCTTCAAACGTTTTCGTCTTTAAATATATGATGCTGACATGAGATATTGCTCGTTACAGACCGAGTTCCCAAAGTCCTACGGACCCAGGGTGATGCACCAGTGCAATATTGCCGCGTCGGACCACCCCTCCGGATAGACCAAGTGGAAAGAAATGGCACACAAAAGTCTGGGTTTATTAGCAGCATCATGAATAAAACGAACAGCGCCTCCGTGATCGCAACCGCACTTGCTTCATTGCGGACTCGAGTTTGGCAGTACCTGGCAAGACTAATGTGAAAATAATGGTGATCAGTGGTGATTTGTAGCTTGGAAGCAAACATTGGATCCGACAAACTCCAACACACAGGATCAGCACGCGGCCTGTCCGTTTAGCTGGGCAGCGTCACGGAAATACAGGCCTCTTGCATCCAAGGAGAGCCTGTCCACAGAATTGACATCGTGATTGAAGACTTGTCATGGGGACACATGTCTACGCGTTCGCTGATCAAGGAGAGAACGGCAACATCTTGTCGTCGACACGGGACGGACGGCACCAAGGACGAAGAGCTAGACCTGCTGGGCCCGTCTGATTTCACAACTTGCTCGATGAGATCTTGCGCCGGACCGTTTGATGCTACGCCTGTCTAACATGTCTGGCAGTGGCGGGTACAAATTTGTGCCTTGGGAGTCAAGCACGGTGTCAATATCGCTTGTTTCTTTTTTGTTGTTGCCATTGCAGTGGATGCTGTCCACCTCTTCTCCTTGGTCAGAATTGGCTTTCCTTGTCTCCCGAGGATTCGATATTTTATGAGTTTGCCCATATGAAGGACTCTAATCACGTCGTCGTCCCAACGCGACATTTTATATAGTACTGGATAACTTCATCAATGCCTTGTGGTGTAAGGCTTTGCAATATGTAACTACCTGGGTATGCAGCTGAGATTGAAGAACAAGAGCTGGATATGGAAGAGGAAATGCAGGGCAGATTCCAATGAAATAAAACCACCTTCTTCAACGTCTGCCAAAGAACGACTGATTGCACGAACAAGTTCTTGAACTGCTGTTCTCGCGGGTGGTCATTTAGATTGAGGTCAAGCCGTCCAGTAATGGCCGCTCGTTTCATGAGAGAACTTGTCCTTGCGGAATGAGCTGTCAGGTGCCAGAGCAATGCATAAAACGACGACTGGCAGAATAATCGAGAGACAGAGCATGATTGTAACATAGAGCGTGACACAGAGCGTGACCACGGATAGGGAAGCACACCAAGACCCCCGACTTTCATGCGCCTGGGCTTGATATGCGTGCGCAGCCTGGCCCTCGATTTGCTCAGGTCCCGAAGGTCATGCTATGCAGCGACAAAACCCTTCTCAATCTTGAATCTTCAGAAGCGATTTACGATAGTGAAGTACGTAACGTCGTCCCAATAGCGATTTGTGTACTGTCTTCAAACTCTGGTCGAGAAGCTGGACTTGGTTCTATGTAGCTCGCATCGCTTGTGCCATCGAACCACTTGCGCCAGGAAACTTGCAAGTCTTCAAAGCTGCCGGAATTTGCCGGTCTTCGATAACCGCGTCCCTCTGGATGCAACTCCCGCAGGCGCATGGAAAGGCGCACCTCATGCAGCGTTGATTGATCCTCAACTTTACATCGTACCATCCCGAGATCCGCCACGACCTGATTCCTTCAGAGGGGTCGCACTACAGCGGAGGATGCAATGCAACCTCGGGGGACCCCCGGCACCGATGTGTCTTGCAGGTTTTGATACTGCAGCGACACACCCCCTTGACAACAGGTCTATGCAGGAGAAACATGCTGTACTGTCTCTGCCATGCATTACTATGCCTCGGCGGAGGATTTTGCCATTGTCCGTGAGCAGAAGAGGAAGGAGGACATCGGCCAGATCTTGGGTCTCCACCTTGGAGGGACATGGCCAACGTCACACTACAGAGACACATCTGCCATGGTACAGTACAGATGTTGCAGGCCGCAATGTCGTCGGCGCGGCGGCAAGTGCGCTGTCGACACGGGGCAATCGCTGCTGCTCAGCCACTTCGCTCGCATACTTTAACTTTGGGATCAGATACAGTAATCATAAGTTCGGCAGATGGAGCTGGCTTCACAACGGTCAAGGCACGACTCACGACATTAGTGGCTGACAAGGAGGCAGACATGACTACCGGAAAGCCACGACGTTGATGGCGCTCACTATGCTCAGTCGCACCATAGCGTTCGCCGTCAGTCATTGTCTGACTCGGCGACCGACCACGAGGTCAAGAAGCCACGCGGCACAGACCACGGAATTGTGGGACTTTGTGAACAACACAGCTCATGAAGCCATTTTGACGCTGTAGTAGCAGAATGGTCCCTGTGGCGCTATTTCGTCTCCTCTTTTCCACAATTATCCATGACGGCCAATGCGATCACATTGTCCTATCACCCCCCGTGTGACCACGACCAGGGATGAGGTTGCAAAAGTCATTGTCGCCAGATGATCAAAACCCCCCCACTGTGCGCCTACACAAGCACCGGCAAGTACTGTAGTCCGTGGGCCAGTGGTCTGATGCTCGGACAGTGGACGACGATCATCGTTGTGGATTTATGACCCATGAGGGGGCCCACGGCGGCTGCTTATGCTTCTGCCTTTCACGTCAGATGCTCAGGGCCCGCCACCGCAGGATACCTACTGACGATGGCTTACCTCCCGACGCCTGACGCCTCAGTAACGTCATACTGCCCACCGCGGCTTATTCACCGGCGCGCGACACCAATAGCGAAAGCCATTCCCCCACCGTGGTCCCAACAACTCAAGCCGGCGCCTCTCGGCAGTCCTGTCGTGAGCTCGGGCGGCGCCCAAAGTGGGCAAGGAGCAACAGTAAACGGTGGCACTGACAAACTCCCTCCGTCCTGTGAGCTTCAAAAGATACCCGCCGCGCGCCGCGCTCGGCCGGGACAAGCCAGCACTGGTTGCGCGCGCCACCGGGGGTTGCGAGTAGACCGAGTGGTCTGTGGACGATAGGTGAATCAGTCAGCGGCTGCTTAGGCCCTGCTTCGCCCCATCACGGCGGCGCACGGTGGCTTGTCGTGATTTGCGACCAAGGCGGAGCTATGGCGCCCAACGATCCCACTTTGGGCGATCTCTTAGCTCGGCGGGCGGAGCCAGAGAAGCCCTTCTAGAAGACTGGAGCGAGCAATTCCAAGCATCGAGATCTTCGAACTTTCTGGTAGGGCTCCACTATACGATCTGCCGCGATCTCTGAATTGTCTTGAGACAAAAAGGGCCTCTTGCGCGGTTTTGTCATTCGTGTCGCGCGGGAATGCCGACACGCTTCGGGGGGCCGGTTACGGAGGAAAGTCAAGAGCAGAATGGAACATTTCTAGCCCCGTTCCCTTCTTTTGACTGACTCAAACGAAGGGGCTCCATTTCTACAGACCACTAGCAATCCGTTCTACGCCTAACGGGACTTGTCTAGACGCCAGTACCTCGCGCCGCCGGTCCTGGGACTTATGCACGTCTGACACGCCCCGTAGCGCCCTGACTACAATGATTCCGTCCCAGAAACGTAGTTTACGACGTCGATCCCTTTGATTTCACACGAGTCAAAAAAAGCACGCCGTTAGAGAAGGGTCCTTGGATTGCGATGGTTCCTCGATTGTGCGGTACGCCATTGTGCAGCGCGATCGAACTTGGCGAAACGGCAAAGAAGGGACCCTGTGACTGGCGCCTTGAACGCTACTGTAATAGCATCCCTCTAGGGAGGAGCCGGGCGTCGCGTTTTGGTGGCAGGCAGCCGATGTTTCCCCCCTGAAGATCTTGCACACGACACTTCATGACCCGTGTGCATGTGGTGGATTCCGTGGGTCTATTCTCGTCAGTCTGCTACTCTTATGGTAGTAGAGCAGTTGAAGGCGGCTTGCGGGACCGCACTGTTTGTCAGTAGCATGACGACGCTTTAGGTGGGAATCATGGCTTCGGTCACATCATAGACACTACGCTAATTCCTGCACTGTGGCATCACGAGAATGCGCGCCGTGATTCAGAGAGAGCTCCACTGACAGTTCATTGTGGACTACGACATATCAGCCTTCCCGCTTGGCCCGGGGCAGGGCGTGATGAGCGTGAGTAGCCAGGCCAGTGATGGCCACATACCTTGCTTGCCTCCATGATGCCTACCACGCCGCGTGATCACCCGGTGGGTTCGGCTCTTTTCATGTGGTGCCCCGTGAAAGTCCAGAGCACAGCCTCGGATCCGGCCGTGCACTTTTTCACCGCTCCAGAACGACGACAGAGGAATCCCCATCAGCTCACCGCGTGATCCTGACGTCGTTGCGTGGACAGAACCCGAGCGCCGGGTATTCTGCGCATGGTCGCCCTCGGTGTCGAGGGAGGAAGATGCACACCCCCTTCCCAAGGGAACCAAGAGCTCGGTGAGCATGCCTCGGCAAGTGCCGAAACAAGAAGGCCTCCTCTGGAAGCACAAGATCCCCTCAAGAGCCAGCATCAGTTTGGCTCCTTCCCCGATCAGCAAAGTCCCTTAAGGAGCCAGATCGTGGTTGTTGGAATGGTACCCACGGACTGTGGATTCTCGATGTTCTTTTTTTGCATATGCCGGCAGTTCGTGAGGAATACCGGGGTGCATGGGGGGCACCGCAGATCCTGCTATCATGCTCGGCATCTGGGCTTGCTTGGTCACTTCTTGCGTAGGATTGTCACAGAGAGAGCGAGTGAGACGAACCGGCTTCCTGCAGAAGAAGGTCAGCGTCGCTTTTCTCAACCGGCGGCAGCGGCTCGTCGTTCTTTCTTCGCATGTGTGTCCATCGGGCGATCTCCCGAATGCCCTCGTACATCCAACTGGACGCAATCGGCAATTGTGTCGTTGCCATGGTCGTCCAGACATGGTCGTTGTTGTAGACGCAGGGGTTTCCCCTTGGAAACTCAAAAATGATTCCAAGTCCCCCCCTGTTCTCCTCTGGGGAGTCTGGTCTGGTCTGGGGTCCCAGCGTCCAAACCCGCAGACTGGGGAGGGGAGGGGGGGGTCATTCTTACTGCGTACATTTGCCTGGCCACAACGTTCCGGTACGACACAAGTGACAAGGCATTACTTACGAGGGTCCTTTCTGGCCCTGGTGGTTCAGTGCCGGGGCAAAGGCTCGCAGACAGGAAGACAGAGTAGGACACCTGCCGGGACAGGAAGTTCGACTACGGCCTTGGCGACAAGGGGGGCCAAGGGCGTATGCGCATTGGACAGCGGTTGCAAGACTCTCATGATATGCGGCCTCATGCCCGCGGACACTGGGGGTCTTTCAGGCACATACAGTACCGCCCTGTCTCTATCGCGTCCAGCATGCTGACGGAATTAAGATATCGTAAAGGGGCCAAGCAGCCGAATTCACATTTCGTCCCGTCTTGTCACCGAGGTGGTGGTAACCAGTGCTGGCAGACGAGGGGTTGCAGGCTGTCATTCCGAGTGTCCCGAAGACCCCTGCCTCTGGAGTCAGCGAGGCCAGGGGGGTTCCGCAACGCAGAGGAAACCTTGTTCATGTCGTCAATGCAACCGTGATTGCGCCCGATGAGTTGGGACGAGACAAGTGCCGGCAGTCTCTAATTGAAAAGCATGTGAGCTCTGCGACAGGGCTCTCCGGGGGGAATCGGGGAAAGGGGCAATCGAGTTGGTTTCTGAGCAAGTATCGTCATATGCTTTCGCCATGATCCATGCATCACTCACACTCTCACACTCACACGCACAAAGTGCTTTTGCAGTATCGAGGAATTGAATCGCAACAGGTCGCCAGCAGCATAATGCAGAGAGAGACATGCCAGGGGGCCGGCGCCTTGGCAGGACAATACGGCCAACACCTGAGCGTCTTGATTTATTGCGCGGTTTCTGCTCCGAGGTCGCGCATTGTTGCGCTGCAACACACGCTGCATCACACTCGAATCCTTCTTCCATGGAGCGCACATATCGTAACTCGTTGCGAGGTTGACCCTGAGTGGTTGGCAGTCACTAATGAGCCGCTAACAGTGGACAACCAGGGTTGGTGGACAGGCAGTTGAGTGATTGGCTGTCGGAACACAGCGGCCTTTAGTTGCAACCAGGAACTTTTTTACGGCATATGCAGATCGCTCTTGGTATATCCCAAATGCGACGACGCAAATATCATCAACAACCAAAGACAATGCACAGACAGGCACCGGGAAGAGACTCCTTCCATCACAACTTGAGAGATATGGACCCTCCTGTATCAATGCCTCGTTGGCCGCCCCATCGGCGCAGCAAAGTCGACAACTGTCCAGGTTGTCATTTCTTCTTCGCATGCGCCGCGTGCACAAGTCCGGTCAGGGCGCCCAGGCCACCTTTGGGAGCAAAGTCCCAAAGATCGAAACCTATTGTTACCTCAATTTCGCCTTGTCCGACGGGCAACCCCGAGCAAGAGCGCGGTGTGTATGACCTTGAATGGACATCGGCGATCGTATCATCCTTAGTTAGGACGAGCAGAATTCTCCCAAAATGCTCGTGCTCGTCCATGCTAGGCATTATCAGCACACGGACGTGTGTAACGACCGGGACCTTATCGAAAGTCACAGTTCGGAAGATCCCCGTCGTCGTCCTCCTCCTCCTCCTCCTCCTCCTCCTCCTCCTCCTCCTCCTCGGGGCCGACGAAGTCCCACGGGACGAGCGGCTAGGCGTGCCCGTGGCATCGTCTGAGCTATAGACGTCTTCCGTTCGGGGTGAGTGGACGGACGGATTGTTTTCCGTCATGGCGCTTGGAGCGAGTCGTTAGCATCTTCCATCCCGGAGGACTCATGAGAGAGCTGTCGTTTGACGCCAGTGTTACCCGATGGCACGACGGGGCGGCTAGGACTGCAGAGGCTCTAATGACTTGCCTCACGGATTGATATGGCGGCGCCCGGAAAGCCAGCGAGCGAAAGAGCACGGAGAAAGAACAAAGCGGCTCCACCTCGACCCGAGTCGGGCCCGGGTGCGGGTGCGCTGGATCCTAGGGCCGGTGCGGCCGGCGGCCGTGGCTTTCATTGATTCGCCTTTGTGTTTCTTGTCCAGCGCTACTGTACCACCAGCCAGCGGCCGGCCATGGTGGGAGATTTCCACTGAATTGAAATGAGGCGGCAGCCACCACCACCCAATAGCTTGCTTGTCGATGCAGCCACCTGGGAATCTTCTACAGCCCTGCGGCTGCAAACAATGAGATTCTGCGTTTCTTCTGGGCGCGCGCTAAGAAGAAGGGG